ACATGTGTACTATACAGTTGATGAAAGCAGTGGCTGATGATGTCATAGGGCCTAGCCCGTATGGTCAGCTCCACTGCGTGAGAGAGTTAAGTCTAAAAGTAAAAGAAAGGCAACGCGGTGCGAGAAAGGGAAATGCCGCGTGGCATTTTAAAGTATAAAGTTAAAGCGGAGAATAAAAAGGAAAGGAGATGTCCGGAAATTGTGTTATCATAACAGGAACTCGTCGCGGACTCTCTCTTGATCTAGACGATCCTATCCTTCATCTTCCAGGTATCCGGCTTCTCTTTCAAGTTCTTCTTTACTACATTGTCTTGTTTCTGGAAGCTTTGACGTATATCTGGTAGGTATCCTTCGTTGTTGTCAAGTACTTCAAAATGTACGTCTGGGAGAAGTGTCTGATTCTCGTTATCGTTTGTGCCTTTAGGATGATCGATTCGTCTGCTTAACAGGTCGGCCTTCGTATTTTGATTTCCTTTGACATGTTCCATTTTAAAATTATAATCTGCAAGCTGGGATGACCATCGAGCTTGAAAATTGTATTTCTGAGGTTGACGGAAGTAGAGGAGGTTTTGGTGATCTGTGAGGATGGTGAAGGGGTGTTTTGATCCTACAAGGTGATGTCGCCATTCATCTAACGCCGTCATGACGGCGAGCATCTCTTTGTCGTAAATTTCATAGTTTCGTTCTGCAGGGGTAAGGGCTTTCGAGAGGAATGCTATGGGTCTGAATTTGTCGTTTTGTTTCTGGGATAGGACGGCTCCTACAGCGAAGTCAGAGGCGTCAGTTTCTAGTTTGAATGGGTCGTCGTCGTTTGGTATAGCGAGGGTGGGGGCAGTAGTAAGCGTTTTCTTCAATGTTTCAAAGGATGTCTCTTGTTTGTCTTTCCAGGTCCAGTCAACTTTTCCGGTGAGCACAGTGAGTGGTTTCGCAATTCGTCCGTAGTCTTTGACAAATCGTTGATAGAAGTTGGAGAACCCTAAGAATGATTGGAGTTCTCTTTTATTCTTTGGTGCGGGCCAGTCAGCGACCGCTGCGACTTTTAACGGATCCATACGGATAGTGTCTTTGGAGATGATCATGCCTAAGTACTCGACTTCCTGTTTCTCGAATTCGCACTTCTCTGGTTTAAGATACAACTGGTTTTGTTGCAGGATACGGAGGACTTTGGTGACTATTTGGTGATGTTCTTCAAGTGTTTCCGTGAAGATCATGATATCGTCTAAATATACAATAACTTTTCCTTCCGTGATCAGTTCTCTTAGGAGATGGTCCATCATGGTCTGGAAGGTTGCTGGCGAGTTGGTAAGTCCGAAAAACATGACAAGGGGTTCAAACAGGCCGTGATTGGTTCTGAAAGCGGCCTTGTGTTTGTCTCCTTCTTGGATTCGGACGTTGTTGTATCCCCATCGTATGTCTAGTTTCGTGAAGTAATTGGCACCTTTGAGTTTATCGATGAGTTCGGATATGAGGGGGAGGGTGTAGCGATTCTTTATGGTAAGCTCATTCAGCTTGCGATAGTCTTGGACAGGACGTAGTGAACCATCTTTCTTTTTGATAAAGAAGAATGGTGATGCGTAAGGTGATTTGGATACCCGAATCCGTCCACTTGTTAGGTTCTCGTTAAGGAATTCGTCTAGATGGTGTTGTTCGTCTCAGCTAAGAGGATACATTTTGCAGTCAAGACCATTAGCCTCGGGTATTAACTCAATTGCATGGTCCCAAGGACGTTTTGGGGGAAGTTTGTCAAATGATTCTTTGGTGAAGACGGGTTCGAATTCATGGTAGATTGGAGGAACGACATCTCGGAAAGTGAGCTTTGACTTTGCCTTTTCGGAGGATTCAGCGATTTGTTGACTTTTAGTGGCAAAAGCATTCAATTCTAGCTGTGTTATCTCCATGATTCGTGTTTCAAGATCGACGGCTAGAACTTTATCCCCTTCTTCAGGATGATAATCCGGATCATCGGCAGGGAAGGTAATCTTGTTGGTCCGCCAATCAATTGTTGGATTCGTCAGTATCAACCAGTTGTATCCAAGCAGTATGCGTGGTGAAAGTAGGGATGCTACGATGACATCTAATAAATGTTCTTTCCCTTTCACATTGATGTGAAGAGTGACATAGTGTGTTACTTTCTGGGATCGACCATCGGCTCCTGCGGCATCAAGAGGGACGGGCAGAGGCGTAGTATTGAGGGTATACTTGTCAACCAGGCTTTGATCAATAACTGAGTTGGTGCAACCAGAGTTGATAAGGGTTGGGACGGTGAATGTCTGTCTGTCGTCTATGGTAGTGACTTGAGAAATGACATGGAGGCTTCGTTTTGACGTGGGGTTGTGCGGCGAGGTGTAAGCATGGATGCGTTCTACAATATTCTCTTCGTCGTGGTTCTTTAGCATCTGTATCGCTTGCAGGGTGATATGCTTGTAGTGATCTTTATGGGCCCAGTTTCGTAACAGAGCTCTTGCTCTTTCTGGTTTCTGGTCTTTGATTCGTCTGGCCAACCATTCCGGTGAATGTGGCTTTGCGTAGGTTTCGGTTACAGCACGTAGATGTTGATCAACTCGTTTCATTGCAGTCGTTGGTAATGTACGAGGGTTAAGTACAACATTACGGGTCAGAGAGTCCGTGCTCACTCCTGACCTTTCTGAAAATCCTTCGGGGGCGCTTCGATTTCTTTTAATGACGATGTAGTGGGAGTGTCTTTGGTTTCCTCCGTTTCCATATATCGTATTGCCATCTTTCCATGTGGGCAATTTCTAGCAATGTGGCCTCGTTCGCCACAGTTGTAACAAGTAACATTTGGGTTGGGCCGATGTTGTCTCTGCGTGTTGGAACTCCCAATCTCCATAGGCACACCTGATCCTCCAAACTTTCCTGCTGTGTTTGGATGGACTGCATTCTGGGGCGGTGGTCTATGAGATGGGGTATAATATGGTCGTTGTTGGATATACCGTGGTCTTCGCGTCTCTGTTCGCGGTACTGTCTGTCGATGCTGTGGTGGAGGGTAGTCTTGGTTCTGCTGATAACGCGGTTGATATCGTTGGTACTGAGTTGGCAGCCTCTGTTGAGGGGGTTTATCTCTCCTCCTTTCCAGATTAAGTTCTTCATTTCGCTGTTCCCATTTCCTTGCTGCTGCCTTCCACTCTAAGTACGTGGTGGGTAGGTTTTCCTGCTGCGAGATACGATCACGAAGGAATTGAGAGAGGTTGCGGCGAAGGATACTGTGAATGAACGGATAACTTTCATCTGTGTCTGGTGGTAATCCCGCTTCCATAAGTTTGGATTCGAGTCCTCTGAAATATGCGTCTACCGTCATCTCTCGCTGTTCGTAATTGTGAAGGGCAATCTCTGCTTTCAACTTGAGATGGGGGTCCAGGAATTTGTTATCTAATTCCTTGATGAATTCCGAGATAGTTCCCAAATTCCGTGGTGCAAATAGGTCTCCTAGCACTGCGGTTTTGTTGTTGAAATTCACCTTCCATGTATGACAGGCGTCATTGGCTTTATCGGACGAGATTCGGGATAATGCAAAGAGGATTTTGGAGGAGTTGGTTTGGAAACTTCTGGGATAGGCGAAAAAATAGTTTGCTAAAGTGTTCTTCCAGTCCACGTATGTTTCCTTTTTACCAATGAATTTGAATGGAGGAGTGGCAAGGACAGCTTTGCTACCTTAATTCGTTTCGCCGGTCATTGCTGCCGCGAGATCAGGTTCAAGGTCTAAAGATTCCTGATCGAACCAATCGTCAGGTTGGTTTTCGGGTTCTGGAGTCGGAGGTGGGGGAGGAAAGTTTTCCGGTCCTGTTGATTGATACAGATTGTCGGGTTCTAGAGCTTCCGCAGCAGCTCCTAGAGATTGTGGGGGAGGTGTGTCAGGAGTGACCAAAGGACGGGGTTCTCGATAGGGCTCCAGTTTTTAACGGGTTAGATAACGGGTTTTAGATAACGAGTCTTTCTAGATAACGAGTCCTTTTTTATTTACTCAAAGTCTGGGTCAAACGTAAAGTTACTAGGGAATTCTCCTCCTTCTGCTTCTCGGGGCCTCCAGTATTCTACGCTTTGAGTAGACTCTTCACTTTCCGACTCAGTTTCGCTGCTAGATTCTCCTCCAAGTATATTTGTTAATGAACTTCCTGTTTCTCGTTCTATCCTTTCTGCGCAAGGTGCAAAAAGCTGTTCAACCGACGGGATGAGCGGTGCTTCTCCTCTTTGACCTTGGTAGGTGTAAGAGTACTGCAAATAGATACAAGTTCGTGGGCTATGGTTAATAACGACCCAGAAATTGCTTTGGAGAACTGTAACAATGAAATGTTCGGGGTGATCAGATTGTTGGTTAACAACAAATGGGGTGAGGATTTCTAAGATCCAGTAATACTCGTCGACGTATTCTGAAACGTGTCGAATATTGTCGATTTCGGTCGTGTAATCTTCTCCGTCACGAGATTTCCTCTGAGCAGTTGCGATGAGCTGATCAAATTGTGCTAACGCAGCAACAACTCGTCAAATATGATCTTTGGTAGAGGGCGTGACAATTATAATAGAAGTGCTGTGTTGAAGACCAAACCGTGGTCCGAATGCGTCAAGATCTTGGACTTCGGGGAGGTAGAGAGTTCGGCGAAGTCGTGTCAGATACTGGACAATAGAGAGGTGGTCCAGATGATTGCCGATGCAGAAGTACTGGATAGGTTGGTAACTGACAGGAGAGGCGGAGTAGGTGTCGTAGTAGTCAGATGTAAAAAATGAGGACGGGATATTGTAGGTGGGTTCCTCGTGAGGCCTCTTCCTTAACACAATGCCGCAAAGCAAGGTGTGTTTGAAGTTGTAAGGGAGGAGGCGGCTGGGTATGTCTGGAAAGACAAGAGGGCAGATTCGATAAAGATCGAGGAGATCTGGAATGTGGCTCTGCGAAATAAGTTGCAGGTTTCGTTCTTGTACGTTGGCTACTCCCTTCAAAAGCTTAACCCTCTGAGTGTTCTTGTAACTCGGGTGTACTAGGCTCTCGAAGTAGTCTATCAACGGAATTTGTTCGTGCCGCAGGGATATGAAGATTAAAAGTTCTCTCCGTGCTCTGTCGGAGATGTTGGAGTATCTCCTCGAGACTGCGAGAATTTCTCCTACAGATGGCGGAATGTTAAAAAATGGATTGGGTGAGAGCGAGTGCGTTGTTTATGTTGAGGATGATATCCTCGATCGGATCGATTGGAGAAGACGAAGCAGAGGAGTCTTGATACAACTCAGTGATCTGTTCGACCGTTCCTTCCGCGTCTGGAGTACGGGCTTCGGTAGGGACGGGGAGGACCGGGAGCGGTTTGTTGAGAGCTGCAAGGAAATCTCTCTGGTGTCTGCGGTCCGCGTCTGATACCCACTCTTCTGAGAGCTGTTGGGAGGTAGACACGATGGAGGTATACGACGTCGCTGACGAGTCCGGTTTGTAGGTATCTGATGATGGCAAAGAACGCAAAGAATTGGACGAGAGCGGTGATGGTAGAGAAGGCGTCCAGTTTGAGAAGACTGAACGACAATAGGTGTAGTGTTGTGGATAGTAAGAGGTCGATGACGATAGTGAGGAGAGGAATGGGGATGATAGAGAGGTGGAGAAGGTGATGATGAAGGTTTAGACCGGTGCAGTGGCAACGACAGTCTTTTTCAGGGTGTAAAGAAACGGTTTTCCAAAGAGGGGCTCTGGAAAAGGATTTGAAGGAGGTGAGTTCAATATTTTGTCAGGCAACAAATACGAAGCTATATAACAAAGCACAATGCCTGGTCAAGTCCTTGCTGGAAGGCGGTGAATCAGGGTATGAGAATGAAGAGTATCGGTATGAGCGCAAATCCAAACTAATATTGAACTAGAGAACAATACATTGAGTATGTACTTCTTTATATAGTGAACGGCGATGGTCAGACCGAGAAAGGGAAGTACTGAGAAAGTGGTCTGACCAGCTAGCTAACCAATAAGAAAAAGGGAGAAAGTGGTCTGATCTATCGTATTTACTAATTGTATGAGAAAATGTATTGGTAAGGGATGTGCGATTGGCTGTATCAGTACGCCCATGAGAAGGCGCTGACTCATAACCTTCTTCGCTTATCAATATTCCTCCGAAGTATTCCCAGACATAGCACTGGATCGTGGCTATGTCATCTGGATATCTTCTCGAGGGTCGACAACAAGTCTACCTCGTTGTAGGTACGATAGAACGTGAGTGTGAAGAGAGAATAAGAAGAAAAATGATAAAAGTAATAAGACACCTGCTGTAATCTCTAGTCCAAGGGCAAGAGGAGTGACGGGGATCGAGTCTGCTAACCACGACATGACGGGAATGCGATAAGAAAAATCGATTCCTCACAAGGAGGGGGAGGAGGCTATGGAGGGGGAGGAAGAGGAGGACTTGAGAGAGGATTTGAGTGGTTTATCGTTTGAGAGGAGGATGGGGGTGGATGAGCCGCGGGGGAGAGGGGGGAGAGGGGAGAGGGGAGAGGGGGAGAGAGGAGGGGAAGGGGACCATCATCTTGGTTGTGTCTGAAGTGGAAGACAGGCTGTGACTTTTGTTTTGGGAGGGCACCGAGGGAGACAAACGCGCCTGGGCCACGCTCGTCTGAGAAAGTCGGATGAGAACGAGACGGGAGAATGTAAGGCATCAAGAAAACACAAAACCAATCCCGCCCTCTTTGTCTCTTTTTTTTCATCTTCATTCCACTCCCAGATCTGAGATCGTATCAGATTTGATCACTCAGCTCCACTCTAGACTCTTACGCAAGTTCTCACACTCTCTCCCTCTCACGTCCCCTTTAGGCAATCCATATCTGCCTTCACCAGTGCTCATTTCACACTTCTTCACTCACTGTCACTGTCACCGCCGCGCCAGTCCTCTCCCTCCTTCCCGTATTCTGAACGACCCATGATAAACCATCACTCATGTCGACATTGTGTTTTTGACAGTGACGCGTTTCAGAACGTTGCATCATTCCTTGGTCTTTGGTGTTCTCGCGTTCCACGTTTGTGTCATCCCGTGCCTCTCTCATTTATTCACTCACTGTCCTCACTGTCGACTACCTCAATCGATGTTCTATCCACAAGCTACTCCTCTTCCTCTCCATTCTTTTGACGTGACAACCGCCTTGATCCCGTACCTCCTTTTCTTTTCCCGTCAGAATTCTCTTACACTTGTACTTCCTTATTTCCTTATATCCACCCCCACCGCAACACATACATTACAGCCGAAACCTCTCCTCATAATCACTCCACCCTTTGCTTTCTCGGTCCCTGCCATCAATCAATCCATCACCATTCAGCATCCCATTGTAGCATTCCCCTCAATTCAATCCCACTCTCTTCTTCTTCACTTTCTCTTCCTTCTACTCGTACCCCCAATGCCTGCTCGTCCCTTCCTCTTCTTCGTGCCCTCTTCCTGCTATCTACCGCACACCCCTTTTCTCAATTACATCCCTGCCCCCACTTCCCTATCATTACGCATCGCCCATTATCTTTATCACATCCACATATCCTCTCCTATCTCCTCCCGTCCCCTCCCGCACGCCTTCCATTCCCAACTGGTTCCATCTCCACGGCGTTGTGACAAGAGACCTATACGGAAGGTGAGAACGACCCTTTCTCCTTCCAATTGATCGCGTCCTAAACGCAAACCGCGCGAAATACCGATTGCATCCGTATAATTATAATCATGACCTGCCGTTCAGGTCACGCATACTTATCCTTACTAGCTTAACAAGCATTGCTCGCTCGCTCACAAGCCACCTGCTACTCCGGTCGATGTCAGCTGTGTGAAACGCTAACAGCTATCTGCGCTAGTGGATCCGTCGTAGATCACCCTCTGCCTCTTCCTCCACCTGTCTTGATTCCAAGCGTTCGCATGACCTTTTTATCGCAACCTGTAGCACGCCTTCATCCACTGCATCCCAAACAGACGCTCAATACAGTCCAAGAACAAAGAAGTCAGCCTTGAACGTCAGACAATAGCGCAGTGCAAGTCCTCTTTTGATTACTAGGAATTCAATTCAGACTCGGATGTTTGCTTTAGAGTTGATGTGGTACCATCTGTGTGGCGCGCTTCTGATAAGCTTTGCCTTTCCAATTGAACATAATCTATCTAGACTTGTGTCAACTCTTGGATGTAATTGAGTGATTTGGATGCGAAAGGGAAAAGTCAGCAGTGTCACTTGAATGTACATTCAGAATCGTATGCGCGACAGGTTGCTCTGAACAAGCCAGGCGGGTTGCGATTAGGAGTTTTGATAAGATAAGATGATGAGAATGTAGAAATGGATAATCGAAAGCACAAACGGTGGTTGTGTCGACCACGATCGACACTGACATGGCACAGATATTCGCAAACGCGATCACCTCTCTCTCACAGCCTCCCACTTTACTCATCCTCCTCCCTCAAGAGCACACAGAGTGGTGCGAACAGGTAAAGTCGCATCCCCGTCCTTGAACAAGCTAACCACATCCCCCAACGCACACGTCAAGTTCTCCCACGAAGGCTACACCATCGTCCACATCCCCTACCCCCCCTCCTCGCCCTCCTCCTACCACCACGCCCTCGCCGACGCCCAATCCAAGATCCTCGGGCTGGGCGCGCACTGGGGGATCGTCAGCTACGGCCTGAGCGGGCACGATGCGGAGACGCTGTTGCGGAGCCTGGCGCTGGCTATTGCGGATCTGAGGGCGTGTGTGCATTTTTGTCCCCACTCGGAGGAGGGGAGGGGGTTTTTGGCGAGGGATGGGCAGGGGAGACACGTTCCGTACGTCTCTCGCTTTTCTCGCTTTCTTAGGCCATAACCATAATACCATCTCATGATGAACACCCCTCACTTCTCACTTATGGTGGATCGTGCTACGACCCGATACATACTAACACAACATCCGCACGTACGCGCAGTGTCACGTTCCACCTTGCCTCGAGCCAAGAAGCGCTCCACGCCTCGCTCCTCCCGCTCGAAGACCCCTCCCACCTCGGCTATCCCCTCCCGACGCAGTCCGAGGCGCCGGTGAGGGTGTATAGCTATCCGTGTGTGGGGCACGAGCCGCCGTTCCCATTTGCGGTGGGGGCGCCTGTTGGGATGGGGAGGGGAGGGGGTGCGGATATGCGACGATGGAGGTGGGGTGGGGGTGGAGAGGCACGCGCGCTCTGCTGCGACGCTGAGCCTCACTCGTACGCTACACCTCGTGAAACAACACCTAGGCCCCCATTTCGATCTGGAGAGGCTGTGGGAGAGGCATACGTATTATGTGAGTGTGTGTGGGTGTGTACGAACGAATCCTGACTTTTTTTTCTGGATCTTTGTTTTGGGTTTTTGGGATAGGAGTTCGTGGAGAGGGACGCTCCGAGTAAATCATTTCCTACTATTCCTACTATCCGTTCTTCATGCAGTGCTAACGGATGCATTGCACACAGAAACGATGAGCACTATGGTAAGCCTGCTGTTTGCGATCATCTCCCATTCCGAGTCCCCCGAATGACTTGGCTAACGTCCCGCGTCGCTGCCGCTGCCAGGTCTCCGCTCCCTACGTGAACCACGTCCCGACGATGACAGGGGGGGTTGGGTATAGCGATCTCGCGCGGTTTTACAAGGTCCGTATCAGCACCATGTGTCATTTTATGGTGGACTCTCTTTATCTTGGACACTGAACTCTGGGTGTTAGTATCATTTTACAGCGGTGCGTGTTTGTTGTGCTGCTTGATAGAATGATTTGTGGGCACTGATGTTGACGCTGACGCTGATGCTGATGCTGGTAGGTGACGCCCCCCGGGATGGAGCTCCTCACGATTTCGCGTACTGGTAAGCTCTTACACGCTGCCGACGTGTCTTTTCCACGTATCATGTCTCGTGTCTCGTGTATTGTGTATTGTGGACTGGTAGACCGTTTCTGAGCCTGATTTGTTTGTATAGTGGGCGTGGACAGAATTGTGGACGAGATGATCATCTCGTTCGATCATACCACGGTGAGCCTATCTCTAAACATTCATCCTTCATCCCGTTCGCGAGGGGGAAGCTCTCGAGAATGATAACCGACGAACTGACGAATTGGCGATGTGACGAATTGATTGTAGGAAATAGACTAGTAAGCCCCCCACACGCGTTTTTGCGGAGAAGGCTGCATGCTGAGCTTGGCTTTTATTTGCGTTCTTAATTCTGGTTCTTGGCTGTCGTTAGCTTTCTCCCCGGGATACCTCCCACTGGAAAACCAGTCCAGATCGCGCTAGTTGGCATCGTCGCTTTTCGCGGGGACAAGTTATTTTTTGAGTGAGTTCGAGTTCACCTAGATGTCTTTCAACCCCTAAATGTTTGCTTGATGCTCGCTTTTTCGTTCTTACCCTTACTCACGTTGTCTCCAGACACCTGTTAGTCCCATCCCCCACGCCTTGCAATTTTGAGGGCTCATTCTCATCTGACATCTAACATCATATATCATAACCTATATCACATCTCTTATGTTCGTCGTTTCCTTTGCTTTTGATTCTTTTCAGATACTGGGACCAAGCCAGCGTCCTCGTCCAGCTCGGCCTTCTCGATCCTGCCAAGCTCAAGCTCCCGATAGCGGGTGTGGAGGTGGCGCAGAAGGTGCTGGATCCGTTTGGGAGGCCGAGTAATACGTTGCTGGAGTCGTGGAAGGGGAGCGAGGGGCTGGATATTTCGTGAGGGACTCGGATGAGGGGTGACTGGGAGGGATGCGCCAGAAAGAGGTGGGTTGGGTTGGGCTTGGCTTGGCTTACGAGCTGGGTTGATAGGTTGTGGGTTCTAGGAAGATGTAACAATTTGATTGTATTTTTACTGTTGTAAACATAAGTAGCCTGTGTGGGCGTTCTAACCTAAGAATCATTGATAGGATGCTGCGCGCCTATAGCTATTCGTGGACCCGTTATGAAATACGCGCCAAGTTGCTAAGTAAACGGGGCAGAACATGCCAGTAAACGGCTGTGCCATCAACTCCAACCCACGTTGCACTGCCAAGCTCAAACGCTTTTCATATTTATTCCACGTCGCTTCCTCAAAGTCCTAACCGTGACATACACTACAGCGGCCATAACTTGACACTCGCTTTTGTCGCGCCTCTGGAAGTCCAAGACATTGACATGGCTCGCCTTGTTCACTACAGCGAGGCCGAACCAGGGCCACATTTGGATAGGTTTGGAGATAATATGTACGGCGAGGGGATCCATGAAGCAGGGTTTACGGGCGCGTACGATGATACGCTGGGGCATGATCACGAAGACGCACGGACGTTCGCGAGCGGCACTCCAACCCCAGTCCCAGCCCCAGCCCTAACAGACCCAGACGACCTCTCCGAGTCCCACCTGGCCGGCCCAACGCCAACAGAAGCGCAAGAGCTCGCCGCGCACTACCAACAAAGCAGCCTGTCGCCACCGAGACCTCCCAGCCGACCGCTGAGCTTCTTTAGCGGCTCCGGTATGGACAAGTCAGGCGGTGCGTTGGGACTTGGGTACTCGGATAAGGTGCACGATCCGTACAGCGACGACCCGGCGTTGTCGTTTCGGAGGCCGCAGTCCTATGCTGATAACTCGGATGTGTCGTTGGTGCATAACGCCCAGGATATCGGGCGGGCGGGCGTTTATGAGGATTTGGGTGTGTAGCCTCGTCTGGTTTTGGTTTTGAGGCGCTCATGGGATTTTGATCTGTTTTGCGGATCTGGGTTTTGGTTAGAATATGCAGAGCCCTATGCTGATGAGGGCAAGAAGGTAGAACCGGAGGAAACGTCCCCGATGAAACGCTTATTTGGGACCGGAAAATACCCCCTAGATCAGCGGATAGAAGACAAGAAGCGGGGGATAGGCAGGCAGAAGTATCCTTTCGTAGGTACGCCCACCTCTCCACCCCTTCCACATTCGAATTGCTCATCATATGTGTATGGCCTATAGTGTGGGCACTCACGATCGCTATGGTGGGCGTGTTTATAAACGAGCTGGTGGTCAACTCGAGGGCGCAGGGTACGCCTGTTTCGTTGAAGGTCTGTCTCATCCTTGTCCTCGTTTAGCTGTAGACTTACTTACGAATCGACATCGACGTCGTTCTTGTAGCCGGTGGTGAATCCAATGCTGGGCCCTTCCGAAAGTGCCCTTATCAACCTGGGCGCTCGTTTCCCGCCATGCATGAAAATTGTACAAGGAGTACCTGAGACGATGCAGATGGCTTGTGCGATAACTTGCTTTATTCAGATGTGCTTTATGGTTAACATATACCTTCAGGCTTGAACGATACGGCGAACCCCCCTAACCAATTGTGCTCACTTGAGGATATATGTGGTTTTGGTGGCTTCCACAACCAGACGCCAAACCAGTGGTTCCGGTACTGGACGAAATACAGCTGATCCCCTATTCGTTTAATCTCACATGCTTTGACAGATTTATTACTGCTATATTCTTGCACGCGGGCTTCATTCATATCATTCTGAACATGATCGCTCAGCTGACGGTATCAGCCCAGGTTAGTTTCGTCTTCACTCTAGAGTATGCTGAAGTTGAGATCCTTTCACAGATCGAGAGAGAGATGGGCTCTGCAGGTTTCTTGATCACCTATTTCGCGGCTGGTATCTTCGGGTGGGTCAAATTTTCATTCGTTCTTGAAATGCGCCATGTGGACACATGCTAACATACGCGCAGAAATGTATTAGGAGGAAATTTTTCGCTTGTCGGTGCTCCTTCCATAGGTGCTAGTGGTGCGATATTTGGTACAGTGGCGGTAAGTTTTTCATCTGGTGTGTATTGTTGCCGATACCGAAATGTCTTAAGGTGACTTGGGTGGATTTATTTGCACACTGGAAATACCAATATCGGCCTGTGCGAAAGGTGAGTCGGTTCTCATCCAAGTGCTCCCGTTATGACGCTGATATTTCCCTCCCAAGCTGGTTTTCATGACAATTGAACTCATCCTCGGCATAGCCCTTGGTTATATCCCATGTATGTCCTTTTCCTCATAGAACTCATGTGTCGCCATCTCATACATTTATCTGTAGATGTTGACAACTTTGGTAAGCTATAAGCGTCATAGCATGAATCCCCGTCAAGTCAGCTCAACTTGCCATTAACAGCTCATCTGGGAGGACTTTGTATGGGACTCCTTGTGGGGACTACCCTTTATCCAGTCATCAGTCCAACAAAGCGACATAAACTCGTTATGTGGGGATTCCGGTTGGCAGCTATACCGCTGGCGATCGTTCTCTTTGTCGTTCTCATCCGCAACTTTTATACATCGGATCCCTATGCAGGTTCGCCACTTTTTTCTCTTTCGGTTGCATGAAAGGCGGATGTCAACAAACTTTAATCTTCTATTTACAGCCTGCTCCGGATGTCGCTACTTGTCTTGTATCCCGACCTCTTCGAATAATCACTGTCAAGGAACTGGTACGCAACGGTCCCTAACGTCAAGTTATACCAAGTAAAAGACTGATGATCTCTTATTTTCGTTCTTTAGGCCTCACGATGACATCAGGAGGGTCCAGTATCTAGTGTTGTTTCCATTGCGTCTGTACTCCTGCACCTCGCCCCGTCTGAATCGTACCTATAATCTGTTGTTAGTTCCTTCCTTAGCTGTCGTCGTTCACATGGACATGGACATTGCATTGCATGGAGTGTGTTTACTACCGGGCTCTTCTATATATCATTGGACCATTATCAAACGCACGCGTGAAGTTTGAGTCTTGTGAGTCTTGTGAGACTGACTATTGGAACTTCCGTGAAGTTTCGGTTGTGCTTGCGCGCAGTCTTCAAGCGGAGATTTAGTACTACCTTTACGTGAACGCCTGGGACTTGTCAACTTGAACTTGAACATGTCAACATGTCAATGACCGTCCATATACTTATTCCACCCGTTGTTTCATGTAGGTCTGCAACTGGACTTTTGTTACCTTACTGACTTGCAATATTTCTGTTCAGAGATGGACCCATCTCAGCCAAGAGCCCTTCGCAGGTCATCAAGGAATGTAAACAAGGCCCCTCCTCGGTATCAAGATGCGTCTGCGTACAGCTCTTATCCTGACACAGCTCCATCAACCGATTTCGAGAAAATGATGGATACCTTGAACAAGCAAGCGTACACATCAGATAGATATGGTGCTGTAGACGATGCAATGGTGTATGCACTGTTCGACAAGAAGGCGAGGCCTAACAAGCGCAATGCCTTCCATCCGGTGCGGGTCGACGAGGGAAGCACTACATTTCCGACAGGTCCTCAAGGGCTTGAGATGCGCAACATTATCGTATCAATGGTGGACAGGGCCCGTCCTAGTTTACGTGAATGCAAAGAAGCTGCGGGTGTCGTTGTGGAGAAATATCAAGATATCTTCTGACAGTCCGACAAGAATATTATACAGCAGTTAGTGGCATTTTTTCCATACTATATGTTGAACAATTACCGATTTGGATTTCTCCAAAGCCTCTTAGCTAGATAACTCATTTTGTATTCGGATTATAGCCACATTGGCTTGCACAAAATTTCATTTGATGGAAAGGAGGTTACAGGAGGGCTGAAGGCGAGAAGGGACATTCCCGCCTCAACATACCTGCTTGAAGCAAGTGGGTCAATGTCAGCCGACCTGAATTTTGAGACGGACCACTCAGTCATACTGGCTTCTCAGAATCAGCTTGGTCCTAAAGGAAGTCGTCTCATCTTGAGACCTTTTCGGTTTGCAAATCATGATTGTAATCCAAACTGTCAAGTTCGTTCATCCTTGGGTTTTAGTGGTCTTCATTGATGTTATGAGCAGATATATCTGGTCAAAAAAACTCATGCGGCTATTCTCGTGTCCCTTCGGGATATCAAAGCAGGAGACCAAATTACTGTGGCATACACTAAAGATGGATACTATCGCGAGGGCGTCAAATGTCTTTGTTCTGCTTGCAACCCCGATTCACCGCCTGGAAGGCTTGCCACATATGTGTTCCAGCCACCATTGTCATCAAGCGACCCTGACAATCCCCGAAAGAGGAAAGCGAGAAAACGTTCGCGCATGTGTAGTGCAAAGCGAAGGCGTCTTAAGGCCAGTACAGAAGATTCTACGGCCGCCACAAATGATGGAAAGGAGATGTAAATAGAAATTTAAAGGTCATCGAATGACAGTTTTTTCTTTGACATTTCTCTTTGCTGTAATCACCCTCGTATTCGACAACAAAGAGTAAATGCCAAAATGTGCTCAGGACCCGTATCAATGCGACTGGCGGAATTCCCAAAGTCTCGTTTCTATTCAGTAGTGAGTTGGTTTCGTTTCTCTGAACTTGAAATTACCAACGTTTGTCCAACAATAGCACAGAACTATATATTCATGGCCTTCTCGTCAAACCCCTGGTCCAAATACTCGGACTGGAGGCAGTAGTAGCTAACTTTAGTATAGCAGGCATTATTTACGGAAGACACTGGGTAAAAACCACCGACTTATGGCGCATGAACTTTACCACATCGTCAGCAGATGGCCTCAGTGAGTGCAGTGCTGCATCATTGGCTAGGCGTCTCGTTGAATCTAGTATGTACTCGCTATATTCTGAACACCAGATGACCTCAGTGCAGTGTTACCCCTGAATCCCACGAACAACTCCCGTTTATCTGCCAACCCATATCTATGTTTCCGTGCAAGTCTCAGCTGGGTCTTAGATATCCTCAGTTCAGGGTTCCACTCCAATCCCATAAATCTAAAGCTCGGATCGAATGTGAGTTGTTGAAATTTGTACTCAAGTAAACCGTCATATCTATCTTCAAGGGCAAAGGAAGGAGCGTTGATAGCATAGAACGGATCTAGCCTGGCCGCACTCCATCAGAAACTCCCGGTAATAATCAATGAGCGGCACAGCAGTTGTGATTCCTTGCCTTGCCATCGTCGATTATAGCACTATCCATAGCTCCATCCACGAGCATCCTCGGCAAACCAACGCAGGCTCTCCGGGATTTTAGGCTATTCCACGTAGGATGCGATGCATTGCGTCTCATGCCGCCCTGCTACAAACTCTACGCAGGTACACTCTGGGTCGATGGGTCGCTTTTCTGGAAGATATCTGTGATAGATATGATGAAAGTACCAATTAAAGAGGTGCGATCATTATCGCGATCATAATATGCTTTATATTACGTTGGCGTACCATGCGTAATCGTTATTTGTCTGTAGGTTCATCATCTAGCTTGTGGCTTCTCTTCGGATGATCACGAAGCCTTGCCGTCATTTGCATGCGTATGAACGCTTCAAGGAATACCTTTGCCATTCTTAGGTATTAATTATACCCACCTCTACCATGCTGGTATGTTCCGTTGCTTCTTTGCTCTTTTGGTCACGGGGCAGTGGTGTGTGAGATCCCTATGTAGAGTTCATACCCATTGTCTGATGAAGACTGATAATCAACAGCATTGCTTACGCCGAGATACTTTTGGGGGATAGGCACAATCCTAGAACCAAACGCTGAGTGCACAGCCGAATTACAAACGCATGACTGGCCCTACAAGTTCTTTCGCCGAAAACATAGCCTGGGCGGCATATGGCGCCTTCGTCTATCTTCTGCTGGGATCTATTCAGATAACCGCATGCTCATCATGTTTTAAGGTGCAGCCCTTTTAGATCTCAAGGTTTGCTTTTAATACGAAGCTGTAATTCTATGTCGGACAGATGCGCGTCTTCAAGTGAGAACATATAAAGGCCTCGAGTGCCGCAGCTACCATTCTTCATCGGAGACGCTGCTGTGATCTAGGAGCGTTCTGACCCCTTCACCAGCCATTGTTTTGTGACACCTACTTATCAGGAAGGTTCAACCAAAACAAACATGCCCTTCATAAGTAATACGACCACAACGACTTCGATTCAGCTCCAGCCCCCTTATCACGTTGGTAGTACTTTTGGTGCACTGTATGTTGGTGTTGTGATTGCATCTATGTGAGATATCTCGCGCAATTCTTATGAGTGGCATCTCAACTCACCGCCGTTTATATCGTTAACCCCTGTCCAGTCTTTTCGGTCTTACATGCTTGCAGACATTTATCTACTTTCAAAGGCACAGAACACATGGTATTGACGGGTATAAGAGGATAATGCGTCTCCAGTATCGGATCCTTTTTTTCTGTTGTGTTCATATATCTCGCTACAAAACCAGTTCTTTTCGCTCTGGTGCGACTCATTTTCCACAGTTCGTCACGCACCTTATAATACCAGTGTTAAAGGCTGTTTGATGGCTTTCACGTTGGCCTTCTCTCACATACAGTGTGGGACTATCTTGAAGAGCAGTATGGTAATCCACCGGCACTCAACAGTATAATATGGTGCTTCCGGGTACTTTTCTCCCCACTCAAATCCTGTCCCCTCCCTCACTTCAAATTGTCTTTTACAGTTGCAGATCCTCATTGCCGTAAGTGTGCCAGTCGCATGCGCAAGGTTTCACGTCTGATATAGATTTTGTGCTGTTGAATATCAGTTCATAGTTGTCGTCTTCGTGCACTGGTCAGTCCGAGCACTCGAGCAATTCTTTCTCACAATGTCTGATAAAGTATGCTTGTCTCTCTCAGTCTATATGCCCATCGTATATGGACGCGTAAGTCTTTTGACTCAGAGCATGACTTCCATTGAAGGCGCTCCCCTTGCGTTGTACTGACTAGTATCGGGTGCAGTGAACAAGGGAAGGAGTCTTTTGCTTCCTGTAGTAGTTGTGAGTGATTTTCTATCGATCCACAACCTGCAATATTTATTTCGATCAAAATGTAATCCGTAATTTTACAGACCGCTGTGGTGATTATGAACACAGGTACTTTTCGAGAAGCTGCACATATTTTCAGGCTGACTTATTCCTTTTGTTCAGGTCTGCTAATCGGTGAGAAGTCTCTCGTCATCCTGCCCCGGACTTTACTAAACAGACAGCTACAGGTATTCCTTTTTACATGTAAGCCTATCCTTGTTGGTCCCCAGCAGACGGTAACCGTCATGCATAGCTATCAAGCTACTGTATGGGAAGACATGATGGGAAATAAGGTGAAAATACCAAGTTATTTGTGATGTCCTCCATTAGCTGACGGAATGCATCTTGAATTCTGCTTGTCTAACGCAGTGGGCTCTATACGTGGGACTCGGTTCCCTGGCGTTTACCGACCTTGTAATCGCGCTATCCATGTGCCATCTCCTCGCATCATCTCGCACAGGATTTACGAGGTAATATGAGGTTGTTTTATTCTATGTCTGACTTACCAATGGGTCTGGAATAGAACGGACATGAAGATTAAGATGTTGATAATATACACCGTTAGCACTGGGTGCATGACGAGGTATTGCTCAACGTCCATAGCCCCCCCCTACTTGCTTACCATTGTCAAGTTGCTGTTCTATCACGACCGTGATAACTGTGCGTCTATTCTTTACCACACACATCTGATAAAGTCTTATACCTGCTATAGGGTGCAATGATGCCTCAGAACTTCATATTCATAGCATTCGAGATTATGCTTGTCAAAAGTCTGTTTCTTGCTACTTGTACACGCATTCCACTAACACTGTTCATGAATAGTGTATTCCAACTCGTTCATGGCCATGATAAATGCTCGTTACTACCAGGGCAGCGATGATACTCCTGGCCCCTTCTTGAATACTGTAGGAGTCAACGCAAAACACTCACTTCAACAGGACTGCGAACACCAAATCACGTTTGCGTCGAACAGTGAGGTTACCAATGACACGATATCAAAACATCGAGACGAAACAACGAATGTAAGTTAACCTATTATGCATTTGTTATCGACGTGCCTGATTTACTTTTCACCAGCCCGATGATCAGGAACATGCAATACCGATAGAACTGGCCGAACACTCGTGCCAGCGCATTGATATCAGGCTTTAGTTCCATGCTTGAAGAGAGGGACGCTTTTCCCATTTTTCTTCGTGATATACTTGTTTTCGATATTCGTCCGATCTTTACGACTTGCGTTGAAAAACATATCATGATAGCTTGATGGTATTATTTACCATCATACAAAATATTTGAGGAAATGAGGGGTAGCGATACTTGGTTTCTCGGATGAAAATATTAGTAATGAAATGCTCAGTCTGGTTCAAAAAAAACGATACGTTTACGATGCGAATGCTGGAGGATTCAAGTTGTAGTCATACTATCTCCCACTGCATGTCTCATCCCCAGAAAATTACGCATACTAATATTCACGGTAGTGAACGTAGTATAACAGTGTATCCTTGCTTGTTCCTGGGGGCACCAAGGCTTGCGCAGACTGCCCTCGCTTTCTAATCTCGACCGGAGCCCGTAATTCATGCCCAAAGAGTGATATTCACCAGTGAATTAGAGGTCCTATGTTCGTTCAAGGCCTTGCGTGGCGGTTGAATTGTCAGGCAGCGCGGACTTTGCCGAATTTGTGGCAAAGCGCATCGAATGTTTGCCCCAAGCCTGCCATTGAGGTTGTAAGCAAACTGGTCATCACTAAAAGGCAACATGAGGTATTTTTTCTATTCCTGCGGCTAGATCAAGATGCTGATTCATATATCACACCAGTCAATATGTACACGTCCCAAAATCCGAGCTCGACGAAGCTCAGTTGCGCCAGTTGGAAGAACATGAGATCAGTCAAGGTCCCTTGTCGGTCCTGCAGCAAGCAGTCCGGAATCATGCACAAGTCCTCATCTCGCTACGGAACAACAAGAAGTTGCTGGCTCGTGTAAAGGCTTTTGATAGGCATAGTAACATGGTATGTGTGTTTTGCAGTCATATACTCGCATCAAGATCGATTTACCGTTTGACATTGCAGGTGCTTGAAAATGTGAAAGAGGCAAGCCAGATATCTTCGCATCATGTTGTCCCAACTTACACTCCCATTATATAGATGTGGACAGAAGTTCCAAAAGGAAAGAACAAGAAACCGGTCAACAAGGATCGGTTTATCAGTAAAATGTTTTTGCGGTGAGTCTGTCGACTTCGTAGCCATCTTTTACGAATCTCATCAATTCTCGTTTAAACAGAGGTGACTCTGTGATACTAAGTAAGCAATCAATTCTTCTCTGGGGTTTCTTATCCGATTTACATTTATCCTAGTTTTGCGTAATCAAGCATGATCTTGCAGACGTCTGGTAACAAATTTTCAACCATTCCCCGCCACGTTATTTAACTGTACTATGGCGAGATGTCAAAAATGGAGTACCACTTGTTGTAGAACTAGGGGTCTTGCGCGCGAGCTGAAGTTTAGCCGCTGGTGATGTTGACGCTCTACAGGCAGATGGGATGCAATGTATTATTTTTTTCTACCTTTTTCTTGTTCTAGAAAGCCAACTGTCTCTAATCGTAGCATTCAAGAATGATGACAGCGTTACACCACATCCGAAATATAAGGCCTAGTGCAGATCGATGACCAGTTTTGTCTGCGTATCTACTGCCTTGACCCAATTCCTGATAAAGTATCGTCCGGCCCCTCTCTTTGTCTCGGGCTGCTTCACTCTGCCATGAAACACTGCTATATTTCAGCACTATAATTGTGTTGGTGCTCAACGAACCTCTGCCAAACGACTTAGCCAAAAACTCCTGATTTCAGGTGACTCGGACCCTCTCAATCAAAAATATAGTATATATCCCAGAGAAATAATATCACAAATAGAAGCAAGGTATCAAGGAAGAACCTTGCCAGGGTTCATGATGTTTAGAGGGTCAAACGTTCCTTTGATCTTCCTCATCCAATCTATGCTGACATTGCTCTTAGAATAGTGGAGCGCATGGGGCTTCATCGACCCTAACCCATGCTCTGCAGACACAGAACCATTCAGAGATGCTGTTATAAAATGTCAATAGCCACACCGGATGTCACAGACCGAAGGTACATACCGACAACCTCGTAGATAAAAGGTTCAAGGGCCTGTTCGATTTCTGGAGCGTAACCGTGTTTGGCGATGACATTGATATGCAAATTGCCTGTTTTATGCAAAACATGGTAAGAAAATGGTTGACATATGAAGACTGCCAGCTTCTTACCATCCCCGACGTGACCATAGCCCATAACCTTTGAAACAGCATGATCTCCGTACAGCCCTCTGGACTTGAGCTGATCACGAAGGACGTCAACGACCCTCTGGAAATCTGCGATCGGAACAGAAATATCATATTTATAAGGTTTTCCTTCCTTCTGAACAGCCTCAGTCAGCCCCTCGCGAAGGGCCCATAATGAAGCGAACTGAGCAGCAGATTGGGAGAGTGTACCGGTGACAATCAAAGGCTTGGCGGCAGTGAGCAAGGATTCCAGGAGTTCGGTTAATTTCTAAGCGACAGACGAGACATACACAGCGATGCATTAGTCGATAATGTACCAGGAATCGGGTAAGTCACTGACCTGTTCATCGTGTTCCTTGTTTGAGCCACTGGTCTCCACAAGAACGAAGCACTGGGTACTCTTTAGTTCTTCTTCATTGAAAATACGGCTGTGGCCGTGATCTATCGCCATGTCGTATGCAGTACGGTCGATGTATTCAAAGGAAGAGAGGATTTCTCCAAGCTGCCGCCTAACAGTTTGGAACAGAGGGAGTACATTGTCGTATCGAGGAAGTGCAAGCATGACATTATGAGAAGCCTGAGGCGCTGGGGGTGTGAGAATTGAGACACCTGTGACGACACCGAGGGTACCTTCCGCGCCAATGAACAGTTGTTTCATGTCATAGCCTGGAGACAACGTGTAATAGGTCTTCCCCAAATTTTCGATAAACAACTACTGACCAGTGTTATCTTTCCGGAGTGTTGATAGCTGGTCCAGGATCGTTCCATCAGGGAGAACAACTTCAAGTCCTAGTACGGTGCCATGCAATGTGCCGTATCGCAACAGACGAAGGCCTCCAGCGTTGGTGGAAACATTTCCACCAATTTGACAGCTGAGAGCGCAGTGAAGTGAGGTCGAGGTCTAAGCTAAGATTGTATCATAACACGTACCTCCCCTTCGCGCCGAGATCAAGCGGCATTATATGATTATGAGGAGCAACATATTCACTCAGCGACTGGAGAATGCATCCAGCATCTGCCACTAGTATTCCTGCAACAGTCTTTATTCAATCTCTTGCCCGATCTAATCAAGACATGTGCGGTTGTCTACCAGATACTGGGTCAAACGAGCGCACTTTGGACATGGCGCCCAAGCTCAGGACAATTTCCTTGTCAAGTGAAATGCTTCCTCCCACCAAGCCCGTATTTCCGCCTTGAGGAACGATACCTATTTTCCGTTTAGCGCACCACTTGACTATTTCACTAACTTCTGCTGTCGAGCGGGGCCTTAGGACAGTGGTAGCCTTCCCGTAATACTTCCCCATCCAATCTACATTGTATGTGGCGATATCGTTGGAAGAAACGGAGTTAGAACCGATAGTGGAGAACACAGAGGATGGTGCTAGGATGTTGGAGAAATGGGCGACATCCTCTTCGGTCACGGTGTTTAGATGAGAGAAAGCAGGATTATGAGCGCAACGACGTGCACGGAAAGCGAGAGGTCGCACGACGCGACATAAGGACAACATCTCAACTGGAGACGGGGTCCCAGACTCTGACATGCGATCGGTTTTTATTTCTTGTCATGTACGGAATAATCGGCCCGTCTGGTACACCTTTGCCTCGCAAAGTAACATCGGATACCTATTTCCCCGCATAAGACTGCCAGTCCCATGATCACATTTAGGTAACTGTAGACATGCACCGTAAATACACCAGACACTCACGAGCGTCAACTACATCGACAAGATTGAAAACACTCCTTTGAAAACATACATATGATGATAACACGTCTATAGTTACATTTCTTGGAGCCATTAACTAGTATGATTACGCCGCCAGAGGCTTATGCTCAGTTCCCCGACTTGCATGCCACGTCTCAGGGCCCTGTGTGGCGCGAATTAAGCACTGGCAAGTCAGGACCGCCAAAATACTCACCGTACGATTCTTGATCCTCTGGTTCTTAATCCTTCTGGCGAACCACTCACTCGCAGTTGCACCAGTCTTAAAGTCCAAATCCTCGCGTGTGTTGGCCGCAACGGCGTCAGCGATAATGGAACTTTCGTCAACCAAAGCACGGAGAGTGACGGAGTTGCCAGGCCTAGTAAAGAGAACAAGAGACCATCGAGGAAAGTGCGATTGTTCACCGGGGGATGGCCTGGGGAATCACAATACTTCAGCATCTGGAATACTAGCGAGGGAAAGAGTATTTCAGACGTACACAACACGGTGGAGGTTAGATCGCAAGATGCCTCCACTGAATATGGTCATGGCATCGCCCAAATTGCAAATTGCATGGCCGGGAATAGGCTAAGGAAACGGTACATATCAGTATATGCAATACAAAACCAGGATAGTAAACAAACCTTGACATATTGCCAATTTTCTGTACCTGGGACAAGCACTTGTAGGCCTCCCAGCCTATTGTGGAGAAACGACTTATCCAAAAGGGAACAGTTGAGTGCGTGGGGATATGCTAAACAGAGCATTGGACTTACCAAAGAGCCAAAATCGGTATGCGCTCCGAGAGCAGCCTTCTCCTCTTGCCAATCGTTTGGCCTTGGAGGATTCCTGATACATCTCGCTTCGCTTCCACTATATTCTTCCCTCTTATGCTTGGCCAACAGGGCGCCTGCAGGTAACCCGAGACGAGCCTCAAACACGCTGAGAAGGGTTTCATTCACTGTGACCGACTTGTTTATAAAAGGCACAATAGTCTCCGGCATGCGTGCAACGACAGTGGACGGATACGATCGGTGAGCCTGAGCGGGAAAGGCGAAGGCGTCGTCCTGCGAAACATTGATAAATTCGACGGTGTCAAGAGAGCCTTTATCATCTGTCGCATTGGCGCCTGCGGCTTTGTAGCTAAAATTTGGTGAATAAGAGAGAGGTTTTGAAATGGGGATGTAGACACATACCCAAAAGACATGCCGTCGTCTCCTTGTTCATATTTGAGCTTTTCAGCCAAAGGGAGTGCCATAGTTTCGGCTCCCATCTCGAACATCTCGTTGACCTTTTCGTCCACGCCATGATTCTTTAAGCTAGATGCGTACGAACGTCAGAAGTGAAGAGACAGGCGGGAGAATATGAAATACTTACTACCAGAAACCAAGCTCGGTAGCTGCCTTCCAGAGCTTTTCGATTTCTTGTTCGTCGCCCGCCTTAATGAGCTCATAATCTACGACGAGCAAGGGATGGGTAGGAACGTTCTCGGGAAAGGGAGGTAAAGCAGTGGTGGTGGACATGTTAAGTTCTTGCAAAAGGTTAGGTTGATAGAATAGAAGGTACTGGGATTTTTACTGGAACTGGGCTGAATGCTGGACGATGAAATAAGAAGGCTTTATATACGTCGAGTGGGGTCTTCTTAGAAGGGAGAAGAGAATATATCCTTGAGTGTGTTTTGTCATCATCTGTTATCCGACATACGCCCACCTCGCAATCTTACCGAAGTAAAAGGTGGCAATGTCTAATCCCCAATGTGAAGGTTCCTAATACAATCCAACAGGCAGTCAAAGACCAAAACCATGATGTCACAAGGGCGTCGGGACCTCGGTACGAATCCACGTTTGACTGGTGGAAGTATATTACAGGATTATCAATACCTGAATGGAGCATAAAGCCAAAGAGCTCACTGGCAACCGTGTACAGTGCGAAGCACATAAGGAAGTGTTTTCTCTGCGCCCCCGTCGCGTCCGCACGAGAAGTAGAAGTTCGGGTATCGAGACTGCCGGTTTGCGGTATACTATGGCTTATTTTATCCTTTCATCTCGAGCCTCAAGGATGAGCCAAGTCGGCAGGCTCGCAAAGCGCTCATCACCTATGATAGAACTCGTTGTAATGCTGAGAACGACGCTAACTGTGTCACAGCACGACTCCGAGGTTCGCATCATGATTCAAATGCTGAGCGCTGAGCAGCAAGCTCTGGGGTGGAAAAGCCGCATTTCCTACGAGTCCGTCGCGCTCGCTCAAGAAGCCTGAGGATATCTGTGATCCTTAAGCTTCTTGAGCGAATGACTTTATGAGCTCCGTGAGCCCCAATGGTATTTTCGGGAGAACGCTGTGTAGTGTGTTCGGAAAACCCCGTACTTGTTAGGATTGCTCTTGTTTGCCACACAACCACTCTGTCAAAAAGGAACGATTGTTCTCCTTCGAATATTTGGACTGCCTACGGGAGACTACTACGAAATGGTTTATCGCACCGTCAGTAAGGACATGAAGGAACGGGCCCTATGGCTCATCGACCACGATTACATCCCAGCTGACGTATGTGAAGTCTTCCACATCTCTGAACGGAGTCTTCGCCGATGGAAATCCAACCACAACATCTATGGATCTGTCTTCTCTCCCACAGATCCTCTCCTCAACCCTGATGACACATGATCTCATAACACTAACGCACGAAGCTCCAGGAATGTACTTGGATGACATGCAAGAGTGGTTGGTAGTGGCACATAATGTGCGGTCCTCTGTCGGAAAAATCCATTTTAGCAGATCAGACACTGTGAGTATCTGAGATAATCCTGTGTTGTCTGTCAATCTGTTGCGTTCATGATCAGACGCTGATCGAGCGCTAATCAGGTATGAGAGATGAAACGATCAGGCCAATCAGCGAAAGTGGCAAAATCGGGACCGCAGATTACCTCTCACCAGGCATTGTCACGACATTGGAAAATACGAGCGGGCCATACCAGATTCCTTCAGACACTTAGCGGACTCAGAGTCATTAGTTGATAGACAAAATGTAAAAGTATTAATATCAATTCCCAAAACGTAAAAACATGTCGCCGTCAATTAAATCGTTTAAATAAAAGCTCCCCTCCTTGAGATCAAACGCATTGATCATATGAACTCCCCGAACCAAGTACTCTGCTTTTACTAGCTCAAAATCTCTGGCTTCATCATACAGCCGAGCGCCCGTCCACCTAGTCCTTGGGTTTCCAGCCGAAAGCTTGAGCATCTTGACCACTGCAATGTCAAATGAAGAATGTTGAGTAAATATTCTGATCAGCTTTTTGAGTCGAGCAGGGGTTGGCTCTGGGGTGTCCGTGTTGACAAGAACGAAGTCGAAACGTGGTTCTTGATTGAAGCTGGGGTTACATCGGAGAATATCGCATCCTTCGTTCCAATCTTCCATGGATTGATATTTAATGTATATGCACTGATAATTTATAATCTGTAAAGTGAGGAACAGCGTTAGAAGCTTATGACTAGAAATATGGGAGCATATATTGATGAGCTTACAGTAATGGGATCTTCAGCATTTGCTACATCACAGTTGGCAGCCAGGAACCTTCGCAAATATTTGTGGAACCCTCGGAGACCATCATAATGCTCCATCACTCGCGACATTGTAAGATTCATGGGTGAGCCTAGTGACCAAAGGTTTTGAGCTATTCTCGGATGACGAAGTCTCTTCAACAATGGGTGTAGAATCACGTCGTCGTTTTTTGCCGTTCGATGGCATAGTGTTGGCGACAACTGACTGTTTTTCAGTTCAATCTAAGGTGAGTGGATTCATCCACTATTTTCATTATAATTACTAATCATGACGTCTGAGGCTCCACCAACCCACAGAAAGTATATAAATCACTGCACGCAAACTTCCTAAGTAAACCCAACCTGTTCAACACCACCAATCCCGAGTTGCAAATGACATCACTACTAATGCAGGTGCGTTTTGACATGTCTCACAATACTTATACTTATCCTTTCAAAGCAGAATTAACAACTGGAAGCTGACTAATCAAAGGATTCACATCAATTCCTGGTATGTTTTTCCAACACTAATATTTCTATTCGTACTCACTGATGTCCTTCCTCGCTTATGTTGACAAGCTTTGGCAATAAATGATCAATCAATCCGGTGTTGATTTCTACTGATCATGTCTACCAAGTGAGTGAGCTGCTCTACTAGTAGTATACATCACACTGAATAATCTGTTGAAGGTCGAGGCTATATTTTCCTAATAGAGATGCCAGTGTAGTTCGGTCGTTTACTCTGTATACTTCATTGCTCGAATATCACATGTGCAATTAACTAGCTCTACTTTTTTCGTGCATTTATCTTATAAGGTTCGAAAAGATAATATAGGCCATACCTACAATAAGGCTTTGGACCAGGACAATCAGGCATGTTCTGTCTGTTCAGATATGACTACTGTTACTGGTACCAATATAGCACCATCGGAATCCTCAGCTCGAACGGCAAGACCGTTCTGGTAAGGCCTATCACCTTGGCCGGAGCGATCATAATGATCAGGGCCTTCAGACAAATCGGCCGCATCATAATGCCATGTGTACTCGGACATCTCAGGGCTATCGCAACAATTATTCTGAATAAAACCTGGTCTGACCTGTTCGCAATCTTTTGTATCTAATCTGATGCTCCGTTTTCTGCCAATCTTATCAGACCACACTCGGCCTAACCATGGAAAGTGGATTTTTCCGACATCACAAACAGCGTTGTTTGAGCATATTCGCGATGCTGGGCTATATTACATGCTCCTTCGTAAAGCAGCAACTGAAGGGACGATGACCTGAGGGAGGAATGGCTGGCTGACACGAATACCCACTTTGTTGCCAGTCAACTTGTTATGGTCGGCGAAACGAACAAGAACGACCGCACTATCTGTAGACACTACGGACGAGCTCCCTCTGGACGACGTGCAGCTGTCCAAGCTAACTTTGTGCATGGGGAACGCTACAATCTTCTAGCTGCCCTCGCGCTTGACGGATATGTGGGTACACGTGCTGTGCAAGGCTCAATTGATAGTGATGAGTTTTTCAGTTTTATCGTTGATGATGTGGTAAGTTTTCTTTGCTACTTGAGCCGTACATTATTCACATTCCATTTAGTTACCAACGATGAATCCGTATCCTCAAGACCGCAGCATTATTATCCTGGACAACTGCGCAATGCATAAAGCAGACAACTTATGTGAGGTAGTAGAAAGGCAAGGTTGTGTGCTCATCTTTCTCCTTCCATACTCTCCCGATCTCAATCCGATCGAGGAGAGTTTTAGCTGTGGTATGTTTTTCTCGTTTCTATTATTCGGATCTCATCTATTCTCTAGTGAAATCTTGGATCCGCCGCAACTATCTTACTTTGCAAAACCACGAATACCCGGAAATTGCATTACTCGACGCTGCACACGCTGTCACGGTTGAAAAGGCAAGGGAGTGGTTTATTCATTCTGGCCATGACATGTAGGCCACAGTACTCGTGTTTACCGCTGCGTTATTGTTGTTCTTGCTACGTTTGATGTATTCTTGCTGTGTTCGTTGTACTCGAAACATGACCGTTGTGACAAGAAATGACTGATAAACTAAAGTGAATTATTTTGCAGGTTGTGGAACTGCTGTAGGTAGTTCTATCGAAACCTGCTGGCCGGGACAACCCGGAAACGCCAGTTTTATCCAGCTGACTATTGCGTTGCGGCAGCGACACACGCATCACTGAGGCAATGTATGGCCGTTGACTCGGTCCATCCTGATCGTATTAATGAAAACACTGCGCTGTGCTACCATGGTCTAATATCATTTCACAACCCAGAAAACGCGAACAATGCCAGAGAATATTTCACCTTATGCAGTCTTTACTGCTCTTTTTCTGTCTGTTGCCGTAACCAAATATCTGAAGAGACCTAATGTAAGCTGGGCCTCTCAAATTCAAAGCAACCTTTCAATTGATCAATTGTAGCTTGATAGTATTCCAACAGTTGGCCCCGGTGGCGTGCTCACATCCTACTGGGGGGCTTTCAAGTGGCTCTTGCATGGCCGAGAGATGTTACAAGAAGGATACACCAACGTGGGCTTAACTAGTGCCTCTTTGTGGCTAACTTTGTGATGTGGTGCATTCCGTGTAGTATCAAGGCAGGGCGTTCAAGGTTCCGGATTTACTCTCCTGGGTTGTCATCGTGAGCGGCCCCAAGCTCGTTGATGAGATTCGAAAAGTTCCAGATGATCATCTTTCAGCCCTTGAAGCATTTAGCGATGTGTGTAGCCCACTTCATTGGTCAGTGACGAATGATCCTGATGTGTTGTTACCTTGAAGGTTTTGAAACCTGATTACACTCTGGGTCGCGAGACGGTCCATAACACTTACCATATACCAATTATCCGAAATCGGCTCACTCGTGATCTTCCTGCTCGATTCTCGGACATCCTAGACGAAATTAAGACCTCTCTCAATGACAATCTTAAATTAAGTGGTAACAGTATGTTCATCGGTTTTTCTTTTACATGCTCATCTTCAAGCACCGTATATTTTCTTTGCAGAATGGACAAGCGTGCCTGCATTTGATACAATGACACGAGTCATTTGTCAAACAACCAATCGTGTCTATGTTGGCCTCCCTCTATGTAAATGCATCTACCTTTCTGTCCCTACGTATCTATCTCATGAGACCCTTGTTAGGTCGTGATCCTGATTGGATTGACCTGGCTTCCGGATACACCGTCGCTGTTGCCACCGCGGCAACTGTAATTGGGTTTTTCCCTGAATTCATGGCCCCGTACGTACCAGCACCTCACGTTCCATATCATTAAATTTTTATAGTGACTTCGATTTACAGCGTCGTAGGTAGATTACTTTCGAGCTCTGGGTCCATACGGCGCGGGATGAAGCACCTGCGGCCTGTCATAGAGGAGCGCCAAAAGAACCTGGACAAGTATGGGAGTGACTGGGACGAAAAGCCTGTAGGTACCCTGTGTGCACTGATCATGTGCACATGCCTTTACGGGACGTGTCTACTAGGGTGACTTACTATCCATGCTCATGGACGAAGCCAAGGGGGAAGAACGTTCAGTCGAGGGTCTCACCAGGCGTATCCTAGCCATCAATATGATCTCAATCCAAGTACGTCTTTGCCATTCAAATATTTCGGTTATCTTGGTTGATAATTTGATACACATGGCAGGTATTATCAGTTGTATGCTGCTTTTTTTTTCGTTGATCTTACAGGCATGCTTAGCTTCGCCATAGGAATTTACGCATGCGCTATTTCATTTAGCTGCAAACCCTCGATATATTGGATTACTACGCGAAGAAATTGAAGCTATCGTAGAGGAAGAGGGCTGGTCAAAGGGTGCGTTGGCGAGGATGGAAAAGGTGGATGGTTTCTTGAAAGAATCGTTGAGATTAGAGGGCATTGCTCTCAGTGGGTCTTCATCTGTATCATACACAATTTCGTTGACAACTTTAAAACCCCCTCCAGTATCTATGCTCCGCAAGGCTGTCAAAGATTTCACGCTCGCCGATGGAACCTTCATACCGGCTGGTACTATGATAGCTGTCGCGACGTCTCCTACACACCACGACAAAGAAATATATAAAAATCCCGATGTATTCGATCCTTCCCGGTTTATCAACGATAAACAAGAGGGGAAGCAAGCTTCGGATCAGATGGTCTCCACTAGTCCGAGTTATCTAGCTTTTGGGCACGGGAAAAATGCTTGGTTTGTTCTCAGCGATATTTGATCGCCTTGTCGTATCCTGATTCATACCTTATATGATCCTCAATAGTCCCGGACGTTTTTTTGCTGCAACGGAGCTGAAAGCGATGCTGGCACACATTGTTACGACATACGATATCAAGTTCAAGGACGAGGGTGTGCGACCAGCTAATGTAAATTTCAGTATAGCCAATCTGCCCAACGAAAAGGCACATATTATGTTCAGGAAACGCGTAGATTAATGGTTTACACACCACTAGGTCAGATGTATCACTAGTTCGATCATATTACTGTATCATCACAACTCCCCACTCATATGACACCTCATTCACATAACTCCCCACTCATACCTTAAACGAGCCTTATATTTATGTTCGACAATAATTCGCTTTCCGTATTCTTGTACATGGTCTGATATTCTCGTCATGGACTACAACTAAGGTGGGCCTCGGAAGCCTAACCCCGGTGTGCTCATAATCCTAGGAAAATCTGCGGCAATGGTGCGACTCATTAATTCCAAGAAAGTACGTCCATCGTCCGGGCCTTTGCTTTCAAACTCGATCAGCTTCGTCTCGGTGTCATCTCCATACTCTGCATTAAGCTGCCTCAAAATAACGTGCCGACTAAGGCTAGGCATGTGGCCCATGATCTTGATCATATACTGCGCAATTGCCTCGAGCCCCTGCTTGCTTTCCTCCGACATGGCGCTCAGACGCAGAATTCGGAATGTCAACTTCGTGGTGAAATCATGGACAGCGAATCGAACTGGCTGTCCGCCTTCGTTGAATAAAAAGTAGTCTGCGCTCTTGTCTGCATCGATCATGGACATCTGACGCTTAAGTGCTGCTGACCGCGGATAATGAGCTGTTCCAGAACCAAGGGAGGTGATGCTGGCACAGCCATCCGAGTCCGTTGGGATTTCCTTCACTAGATTGGGAACTTTTTTGAAAGCCCACATACGGTCTCCAGCGGTGCCTGGAAGGCCTTTTGAAACTTTCTTCTTTCCGCAATGTTTTTTGTGTCTGGGCCAGTCGCCTGCCTGACATTTTCTGGAATTGTCTCAGTGAATAGGGGAAAAGAACGGTAGTAAGGGATCGCTTACTGTGGGCAATAGTGAATATCGAAATTCAATTTCGATCTACAGGCGCTGCACACCATGAACCGGATATTAGGTCCAAGTTCTTCAGTACCCAGGGTGCAATTTTCGCAGCGAATGATTGGTTTGTCACGCAAGTCTTTCCTCGTTGCCGCTAATCCAGCTGCGAACGATGGGCCCACGTTCTTCATTATGTCAATCACAGGTTTCATCCCTTCAGTCTTATGGGCAATACTTCCAAGGAAGTATGTTACAGAGTACATTACGAAGAATGCTAGGAAAAGAAATCCTGTGAGTTCGAACATGATATACTCAGCTGGAGGTACTTACCAATGAATTCGTGCCTTTTCACGGATAAGGACTGGTATGCAAGATGATCTTTCTCTGTCAACGGCCTTGAAGTCTCGTCTAAAGCCTTGTCCCACCACGCACTAGGGATCATGACTGGCAGTTCTGTGGCGGATTGCATCGCCTCCAAATATTCGCAGAGAAGCTTGTAGAACGGTTGCCCACTTTCTTTTAGTAGCATGGATGAAACTATCTCTGGACACAGAGCACGGCCGTCCTCACCCCAACCCCCCGACGTACACGCGCCTTCTAAGCCCTTAAAAATATACTTCTTCCGCTCCGACTCTTCCAGCAGCACCCACATGGTCTCAAAATGCCCATCTGTAAACGCCCCTTGTATGACATGCTTCGCTGCCTCCTGCTTCTTTATCAAGCTATCTCGTGCAGACTGAACGTACGACCTTTGCTCATCTCCGACCTCCGGCCAAATCTTCGCCAAGAGTACGAACACCTCACTCGCCTTCAAAGAAGCAAGAGCCTTTTCCCAATCCTTATTCCACTGCGCAAAATTTTGTTTCCTGTTAGTTATTTTGAACTTGAGCGCCCACATGGACTCGGGTTCGTCGGGTTTGGTCGATGAGATCATGTCGTCTAGTTCATCAAGACTACGTAGGTTGGAAGCGGAATTAGGATCTGTGGTGTCAATGTTGGGTGCCATCGAGGCCACTGTTTTGTGTATGAGAGGGCTGGAGGATCGTCTGGGTATATGGGTGCCGTTTTATGAGAGGTTAGTTGCGGAAATATAAGGACCTCCATTCACATCCCGCCAAATCTTAGGCCCAGAATAGAGGGACTTCGATGGTTCCTCCGTATCGATCCTGCGCAAAATAAGTATTCATTTCTAGTCACGACACCGTCTACCTTGATGACCATAGTACTTTCTAAGCTCAGCCTCGTGGTGCAGTTTTGAATTATAGAACGCGTGTTGAGCTTCTTCATCAGTGATATGTGGCTGTGTCACATCTTTACAAGGTAATGGGACCAGGCAGACGTAATATGACAACTTCATATATGTCACTTCTGATTGCCTATGCAGATACCACACCCTGCGACCAAATCTGAAGGTAGAATTGTTCTTGTGAACTGCGATATCTTGCAAAGCGTATTTGAGCAACACTCACATCCGAAGAATCGTCTCAGCTTCTACTCTCTAATACCCCAAGTCGTTAGCAATTTTTTGAAGCCCATTACCCCTATACCAGTAGGCTAACCTTGCGAGTCAATAGGGCACTCAGGGGTTTTGGATCTCAGGGATAGTGAAAGAACGCGTCCATCGCTTCTTCCTGCTGCCGATTTTCTCCCGAGCGTCACATAAGGTTGGTCATTAGACGAAAACAAAACCTCACCCCCCTTTCTGCCTGGAGCTCTTGGATTAGGGGCATCCAATCTTTTTTCCCTATAGATATTGATTATTATTCACGAAGGTTTTTCGCTGTCCCACCATGCAACAATGCAGGACTGCAATGTTGATGTAAACAATAGATATCTGGCCGATAAACTAGTAGCCAAATGAAGTTCGATCGATAATGATGATAATTATGAACGTACTGGTATTGGTTCTTGTACCGCCTGGAAGGTACAAAATTACGAGGCCTGTATTGGAATCGCACATTAAGGGGATCGCACATTAAATTGGCAAACACGATAATCAAGGTAGAAATGGCGAGACAATGTTAAAGTTTACCTCAGTGTTAATCAGAGGCTGGGGTCCCGTCGTAGCTGATCGTGTTAAAGACGCAAGTAGCGCAGAAAAAAAATAGTCTGCCTCAATTTCGCTGAACGATTTATTAATATATCCAGAAGCTGCAGCTCATGTTTTCCGGACCGATGGTCGATATATATCCTTGGAGGTCATTCAACGGTTTAAATTGTGTTCTACAAAAAATAGCGCTGCGGAATCAAAGCAACAATGGCACATACAAACGATTCAACAAAAGGACGTACACATGACCAGATGACTAATAATTTAAACCTACATGCCCACTCCAAAATCTACAACATTTCGTATTCTTATTATGGGACATATTCACATATTCACAAACGCGACCATCCTATTCGTCCGAGCCCGAACCAGGCCCACCTTCATCTTCGTCTGAAGAGCAATGTCATTACTATAGCAGAGGACGAGATAAAGATTATTCGCGTACCACTTGCTATGTCATCCGCTGATATAGCTAATTCTGCCTGCGCTCTTTGGAACAATGTACGTACTTCTGTATCATTTTTTGGCACGAGGTCAAGCGCGGTGTCTCCATTCTTGTCCTTGATCCTGAGCAAAAGGCGCATTATCAATATATTTGTGCGAACAAAAGAAGATACGGTGTGAAAGAGAGAGAGAAAATACGTACGCCATATTAGCCCCTGCATCGAGGAGTTCATCTACTATGAAAAGCATAGCTTCGCGGTCTTCTTTGAGTTTGACTGCGAGATGGAGAGGAGTAGCCCGTTCGAGGCGATTTATTGGATCAACATCACATTGAGGGTGCATAAGAATGTCTTCGATGACATTTACAGAACCATTTGATGCACTAACAAGATAATCGTCGTAGATGCATAGCCCCAGAGATTTGTTCATAAGCGGATTCGTGGTAGATGAAAGGGCGATTGTCTTACGCATAATGCAAGGCTATGATAGGATCAAGATATTTATGTCTCAGGAGAGTGAGATAACAGAGATAAAATGAAACTGAGCACCTGTATTCCCTAACCTGAAATACATCTGGTCAATGAAACGATTATAGTTATGCTCGTCCAACAACGAACTTACCCGTCCTGAAAGTTGATATCGAGGTCTTTGTCCTCAAATAGGTCCACCAGCATATCGAGATGATCCGTGCGCGCAGCTAGAAGTAAGCGTTCATCTGAGACGAACAACGTTTTTATTAGCATTGTGAACGCCCATAACCTGCAAGAGGGCATAAAGGCGTCAAGGGGCTTACTGCTACTCGCTCCGTCGGATTTTTTGTCATGCTTAGACTCTGGCATTTCAACGTTTCTGTGCTATTGGAGTGCAAATATTATATGTAGTGGATGGTCGTTGCCGTAGAAGAACAACGATGCAGAGACAGTAGTTAAAGGATTATCATGTGGCTGTGCTGTCCTGCTATCTCAGGCTTGGGCTCAGCTTTTCCTACTAAGTTTACCTATGCCTTAGCTTACACTTGTAATCGAACATTCATGATTTTTTACGCGACAATTGCTTAGGCCGATAACTATCTAGAAAGCTACTTTGAGGGTGGAACGAGCAATATGGACTCTCCAGATGCGCTTAACATCGATCCTGTTAGTTTCAAGTTGGAGCTCGTTCTACATGTATCAATCTGACCACATCGCAGTCCCAGCTTCAGTTAGAAACAATAGCAGAGGGTGTAGTATCTGTTGTTTCGCGTGCAACAGTTACTTGCGATGGCCAACAAACACGAGTGATAGCTGTAAAATCATCCACGATCCACGAGGATTATGTTCGTGAACCCCACGACATCGTAAAAGAACTTAGGATCTTGGCTTCACTATCACACCCAAATGTCGGTGATACCCTGTTCACCTTTTAACTCGCTATCTTTGCTTATCTGAGAATAGGTCGTCTCTATTCTTGGCTTCAAGATCAACAGAAAAACCGAGAACCTGAAATTTTGGATGCCCTTTGTGCAATATCGCCTGTCAGATCTCCTTTCTACGCTGAATTTCTCCCCTCACCCTCTCGTCTCGTTGATGGACTCAAGTGGGCCGACTCCGAAAGAGCAACGTTTCGTGGTGTTAGCCAAATCAATCATGTTTCAGGTCATCTGTGCTGTTGCATACTTACACGACCCATCCCGCAAAATCGCACACCGTGATATCAAACCTACTAACATTCTTCTCACCGAAACTGGCTATGTCAAACTTATCGACTTTGGCATATCATGGAGGGAGCACGATGACGAAGCGTGTAAAGAACACGATCTATGGCCTGAGTATCCAGACAAGATGTATTTTGAAGTCTCAACGGGGTACGTCCCTCTTTCATGCCTATAGACTCGAGTTGTTTCTGATTCCCAACCTTTCAGGCCTTATCGTGCACCTGAGCTTTTGTTTGGTCCCCGGACGTACGACGCCTCTGCTATCGATCTGTGGAGTCTTGGGACAACGTTTGCGGAGTTCTTCACTTCTCTTAGGCTTTCGCGGGTGCACGGCGAATTTGACGACGACGACGAAATTATGCGTGACCTCGATCTATCTCCCAATGACACGATCACAGAGAAAGAACCTTTCATAATACCTCCAGATGTTCGTCCAAGCGATCCATCAGCAAGATGGTCCAGGGACTCGCTGTTTGATGCTCGTGTGGGTGAAATTGGTCTGGCCTGGAGTATTTTCAAAACTCGTGGTACACCAAACGAAACCACCTGGCCGGTACTGTTCCCGCCCACCTAGTCTCATACGTACAGCCGTAGTGACGTGCTTTTTTTTATAGACCTTTCTAAACTTACCGGATGCGCCAAAAGTGTCTTTCGTCGATGTTCCCCCTGTTGATCTCCATATCCTTCTTCCAAATCTACCTCCGTCTCTAAAGAATGAGGTCATCGATACGACGACTCATGCTCCCCCTGAATCAGCATCTCCGACTCCTCTCGACCTCATCCACCGATTACTGGTTTATCCACAGGATAGACGTCTTCGAGCTGCTACGGCGCTTCGTCATCCCTGGTTTGCAGCTCAGCCACCTTTCCTGCTACCATTAGATTATCAACGTGACGATATTGATGAGGCTTTCCACCTCATCGAAACTTCTTGGGAAGACAACACATTGGGTGATTGGGTACGCATCAGTGTTCCCTTACAACGAGAGCAAGGGTAATAGCTTAATAGAATTACATGAACTAATACAATTGATCTTTGAAAAATATATTAAGATGACCTGTCCACCACAAGAAAACCCATCATGATGCAACTTTGATAGGTACATTTGTAAGAGCATGATTATCAATTGATATGCCTGAACGTAAAGAGATGAGCACTATTCTGCAAAAAGGTGAGGCTGTACACACTTTGCGTTGCATTCGCTGTTTTATAGATACCAATCAGTCGATGACTGAGCTCAAACATGTCATTTCTGAAAACTTATTAGCAACCACGAACGATAACTGTGAACATATAGAAATACCTAAGGGATATAATAATGAATTGGGCGTTTTTTGTGCGATCCTTAATGTAGTTCGCTACAATGGAAACGTTCCTGAAGTCCAACGCTGCATCAATTTCGTCCATGAAGTAGAGGGGAGTTGGCTATAGAAAATGGGTCAACTTAATGTACACCGCCCAAGGTAACACGACAATGACCTTGAAAACGTGAAGGGCGAAAACCAGAGCCAGGGAACTGAGTGTCTGAGAAGAATAGGTAAAAGAAAAAATAATACGTGAAAATAGGATGTGTCACCTTTTCACCACCAGACAGATTCGAGATATTCTTCCAGCTTTTCTTGGGTGGCATAACGCTGAAGATAATGCCTTCTGAAAAGGGGTCCATACTGTCGACTAGTTCGAGCTCGGCGTTACCTCCTAAAGTAATCATCTGTAAAAGATGTCAATATTTGCAAATCGAACGATCCCTGTACGTGTGTGCAAACAGACCTGATACATTTCCTTCAACTTCGTAGAAATCATGCTGAAGCCTGCCATAAATTCGTCAAGACGTTGTTTCCTCAGACCATCATACTTATGCTTCTGCGCATCACGAGCTTCAGTGGTCTGGTCGAGGTCCTTGGCACGATTGAAGAATTCCTCTTCACGTTTCTTGTATTCTTTGAGGACGCCCAAGTTTGGTTTGGCATTCTTGAGTTTTTCTGACCAATAAAATGCGTTTGTCCAAGAATCTTAAAGACTTCGAGTCGAGGACATACCATCCAGCAATTCAGAATCAGCAATAAGCTCCCTCTTCTTAAAGCGGGCAAGCTCTTCAGCACTGTATATATGCAATTCATTGGATGGTGTTCGATGACGAGTTTTCTCCTTCTTCACGGGTATACTTTCCCCAGGCTCTTGCTTGACTTCTGCTCCGGGGGCCTCTGGATCCTCGGCAGCCTCAGGAGGATCATCAGCTTTGTCCTCCTCTTCATCCTCGTCGTCATCGCTGATCGGGAGTTAGTCTAAGATGGCCGAGAGAAGGGCAGAGAACGTACTCTATGTCTTCCAATTTGAGTTTATCATGCTCAGCACGCCAATGAAGAAGAGTACGCTCATTCTCTGCGGCTTCCTTCTTGGTGTCGTTCAGAGACTGCTGAAGTTCCATCTGTAAGGGAGGTTAATACCAGTAATTCGAGAACATAGGGACGGAAGGGAAACCGACTTCTTTTTGCCTGAAAGCCTGAATTTCTTCTGTTTTGGTGTCTAACTCGGCTTTGAGATTATCCAAGTCATCCTTTGAGTATTCTGCTGCAGCTTGTGCGGCCTCCACCTTCGAGCGAAGCTCCGTCACATATTGCGCACACTCCTCAAGTTTCTCGTTCAGCTCTGCGAGTTCGCTTTCAGCGTCATTTAAGCTGGTGGTGTTGGTCTCGATGGCTGAACCGAGCTTAGTGGAATCTTTCTCCGCCTTAGCCTTGGCAACCTCTGCCTTCGTGATTTCATCGTTTGCAATGTTAATGCGGAGACGAATGCCGTCCACCTTTGATTTCTGTGTCAGTAACCTGGCACCACCAATATCCAGGATCTTCTTCTCTAGAGCATTGATAGCCGACTCTATTGCCCCCGATCTCTCTTGAAGTTCTGCTAGCTCTTCAGAGGACGAGTCAACCTCCTTCTCTAGTGCTGATATACGAGCGGTATCGCCAGCATCAGGTTTGCTTTGGGACCTACACCACAACTATGAGGAGAGACACACCAACGGATGTGAAAACTTACTTTAGATCGCGTACTCGCTTCTCTGCATCTGCAATACGCTTCGTACCCGTTTGAATAGCGAGATTAAGTTTTTCGAAATCGAGATCAATCTGCGGGCCAGACTTTGCAATACGCTCAACCTCCAGTTCGAAGCTGCGCAAGTCCCTCAGGGCCTCATCAAGCTCTTGAGCAGCCACCTCGCTGTCACGTTCCATCGTACGAAGGACTTCTGGTCGAACAGCCTCCGCTTGCAATTTAGAGCTCATACCACCTCTTGCGACATGGTTTCCTCCTCCGGACATAGTACCGGATGAATCAATAAGCTGACCAGCAAGAGTCACAACTCTCCATCTACGTTGTCCCCCAAATGCAATGCGATTGGCCTGGTCTAGATTATCCGCAACAAGAGTATTGCTGACACCCTTGTAGAAGGCTGCCGCAAAACGTGGTTCCTTGGGTTGTATGAGGTCGAACAATCTTGGAACGTTCTCCGGTGTAGACATTTTCCGCATGCCATCATTCTGGTGTAACTTTTCGAGGACCATAAAAGAAGCTCGACCAATGTTCTGTTTTCGCAAATATTCGATACAACCCTGTCCCTGATCGACTGTGTCGACAACCAGATTATTGAGAGCTCCACAAGCAGTAGATACTGCGACATCGTATTTGTCTGGAATAGTCCCAAGACTACCAAGGCGACCCTGTAAATGTTAAGTACTAGTGTCAAAGGGAACATCGAATAACTTACATGGAAACCTTCGATCCGGCCAGTTTGCTTCAGCCGCGTAAGACTGTCTAGCACTTTGTTCTGCGAAGTGCTAGCTTGCTGGGATGCCTTTGCTTCATCAGCCTTCTGACGCAGTGACGATGCCTTAGAACGCAAGTCCTGCACGCGAGTTTGGGCATCCTACAGGAGGTTTGCTTAATGACAATTTCACTGCTAGGAAGATATGCAGACCTGCTGTTTCCTTTGACTAGCCTGGATCTCCTGTTGAAGATTCTTCTTATCGGTTTTCAAGCCATCAAGTTCGTTGAGCTGGCGGATACATCTTAAGAAGACGTACAGCATTAAGAACAGAGTATACAAACCTTGGCTTCTTGGTCGGACTGCAACTTCTCCAGAGCTTGCTGCGCTTCCTTGCTGGCCTCCTTCATGACGTCAGCTTTTTTGACCAAAGCATCACGCTCGCTTGTTGCGACGTCAATCTCTGCTTGTTTTGCGTTGATCTTAGCGGTCCATGGTTGAAGCTCTTTCTGTTTCACTTCAATCTGATTATGGAAAACTTGCGTCTTGTCTAAAAATAAGATAAGTGAAGCAACTCATATAATACATTTGGATACATACCTTTCAAACTATCACGAATCCCCTCCAGAACCTTCTCTTCTTGTTCAAGGTTTGCCTCATGTTCATCTATCTCGGTTTTCTTCCGCTCCATCTTTGCAGTACTTTCCGAGATAGCACGAAGAGCATCGTTTCTAGAACTTTCGTCCTGAAGTCCTCACACTGTCAAAACATATCGACATATTAACAGTATTGCTACTTACGTCCAACAGTGATTTCTTAAGCTTCTTCATTTTGCTGGTCGCGTGTTTACGCCTTTCTTCAAGGCCGACTTCCTGCTTTTCATGGGCAGCTAAATCCTTAAGGGCCACTGCGGCCGCAGCTTTGACTTCCTGGAGAAAACAGCTCAATATACTGTCCTTACAGACAAAGACAACACTTACTTCGTAGGCTTTTCCACGCTCTGTATAATGCTTCTCGAGCATTTCAAGATGGGTGATATCGTCCTTATTTCTCTCAGTCTCGTCAGCTAGCTCTTTTGCAATTCGTTCCTACAAAAGTGATCTGTCAACGCATAGAGCGTAGTGTACAGAGATATTGCTCACAATGGCCTTCGAGAAACTGTCCTCGTTCAAAAGACACTTCCACAGGTAATATTGCCACAATCTCGACAGCGCTTTAACATGGTCATTTTGCAGTCGGAGGTAATCTTCTGCTTCCTTCTTCTGTACTTCCAGAGCGTTCTTTTCTCGTTCAACAATGCGGAGACGATTAAGCTTCTCAGTCCTGTCTTCAGAGAGTCGGTCCATCGCAACGAGAGCTTCATCGATCGGCTCTTTATATTTCGAAGTTCCGATGATATCTTCTAGATACTCAAGAAGACCGTCTTCATGCTCGGTTTGGGCCTTGGGTTTCATCTGTGCTATAGATTCTACTTCTCCCTGTGCGAAGATATTCAACTAATGCACCACCTGCGAAAACGTCACATACTTGTAAGATCAAGAAACGCTTGTGATCTAGATCAATTCCCCTTCCTTTGAGTAAGGTTTGCACTTCAGTATAGTTACTCGTGCGTCCATTGATTGTATATTTGCTGCTGTTATTCCTATATGCTGTGCGGGAAACGACAAGTCGTGAGCCGGGCACGACCTTGTATGCGTCAGGACCAGGCTAGAAGAGATAGATAAGAGAATGGTCCCTGCATCGACAAAGAAAAGGCGCACCAAATCAACTATTTCTCGGAAATGAACTTCGACGCTACAGTCGTCCAGATCTGGATACCGTGCCGAATTATGAATGAGCTCTGACAATTTGCCCTGTCTCATCTTCGCAGCACGATACCCAAACACGAATAGCAAAGCATCTATTGTGTTTGATTTTCCTGAGCCGTTGGGTCCTACAATAGATGAAAAAGACTGTAGCAAAAGGTAAGAACGTAATTGATTAGATATATTTAGTATTAAGTACCTTATGAAATGGCCCAATCTCTTGCCTGCCAGCGTAACTCTTGAAATTGATTAAGGCCATCTTATGGATCACGAGACGAGATTTAGGACCTTGAGGTTCTTCAGCTGGAGCGGTAGGCTGGGTTTCAGCCTGAGGTTGGCTAACAGGTTCAAGTAATGATGCCTCTTCTTCCTCGACTGCCTCCAGCACAGGCTTCGAGATTTGGGCAGTCACGGGTTCGCTAGATGATATTTGACTGCTGGCGCGCCTTCCTTTACTACCGCCTCTGCGCGGGGTTTGTTCGACTTCCCTCAAAAAGCCATCGATGTCATCTTCGTCATCCTTTGCAGAAGGTGGCGGAATTGAAGGAGCAGAAGGTCCGCTTTCAGCATTGTTCGCTACGGAGAGTGATTCTGTCTTTACAGCCTTCGGAGTAACCGGAGCATCAGCTTCGTCGACTTCTGATACGTCCATCAAGGCATCGTCTATTTTTCCCGGCTCCTCCTCAACTGGTTGATCCTTCTTCGACCGGACAGAGCGTTTTCCTGACGCAGGTTTCCTTCCCTTGCGAGCAGGCTTCTCAGCAGGGGGCTCCTCATCGTCCGAGATAGTGATGATTGTAGTACGCGTCGACGTACTTGCAGTGGGCTTAGTCGAAGAGGCTCTGCGCGTTCGTAAACGGGATTTCGCGACGTTTTCCTTTTCTTCGGCGTTATCATCGTCTGCAAGTTGTCCACGCTTGCGTTTTCCTGGTGCAGGAGCTTCAATGACAGTAGGCTCCACCGATCTCTGTGTTGAACGCGTCGACCGCCTTGGAGGCATTCTGAAAGGTAAACCGAAACGTTAGTACAAAGCTCGTTGGAAAAGGCAGAAAGCACGTTGAAGGCGTGACCTTACGATGATTACTGCACGTGCACATACGCGAGCTGTCACGTATCACGTGCCAGTGGCGATCAGACTACAGTGCTTAAGTCAATATAATTCAGTACCTGTACAACATAAACAAATGTACAGATATAAGTTACTCTAGTAGTTATAGATACCGCCATCCGGAATCTAAACCCTCTGTAACTCTCCACTCGTTTTTCCCAAGCCAAGTTCTCACCCTGTCTTCATCCTTGCTTGATGCCCCTTCATCAAGGACGGTCATGTCGCCCTGTCCACAGAGGGCCAGAACAGACCACCCTACAATTATCATACCAGGTGGACGCTGTTCACCTACACTATCAAGCGCAGCCAATACATTTTTCAACGTAGATGCGATCACGCGTTGATCGGGCATCGACCCTCGCTCGATTATCGCTATAGGCGTATGCGAAGGATAAGCCTCGCCATCGCGTCGTGAGGTGACCTTCAGTCCTTCGCCATCTTCCTGCAGAGCGGCAAGTACTTGTGGTAATCGCGCGACACCCATCAAAATCAAGAGCGTTCTTCCCCGCTCGTACCCTGGAAGTTTCACATCCTTCCCCTGTCTTCCTACACCAGTGCAGACAATGAAAGACTCTGCAACTCCGCGTTGCGTAACCGGTATGCCAGCGAACGTTGGTGCAGCTAAAGCAGAGCTTACGCCTGGGACGACGAGAGGCTCATATCCGTGTGAGCGGAAATACAACACTTCTTCACCAGCACGACCATATACAACCGGATCTCCCTGTTTCAACTGCAAAAATTACCAGTTAAAAACGTTCTGAGCCACTTTTGTTAGACGGACACATACACGAACGACAGTAAGACCTCGTTTGGCAGCCTCAACGGCGGCTTCCATCATCTCAGTCTGAGCACCCTCAGCGTTTCCTGGAAATTTGCGAGCGATGCGTACTTCCACTTCTGGCGGAATAAGTTTGAGAACAGCAGCGGGGACAAGTTTGTCCGACAAAACCAGGTTTGCATGTTTAGTGAGAGCTTTGTGAGTTGCTAGCGTGAGCAGAGAAGGGTGACCAGGGCCAGAGCCAACAAGGAGAATTCTCCCTCTAGGTTGAGCGGATGGGGATAAGAGTGAAAGGTCGTGTATACCGATTTGTGTAAGATCACTGGGTGAGTCAAGCCCTGACCCAACGCTTGGCATCAATCCTTTTGGCGGACAACTCGACAAAGTATTATCGTTCAAAACCTCAAGCATCTCCTTGTCTGTCATATGGGCTAGACGATTCAAGGGCCAGTATTCGCTGACCTGCGCTACCCATTTCATGCGACGCCTTGCAGCTTCAGCAGCAGTTTCTGAATTGCTGCGCGACGGGACCGGCCGATTAGGAGTGGTGACTGCACTATCTTCGTTTAACTCTTCCTCTGTATCATGTTCTTCTAACGTATGTGAAGCCTTCACCATGTTCCGCAACTTTCCCATATTTCGCACAGCAGCCCCGACTTCCTTCGGTAAACTGGCCACGATCTCCCTCCGCAGTCTACCTGCCAGACGACATCCCTGACCGTTAGTTGTTACTGAAACTTGCAATGCAGTGCGTTCGCCTGTTTCTGCATCCAAAAACCTGTGCGTAGACGAAAATGAAAAATCGCACAGATCAGGCATGTCGGTCACATTGACTGGGATGTTGCGGGCGCGACAAACACGATGGATATGAGCAGCAGAGGCATGAGACCGACGTTGATTGTTGTCGATACCCAATACAGTATCGGTTACACACACGAGTGTTACTTCTGGAGAAGAGGCGAGATAAGCATCAAGGGCTTCGATATCACGATCTGAGGACGAGGTGTTCGATGTGGTCGCCAGCGAATCCCAGTCTAAGACGACAAGTTGATTGTGGTCTGCCCTCCATCTAAGTTCGTCGCAAACAGCCTTTCTCCCCCCTTTTGTGAGGATTACGACGGCTGAATCTGCTTCGAGAGCAGAGAATGCACGAGACGCTGCCAATGAGTTTGAACCCAGAACCAAAGTTGTCTTGCTTTTCAAACGAAACGACAGCAGCAAGGATGCCCCACCGACAGGAATAGGATATGAATCCATGGTAAAGGAGATAAGGAACAGATAGTAGATAGCCTGATATTCAACATTTTTGAATTATTCAATTACTTGGCTATCGAAGGGCGTCGCGATAATGAGCAATTTGCTCGGCTCGCTTACGTTATCTGTTATCACGCTGTTTATGGGTGCGAGGCACGTTTGTATTTCGCTATACTTTACAGCTTATACCATTTCATGCAGCTCGTGGATAACAGCACGGTGAGTTTTATGGTACATTGCAGGATAATTTTCTAATGTTGTTTACTAGTTTCTGACACGGTTAGCTGCCGAATTCGAGTCGCATAAGGAAAAAGGAACTATATGGCTGACGCATAAACGACGTATGCAGGTTAGATCGCCATCCTAGGCCGAACGATTAACTTGAACCCCTTTAATCTAGTAACCCATGATGGCGAGGATGCCACTATGAATGATGCAGATGGTACCAGGGAATATCCTTGCTTAGTTCGCGCCACAGATGGCAAGAAAGTTAAGTTTTCTACTCAGGTGAGTCTCCAGATATTAGACCTAGTCCCCTCATCTGCACCCTGACCGGTCAAGCATATTTTCACGAGCTAGCATGCTAATCGATTTATCGTCGCTTGATCTAGGTTGAATCAAAGGATCTGATGAAATTCCACTCTGCCTATGGTTCGCTACTGAAATCGTCGATGACTACTCTCCGAAAACGAGACAAAAAGCGGGAGAAACAGCGCGCTGAGGAGCTTGCGCGTCGAAAACGTCGAATGGCAGAACAGATTGTCGTAGAGGGGCCGAAGAGAGGGAATGGTCGCAGAAAGAGACAGCGGAAGATGAAGGCAATCGTTAAACAGGAAGAACTGAAGGAACGAGTTCGAGCCAGAGACGAAGCAAAGGCCAGGAGTGTATCAACCTGAAATTTCATGTTCTTGTCGCTGTATTTTGCATAAAAGTATTGTGTTGACTAATTGTAAAACCCTCCAGCAGACTGCAAGGGATCTATAGTATTTATTTAGCGTGGGAAATCAAGTATTGACCGGCATGATGCATGCGTGCTGGTAGGGGTAATACTCTAGCGGCGGTCCTGGTTAATGATTGGGGTTTGGATCTAACCACCATAGCGAAAAGTATCCAGTAATGAGCAAGGCTCCTCAAGACAATCCCTTCTTATTTGACGACGATGAAGAAGGCTGGCAAGAAATGCCGGTTGTAAAAGAGGACGATTTCGCCAACGGTCTTGACGAGGAAGACCAGAAGAAATACCACTATGTTCATGCAGCCAAGAAGACGGCTGGAGGGACAGGAAATGCAACTGGAAACCTCATAGATTTCGACGACGAAGGTGTCGAATGGCGTTCCAAGGTGGACCAGAATGAAAATGAATATACTCGACTGCGGGTGCAAGAGGAGGATGAAGCGGACGAGGTGCATCTTCGCACCCGATATCTCTTTGACGAGGACAAGGCTATGACTCCACTCAGCCAAATGCAAGCCACCAAGAATATGCTCACCGAATCGCAGAGGATAGCTTACGTCGGCTTATGTGCATTAACCAGCAGAGAAATGGCCCAGTGTCTGAAAGCAGCGAAACGCAAAGAGCTCAAGGCGTCCATTCAGAGCATGGAGTTGTGGGCGATGAAGATTATGGGTCGACTGTACTATCATATGGAGCTTGAGACTGCAGGTGATCTTTTCTGCCTTTCAGCGATATATCCATCGTGTGCTGCACGCTGACTAGGTTTCTATAGAGCAACAGATGATACAAAGCCTAGGAGAACATGGCGTCGAAGCAATGGACCTCGCACCTTCACTCATGACAACACACACCGTGGCCAATCCTGAGTACGATCCTGTTGAAGCTCGTCGACAGGCTGACGTACAGCGAGAACAAACCCCAAGCCCAAATCACAAGAACCACTCAATCATAAAGTCAGATTCACACAGACTTCGCCGTTCATTGTCACCAAAACCTCCATCTACACCTACATCAGCTACTCAGAAAACGTTTCATACTACCGCTAGGGTTCTGGAAGATACATCGGTAGCTTCATCTGCAATGCCGGGGGTCACAACATCACTATCTACAACTGATAAGGACGTCACTCTTGACATACGGTGGACGGTTCTATGCGACCTTTTCCTCATCCTTATCGCTGATAGTGTTTATGACGCTCGTTCTCGAGTTTTGCTTGAAAGTGTTGCCTTGAAGCTTGGTCTAGGATGGTTAGATGTCGTCAAGTTCGAAAGTCGCGTGACAGAGGCACTTGAAATTCAAGAGGGAGTTGAGAAGATGGAAAATCAAGAAATTATCGATGGCGCTCAAAAGGCAGCAAGGAAAAGACGGTATATGATGATGGGACTTGCAACTCTCGGTACGTCGACGCATATATCACTTGTTTTATCAATAATAATATATGCACCTCACAGGAGGAGGCCTTGTGATCGGACTATCAGCTGGATTATTAGCACCAGTAATCGGTGCTGGTCTTGGTGCAGCCTTTACGACTATTGGTATAGGTGGTACCACTGGTTTCCTTGCTGGAGCAGGTGGAGCTGCGGTAATCACAACCGGAGGTGTCCTGACCGGTTCTGGTATAGCCGTCCGTGGAATGGCTCGGCGCACACGACAGGTTCGAACGTTCAATGTTCTTCCGTTACACAATAACAAACGGGTAAGCTGTATATTGACAGTACCAGGGTGCGCAACTTCATGGGTTTGAATGATATTTTGCCATCAGTGGTGCTGATGTGGTGTTGCAGATTCATGAATGGCAAGCTAGACGACGTGCGACTTCCATTCAGCGTTCTGGATCCGATCGTGGGCGATGTTTTCAGCGTATTGTGGGAGCCAGAGATGATTCAGGAAACTGGTAGTGCCTTGAAAATTCTTACAGGCGAGATCCTTTCACAAATCGGGCAGACCGTGTTGCAACATACCGTCATGACCGCTTTGATGGGAGCTCTCCAATGGCCCATCAGTAAGTGACATCATCTCTTTTTCGCGTGTATAAAGGGCTCTGTTGTCTGACCATTTCCGCTATATTAGTCTTAACAAAGCTGGGCTATCTGATCGATAACCCCTGGAGCAATGCTCTTGACCGTGCCAGAGCTGCAGGTAGTGTCCTCGCCGAGCTCCTTGCACAGAGACACCTGGGTGTTCGTCCCATCACCTTGATCGGTTTCTCGCTAGGCGCTCGTGTTATATTTTATGCTCTGCAAGACCTTGCCAAGCAAAAGGCATTCGGCATAGTTCAAGACGTCTTCCTACTAGGCGCTACTCTTACAGCACCTACCAGCTCGTGGTGTGATGCGCGGGCCGTCGTTTCTGGGAGGTTTGTGAATGGCTTTGCCAGAAACGACTGGGTCTTAAACTACCTATTCCGGGCGACGAGTGGTGGGTTGAACACTGTTGCAGGTTTACGACCTATAGAAAACGTGCCAGGGCTAGAAAATGTGGATGTGACAGATAAGATTGCAGGACATATGAGTTATCGGTCCTTCATGCCCCTTATACTTGATGAGCTTGGCTTCCCTGTTTCTTCGTCTTACTTTGACGAACCAGTGGTAGGTTTCTTGTTTTTGTTGGGGAATGGTATGACTGAAGCCGGAACAGGAACCCGACTTTACCGAAGATCGTATAGTTGTGAAAGAAGAAGATCAGCAGGCTCAGAAGAAGAGTTGGTTTTCGAGGAAGAAGAAGAAGGTGTCATTACCTTCGACTTCCATCTCTCGTCCCCCCTCTTCTACGCCGACTTCTCATTCAAGGCATAAAGCAATGTCCTCTGAGAAAATCACGGACGATGACCTACCTCCACGAGAACACGCGAGGACACCTGTTTCTCCAAACGCTGAAGGCGCCACTGTACCCGAACCAAATCAACCGAGATCAACATCACCTGACATTCCTGCTCACGCTGGGTTTGACTTTAGCGCGATAAAGAATATCATAGGGCAGGCTGAACATCACCCCGATGAGCTGCGAGTGCCACCCCAGCCTAACCGCATTCACACCCCTCAAACACTTCCTGGGCGTTCTGAATCAGCCCCACTCCACGCTCAACCAGAAGATTCCTCACGTTCCGCCACACCTGTCGTGGGACTGTCAACGGACTTACCCTCTGATGAGCCCGCAGACCTTACTTCTGCAAGCACACTAAGCACTGGATTCGCTCGGTCTCTGTCGTTGCGTGATGTTAACTCAGGGTATAGTGGCCCTATGACGTCATACCAACACCAGGGAGCAGAACTGACGACGAAGGATAATATCTCAGACACCTCACCGCTCACTCCATCCTATCCAACATCTTATACCACCCCACAATCTTCTCTCACCCCTGAGCTATCTTTTGGTCGAAGCGATGGTTCTATATGGTCTGCCAGCCCTTCCAGGCAAGAGCCTAATAACACTGCATTCGGCAATCCTTTCGCATCCTCAACCGACACGCTGTCATTTGGTAGCACGAAGAACGGATCGATAACAACATTTGGGAACTACATGTCTTCTGCCCCGCAAAGTTCTTTTGCACTGCCTTATTCTGCTGCTCCCTCTAACTCGCTATCATTTGGCGGGGCAGACGGATCGATAACGCTTTCTGGCGCTGAGCAGGATCCGTGGAGCACGCCCGTTGAGTCGAAAAAGACGTCGAGTTATCACAGCAACCCTTGGTCGAATTAAACAGTATGACGAGAGGATAGGACTGAGGACAATAATACATTCGACCCGACTAACCGGCATGACTGATATGATTCCCTTTTGTATTGCATTTCCGTTGACATTAGCACGCTGGTATCCTAGACGTACACTCGCATAGTTTTTGTATTCAATGTAATAGGAGTAAATGGATCGATGTACAGGAGTTGTTCTCCGGATTCCTTTCACCTCCAGCCTCCAGGGGAAGAAGATGAGGTTCGATAGCATCGGATAACGCGTAAGTGTACATGGTCCGTCCCCTGAATTGTCTATACCGTCTTCCAGTATTTGTTGATCATTTTTTAGATCATTTGTATTTGGCAAAACATGCCGTTTGCCCACACGGTTCGAGATTACCGCTGTGAACCTGATCAAGCCTGATCAACGTATGAATTTGAAGTATCCGGTTTTCTACGCGATAGCTTTTGCAATATGCCATCTGATCAGGATCATTCACCAATTCAGCAATCTATTAGGGATCCAGTAACATAAGATCTGAGGCTTCTTCTTGGCTCCGAGGATTCCTAATCGTGAGTGAAACCATTGAATGGAAGGACTTCCATGCATCCATAACTTAGCTGATGCGGCATACGAGATATCTCAGTTACTTTTCAGCAATATGGCGCAGCATGCAAAAGCACCACCCAGGGGGCCTGCTATGGCAACCTCTTGAGGTGCAGCACATATGAAATTATATCTGAAAGCCACACGGAAAAATCATGGGACCTGTCGCCATGCATTTGTATCTCGCTTTTCGTTTGGAGCAACCTTAAAATGGATTTGAGCCGTTGTCAAACTTTGAACCAGTCTGCAAAGGTTTGGACATCGGCTTGCATGCCGGCTCCATCAGGCCCGCTCTTGCATGCGAGTATTCGATCAGTTAGTACCGGAAAACACGTTCCGCATGTCTGCTTATATTTATGAATCTCCATCTGTTTTACTCACTTTTTGTTGTCCTTCCTCTAAAAGCTGCGTTCTGAGACTGCAAACATCGCTCATCTCCAAGCCTTGTTTGGCCACTTGGTTCTCAAAACCCAGCATTGCTGGTCTTTTTTCTGTGCCGACTGCCAATTTACCGTCTTCTATGTCGCCGCGTTCTATTCTCAAAGCTCGTCAGCAGAGAGACCACAGGATCCAACCCCCGCCATCACTTTTTGAGCCTTTTCCGTTCGCAGCATGCACAACGTTCATGCTCACCCCCCATGTCCACTTCCCGCCTACCCCTGCTCTCGTGTCTACCCATAGCACACATTCTCCTACGTCCTACGATCGCACCTCCATCGTAGTGGCACCCAATTCGTGCGCTCTCCCAGATCGCCACGACAGAGTCTATGCTCCCAGCCCAGAGAGTCTGCTACAAACAGAGGTTAAAGGAAGTTATTTCCACCCTCGTGCTTTCGAGGCTTGTGAACCAGAGCCATCAGAGTACATCCCCTCACATCTCCGCCCCCCACCTCTTATACCCGATACCTCGTCCGAGTCGGACGAATCAGACGGACCCATAACCACACCACCAGATCATAATAACATACCCCCAATATCCGTGCACTTTGTACCCCATGCCAGCGATACCCCGCACGCACCATTATCTCTCTCACCTCATTCCCAAGCGGAAATCAGCAATGCGTTGACGTTTTTGCCTCACCCGCATTCACCGGCGAAAGACAAAGAGAGAATGAAGAGGAGAAGCCTCGGAAGGAGTAGAACAGAGATTGGCTGGAAGGACGTCAAGCCTAACGCGTTCGCCACACCAACCCTCGACGACGGCTGTTTGGGTGGATTTTAAGCTGGAAGATGCTGATGGAATGTTTTTTTTTTTTTTGGATTATACCAATACCAAGGCATAATGCCGACGATGACCAAGACTTGTACTACGCTGTATTTCTACAATTCGCCGCACTCTTTACGCACGATAAAGCTTACTCGCTCCTTACTACTATACCCCCAGCTTTTGTACCACTAATTCGTACGACTTACATGTGCGACAACGCTTTGTCAATGACCACGATCACGAAATAGAACTTGAACGTTTTGATCTGAAGAATGCTAGCTTCGATTGCAAATCTGGCCAGTCAGCTGGAAGAACTTCAGCTTATACAGTGTTCCTTGCTCCCAGGCGAGCTTTTCACTTTCATCTTGCCTTCTGATGACACTGCTATCTGGGACTCTTTACTCGAAAGCGTCAGTAGTCCACTGGAAGCGGACGCTCCCTTGCCAGCACAAGCCCGTTTCGAAATCAAACTGACAGGTGCAAAAGTATGGTTCGAGATAGAGCTACCTCGCAACTACCCAGATGCTGGTACCAAACCCCAGATATCCATCAAGGGTGAAGACATAAGCCGAAGTGAGCAGGAGCATTGGCAAGACGTCGTGCGGGAGAAAATGGCTGGTTTCAACGTCAATGAGTGAGTTTAGTGATTAACTAAGAATACGAAAAAGAAAGTAAACAACGCTCAGATTTCTAGTATACCAGTTAATTTCCATCCTTATCCCAATGGTACATGATGACATGGAGAGTACCAGCAAGGTTTCTTTGGATTTGCCTCCGACCACTTCCCTCCCAACACCAAAGCCCTATCATGCCCTCCTCACATCCCACCACCTCATATCCCCGAACAAACGTCGTTCTCTTCAACAGTGGTCGTCAGAGCTTTCTATATCTGGTTTTGCAAAAGTTGGTTATCCTGGCGTCATCTACGCAGAAGGCATGCAAGAAAACGTCGAGGAGTTGCAGTGGTTGGCACTCAAGGTCCGGTTTATCGAGGCATTGGGTAAGGAAAATCGTGACACAGGTAAACTACTACTACCCAAGTGGATGGAGTTTGAAAAAGTGGGACAAGTTGTCGAAGAGATGAGAAATCGAGGAAGGGAGGAATACATCACAGAAATGGGTATTGGAAGTGTTGGACTTGGGGGACCTTAGGCAAATGATCACATAGATAACTCAACTTCACGAAATGAATGTTCAATCCACTTGAATTGCACATAGATGACACAAGGACCAAGACTAAGAGAAAAACCGACATATTACCATAATAAATCATAGGCGAGCAGAGACATCAATATATGCAAATTTAAGGAATACATACAGCTGGCTCCGGACGCGCAACTTGGAGAAGAAGAAACAGCGTCCATTTTCGAGACCATTTTCGAAGTGCGTGAAATGTTGATCAGTATCGTCTGTCGTCATACCGCCCTCGGTCGTAGTCACGGCTATAGCCGCCTCTGTCGCCACCTCTGTCGTAATCCCTGAAACCACGGTCGTAGTCTCTGCCGCCTCCCCCTCCGCCTCGATAATCATCGTAACGTCCACCGCCACCGCCGCCGCCACCACCACCACGACGGCGGTCTTCATAATCTCTCGAGTAGCGGCTATCGTAAGGACGAGGATCATAGGGACGTTCGTCTGCCATAGCAGAGGTCCATCAGGGATCTTAAACAATGTGAGGAAAAGGACATACTGTCATGACGCTTGGGAGGACCATAATACCTGCCAGGTGTAGGCGTCCTTGCCCGTCCTCGACGAGCCTGATTGCTCGTGAAATTCGCAAAATAAAAGGCATAGTAATAATTACATACCTTTTCCACATTCATAGTCTTCCCCATGAGATCTGTGGCATTGAGAGCAGTGATGGCAGCGTCTGCTTCTTCACCAGTTTCCATGGTCACAAACCCAAATCCACGAGATTCCCGTGTATGAGGATCATACATGACGGAAGCCTTTTTAACCTATGTTCCACAAACAATAAGAAAAGACTGAGAATGAGCGAGTAATGAATACATACGCGGCCAATTTTAGCAAATGCCTGCTCGAGATCCCGAGTATCGACCTTGTGACTTAGGCCAGATACGTGGAGGTTGTTTCCGGGATTGTGTCTACCATCGCCACCGCGACTAATTAATGATTTTTCACGACGGCATTAAACAGCCCAGATAGACCATAGCACCAAAGTAGAATTGTACTGACCCTCTCTCCGAGTCCCGAGCCCCAGGACTTTTGCTTCTGCTGGATCTTCTTGGCGGCTCACCTCCGCGGTCTCTGCCAGGTGAACGACCGCCGCCATTCCAGCTCTGTTCGTCGCCAGGAAGACCATTATTCCCATTGAGGGCGGTATCGTGGGTAGGAATGCTAATGCCGACGGCACCGTTGGAGGGCGCGATATCTTGAGACTGCCAGGCTGGTAAAGGCGAAAAGCAAGGGGAAAATGATTAATGTCGCATCATGTTGGCGTTGTGAAAGAGCGGAATGGTGGAGAGAGTATCGAATGCGGGGTCAATGAAGAGTGAAAATGACGACGGAGTGTCTTTTCCTCTGAGGAAAAAAAGAAAAAACGGGCGCCAAACTCGTGAAACATATCAGTTGAAAGATATGTTTTGCAGGGATGTCGGCCTTGAGCCGACAATTACTGAAGAAAAGGATATTTCTGTCTGGTACGGACAGCTGAAGGCTGTTACTGAACTACGGCGAGACTGGTATTTTTTTAAATACTGAGCGGGCGTTGGTGCCGGCGAGACAGAAAAAGGACTCGAATGCAGAACCCGTCGCCGCCGTCGTGGTTGATGCTGAAGACGTACCGTCATCCATTGTTGAAAATCTTGCAGTCTTGGTGAGAACGGTGGTTGGGAATGAAGCAATGCAAAATTACACCCTTGGTAGTGACCAGCCACATCAGCACCAAGCACGACCAAATCCCGCGCCACATTATACTTGACACTGCAGCGTTAGAGGGTGATCCTGCAAGGCAAACGAATATTCTGATATTTTGACAGCCTCGTTATATCAAAAATTACAAGGAGATAATAACAAGGTTGCAGTCTCTAAACAGGGCAGCGAATCTAGCCAGCAAACACCATTCCTGCAGCACGTGCCTCGTGTTCATCGCCAATCTTGTGGCGTGCATCGACAGCTGCCAGGACACAACAAAAATGTTATAGTATAGTGTCCCACAGCAAAACATCCGCAAGCCCAGACTCATCACATAGACGCTATCGCTAATGCGCCGAAGACCTCCTGTCAATTTCACTTCGCTATATCAGCACCTCCCCTCTCTCCTGGCGGACTCGCAATCCCCCAGCTCAGAAGACACCCACTGTATGTCTCATTCATCTTTAATCTCGGCACTCGTTTGACCCTGCAATAGCCATGTCATTACCTCTCATCGTTGCCCAGTATGGTATCACAGGTCACCCCACTCGAACCGAACACTGGAGCATTGCCATCTTGTCCTCCAAGATGAACGCCCGCATATTCGAGCTTGCAGGCAACTACGACACTTTTGTGTATGCACCAAAGACTGTCACGCGATTTACGCAATCCCAAAGCATGATGGGCGGATGTCACATTGCCAACATTCCAGCGAGTAGAGTGAATTGGCTGGAAGAGCGGCTGAAAAGCGTCCCAGTCATTCGAAATGATCCAAACTTCGATTGCCAAACTTGGGTGATAGAAGCGCTTCGATTAATGAAATATGACGGGGTGATTTCGCAAAACATAAGCGAAGTCGCTATCAGAACGGAGATGGCCAAGGAGAAGGAACGCTGGGATGTTGCGGACGATACAGTCGAAGTCAGACTTTTCCCTTGATGGCAGATAGGAAAAACATGGACGAATTTTGCAAAAAATGGATTTTATTACAATTGTTGTGGGTTGTATATTGGGATATATGACGGGTATATCATGATCAGATCGAAGATTTACATTAAATCTAAAGCAAGGTAAGAATTTTATGTGCAAGGAAGTTTTATGAAGATACCGTTCCAATCTGCTTCATTGTGGAGGTCCGGATATGAACAGAAGCTCGTCTTCTCGTGCCAATTCCAAGTCGTAACCAGGTACCACCTCCTGTCTTCCTAGAACAATCCAATCATTCGTCGGGTCCACGCCAAACATAAACTTTGCAGCTTCCCAAAATTCGGGACGCCAACCTGCTTGCTCCCAGTCCAAAAGGGCAGTGATAGTCACGTCATCGGCACCCTCCCCAGTGACAGAAACAAGAATGTTGCGTCGCGTAATATCCGCATGGGTGAAGGTAATCCTGTGGTCATTTGGCATCTCCTCGCGTAATTGCTGTAAACGCACGCCAGTAGGTGAGTGTTCGGTTCCAAACCAAGAAAACGTCGAAATACGCCAGTCGTTATATGCATCCTCATTTTGGAATGGCCCATGCGCGGATTGACTCGAGATACGGTAGTCGTATAACGCGCCTTTGGAGACGGACCCAATCCATCCACGTGGCGCAGGCTGAGGGATGACACGCAGCTCTTCAACAAACCGTCGCAACGTGCGCATGACAGTCATTTTCTGATCAGGGGACAGCTGTCGCCATTTACGTTGTAGAATCTCGCCCTCCTTGTACTCCATGACGAGATAAGCATTTCCGTCACCCTCTTCCCAGAAGTCGTAGATGGCTGGGACCGGTATGGAGGTGTGCAACGCGACAAAGCGAGATGCCTCCGCCTCGAGGCGAAGCCGATCCGCTTTTCCTTTTTTTACGACGGTGCTACTTGTGAGTCGGTACACGTCCGACCTCATTTTTGGGTATATTCGGGCTGATCTACGGAGGAGATACGGTAAGAACAGTCTCCGAAAACGGTTGTAGACTGGATTTAAAAAGAGGGCAATGATATTCATTTGTACTGCTGTTCCAATATTCGTAAGTTTATCGAGTGACAGCAGCATCGTAGATAGCGCACCTTGATCTTATAGGCCTTGAACGACTATCCCCAACTCTGAACGAGGGTGGAACGCAAACGGCATTTTCTCTGTCAGAGACTCTGCAATAAGTACCGAGATCACGTGCCTTCCAGTACGAGGGATTTATAGGAGACTCGGTGAACCACGCCCATCATGAAGCTCAAGCTCAAGTGCTACTTTCCAGGGGAGCCGCCGTTTATCACGCAAATAACCGTCGAGGGCAATGACATCGTCGAATCGCTGTTGCGGGAGTTCCACAAGCGGCTCAAGGAGGTTGACTACGATGTCCCACTGAGGGACCTCGTGCTGCACAAGGTGTGTCTGCCACCTAGTCTACGATGCCAAATGACTGACCCTGGATAGGCGGATGTCAAGATAATGCCCGAGGTGGATCTGACAGACCGTGTCATTCAGTGGCTTCGCATCCAGCCAGAGGCAGCCGAGCTCAGTGTTCTACATGATATTGGAGACGTGTTCACCGAAGCCCTGCCAAATGATACTCTTCATATCATTGTTGCCAATGCCGAGAGTGCATTTTTTCATGTGTTTCCATACCCCTCCCTAGCCCCCTCACCCCGTTTCAGTCAAGGAGCTACTTGACTTTGTTGACGATCCTCAAGCACGGTCTCGGATACAGATTAAGAAAAGTACGAGTCCACCCACTTGTCACTTGTTCAATCCTCATTATCTTTGCAGAGCTCCGCAAGCAGTTCGCCAAACTATCATCCAGCCCCTCCCCATCTGCAGTTGTAAGGAGCGCTGATGCATTGGCAAAGTTCCTCAATGCCGATGGCCATCCTGTGTGCCTCGATCAAGTCCCAGCCGCCATGTTCAGCCCGCCACTTGCGCACCTACAACGGGCCCTCGCCGAGCTTGGCGACCTCGAGGTGACCGAACATGATGTCAGCCACGCGTCTAGCTTCCTCAGCAATACAATCATGTCTTATCACAATGAGGACAGTCGCCGGAATGCCATTCGGCAGCACGTCGACCACTTAATCGGGGAGCCTGGTCAGTGGGAGGAAAGGCTTGACCGGGTGGGGAACATCCAGCCTGATGCGAGTTGGTGGCAAGGTGAGTTCCCTGTCGCAATCCTGGAGCTGAAAAATGCCCCTGGTATTGGCGGAGATCCTTTTGTTCAAAGTCTTGCCGACTACAGCAAGGTTGTGTCGGACCCCCAGGTGCGGCAGCACGCATCCACGTTCGTATCTCCGTTGATGTGTCCTTTCTAGCTTGCGCACTTTCAAGGATCCTGCAATTTCCCTGTCTTGCCCTATTCGAGCTATCAAACGGAATATAGATGTTGCCAGGAATACACCCATAGCTAAGCTCATAACGCCTCAGCAACTGCGGAGCACTATGAAGCAGGGCGTCATGGCAATTGCTTGGGACGAAGGAATTGGACGAATATTTTTTGCTACTTCACATGACACCCGGCTATATATCCTGGATGTTGCCAAAGCTCCGAAAGAAGGTAAGATAAGGTCTGTAATATGAAATATACTTGTTGACTTAAATTTTGGTATTATAGACAAAACAGGTCAGAGGTTACCTCTTCCCTTGGAAGACGAACGCATGCTTGAACTTTGAGAAATATACCTACTCAAACGTGAGTATAACTTGTTCATCAGGATCGAACAGCGCTAGGCTGATTTAGAATATTTACCATACTGGTCGACTCCACAAGACAGCCATCATCAGAGTTTGTTTCGAAGGACATGTAGTAATTCTCTCAGATTTACCCTGTTTAACAAATAAACCAAGGGAAGAATAAGCATAAGTTTATAGGACGCTATTGGATATCTTATATTTACAATTATTTCTTGCAAATTTCTGGTTTACTTTCTTGTATACTCAAATCGCTGGATTGTACGTTATTACTACATGAAATGAAGTACAAAATTTATTATGGTTTTCTTGGTGAACTCTTCTCTCGGAATACAAAGAAGCACGATATGGCACTAATAGATTACAGTCTTACTATGCGAGGTATGTCTATCATAGAATGCAGGGTACTAACTTGCAGCGGGAAAAAAAGCCAGCCAGCGCGAACAAGATGGTATGCAACAATTTATGAAAAGGAGGGAATAAAAATGTTTAAAAACGACAGCCTAAGAGTCCACTCACAGAGCACATAATGTAAACGACAGTTATCGTCAGTATTTTGGCGACAAGTAGGGCGAAAGGAAGGCGCTCGGAGGCGCCACAGGCTTTGCCTTCTTTTCTCGTTCTTTATCTTTCTCCTTCTTCCTCCCAAATCCGAGTATCGGCGCAGTCAGACTCAGCTTCCTGCTACCACGCTTGGTGTTTGAGCTAGTTGTACTAACAGACGGCGAGGGGGTACCGCCTATATCCGCCGTTGGGTCAACTGCCAGCCCTACAGAAGCGTGCGCCGACTTGGGCCTCTGCAGAGTTGGTTCATCATTACCATGGCCATCAACTTTGCCTCTAGTTCTAATGGGATTACTTTTGCGAGGATACGTCGAATCTCCGCTGCCCTGCATACTCGTCATCTGCCCATTTATTCCAGGTAATGGCGGAAGAGAACGGTCAATCGCCATGCGTGATAATGATTCTCTTGTAGTCGCCGCACCAGCTGTAGATGGGCGCACAGGCACTTTCGGCGGTGAAGGAGAACGCTCGAATTCTCTCGTCTCCTTTCTTGGTACTCGCGGTCCTTGCACGCGTGGCCCTCTAGGAGGATCCATGAACCCACGTGAAAACGCTGACGGCGGCGGTTCATGGAAATTAGATGTGGATGGAGAGGCAGGTATTGTGCTCAATGCACTGGATTGTACTGGAAAATCGAGAGCTTGTGATGGAACTGTACCTCCGGAGCTCGACGCAAACGATGATGTAACCGAATCTGGCGGGGATGGCTCTTTCCCGTTCCTGAGTTCGCGGGAGTGTTCTCGTGATTTTGAGCTTGGACCTCCTGATGATTTCGACCTAACATAGACGACGGAAGAAGATGTAGAGTCCCTACTAAACTCAGGAAGTTCGGATGGACGACGGGTGTTTGAGGGCTTTATTGAGACTGTGGAGCCGCGTAGCCATGAAGGAGACGTAACTGAACTAAATGGACCATCCGAGTGCAACGTAGGGGTATCCGGGATAGCTTCTGATGTCGGCCGTGCTTTGTTCAGGTTCTTGATACTCTTCCGCCTAAACCACGTACCCTTCTTATCTGTACCTTCTTTATCCTTCCCATTAGGAAGACCGGGGGGCAAAGGAGGTACCGGTCCCGTCTTTGTGGGACCTTCCACAGAGGGTATGGGCGACGAGCTGGATTTAGTAGAAGTTTCACGTTTCTCAGCAGATATCTTCATAGATGGTGCATTGCGTAACGGGTGGAACAGACCATTCTTCATTGATGAAGACGATATAGGAGATGCTGAATTGGGGCCACCGGTGACGCCCGTAGCTGCGGAACTTGGAGACGAACTAAGGTTAAGTCTAATCTGAGAATTGGCTTTGCGCGGTGATTTGCCAATGCCCGGGTCTGGAGATGCCCGTGCGATGGGGATGGGTGAAGCATGTGGAGGATGATAGTCACTCGTCTCTGATGATTCGCCTTCTTCCGGCGTAAGACCGGGAGGATGAGCGGGTATGGGATGTGATAAGGTGTTGGGAGAGTCGGTAGGTCGGTGTGGCCTGGGGACTTGTTGTTGCCGTATCTGTTCGAGATGTGGTTCTGAGGAAGTAGGACGCAGTCCAAGCGCAGCGAGGTCGAGGTCGACAGCCTGATAGTACAGGACATATGCAGAACCCGAATTTGAGTCGCCAAAGTACTTTGGAATATCGCTCTCCTTGATGGTATCCACAGTATCGTCGTCGAATATCAGCCAGAATCCCATCGTCCGGATGATACTAACGTAATGTCCGTGGTGGGGCCCACTAAACCCAACGGGTGAGAATTAGAAAAGAGGTGAGTATGAGTAGCAAAGGAGAATAGACATACGTTCCTATATGAACCACGATGGCAAAGAGTTCATATAACCTATCAGGATTCTGAGCGTCGTCTACAGTGTTGAACAAACGCAGCTCGAAAGGGAATGCGACACGATAAGCAAGCTTGATATACTTTTGTACATCTTCTTGATATTTGAATCGCTTCAGGTGGAGAGCCAGAACATTAGGCAGACGCTTAATTTTCATCCTAAATTCGAAGCATGGTCATTTATGTATTCTTGGAAATGTCTGCTATATGTGGCATACCTCTTTTCCGCCTCCTGTAGGTCACAACAAGAGTCACAAAAAAACTTGTTCTTCTGACAAAGCATTTCACTCGCACTGAACTGTCTAAGGCAGGCGGTCACACTTGAGTTCTGTTCGATATCAATGGACAAGTCGAGGAATGATTCGTCACGTGCAGATACCTGATAGTAATGCACGGTGAACTGAAGGTTACGCCTACTGGACAGATAAGAGCACATACATTTTCACACGTTAGACATCGAGTTTCACTGGTAAGAATTCCTTCGAATATTTTGTGAATGAAAGTGGCGCCTTGAGATGGACCACCCGAGCTTGAACTGTTCGCGGCTGTCATAGACATCGCCCGTACCGAATTAGGCACTAAAATCAGCGTGACAAATGAGTTGACTCGAGTTGGATGAGAGCAGAACTCACGATCATCACCAGAGGGAACTGCAGTTTGGTAGTGTTTTCTTTCATCCTCCATTTCCTCTACGATTCTATTTAGAAGATAATTTGAGAATTCATGGGCATCCTGATGCATGGTACTTCTAAAGAGCTCGTTGAGTTCCTTCAACTTGTCTATAAATGCGCGAGGTGCAACGGTGCCCTTGTCGACAGGATTGTCGGATATGTGGATGTATAACGAGCGAAGTGCGGAGAAGAGGGTGCGAGGAGAAGTTGGGATTGTTGGGCCTGATGAGATGCCATTTGGATGTGAATCAGTGGTATTTCGTCTCTCGACTCTGCGACGATGTGGTGGGGACGACGGTGATGGTGATGTATGTGTAGCGGTAGGGGTTGGTGGCTTGAGTGACTGTAAGGTATTAAGATCTGGATGTTGAATTACAAGTTCTCTGAAAGGACTACAAAAATACAGGGCCTGTAGGACAGAGTTGGCATAGCTTCACAGGAAACGTGTCAGAGCAACGGGTGACTGTGTGGGAATGAGGCGGGCGACATACCAGGTGTTGCCAAACTGATGTCGACAACGTTGTGAGGTCAGTGGTAGGATGATATGATAGCATAGAAAGCAACACACGTTCTCAAGACCAAATTGCTTTCCATCTGCGCACGGAATCGGGATCGGTCGTGGTTCCAGTGCTTCGGTTGGGGGCGCTGTGGTCTGTGAAAAGATCCATTTGCCTAATGCCATGCTTCAAAGCTCGGAGACGACACGAAATGATGCTCGTCGTCGTGGATGGCGACGAAGGAGGAAGAAAGATTATGATGAGCAAGAGCAACCACGCAATAAAATGTGCCAAACTGGATTCCGTCCCACTCAGACGGGCCCGCGTTTGGGCCGGGAAGGCATCATCTCCTACGTAGTTCCTTATATGGCAATTCCACGTGGCTAAGGCACTCCCTTGCCAGGACTCATGTCACCCCCACCCACGGCACGCATATATCCTCCTTTCCGCATACACCATCCCCGAAACCGTCGGGAATATTCCACCAAGCATCCATAGATCTGCCACTGATACTTCCTTTCTGTAGCTTCCCAGCAGAAACTTGCCCGCATTATCCTTCATAAGATCTGGTTCCTCGAACTTCGTCAAACTTAATGATGCGGGTGCCTCACCGGCACGGATGTCCTTGGAGCTGCGTTCCTAGCCCGCCACCACCCAGGTAACAAGTTAAGTACCCCAGTGCCACCTGCGCCTTGGCGTCATTCGTATCAAAGATGGCCCGTCTTCCAGACCATATCAAGTGTTCAAAGATATATATCTATTTCTACGAGATTCCTGCGTCTCAACCTTGTTCATTTTAACTTGATGCCATTCTGGGATCACTATCCCTCGAATCCAAGTCCCTTCTCACGCACTTCTCGTCATTTGGCCCATCAGACACATATTGCTGATGTAGTTGGACATGTGTAACCGTGGCTACTCGAGTAATGAAATATTTACTTGCACTGACCGTGGTCCTGGGTGCAGTAATTAGGGTACATGTTGAGTAAATCGCCCCTGTCAATTGACTTGTTTTTGACATTGCGTCGCCGGTGGCAGTACGCACTACGTCTTTTGTGGTGTGGATTGTTAAGGCACTCATTCCTGGCTCACAAATCCTATAACTGGCCGTTCTATACGGATTGTACGGAACAAACGGCTCGAGTGACTTACAAGTATATCTAACTCGGATCCACCTTGGCACTCTGAGCGTGATGCAGACAGGTTTATCTGTAATCCCAGGACGCATCCCGATTTCACCCTACGCTATTCCACAGTTCTGTGATTTTGGGCTATATATACAATTCGCCTCTGCTATTGTCAAATCATGCCCACGTAAAAATTGACGATGTCTCCGTGCACGTGTTGAAGCATGTTGAAAGGTATTCAAGTCGTTACTCATACATCATCCCGACTGTGAACATGAATCCAGTCTCCAACCTTGACCGTCCCACTCCCGCTTGGTGCACCATTGCAGCCCATGCAGGCCTTGGAGGCTTGAGCTGGATCCAATCCCTTGCGGAACTTCATCAGCACCTTGTATGGGACCGCCTTGTCGCGGAGACCTGTCCTTATATCCACATTGGGTAACTGCGGGACAAATATGATGTTCGGGCGTGGAAAATGTAAAAAGGGAAAAGAAAAAAAAGAGTTAGATAAAACAGTGACATTGGGACTTGGGTCGGAGATTCGCACCAGGCAACGCGTACACTTGCACACCAAACGGATGATAGGCGCCGTGCTGTCAGTCACTTCGCGGTGGGAATCAATGGTGAATTCGGCGATGCTGTCTTCGGCGAAGGGGATGCCGGCCCCTTTAAGCACTATGTTGGGTCGGAACCTGGTTGGGTATTATATGCGCTCAGCTAACTGGTTCAAGGCAGAAATGATGTGACGAAAACAGGAAACACTTTGGGCATCGAGGTAAGATTGAATCGGCATGTACCTTTCTACGTCAATTTTTTCTTGTGACCATTTTTCATCCACCCCCTGCACACCTACCATATCCCTGACTCGCGTCTGCAGTGCCATAATACTTTCTTCCGACACGACTAATAAGGGAAAGCCATCTTGGTAGGCAGTGGGGGCCCCAAGTTTTGGATACCTCAACGTGGGTGCACAGAGACGTGGCCGAGGTCCCTTCATAACCAAAAGTACCGGGTAGCCAACGTATGCCGAAAGTATATCGGACGGAGACCGACCAGATAAAGATTCACAGATATAGCCATCAATGTCATTACGGCCCCATAGTTCAACATTGCTGACACTTTGATATAATTTTAGTCAATCACTTATAATGGACAAGATAAATGATCGGGACGTACGTTTTCCAGCTTTGAAGAGTCTCCTCGCTAGGTTTGAGCGGAACAGAGAAACTCTCGCTCTCTGAATCTTCGGGAAAAGAAACTTTTAGGAAGCCACAATCAGGGGATGAAGAGTCTTCTACTATCTCAGGGTGGATCAAGACCATCTAGAATGAAGAATGACCCTGGCTTAGTCTTCTTGTGCACGCACTGCGTTGCAGAATGGAGTGATGGGAAGACGCACCTTGGAGCATGCCCGGGCCGTCAACACAAAGTGCGTCTCAGCTTTAATGATGCACCACTTCCTGTCATTCTGATGGAGCAAGTGGGCGGGTTTTGTGAGCAATTATACAATAAAGAAAAAATTTGAGAGCATAGGTTGGAGATATTCACCTCAATGCCTTGCGGGGTATAGTTCGCTTGCTGGACGGAAGTACCGCGGCAACTCTGTTCTCGTAGGGAACGTCAACGAAGAGACATAGATGTTTGAGCGCGGCTTCCCTACCTTTATGGGGTGCACTAGCAATTTTGAAACGCGAATGTTGGAGGCGTCGAAAGACGGCAAAGAGAGAACTTTCGTGGGCGTGGGCGCCCGCGAGGTTTCAACAGATTCTATTCAAGGTAAAGAAGAGAGAAATATCAGATAACGTTATTTTGAACATAGCCAGGAGAGTGCTGAAGCTACTAGTTGGCTGAAGACAGCATAGTGCTAGAGACTTGAGACTTGTTTGAGCGGGGATAAGACGCACTGGTTGGTTTCCACGACAAGTAAGCGTATAGAAGGGGTGCAGCAAAGAGAAGGACAGTGATTGAAGCAGAAGGGATAGAAACTAGTCTAAGCTCTACGAGAGGCTGAAAAGTCATGTTTGATGGTAGGAAGAAAAAGTAAGGTGAGATGGCCGTGTCGTTTCAGAAAAATCTCAGGCCAATGACTCGGCGTGCAGCTAGCGAGCAAGTTATTGAGGCACTTATCAGATAACCATTATGATTTGATAAACTTACTCAAGTGAACGAGTACCCACAACGAGCCGATACCAAGAGATACAAGTTGCTTGTGATGATCAAATTACCCGGAACCAGTCCGCTTCAAGGAATTTGACATTGATAAGCACCACCAAGTCTAAGTCCACGGTGAATGGAAAATAAGATCCACGGCATGAGAGTGATAAAGGCTTCTAAAAACAAATCCGAGCGCTGAGAACAAAGATAACTGGACTTTTCTGTAAATACCTTTTGTTAGTATTCTATCCTTTAGGTGTAGGAAAATGCATGCCGCGACGGCGCACGGACTTGAACGCACTGTCGCCGACTCGTCCAGGATCAGCGATGTGACAAGTCCACGTCACATCGTTACACTATGTGACCCCGAGCCAAAGTGTGATATTTGGGCAGAGAGGGTGACTTTGGTGTGACTTATGTGTGACTTGGCAAAAAAGATGTAACTCGACGAATAATCTAGTTTTCAGCTCCGTTCAACCTGGAATGGGCTTTCCTCAGGTGAAGTGTGCGATAAAACGAGCGGATAGACTTGTAGTTGAATACATACATTTGACGAAGTGGTGCCCATGTATCCCAGGACGACAATAATCAGAGTGGATTGTAGTAATAGATTGCCGGCTTACCTACATGATGCGGTATTGGGTGAATGCCGTCAGAGCGTTTCCACGTCTTGACAGCTGACAGCAAACACAAAATGCCTCAGGCCCTTCAGTTTACATGCCTGAGAAGCGATAGAGTCCAGAGTTCAAACCATGTTAATATTATGTCTGAATCTAGCACCTGGATGGCTTTAGATACTTCCATCCATCTCACACCCACCGGTAACATTTTCTTCTACCGGCGGCACGTGTACTAGGAGCGATCATCAATTATCCCCACGATCGCAGTTCTGCTCGGTTCCACAGTACCTTTGTAAAATTCGGCCATGGAAAACAGAATACGTACAAGAAATGCAAACCATGTCGTCTTTGTTATACAGGCATCATAATGGTATACGTACAAACTGCAATCGTACCACACTCTCCATTCTTCGCTTTCTCAGCCCGTTCTCAAAATCAGATGGACCCCACTATCGGAACTGATCACGTCGCTGATCTGACCAACCTCAAGAGCATAAGTTCCGTCCTCGAACGGTTTCTGCATCTGGCCATGTCCGAACCAGCCAAGATCGCCGCCATTCGTGTGTGACGAACAGTCAGAGTGCTTAGAGGCGAGCTCTGCGAACTTCTCTGCGGAGCCACCAATTTCCGCTTGATACCCTCGGAGGATGGCGATTGCTTCATCCTGAGAGCGCGTGATGTTGGACTAGATAACGAGAGCAAACATCTGTTTACGTTTCAGTCTGTAGATGGAACAAGACTTACCTCTTTCCAGCTTGCTGGTCGCCGGCTGCCTTTGTGCTTAACTAGCAAGTGACTCGCGCGCACCTGACCGCTAGCAGGCGGGTTGCCACCACCTCCAGAAACAAGGTATTCCTTAGCACCAGGAAGAGAGCTGATCTGCTCCTTGGGCACTTCCGCAGGCGGTTCCCAGCTAGATTGTTTCGTCTCCCTGTTGAAAAAGTAAGGGATCCCTTTCGAGTTGGACATTCGAACCTCCCATGATCCAGACTAGTCGTTGTTGATCGTCATCCAGCTCATATAATTCTAGGATATGAAAGCCACTCACCATGATGCTATTGATACAAGATTGAAATAAGGGAACAAGTGGCTGAAGGTGGCGCTTTCCAGTTGCCCCAAAATCTTGTATTGCTCATCTGCATTAGGTAATCGGCCCCTTTTGGCAGGTCTTCAGCGGTAGTGTACCGTAACGTTATGACCGTGGTACTCGATAAATTAGAAGTGGGAACCTATTGGGGAACCTGAACAGTTTTGAAGCAGACTTTCCACAGGGACACGGCTTGATTCCCAACCACCATCATACTGATAAGGCGCGTATCGCGAAGGGATTCCTGTAACGACTACAACTCATAGCAATGGTAATCGACAGAAGAGACATGTGTTCTGGCTACCGTCACCCTTTCCTTGTGGGGTCATATTATTTCGGAGGTGTTGGTGATACCCCACGGACGGTGAGCACAAGCAGTCATAGCTTGTAGCTGTCGCAGGACACCGTTCAAACACAACAAACAGCTAACAGACTTGGCAATGTCAGAGTGCTCATATTCTATTCGCCGGAAGTACGGGTGGTGGGCCTGCTTTCGCAATGCCGATGCACGCGCGAACTGGGAACAGGAAATTCGATCTCGTTCCTGGACAGTACTTATAGCATCGAATCAAGTCGAGATTTCACTGACTGATGGGCAGGTGTGTGCTCGTTGGATACTCCTTTCGTACATTGACTATATGCTACTGGCAGGTCAAATATATACTGGACGAACTAGAGGGTTATGATCTCCTTCGTGATGTCGACAATAGATGGTGAGTCGCACGCACAGGTTGATGGTGTGTAGCTTAGTGCATTTATTTAGCCAGGTATCTTGCTTCGAGCGTATCTGGGAATCCCACGCGCTCCTTGATACGTCTACTCTAGCAGACCTGAACCACCTCCTTTCTCATTTCCGTCACGACTGGTCGTCGAAGCACACCCGCGACGAAGACGGAGTTACAACCCATTTGATAGACCCATTGTTATATAGCCTTATCAATGGGGTGTCTGCAATCTTCGACTCGAGCAAAAAAGGTTCACAATGTCAGACAGTACCTTTTGATACCCATTCGGGAATGGCGTCTTACGCCGTCTCTCGACAATTCGCTTACTTACCGACAGACTTCTTCGTGTCGCCTACCGGTGATGCTAAAGCGCTGTCTTACATCAACAACCTTCACCCACAGCTTACATCGCTCTACCGTCGCTTCGAGGATGTTGTTTCTGCATGTGTCCCCCTGTTTGAACATGTCCTTACAGATCTTCATAGAAACAACCCCCTGGTGCAGCGCATCAAAGGGCCTTGTAAATATACAGAGTGGGACGAGCCCGAACCGCCAGAGTATTCAGACGACGAGGACGGCTGGGCTTTATACGAACGGCAGATAAGGCACTGGGTAATGCAGAGGCCCATCAAGCTTCCCGATGTCCCTAGCAGTGGCTACCAAGGAGGTCTGGAGTACCGAAAACACTACGTAAATCTGCGGAACAAAAAGTTGCAGATTGTCATACGCGTATCTGAAACTCGTCTCGTATGCGTTGTCATTGTATATTTCTTTCCATGTTTTTGACCTTGGTTATTTCTGAAGCACCCCGGCTGCCCTTCATACCCTGGCTCTCCATGGCACGTGGAAGGCATGAAGAATGAGCGCATCGTCGCATGTGCCTTATACTACTCATCTGTCGTATGTTGACATATGTCCGTATTTGAACTTCATGTGACACATACGTCTACAGGAAAACATTGTCGACAACGCTCTTGAGTTCCGAATGGCTGTGACCTCTCCCCGGGGGTTCACCCCTGGAGACCGCGGAGCAACAGTGCGGACCTGGGGATTCCTAGATGGTGACCCGTGCCACCAACGAATCGGGAGTGTTAGTACGCAGACGGGATTTTGCATAGCGTTTCCGAATATCTATCAGCACAGACATACACCGTTCACACTTTTAGACCCCACTAAGGAAGGACACCAACGTGTTGTTGCGCTGTACCTCGTTGACCCTGATATCCAGCCTATTATATCAACATCAAGCGTCCCGCCTCAGCAGGATGATTGGATGAGATCAGCTATGCACAGTTGGGTGGATCCCCGGATCCCTGTAGAGTTGGTCGATCGAATTGTTGATAAAGTAGATGGAGTGCGGAGTTTGAGAGAGGCAGAGAAGTTAAGAGAGGAGATGCTCAAGGAGAGAACCGAATTTCTGAGAACGAGTGATCTGCATCATTTTTGTATTCCGTTTGATATATGGAATGTGCTGTCTTGAGATTATAATCCGTCCTTCCCTCGTCAATATAATTTTGATATACATTCGCGAATAGAGATTTAGTCTTGTTGGAAAGACAAATCGGTTCGAACGTGAAGAGAATATCACCGCGCCCTGGTAAGTACGGAAAACAGAGAAAAGTACAGAACATCAATCACATCACATCTAGTAAATACTCATGTCCATCATTGGTATATATAATAATTCCCAACTTGAAGGAGTTACTGTTTGGTGTTGTAACCCAAGGGATTTTTGGTCTGCCAGTTCCACAAATCTCTACACATGACCTCTAAAGGCTGAGGTGCTTTGAATCCCAGCTCCTTTTCAGCAAGGGAGGGATTAGCGGTGAGGTCAGGAACATCGCCACGCCTGAGAAAAACAAAATAGGGTAAATCAACCAGATATAAATATCAATGACAAGACATTCGTACCGTCTTCCGATAATTTCGTACTTGAAATCGAACCCGGTGGCTTTGCGCATGGCCTCCACGATTTGGAGAACGCTCATACCCCGACCTTTTCCGAGATTGTATGCCTTGTAGCGCGCATCATCGGGGCAGTTGTCGAAGATGGTGGATTCGGGTGCCAGAGCGTCCAACGCGAGAAGATGCCCCGAGGCGAGATCGAGGACGTGGAGGTAGTCTCGGACACATGTGCCGTCCCTAGACGAAAACGTAACGGTGTTTTTGATAGGTCAGTACGATGATTAACAGGGAGACTTACGGTGTGGGGTAATCGTTTCCGAAAACCTTCAAAGTAGAGTCTTTAACGCGTCCAATAGCCATGTGAGCGAGTAAGGGCAGAAGATTCCCCGGTCGACCACGGGGGTCCTCGCCGATGAGACCAGACGGGTGAGCACCGGCAGGGCTAAAGGTAAAAGTGAGTATATGCGCGTGTACTCAGCTGGAAAACTCACTTGAAGTAACGAAGAGAGATACCGCGCCAGCGCTGGGGTTCAGCTGTATGACAATTAGCAATCATCGTAGCTTCATAAATATGTTTCTTACCGTGACACAAGTCATCAATGACCGTTTCAGACATGACCTTGGTCTTTCCATACGGGCTGTCTGCTTTCAAGCGTGTTGTCTCGGGGATGGGGATAACAGGCGGGGTACCGTAAACGGTTGCAGAAGAAGAGTATACTATCCGGGTACAATCATATTCTGACATGATCTGCAAGAGCGAGACGGTCGCGCAGACATTGTTGGTGTAGTAGGTAAGTGGGATCTCCACAGATTCGCCCACAGCTTTGTACGCCTAGTCGCCGTTGTCAGCTGATTAGGAACGAAGAGATGCCAGCGGGGAAAGAAACGTACAGCGATGTGAACAACGCCCCAGATGCCTCCTTTGCCGTACCGCTCGAAGACAGCTCTGATCTGATCTGTGCTAGTCAAATCACACTGGATGGAATCAATCACCGCGCTCTCCTTGTCGGCGTCGCTCGCGTTCTCGGGGAGCGCATCCTGTGCGATCTTGGCTACACGGGTAAGAGAAGCGGGGTAGGAATTGTGGCTGTTATCTATCGAGATAACCTTATAACGTCTCGTTTGCTGCAAGGCATAGACAACGTGTGAGCCTTGTGGTGGATTAGCGGTGCAGTCAGCCAAACAAGCCAGAGATAAAGAGTGATGATTATAGATTACCAATGTAACCAGCTCCTCCTGTAACGAGAACACGCTAATTCAATGGTGATCTCAACATGGACCCACAGCAAAATGAACGGTTAAACGCACTCTCAGACTTTGTTCAGACATGAGGGACGTAGATAAAGTGCAGCGGTAACGAACGAACCGTTGTGAATTGTACAGATATTTATCTCAAGGTTTATCTGATCGTAAACTACCTCGAAAAACCAAGTCCCGTTCCCGACCAGTCCAGATCACGCGTGGCAGCAAGAGGCGGTCCGACATGGACCGATCTTGGCGCGCTCACGAGTCTTCCAGTATCAGGCGCACGTTTACATTTACATGTGGACATGCGGGATGAAAAGAGAGCGCACGGGAAGCCATGGCCGATCTGATAGTTTACAGCGGTAACAATGAACATAATGGATACAGCAGGATTTTGCAGGCAAATACTAGTAATCTCCGAGTAGGCTACCGATCTTCCATCTTGACGTCGCCCTCTACATCCTGGCTGTCTTTCGAGCCCTCAGAGCCACCCTCATTCCCTGGCGCAACTTCCCCGGTCGACGTAGCGGCACCGACTCCACCTTGACTTGAATCCTCGCTAGTACCACCCATGGTTACATCGGTAGATGGAGCCGCATCATCGACTTTCACGGTCTTCTCTCGTTCTTTTTCTCTCTCCCTCTCCTTCTCCCGTTCTTTTTCTCGTTCCTTTTCGGCTTCGATTTCCTGAGCAAGTAACTCGACATCTCCTGTACCAATTTTCCCAAAATGTTGCAGATGTTGGTCACGGGCAGTCCTAAGCGCAAGCCACGACCACCGCTGTTTATTCTGTATTGCGTTTTTAACGACCAACTATATTTTACATGAGACAAAGAGCTTACCTCTTCATAGCCATTTATCTGATCATCGCTAGGTTCTGGAGGAGCAACACTAGGCAATGGAGCAGAGGTTTGGGCTGGTGTAGAAACAGGCACTGGAGTCGAAACGGGAGCAAGGACAGCAGCACCTAAACTTATTTCAGGTGCCACCGCTAGTTTAGATGGGGAAGTACCAGGCTTCGCAGGAAGAGAAGGATGTAGTGGCGAACTGGTAATAGAGGAAAGCGGACGAGGTGCGGGAAGAAATGGCTCAATCTTCACTGATTCAGCAGTCGTTGGGGCAGGAGTAACAGGAGTATCCTGGGATAAAGTATCTGGCACCGCAGACTCTTTGGGGACTGCTGCAGCCATCTTTGCACGAGCCTGTGCAAGACGTTCTGCAGTTTTGGCGAGAGCTTTCTTACGTATCTCTATGCGAGCGTCTTCTTGCTTCACCTTCTTTACAAAGTCTTTGACGTCGCCAGACCTAAATTCAATGAATGCAACACATTAGAAGTGCACAAATGCATGAAACTTTAAAAGACTGAACTGGAAAGGATTTTGCAAATCATTCAGGTCTCTGTAGCCCATTTCCCAGATTTCTGTTAAAGGTTGTGAGCCAAGACTCCATTGCCATTCCTCTGGTTCTTCCCGTCTTTTAACCCGCATCTCTTTCGTGGCCTCCTCAAGCCCCACTTTCTTCCCGTCAACTTCTGTCCCCCATGGTTCCCGATCAAAGGGTGCACAAAGATCATTTTTCCACTTAACCCAGTTCTTCTCTCGTTCCAAAATGACATTCACCGTATCAGAAAAAACTGGCCCATTGGGAGCGGTTGATCGTAGTTCTGCGGAAGCTTTTGCAATGGTTTCTTGTACCCACTGAACTTCAGCAGTTTCAAGAGTAAATTCCATCTGCAGTGACCTATTCCGAGACGTCAGCCATGTTGCTTTGGCCGCCTTGGTAAAGGATAAGAGGTGGTTCAGGAGGATTAATAGCTGGAAGAGAAATTGGCGACGGAAATGGGTGTCAGCAACCTAAATATATGGATATAAGTTAATGTTAGCATGGATGCAAGCATATGACGAACCTCCAAATCAAGGAGATCTGGACTTGTTAGGAATTTAGCAAAGAAATATTCATTACTGCTAGCTTCCTCGCCCAGTTCTACCTCTCTCTTTCTTTTCAAAGAACTAGATGAGCCAGTAGCGGACCTACTGCCCATCAAAGCGCGATCCTTCGTCGTTGCTTCTTTTATAACAGGTAGAACCTTGTTAACCGCCTCCTTGAAATCTGGAAACGTGGTAGGCGTAGCGAAAAGAGGTGGCCTCGAAAAAGGAAGTTGAAGGGACCAGAATGTCGTATAGAATTCTATTATGTATGTGAGCGTCAGATCAAGGTGACTGTAATCAGACATACCACTACTGCTCTTATCCTTGACGCAGTCTACTGCACCCGTTTTGTCTTCGCCTCCCTCTTTGCTGTCATCCACTTCCATTTTATCCTCAGGGGTCTTTGGTGGCTCTGCAATTTCTACCTTGGTCTCAACCTCCTTTACTCCCTCCCACATAGGCCCATATTCTCCTCTCAAATTCACACCACTGCGTTCGCCCAGTGGAAACACGCCACTTAAGAACGTAAGTATGCGACCACAAAACAGAGTCGTGTTCCCCATCTTCGATAGTCGGCGCAACAAGTCGTTTAATGTGCGAAGGAGGATAAGGGCCTTGCCTTTCTGAGGTACCATCCCTTTGGTAAGGCGAGCGGCACGAGCCTCGATCCACGAGAATACGTGAGAGCATGAAGCTATGGTCTGCGTTTCGAGTAGATCTTGGAGCACAGTGAAAGGAAACGTCGCTTCAGAGGCATCTAGCAGGCCAGGGTCGTAAGCATTTCGCGATTTTCGCGTCAAACGTGAAACGAACCGTGTTCGGTGAATGTCAGGACGAGATCCAGTCTGTCTTTGAGGTCATCGTAATATGTCGTTTCTTCCTGCCTTAGAGCGCTTCCCTCTGTAGCCTGTCAAAGAATAAGCTATAGTTTGAAGATGGCGTGAAGATGGAAAGACGTACCGCTAGAGTGAATACCTCATTCCTAAGCAGATATTCCCATAAGCTTTTGAGATTCTCAGCCGAGGTATCTTTGCTATGTTTCTCTATTTGCTTTGTAACCAGTCCGTCAAGCGTAGCTTGGTGGTAAGGGTGTTTTGGAAAGGAATTGAGCACCAGCTGAAGACTTTGAGCCAGTGAGTCCATGCGAGTGAATAATTGTCAATAAAGGAAAGGATATAATCGTTCGGGTTAGGGTCACATATGTTTACCGTTTTTTGAGTCTCCGCGGTCCGTATACGTTCATGTCTTCCGAGTCCAATACTGCAGCAGACAGCAACCCAACGCCCAATGGCAGCACCACGGAGCATCCCAGCTTAGAATCTGACATCTCGCGGCTAACCTCTCTCCTACTCAATGACACTGCAATCGCAGAAGGCAGCGACCTAGCTGAGCTTTTAGCCCAGTTGGATAGTGCAGATGGTATGGCGAATGGCGTTGAGACTCGATTGGACAGTGTTCTCGAGAAATTGGATACATTATTGGAGGCTCTTGAAAGGAATGAAGATGGTTTGACAGCAGGTACCAACGTGGATTCGGGTGCCAGTGATAGCTCTACTGCGCAAACTAGCTCCGAGACCAAGGCCGCATCGCAGTGATGGTGAGTTTCTATGTGTCTTCGGTAGGGCATCATTAATATTTACCCAGATCGATGGTAGAAAGTACATATGAGATTTCCGAAAAGTATGTGCAGGTGATGTTCATCATCTCATGATCTGGATTATATTCTTACTCATATCCTAGCTCAGTAGTGATATATGGTAAAGTATAAAGAGTATAAAGAATAGTAGTAAACTTTCAATCTCAATTATTGATTGTCAATCATAAGCAACCATTATCTGAGATTGGGGAATGTCCTAGCAATTACAGCAATGCATGTAGTACAGCATGTAAGTGTATTGGGAAAGTAGTGTTAATAGTGTTACTAGTACATGCATGGATTAAGCATCAGCTTCCTCGAGATTCATTGGGTCAAATCGTTTAACAGTCTGTATAACTTCTGAGCCTTTCCTAGAAAACACAAGCTACGAGACAAAAGATCAGCAAGTTTGACCTAGTATGCATGATCGAACCAAGCTCACCAGGTAAGGATTTGCAGTCGAACCTGTGGTATCAGCTAAGACCTCGTCTTTAGGCACCTCCGCCACATCGGAGTCATTATACTTGAACCACATATCAGGCTGATCTGGTAAGTGTCGGGAGTAAAAGAAATAATGACCCCAAGATGGAGAAGATCCTCGATGGATAAAGACGGAGGTGAGCTCATACGCAACTTGGGTGTCTTCACGCCAAATGTCCTCTAATTCTTCTTTCAGCTTCGTGATACCAGCACGAAGCTCTTCAACTTCCAGCTTTACGACATCTTGCTCGCTGTTCATCTGTGCAATCAGTTCCTCGTCTACTTCAGGTAGAGCAATATTCTCCTGTCTTGAAAGGAAGCCAAGTGCACCGTCTAAGGCAGGTATGAATGGCGCGTGCTGTTGATTGTATGTTAGACATTATACTCTCGCCAGATAATGATATAGTATTAACCTTGTCTTGCGTTAGTAGCCGTATACGTTCTCGTCGCGCGGTAAGGTCCGCTTGAATGATTTTTGACCTTGCTTTCTTCTGAGAATCAGCAGAATCAAGGAAGCGATCCATGTAGATAGTTTCTCCAAACTTGACATATGCTTGTGATTTGTATGGCTGCAAGGTCTCGCGATTGAATTGGACTCGCTAGAAGAAAGAATGAGATGGATTAATAAGCGCGATGCAGGCACATACCTGAAGCTGGACTTGAAGCAGTGGAGGAAGATCCACCAGAGCAACCTCCATCCTTGCTTTATTCCCTTCATATTCAACAACATCATCAAAGTAGCCACTTAAACCATCGTAGATGTCGAAGCCATTATCCGCGACATTGATAGGTAAATGTGAGAAAATATCTTCTTTCTCGTGTATAGATGCTCGAGAACGACCCTCGATGCGCATAGGAGTTATGCGTTGCCGAATTTTGCCATAAAAGAGTCTGACAATAATTATCTAGTCAGATGATGTCCAAGACTGATCATGATAATATTTACCTCTTGACTACACTCCCTTTATCTTGCGACCCACTTAAACCATCAAACTTCAGTAGGGCCGTCTCTATCTGGAACATGCAATTATCCATACATTCGGAAACATCATGTTGCTTTCCTATTGAAAATCATGAGAAACAGAAACTGCATGCCCAGGTTTTGAGAATTTACCAAACATCATGATAGAATCAGATGCCATGTTAGTTTTCCTTGCAGGCAAGTGAGGTGGCTTTTGAGTCTCCACCGCTTGCGAGCTCTCGCGCATTTCAACGTCTTCAACTTCCACCAGCTTAGAAGTGGAAGGGTCCGCACTTTTTGATTGCGAGATGCTCTTGCGATGGGAACGAGGGGAATTTGACCGTCTAGGCGAATTCGGCTTTGATACTATGACGAACCCGGCCTTATCACCATCCGACTCTGATTTAGGACTATCTATAACCATGTCGTCCGCTTTTTGATCATCGCGAGGTCGCTTTCCCAATACAGAACTGGGCGAATCAGCGGAATGAACTCGCGTTGGACCATCTTCTACCAAAGTAGCATCTGTGTCGTTGGATGAATCCGTTCCTCCCCTGTCTACTTCTTCATCTTCTTCGTCCCTCGAGGTGACGAGAGCCAGTTTGGCCAAATCGATAGTGGGAGTGACTGACGCCGCTTCACAATACTCCAGTTGCCAAAACAAGTCAGCAAGTTGGCTAACAACTAAATGACATGTCAGTTAAACACAAGTTTCCAGAGACATTATCAGCGTACACTTCTTGGATCGTAGAATTTCTCTTCGCGTGACTAATCTACCTCCGACACGATGACGCTTGAGATCGTCGTCAGAAAGTTTCTCATCCTCTAAGGATTTGATGTCAATGTTGGCCATAGGTGCAACCGCTTCTCTCAGCTCCCTGATGGTATAGAAGTACTACTTGCTTTTTAGTATCATAAAGAAATGACAAAAGAGATGGGGATTACCTGTAGCAGAGAGTTCAGATAGCACGTATTGCCCAGCTGGTTCAAACCTCTTGGCAAATCTGGGCGAGTAGGAGCAATGATATCGCCCGCTACAGAGAAAAAAATCGTCAGTATGATTAATCACATGCAAAAAAAATGGCGAGAAACTCACGATCTTGACCAGTTTCTAGGAACTGGCGCAATCGAGCGCTATCCCTTGCTTCAGAAATTGTGGCCAACGCTTCTCGCATCTTATCGGTTTGGGCTGGTTGTTCTTCAATCTATGCATAATATGAGAATTTATAAAAGGTGAGAAGCTAAATTGATGCAAACCCTCATCAAGAACACTGTAAGCAGCATTGTTTCATCCACATCTTGCGGAACCTCAAGAACAGAGTAAGCACGAGAAGGGTTCATTTGATTGTGCTTCGAATCTGCCCATATACTGCGCAGTTTCGAGCTCCCCCTCGACTCGGCTATCATCCTGAAAGCATCGTTTGCATCTCTTTGGAGATCAGAGCTGTCCTGAGTGTCACGCCAAGCTCGCCTCACAGTGTCTCTCCAAGCTTGCTCCACAAAATCATCTGGAACATCGTCTTCAAGATCGACCCCAAGGGCTCCGTCTTTTCCAAAGCCAAGTGTTTTCGTTGCATTCTGTAGATCTTCATAAGTGTAGCGATAACGACCTCGTTCCTCCATCACTAAGTTTTGTAATTCTTGGGGAGGTATATCACCCAGATCTTGCATGGCTTTTACGATCCCGTAGAAATGACTAAAGTAATCTGGAGTACCAATGGGATTGCAGCGGCACTGTGCCATGTAAGCAAATGCAAGCAGTTCTGTGATGTATGAGGATGTATGAGGATGGCTAAAGGGACGGAAAGATTCAGCTAAACTTACCCCAAGAGTACGTAGTAGGTGTCAACCCAAGAGCTTTCCAAGCTCCACGAATCGGCTCATAATCCAGTAACGTGCCCGGTATCAAACCACGAGGAACTGTTTGCATAGTCAGATTGGTCACAAGAAGGAAGTCGAGGCTTACCTTGATCAGGATGAGCACCTATGGCGTTTTGATACATTTCCCGTGCACTTTCGGCTCGGACCCATAGTTGATGGGGAACATATGCCTTGAGTCCGATGGCTGTATTTTATCAGAAGGTAATTCAAGAAAATGATGGATATGATTCACCAAATCGGCGGTGGTAGTCTGTCAACCATGCACTAAGCTCTACCCAGGCACGCAGGAGCTTGGATCGATTCAGACGTCCTTCGGGGGTACGAGAGTCCGTCGACGGTGGAACCATAGCCATTTCTTCGCTGCCAGTTGAATTTGGAGATATAGAACTAAGGTGGAAACCAAGGTATTCGAATATCTCTCGGCTACAGGATGTTTCAGAACATATAAAAGTGGAAGTTACTATATATCATGCTCACACAATTGGTGACCATCCTAGCTTAGCTTGAAATGTCTTCCTGCCGATAGGTAGTGGGCGACTTTCTCCTTTCCAGAGCTTATTCTCGATAACCCTTCGTTACGATAAACATCGCATTACATAACGTGAAAAAAATGTAGACATACGTGATAAACGTTTCCCAACCTGCCATAACAGCTTCCTCGCTCTTCTTTCCTGGACTTGGGTTGCTGGACCTATCTTTTGTGAAATCGTCCATTAACTTTGAAGGAATAATTCCAGGGATCACATCTGATGCAATGCAGTACATCGAACACTGGCAACACACGTAGATGTCAAGGAGATCGCCCTCTTCTTCGTTATCCATGTCATCACCTGTACTTTCAGCTTCTCCTGTGACGACTGGACTCACTCCTTCCATACCGGTCAAACTGTTGACAGTCATCTTCCTTCGTTTCTGTTTTACTTGAGCAGCAACCTCCCATTCCGCGCGGCGGAAAGGCGGCATGAGCTGATGAGAATCTACGGCTTTTTCGTATAGATGGAAGTGATGCGTTTTGTTGACCTGGCCAAAAGGTTGTTCCCCATCGCCTATGCAAGAACTCGTGCGTTTACGCCGATTCTGGTCAGGAAAAGGATGATGAGGTTTGAATGATTTGGCAAGAGGAGGTAAGATAGATGATGATTTCCAAAGGAGGAGCACCCAGCCGTTATGCTTCCTGCAGTAATATGCATTAGGATGTGGAATTGAGTAGGTCAAGTCGTCAGCAGATGGTGGCGGAGATATATCTGAGGGAACATCGCTCCCTGAAGCAGGCGGAGTAGGCTTCAGATCCGGAGCAGTGACGCTCACTGAGAACAACGAATGATCGGGATGGTGTAACAAATCAGCCAGAACAGGAGGCAACATTCCTGGTCCAGGTCGTCCATTCCATACACGAACCGTGGAGTCCCACCAATTCAGCTCTTCATCTTCATTTCTTCCATCTATATCTACCTTTTTGGGGGTAGTAAATGTAGCATAGTCAGGGGCGGTGTCGTAGCCTCCTGACCAACCATGGTTGCTATCCCAAGCGCTCGTTTCGGGTTTCCAGTTGTATCCTCCTGTACCAGATGCCCATGAATCTCCAGAGGCCTCCCATTCGTTTGTCTGATCGTTCCAAGCGGTAGAAGCCTGACCCTGATCATCGGGAGGAACAAGACCAGGAACACGTCCAGCATCGTCAACAAGATCCTCTCCGACTAGCTGTGGCTCACGAAAGGGTGTCATCTCCAGCGAGTTGTACGTTGGTGGCGGCGTCGATGGAGGTAAGAAATTAGTGTGAGACGATCCAACATGGTTGGGCCGCAATGGTAATGGTGGTGGACCATAGAAAGTGGTGGGAGGTATGGGTGTTGGAGATATGACCGTTTCAGCATTCGATGTCGATGGCAGCGCTGTTGATGAAAGAGGACGTCGAGCTTTCTGGGTATCTTGGCCTTCCATGCTGGGGCGGGCAACTAGCGGAAAGTAGTGGTGATGGTAGTGTCGAACTTGAACGCAGCCCTTTTGTTCCTTTATAAGACCAAGATTGTTCGATGGCTGGGGTTTCCGAAACCATCAAGATCAAACAAGGCGCAGTATAGAAAAAGAGCTCAAGCCTTACAGAATAAAGGATAGCAGTTCAAAACACAGTTAATCAGGCTAAAGAGCTCGATTGGAGATGGCAGACGCGTATAACCTGTATTGGCTTATGTAACGGCTAACCCCCTCGGTATCGATGCGCAGGTGCGCAGGCATAGCACTCTTAAACTCCGTGTGATACAGCAGTCGAGCACAGATGGTATTCATTGTAAACAAGACAAGATCCAAAGGTATATCTCTACAGCTAAATCTACCATATGTCACTCAGAATTTGAAGACCTGAAGTAGGTTTTTGTGAGAAATGTTAGGCAACACTATAAATAACATCCATACCTGGTCCTCGTTGTAGCCCAGCTCCTTCAAAGCCCCAGTCAATGGCCCTTGCGATTTGATACCGGTCTTGTTTCCAGATATCGCAGCAACTTGTGGGGGAGGACCTATTACCGTGGATTGAACTGTCCATGTCTGTTATACTAACAAGAAGATCAAACATACCACAGATAAAGATCTTTACTTTGTCTCCCAACGACGGAGGTGCAATGTGCTGCTTAATGAGGTCTGCAGTAATAAAACCGCTGGGGCCTGACGATAGTGACTAGTGAGATTCATCGAATGTTATTAGGATCGTTCTACTTACCTTTCCAGTTAGCAGGGGGTTTGTCAAGAACATAAACGACATCGAAGTTATTAGGGTGCTTTTTCTTCAGTGCGTCGAATTCCTCGCGAAGAAGGATATCCTGTTCCGTGACATTGGCGAAAAGCAACTTGAACTTCGTCTTGTTGGTGTTGTCAGCAAGTGCATGAGCAAGAACTTGGTATAAAGGCGTGCTGAAGACTGGTGAAGCACGAGATTTATATACTAGAACTCTGCTTACATTCCGCTTCCTCCACCAATCAACCCAACCTCCTCAAATTCATTTACTGTATGAAGGTAAGTTGTTATATTCATATTTTCTCCAAGTCAAGACTTACTCTTATAAGGCCATTTCGGAAGAGGACCTTTGAAGGACATCTTGTCTCCAGGCTTCAAGGTGAAGAAGTATTTCGACGCATTGCCGGTCTCGTACTTCTTCACGAGAAGGGTAAGTTCTCCCTCCTGGTCTGGGTGCGAGATGGGGGTATATGGGCGGTATATAGGCTTGCCTTTGTCATCCTTCAGAGCGTCGGGGTCAGCAGCCTTGACATAGAGACACGAAGCCACGGGAAGCAAAGAGGCTTGGCCATCAGGAAGCTCAAAGATGAATCTAGTATAGAATAGATAGTACCTCGATTGATATCCGCTATAAGGCTGCTATTAACTTTTTGAACTCACTTCGCTGTATTGTGGTTGTACGGTTCGACCTTCTTGAGCTTGAAGTCCACGAATTTCTGTGGATCAAGAGGGCTTGTCTCCTGCACTTTCTTCGCTACTTTGGGTTCACTGCCTCCGAGATAAACGTAGGCACCGAGACCAACAATTCCAGCACCACCAAAATACAGAGGAAGTTTGGACGATTTTTTGGGCGCTGCAGCTTCAGCGGAATACCGGCGAGCGTTTGCAGCCTACAACAAAATTTAAGGATGAATAAAGGTGATTTCACGCAAAATACAAGTCGACACGTGCCAAAGACCGTGCTACGGTAGCGGCGCGTATGAAAGACATGGTATGCACACGCCAAAGGACAGAATATCAAAGGTCGTTGTAGGACAAAGGTCAAGTTCAAGTTCAGGAAACGTTCCGTGTCTTTCCGTTTGAGCAGACGAAAGCCTGAGAACACTTTACTGCAGTGCTAAGCAATTCTAAAAATCTCTCACCTCGTGCTTTATAACCCAAGTTTGTCAGCTTCTTAGACTAGAATAAATCTGATATATCAACGTAATAACCATTGGTTGAAAGAGAGTGAAATACATACCAATATCTCCAAGCCACCAAAATGTATAACACTTGCTCACAATACTCGAGCTTACTCGGCGATCGCACGATCTGTCCAACCTAAAACGACAATTTTTGCGAATTGCGGAGACGGACCCCCATCACCGTCGGAGAACTCCGTATTATATTATCTACTTCAACAAACAGTAGATATTTTTATATACCATTGGTGAACACGTCTATCACTCCTTTCTCTGCCTTTTTTTTTTTGGGCAACTGCGATTTGTAAATGCGATATTCAACTCGGATGTGACATCGGGTATTTGTGGAGGAACTGGTATTTGGGGTCTAGACTCCACAGATTTACTGTAGGACCCCGACTAACATCCGGAAAATTGGATCAAAGTTCTGGACACTTCTTGCCATTTCCAATTATAAGAATATAATTCGATTGCCACAAACAGGTGGACCAACAGGACGGTCATCTCTTCCTCCTCGTCAAATCCCAGTATTGTTAGTTTCTTGCTTTCCATAATCCCTTGCAGGTCCTTGTCATTGTTCTTGAACCCTCGGTCTCCCCGCAATCAAGATCTGCACAATGTCGTTTGTTAAACTCAGTATATTCGGTACCTCCTTTGAGGTAAGCACCGCTGTGTCTTGGAATCTGAACAGATAGTGTAGAATCGGAGTGATACATCGCTCTTACAGGTGACAACCCGCTACGTCGATCTACAGCCGGTAGGCATGGGTGAGCATGGCTCTTTCGTTGATCTTTTGGATTATCCGGTCTAATTACGACACTGGGGAAGGGGCATTTGGTCTCGTTTGGTGCGCTCATGGAGATATTTTCTGAAGCATCCCAGTACTAATTTTCTTCTGACAGCTCGGCAAAAGATCAGCTCACAGGGTCATCCGTCGCGATCAAGAAAATTATGAAGCCATTCAGCACCCCTGTTCTCAGTAAACGAACATATCGTGAACTGAAGCTGCTCAAGCACATCCAGCACGAAAATGTAGGTTATTGGCGGGCACATACAGCCGATATATCTTACTTGTTTATATCCACAGATCATCAGTTTAAGTGATGTATTCATATCACCGCTTGAAGACTTGTGAGTACCATTTTCCTTCCCATCTTCTTCTCATTGGAGCATTTTGCAGATATTTCGTGACGGAATTGCTTGGGACGGATCTTCACCGACTACTAACGTCTCGTCCTCTGGAGAAGCAGTTTATCCAGTACTTTTTGTACCAAATTTTGGTACGCAGCGACCCTGTACCTTTCTTTGATGTCGCTCTTATCTTGTACAGCGTGGACTCAAATATGTTCACTCCGCCGGTGTCGTTCACCGTGATCTTGTAAGTCTCGCTATTTTTGATGTGCAATCATGCAGTATAAATCATTTCGGTACAGAAACCAAGCAACATACTAGTCAACGAGAATTGTGATCTGAAGGTTCGAAAACTCGTCTAGTTGATTTTCCACATTAGTCACCCCGTTCGTTACCTGCTCAGATCTGCGATTTTGGTTTAGCAAGGATACAAGATCCACAAATGACGGGTTATGTTTCGACTAGGTATTATCGTGCTCCAGAAATCATGTTGACCTGGCAGAAATACGACGTCGCCGTCGACATCTGGAGTACAGGATGTATATTTGCTGAAATGCTTGAGGGAAAGCCATTATTCCCTGGAAAAGATCGTGAGTCTCCTCTGTTGGAATTCACAGTACGACGCCTGAACCTCCTGGTCGTAAGACGTGAACCAGTTTTCCATCATCACGGAACTCTTGGGTACCCCACCCGATGATGTCATTGAGACAATCTGTAGTGAAAACGTGGGTGATCATCTCGGCATCTTTATAGGACTTTTTTCTCATGATCACAAACATAGACGCTTCGCTTTGTACAGAGTTTACCAAAGAGAGAACGTGTTCCATTCAGCCAGAAGTTACGCACCAAAGATGAAGATGGTATGCCGCATCGGCTTTTCATTCTTGAAATATCATCTAATCATATTTATAATTTGTAGCATTAGACCTGTTGGAGAAGATGTTGGTGTTTGACCCTCGAAAACGGATAGATGCTACGGAGTCCCTTGCCCACGAATATGTCGCTCCCTACCATGACCCAACTGACGAGCCAGTTGCTGTCGAGAAATTCGACTGGAGTTTCAACGATGCCGACCTCCCTGTAGATACATGGAAGGTCATGATGTATAGCGAAATACTTGGTAAGGACTCCTTCCTTCTGGGGAGAAATATCTCATCGCATCATGGTGTCTCACAGATTTCCACCAAGTTGGCGAAGCAATCACTTCCGCTGGCGGTATTCCCGAGGGTGCACTGGCAGGACCTCAGACCACGGCTGCGGCAGTCCCACCAACTGAGTAACCAGATGGATCAAATTTGACCCTTTTATAATTGGTCGCTTCACCAGTATTTTCTTGGTTCGAACAATCGACTCCTTCTTTTGACGGCCTTGACTTGTAGACGCCTATTTTTTTTATTCGCCCCCCCCAAGTTCAAATTTCCATCAATATTTCTACCTCACTCTTTCCAGTGTCTCCAGTGACTGTGCTACCCCTTCCCTCGCTGCGCTATGTTTTTCTCCTGGAAAGTAGGTTCAAAACATCGCCATTTTTTGACTGTATACTGCTACACATAGTATCGCCTTCAATACCTACATCCTTTGTACTTCCTCGTATCCTCTATCAGCCCAAGTAGTTTCTTTTAGCAATGTAAATCTCGCAATACACGTACGGGTAAATCTCGAGATCAACTTTGTGACTTCTCGCAAAATATTACATGCATGTCACGTGTGCGGTTCGCGCTCACCTGTAGTTATGGGCGCCTACAAGGCATGGTTTTCTACGTTCCGTGGTCTGGTAACTGTGCAATGCACGTTGTGTGCACGCTGTGATAGGCCTTTAGACGTGTCTCATCGACGCTGAATCGAATACGCGTATACCCTATACGTGATAACATTGCTTTAGGTGGAAATTTTCCTAATATCCTATGATTCCTGAGCTAGACTGACAACTTAAATGCAATTACGCTCTTTCAGTCAACGTCCAATAGCCTCGTTTCACTAGCAATACACTCACGAGCGGGTTGGCATAACTTTAGTATACAATATCTGACTCAATGCCGCCTCGTCGTCGTCCGACTGCTTACGAGATAAGCTTTCCCGATGAAGCTCAAGACGGTAGTGGCACAGACACTAGCGGCACTCAGAGCGGCCGAAAACGCAGCCTCGATGGTCTGTCTGACCAAAGTGTTCGTGTGAGTACAAAAAAAAAACGCCTGACCCGAATATATGCTGAGTATATCGGACACCTAGGGTTCTAAACGCCGTAGTCTTGGTAGTTCTCGTCCTCTGGCAGGTGTGTGAAACACTGACAGGATATATTACTCAGAATTTAGTTAATCAGATATTGACAGTGAGCCACTACCATCACCAGCCAAATGAGATACGTGAGACGAAAGACTTCGTGGTATTCGGCGAAGATCCCGATGAAGACGACGACGGTTCCAAACCCGTCAGGTCACTTTCCGACTTCTCCATCTTTGACCCCAATCATGACAATGAGATGGTTTTATTGACGGCTCTGGAAGAGGACGATGGAGTTATCGATCGTCACTTCGAGGGTGCAGGCATCGTCGCTCCCATATTTGAAAACGACGAGGACGAGGGTCAGGAGGACGGCTTAGAGGAAGAATTGGAACCGCAGTTGATACTCCTCGGTGCAATATTACGCTATGACTTCGATTTCACGAAGCGAGATGAGTGGGTGGACTATAGATTGTGTGTAATATTTGGATATCTGACTTTCTATTCAAGCCCAGTATATATCGAAACGGAGCACTCTTGGTATCAGCTCAAGGATCCATCGCGGAAATACCTTCGTTACTTGCGCTCATTTTTGGGATCACGACGAATAGTGCAACTGGTTATCTCATCAGCCTTGAAAGAGCCTAACCGAGTGTATAAAGACTTTCTTCAAGAGTTTTTAACATTGGACATACTGGGGCATCCCCTAGAAGAAAAGGACTTATGGGCTGCAGTAAGGCTAGATACTTTGTTGTGGCTACTTATCACTTACTTTCGGTTTTAGGTTCCTGATCTCAGCCTGGCCTTGGAGACTATAGAAAATCCTGATAGAATAGCAGAGTCGCCTCTTATTCAACATCTTCAGCGTAAAGCACCGACGGCTCTTCCTAGAAGGGCGGGCCCTGCTGCTACGCGGATTGCTAGACCTTCCTTCCCCAAACGGCCTCTTCACAAACTTAACGGAAATTTGGACCTAGCTGTGCTTCGTACGGAGAACCAGAACCCAACCCATGTTACACCGCTTATAGCCCAAATGGCAACAGGTTACTTTAAAGAACACTTGATTGTAATTGGACCACGTCCAAAGCCGTTGTCTGAAGCACCAACATATGATCCACTACTGAGAATGCGTAGATTTATAGAGCGAGCCGCAGTTGAAGAGCGACCAGTCCACATCCAACCGGAACAACGGTTGAAGCCAAGGTCCCGCTGGCTTCGATGTGTTCAGATTGGTGGTGTAAACTACTCGGTGAGTTTCGTTGGTGTGCTACTTTGCTGATATGCATCCTTAGCTTAGATAGTTAGGTGACGTCGTCGTGGTTGCAATTGGCCAGTACGAGAATAAAAAAGCCCCCGAGTTGCCTCATCCGAAGGATATTCCTCCCAAGGCCCATCTAGCTGATTTCTTTTGGTAGGTCATCTACAACTACAAGTCCGATATGTATTGCTTATATTCCATCAGGTTTGCCAAGATTATATACCTTGACGGAGAACACGAAACAATGCATGTTCTTTGGTTCGAACATAGCACAAAAACTGTTTTGCAAGAAATTAGCGACCCACAAGAGCTCTTTTTGACAGACATATGTAATTCTCTTGCCTTTTCGCTGATTGTGGGCAAAGTCACCGTCCATTTCCCGGACCCCTTAACGAAACTTCCGACATTCAAGCCACAGGATTTTTATTGCAGGTTGGTTTCCAAGCGGTGACACTCATAGTATTTCTAAATATGAGTCTAGGCTCGTTTATGACTGCAAAACTGCATCCTTCACGGATATCAACGCAAGACAAGCATCCTTAGCAGTAAATAGTGCACCACCGGATAACTGCCCTGGTTGTCTGCTCGTCGAGCACAGAGATCAAGAACTGTACGGAAAAAAGATAACCAATGGCGTAGCATGGCATGGTGTCAGTTATCACATCAATGACTTCGTTCTCATCAAGGCGAAAGAGGGCCCATGTCATGTGGGTCACTTGACGAGCATCTCATTTCCAACTAGGTTGCGGGAGAGTGATGAACCCAGCGTTAAGGTCAAATTATTCGGGCGCATGGACAAGCTCGGACTGCGCCCACACAATATAATCAAAGACGAGGTTTGTCATCTTATTTTTTATTGTTTCCACCGCCCCTGTTCAATGTACTGTATTGTCAGCGTCACTTGTTCGCCACTGATGATGAGATGGAAGTCGTATTATCAGACCTGCTCGGACTATGCTTTGTGTATCCACACAATTCACTACCAGATCCCAGAGCTTGGCTATTAGCTGCACCAAACCATTTCTTTGTCCGGTATCACTTCCCCTCCTTAGACGTACGGTCTTGGAACCAAAGGAGGGACATGGAGCCGCACGAACTTCTCATATGCAAAACGTGCGTCCAGGAAAACTTAGACAAACATAATACTTTGAAGGAGTTTATGTCCAATGCTCGACGACGACCTCTTCGCGCATTCGATCCTTTTGGTGGATCAGGAGCATTTGGATTAGGTCTGGAGGAATCCGGTTGTATAAAGGTGACACATGCAGTCGAAATTTCACCTAGTGCTGCAAGGACCATGAAGTACGTATTTGCCACATATATTATATGCGCAACTTATTGGATCTATCGTAGGCGCAATTGTCCGGATACCACTGTGTACAACCAATGTGCAAATAAGATATTACAGTGGGCTATAAAGAAGCATGAAGGGCTTCCAGTGGACAGGCTTAAGACTATAGACAATAATAAGAACCTACCTCCGCCTCTTCGACCAGGGGATATAGACTGTATAGTAGCTGGGTTTCCATGGTGAGTGATGGTTCTGCTGATATTCGCGATAAGCTCAATTCTGTCCAGCCAGCCCCACTCTCGGCTGAATATGTACCAGAAAGCCAATGACCTAAAGAGCAATCTCATCCTCAATGTCTTATCTTGGATCGACTTTCTACAGCCTCGGTACTGCATATTTGAGAACGTTCGCGGGTTCCTTCAGTATAACCTCAAGGCTCATCAGGTTGATGAGCATAAAGTTGCGGGAGGCATTGAAATGGGTGGCTTGAAATTTGTGATGCGGGTGATGATTGCTATGGGGTACGTATTGCTTTGAATCGTGAGACCAATACTTCTTTACACGTCATACAGTTACCAAGTTCGTGTTGGCTTGCTCCAGGCCGCACATTATGGTACTCCACAGACCCGCGTCCGCTTTTTCCTTGTCGCGTCGAAGCATGGCTACCCGTTACCAGAACTTCCTCAACCATCGCATGACTTCCCTCTTGTAGATAGTCTGGAGATTAAGTTTCCAAACGGTCACTATGTTCGTCCCATCAAGTTCATGAACGGGACAGCGCCCCATAGTTATGTGTCTATTGATGATGCAATACACGATCTTCCTTTATTCGATTGGTATGGCCTCCGTATGTGTCTAGGGCGACCTAACTCACGCAATGTGTTCTATCTAGGAGCAATCCGGACCGTGCTGGCAGATCTCGCCAAGATCCGGAAACACGCGATGATATCAAGCAAGTCAAGTGCGACAAGCAGAAAGCTTGGTGCGGTCTCCGTGGTCAAGCGGTATACCGACATGAACCACGCACGGCCTTCCAGCTGTGGTGCCGACGGAAACCAACTGAAGACCTTCAGCAATACACTCGAACTTACCTTCCTATCAAGGTGAAAAGGTGAGCCTGATTTGCCATATATGTATCCCAAACTCAGCATAGCTAACGTATATCCAGAGTGAGGAGTATCCCTCTCAAAGCCAAAGCGGATTATAGGGGTATGTGCACAGAACACGTCACAAACTGCTTGCTCATATAAAACTTCATAGATATGCCTTCTGCTCTTTGGGAATGGCAAACGGCGAATCCTGGTTCTGCAATGGCTAGATCTGGGTTTAGACCTGGTAATCCAACTACATCTCGTCAGATATGTATCGGTGTTTCTCATCAATTTGTAAAATCCAGGTCTTTATGGGCGGTTGGATAGAAGTCTCTGGTTTCAAACCACAGTGACTAACGTTGATCCCACTGCAAAGCAATGTCGCGTCTTGAATCCATATGTAAGTTATCCTTATTGTCAAATACGAGATATAATCTAATCTCTTTTCTTTATAGTGTATGCGGATCGTAACGGTACGGGAACTTGCAAGATCGCAAGGATTCCCTGATTATTTCACTTTCTACGCTGACGGCGATAACGTAATAACAGTTAGTTTAAGTATACCAAGTGCATCTCTTCTCCCGTTCTAACTGATATTCCTTTTCTTTTACTGCTAGATGCATCGCCAAATTGGCAATGCAGTCCCTTGGCCCGTGTCACTCGCATTGGGCAGAGAGTTACGTTCTGCTTTGATCAAAAAATGGGAGGCTGATCGCGAGGGCGCCATGGTTATGGACTGAATGATGGGATTGGGGATGGATAATCAGAACATAATCTTAGATTTTCATAATCACACATCGTAGAATAAAGCACATACTATCATTGGTCGTAAATCCACTGCGTTCCTATGTTCGCAAGACTTTTAACCCAGTCATCCATCCTCGGCGATCTCATAGCCCACCCACACGACTTCAGAACAGCTGGTGCAGCCCACCAGATGCTGACCTTTATCCATATCCTCTTCACCAATCCGGTATTGACCTCCGCATCGACAGCCATACGTCCATAATCCACTTTCGTCGTCAGGACCGGTATCGCTGAAATCTTCTAGTGAGATGATCTGAGCAGGTCTGGGTCCGCTGGGCTTGCGATTTTGGGATAGTTGCGCATCGTATGTAGCTCTTGACGATGTAGACGCAAGTGTCGTGTATGCTTCCTTGATCAAGGCGATGTCTGCTGTCGGGACGTTGGCAGCATTGACACGTTTGTCTGGGTGAGATAGCAGGAGGGCACGGTGGTACGCAAGCTTGATATCGGTAGCTGAAGCTGTTCGTGGAACTGCCAACAACTGATAGAAATCTATGTGTGGAGAAGAATCCAGTTTGACTCCCTGCAACAACTTGAAGCTCAAAGAATAGATTCAAGGGTATGATGGAATTCTTCAAGAAAGTGAAATTAAATAAATGCTGCCACAAAATCAGATCTAATCGTTCGTTATCGTATCTAACCTACTACCAGTCCATCCGAGTCCACTTGTATATACATAAGATTATTAAACGACTGATGCATACAGCTAACCAGTCCCAGCATATATGATTAAAATGAATATCCGAGTAGACCTGTGTAGTTCTTTTTAAGCAGGTAACGAGCGTGAAAATTATAACGGGTGGCAAGGCAATGTACGGTCTTCCAGCTGCCCCTTGCAGTCCATGATCTTGATCAAGCATCCTTTCGTATACCACTCTCCTCTGATGCGAAGAATGAGCAAATGCACTTCTGTCGTTTACATGATGATGCAATCTTTGTTGTTGTGCTTTCCATTCATCGTATCGCCCACGTCTCTGCTGATAACTGACCCAGGACCACCGGGATGGGGCATAGGCGTATTTGTGGCTCCTTTGAGCCGTTGGGAAGCACGCTTGTCACCTAGCTCTGCTGCCTTCTTGTAGTAGGAGAGAGATCTATAAAGGGAGGGGAAGTGAGTAGCGAGTAATAAGAAGAAACTGATGCAAAAATAGCGTTGTGCGAGTAGGCTAGACGTACTCGGACATATTCGGGGGCGTACCAATGCCGACTTCCAAGAAGTAGCCCACGGCATACATGGCTTTTGCAAGACCTGCATCAGCCGCTTTCTTCGCCCACAAGAATGCCTCTGTATCCGATTGGGGGAGGACACCCGGAGAGCCGACTAGGTACCACGCTGTCAACGCAAAGCATGCGTCTCTGTGGTTCTGTTGAGCAGCAATGTTCTGTTATGGTGAATAGCTCGTCAAGTAGAGGTACGCTGAGTAAAAGAATTGCGCACATAGTAATGAATAGAGAGCGCAGGGTCCTGGGGACAACCCATTTTGCCATATTCGTAGCACTCCCCCAAGCGATGTGCAGAGGGCGCATATCCCAATTCGGCACCCTGAGCGAGCAACTCTACCGAGTATTCGACGTCGATGAAAACGACGTTCTCGACACCACGTTCGTGAAGAAGCGCCAGCTCGTGCAATGCATGAGGGAACTCTGCATTGGCGTGCTCTGCAGAGCGTTTGAGCCACTTGACACCCTCTCTGGGCCTCTTTGATAACCCTAGTTCTCCGTTTAGCTCTGCGATGCCAATACGATACATGGCGCCAGGATGCTGTGCTGCAGCGGCTTTACGGAAGAACTGAAGGGCCTTGGCGGATTCACGGCGGCAGCCCCATCCGTTTTCGCAACAGGTGCCGGCACGATAGGCAGCATCTGGATGGCCGTGCTTAGCAGCTAGGACAAACAAGGGATATGCACGATCAAAGTCTTGTCTGTTTTTCACAGTGCCGAGACCGTTTGCGTAACAATCTGCTAGGAAATATTGTGAAGCTGGGTGACCTCTGTCTGCGAGACGCTTGAGCAACGAGGTGGCCTCGTGTACGAGATTCTCCCGCTTCTCGACTGCTTTCTCGATTTCCATGACGTTTCCAGGAGTGGGGGTAGGGATAGGAAAAGATTTGGAAGCGTCAATCATGAAGACGGCGAACTCGAACTGCAAATCGGGGTCTTGGGTCTTCTTAGCATTTGCACGATAAAGCTCAAGGGTGCGCTCGTATGAGAGGAGGGATGCTTGGTTACCGGGACGGAGGTGTGAGTGGTCTAAGATGGGGCCTTGCGGGGGGGAGGGAGATCGTACTGATTGGGTGGCGATGGAACGTGGGGGAAGTGCTTGCTGATCTGGATAACTGTTATTCTGCTGAGATATAAAGAAATCATCCCCATCCTGGGGTGAAGGAGGACCGTTGTCGTCGACTTCGTATTGATCATACTGTTGCTGTGGTAATATGCGTGGAGAATCTGTGAAAGAGCGCGGCTGACCCCTTGGTGGCCTGCGATGCTGTTCTGGTAAGGCATCTGGAGATGTCTGATGGTTTCCACTGTAGAACTCTCTCGAGCTCATCGAGTCCATGCGTGGGTTATATTCAGGCGTGTAGAACGAGTTTGGCCGTGACTGGGCCTGAGTGCCATACATGGTGGTGAGGGCGAGGAATATTGGACAGAATGGAATAAGCTGGGAGGGATATTGTTATGAAAAGCCCCAAAGTTGCAGCCACGGTCTTCGTTTGAACCCGGAATACTTGTGCTTTGCTTAAAATACCTGGCACTGCCGTTCCAAAGGTCGTGGTCGCCGACAGCAGCGAACTAACAATCCCATAAATGCCTCCATCACTCCTGCCGAACTCGGCACAGTCCGACCGGCTCGGTGGCGGACAGTACCAGTACCTGCAACTGACACTCTAACACTCCTTACTCCTGACCACCATGCAGTCCCTCCGCACTCGCAGACCCTCAGATTCTCGCCAGGTAAAACGCTCAGCATCAAAGCTTGCAAAGCCCATACCAAACAAAAATGCCCGCAAGTCCACCGTCGACGACAAGATCAAAAAGCGCATGTCACTCAGATATGCTGAAATATCCGCACCTACAGATGCATTTGTCCCCGCTGTCCCCACCATCCCCATTGGGTTGCGACCAGGAAACCAAAATGACCAGGACGAGATTGTGCTCGACGTGAAACAGATCCATGAGGACCCGAGAATCAACGATAATAAACTCCTCGATCAAGATAACTTTGACCCAGATGCCTGTGAGCTTTCTCGGCGCTGCTCGTCTAGCTCACGCGTTTACCCACAACCAAACAGTTCTCAAAGTAAAACTCGCAAATTCTACCGAGGCCGAATTGAAGTCGCTGCAGTCTTCGCTTAGGGCATCAAAAGATGATACCGCTGTTGATCTACAGCGTAACGTGTTCAAGAAGTATGCTCTATTTCAGGTCACGTAGCCTTGCATATATTGATTAGAGCAACAGCTATGCAGAATTTGTACTTATTTCGAAGGAAATCAGCGTACTTGAAAACGAAATGCTAGAACTGAAGGAAAGCCTTGCAGAATGGAAAGGCATGCCATCACTTCTGCACATCGACGAGTCAGCCTCGGTAGCAGGTACAGTACTTCTATAACAGCCAACTGTGCCAGTTTAATAACATATTTCCATTTCATCCAGAACGTAGACGAAACGTTCGATCCTCAATCGCGGATCTACGCGTGCTATATGCTAACCAAATGCAAACCCTTCACACCCAAATCGAAGGGTCTGCAAAGTTTGCGCCCACTACCCCTGGTCGTCACGTTATAATAGAGATGGATGGCATATTCTCACTCAATGCTGCAACTTACAAGGTCAACAATACCGTCAGGTTTGTCATTCTTGATGATGCAGTGTTGGTGGCAAAACGTCGCCGTCGGAACAACGCAGAGAGTGGCAAGTTGGTTGCCGAACGGTGCTGGCCGCTCAACGAGATGCTCGTATTGGATACCAAGGACACAGCTAGTGAGTTTAGAGAACAACGCTGTACCAATTCGGGTAACAAGGACTTATTCAAATTTGAAGTGATGACAAACGTGTTCAAGATCAGACATGGCAAGGAGACGCACGTTTACAGAACTGAGACACCATCGGACAAGAAAAGCCTGTTGGGCCAATTCCGTCAAGTAGCCGAAGAACTAGCAATCAAGAAACGCAAAGAACGTGAAGGAGAGCATGAGCGGCGTAAGACTTTGTGGGTTGGTGGTGGCAGCGATGTAAGCAACATTACTCATCGTTTAGACGCTGATACTGACAAATCGTAATCAGCGTGCATCAGCCGTGTTTAACATGGATCAAATTCCTTCTGGGCCAGAATGGATGGCAGAATTGGCAGAACGTGCTGGCGTGGAAGGGAGTACTGCGAAAGACAAGGCTGAACGCGATGCTCGCTGGATGGGAGAGTTTGCCGATGATTTAACCGTAGCAATTGCCCTCCGACAATGGGATCAAGCTGTCAAACTCGTTGAACAAGGTCAGTGTCAAAATAACAGGCACATATATTTACAGCCTCTCATCCCCAATTTTAGGAAAAGCAAAATTGGCCGTGACGCCATCTTTAGCTGCAAAGCTGACTCCACTTACGGCTTCGCTAACCAGTTCACTACTCCAGGCGCTGTCATCCCCAAATAATCGTAAATCTGTCATTGTCAACATCGTATCCCATTTGCTCCGTCTAAACGCAGGTGCTGCGGCCCGCAGCACATTTTTGTCTGCACGCACGGAGGCTATGCGGAAGTACATTCGCGCGATCAGGTTCGAAGGGCACGTTGGAATGTACATCAATGATCTCTCAGTAGTTGTTTTCACTGGCATTAAACATACTGCCGATTGGTTCCTGGCTAGTTTCCAGGAGAGTGAGATGGCAAGTGGTAAGTGGCGTGTCATAAAAACTTGTCTATCCGTAATTAAAATCTCGACAGGCTTTATTGATTGGGCAAAGAAGCAGATAGAGGCGTATGCGGAGATGTTCCGTAAACAGGTTTACAGTTCTGATGTCGAGACACAAACCGTAGACGAGGCTTTGCGAATTACTTATAGTCAGAGCAAAAAGGTAATTTTCCGATTAATCACCACCGAGTAAGCTTTTACCAGATAACTCACGCTTCTCACCAGCTCCTCCAAGAATACGGACTTGATTTCCGCTTCCTGTTGGATGCACTTCTCGTCGAGAATCCAAGGGATAAATCATCTCCCCCACCATTCCACCATTCCCACCCTCCCTCAATGTCCGAATCTTCCTCATCAAGAGCCTCAACCCCAACGCCCGATTCTTTCTCATCAAGAGCCTCAACCCCAACACCCACCTCCCGCTCACGAACCCCCCAACCACACTCCTCCTCCGCCATCCCACCCGTCCCGCCATTACCCATAGCAGGATCTCCAACGCCCAAGGCCTCACGGCCTGTCACGCCAACCGCCCTGTCACCTATGCCTGTAAGGCCGAGTTTGCAGAGCATGGCTTCGGATGGGTCTATTCGACCGCCGCCGCCGCCACGCTCGGCGAGGGCTAGTCCTGCGCCGCCACCGCGCTCGATGAATAGGCCGGGGAGTTCGGTCCCTCGTCCGTTGCCTGCGGCCGCTCCAAGGGAGGGCATGTTTTGATATCGTGCTTTGTCATTTATTCGCTTTTCTGTGTTATAGATTACTTTCATCTATAACTTTCCTTGTTATGGGTCTTTGGAAACCTCGGCATTAAGCACCCTGTCCATGATAGGAATCGTAATCAGATTATGATATATCGGCCCCTTTATCATGTACCTTCAACTGGAGCAACTTTTGGACTACCCGATAGAACGGGATACCCTCCTTGAATTGCATCTTCGAGTTGTAGAATGCGACAGCAATTCATCTCATGCCAATGGAGTATTATATGTCAGATGTTGATGTTATAGCATCAAGCATCAAGCAGGAGCTGCAAATATTGTTTTTAAAGTTACATCAGGTATAATACAATGTTGATATATATGAATGCGATGTGGGCCAATCAAGAATCGTTGTCCTCTATATCAACCAGCTCTCGCCCTTCCTCTACCATTTCACCATTCTTACATCCCACAGCTTTCACAATGCCTGATACGTCAGATCTGAGCACGGTCTCTGTCTTCATGCTCTCCAGGACGACCACCGGCTGTCCTTTCTCTACTTTATCACCGACCTTCACACGTACCTCGACGACTAAACTTGGCATTGGTGCCCTCAGTGCGCCCTTGGCAGCATTAAGGACATCGCCTCCGAGAGAGAGGAGCCACTTTGGAGAGGGAAGGACAAGCGTGGTCTTCTGTCCTCCGCTAAATATATGTAATCGTTCCATAGTGTTAGTCTGGAGTGAAGCTGGGACAGCTGGTGGAGGCGGCTGCGATACTATAGTTGTCTCGCTTGACGCGGAGTTGAGCGTACTGTTGAAAGTGGTCGGTGACACTAAAGAAGCAGGAACTGATGTAAACGAGGTCCTGGAAGCGCCACTCTGGACATCGACGTTGAAGTGCCCTGGCTGTTGTGCCGATTTGACATGCACCGTGATGGGCTCTGCGGAGCTGTCGTCCTTCTGTAGGGTGATGATACGCTCGTACTCGTCTCCCCCAAATCGACGGGCATGGAGAGTAGTCCAAGGTGACGACGGTGAAGATGTTTGACTTGAATGTTCTCTGAGGGCAACAAAAAGAGCAGCTTGTGCTAGTATTTCTGGAGATGGGTCCGAGATAGGAGGAAAGAGCTCATCAAAGTGTTTCTGCCACGGAAAGAAATATCAAGCATGTGTCAACGAGAGTACCGAAGATATGCACATACCGGAATAAACCCTGTCTCTACATCTCCGGCAATGAATGCATCGTTACCAGCTAGAGATCTCAAGAATTCTACGTTGGTTGAAACGCCAACAACCTTATATTCCTCAAGGCCTCGACGGAGCATGCGCAGCGCTTCCTTGCGATCACGTCCATGGACGACAAGTTTCGCAATCATTGGATCATAAAATACGCCAATCTGCGATCCTTGCGTGAACCCCTGTTCCAGTCGCAAGGAAGGTGCCATCACTGACGATGTACTGCGTGATGGAACGAGGGGTGCAGAGGCATCTGATGAGGCGGAGGATCCCGCAAGGGGAAGAAGTGTGGGCGCGAATACGTGAGTGGGGGTAGGCGTAGAAAGGTATAAGAGTGGGCCAGAGTCGGGGAGGAAGTTGTTTCGTGGATTCTCTGCATATATGCGTGCCTCGAAGGCATGGCCAACCAGAGGAATGGCTGACTGTGATAGGGGGAGAGGGTTCCCGGCAGCAACCTATGAGTTCAATATCCAGTCAGATTTGTTTGTTTTTTAGATAATATCGTGTAGAAATGCCATCACCTCTAATTGCCATTCTACGAGGTCCAAACCCGTGACCATTTCCGTAACAGGATGTTCCACTTGCAATCTGGTATTCCTGCACAGAGATTTAGTTCTTTCAAATCGTAAATATGGACAATGAAACATACATTTCCATGAAGAAGAAATCTTGAGTATCATTATCGAAAATGAACTCGACAGTGCCTGCGCCAACATAGTTCACTGCCTTAGCAGCAGCAACTGCCTTTGCACTTAGGTCGGCACGCAATTCTGAAGTAAGACCAGGTGCGGGCGCCTGATCGAGCGACCCATGAATACAATTCAATGAGACATCAGCAAGAAAGTCAGTCAGTTGCCTCACCTCTTCAATGATCTTCTGGTTCCTTCTTTGCACGGAGCAATCTCGTTCCCACAGGCTGACAACCCCACCTAAAGTATCCGCAAAGACCTGCACTTCGACATGTCTCGGCCTCACTATGTACTTCTCCACCAATACGTTGTCGTCGCCAAAGGATTTGAGAGATTCACGCTTCGCAGATTCAAGTGCTTCTTGAAATTCTTCAGCAGCGTGAACAGTACGCATGCCTTTTCCACCACCGCCGTGAATGGCTTTGATGAGAACAGGGAAGCCTAAGCTGTGACTTTAGACCTCATATATGCGTCATCACGAATTTTGTCATCAAGGAGTTACCTATACGCTGTGCTTCTTCAAATAGATACTGCGGGTCTTGGTTAGTTCCATGATAACCTGGGACACAAGGGACACCAGCGGCTAACGATAGTTGCGCATATATGCCTCAATCGACTGGGACTTGATCAAGCTATTGAACTCATACCTGACATGATGTTCTTTGATTCGCTAATCCATAGACATTAATGAGACTACATTGTAACGTTAGTAAAAGCTGTCGTACCTTTTCGATCCCATGCTGACAATAGCGCTAGAAGGTGGCCCTATGAATACTATACCTTCCTCCGCTAGCTGTTCTGAAAATTTCGCGTTCTCACTCAAAAATCCATACCTGAGAGGGAATAAGTTGCAAGACCTTGAGCTTGCATTCAAACTTACCCTGGATGCACGGCCTATATAATTAAGGATTCAAGATGATAGGTTTTGTCCCCTAAAATGAATGATTATTTACCTGAGCTCCACTCCGATGGCAGACTTCTATAATCTTGTCCATACGAAGCTTTACGCAATGTCAATCGAAAGGTTTAAATCAGTTTGTCTCGATACTTCACTCACATAGCTCTCCGAGGATGGTGCGGGACCAATACAGTATGCTTCATCAGCCTGCAAACTTCATGACTACGGCCGTCCAACATTCATCTTGGAAACTCACTTGTTGAACATGGAGGGAATTGGCATCTACTTCGCTGTATACAGCAACAGTTTTGATCCCTAGTTTCTTCGCTGTGCGTATGACACGGCATGCAATTTCCCCTCTATACTCGATGGCTTGTCAAAGAGCTCTCGAGAGGGAATGTGGCTAATACCTGTTTGCTATCAGGATCTTGTCAAAGTGAGGCTTTGATGAAGACGACGATAGGAGGTCTATGTGCATATGCTTGTGGATTTGTGGATGAACATTGGAGTCTCATAACTACTGACCTGTGCTAACAGTAGCGAATCCTCGCTGAGGGCCTCTATGTCTGTCCTGTGTGATACTCCTCGCTCTAGACACAACATCTTGTCGAACAGAAATAGCTGAACTCTGTGTATTCCTTGTAAACTTCTTCCCTGCTTTCAGCTTGTCACCAGTCTGCACTCGAGGCGCGAGAAACGGCTGTGCAGCTGAGATGCTGCGTAGGGAACGAACAGCTGAGCGATTTGAAGGTATCATGTACGAAGCTAGTTCCTTGTGCTATCTTGTTCTCTGGGTTAGCAATGTTACACTGGAGGTAAGGACGAAGAGGTAAATGTCAACGTCCGGTTATGACTGTCCCAGGTTCCCGCATTTACAAGACCTCTTTTGGCGAGATCCTTCCGTTCACGTGAATCACGGATCATATATGCGCGTCGCGTCGCGTCGAGATCCAGTGATGATAAAAACAAATAATAATGTCTGCAGCAAGCCTTGGTCCGCAGAGCAGATTAGATACAAAAGTAGGAGGTTACAAATTATCGAGTTTCTATCGTAGCTTTAAATCATGATGATAATACAGTCAAGCTTCATCATCTATCTTGACCACCACCTTCTCTCCGCTCACTTTGTTGTTCCGGAGAAGGTCCAGTCCAATTTCCACACGTTCCTTCAAATCCCCTTGGTCCAACAGGCGTACTCTGTTCGGTTTGATGGCTTTCATAGATAGCAAAGAAGGTAGTATTTTCTGCATCAGATTATCTCTCAGGTGTTCGTTCTGTGCATCCATTAATCAGCCACACAAGTTCAATGGTCATTGTACTGATGACATACCTTTTGATATTTGAAAGTCTGAACACCCAAAATACGCACAGTTGACTCGAAAGGATTCTTGTGAGGTGGCATCTCCATGTACATTTGCGCATCGTGAGCTCCCCTCACGGCATTGCCTTCCTTCACAGGTAATAAGATGGCAATGGTACCATTGGGACTCAATACTTGAGAGATAATGGCGAGTGTCCCTTCTGCAGTAACACAATCCACCGCCAACTGAATGCTACCCCCAACAGCACTCAAAATACCAGCTGCTAGATTCGGATCAGAGTAATCGAATACATGGGTAGCACCCAACGAGCGGAGGTTGTCGTGATGTCTCGCTGACGCAGTAGCAACAATATTTTTATATCCCGCCAGTTTGAGAAGCTGGATAGCATACTGTCCTGAAGTTGCACCTGCACCGTAAACAAGTATGGGTGTATCTGCATGCGGTGGGGCCAAGTCTGAAGGGAAGGATACGGGAAGGGGAAGCTCGAGATTGTCAAAAAGAGTAAAGAAAGCCGTGATAAAGTTGTCTGGAATAGTAACAGCAGCATCGAGCGCTATTTCGGCGTCATCTGGGATCTAAATGCGACACGTAGTCAGTTAAATGGCTTCCTTGATAAGTAACCTCACTAACTTTGGCACAAACAGTCCTGGATAGTATGGCGTACTGCTGCATTCCCCTCGCCTTAGACGACTGGTATGCAAAGGCAGTGACCTATACAGCGAATTAGGAGATATCCAGAAGAATTATACAGAAGAACTTACTCGATCACCCACTGCGAGGTCATCAACGCCAAGCCCAACTTCAGCAACCGTACCAGAGGCATTGAAGCCTAGTACAGCTGGATACTCCTTAACATGATAGCCTAGGTCCGTTATATAGGTGTCGAAGGCAATCATAGAACTGTATGCAACTTTGACAAGTACCTCCCCCCGACCAGGCTTCTCCGTCTTAACCTGGATAGCTTCGAGGACACCCTTGGACGTAGCTGCGATTGCGGTATGCGTCGCCATGTGATATCAGGAAGTGATGCAATCGACTCGAGTTAAATTGTGCTTTCAACCTGGCTTGGGAGAAAACTGGAACTCCACGGATATCCTCTCTTTATAGTGGATGCATACTCGATTCTGCCATTGCGAGATCAGTCAGAAGATAAATCAGCGCGTTGATTAGTAATACAGCTACCACCCGAACCACTCGTGACTCATCGTGTCAGCTCTGACCGCATCCGACTATAATATGTTCCAGTCTACTCCGGTCATGGCTTCAAAGACTCGGAAGTGGCAGAATTGAAGTAAGCATCGGAACAGATCAATTCTAGGATTGCTGGTCTGTCTGAGGTTCATGCATTCAGGATTCAAGACTACAAGCCCGGAGGTAGGGACTCGGTGACTGTGAAATTGAGCCCGAGTGACTTTGAGTTGACCATGACTTATACAGGTGGCAGTGCACCCACATTTATAATACTAATTTTATTATTTAAACTTACTCAAAAACAAGATTTTAGAAACGCGGTATATGTAGTTACATTCTAGTACAGGATATAATATAAGAGAACACCAAATCACCCAAAATCAAACCCATTTAAGATAGTGTATCACCGAGGCGTTGGTGTTGGCGTCAAAGCATCATCGCCAGTGATGATGGCTGGGATAGGCATCCTTGCTGCAGTACTAGGACCCAAGGGTGCGTCAAGACTGGGAGGCTCTGGGTTAAGTCTATCTGGTGGTGTGCAAAGTGGACCTCCTTCTGACCCTGCCCGCTCATGTGGCCGTGGCGACGAATCTTCCGTCCCCACCTGATGACCGAGTCGGCGAGACTGGATAGCTTTGACGATCTCCCCAAACACCTGCTCTCCAGTCCATTCTCCGACGACATCTTCGACATCATCATATGACTTGGATTTCGAGAGAGTATTTCGGAACTTGTGAGCATCCGCCTTGTTAAGCTTGCTCCCAGAACCCTTGAACTGGACAACACAAAACTTGGTGTTGGACCAGTGGTTATCAACATACTTGCACTGCAAAATACGTCTGAGAAGGCAAGGATTGTATTAGGAGGTGTGGTACATACCAAACGGAGGTAAGGTGGTATCAAATTTTCCTCTACATTCTGGAGCGGACTCCGAGAAAAGCATGAGGGATTTGATTCTGCTGCAGTCGCGATCATCACCGAATGTGCTCCTAATAAAACATATGAACAAATAACCTTGAACATAGCTGTGCTACATACCTGTTAGCTGGCGTATCCGCTGGGCATCCTCAAAGCCAACACAGTCCCCGTTCTCTACCACGGCGATCCCCTTTCCCAACCCCTCTACAAATTCCACGATTTCCTTCAGCCGTTCGATGAGTGCCTTTTCTTTCTGTCTCATATTTCGTGTGCGACAATGTATCGTGATCGCACTGACTCCCGTATCGATAATTCGTTCTACAAGCTTCAATGTATCTTCTTGTGTAGGCAAGAGTCTGATTTTCGCTGTCACTGTGATTTCAGGGGGCATAGCTGCTCGCAGAGCTTCCAAGATGGAGCATAAGAGGTCGGGGTTGGACAGGAGAGCAGCACCCATGCCCGAATGGGTGGAGAAAGGCTTCGGACAACCACAATTAAGGTCAACACCAGAAACGTCCTGCATTACCGTCTTCGCAGCCTGGACCGCGAGCTCAGGATTAGAGGAGCCGATTTGATAGATGAGATATGGCTTCTCGATTGGGTGAGTAGTAAACATGGCTCTTGATTTCCCATTATACGAGATGACCCCGGTGATGGCTGAGTGATAGGCTTGAGAGATGATGATGGAAACGATATAAGGAATGACGTACGGTCTACTACTCGCTCCGCATGCAATATCGCTTTATCTACCATCTCAGGTCCCCATACTAACGACGCGCCGTGCTTTAGAGCAAACAGACGGGTCGGCACTGGAGAAGAATACGTTGAGAATGAAACTATGTCATATTAAGAACTCACAAAATCCACGCACGAGCACCTGATCGTACCATCGGAGCCAGAAAGATGCCATTCTTGAAGGATTCTGAAGTTAGGTGGACCAGTTTCGGTCGTTTAAACTGTCTGTCATCCAACAGAGGGGACGATGATGAAGGACGTCGAGGCATTATTCCAAACGATAATCTTTGCGATATATGAGTGGTTTGTGTTAATCTGGGTTTCTTCCAGAAGATGGCAAGCATAGAACACGGAATCCAACAATAAGTACGGGAATGAACCAGTGAACCAAGAGCAAAAGAGACTAAAACGTGTGATCGGCAACCCAACGCAGAACGGACTCCGATACGATTTCGGTATTTGCCGGCAATTTCTTATCTTATCTGGCTATGTGTAGATAACGAAAGTATATTTCTGACTATCAACTTGTCCAATAATATTAACGCATCCCACCAAAAGGCGTAGGACTCTCCTCCACTCTTCCAGCTTTTGCTAGTTGTGTCCCAATTCCAATAGTGTCCTGTAATAAATCTTCACCAAGCAACTTCAGCCGTCCAGCAGAGTTGCTATTAGCTGCCTGTAGCCTTTGAGCTGGGGGAACGCCAAACACCGTTTCCTCCTGATTTTCCGCGAATGCCTCCTCTTCAAAAGAATCATCAAATCCATCCCCTTCTACTTCGCCTGCTACTCTTGCAAACGGATGAATAGGTGCAGATCCGCCTTCGTCATGCTCTTCGTTGAACGAATCACTAGAATGATTTGACGACCCAAAGGAGTCGTCAGATCCGTGCTGAGATGCCATTAAGAACGCGGTCGAAGGTTGGCCAGGATTGTGTGTTTCATCAAGAGAATCAGAGTCCGAATCTGAATCTTCCCCCTGCTGATCCGGTACTGCCACATCTATTAATTCTTCCTCATCCTGTAAGTGAAGCACGTCATAACGTTGTTGATCGGGCGTCTTTAGTTCCGGCTCTGGTATAGGCGAAGGCACAAAGGCAGAGTTGCCGACATCGTGTTCTGTCGAAATGGATCGACTCCCTCCAGTAGCTGAAGATATCGAGGCTGACGTAGAGGATGGCACATTTAGACCCACACGTCGCATCATGTTCTCGAGGCTTGAATCGATGGTTACGCTATCAGTGCTGTCATACGGATGTGCAGAGCGAGTATAGCGAGATAACGAGGGAGGCGTCGGTATGGTACTCATGGTAGAGTCTGTCCCATACCTTCCGCTCGGAGCTCCTAACCCACTAGCGTGCTCATCCAGCTGTAATTTGAACGCACTTCTTTGTATGTCACCAAGTAAATCACGTCCGATACGCTTCGCAGCTTCCTTCCCTGGTGTTCGACCTAGTTTTGGCAGTAATCCCAGACCGATGGATGACCGCGGCGCACGAGCAAACTGCATCATAACGGGAGGAGACATCCCAGGAATCAAGTCCATTGAGTCATCGAAAGAGTCATTGAATTGATATCCGCTGGGAGCAGCAATTGAAGTCAGTGAAGGTATATCAATTGTCGACGACGAGTCTTGCTTCTGATGTGATTTGCCACGGCGTGGGCGATTGGGGGTGGCGACTGAAGGGTCGCGTAGATCAACGACTCCTGTCCACTGAGATGGCTCAGTATTGGGAGGAAGATAAGGATTAAGGTGTTTGGGCACTGGGGTTTTGGGTTTAAGCTTGAGAGGAGACACGCGACTGCTAGGTGTATTCCTGGCTCGCGGAGTAGGAAGAGCACTGGAAGAACTTTGATCATATCGCAAGTTCTGGCGTAAAACGCTATTAAGCAGTGTTCCAGAGGCATCTCTTGATTTTCCTTTGCCAACCCTCTGTTGTATTGTATCTTCTTCCTCGTAGTCCTCGTCAGATACAATGCTATCGTCGATGTACGAAGAATGAACAGATGGCGCATGTAATGATGGCTCGCCTTTGTTGAGATCCTGAATCTCTCGATCCAGTCGGACAAGAGGAGATTCGATAGAGGCAGCCCAGGACGGCTGATCATGCGAGTCTTGACTTGCAAAGCTGTCGTGAGGATGCATAGTACGATGCCGAGATGTCGTGGCAGGCGTAGAGGATATGGCACCTTGGCCAGGCATGAAGGAGCTATCGGAAGAAGTGGCGTTGGGACCATAACTCTGCGTACGAGCTGGAGTAGTGTCGCTGTGAGATCCTTCATAGTCAGACTGGGATTGCTGTTCGTGGAGAGAAGAATATTCTTCGTAGGTAGGTATCCTGACTTGCGCAGCTTCCTCGTAGAATGAGGTCCAGAACTATATTCAACGGTTATAAACATTCAAGGCATAACTGAGACAACGAATCACGGACTTTGGCTGCCTCTCTCACTGGCTCGGTACTGACAGCATACCTTTTCACCGCAGGCAACAATTTTGTGGACATAAGATGCTGAATCCTGGAGAAATTTGCATCGATATTCTACAGCTGATCAAGAGATGAACCTCGTATTAAAAATGCTAATTAGCCTACCTGCAGCTTGATGGTAATAAGCTGCTCAATCTGATCTATTTGATCATTTACAGCAGCACTTGTGTCCAATCCTGGCACTACAATGTTTGCTGGGTCTTTACTGGGTTCCCATCGCGGAGGATTGGGTGGAATTGGGGAAGACATGATAGTGGTAAGAACTTTGAAACACGCGAAAGGTCACATTGTGACGAGACGCGACCAGGTTAAAGGAATACTATAAACAAAGCACCACTCCAACATCCATACACTTGGACTGGTTTTCTCGACAAAATATTTACAGGAATTTAGTTTTCACAGTGCACAACAAAATTTTTGATGTAGAATGGTGATTCCTGTTGCAGAAAATGCTCCGAAATCAAGGTTGCGTTGTTGATATCAAAAACGAAAACATTGAGACACCAAAATCTGGAACTAATCATGATACTATGCCTGGTGACAGCAAAAACGTACAAAAGTGCTGATAGACGTCGAACATGCTTAGTTTTAGTCCCTTTCCAAATCTTATACAAGTAAAGCGGTCTAAATGTTCTTATATTTCTCCTCGCCATCGATATCGTACAACTTGAACGGTATTCCACTTCATCATAGTGCATCGACACAACACCTACTTCAAGCTAGAAACCCCCAACAAAACACAATTCAGAATTTTGCAGACTCAGCAGCATCATCAACTCACCTAGCAATGCATTCGACCTCAACCAACACATCCCTGGGAAGCCTTGCAACTTCAACGGCAGATCTCGCTGGCTTGTGGTCACCAAAGATTTTGCTGTAAACCGTGTTCATGGCAACAAAGTCGTCCATGGACTTCAGGAAAACCTGCATCATCGTTCCGACCATCCTCGATCAATATTCATGTTTCAGTCATACTTGGCACCTGTTGACATACCGTGGTTTTGACGACCTTGCCCAGCTCACTCCCGGCAGCTTCCACTACAGCCTTGAGACTGGTGAGCGCTCGCTCCGTTTGTGCGGAAACGCCGCCTTCGACGGTCTGTGCAGTAACGGGGTCGAGAGGTACACATCCAGAAACGAAGAGCAAGTCTCCACACTTGATACCCTGAGAGTAGGGACCAAGGGCAGCAGGTGCGTCTACAGTGTATGTAGTGACATTGATCGCAAGAGCAAGAGACGTTGTTGTAGCACGTTAAAAATGTAGAAGAACAAGTACGAGATCAGTTGAATGAAAGCCATATCAGCGGAAGAGAAAGGCATTTACGTGGAGTAGATACGACAGATAGAGACGAGTGCGTTGTGGTAGACATGTTTCTTGCTAGAGATACAGATGGAACGGGAGCAAGTCTAGATAATCGTGAGCTTGGGTGTGATCTGAGAAAAGCACTAGGCGTTGAAACTGATCGAAACACGCGTGTACCGTTTCTTATCATGATGGCTGGCAGAAATATGACAACTTTAGACCGGGTAAATGCGATGGCGCTGCAGATACAGGTCAAGCACCAACGTAACACCTATATGCTCCATTTGTCTACAGCTCAAGATGAATCCAATGGCGTTCATATCAAGATATATTGGTCATGACAATCGTGTCTTTCACTATTAAGTGACAAGTATCGATAATTTCTCTGCGTCATCTAGACATCTGAAGCCTTTTCATTTCTCTCGTGTAGTACATCTTTCTGGTCGGTAGTTGCATGGTCGTGGAGGTGCTTTTCGCTCGGTCTCCAGCCTGCTGAATGCCAGGGCTTCACCCCTGAGGTGTACATTTCGTCGACCTGTGTGGGTAATGTCCTCAGATATCGTTATACTTAGAACAAGACATGGGTCATACCTCTTCCAAACTGAGACCCTTGGTCTCTGGAATGGCCACATACACATAACAGAACCCAAATATGAGCATGCCAAAGAATATCAGCAGGATAAGGGGGCCGATCCTGTGAGCCTGGTCAGCGTGTTCCTCGAGGTACCAACACAACACTTACTTGGCAGAAATCCGTGGGGAAAAGAACGATAACAGGAAGTTCCAGATCCAGTCTAGGCAATAACAAGTCTTCAATTTGACAGTAGGGACATGGTGGGAGGGGACTTACTGGTCGCACTTCCCAAAGCAATGGCTTTCGGGCGAATACGCAATGGGAAAGATTCTCCAAGATAAACCCAAGGGGTCGGTCCCCAAAACATTGAATACGAAAATACTTGCAAGACTGCAAAGGCAATGAGCACATCTCCTCCAGATTTATTGCGTGGTGTAAGCTCTGATAATGGCGTCCCAGTCGCTGCGAGTGTATAATGCCCCACAAGCCCAGCAATGATTGCGCAAATCGCTTGCAAAAATGCACCCAATAGGAGAGACTAGAGATAGAAGGCATCAAGATGAGAGTGGTGAGTTCAAAATCAAAACTTACTCGTCGGCGTCCCCATGTTTCGATCAGATACAGTGCAGGAAGCGTGCCAGCTACAGAAACCGCACCGAGGATCGTCTGAATAACATAAGGGGACAACCTGTCGCACGTCAGCCTCATTGAACATTTATACAAACCATAAGAATACGAACTGAGTGCCTGCGCTTTGGAAGAACGTATCGCCATAGTAATCTATATAAAGGAAGACGATCATCAGCCAAGATAGAAGACGATGATACTTGCAAACATACAGTAAAAGTTCTGTCCATTGAGTTGCTGGATGAATTGTAACATCATACCATTCAACGTTCGCTTCCACAGAGCATTGCGGGTAGAGAAACATTCTAGCCAGGTGGCCTTTCCACCCTCGTTCTCAAGTTTGATGGCCATATCAAGTTCTTCCACCAGGTCGTATACAAGAGGGTCGTCAACCGGAACGCTGTTCAATTCTGCAATTACTCGTCTGCATTCTTCTACTTTTCCAGTACCTAGTAAGTGACGTCTTGAGAGGTTGTGAGTAGCTATCTAACTATGATGCAAATATGACATACGGAGATTCAGGTAAAAAGAAGACTCCCGAGAGAAGGATCAGGCCCCACACCAACTGGAGCCCAACAGGAATACGCCATGACGCCGAATTCGGGATAGAATGAGTCCCGAGATCGATGACATAGCTGATAAAAATCCTACAGCAGAGTATTCAGTAAAGAGTCATTCGACCTTTCTATGCATGATTGACTCACCCCATGATAATTTGCACTTGATACAGCACTAACATCATGCCACGGATAGCTTTCGGAGCGGTTTCACCATTATATAGAGGTACAATAGCTATTGGGAGTGAGCCAAAGATGTGAAGTATAAAAACGAACACACAAACCAGATAGAGCTCCCACTCCGAGACCAGCTATGAATCGACCAATAGTGATTTGCACGATAGAATATGTCGTGCCTGTCTGGATAGCGACACCAATGGTGAAGATACCTGACCAGAACAGAATCGAGCCTCTACGGCCAATGCTATCCGACGTAAAAGCCTGACACAACGATCCTCTGGTAGGACATGAGAAAATTTCAGAACAAACGTGAATTTGCACTTACACAAAAGTACTAGAAAGAGTAAGAAATGTAAACAGATGTTGTCATTCACAGGTATAAGCAAAGTCACAGCGTACCCTGCAGATAATAGAGAAGTGATTATGGATTGTTGTGAGCTAGATAGGTAAGGTTGCCCATCTGATCCTATCTGGCCGAACCGACGCTGGAAGTCTGGCATAATCAAACATCCCTAATGTCATGTCTTTAGTCAAAAACAGAACTTCAGACACCATCGGTACCGAATTACCGAGATCACACCGATGTCGTAGCCAAATAAAAATCCTATATTCAGGTGTGAATCTGGATAGAACATCGATTTAAGCTTTTCAATCCCACATATAACTTTCAGAAGACACTCACCAAAGATTAAGGAAGGACGTTGAAAATAGCTCACCTCCTGTAACGCACAATACACGTGAGCTTCTTTGTGGAAGGCATTAAAAGCAGAAGTCTGTACGCACCGAAAGCAATGAAAATAGCGAGCAAAATTGCCCTACGATTGGTTGGTACTGCCATTTTTCGCTTTTGCGAAGCTCTTGGGTGGATTAAACCAGATAGGAGGAACAAAGGGCGCCGTTATGATTGTTGAACATATTATATATTCAAGCCGTCTGTGTCTCTTTTCAGCCAGTCATCATCACATGATGAAATATCGCAAGGTGCAATAGAGGACCGCGCGGACCGGTTACTGCTCCTGAAGTATGAAGGATGGATAAGCGCCAGTGTGTGCGAACCATATGTGCGAGAGAACGGCGTCACTTGAGGGGCAATAAACTTGGAAGCTTCCACGTTGGAAACGTACACCGATCGCGATATTACGTCACCGCACGCGCCCCACGGGGCTATCTGGGGCATGGTAATGATAGCAAGTTGAAAGCGCGAACTTCTGTCCCTTGCCTGGCAGCTAATTCAGATAATGAGCGTGACCAAAAGACACGAGTGAAGCCTGTTCGCACCTATAGGATACGCAACGTCCTGCAAAGCCTCGCCAGTACTGCAGTGTTTCCAGAAAAGCTAGAGATGCATTACTATCAGCCCCGCAATTAATGGTCCGGGGAGCCTGAGGGTAAAAAGTATATCCGAGCCCATTGGAGGTAAACTAAGCACACGATAATAGAGCATGCATTCTGACATCCGGTCTAGACTGATAGGCTGAAAATATGTGCCGGAAAACGAACAAGCGGTTTTCCACTGAAAGAAAGAGCGTATGGCTAATCCTTGTCCATCCGCTACTGATCATTTAGCAACAGATTAAACACGTAAATTGCTTTGAAATCCTGCTTACTGCAATCGACGATTATAAATTGAATGTTTTTCAAGCTGCGGTTTTGGTTCACGTTTGGGGATTTGGTTCCGGAGTCCCGCTGCATAATTTATTTTCCATCCAAGCCGGACGCTCGAAGCAGTGACGTCACGTGGTGGAACTGTTTGTTTTTGAACACCTTAGAATATCATATGTCAGGTTGCAATACTGAGTTATCAGTGTTACTCATAGTCCATCAGTACTGCATCAGTGACTACACCGCTGCAAAGTTGTATGCAATATCGCACCTAAAGCTATAGCTAGGCGATTATGCATTCTGCACGCCAACACGATTCAGCGTAATATATTCCATATAGGTCTGGGCCACGATCGTCATGCAGGAATACCAATACTATGCACTACTCCAAAGTGGACTGCGCAGCTAGGCTTGTCTTCTGCGGTTTCAGTCGCACAGTCATGTTCCCAACCCTTTGGCTGGCTCTCCAGTGTCTCTTTGGGTTGCTTGCAGTGCTGTTATCGTCTTTCATATATGCTCAATACCATGGCTATATCATCCGTATCAAAAAGATACGGCCCTTTTTGATATCTGGACTCTTCTTTTCTTACAAATCCCAATATTCTATATCAGCATCCCATCTTCGGCTCAGATTCTATTTTCCTCGCCCGACGAGTCCTCGCTGGGTCACTTTTGAAGTCTTCGACTACGAATATAAAGACTTGAAATGCCATGTCTCCATAGCCCTACTTGAGGTTACAATCTGGTTCATGCCTGTATATTTCAGATTCTCAGGTGGTGCTTGGCTACTGGCAGACTTGAATGACTTCCGTCTTCGAGTCTTTTCTTCCTCCGAAACACCTTTTTGGATACAGCGCATGCGGAAGAACTTAGTGACTACAGTATTGACGGGTGAAATACTACGTGTCGACGATTTCCAGACCAAACTCTCCCTCGGTACTCTCTCAGGCGCCCCAGATGGCTACTCTGGGCCAATTGAGCGCAATAAGGGCACCTCCAAAAATGAGGAGTATGATGAAATCAGGTTAACAACATTCGTCGATAATTATCATGTGAAGAACTTCCAGGAACGATTGTATACCTTCACAGGCATACAGGCACAATTTCGAAGAAGTTGGGTGGACGATAGGGGCTCATATGTCCTGATTGCAGAAGGGGCGAGATGGACTAAGGTCCAGTCCTTGAATGAACGCCGGCAATCTACCATTACTTCTGATTGGTGCGTCCTCTGTTTCTGTAATAAAATCGGTGAAAGAATAATTAGAAATGTAGGGGACGCATGTTTTCGTCCATCACTTCGTTCCCATCTGATGTATTGCGTATTTTTATGGACCCAATGTCGTCCATCGATATCTACTGTCCCCGAGCCGACATCACCTTCGATTACTTCAGGATTCGAGATGCAGAGTTGTTGCGGCAAGGGTTTGTTTTATTCAACGAGAAGTTAGAGTATAGTGGAGTCAACATAACAAACGTACCCGGAATGCTTGTCGACGCACTGACTGCACTATGGTCGGTCAAGTGAGTAATTTCCTCGTCATTTTTTTCACTTATTTTTGGTGTTCCGTACTATGATAGACAATTTCTCCATGTTTGGACATCACCAGATTAACGTAGACATGCATGTATTCACGCGACCCGTCAGAGAAATATTCTCCTTGAAGCTATCTGTAGCATTATTAAGAGTGCCAAAGTAATAGCAGTAGGGTACAAAGGGTAAAGTTTCAAGATCACTTTCAAGAAGATTCCTTGTGGGTGATGTTAAATGAGGGTAAGTCGTACGGGTAAAAATTGTACCATAACAAAGAGAATATTTAAACTTCTCAGTCCACACTGTTAACCTGAATTTAAAAGGACAAACAAAATCACCATCCATACGATCAGGCGCAACCATGGTATATGTTTCTTTCGAAATAGAAAAGAACTATATGGCAATGCCACATTGCGACTAATGTTTTAGACATAATCAGCCTCCCGTCTTTATACATGCAAGTCTCAGATTGAAAAGTGCTTACCTCACTATCGGGAACTTCTAACGCAGACGAAGCAGTAGATAATCTACTTGTCGCTGGGAAGACGTTCCTCATGCCCCAGCTGCTCGGAGGTTGTCCAGAGGTACCTTGCGTTTTAAGCGCTTTCAAATAATTGTAGTAAGGATTCTTTGATCCAGACGCGATAGAAGGTCCTTCGCTACTTGAAGGACTTGGACTTGGAGCCGACAAAGAAGCAGTCCAATCGCGTTCCTGCTCTGATTCAGTCTTCACGTGTAAACGAGATTCATCCACCTGGCTTTCATTCGCCCCGCTGACAACGAAAGGATTCCTCGAAGAACTCGGCATAGGTTCAGGATCGAAAGCCTGAAAGCCCACAAGCGAAATCGTCGACGGATTGGGCTCAACAACTCTGGTATCGGGCTGCAGGGTTGACAGACTGTCCATGGATTCTCGCGGAGTGGCGTAGAAGGTTTCAGGAGTAGACTCGGTCTGTCGTGCAGAGTAAAATGCAGACGATGAAGCTGTTGCCATTACCGAGGGATAAACTGAGATAGGATTGGAAGTGATGTACGGCACACCAGAGCTTCCGTCGGCCTCGTAGTCTATCGCGTCATTGTTCTCTTCATGGAGTATGGATGCGGAGGGACTATCTAAGCCTGGAACGGCTTGGATTGTTTCTGTGCTGTCGTTAGGATAAAAGGGGGAAGGAGGTAAAGGAGTCTCAGGCTCGAATGAAGAGTTGGATGAAGAGAGCACAGTGTCCATTTCTTGGTCGTTTGACTGATGGATTGAAACGTAGCTGTTGCTAGCATCGGGATAGAAAACATTGTAGCCTACACCTGTGGTAGGTTCAAGCAGCTGGTTGTAAGGGGTGAACTGAGTGACCAGTTCCCCGTCTCGAGCGGGGGACAGGGGGGCTGAGGCTTCTTGATCATGCAGATTCTGGCGTTTCTTACGTCGGAAGATAAAGTAGATGGTGATACAGAGGAGAATAAAGCCCACGATGGCCCCTACAATGCCGCCAATTAACGCTGCATTACCTTTCGAATGCCTGAAATATGATAAAGTACATAATCAAGATTGATCACAATCAGGAAAACTACTAACGACGCAGCAGTTCCAAGCGGTGAGGTCCCTGAATTTGTGAAAGACGATGTCGCGCGTGATGCACTAGAGGACTTGCTCGAGGAGGGGGCGCTGGATGTCAGCGGTATGGTAGATGTACTTGTTGATCCTTGTGGTGTTGTTGAGGCGGTCAGATTAGGACCGTCAAGTAACAGTCTAAAAAAAAACAGTCATGTAAACGGTACAGTAACAAAGGAAACAAATATCTCCGTACGGGGGTTGAGTATCAAAATGGCTGGATGGGGTCGACGACGCTTGAACACTGCTGGTGCTACTGTCACCTGGGGTATTTGTAGATTCACTTGCCCTCGAACTAGGAGTGATAAGACTACATTCATTTTTCAGTTACGGAAAACACTGATACGATCATGAATAACGCACCTGTCTCCTGTGGAAGTAGGCTGAGAGGCAGTCCCCGGCTGCGTCACTTCGGGCCCAGTGCGAGTATGTTCTGAAGAAGTAGTAGTAGGCTGGCTTGTCACGGGACTAGGGGACGTGGGTTCAACAGTGGACAATGTAGTGACCTGCGGGCTAGGTGCTCTATGGGGACTAGAATTCTTTGGCGTTGGTGACTGACTGGTCGGTGATGGCTTGACGCGACTCGGCGAGCTTGAAGTCGTCGGCGGATGGTGAGTCTGTGAAGACTTTGATGTCGTTGGATGATTGTTGTTGCTGGTGGTAGATGAGGAAGTGGTCGACGATACGATAGTTGTGGTATCTAACACCGTTGTCAACGCTTTAGGACCCGGCCCGGGGGAAGGTACTGTATGAGGCCGTATGCCATGGGATGTTCCCATTGGCTTTCCAGTACGGACGGTACTAGTCTCCGTTGTTTGTGAGTCATGTGGGCGAGATCGTTCAGAGGGGTTTGGAGGTGTCGACGATATATGTCCTCTGGCAGTAGAGCTCTGCGATGAAGTCGCACAATCAGTAAGTAGCCAGCAATACAAAGGTTTGGTAGCGGTCCATGGAAGAGAAATGAGTGGAGAGCCTAGGTTGGTAGGTGCGTGATGGCCGCCGCCGAAACCGAAACCCAGATTAGGACTGTGCCCGCCGCCTGAGTTAGCGTTTTTCTATAGGGAGAGTGGGAGTGGGGTCAGTTTCCGGACAAATGTGGGATCCTGTATGACCTACCGTAGGTGAAGCATCACTGCTGCTGTTTGGCTTGGTGGACTGAACCCATGGAGAAGTGGGAAACCAGTTTTTATGAGTTGTGGTGGTCAAACTGCGGGCATCTGAAGATGAACTAGTGACAACTGAGGGCGAACTAGAGCTCTGCGTAGGCTTGGTCGGGCTCTCAGTAAGAGTTGAATGGGGAGTGCTCATATAAGCCGGCCGGATAGAACTAGGTTGAACATGTTGCGTGGGGTTAGTCGTGCCCCGAGGTGGCACACCTTGAGCACTTGTATTAGGCGGCTGAGAAGTACTACTACCCGAACGTGAATATGTATTCTGTCCGCCCCCAGCTGAGTTCCAACTTGCAGCACCCTGAGTGCTTGGACTAGTCGGTTGATGGACGTTAGAATCTGCCGTCGCAGTAGGCCCAGGAGGTGGAGTTGATGGAGGAGGTTTCGAAGGAGTGACAGTGTGCGAGGGCGGGCTGACTGGAGGCGCAGGCGAGCCGCCACTCAGTACACCAGGTTGAGTAGAGGCATCATCGCTGGACTTGGGCGAGCCTTTCGTGTCAGGAGAAATGGTAGGCTGCGAGGGCATGGCGAGATGATAGGCTGGCGACAGCGATGAGTGGGATCAAATACTGCTGCATGATGGATAAATAACAGCAGCGAGACCTCTAAGAAGGATCCCAAATACTCATGGCGATGCTGCTGATGTCCGAGACAAAAATAAGGTCGACAGTTGGGCGCCAAATCAACAAGAACTGTTGGTTGAATAAAACGTGAAAATGGTTGATGGAAACTCGTAGGTTGTCACCCAGAAATTGAACTCGCCATTATGTTAGCTTGTTTTCGTGGAAGATCCTTATGACCCTTTGAGTTCGTTCATTAATGAGAGAGGTGTCAAAGAAGTGGCCTCGAGAAGTTAGCATTGTATCGTATGTCCAGTTAGCGCTAATCCAACCTTGAGAATATCCCACACCATAGCCCACATCAACATCATGATCAGTTGGAAGAGTCACAAGGCCTGGCTTGCGTGGTATCTAAATCAAATACCGTGAAATATGTTCATCCCGAGAGAAAACTGCCAGAGCGAGCGAGCGTAATATTATGGAGGTTCAAGTTGCGTACTGACGACAGACGGTGAACAAGAAGTGCTCGTCTAGTTCGAGTTCTCCAATTACTGGATAGATGTATACGTAACAGTCACGGTGAGCTCGAGATGGTTACGGTCAGTGTTCAGGTTGCCAAATTTTACCAACTGCAGCCCTGGCTCTGCTGTTGTAATAATGCTGTTAATGGGCTCGGGTCATGGTCGCGGAGATGGTACACGAATTTGAATCTGTGATACGACTACGTAAGGCTTTTCTTTTCATATGAGAAAAAGCTGTAAGTATTGTTATAGCCCCAGTAGAGCACTGCTTAATCACAAGGATCCCAATGCATCGCTTTGCCATGCTATAGATTATTGTCGTCTCTGGCAATACAGAAATGAGCACTAGGTGAGGAGAACACAGGAGACGCCTCGGGGCCGACGAATAATTATAATACTGTAGCATCAAAATAGTCGGCATGCCCTGGCAGTGCTATCATACTATACTACAATAGCAGATACCCCTCAGATGACATCCACCAAGCATGCGATTAAATGATTGAATGGGACAGGAGGAAGGATAGTGCGCTACAACAAATGGCTGGTGCAGTTTCCTTCTGACATTGGTCCCATCTATCGTACGTCTTGTGCCGGCGTCGACGTTTCTGCAAAGCAGGGACTATAGATGATGAAGCCAAAGAGAATAGCCCCGCTACGAATGGATCACTGGTTGTAGCTGTATGTCGGCAATGGCATAGGATCTGCTAAATAGACCAGCCTACAAGAAAACTATCGTTGCTCTACCATAAACATTACTATCCAGTCAGTGCTAGATAAGGACTTACAGGAAGTAGATCAATAGTTACAGGTATCCAACCGCATTATAAGGAGAAGAATGGAGCCTTCACATTGCTCTAGGAAAGCAAAGAGTAGGAAATAAAAACGATACGATGGTGGAACAAAGTAATGTTTCATGCTGAGAGCAGAGAAGGCGCATCGCGATGGTCGGGGAGGCGTATCGAAGGATATAGGATAAAATTGAATGTATGGGCCTAGGCCTTCACCAGTAGTAAGATGGCCATTGCTGTCGCGTTTTCGATAAGAATGGTAAAACTTTTGTCCCTCGACCGGAAAAACGATGAGTAACGGAACGCATCGCACGGCGAAATTTGCGAAATCCTGGATACTTGAAGCTGATATCAGCAAATGGGTAAGAGCGAAAAGTTGTGATCGCATAAAGTATCCATGTTCAGTGTCCTCTTTAGTGAGATGAAACTAGGAATAACATCAGAAAATGATTTCACAACAGCACTCCTAGTTTCTGTATCCTGATAGGTCCTGGCTAGTCCTGAGGAAAGTCCAAAAAGATTCGATGGTCTCTGAATATCTTCTCCCACGTCGTGGCTCGAGATCAAATCAGTATTTCTGGACGTACCAACGTCCTTGGTGATCCGAAGAGACATGGTTGAGATATTTCTGATCCTGAATGGAAGACATGACACTTGAGCATGGCGACAAAGTAGTAATAAGGAATGTGCAAGTGACAGCGAGGTTTTATTGTAGCTTATTGTAGCTTCCTTGATCATTGCAACCGCATAGATCCGGTAGACAACGGATTGTTTTGCTGATGAGTTGATACTGCAGGCGCTTGCATGATGGTAGGAGATCGAAAGATCAGAGACGAAGGATAGAATGGAGGTGCGTAGGGTGTTGCAGCGAATTATCTAGGCAAGTGAGATATAGGCGGGGCAATGTTAGTCCACTCGGCTGGAATGATATGGTATGAAAGGCCAGGGAATGATCAATTGTGTGGTCCAAAGTCCAACATGGAAAATTCAATCCATGAACTGGCTGTTTCAGCCAACTATAAGTGACATTCAACGAAGCTTCTCGGCCAAATTCGTTGATGCAACGTCATTTTCCCGTCCACGTCATTGGTTTTTACGTGGATCTGGGAAAATAGAAGTTGGAACGATGAGTTTTGGGAAGTGACGACCAGTGAAGCCCACGTTACCGTGTAGAGTCGCGGGAAACTAAACTGTCGAAAAGCCTGCTATTGACGAATCCGACATGTTTGCGAGCACTTGACTCAGATCACCAGATCGTGTATCCCAGGATACGGAGGATATAAATTCGTAGTAGGAAAAAGACACACAGACTGGCCGAAATCGAAGTTGCTGTGCGCTGCGCCCTGTTTCCATTTACCTTCTTTGGATACGACCATGTATTTCGAACCGCTGGGGGTTTTGTTCCAAATATGCCTGGCGCTGTCCCAGATACGAATATGCGGAATAGAAGTTTTCTGAATTGTATAATGGTCTCGTTCCTCCCACATCGCAGCATTATATCCACGGATTCCAGTCAAGACTACAGACTGTAGAGCCTCGATGAGTTGGCGGTACAAAACACAGGTTTGTGGCTGAGCCTCGTGAGCACATGCTCTGCTCGCTGGAAATTGCTGCCTGCGTCTATGAGCGTCACAGGTGCTGTCTCCACATGAACATGAATGCTACAGCCTTTGAATACGCGGCAGGAAAGATATAGAAAATGTTCGTTGGTCCTGAATGAGTGTGAAATCTGCGTCAGTCTCGTAAGCTGAGCTCGTACAGTGGGCTTCGTTCCTGAAAAGATATTGAAGCCGGATAAGAAAGTGGTCACTTGGCCGAATAAAGCATGCTCTTGAGGATAGGACGGCCATCGGTTAAGCTTACCGCCGTGCCAACGTCTGTGTGAGGCTGGGGGACTACTACGGGCGCTGTAAAGGCTGCAAGTATATGATAGACTTTTAGACAAAGCCTGTAGACCGAAATACAGCATGGGTGGGTCACCCTTCGATGGTATCAGATGTGACTGCAGCTGTGGTGACTGTGACTGAATGTCCTGAATTGCAACAATGAAAAGATCTGAGATTGAATCTGGTCCGAGCCACGTGCAGGGATGTAATAGAATCTTCTTTTGGAAGCGCGTCTCCTCCGTCGATACGTTTCTCGTCTCGTCTTTTTGCACATATATAAGCCCGATTCTCAAGAGCGCCCCCCCTTAGTCCTTGTTTTTCCCCCTCGTCCTCGTCGTCTGCACCAGCCGCCGTCCACAATGGCAAGCTCAAAGCTGGAACCGAACCGGCGGCGATCCCTTTCTGATCCCCTCGCTGCTGCACTCCGTCCCCCTGCCAATGAAACCCCAGCTGAGCGTGAAAGGAGGCTGCGTGCCGAAGATGAGGCTAAAAAGGTCAGCGATAGCATCGATGAGATGCTGCGCGCAGAGAGAAAGGATATCAAAGCAAAACCCGTCGTCAAGGTCTTGCTTCTCGGCCAGAGTGAAAGTGGAAAGAGTACTACTTTGAAACGTGAGCTTCCGTCTTATTATTCTTACTGGCGACGGGTGGTGGAGGACTGGTTTGCATTTTCACATGCCTCGCTATCACTTGTCGAGAACTGGGGGTGTCTTGCAGGGCTTGTAAGTCTTCCATCTGAATTCGATATCGTGTTCGGTTCACCTGACGTCAATAAAATTTCTAGCATACCCAGCAACACTGAAACATGTGCTTCTAGCCCTTTAGTTCATTTCCGTAACTTCTAAGTCTGATTGTACCGCACGTTATGCTGCGGTAAGTTCTCGAAACTAGCGCCGCAAATCGGCGCGCAACAGACTTCCGGGAGTGGCTGAACATACATCATCCCCTCCCATGACTTGCAGCATACATAGATGGCAACTGACTCGTCTTTCCTTAGAATTTCAATTGATGCATACCCCTGCTTCTTTCCACGCTGAGAGAATAGCATGGCGTGCGGTAATATACCTCAATCTTGTCCGATCTATACGACGGTAAGTTCCAAATGCCGATAAGGAACTCCGATATTCCCCGTTTACAATGCTCCTTCTGTTGCAGAATACTGGATGCTATATCACCAGAAATCGAGCCATTGGACGAACACGAGGAGGAGGAAGGGGCGGAACCGGCATCTATTATAATTTCTTCATTTGGTCGACCACCGTCCGCACTCGCCGGAACTATGGTTCAGAAGTACGAGCATTACCGTCGATATCTCGAGCCATTAGCGGAACTTGAGGATCGGTTGACTCACATGCTTTCCTCTCCTGATGAAGACGAAGCGACTCATCTTGGACCTAAACAACCGAATTGGAACATGTATACTAATGGGCACTCCAAGATACTCCCTAATGGAAAAAATGGTCGCCCCTCGCCATCTATCTCTATCCCCTACCCTAAAACATCATCACCTTCTCCGGTCTCTCCACCTTCGTCGTCAACCAGTCTGCCTTCTCCTGCTGGGACGAGCAGTTCCTCAAAATCTAAGCACAAGGAAGTGAGCGTTCATCACACTTCAAACTGGAAAAAGGCTTTTGCCCTGGGAGGCAAAACAAAGAGTCCAAAAAGCGTTCATACAAATGAGATCGAGGGATGGTGGGATGATCCAGACGATCCGGTGCACATGATTAATGCATGTGCACCTGTGATGATGGAGGTATGGAAGGACCCAAGCGTGAAGCAACGTTTACGTGAAAAACGTTTGAGGCTGGAAGAAAGTAGCGGATTGTGGGTAGCTCATGTTTTGCCCTTTCGGAGAGATGAAATTTTTATTTCCTATTCCGCACAGCTACTTGAATGAAATTCCGCGAATCACAGCGCTGAGATACTTTCCGACAGACCGTTTGTTACTCATTTTTTCACCATTTTGCTTACCTCTGAATGGTCCTGTCACAGAGGATGTACTGAAAGCCAGACTCAAGACTGTTGGTGTAGTCGAGCATTCCTTTTCTTTGCAGGGCGCTAATCATCGTCCGGTTGAGTGGAAAATATATGATGTCGGAGGAGCGCGAAATCAGCGACAGGCTTGGACGCCATACTTCGAAGATGGTAGGCTCTCTCACATCCTCAGAAGCATTATCACCGATTTCATTGATGCATCAGTAAACGCAATCATATTTCTGGCGCCCATCTCAGCCTTTGATCAAGTTCTGGCAGAGGTTGGTTCGGTCACTGCTATCAGTAGACCATGCATTTACAGCTTAAACCTATAGGATCCAAAAGTCAACCGCGTTGAAGATTCCCTTTTGCTTTGGAAAGCAGTCATCGATCAAAAACTGCTAGCGAATGTCAATATCGTTCTCTTTTTGAACAAATGCGATTTACTGCGGGTTCGCAATTGACTCCTTGATATGCGAGGGATAATCTTTTAACCAATCCTACCATCATCTAGGCCAAACTTGAGAGCGGTGTCCGACTCAATCAGCATATGGTCTCCTATGGTGATAGACCAAACGACTACGAAACAGTTTCAAATTGTGAGTCTTTACTGGTGCTTTATCGTGGGTATTTTTGGTCATAATGCTATGTTGAACAGATTTCCGAAAGAAATTCGGTATCTTACATCAAACATATACACTGAATAAGGAGAGAGAACTGTTTAGTATGTCAATAGTCCTTTAAAATCCTTTGGATCTAGAGTCTGATTTATTTTTCAGTTCATTACACATCCGTGACAGACACTCATAGAACAGCTACCATTATATCCACTGGTTAGTCGATTTATTTATTATCTAGCAAGTCGGTCCCACTAAGAAAAACTTTACACAACAGTGCGAGACTTCATCGTAAGGTCCAACCTTAAGAACCTATCTTTGTTTTAGCATCGTTACCACACCCTTTTACCATTCCTTTGATTGATCCTTTTCCCTTGGCCATCCATCCCTTTCAGCTATGAAATGACTTCCTCCCGTCCCGTCTAATGCGCGTCCACGCTTTCCCCTGTTCGTACGCTCTCTATTCTTTCAACCAATTTGTGCCGTGGATTTTAATCGCAATGCACGCTTAGTGTTTTCCTAAATGTATACCTACGTGTTCACCTGTCTTATAATGTTTCTTCGGGTCTTATAATTGTGCATCTATACAGTTACAGTATATCGAATAATTAGCTCGTTGGAGACGACGTTACAACAGTATGAGATGTGATATGATTGCAATGAAGACATCGGAAGGCCATAGTTGATTTCTCGAACGCTATTGACGCTCAACATGCAAACCTCAGCGCTGATCATTGGCCAGTATACCCAGTGTAGCCCACGACTTATTTGGTACAGCAGTCTTACATGGATTCTATAACTTCTTTTAGCTTGACCTCATCTAAAATTTCGAATCCCTTCTGTGGTGTGACCTGTTTATTGAATGTGAGTCATACTATAACCCAAAACGCAAGCCACATACCTGCGCAAGCTGTACGTTATGTTGATCCAGCTTTTCCTCCATTACTTGTTTCAATACCCGAAGTGTCAGTTTTTGTGCTTCAACCAGAGTCATCCGCTGATCGTGAGATTGGAATTAGTCCATGAAGTGTGAATAGACTTGTTCACTTACGCTATACCACTTGGCCTGCAACTCGCTTTGAGCAGCTTCCGATCCCGACCCAATTGCTTTTGCGTCATATCGCATAAACGTTCCAGAAGGGTCCGTGTGGTATCTACAGAGCAGTTTGAACCATGATGGGGTGACATACAACAGAACACTCACAGTTGTGGACCTAGCTCATCGATCCCCGCAATCAACAGCGCCACTCCAAAAGGCCGACTCATCATGGCTTCCTCGTCATGTACACTCTCACCAAATCGCAGAGCCAAGTCACACACCGCCTGCGTCGCGCTTTCCACTTTTATCTTTTCGTCGTAAGTGAAGGCGTGGTTCTGCGCCGTCACGCGAGCGTGGTCGATCATTGTGCGGGCGTCAGCTGTAAGCCCAGACATGGCGCAGCCTAAATGGGAGTCGATTTCCATAATCTTTTCGATAGAGCTTGACTCAAGGAGGGGAGACTGGACACGTTTCTCGACTGCCAATACAACGCCTTCTCGTGTGCGAACTCCTACTGTCGTTGACCCGAGCTGAGTAGATAAATAGCTAATGGTCAGTCGGTGGATTGACAGATCGACCGAGTTGAAATCTCACTTTGATAGCTTCGATGGCATACTCAACTAACCACAATATTATATGAGGTTCTCATACCCAGATACACGAACGAAACATACCTTGGAACAAACGTCCCTCCGGGGAGAACGTATTGACACCTCGATCTGTATAAATGTAGCTTTTCGTTCACACATGTTCTGCGAGAGTAGCATGATATACTTACCATACTCTGAGCGCGTCAAGAACATGCTTGTGTGAGGAAAGGCGCGGTAATTGAAGATGAAGAGATATGACTGGCGAAAGACCTTGACTTGCGTATTCAGGACGCGCGTCCGGGCTGTAGTACACCGTGGGAATGTATGTTAAATGACCATAACCCTAGATTAGTTCACAAACTTGGTTTCACGTTCGCGTTCGACAACGAATCAGATAATTTACATAGTTTTTCTACACGAACGAAGGTACAAACATGCGTGTAATCCTTTGACTGTAAGCACGTTCTATAGCAACATGCAGTAGGACTTTATCTCGGAGATGCGGACTTGGAGCGAGGCAAGCCACAGTAGCGATATCGCCACTCCATCTCTGAACTTCTCCTGGTCAGACTTTTGCCTCTGTACGCTCACAATGCAATCCAACGATCAGATTCTTACCTCAACCGCTCTCCGTTCTGTACTGACCTTCACGGTCTCTCTCGCACGCACAGCAGGTGTTCTCATCCTCGAAGGCTCACAAGCGATACAGGCTACCCCCGACGTAAACGAAAAGAAAAACTCAGTGGATTTGGTGACAGAGTATGATGTCGCAGTGGAAGAGCTCGTGAAAAGCGAAATCGCCAAGGCATATCCTCATTTCAAGTTGTGAGTCGTTTTGTTATTTGGAGATGCGAGGTATTACTTCGACTATGGACACCTTGGATATGAGAATCTGCTGACGATGCCTTGATCGTAGTATTGGAGAAGAATCTTATTCTTCTGGTACTCGCCCAGAGTTGACGGATGAGCCCACCTTCTGTGTTGACCCCATCGGTAAGCTCTCGGTTTGTATTGCCCTCTGACGCATATATGGAGCTACTCCCATAGATGGAACAACAAACTTTGTCCATGGCTTTCCGTTTGCCTGCATATCCCTTGGGCTCATATATCAGAAAAGGCCTGTGATGGGTGTCATCTTCAATCCATTCTTAGATCACCTGGTGGGTCGACCGCAATATATAACTAAATGCTCTGTATCTCACACTTAAACTAGTATACTGCTCTTGAAGGACAAGGCGCATACCTGACTCGTGGGTCTAACCAACCCTTAAAGCTTCCCCTATCGGCTCCGAAGCCTCTTCCTTCACTATCAAAGGCACTGATGGGTATGCTTGGCGCACATTTGGGTCATTTGCGTAAATACTGATGCTGAGGCTTTTGATTCATTGATATAAGCTATCGAATGGGGTTCTGATCGCGGCTCCGAGGCACTCACAGGAAAATCGAATTCATTCCTTCGATTGGCAGGTGATCCAAATGATGGTATCGCTGGAGGTCGCATGGGACACTCGCTCCGCTCAATGGGCAGTGCTGCCCTAAACTACTGCATGGTAGCCCAAGGAGGGCTCGACATGTATTGGTCAGTTCTCAACTACACGTACATTAGGAGTATGCCCATCTTATAGTCATCATTTCAGGGAAATCGGGTGCTGGTGAGCTCAAACTTCGTGGACTCCCCACAGGTTGCCTAACTAACTTCTTTGTTTCAAGGCCATGGGATGTATGCGTAAGTTTGTTTCTTTGCCGTGAATGCAATCGACTGACTTCCATCCAGGCTGGCATCGTCATTGCTCAGGAATCTGGTGGAGTCGTTACAGGCTCGCATACAGCCTTTGCGAACTCTCAAGCAGATCCCTTCAAAGTAACACCCGAGATTTTGACAGGTCGAAAATATCTAGTGGTCCGTGCTATCGCTGACACGCCTTCTGAGTCGGGTGGAGATGCACAACTAAGGATTGCAAGAGAATTCTACGAGACTGTTGAGGATGTTGAGCCACGATAAATAAAAGTGGATGAGTAGATATTATGAACCTGCCAGAGTTTGTACTGGAGGAACTGATAAAGTGTACATTGTCAAATAGATTAGAAGTAAATGTCTAGATTGAATAACCTGTCGGCAGAATTATAGTCGCGATACCCAGCCAAGACCGGATTGAAGAAACTATTTGGTTGCTTTATCAATGAGCATCAACTCTCCTTCCTTCTACTAGCTTCCTCCACCTATAGCCCGCTTTAAGAACTACTATCGTACCAGTCGTAACTGTTGCAGATGCAAGAGCAGGTCTCCAGGTAGGTTGGCCAACGAGAAGTGCTAACGCGTTGTAAAATATACAAATCCCAAACAGGACATCCGAGGAGGCAGCCTTTTGTCATGAGGTCAACTTGGAGCAGATAAGAACTTCATCGCAAAGGCTACTTACGAGGAGAGATAAGAGTACTACAGTGAGGATCTGAACAGGCGTGGACGGAGAACCCGCGTAACCCTATATGCGAGAATGAAAGCATTAGAAAGAGAAAAATATAAAGCAACAAGACAGACCATAGCCACGGCACCGTTGTCCAAAAAGTCAAGGACCCCTATTCCCGCGAAAGTTTTTGCGACTATGTGTGTTAAGAAATTGACTCCGGAGAGTGCAAAAGGAGAAGAAGGGCCCAAAAGATAGAAAACAGCATAGAGCTGGACGAGCGTGTTGACCGTTACAAATGCCTGAGAAACCCAGAATTTTTGACTAATCCAGAATACCATCCATGCAGCTTTATAAAGGATTTGAGATGGACAACAAAAGAGTACGGGCGAACCGGCTCACCTATGCAAATGTTACCCAGAGCATATATAGGGACATACGCCATTTGGGAAGGCTCTGGCTCATCAGAATTTGGAGGAGGTGCCAATGTATCAGGGTCCACATTTGAGATGCCCCCCGGTAGTGTGATACTATGTTCGTACTTTGGGCTAGGACCAGCTGAAGATACGACGAAAAGGTTTTTTATCCATAAAAGTTGAAGAACTGTCTGCATCGCGAAAAAGGCAGCGATAAAGAATGGATTCGGAGAGTAAGCATAATGGTTCTAAACGTTGGTTTTCAGTTTGTATATATGAGTGAGAATATCAGAACTATTCACCTCGTCTGCTACTTGTTTCATATTGGGGGTGGTAAGCATGCCATAAAGCTGGCAAGAAAAATTAGCCACAAATGAGCCGAGGGCCAAAATCCGAGCACGGGTGAGCTGTGGGTTCATGGTGGTAGAGAATGAAGAAAGGGGCCTTGTTTTGAATCCAGCAACATGCCTACCGAACGAACTACAGCAGATGCCCGAAACGGAAAGACGTCATGCAGTGCGAGAATCGAACGTGAGAGCATCTTGCGTAATATTCCCATCAAGAACTGTTTGAAATTTTCTCTTTTCCAGACGCGACTTACACTGCAACGACATATTTTTCATCTCTTGATGTTTCATGCGACCAGGAACACGACATACTCGAAACATAACACTATCCGTCTCATCAGAGACCAAGGGACAATGCGTTCGGGCCACGACAGTAAACACGCCAATGCATGCACCTACCAGGTGGATGCAGACCCGCATCCGAAGTTCATTGAGGCTTTCCGAATTTCAGTCTCATTCGTTCCTTGGAATGCCAGCTATTGGGCCTATATATGCTCCCGTTTTTAAACACTATGCGCTTCTTTTGACTGCCTGCTCTTGACTATGCTGTCTTGCCCTACTTGTAATGACTGTGCTGGACAACACTGTTGTTCTTAGAATTTTACTGGTCTCTTTAACTTCAGATTTTCATGATTAGTGGATGAGTGCTAATGCACTAATGTTTTGAATCCTACAGCATAGCATTGAATCGCTTGTTGGAACATCTTACCATCTTGACGTTAAGGAGGGGACTGTGGGAAAATCGGCATAAACGTGGCGGCTTTCGTCCCAGAATGCGTCTGAAACGTATTGTAGTCGGACTAAAAGGGGTACGTTTTCCACCTGATACCTAGGCTTTGGTGCTTGTTTTAGACCTGTCTGACATAGCAAACGTGGAAAGGGAATACTGCGCAACAGCCAAAAATAACCGGACAAGGGTTTTGCGTGTGAGTCTGTCAGGCGGCCTGGCGTGCCCATCAAGGCCACAGCCTTTCGTTTTTCCACCCTCAGCATCCCCTCGTCTTTCTTCGTCCCCCCATTTCCATTTTACCTCAGGCGTTGTACGTCGACGCAGACCTTTTCAACATGGTTGCGGATCCTCAGAACAATGCCAACAATGGAGGAAATAATCAGGCTTCAAACTCCGTGTCTTCTGCATCTTCCCAATCACAGCAATCGTCATCCTCCGGCACTCCTCTGCCAAGCATACCAGCAACCGCTGGTGTAGGCGCGATCAGCATTACCCAACCACCCATGCAGTCCACATCGTATTATAAAATTGCCCCTAGTGAATATATTACATTTGGGTGGAATTTCACCGACCTCTACGTGACACCGACAAGCCTTACGGTTTCCGCTGTGTGTGAGAATGGAAATACGTACCCTGTGGGGCCGACAAATGGGATCATACCTGGAAATGCACAGAGTGTGGTTTGGTATCCTTATGGATATCAAACTGCGAACCCCAGTATGCCATTAGCACAAGCATCCTACACACTGCACATCTGGGGTGATTCAGGACCAAGTGCGGCTGCACAACCTGGTTATTTGTCACCCAATAGTGGGTTAGAGTTCGCAATGTACACACCTCAGGCGTACACTCCAATTGATAGTGGTGAGTTGTTCAGCTTCGTTCTTCATATGGAATAGTATTCAATTTAAATTGGTTCAGGTTGGCAATGTGCAGGGTGTTCAGGCTCCGCCTCCCAGTATGTGGCACACCCTGCGTTCGCAGGTCTCATCGCCACTATCCTCATCATGTTTTTGTCGGGCTACGGCACGCTCCGTCGTGTCTGGAATTAAAGTGGTCTATCTGGATCCTTCGTTCGTTGCCTCTTTATCATTGGCATAGTGGTTCGATGAAGACATTTTCTTATATCTGGACTGTTGTTTGTTTGTGCTTTGGGATCTGTTGTACTGGGTTGAACATTGGCATTGGTAGAATCGTACTTACATTTATGACACGGACCTTGGACTTGCAAGCTGACATTATTACACCTTTCTTCACTCGCACCCTCATCATTGCATTCGTTTTAAGCTAGGAGTTCGCTGCACGAGTAGAACAGAGCTGTATGGTCAAATAATATGTGCACGGACTTGTGGTATGATCGTGCTGTTTTCATCGATATGTGTCACCTTATGAATGAATATGCTTGGCAGGCCTCTAATAAGTCCGATACCACCGACTCTGACTGAACATAATACTTCGTATTGTCGGACCCGGTTGGGCTCTTCGGAAGACCGTTTATCATTTCCTTATCACCAAGTTGGCTTCTTACCATGCTACCAGGTTGAGAGCAGTAGGCCACGTAGTTACTATTTACTTCTTGACTTCTCCAATACCGCTGGAAAGCCGAATTTCATGAAAATGGCTGCTTTTTCCACACACGAAAACCGAGCCGGAATGATCATCAATGATGGTTGGCGCTTCAGACTCCTTGGAGCCGTTGGCTTTACATGCATGGGAGTCAGGTTGAGCGGGTGACCGGCCAGGAACCTCATCCGAAAAATTCCAAGTGCCCTAATCAATAATCAGAGGCAGCCTTATTCTATTCTTCGAGGCTTTGAAGTTGACTGTATATCGCAGTAGTTAAGATATCAACACCACTTGGTGCGACACGGTTCCAAGTCATGTGGGTTTTCTTACTTTCGCTGCCAAAGGTCATGGCGACATGGTTTTACGAAGCAATTCCACACACGCCATGTCTCTCAGGCTATCTTTAGATGCCCCACGGGACACACATAACGTTAGCATGCCCTGACAAACTCGCACATTACTGTTTACTCATTTTCTTGGAATGACAGGGATGAAAACCGAAATCGTTCATATCAACGCTGTTGCTGTCAAGCTTGTCGTCTGTGACGAAATGCATCATTTCGGACAATAGGAAGCTTCCGAGGCTTTCACGGACATCGGTACTCTGAATCAAGATGAGACGTCTCAATTCAGGACGGGAGCCCGTGCCAGAAGTAGCGGCAGTATGTTTTGGACTGAATGACTGAAATGTGAAATCCGTATCCAAATACTGGTGTTCCACAGGGTCGTAGCTCTCCCGACTCGATATCATCCCTATCGCTGTACCCTAGAAATTCCAGCCGGGGAATATCGGGTACATCTTATCTGTGGTCTTAGCCTACCTTCGTGGCCCCCAGTACCTTTGAAAGAAATATATGGTGAGAAAAGACGATTGCCTCCGCTCATCTGGTTCATGTATGCCTATTCTACCAAGGCGTCTCCGCGACTTACGTGTTTTCATTGGTTCCAATACACTCCTCTTGCTCCAGCGTCTTGACGGGCCCATCTTCTTCACCGGTCCGTATGACACCGTCTACTGTCAGATGACAGCCAGTTTAAAATCGACTCTCGCGTTTTTGTTGATGTTGACGGGGGTATATTATACTAGAACATGATGGCGTTCTATCAGGCGAATTTTATTCTCCTTCTTTACCTCATACTGTAAACCGGATAGCTAAAGTCATGGCGGGAGACGTCCCAACGAGTCGCAGAGCGATCCTGCTCGCAATCTTCATTGCTTTCGGTGCGCATATAGGCACTACTTTGTGGGGTGTATCTTGACTGACAGGGCTGTCAACACTATAGGAGGTAAGTTTCTCAAGCTCTCACCAATGGAATACTGCTTTGTAAGTATCTAGCATAATACTCTGTCTGACATAACCTAATGGTTACTTAGATGTAGATACCCTAAAGGTTTCTTGTTCGGTTACGACATGGGTGTCATATCTGTAAGCTCACCACGTCCCATTCTGCTCGCGGCTTTGTATTGACGAGACATTCTAGGGATGTTTGATTATGCCCGACTTTATAAGACGATTTGGTCAAATCGGTGCAGACGGGTTGCCATATCTATCCAGTTCAAGACAATCTATCATTGTTTCTCTATTATCTGCGGGGTATGTGGGTTATGTGAATCCTTCGTTCCAACGCTTATATGTCCTCTTCTTGCTAGCACATTCTTGTACGTATGATGCTAATCAAATCTAGTCTTATGTCGCGGAGGGCTCATTTGTACACAGCGGTGCTCTTGCCCAAGCATTCACAGCTGACAGTCTTGGTCGTCGGGGATCTATCCTTTTATGGTCTGCCATATTCACTGCGGGTGTTGCAATACAGACAGGAACGACTTATTCCCTTGTGCAACTCGTAATTGGTCGATTCATTGCTGGCCTTGGTGTGGGTTCACTTTCAGGTATGCGTCATCGATGATTCTAGTGCCATCATACTAATGTACACGTAGCAATTGTACCGCTATATAATGGTGAAACTGCACCAAAAGCTATTCGCGGAACAATTCTGGTTATGTATCAGGTGCAAATCGTTACAGGGTACGTTGACCACGTGATAATGTTCATATGGCATTAAATGACGCATCATCTCGTTAGAATATTCCTGAGTTATTTGATTGAACTCGGAAGTCACGAAATTAATAATTCTGCCTCATGGCGCATTCCTGTTGGCCTTCAGTTAGTATGGGGTCTTATCCTACTTTCTGGTATGTTCTTTTTACCCGAATCTCCGTAAGTCGCGCGTATCGACTATAAAATATTACCCACATAATATTCCTCACATAGACGTCACCTCCTTGGGACAGGGAGAGAAGAGGAGGCGCGCCGTGTGATCGCCGAACTAAACAACGTATCGGAGGATGATCCACTCGTCATCGAAGTCGTTGAAGAGCTTGACTTTGCTATCAGAGCTGAAAACGAAGGTGGACAAGCAACGTGGGCTGAGTGCTTCTCCACGAGAAATGCGCTTTGGAAGAGAACGATCAATGGTATGATGTTGCAATTCATCCAACAGCTGAATGGGCAAAATTTCTACTGTAAGATTTTTTCACGCTCTTTCGACGATAGGATGTTCACATAAAGAGGTTTGTAGATTACTATGGAGATACCTTTTTCCAGGCTGCTGGAACTCAGTAAGTGGTGCCCCTGATATCCCGGGACTTCTGTACTTACACCTATCTTTCAGACTTACGCCCTATGCTATTCAAACTATCCTCGGTGCTGTTTCAGTAGCAGGGACGTTACCTGCTTTGTATCTTATTGAAACGTGGGGCCGTCGTCGTGTATGTGATATATGTCCCAAACTACCAGATTTACCACTTACTTCGAATTTCCAGTCCCTTCTTACAGGTGCACTGCTGCAATCCATCTGTGCCATTATCGTATGTTCTTTCATTTTTGGTGTCGTTGACCTCGACTGTTCACACTTCCCTTTTCGTTATCAGGTCGCCTTGGTTGGACATTTCACATTGGCGGCGACTGGTACACCCGTTAGCGAGCTCACCGCTCGCAACAAAAGTGGAGGCAACGTGATCATCGCGTTCGCGGTTCTGCATGTCTTTCTCTATGGCACATCATGGGGTCCCACTCCATGGGTGTACCTCGGGGAGTCGTTCCCCCTTCGTATTCGCCCCAAAGCCATTGCATTGGGTAGTGCTACGAGTGAGTTACTTTTTCATTTGTATACATCAGCTGCCCCCTTGCCCAGTCTCTTATCTTTCTGAGGACTAAACGGATGTTGAATCGTATTTGGTAGATTGGCTATGGAACTTCATGCTTTCGTTCTTCTCGCCAAGAATTGTAGCTAGGTGATTTTGCTTTGTCTGTCTCAAGTGCACAAAACTTACTACTACTGAAATTCTAGTATTGGCCCGCTCATTCTCTTGGTCTTCTTTGGTATGCTCATCTTCGGATTCTGCTACGTCTATCTTGCAATCCCTGAAACCAAGGGTATCACACTGGAAGAGGTAAGTTCTAAACTTGCTTTTGGTTGGCACCTCGTCTCTCGTGTTTCCCATTATGCTCTCCTTACCCTTACGCGACTATCACTTCAGTCTTGTAGCACTTTCTTGTTCCCCGCATCTATTTTATTATGATTGAAAAGCTAACAATCTTACATAGGTCGACGAACTGTACAGTTCTGGTGTTCCAGCGTGGCGTTCTGCAAGTTGGATACCAAGTGATAAAACGCACGTGCAACATCGCCGTGCTGACGAGGTCAAAGAGGTCCACGAGAAGCAATCAGACAGTGCAGAAAAGGCCCGTGACTAGATTTCTCTAGCTTGTTATGTATAGTTCATGAACTTGGAGTTGTCGCAGTTGGAGCTCGGAAGTAACAATTTATAAAGGCCCGTTTGTATGTAATATCGGTGTAGGCTTGAAATGATCGGAGCATACTAAAACGTTTCGAGTAAAATCAAGACAGCTCGATCTTTGATTCATGGTGATGGTTTGTTTTTATATAAGTTGACAAAACACCTCAAAATGTTTCCCATATCCTGAAATGTTCGTAGCCTCACTAAAATAAGCTATGCAAACAATGTTCAGTATCAGTGTGTCAAACATACCACCTCAGAATCAAACATTTAGCTTTGCCATCGTGTTTCCACAGACTTTTCGTTGGTGGTCGGACATTACGGACATTACTGTAATACTCGTGTTTTTCTAAATCTCCATTCAGTATGCCGCCGTAGCGGAAAATTCCGGAATTGATTCGGTGTGTATGTGAACTTCAAATTGTTCATCTTTACTTCCAGATAGCGCCGGTTTCAAGAATCTCACTGGCGAAAGCCACTGCATGATCCGAGAATAACTATGAGTTTGTCATCACAGCAATCTTAGCACACTCAAGTTAAATGATACTCCAAATCCCGAATCGGTTGCACAGGCCGTCGCATACTTTTATAATCAGGAAACGAACAACTAGTTCTTTCAACATCATCAACTCCCTCCCATCGATATCTGCAACATATCCACAGTGCAAGAATATATCATAAATGAAAACCAAGGCGACCAAGGTCGAAACCTCCAAAGAAATTCATGGCCAGGACATCAAGCTTGAGTCCAGTCCTGTTGGAATTTCTTCGTTTCTTTATGCAACTTTCACGGGGAAACAGCCTGAAACTCAGGGCTTACCGTCCACATCATTGAATTGGTATGTTTACTCTTCTCCTTCGAATGCACTTTGAGCGCTGCTCATCCGCTTTCAGCCTGACAGCAGTTGCTCTCTTCGGATCCTACCTACTGTTCTTCCTTTTCGTGCGCTGGACCATCAATTCAACAGACATTGTATCATCATACATCCTCCCGCCCTTCATTCATTGTGCGAGTCTGTCTGTGCGGTACAGTGCTATCGCTGCTGGCATCCAAACATCAGAAACAGGAACTACGAAATATATCGTCGATGCTCGCACACTTTTACTGACCATGTCCTTGTTGTATTACGTCTGTGTATATGTTGTAAGCAGTGTCTTATCCGCCACTGCACAGATTGCAACTAGTCCTTTCCCATACAACAACGTCGGTGGGTACTTCTTATTACAGAGCACGTTTGGCATCCACTTATCCATCTCATGTTGTTTCTTGTAATCTAGAGCCCCGCAAACATAAACGTAACATGCCTCCAGGGCTTGCACATCGCACGGTCTCCACTCATGAAGCTTTGTACGATTTCTTCCCGGGTATGTACAGACTAGCCAAAAGATTTATATTCTCACCTTGCTGTCATCTATCTAGCGTATTCTATCACAGCTATTTTTACCGCATGGTGTATCTCACCATCTGAACCCATTTCAAGTCCGGTTCTATCAGCACTTGCACTTCATATTTTCGTAAAACTTGCCATCTGGGCTCCTGCATATTTGCTACGTGCACATGCGTTACGAGGTGCTGCGCATATTGTTGCAAATGATGCGCTTATACTAGCGTTCTGTGCATTAATTGGAAGGGAAGCATACTAAAGGAACCAGTGATCATCAAACATTTTACGTGCGAGGGTGCGATTGGAAGTTTATTCGTGCACAGCGTTTTAAGGGACAGTGCAATACACCATAAACACAGTAGGCGTAGAGACGAGACATATTTTTCTTTGTTTCCTAGTCCCTCTAGCTGTTAGAGGGATCCATTTACTATCAATTATGCAGTCTGTCAAACCACTTGCTTACGCAGTATCATGGTGCGCTCTTTTCCCTGTTTTGCAGCGCAAGGTGGCGTTTTGAAGATAGTATACTCGCAGCAAATGGAGTCGCTGTATCCCGAACTTGTAGACAATGAAATCATCTTGAGCTCAAAATGTGCAATGTGAAGTAACCGTCCGTTGTACGATTGTAAGACTATCGCATGCATCAAAGATACATCACCCTGTCAGCAGGTGCCATCAGCAGCCGAGATGGACTGAAAGGATGAGTCAAATTTAAACGGTACAAGTATTTTTTGTATGTTAAGAGGCATTTTAGAAAGCTATTGTAACAACTAGAACAGAAAGAAATCAAGAATTGAGCGCCTACACAAATCTGGTCTGATCCGTTAGAACTGAACAATATATAGAAACTATTTTGACAACTCAGAATTATATAGTAGTGCAGTACTGCGTAGCTCGAACGCGTAATTTTCAGCGGCTGGGTCCTGTAATATCAATGTTTTGATTCAGGCAGGCTCCAAGTCCAAGGAATGACGTCGCAATACCGAAGACGCTTCAATAACAGGCTCGGGTTCTGCTATGAGCCCCAGGGACACGACACTATCGTCCATGCAATAGGGAGATTTGAAGGATCTACTTGAAGAGTCTGTCCTTTTAGCATCCTCCCCACCTCCCGAATTAGTTGTACAACTGTGACTCTGCTCATCAGAAGAGGTGGGTAAGCAGGAAGTGCTAGAGGGGATCGGAGGAAGTGAAGCCGCTTGATTGGCGGATATGCCAATATCGGACGTGTGAAAGAATCTCAAAGACCCTATCGACCAGGGATTGGGAGCGCGCTTACGGGCGGGTGGTTCATTGCTACAGCAAAGAGGGCGAGAGGTGTTAGTCAAAAGATGCTATATCAGCAATGCCTCACAAACCTGGCTTCCAAATCATTCAAATCCGGAGTCGATGGGCGATACCCAAAGGGTCTCAGGATGGCAAGGAAGATACCACGGTAGTACTGTAAGACGTCTGCTCTGAACCCGAAAAAAGCAAAAAATAGTAGAGCGTAGATGATAGTTGTCCAACGGTCCCACTGGAACGCTAGAGCGTTCTGCAGGTTAAATGTCCAGTCGGATATAGAAACGTATTGGGGAACAGAGAATTCGTAGTGTATAAAATCCCAGCTATATGGAGCCATTGGACCGCCCGATATGTCGTTCACTAATGCAAAAATTCCTGAAGGCAGGATCAGTATAATTTGAGCACCCGCAAGAGCTATCAAACGCCAGTATGAATCAGATTCAACGTGTCCATCGCTCCCAAATAGTTGTTTTCTAAGGGATTTTTGACGAATCAAGCTGTAGGCAGAGAAAGCTGCAGTAGGTGATTAGTACTAGACGACAGTATCATTGAGTGAGGACCTCATACCAAAATAGACTGCGCTGATTAACGCGAAGATGGGCGGCCACATGACAACAAGCGGGAAAGCGAGTGACGTCCTTACGATCATGGGATAACAACCCACTTGCTCTATTATCATAAAGCAATTTCCTTGGACGACATAATCTATAGCAATCCCCAAGTCAAAACATGCTGATGTATAGGAAAGTGAATGATAGACTCACATAATGGCAGGAGCAATACAGGAATGCCGATGCCAATGAAAAGCTCAACGATTAAATCGCGCCTAATCTGAAAACATAATAACATCAATATAGTTGAAATTGGATAGCATGACATATGTACATCATACTGGGACTGCTTGACGAATTTTTGACTTGCGATACGATAAGCTCGTCGAGCAATGCAAAGTGGAGCGAGCTGTACACCATATTTGGAAGCAACTAGCACGTAAGAAGCTTTTGAAGATGTTAGATGGTTTCTGAACGGAAAAGTAAGTACTTGATAATTCACATATATAACACCATCCCGGTGCCCAATTGACAGTGTTGTTACTCCATATGATAGAATTAATGGAGGAATTGAGCATCGTCAAGGCAAACCAGACAATGAATAAGCAAGTGCTGGTTCTTTGGACTGCGATATATTTCAGTTACGTTTGTGGATCTGGTGTATAGAATACATACCTCGGAGGTGTAATGGTAATGGGATGATAATCAGTGCAGTGGCCAGGAGCGCGAACGCAGAGTACACATGGTTCGAAGCTTGACTGGGTGATCCCATTTTTGGAATAGTATCAAAGCTGAAAGTTGTTTGAGGCCACCAGTTCAAGCTGATTAGGATTGTCTTGCGCGGTCAAGACAAGATCTACGGTTACCCTCAGTAAAGATCAGCTTTTATACTGACCAGATTATTAAACAAAGCGCTTTTAAATACTGCCATCGCTGGAAGGGTGGTGAAACGGAACAAATTATAGCTAAGTCCTGTGCAGATACTCCAAAGCTAAGACGCTTCTAAACAAAAAAAAACACTACTCAGGGGTTCCGACTCTCCGTCTATTTTTGTGGCAGCTTCCAGTCATATCCCATTATTACTCGCCTTTCAATGCAGCATTTCTGACATTCTTCTTCAACGCTGCTACATGTGAAGACGATCGTAAAAAACATCGATGCAGGGATATCCACGTATCGAAAGAACAAGGGGTCGAGGACCACCACGCACCCGAGATACCACCAAGTCACAGTAACACCGACCTCCACCACTGGCATCTTCCGGGGAAATCCTGTGTACAACAATAGACTTACTATTATTGGTTATTGATTCCTATGTCAAAATTCAGCGCTCAGCCAATCTAAATAGACCGGACACTTTAAAGCACCACACACATGTGGGTACATGCTATGAAAAACCTAATCAGTGGTGCGTCAATTTGAGAAATGTCTATTCATTGTCGGTGTAGATGTATATACCTCCCATCCGTTGAACGAGAAGCATATCCAATCAGAAGTTTCACTGGCAAGTTGAAATATGTTTTGTCAACGATCATGATCACTTGAGAAAAAAAAGACATACATATCTAATCAAGTATATACCATGAATCGATGGCCAAGATGATGTAACGATGCGGTGCAAGGTACTCATACCAGTGATCGGTGATCAGAATACAGGGAAGGGAAGAAGCACAATTCATCGCATAGCACATGTGCTCATCCATTGACAGATCGGCTGAAGCCGGTGCGATCAAGTAGCATCTTCATACCTCTGACATGGAAGCGTGACATAGCACTTGGTGGGAGTTAAGTACAAGGTGTGAACAGCCTCGCACTTTCTCAAGTTAATCTATGTGAGTGCAGTGCTGCACTGCTTATCGCACAAAAGTATTTTTTCAATCGAAGAATTCGACACTGGAGAAAGTACCGTCAAGGTCAAAAACAAGGGATACAGATGAGAGTGCACCGTTTCTATAGCCTGTGATAGTGTGGGATCAGCTGTCAACTGAAAGAAATTCATAAGACTCAACGATCCTTGAGGTACTAAAAAAGTGCCTACCTCAAGCAAGCCTTCCGTGAAAAGACCTTGGCAATTGCAAAAGACTAGTTAGTACTTGCGAGCACTTTCTGGCAATCGCCTAGAGGTCGGTGACTCGGTGTTCAACCATTCAAAAATCATGATCAAACACTGCCAAAGCCATGCGAGGTCATACTGTTGTAAAAACAAAACCATGTCACAATCTCGCCCTCTGTATAGCTGCAGGTCATAGTCATAGTGGGTGAACATAGTGCCGAAGATTGTGATGCCCTGAATGCTGAGCTTGAATGAGTCCGGAATGTGCGACCAACGCACAATTTTTTCACCATGTCTGCACACCGCAAAAGCCATGTGTAGCATGCTGTGGCAGCGCAGAACGACCTTGAGAATGACGAAGACGTGCCTGTGCGATACAGGACGTATGTATACGTATACGTGATGTGATATATTAAATGGATACATAAGTAAGACAAAAGGAAAGTATTGTACATCATTCATTATAAAAACAGCATCATATTAATAAAGAATGCACCACCAAACTTACAGGAGAGAACCATTGATTTCTGACAAACAAGGCGTATTTTTGGCCTTGGGATTAAGTCAACATTCATTGTGGAGAGACAGCCTGAAGTCGAATGCTGGGTTTTGACAGGAAGATGGATTTTAAGTGTCTTGTACAACAAAGAACTGTACTGCCCTAGGAAACGACTGATCCGGCTGGAGTTTTGAAGAAGGGAAGTTGTCGGGGACTATATAGGATTGGTTATCAACAAATCGCGGAAGGGCGCCGTAAGATTGAATAGGCATCCCAGACAGGTGCTGGCCTTGCTAATATCGGTGGAAACGTGGGATCATTTCTGACGTACTGAGCACTGCTCGAGGTTTCTCCATGAGCGCGGGGCACCAACAAGTCTATACTCAGGCCACCTGTATGACTGTGCGACCTCCCTACGAGGGACAGATTAGCTGGCAAGGTGAGAGGAGATGGCTGTCGGGAACGGGGGGTGGAGGTAACGGATGAGCTGCCTTGGTGAGAAGGGGTATGGGACTCGACGAACGATGCAGATGTAACATGTGGGTACGGAACATTCCAGCGCGGGACTTGATGGGTGGGAAGAGATGATGTCCAGCCATAAAACAAAAACCCAGGAAGGATGCGGCGTGCTGCAAAACACAGGAACATAGAACGTAGAACACCTAAATCTGACTGCCAGTGACGGAAACCAAGACGTCGAATAGTCCAAAGGTAAGTGAAATGATAGCTTCGTCTGACGTCTCTAGTAAGTCCAAAAAACGCGAAGAATGTCAGGGCGTAAAGCGCAGGGAACCAGCGAGTGGACTCATAACCGAACTCGTTCGCAGCATTATTCGCCCATTCAGATACAGGGATCTGAGGAATAAAATAATAATCCTCGTGTGTTGACTTCCATGTGAATGGAGTCATTGGTTCTTGGAAGATACCAAGAATGAGATTTACTAAAGCAAATGGGAGGGTACACGCGATGCCAATACCACTGAGCGCCAATAGCCGCCAATAATGACTGAACCGGATACGTTGGCTGACTACCATGTCACGAGTTTTCAATTTGATAGCAGCACGAATGGTCAGTCCTATAGCAGACCTTGAGTACCCAAACATCAAACCAATGATTTACTCACGAACCACCATATAAAGCGCTTACCAATCCAAATATCGATCCCCACATGCCATAAATTGGGATACTGGCGGGCGTGAAAACTGTGGCAGGGAAGCAACCTATATCCTCAATAATCGCGAATCTGTTAGAATCAACGATGTACTCTATAAGCCAAGATCCAGTTGTCAGTGAGGTCAAGACTGGCGGCGAGTTAAATACACATACGGAGGGGTAACATTAACATAGGCAAGCCGATCCCAATAGAAAGGTCAATAATCAAGTCAAATCGAGCCTAATCCTGTGTTTTAGTAAAGCAACCAACGAGAAATATCATGTTTACCTGACGATTGCTTTGTTCTGCTGCCTTCAATGTCATAATGCGATATAGACGACGAACAATGCATATCATTCCTGTCTGTGTTCCACACCACGCAGCAGTGATCGAGCGAGATGCTGCGAGAGTATTAATTCGACAGAGCATTCTAAGAATATAGCTAGGCACGCACAGATATCACACCAAACTGGTGCCCAGTTCACGACGTTGTTGTCCCATATGATAGAATTAATGCTATAAACAAGACAAAGGACGCTTGTCCATATAATGTACATGCATACACTGTGATTTTTAGCTGTGAAAAAGATGGTATCATTATTCAAACAGTAGGAGAGCAGTCAAGAAACGAACCTCGGATATACATTGGCAATAAAATGACCATGGACACAAATCCCATGGTCCCGAGTAAGGGAAACACGTGATTCCTGACTTGGGGCGACATCTACAGCATCAGTCGGACAACTGCAGGAGCGAACAGAAATTTCACCAGGGAGTTTTTAACAATGTGAGAGCTATAATTTACCTTATAAAAGACAACTTATGGACTCACGAAATTCGTTAAAGCAGGACAAGACATGCCCGAAATGACTTCACAACTATCATCAAGATAGATGGTACAGCTCCTGTTGAATCAGGACACCCGTACTTGTACATGTGTCTCAGATAAGTAAGCGACACAGGCAACAGCAAATTATGACTGGAAACGGAGACTATCCTCCTCCGGATAATATCAAAGACCTGATAGCATGATGCATACATGTCTATTCATCTATCATACAACACCCGCAACTGAGGACAGTTGACTCACATGTTGCTTTGAGCGCAGAGTGGCGAGAGGCATGTGAAAACCGGCTGGATACATCTTCAGGATTGTCTAGGAAGGTTTGCATAGGAATCGTGATAGTAAGGTTCACGTTTGAGCTGTTACTACCTTAATTTCGTGTTTAGTCAATCAAGTTCCAGCATAGCCAAACGCTCTGGAAATTTTCAGCGACCGTGGAAGAACAAGTGCTAGTACATCAGCATCAACGGGAGGAGCTAGGTGTTCGTGTGTTCACCGCTAGTCACTTTGATACGCCTGTGGTATGGCAGTTGTTGCAACTTTTTGAGGAACAAAACGGTAAAGATTGAGCCACCACCGTGACAGACATGATGGATGAATATCAGTGACTGAAAAGCTGAGACATCTTCGAATGGAGTAGATGAAAAGCACATCATTGATGGTTCAGGTATTTTGACTCGGAGACGAACATCAAGAGCGGTATCGGTTATATGTGTTTTGGATGCCTGTTTCGAGCCCAGGATGAAGAATCCCTCGCGAATGTGGTTCAGACAAAAGAGCGTGAGAGTGCTAGGCCGCCATATGTTTACAAACGTACCATTGTACATCGTATCATGAATTAGTTGCCTCTGTTTCACGACGACCAGGACAGGTAATAATACTGATATAACCTCCCCTATACCAATCTGAGCTTCCTCAAGTTAACCTCAGGCTCATGCAAACAAAGCCACAGACTTGTGAATAATATTTGCGGACAGATCGCGACATGAGGCGACTTTGGTCGAGACTTGGAGTCACACACAAGGGTGTCAACGATCGTAACAGCACATCCGGGTCATCACAAGACCCATCCCCATCTCGTGCTGTAGAAAAAATCCCTGCTATTCCTCTTTCTAATGTTCGTGGAGAGGTCAGAGCGTGCGCTGAACAGGCTGGCGTTGAGAGCAACCCAGTGAAATGTGTTTGGTGGGCAAAATCAATGGAAGCTGGCGCTACTTTACAGGATTCCGATAGTGGTGGTGGGTTTATCGGACTTCACTTCCATGGGGGAGGATACAGATATGGTAGTGCATTTTCTGAAGGCGGATTTGCGCGTGAGTTTTGCTATCACAGCACCCCCCATATTCCTTATACTTGGAATACGTACATGCGAGTTTGATTTCGAAACATGCAGGAATACCCAAAGGTCTCATACACGTGCGTCCACTATTATTCTTATGGACCTATGCTGACTTGTTAACACGTATAGCGTCGAATTTGCACTAGAGTCTTATGTGAGTGCTCTTGAAATCTATCCTACTTTCCGTTCCCTTTCATGATATACGATCACAGCTGTTCACTATACGCTTGTCAACCAAAGTATCTCAGCTTCTCCCAGCTCCTTCCCGTTGCAATTGCTTGAAGGCCTTGCAGGCTACTATCACCTTACTCGAACCCTTCACATTCCTCCCAAACATGTTCTCCTCATAGGCGACTCGGCTGGGGCACATCTCGTACTCGCACTCGCGCGATATATACTAGAGAATGAGAATCTACAAACTGAGTCTGCGATTGGACAAAAATTGCTCGGGGGTGTAATTTTGCTGAGTCCATGGTGTGATCTGACCGAGTAGGTACTTCATTGTTGACATGTTTCTCGAGGGAAAGTTCTCAAATAGAATTTTCACAGATGCAGCTCTGATCATCCAGGTGTCCAGGGCCTCCTAGGTCCATTAGCTTCCTCCCTCTTGAACGGACCTTACTTCTCCCCGTCATTGCACCCTATTCCGAGTGGATGGCCTCCAACATTCATAGCGTCAAGCAAAGAGGAGACGTTCGCATCACAAATTGATGCTCTCGTGCATAGATTGTTAGAGGCGTCAGGGAATGACACAAGTAAGGAAGATTGTGGCAATAATCTGGTCTGGCATAAAATGGAAGGCCTACCTGGCCGATATGCGCATGATATGCTGATCCATGAAATTGCTGAAGTTGGATGGCCAGATAAGGTAGAAGTTTGTTGGACCGCGATTCTGGAATGGAAGACAGCCAATAGGAACGGGAGATGAGAGGTGGTTGTTTCATTAGGCTGTATCTACGCTTAACTGAATTACTAAATATATTTTGCCATATACTACCTCATATCCACTGAATTACCTTATCTGCACCGATCCAGAATGGTTTCAAGGCAACCGGTAACTCGAGTCCAACTACTTTACCCTCTCCATCGAATCGCGCACCGTTTTCGACGAGCGCTACGATGAGTCGCGGGATGGCAGCTGCTGTGCCGTTGAGTGTATGAGCAAAGGGAAGGGAAGAGTGTGACGTAGGAGTAGGGGAGTCTGCGGGTGTGGGATTGGGTGATGGACTGGTATGACGGCGATATCGAATGTGCAACCGACGAGCTTGGTAGTCTGTACAATTCGACGTTGATGAAATCTCGCCCCAGCTACCTCTCCCAGGCATCCACGCTTCCATATCATATTTTCGAAACGCGCTAGCCCCTAGTTCTTCGGTTGGCATATCCAGTACCCTGAGAAAGGTATGTTATGTGACCATAATCTCGTATCGTGCACCAACTACTCACCGAAAAGGAAAACCGAGGCCACTAAATATTTCTTCCTGCACACAGCGCATCTCCTCCATGGCAGCTTCACTCGCCTCCTCAGTACACACCACAAACAACTCGAGTTTTGAGAACTGGTGAACGCGGTACAGCCCACGAGTATCAGCACCTCGCGCCCCAGCCTCTGCACGGAACGACCGTCCTAGACCGACTACTTTCAGTGGCAAGGCAGAAGCGGGAACGATCTGATTAGCGAATAGCCCTCCAAGTGGAATTTCTGCGGTACCGGTGAGAACGAGTTCGGGATGATTGTGGGATGACTCGGAGGGTAAGTGCTGCGAGATATGATACATTTGTGAGACAGGCGGATCAGCGCTCTGGTCTCGCGGTTGGAACCCACAGCGTAATGCTATATCCGCGCGAACGACGTCTGGAGTCATCGTAGGCTTGAAGCCGTGTTTGATAGCAATCGACATAGCATAATTTGTTAACGCCATCTCCAGCAAGGCAGCTTCTCCTAGGAGGTAATACCAGGAAGAGCCAGTAACAAGTGCACCTGCCTCGAAATCAAATAAACCAAGTATCCGTCCGACGTCAACATGATCTCGCTTTGGGTCTGCGGGTTTGGGCTCGGGACCATGCGTCGATAGGACAACGGCGGCCTCCTCTGGGCCTAAAGGTGAGGCAGGGTGAGTATCATTCGGTATGGCCAACGCAAGACCCAGTAGCCTTTCTTCCACTTCTTCCAATTTCGCCTCCAGCTCGCCCACCTCCGTTTTAAGCGCTTTTGCTTCCTCCAACGCTCGTTGTTTCTCTTCAGATCCTTTGCTCCGCCGTATGCGCTCACCTATAGTAGACCGTTCGTTACGTTTAGTGTTGAGTGTACTCGAGACATCTTTCTGCTCTGCATAGAGACGCGCGACAGATTGCAGGGCACCGACAGGTAGAGGAGCTTTGCGATTAAATGCATTGTGAGATTTGTAGACTACAGACTCAGTGATGGCGCGGTAATCAAGGCGTGGCTTTGGGAGGACATTAGTAAAAGGAATATTTCCGACGACAGCTTCATTTTTTGAGTAAGACCTGCTCTTTGAACCTGGAGATTTCTGAAGGTCAGTTAGAAGTGAGAATCAGGGTTCAAATGGATATTCTATACCTTCGGTAAACAGTCGACTCAGGCGAGCTCGTCGTGTTGAGCAACGAGCAGCCGATGCGACCAACGTCGAAGACAGCGACGAGGACATGCAAAAAAGAACCGGATTTTGCCGGGGCTTAGAATGATTTGATCACGTGCAGACGCCACTCCGCGACAGTGAGGTGAGGACAAACCACCTCGCTGGTTCGCCGCGGCACTGCAGCCATTTCTTTCACTCAGACGACCTTGATGACATGGTCAACGTTGAAGATATGCTGGTCGATGGCTTTCAGTCACCTGAGTTATAAGGATTACTGTGATTTGGCTGTGGGAACAGTGCCAGTGGAGCGCGAACGTACGTATCTGGTTTCCCCTTCGCTCTAACTATATATCGTCCAAGTCATGGTTCAAGTTCCCTGCATATCAAATTTTCTCCATACTTAGCTATGTCGGCATCCGCATGGAATCGCACCAAGCAGGTAAGCACTCACATAATTTGTGCCTTTTGGTGGCAATACAGTACCACCGTGACCAAGTTTTCAGGCGGGGTTTACATACTTATCTCAATACAAATGTGGGCCATCAATTCCATCCGCCATGAGTTTGGCGTCTCGCCTGATAGGATTGTACATCAATCTTTATGACATCATTGTCAGTCGGAACCCGTTATAAAATCTGCATTCCTCGGTTTGTACATGTTCACTTCACACACCCTTGACCATCACATTTTTGCTTTACAAATTGCCATTGCAGCGTTTGAATTCTTGCTCACATGGCAAGCAAACCTCTCGAATCAGCGTCCAAAACAATGGGCAACTCAGTGGATACCAAACAACAGCTCGAAAAACTGGAGGTGCCTTTCTTTAAAGCCTTACTCACTGGGACCAAACCCAAAAGTCGCGGCTTGCCCACAATTCACCTAACCATGTAAGTCATCCCATTGTGCCATATGTTCTCCTGTTGATGAGCATGCTCTAGAGTTGCTTCATCTATTCTCACCGCAGGATTGGTCATCACTTCATAGTAGAGTGGATCATTATGTTCACGAGCATCGTATCGACATACATCCTCCCCATATTTCTATGGTGGGCACGTGCAGCTGTGTATTTAAGTGCTACTGTCGTCGAAAGGCGGAACGAATTCAAGGTTGAACGCAACAATATTGATACAGTCGATGCATGCACACTTATACTGACTATGTCAGTATTGCACTACGTTTCCATCTACTTGATAAGTAGTATTATGTCTGTTGCTGCACAGTTTGCGACGAGTCCTTGGCCGTATAACAATGGCGGTGCGTATTTTTGCAACCTGTAACACTTGACTCTATTTTGATTAGTACATTTATGCATGCGCAGAGCCCCGTATCCACAAATGCACAGTCCTTTCTGGCCTTCCGCATCGTATGACTACTACGCATGACGGATTATATGAGTCGTTCCCTAGTAAGTGGCCTGCTCGCGCCTGTGAAACGACGTGTTGATGAATAATAAGCATACGTGCTGGCTGCTGGCCTCACGCTATACTGCCTGCCTGCCTCGGCTCCCTTATCTTCTACCACCTCCCCTGCCATTTCCATCGCCGTGCCTTCCCTCGTCCTTCGCGTATTCTCTAAATTGATTGTCTGACCTTGCGCGTACTTGACAGGAATGCACATTTTGCGCAGCACAGCGCATATGTTCGCAGAAATAGCTCTAATACTGGTGTTTTTTAGGCTTGGTTCAGGAGCTCCGTTTAGGAGCGTAATAATTGGACGTGATCTTCGCCTCTACTGCATAAGGTCTTTATTTATTAGCTATGCTGTATATAAGTACTGGTATATAAATTTGCTTGTCGAGGCGCGTCTCGTCACAATATGTCACAATATATGTTGTCAGTGACGCGTTTGCGCGACCGTGACCCTTTCGAACCACGAATGTCATGAGCACGTCTACAATAAAAGGGAAGGCACCCGCAAACGGTGCTGCAGCTGCTCCATACGAACTGCCATGGTAAGCTATACTTGAAACATAATGGACTGGACGCTTTCTTGATCTCTTTGTGCAGGGTAGAAAAGTACAGACCACAGAACCTCGACGATGTTGTAGGGAACGTCGACACGATCGAAAGGCTCAAAGTGATAGCAAAGGATGGTAACTGCCCGCATATAATAATATCTGTAAGTTTTCGCGCATCTCTGAGGGCAAATCTGGGTGATCCAAAGTTAAATGCTACTGCCTTTCCAGGGTCTGCCAGGTATCGGAAAGACGACAAGTATACATTGCTTAGCGCATCAGTTGTTGGGAGACGCGTATAAAGAAGGCGTGTTAGAGCTGAATGCATCTGATGAAAGGTGAGCTCCATCTGTGCCATTTTCACCCTATTCTGTGTTGAGTGAGTACTCAGAGGAATCGATGTTGTACGAAACAAAATCAAGGCTTTTGCCCAAAAGAAAGTCACGCTTCCACCTGCAAGACATAAAATCGTTATTCTAGACGAAGCAGATAGGTTTGCTGCTCATATCGGCACACCCGTTACCATCTCCTCACCCCTCACATGTTCTCGTTTAGTATGACCCCTGGCGCACAACAAGCATTGCGTCGGACGATGGAAATATTCTCGAATACAACTCGATTTTGTTTGGCATGCAACATGTCTAACAAAATTATTGAGCCAATACAAAGTCGTTGCGCTATCCTACGTTACGCAAAGCTGAGAGATACAGAGATTCTTAAACGACTACTGGAAATTTGTGAGATGGAGAAGGTATGTTGCTGGATGCGCTTGATCCACTAGAACTAATCTCGACTTAGGTTGAATACAATGATGATGGCCTTACTGCGCTCATTTTTACTTGTGAAGGTGACATGCGTCAGGCTATTAACAACCTCCAGTCAACACACTCAGGGTTCGGTTTCGTATCTGGCGAGAATGTCTTTAAGGTGTGCGACCAACCACATCCAGTAATCGTGCAGAGCATTATCCGCGCCTGCCTGAAGGGTGATATCGATGGGGCTATGGGGAAGCTGAATGAACTCTGGGAGCAAGGTTACAGCGCAGTTGATATTGTAGTGACGGTGTTCAGAGTCGTGAAGACATTTGACGAGTAAGTGCAAAGTACATCACGATGGCCGACAACCACGTACCAACTAATATCTTTCAGATTACCTGAGTATACCAAATTGGAGTACATCAAGGTAGATTAACTCTTTTTGTAGTGATAGTTCATCATCCTGACCCCCCAGCATCAAGGAAATTGGGTTCACGCACATGCGTATACTGGAAGGCGTAGGAACAATCATACAGTTGGGTGGGCTTGTAGCGCGACTGTGCAAATTAGTGGGTCCTTTGTTCCGTTTATTGTGGCGCATAATCTTGACCTAAGTGCAGAACATGAAACCAGAGCTCTTCCGTGTATAGATAGGCGATCTCCTTATACTTCTGACGTTATGCTATCTTCAAGATCATTCAAAAGAGATTACTACTATACATGTTCTTGGATGTTATCCCGCATTACGCTAAGCACCAGTATGGAGGTCAGTATGTATAGATCCATTACTGTAAGAATGATGCTGCGCTAGTCCGAGTCATAATAGTCTGCCCGGCCTTCTATCAACCAATCTACTTCGCGTGAGCGAAGGTCGTAATTGGTTACTCCTTTGGAGAAGATCATCACTGGTTCAACTGCGATGGGTAGCATGTCTATTTTCCAGCGGTAATGCTCGCCTTCCATGGCATCGTTAGCGGGGGTACCGTGACTGTTTCGTGAAAAGTGTAATACCTATCCAAGAAATACATCGAGCCAGCTTACCTGACGACATGAGATATTACGTCCTTCTTCGTACCCACATGTGAACAGCTAAGACATGCCCATTTGTGTTGCCGTGCATATTTTCGCATGCTGTGGTCCATACAGGATTGTTCAACAGCTCTTGCCTGCCTTTCTTCTCTACCTATCACGAGTGACCATGTTATCGAAGATGACTCAGCCCTCCTATGATCAGATATACAATGGTCCACCTTGGATATGATAAATCAGTAAACCCATTTACGTAAAACTAATATTATCGTACCGCAGCTCGCCAAGTCATGATAACCCGTCCTAGAGAACAGGAGCACTGATCGCAGGAAACCCTTGCATCTTGTCTATCCATATCTGCAACAGTAGCTCGTCCAGGATCTTGACCACATGCTTTGAACAGGTCTTTAATTTGATCGCCCCACATGATCGGTTCAATGGATCGACATGACCAAGGGTATGTGCCATAAAAAGTTCTTGCGGATGTCAGATACATCGTAGGCCATTTCCGCAGTCGTCAAGTTCTTTCGGTGTGGTGTCTACATGCCCATACAAACACTTGTGACTGAGAACCGTCGGGTACTGTAAAGTGAATGAGCATGTCCTACAAGTAAACCTCATTGCTGCCAGTTCCAGGATATTAACGTCATTATCGACTTCGATTTCTGAGCGTATGTGATCTTCAAACTTTTTCAGGACATCCTCATACCACTTTTCCACAAGGCCGGGTAAGATTGACTTGAAGTCTCCCTCCAGGTACTCGTAGGCGACCCTGGCATCGTACTCTACAGCCAGTAAGTGTCGGACTTCAGGGAAAAGGCAAACGTCTACTGGACGCGGATAGAAATCGAGCTATTTGTGATCCTCCATATACTCCACTAGCGTCGGAAGGATTTGTTGCCATTCTGTGTGTCATTAGTGACCTGAAATATTAACGGTCGGACAACTTACTCCCATCGTCGAGCTCTTCAGTTTTATTAACCTCTGGAAGTAGAGAAAACCTGCTGGCCATGAGTATCACAACATGCTTCAGCTCGTCACCCCATCCAGCTTTTGTCAACCGGCTTATGATGCTTGGATTCAAGGAAGTTATTTTGAGACCGAGCTTGAGAAAAGTTCCGCAAAACACTCACTCAGCCTTGCGATTGGAAACGAGCTTCACTCTTTCTTTTTCACGGGCATCTTCCACCCGTTGCACCCAGTTTAAGCACTGTTGTGCATGCTACAATCCAAAGAGTAAAAGAAGAGCTATACATTTGATTACATGCTCACTTCATAAATATTTGAGGTAAGTTGGAGACGCTGATGTAAAAAATAATTGAATATTTCACCGTCTTTCTGGGGTAGAACATTGAATTGTTCTTGGAGGTGTGCAATATCGGGAAGATAATAATGTCGTTGAAAAGAATTTTCAGAGCAAAGTCTTAGCTGCACGAAATAACATCAAGGATAGCTAATCTACATACACCTGTGAACCTTTGCTTGTGGAAGTAACTTTTCGCCATGTTCTTTGGCAAGTTGGGAGAGAGGGCCGGAAAAGAGATCCTCTAGCTTTTTGCCATTAGATATTCTGAACAGTTTTGAGAAATATTCAAAAGAACACGGAAAGATAATCACACTGATGGCATACACTGTTCACATATGCGTACACGGAAGTGCCAAACGACAGAATCACACAAAGTTATATAGCATATCTACACAATACTCTATTAGAACAAGCAGTCGATCGGACGAGAAATCAACACATACATGGCAAATTGAATACTAAATGAGCGTACGCGGGCTCACTAAGATATTGAGGAGTGGACGGAAGACGACCTTCGACACTTGCGAGAACCTCTTGCCAAATGCGACATGTTTTAGAGCGACTGAGTAGCAGTGCACGAAAGCCTTTGGAGATTCGTGTGAGATACAATAGTGCCAAAGGTGGCCGGTGACAGGTGTTTGAATATCTGGATAATGAATTTGTTGGCATTCAAACTGACGAACTTCACATGTAAATTCGAGTCCTACTTCAAACGAGACATGTCTAGGATCCATGATTTTTTCATACGAACACCATTTCCTTTTTTGAGAGTAGCTGGGGAACGTTTGGACTTTTTCTTTGCAGGAGCCATTGGTAATAAGACAAAGTGAAAACTGGGTTTTACATTTGTGTAACTGTGGGCGTTTTAAACATTCAAATAAATATAGGAGTCAATTTATTACTTCCCACGACCCTCTTACTCGTATGATCTTGTCTCAAGTTTCTAATCACAACTTGAACACGCTCAAAAACAACATAGATGCGATCAAAACAATAGCTTGTACACATATATATCAATATTCACGCCGGCAAGAGAGACTGACAAGAGGTTAATGTTATACGCTAGAGGCATGCACACTGTATGACAATGCACTAGTCCGAATCATAGTAATCTGCTCGACCTTGCACTAGCCAGTCTACGTCGCGTGAGTCAAGGTCATACTTGGTTATTCCTTTGAAGAAGACCATCACTGATTCAACCCTGATGGGTGGCGAGTCTATTTTCCGGTGGTAATGCTTGCCTTCCTCAGCATCATTAGCGAGGATGTTGTGCCTGTTTAGCGAAATGTGCAATACCAAAATTAAAGACATTGTATTCTCAAGAATGCGTGGAACCGACTTACCTGACAACATGGGTTATCATATCTCTCTTCGTACCCACACGTGAACAGATAAGACATGCCCAATTCTGCTGCTGTTCATATTTTCGTATGCGGGGCTCCATATAGGATTCTTCTATAGCTCTTGCCTGTCTTTCTTCTCTACCTGTTATGAGTGACCATTTTATCGAAGATGAATTAGGTGTCCTATGCTCTGAAATACAATGGTCCAGCTTGGATATGATAAATCAGTAATTTCATTTATGTAAAATTAAGATTATCGTACCGCAGCTCGCCAAGTCATGACAACCCGTCCTCGAGAACTGAAGCACTGATTGCAAGTAACCCTTGCATCTCGTCTATCCATATCCACAGCAGTCGCTCGTCCAGGATCTTGATCACATGCTTTAAACAGGTTTTTAATTCGATCTCCCCACATGACTGGTTTTATGGGCTGGCATGACCAAGGGTACGTGCCATAAAAAGCTCTTGCAGACGTCGAATACACCCCTTGAAGGTCATCTTTGCGCTCTTCTTTATGCATAGTATCTACTATGTTATGACAACCAGAACGCCCATATAAACACTTGTGAACGAGAACCATGGGATACTCTAATGTGATTGAGCACATCCTGCAAGTAAACCTCATTGCGGCCAGTTCCAGAACCTTGACGTCATTATCGACTTTGATATCAGAGCGCAGGTGATCTTCAAAATTTTGCAGGACATCTTTATACCACTTTCCCACAAGGCCAGGCGCAATTGACTTGAGTTCTTTCTTCAGATACTTGTAGTTGATCTTGGTATCATATTCCACATCTAATAGGCGCCGCACTTCAGGTAAATGGCAAATATCTACTGGACGCGGATAGAAATCGAGTTTCGTGGTTGTGGCTCGCGATGCATCTTCGATTGAAGTATTCAATGAATCAAACCGTGTTCTGAAGGCTGGACGTTGGAGGTTTTCGATACGACAACGTTTGTAACACTCCATACACTTGACGAGCGCCGGAAGGATATTTTCCCATTCTGTGCATCATTAGTGGGCACAAATATTACTGACCGGGACTGGAAAACCTTACCCATATTGTCGAGCTCTTCAGGTTTGTTAACCTCCGGAAGTAGCAAAAATTTTCTAGAATTAAATGGCGTAATGTGACCCAGCTCCTCGCCCCATCCGGCCTTTGTCAGTCGTTCGATGATGCTTGGGTCCAAAGAGAATAATTTATGAAAAAACTTGAGAAATGTTTTAGAAAAATTCACTGACGCAGCCTCTCGTGTAGAAATGAGCTTTCTTCTGTTTTCCTCACGGGCCTTTTCCACCTGTTGCATCCAGCGTGAACATTGCATTGCATGCTACAAGACTCGGTCGTAAAATGAAGAGCTAAGTATTTAATCATGTGCTTACTTCATAAATATTTGAGGTGAGTTGGAGGCGTTGATGCAAAAAATCATCGAATATTTCACCATCTTTTTGGGGCAGAGCATTGAATTGTTCTTGGAGATGTGCAACATCGGGAAGGTAATAAAATTCATGAGAATCTTCAGGGAAAGGCGTCAACTGCGCAGATCAGAATCTATAATAGAAAATTACACACAACTGCGGACTCTTCCTAGCGGAAGTAGCTTACGTCCATGTTCTTTGGCAAGTTGAGAGAGACGACCGGAAAAGAGACTTTCTAGCTTGCCATGAAAAAATCTAAATAGACTTGAGAAATATCCAAAAGTACATGGAAAACCCATTACTTGGATGGTATGCACTCTTCACACATGCGTACGCGGAAGTGCCACAGGATGGAATGACACGAAGTCCTATGACATATCTACACAAATCTTTAGCGAACAAGCGGTCAAATTCAACAATCAACACGTACATGGCAAGTAGATATGAACGCCAGGTGAGTGTATGCGGGCTCGCTCATATATTGAGGAGTTGATGGGAGATATTTAACTTCTGCAAGAGCATCCTGCCAGATGCGACGCGTCCTGGAGCGACTCAGTAGGAGTGCACGAAAGTCTTTTGAAGTCCATGTGAGATACAACAGGGCCAAAGCTGGCAAGTGCTTGAATATCTAAATAAACTCGTTCACGTCGAAGTTGACAAGCTTCAGATGTAGAACCTACCTCAAACAAGACATCTAAAGGCATGTCTGTGATCCAGGGTTTTTTCGTGTGAGCATCGTCGTCCTTTTCGCGAGCGGCAGAGGAGGGCTTAGCCTTTTTCATTGCAGGAGCCATTGGTAAGAAGAAAAACTGAAACTACCATCGCGTATTTTACAATTTATATTTTTGGGATTGTGTTTGTAGGCGTTTCTTTTTCTCGCGAATAGGAGCTAATTTACTGCTTCCCACGACCCTCTGACTCGGTATTGTCTCGCCTATTTGAGTTAACTCACGTGGAAAGTACTGAGCTCGTCGTGGCTAACGATGAGCACGCATGACCGACCCTCATTACTTGCAATGACCGCAGTGCTCAAAGACTCCACGAATAGCGAGCTCAGCACCCTCAGCGACCTCCTCTCTGCCTCGTCATCGCCGTCAACGGCATACCTTTCCCAGCTACCCTCTCTTTCTCTCCCCGAGCTGCTGTCGACGCCATCAACGCTCACAACTCAGTCGCATACCTTGACGTCGTCGCTCACGACGCTCACGCACACATCCTATCCAACATTTCTCTCCCTGCATCGCACATCCACCGCGCTCCTCTCCTCACTTTCGTCGCTCGACACCGCCCTCTCAGCATTTCTTACTACCGCCCTTCCTGCTCTCGACGATGCTGCACGTCAGTTTCGCGATACGACAGGACACTCGCTTCTGCAGGAACGCCAAAGAGCAAAGCATGTACTTGAGCAACACGACAAGCTACGCGATCTGCTTGATGTCCCAGTGCTCATCGACACGTGCGTGAGGAATGGAATGTATGCAGAGGCTCTGGCCATTGCAGCTCATGCGTCTTCTGCGTTGTCTTCCTCTGCTGATGACAACGCTCTTACAAACTCTCTGCAAGCCCAGATTGCCGCCTCCTTGCATGCAATGCGACTTCTCCTTCTTAACACGCTCCACGAACCCGCAAGAAAGCTCCCAGCACTCTGGAAGGCAGTCCAGTTCTTACGCAGGATGCAGGCTCTCCAAGAAGATGAACTGGCCATCGCATTTGTCAGTGCACGCGTCGCTTGTCTACGAAGTGCCCTTGAAGGCGTAGGACAGGCCAGTTTCGGCGGCACATCCAAAACCGATGGTCATACAAAAAAGAGTGCAGAAGAGCGAGAACGAGAACGAGAGAGGGAAGGAGAGGACGTTGCGAGATACCTAAAGAAATATATTGATATATGGCGTGAAGGCGCGTACGATATTTTGACACAGTATACCACCATTTTTCTCGACCGCTCACCTTCTACTTACGCCTCCGTTCCATCGCATACCTCACACGCTTCTTCCGCACCAACTTCCACCACCATCACTAGTACTACGCCCCTCACTCAAGCTCTCCCCGCTCCACTCGTCCAAACGCTTCTCACCCTTCTCCTGCCAACACTCCGCACCCATCTGCCTTCCGCCCACCCTCATCTCGCCCCACTCTCCACCCAGCTTAGCTACTGCACCTCTGCCTTGGCACGCGTGGGTACTGATTTTCATACTATGGTAGGCGCGTTGATATGTGCCGCTGTTGTCAGTGGGCTCAGGACTGACCTAGAAGGAGCAGTGGATGATTTTATCCAGGACGTAAATATAGCGAAAGGGAAGGGCAGGGGAGACAGTAAGAAGGGCAAGAAACCATCGGAATGGTTGGTTAACGCGTCCACAACTTTGCCTTCACTCTCTGTGCTACACCTTTCTCCTTCGTCATCACCGACATCTCCTCCTACAACCATCACTTCCTTCATTCCAATCGCAAAGCTCGTCAATGGTTTCCTTCGAGCGTTAAATCGGCTGCGTCTTCTTGCTCCTGTATCTACGACGAGCGTCGCGTTAGGTATCGTCGAAAGCACACTAGGAAGAGGAGGGAAAGAATTACTGTCTTACGCTAGAGAGTGGTTGAAGGATACGGGAGAGAATGAAGCACCCAAAGAGTTGCAAGTCCTGCGTCTAGCAGGCGCCGCTTATTGTCGCTTGCTCAGCCCTTTCTTACGTCGTGCAGTTGTAGAAGGAGTGTTTGGTGTGGGAGAGTGGGACGAGATGAAGGGCATTCGAGATCCATGGCGCTTCAGCGAGGATGAAAACAACGGTAATGGTATCGAGGATATAGATGACACGGAAAAGCAAGAGAGTGAATTGCAACGCGTAGTGAGGGAGTGGGAAGGGTGGTTAGGGGAGACTGGCCAGTAGGTACAGGTGTCATGATGCTATAAGTTATGTGTATGTGCACTTGATTTCGCTGGTTTCTTATACCAATCCCTATCTTTCAACTCTAAGCACTTCGTCAAGATTGAGCTGAGATTACGATGAATAAGTTCTGTAAATTCCGCTCATATGAACCCGATATATCTACTATCCACCTTTGGGAAAATATACAAGATCGCCATAGAAAGCAATTTTTTCTTGTCTTTTGGCCTTATCCCTCCTTGCAATACATCCGTCAAAGTTTGAGTTCATCGTAGCCTTCGAGTAACACATTACAAGTTACAAGTGTGACTGCCAGCGATGCAACGACTTGGCAAGGCTTTGCAAGAGGGGGAGATCCTTTCAAATTGTTGGGACTTGATAAACAAATTGCTGTATACCACAAAACTTTTGGCCAAGTGTTAGTGAATTGAGGACCCTGATATATAAGTAAGACGTTCCATACCATCTCACGATGTATGTACAGGTACAGTATCAGTTATCCAGCTCCTTCTTGAGTCGATAGCACTTAAGATAGTTGATTCCAACTAGAAATCTTTCATGGATAGATTTGAGACACAAACCATGTTACTAATATTGAACAATGCTCACCATGTCATTACAAGCAGCTATGTCAACAGCTCAATTATTCTGTTCCCAACAGGCAAAGGTTCGCAAAATGAGCACGCCTGTATAAATAACGTTTAGCTTCAATTGCATGCTTGCCGCAAGCATCATCTTCTGCACCGATAGTGCTCTGTAGTAGCTACTTTGCGATTTGCATAGTCAGCATGTAGCTCGGCAGGAAATTGTTTGCAAAGTCCTTACCAACTAAAGTACAGCGACAGGAGAGCTGTTCGATGTTTGATCAGGAAAGAACTGCGTTGTGGTACATAGAACTCACACTGCCAGTACGAGTCGGTGGATCAAAAATAACTATGAGGACTAGCGCATGTCTACGTCTTTGACTGAGAAGTAGAGACGATGGAGCTCGTAAGCATAGTCGTTTCTGAAAAATTAACGATGGTCACAAGTAACCTCGCTTGTATATCCTACGCCTTTCCGAGTCGTATTGTGGTACTCACCCTTAGCGTCAACAGTCACCAAGCTTCCACAAAATTCCACAGGGCTCAAAAAGAAGGTGAGCTTGGAGGCAATACCTACAACAACCGGAGAGTATCTATCAATTAGTCCAACTGCTTTTTTCTATAGTAATTTATAAACTACAGTTACCTGGAAGAAGATCACTTTCAGGCGTTGATTGTTGAACGCCCGAATGAGCCAGCTAATGTAGATATCAATGCGATCTCCAGAAGTTGATATGGATATATCTCGATACGTGAAAGTAAAATGCACAGTTTGGTTTAATTGCATTGCGAGGATGCCCAGGACCTACTTCCAAAATCGAAAATCCAAGGGGATATCGTATTCGGCGAGAGCAAGAAGAATAAATATCGCCAACACAGGCCTAATAAACAAAGTAATAAAAACTTATCTATCCACCCTTGTCCTATACTCAACAAAACGTACACAGGATCCCCGCAGTAGCCATTATCAAAATCCTTCCTTTCCCATGTCCCACTCCCTGACACTCCCCCGCTTCTTATACTCAATATCCATAATACTTTCCCCTCCACTGGTCTCCATCGCCAAGGCACCCTTCTTCTTTGATTTCTTCCCTGTCTGTTCCTTGCTGATACCCATTCGCTCCAACCTCTTTCGTTCCTCCTTCTCTTCCCGTCTCGCTTTGATAACTTCGAGCATGAGGTCCCACCCCTCGAAGGCTGCATCACTCACCAGGCCGGTGGATGGTATGGAAGGAACAGCAAGTGGGGCTGTGTCCAAGCGGGGATCATAGGATGGTTCAAAATATTTATCCATTTTCGAAGGGAGGGTTGGGGCTGGTGAGGTGGGAGAAGGGGACGTTAATCTAGCGAATTTAGAAGATTGATAGGACGTGGATACATGAAGATTGGAGGATTTAAACGGTCGTGAACGAGGCGGCGAATGCGAAGGTGAACGAGTATGTGACGAGGAAGGCGACTGCGGTTTCAACTTAGATGGTAGACTGTGCCCATTAATCAGCGAGTCTAAACGTGCTTCTGTCGAAGGTGATCGTGATCGTGACTTCAATGCACTTTCACCAGCTTGGTATGCATCTGAGATTGGACTTCTTGATCGAGAATGTTTACGCGACTCGCGGATATCTTGCGCAGAAGTGTTTGTAGTAGACGAGCGCTCGCGTTGGTGTCGGGGTGAGGCAGAACGACTAGACCTCCGTCTGATTCCATAAAAACGTGGTTGAGAGTCCCCACGCCGTTCTTCGCTCTCGTGCCTATGTCTGCGCTTCCTACGTTCGTCAGATGTATCGTCTCTCTCTCGGGATACATGACGACTGTGACGATGACCTGAGCTCGAGCCACGTGGTGAACGGTGCCGCCCACTTCGTCGCTCCTCTTTATTACGGGTATCATTGTCTTCGTATCTCTCCCAGCTTCTTTCCCTCCTCCTCCTCCCTTCGTTGAAGCCTCTTTCCTTCCCTCGGTCCTTGTCTCTGTCCCTACCTCCTTCTCTGTCTCTCTCTGTGCTCCATCCATCCCTTCTCCCTCCACCCATCAGTCTTCTCATCCTCTCAGCCTCAACGGCCTCTTCCGCCCTTACTCTTCTCTCTCTCCTTTCTTCCTCCTCCCTCTCACGTTTGATTTCCTGTGCAGCAAGTGCCTGTGTACGAAGTATAGTCTTGTTGTGATCGTCCGTACTACGTATTATAGAGGACAAGAAGCGTTTATTCGTTCGTGGGACGTTTGGGTCTGAACTATAGATGAATTAAATCGAATCAAACAAACATTGTGAGCATCATTTTGAACAATAAAAGTCGATATACGCACACATTTGGCAGGTAAGCCCTTATCCCATCCTTCCCATACTTCTCTGCTTTTTGTTTTGCCTCTTTAAGGATAAGTTCTGCGACGTGCCGGTCGAGGTCTTCGTCTGTGACGGTGTTGGACACCGACGCACCCATCGACGCACGCACGAGATTGGATACGACAGACGACAACGATGATTTGGACATAATTTCAGTCAAAGAAAAGGAGGGAGTAAATAAAGGCTAGGATAAAATACTAGGATGTGGTGTATTACGGCGGCGGTTGGCGGTTGGATGGAATGTTGTTGTGCCACGGCGCCACTGAGAGCTGCATGCGAGTGTTATGTATTTGGTGTCCTTTGGCTTTCGTGGCTGATGCCTTTTTTTTCTTCTTTCTTTCTTCGTTCCGTTCCGAGTCGAGTGCACTCCGAGTGCTTGACCCGGATGTTCGACCATCGTACCAACAACGTTCACCCTATCCATAAAAATCAAATGCATATAAAGGTCAATATGAGCGATGCTCAACAGCTCTGTCTTTGACCATTGCCACGATCTCTGGGAAAAAACTTCGAAGGGGACGAGATTTTTGAAAACTTCGGCGGGTCCCTTCTATAATCTTCCAAGTCAGCACCACTTGGATGCCTCACTATGATGTGGTGAAAATGGATTACGTGTCTTTTCGGCGCGCTCGTAGGTTCGAGTTACCCTATTGGACTTCGATTATAAAACCCAACGAAGAGTAATCAAGCCTGGCAATTTTCTAGTTCAAGTAGTCGCCGGCCATGCTGTGTGTTAACCATATCTGGTCCTGCGACTACTTGAACTAGTCAGATAGGCACGGAAACGATGTCGTGTCCTGAAACTATCGTAAGCAAAGTCTCGGATCATTAGAAAATGCGCATACATTAATGTTCCGTTTCAGTGTTCTGATCGAGGTCATCGTAGGCCGCCATTGTACATTTGCATTTTGGGTCACGGTCTTCTTAACTCCCCATGGAGAGGGGAGGCGTATCTTTGGTTCCTGCTACACGGGTGAGCATGTTCATCATGAGACAGTTTTTGATGTCACTGCCGCCTCACTGAAAGTCCGAATCACGTGTTAAGGCGCGTTATAGACTCTGGTTCTAAATACTTATTCCATGTTAACGATAGGCTGCTAAAAAGCCGTCACCAATCTTCTGGCCTAGTTCACGAGGCTATATTATTTGCATCAACATGATTCGGTATAATAGATGTGGCGTCACTGCACCCATGCACACCTTCCATTCGACGCGTCAAATCGAAGTGGTAAGCCCCAACTTTCAAATTTGTTGCGTTCCGCGGACTACACATTGATTTTTGGTTTTACTACTATATCTAGGGGTGCTGCGGTGATGGCAATAGTACCCCCTTCGACGGGATCAGGGCCATTATCATTTAATCCACATCGAGTGACTGCAACGACAGCGAAGTAGATAAAGTATGAGCAGCTACTTACTCTATAAGTTCGAAATTATATCAGACTCTCACCAAATATACTGCAGTTCGGCTCCTTTCCCCCGTTCTCCTAACTTGATTCTTCCAACAAGAGGAGTCCCGCGTTCGTATCACTACGAACCTATGGTACCATGAAGATGCGGACACGACCGGACAGGGGCTCCTCGCGTTATCTCTTTTGATGATCTTTTAATGTCCACGGCGATCAAACGTAGGCTGACCTTCTTCCCACGGATACTTCCAATGTTCACCCTTTTCCGCGTAAAGAACCAGTAGAAACTAGGGACCTCCTAATTCTTCGTTCCACTGCGTCGTCCATCGCATATCGACCGGTACGATTCTCCGCACACGCCACCTCCTGAAATAAATGCTCAGGCTCATGTTTCAGAGTACATTCAATGCAGGTATCACTCCATTTGACTCTCATATAACCTTCCACAGCGCACACTATTTTGATATATGGCGAGTATTAACAATAGACGCGCGATCCGCGCTTCCGTAGCTCTATACGCAAAGGGACGCAAAGGGAAGCCGGTTGAGATTAGAGATTATTGACTCCTACAAAGTTTGCCTGCGTCGTACTGAGTTTATCGCTACATTTGCATGTAACAATTGCAGCTTGGTTGACCATGGCAACAGCGAAACGGAACCTTGTTCATTCTGCGCCTCCCCGCGGGACCGGGGTATTTTGGGATTGGTATGTTTTTTTTTCATGTCTGTTATCATTCATGGCCATGTGGAGGACGTCCTTCTGGCACACCCTCATTCACTCATACACGGTTGTCATTCTCGTCTCTTCCCGGTCCTCATCTCTTACCCATTCATATCAGCAACTTCCTTTCCACGTTGCTTGTCGTTGACAGTACCCCGTCTTTCGTGCCGAGCTCCTCGGGGGCAGCACCAACCACAAAAATGCTTGAATAGTCATTTCGTTCCCTAGACTCGAAGTCTGGACCAGCTCGATCGAAGGCGCCTGACTTCTGTTTGCATATGCTCGCTCTTCCTCTCTTCACCTTCTCCCGTGATCACTCTTCCGACACATGTGGAGGAATGACAAGCCAAACGCCCATTCTTCAGACGCCTTCCACAGGGCACCAGCGCATAATGAAATCCTACCCTTAATCGTACACATGCTTGCGCTCCTATGTGCTCGCAAGGCACTATCAGTGGTGATAACCCGATAAACCATCAACTGCATGCAAACACGTTGTCCGCATCGTATTTCATTATTGACAGGTCAAATCCTTGATTGAAGGATCAGGCCCCCCGCTGAGTAAGTAAGCGTGCATATACTCGCATTAAACGTAATCGTAATCTGATAATTTTATCACCGACCAATACCACTGTAACCGTCGCATGCTTGTTTTGGCAAGTAGGCTTGCCAATGGATGGTTGGCAACGTTCCGCAGCGCACTGCTTCCACTTGAATTTATCTCGAGTTTTATTGCTCAACAGGCGCTGTATTGTGTTTGGCCTCAATGAACGACCATGACGTGCCAAGACATGTTATGGCACAAATGCCAAACGTACGTCCACCACCACCACATACGTGGACTCGTGGAGGATATGTAACGGACAATGCTTCTTCAAGTACCCTTTAGAGCGATTAGCCTCCCTCGAACATTCCATGAAGAGCGCCGCATTTTCTTGGACTGGATGGCGAAATTGTGATGCTGCAAGGTACGTGCGGACATCACAAATACAGCACTTCTCTCTCGATTCTTCCCTCAGTCGGCCTGCACATCGTGACACACTTTTCAACTTTTAGGTTATCTATATCGCGATATGGTGCCAGCGTCGAAAATGCCGTGCCGACGCTGCAGCGAAAGCATATGCCTACTACACATACGTTAACGCTTTATTTCTGATTCTTCGAATCGAACTCATCGTGGTCAAACTGCTTAGCTGAATGCGGAGATAAGACCGAGGTTTAGCGCTGGGATATGGCATGCTTACTGTATCATATGATCGCCGAACGATCTAAATTCAGGTTGGCTACTCGTTCGCAGGACCACCGAGGATTCGGACACCACCGATGCTCAACGATTGGTTCGACACGCCAAGGCCAGGCTAGGCCTGCCAATTACTCTTGTCTCTCGCCATATGCATGAAGCCACAGCATAGTCCATATCAGATAGTATCGTTCTCATGTCTCACGAAGATGCCGTTCCAAAAAGACTTCATCTCTGGTACGCCGCTGTCACTCACTACCGCTCATGATCGATACGGGGAGCTTACCAAGTCTATTCTTGATCACTATTCTCGTACAGCAAGTGGGCCGTTTGTTTTCCCACACGGCCATCAGACCAGACGCTGAATGGACTCAACAAGCTGAGGGCAAGAACACGCTGGCCCATCTAGTTCATATTACATCTAATCCAATACCAATGGGTTCGCGGCTCCCGTCTCGACCTTTGTGGAAGATTCGCGAAGAGGTTCACCCCCGTCACTTCACCATCGTGGCTGGTTTAGGCTATATCTATCGCTTTTGGCTTGTCCTCCCCTGCGCCCTAAGCTCTGTTTAGGGGCGACCCATTGGGGCTAGTACTGGGCGGGTAATGAAGTTAACGTATGAGGTAGCGTCAGAGGTGAGTGTGTGAGCCTGAGGTACGAACACGGTTACAGTGTCTCTGGGCAGCTCGGGCACCGAGCATAGTCAGTGGGCTTACGCCTTGAGTCGACGTGCATGCCAAGAGCAAGACCAGTCGAATGGGATTTCGTCTATCTCCACAGCGTCCAATAGTAAGCTTCCAACATGCCATTCGTCAAGTGGACCACACCCTAGCCTCACCAAGACTATCGCCAATACTTTGGAGAACATCTGTATCGTATTCCAGACAAGGTCTACGGTAAGCATCCATCCTGTCGTTTATATTCGTGAGATCCTGATCCTAGCACAGACACTAAATGTTCATTAGACGAGAGTGCACCCCTCTATCTCCAATCGCGCGCTTAACAGTGTTGGCCAGGAGCTCGGCCTATCAGTTCGCCAAGTGCAAAGCACAAATAACACTGAATGTTGGTGCCATTCTTTCAGACCCGCAGACTTGACTAAAAAGCGCTTGTCGTTTGAATGGCGAAAGGTGCATGGGGACTGATCAGGATTGTTCAGATGAGTTCCCATGTCACCTATCGTGGTCCTTGGATATTGTCCACGGCGTGCTTCAAACCTATGGTGTTTACAATACGTTCTTCACCGAAGCTTCTACTCAACGATATGAATCCCTGACCCACAGAAAGCATCCTTTGAAAGTTTGACCTCTCTAGCTCCACGGACTTGAAGCCCTGGATCAACCTCTCAGTTACGATACTACTAGTAGGTTTTCCAGCATAGAAAGCACTATCCTCTAGCATCTGCCGTCGCACGGCGCTTGCCACATGGATTCAGCTTAGACTAAAACCAATCTTGGACGCTGACAAACCTCGGACCATAATGCTTACGGGGAAAACGTCAGCACATTATCCCAAACCACCCGTCCTTTCCTTGGCATTCATCTGTCTGGCATACCATGCTGAATATCTCTCAAGCTCGTGCTCCCCTTGACACGAAAAAGCGTGGGCCTACCTTATCTCCTTACAGTAGTTCTGAACGACCAGCTCCGAAAACTCGTTTTGTTCTCACATCCACCCAAGCCTTTTTTTTCAGTTATACAGCCTCCGACATGCGTGCTTAGTGGTATAATATCACGATGCGATGATGGCGGGGAGGCATGAAACATGTGAGAGTCTCATGCTTTCAGAACCTCTCTGTGATGCGGCATTCAAATAAACGCTGTCGTTGTATATCCTTTCAGATATATTCGTTAATCCAAAGAAGTTTGTGAGTAATCGGGCCCTGCTCCTATCCAAGTCATTCGATATTTCATTGATCAGATTCAAATGGAAGATGGAAGGATTCCGAGTCGTAAAAGCCACTCATCAACCCAATGTAACCCTATCAAGGCCATCCATGACGTAGTGCCGTTCGGTAAGCACCCTTCCATGATGCGACATCACGCTTTGCAATTTACAAAATTCGTTAAAAAAACAAAAAAGTACAATAGACCAACAGACGCTCATTGTTCTACTGGCCATTGCCATACAATCCTTCCTTACGGGGCTCAAAGGAGAGCAGCGGTGACTCATGAACACGCGCATCAATTAAGCTATGGTTCGCGAGTTTGTGAGTTCATGCTATCATTTCGCTTATTTATTCATGAGTTCATGATATCGAATTCGAAGAAACGAAGGAAAGTCGAAGCGAAATGGGTCTCTCAAAGCTGGTCGCTGGTCAGCCATCTTTAGATCATCAGACGCCCATACAATGTTGCACTAGTATATATTCATGCCATACAGGGTTCAAACAAGAACAACGATGACTCATGTGCATCATTCAAGCTCTGGTTCGTGAGCTCATGCCATCATCGTCACCTTATTTATCCATGAGCGCCATCGAAGAAATGAAGAAAAGCGAAAGCGAAATGAGTCTCTCAGAGTTGCTCATCGCTCATCGGAACTATCGTCATTCTTCGATTCTTTTTCATGATCCATCCATCGTTCTGATTCGTATTCTTTCCTGACTAGACCTGATTCATGATCATAATCATCATCGAGCAAACGAACAAAAACTCAAAAAGTAAGATAAAGCTGTACCGTCGCTAGAAGCAATCATTCTGGAAGGACGAGCACTGACTCGGAGGATCTCATCAGCTTTGGCTATATCAGTCAGGTCACAGTATCATTGAAGCTATGCTACCAGTACGCCCCCCCCACTCAAGTTAGGCTGTTGGCCAATTAAATGCGCGTCAATAATTGCGATCTTTGTCATAGGCTGTTCCCAAATAAATGTGCTGTCCACCTGTTTGTAGCGCCCATTCATTGAAATTGGGATGGCATCGAGTTCTGAGATGGGGATGGAAAGGCTGAGGCGGCGGTGTCCGGTCATCATAAACATCTAACCAAAAACCTCATTTCCGCTCTTCTTCCGGCAACTATCTTTGCGTGTGATACACCTCTCTCTCACATGCAGAAAGTACAATGGGCTCGCCAAATTCAAGTGGGGATTTCTCCCGACGCCGACCTCGCCTGTGTCGCATGGACTCGTACTCGAGTACAACGTGTTCTAGTAAAAATTAAATATTATGTGTCATTCTGTCGGGCACTGGTCAAGCCGGTTATGTCAAGTGCTCGTGCTCGTGCTTCCCAGTCACTCGATACCGTACCCATACGGTTTCAATTCTGTGCCATACTGTACCTGACACGATGAGGTCGGTCTTCATTTCCGATTGGCGAACATTGAGTGGTAACATGTCAAAGAGCTTTTGAGCTTCCCAGCACGTCGTGTCGTACTCGATTTACATACATACACCACACCCCCCCAAGAAGCGGGAGTATGGCGAGTCACCCCCGTGCACGCTGCTTGCGTCCGTGTCATATACGTACATGTGCACGAGCATTCTTTTGGGGGGGCCATGTCTTTCCCCTTCTCAAGTCCTCCGCCGACAAAGTCACGATCGAGCAAAAGTCAACAATTGCTGGCAAGATGGCACATGATGACGATAGTTGTTTATGGAATGCGTTCCAAAAAGTCCACTGGCAGTGAACCGCCGCAATGATTCTCGACCTGACACGCACATCGGCGGGAATGAGAAAAATCACCATTTTTTCCATGGACCTATGCTCATTGACACAATAATTTGCTAATGCCAGTGTACCTGGAAAAGTGCCAGTGTAAGAACATGGTACTAGTACAAATATAGAAGGCTGCTTGTACTCGACACGAGGGTCCACGAGGATGGCACAACGTTATCCAGTTTCCAGAAACGCATTGCGCAGATGCGCAGAAGGCGGCGGCGGCGGCGGCGTAACGTGTGGTTGGTGCAGTGTTTAGCAATACATGCCATCATGGGTATCAGTATCAGTAGATGCTGTTGATGAGATATGGCGTTTGGCACGAGTGATCATATTTTGGCATCGAGTTGCTTGAAATGGTTCGTATCTGCGCAGCTGTTAAGCGTCAAGCTGGCCGCATCGTTGTCATTCATGGACCCAAGCTCTGGATCTCAGGTCCTACTAGTATACCTGCCATGAGGGGACCCAAACGTACTATTGCGTCACCAAAGTCTTAACGTGACGGGGCGAGAGCCTGGGCAGAAGAATCGCCGACGAGCCAAGGAGTCGTCAATTGAAGTGGAAAGAATCCAAACTGGCGATGCGTGGAAGCGCGCAGCCCTCAGTTTGACATGGTGGGCGCTCGGGCTGGGCGCGTCTGAGCGTTACAGAATACTGTCAGACTATAGACCAGGATCCTTCTTTCTTCATTTTTCGCTTCCGGAATTGGGAGGGAGAGTTCTGCCGATTGAATGAGCTCGACGAAGAATATTCGAATGCGAGTACGTTAGAGTGTGGTATGAACGAATGGACGGGATCGACCTTGCTATGATCGAATCATGGTCTCAGAGTCACTCAGGCTGGGCTTTACGAAGAATCAACTAAGTTGTGTGGGCGCGCGGACTTTGTGACGCAAATAGTGAGCATAGACAGATTGGACGAACGCGGCACCAATAGGAATGCGGAAGCAGTGAGTCATGGTGCTCCGAGGTCCAAAGTCTGTCGTTATTTTATTTGTTCCGTCATGTTTTGCAAAACAATAAAGAGAAAGGGGCAAGGTGGGTGCCGGTAACCTGCCGTGTACGGAAGTAGTAGTAGAGTAAGGTTAAGTAAGCCATATGAGCGATCTTGACGATTTTAAACGGTTAATGGTGGGTGATTCAGGGTGGGGAAGACGGAAAGGGGTTGATGTTTTATGTGATTATGGAAAAAGACAGGCGATATATTGAAGTCGGGTGGAACAAGGATGGGATGAGATGAAGAGACAACAGGAAAGATGAGAGTTGGGGTAAGAGCACATGGATGAGGGATAGGAGGGGCGTGGATAAGAAATAGGGATGATTGGACGCGGAAGCTTTGTGTGGACTAAAAGGATGGGATTTCTACGTGGAAAGGCAAGTGGAACAGGAGTGGAGGAAGATGCCAGAGGTGGCACCGTCGTCGCGGGTGACTCCGATGGCAGAGTCAGAACGGACGTTGGAGAACAGCACGACGGGGTCGGACCGGAGAGTGCGGGATGGGATGGACCAATGGGACGGTGCAGGGGCATTAAGAGTGTGGGAAGGCGAGGCAGTGTAGGGACAGACACGCGGTGGTCCGTGCGGGTCGCTTGTGTGGAAAGCACGGTTTGTACGGACAGCCATTTCCACTGGCAGGACGGTTGCCAGAACGGTCGAGCACCGACGAGTTCAAGCGAGAGAAGCAGGAACAAACAAGAAGAACGCCGTCGACTCGCGATCTCGATCCCCCAAGTTCGCGGACCCGAGGGTGTGTCCCGATATGGCAGGCATGGTCCGGTAGTTGGGACACTTGTTCTTCCACGGTGCATACTCACTCCCTCCGTGTTTTTTGTTGTCCGTTGTGCTGTTTCACGTCCCAGTGCCGTATAAATATAAATATCCATGTCTCCTCTCTCTCTTTCCCCCGACGACATCCAAGACCACTCACGTTTCCATCATGGGTTTCTTCAGCTTTCTCCTCACAACCCCTGCCTCACGAGTATGTCCTCCTGCCCTCTTCCCCCCCTCCCCCTTCTCTGACTCCCTCCTCCAGACCATTCAACACGATCTATCCTTTGATCTAACGACCACCTATCCCCCCCGTGCATCTATCCCTCCTCTTCCCACATCTGCACCCAACACCCCCCCTATCCCACTTGAAATAGTCCTTAATATCCTTGAAGCTTCCTACTTTGATGATGCCCTGGCCCCAAACACCGCTCTGCTCTCTGCGTGTTCCCTCGTATCAAAGTCCTGGTCTCCGCATGCCCAGAAACTCCTCTTTAAGCATGTCACTCTCCGCACCAACGCAGCCTACACTGCTTTCTGCCAGGCCGTTGACCACGACAATGCCCGCGCACGCATGCTCGGTGCCGCCGTCTTGCGCATGCGCGTCGTCCTCGATGCAAAACACCCAGACGCGCTCACACATGCTTCATTCGCTAACGCTCTTACGCTCTGCCCTAACTTATATGATCTTAATCTTGTCCTCTATGCCTCGTCCTCTTCTGCAGCTTCCAACTCTTCACTTGACCTTGCTGCCAGCATCGGCGCTAGTGAAAGTTCGACTAGCACACGTCCTCCTCCCGCTCTCCCTTCCTTCTCCGATCACACCCTCTCCCTCCTCGCCGCATCTCCCAAGATCAGCTCTTTCCATTTCACGAACTGGTCTAATGACCCTCATGCCATCTTCCCGCTCCTCGATCTTTGGCCCTCCATCCGTTCACTCGCCATAACCGGTCCTCCTCCAACTCTCCCCACACCTACCATACCAACCTCCTTCGCGGGCTCGCTAAATGACCTCCGCATCAACTGCCAATCGCCTCCTTCACTCGACTTCTTCGACTGGCTTCTCCACAGCTCGGCTTTGCGTTCTCTAGAGTTCGAACGCGATCCTCCTGCCAGCGTGGTCGAGTACTTTGCCGATACGCAGGGCGGGTCGCTCATCTCGCTTGCATTGCCTACGCTGAGCGCGCATGAGTTTGTTGGCTCGGTGACGAGGATGACTGTTCTCAAAGAGTTGCGCACGGAGAATCCATGGACGTGTCAGTCAATCCACGGTCGTCTGCCAAGTACCATGCAGCATCTCGCTCTAGGTCTCGACCTCAACACGCCCCTCCAGTCCGTGCTCGACCTCGTTAAGAGGTGTCGTCGCAGCGACGACGACGACGAGGAAGGTCTGAGAGCCGTGACGTTGCTATTGTGGAACAACGGCGAAAAACACCCTCAGTTGCCTGCGCTCAAGATGGCGTGTGCGTACAAGGGTGTGGATTTGCTGATCATGAAGGATGTGGCGAAAATGAGGACGCTGGGGAGGGGCGATCCGGTGGGGGATGTGGTGTTCCCGAGGGAGAAGACGATTGAGAATTATAAGGTGATGTGCGCGCATTGAGGCGGGTGGTGATGATGGATATACCATTGCCTTGCTCGGAGGAATGGCCAGTGTTTCTGATTTGTATCATATCGATATTATGTTTTTAACGCCCCTTTGACGACCGCTCCTTTCCACTCTTCTGTTTTTCTTCCTCATTCACGCATTCGATGTTGTGTTGACGGCATTTAAAGCTCTAGTTCACGCATCTCGTTTGGCTTCCACTCATCTATCCCATCCCATCCCATCTACTCATCTACGTACACTTCATCATCCCACCTTCCCCATTATCCAGAATCATTTCTTTTCGCATACATACATTCATGTCTCTCTACCTACATACATACGTACGAGCACGTTTTTCGACAGTCGCATCTCTTTCTACGCTAGCGGATGACGGGAGGAACGGGTTCGAGGTTTCAACTTCTTGATTCTGTTTCTCTGGTTTATCGTTTGCATCCTTTTCGTTTTTTTACAACTACGTAGCTACAGTATTACGCCGCCATTGACCAAGTTTATCGTTAAAATTTAATGCGCCTGGTAGGGCCTTATTGTGTATCCATCGTTTTTGGTTCTTGTGTTGAGTGACTGATGCGCGGCGGAGGACTGTACTGGTGCAGGAACGCTGTGTCGATGTGCGATGCGGATAGACTCTGACGGGTGGACAGCATTCGTACTGAGCGCTGAGCGTTGAGCACTAGTGGGTGGGAGGGAGGGGCGCTGCAACATGCAACGCAAAGTGCCTCGCCGAGGACTCGGACGCCTGCATGGCCCTACAACTCGCGCGGCCCAAATGTGATACAGTGTGATACATGTGAATGTTCGTCAATGAACACCGTCACACCGCATTAGTATTAGCACTATTATATAATGTCAAGCCGCAAACACTGGCATGTCGAACACGATAAGCGCTGTCACTGCCAATAATTCGACACGCGTTTTTGGGTGACAGCTCCGTTTTTAAAACTTTTGACGTTGAGATCTAGCCTGACAGGGAGTGACAGCGCTATGGTCCGACGCGGTGACTGTCAATGGGTGCAAGGGGAGGGGGGGGGGAACGAATGAGATCGGGCGATCAAATCTAGGCTAATGGTGAATCTGGCGCACGACTCGGACAATGTTGCAATGTATCATTTGTATGTATATACATACCTGCATACATACGTTCAGACAAGCCACGATGGTGTTGGATGGTGCGTCATGTGGGGGTGGGGCGGGACCATCGTGGGGAGATGAGATGAGATGAGATGGGTCAGAGGTGGGACGGGGGTTCCTGAATAGAGGAGAGGAGAGGAGAGGAGAGAGAGGTCACGTAAGGTGCGTTGAGTGTTTGAATATTTTTGTTGATGGTTTTTCGTTTACAATTTTTTTACTGTTCTTCAGGCTCTTGGGTCAGGTCAACGCGTTACTACGTACTTGTACAGGATGGCCATTACAACTTGTAATGGAAGAAATGTGTCAAAATCGTCAACTTGAACCCCCTGAATCGTCTCTCACCGCCCTCCTATCACTGAAGATTAAGTTTTGATTTTCAAAAATTTTAGCTGTTTTTTGCGTGCAGCAAAATCATGAGAGGGAGTGTTGGAGATGATTGAAAGTGGGTTTTCGCATGAAACTTATGAATCCAGGTGCGAACGGTGCAGCAAGGTTGTAAGTCCCCCAAGTGATGTTTTGAAGCTTCAATCGCGAGCGATGGTCTGTAAAGGTTTTGACTGACTTTCAGTTTTTTTTGGGAGCAGGTGAGTGATTTCCATGATAGGCTATCAAGCCGTGAATTCGCTCTTCAGCACTTCCAATCAAGCTTCTGATAATCATTTTTGCATTACCATTATCCTCATGGAAGCGGTGGGGTACATTTTTCGAAGAGATTAAGATATTGACAAGGACGACACAATTTTTGCAAGTTAGGCTAGGTGGCGTTGTAGCATGATCAAAATTTTGATTCAGGTCATGTTCGAGGCAATCTGTTCTTGCTAGATCATGGGTTTTGATCCGCAAAAGAAGAAGAAATGACTCATCAAGCTTTAACAAGGAATAGGCTCAATGGTCGGTATCATATCAACGTTGCAACAATGTCACGACTCCACAATGATGAAACCTCGCTTTTGTACCTTGTCTGATCGCTTCTCCCAGCCCCTTCGGATATGGTCGTTGTGCCGTGCCGGATGTTAATGTGCGTGATACGTGCGTCCCCTCATGATAGGCTCGCCTATTGATCTTGACAATACGATAAAGCTATGTCGCCTGCCTTGGGGATATCAGCACAGTGCTGTCGTTGTCGTCGTCGTTTCCACAGCGGATAAACTTTGATCTTTTGCATTGACAGATCTGGTTGCCTTGGGTTTGAATTTGAGTGATCTCTGTTTTTTTTTTCTTTCTTGCACAGCGCAGCCTGGGTTTTCTAGTCATCGCTTTTTTACGCTTTTTGGTGGGACTCCTTGCTAGGATACGCTCGGTGAGATACATTGAGGAACGTGGGTCGGTTGTGGCTATTGCGGTTATCAGACACCCGTTGGAGGGATACTGCCACTTACACATCTGCACAGCTGGCCCTGACCTACGACTCGGAGACCAGAGTTTCTTCGCCTGGCCTGATGATCCTTTCCTACATATCGGCACCGCGACGAGCATCTACCTGGACGTAGAACCTATGCATGTTCTTCGATGTAATTGAACACAAGCTTATCAACTTGAAGCTTGAAGTTTGGCGAGTTTTTGAAATTACAGCAGGCGCTCGCGGAGTTGATCCCAGGGGGTCGTGCAAGCCCATCATGATCGCGTCACAGTATATAACGGACTATGCTCTACGCCCTGTCGTGCTCTCAGGCCAGGTGCCAACTTATGCTGGACATATACGACGCAAGATAATTGAGGATGACCACGTTCACGAATCCCAGTGTCTTTCTTTCCGAGTTGCAGACGACAAATGTAGGTCATTGTTTTGTGCATTTCGTGGATTTGACCTGAGAAGGCGGCATTTTGAATTTGGGGTTGATAGTACATGAATGGTGTGTATTCTGTTCTGATTGACCTCCCTGGGGCGGGCTTACTCATTCGTGATTTTCTGGCAGTCGCTGGTTTGGCAATTTGGGCAAGTGAACCTGAGTCAACACACACCACATTCGGCCAGCGCTGACTTGTCAATGCGGATACGATTTTAGGTGTTCGATTACATCCTATCATTCGACTATGAGGTGAGCCATATATCCGAAAACCTTACTCTATGCGCATGGACTCAGCCAGGATCTTCGGCGGCAGGTTCGTTGGGTATGGGGAAGGAAGTGGGATTTCATGCGGGTCTTGTTCACGCTCTCGCGCTACGTGACGTTTTCTGCTGCTATCATGACTGTATACGGTGAGTGGAGCTGGGCAGTTGAATTCGCTTGTGGTTTGTCCTGATATGATGGAGGCTAGCTGCTGTGCATACTCAGAGAGGAAACGTTAGTGTCCTGATGTTTTGATGTTGGTGGTAGTCTAACTTAGATTGAACCTCCTACTTTGCGTAGTGCGTTCCATTTAGCACTGGCTCGGCTGGTGAGTTCATCGAATCTTCTCCAGGAGGGGCTATATGCTAAATCCCAGAGTTAATAAAGTTATCTACGTTTTATGCGTCGTCTTTGCGGAAGGTAAACAAAGTTTCATTAGTGGATGAACCTTGTGATGGGCTGATATGGTTGTCTCATCTGTAACATTTGCTGTGCGTCAATTCAGGTCTGCTCCTCATGGGGACACTAGCATTTTGGGACCGTAGCAAGAAATTGACGGCATGGTTGCTGGCGTTTGCTGTGGTGAGTATTTTTCTTCGCTTGACGTTGTCCTTGTTCGTAGAATGTTAACTTACTTTGTTAGGTCTTGGTCATAGGAGCTGCTTTGTCAAGTAAAATAAGAGATTCAGGCAGCCAAAGTAAGATCAAACTATTCTAGTCATAGACACATTCTATCTTGCCGTTCTGACCGTCTACTCCCCTAGCTAACCCAGGAGGATGTGTTTTCACAAGTAAAAAATCTGGTGCTATCCAATATGCCTTCCTTGCTGTCTATGAATCTGGTAGGTACCAGCTCTTTTTTATCATTTGTTGTGATTTAGTGCTGATGGACGGAAAACTGGAATATTTGACTCATTCAGTGCTGTTATCGCTGATGACCTACAAGATGATGAAGCAGTATCGGCATACGAGTAGTTGTGTGATCATTACGCTGTATAAGGGCAGTATGATGTATGCGGGGTGTATGATCAGTACGTGTTGCTGGCTGGTACTCTTATTTATTCATTTTGCTGACCTAGCATTGCTTTGAAGCTGTATCGGTAGCTAACGTTATTATTCACGTTGCCATGCCGGTAAGTCTCCATCTTCAATTATTTGACACGTTGATGTGAACATTGTTCACACAGCATGGATATACCAACGCACTTGACACGTATGCGCTTTCTATTGGCTGCATTTCCTGCACTCACTGATGCTTCACATGTAACAGATTGCAACTCGTACTACACAGCATACTAGCATCGCGCATTTTGTTCAACTTGCGGGAAAGTCATGCCCATGCGCAAGCAGATACATTGCCTGTGTCGACTGTGCAGTTTGCGGGTATGAAGGAGGTTCAGGTTTGTCTACCGTTGAAACTTTCCGAACACGCCAAGGACACGCGAAATAGACCATTAGAGCTTGGATGTTCAGAGCTGGTGGTATGAGAGCGGATTCATGATGATTAGGCAGCTAGAGCGTGTAAGAGACGAGGTGAAGTTTGTATTTTAACACTATTCTATAGCCTGCGGATTTCTGAGAGTTTACTTGACGTTTTGCGGCTGTATCTGTATACTACTGAGGTGAGTTTCTGGCTATGTGGAACGACTAGTTTCGTGAAGCTGATTAGGTCGTTTAGAATGTTGTAACGCATGGCATGAATGATTGTGACAACTCACCTGGTCATTCCCGCGAGCAAAGGCCCCATTTCTACATGCAGATACCCGATATCTTCACAAAATTGTCATACTCAAGAATGATACTTCATATTCACTTGATTGTGGTAGTTGTGAGCATGAAGTACATCATCGGAGGTGTGAAGACTATGCTGGTTGTATTTCCGTTGTTCGTGATGTTTGGGCTAGGTAAGCTTTGTCGTCGGTTGGATGGCTAGGTAGGTTTTTTCCTCGTCTGGACTAGAAGTGGTGATGGAGGTGTCACGACACCGGGATTTGTGAGTTTTCACACTTTCGCAGAATACCTTCTGTTCTCTATGCTGATTGGCTGATTATATGCTTTTATGCGCTGTGGCACCATATTTTCAGAATTATGCTTACCGTTGTTCGTTGCCGTTGTCGCCAGGCATGAGTTGGAAATGGTATATAATTATGAGCAGTCAAGCACCTACGATGAGTATGGACTCAAGGTAAGGCATGTAGGCGGCTCAGAGATTGATTTATCGAGCTTCGCTAGATTCCTTTCCCAGGGAACAGTCGGCGAAGATGTCTGTTGGCTGATATATCTTCGTTGATAGTGATGCAACGAAGTGTTTCGTCGCATTCGTTCAAAGTATACCTTGATGTTATGCTTCATCAAACTCTGGTATCTTGCAAGAATATTGGATCTGAAAATACTCCAGGTATTCCGCATTGATTATTGATACATCTAGGGCTGTGCCTGTTTTTCATCATGCAGAGTTACATCTTTTGGCAGCGGAGCAAGAAAGTGCTAGCGGGACTATGCCTATAAGCCGCAGTGAGTGGTTTCCTTCATAGTTTCGGTAAGATTTACTGATTCTTAATGGTTATATCATCGAATTGTACGATGCAAGCTGAATTTGGACACATAAAATGCATAGCTGGCTGGTATCCTATATGCTCTTGGACTTCCGTGGAAGTGATATGAGTAGTGGCTGCAAGTATACCCATTGAAATAATGTCCCAAGGCTCGTCTAGTCACATTGTAAGGAGTGATATCATTGACGTGTTTTGTTTTGAAACAGAAAGGCGATGATCTCCTGGAAACACTCAAATTTTCTGCTATGCAACGCCCTTCCATTTTCGGTTCGAGTATGATATAGACACTCTCACCGTGACACAGCTGAAGACATTGAGGCTGTTCTGTCCAGTCGTTTTCTTTTCAGCACAACGGCTAAACGATGCTCCCAGCCAATTGTAAAATTAAATCTCGGATCGGCAGTAATAATCGTTGATAGCATCACGAACACTAGAAAATGAGCTTGGTGGCCGAACACGATATCTTTCTGACATGTACAGGTATGTATCCTGATTATATAGTTTTTGAGTTGATCTTGTTCTGTTAACCAGTTTTATTCTATAATTCCATCCTGCTTTGCTTAAAATGTCCCTTGATTTACTTCTTGGCTGCGATTCTTCGTCTAATTAACTTGAACGTGGCTTTATAGCTCTGCAGGAGAGTAGAAAAAACAAAACTGCATGAGTACATGGTCCGTTTGTACGCTACACTCTACACTCTATTGTTAGCTGTTACTTGTCGTCGATTGCACAAAGGTCGATCCCAACAGCTTTGTTAGCCCCTTCACGCTGTTGATATACTAGACTTTACACAGTCGAGTGGTTTCATCTTCTGATCATCTTCTGATCATCTTTCCCCAGATGTCCAGCTTATTCCAGTTTTATTTCGCAGCCCTGATGATTGTTGGTCGTTGTATGGGCTGGCGGGACATAGTATATAAGTCAGGTATCAAGGTCTTTTAACCAGGCAACGCAGGTAGTCACCATTGTGATGCTTAACGATCACACTCTTGACCCTCTCGACACTCTCACAATAGTTTCCCAATTACAAACGGCTAAGGTGGGTCTGTCGATATGATTGTTGTTTACGGACTTACAAAATTTAATCTGTTAGTACTTAAATGGTGTGGTTTCCTACCTTATTAAACTGACGAGTAACTCATCGTGGAGTGTTCTTTTCAGTCGCCGGTTTGGTGGTCTGGGTAAGAAAACCGGCATTATATTTTTCGCACTTGCTAACTGATACATTTCAGGTGTTTGATTATTTTTTGACATTCGATCTTGAGGTGCGGATAAGGGACCTCCTCAATATATGTTTTTACAAGTAGAAAATCATAGGTCCTTTGTGTCTGGGGAAGGCGTTGGGACTGCCTACGATTCATATTTACAGTTGCACGCTACCTCCCTCTTGCTGGTGCTATCATAACCGTCTATGGTAGGCATGTTTGGTGAATCAATTGCAATTTTCTCACTAATATGAATGGGTTTGAGGTCAGCCGCCACACAAACCCGTACTGGCAGCGTCAGCAGCATTCTGATATTGTGACATTGTTATATGCTAACTGGACGTCGAATAGTGTTCTACTTATAACTCTGTTTCAGATAGTGAGTACATCATACTTGCAGTCAGATTATATGTTGGCTTACACAAGTTTCGAGCCGTCCATCTCTTGAGCTTTGTTTTTATAGAAAGTAGGGCAATCAACAAATGTGTGATCAATGCAGCTAATATTGCTTACATTCATGCAGGCCTGCTTATACTACGGATCTATGTTGTTTGGGAACGGAGCAAGAAACTGCTTGCATGGTTGATTGTTTTTGGCTTGGTGGGGTTTTCTTTTTCTAAAGAAGTAGCTCTAAATAACTGACTGGTAGCTTTTTCATAGATGGCCGGGCTGGGGGCTGTTGTCACATCTCATGAAGTACGTCTTGGACCTACCTACAGTAAGGCTAGCACAGCGACTCTTTGCTTTCATACCTTTGATTTGATTTGCCGCAGAAACGAAAGGGTGCGACTTTATAGGAGGCCAAAGTGAAGCTATTGAATACATTTTTCTAGTCATCTTTGAGTGCGGTCAGTGTCTAACAAAAATTTCAAGTTCAAAATATGCTGAGCCCTCCTTTTAGTGCTATTGTTCCTAACTATATTCAAGATGGTCGGACACTACAAATCTACAAAATGTGTAGTAAGCATGGTGCTTTATAGGGATGGCATTATATATATGGGATGTATCATTTGTGCGTGCTGAATTTGTTATACTTATCGTAGAAATCACTTATCATGGATTGCCAAAAGTCATGTCCATTGCCAACATTATCATCATCTTTATTTATCCAGTAATCTCTTACTTTCACAGTATAATCTATGTAGCTGACAGTTTTACTAGATTGGATATGGCAATTTGCTTGACTCGTATGTCTATTTTCTAAATTGACTTATTATGGTATTATGGCCATGGCTGACAAAGGGTATCACAGTATGCAACTTGTCTTGCATAGTGTACTAGCATCTCGCATTCTTTTTAACTTGCGTGAAACTGATGCACAAGTACACACTGAGGTGTTGCCATTGACTTCAAGAACAGAAACGTACTAAAGTGAGTAGTGGGTGGACAAGTGCAAACAATGTCAGCTGGTTAAACACCTTGACTTGGCAGGTGTTGTACTCACTGCTACTGAGTACTGTATTGGGCTTGAGTGTAAAGAGAGTAGATTTTCATTTTACAACTTTCTAGATGGACTTTAATCTGAGCCATCCTTACTATAGACAATAAAGGACCTAGCTAATAACATACATTTGTTGTTTTATTACATTGGTATTGTTGAGTATATGTGGAGATTTTAGACAAACTCTGAGTGTTGATTTATCTGACCTACAATAGTTATAACTAGATTTTTTATACTCGAGTACTAGCACGCACTTTTGGGGACCAACTTTTACAAGCTCTGCTTATTTGCTGAAAATCTTGGATATCAGTGTTTTGATTGGCTGGGGAAAGCTTGAATTTAATGTTTTCAGCATATTAGCTGGACTCATATCAGTCAATCCCCACAGCGACAATTAAACATGCAAGGGATGGGATGTTGGAAATATGGGAGCAAGTGTCCACAAAGTGGAGAGGTGGCATGAGAGACTGGTATAGTGACCTAAATAGGCAGGTCTAGTGGATGAGATGGCCCATGCACCACCAAATGGCAATATTTTGTTTTGTAAATGTAACAACCAAGAGTTAGTTACTCTGGCGCACACAGGAACACACTATAGAGAAGAGAGAAGGAGGGATCACCCCTCAGGTTTCAGTGAGTTAGTTGTGCTAGACAACAGGAGGACTCGCTGAGTCCTTCCCCATGTATTGCTCTTGTATATATACTGAATATCCACTCTGTGGTCGCAATGGTGCTGCATAAAATTGCCGGTTGCTTAAGGTTTAATTTGGTCGAGAAAATGGGCTTGAATGTAGCTTATTTTGGAGGGATAGATGAGGTGGAAAAGGGCAAAGATGATTGATCCAACAAACTTATGTATATGGTACAATCAATCAGATACAGTGCAGCTATGATAGTATTACATTTTCCTTTCCTCATCCTCCTCACCCTTTTTGGTACAATGAACCTTGTACCCTAAGATTGGGGTACCATCACCTGAGAATGTATGGTTGGGATTGTAGCAGTGCCTAAAACAAATTGAAGGGTGTGCATTCAAGTTAATCCCCAAATCTTTAGGAGATTGCCTACAAATATAAAGTGCAAATATATCAAAGGATAGAACTTATATTGCTTGATCTTTGATATGGATCACAATAGTCTAGATGACAAAAGAAAGATTAATACATATTTTGTACGGATAATAACTTACTATCTTAGACAGGTCCACAGAGGGGCCTAACACACAACCTAAGCCAGCTCCCAACCTTGTACTCTGTTCCACTCCCACAGCACATCTCTATCCTCCAAACTCTAACTACTCCAAAGGTCACAATTCTGACAAAGCCATAGGAATGATGATATAATTATGGTATCTGATTGAGGAGCCCTGCACTGAGTTTGAAAATAAATTAAAGTGTACACAGAGATTAAATGTAACAACCAAAGTGTTCATACTCTGGTGGTTCACATTCAAAGCAAATAAGAATGCTGACAAAGTGCCAGAGCAAATTCTTGTATCAATCCAGAATCATTTTAGAACAACTCTTCTGAACAATAAACTCAACATTTCAGATAGACAGCTTGATAATATGTTTAGTCAGTAAATATCTAATTTTGTGTGTTGTTGCATCTAAGACACTGACTGTATAATTTTAGGCTTATTGTTAAATTTGCAAGTGCAATGTCAAAAGCACATGTACTCATTAGCGACAAATATAGTATACAAACTACTGCAGCTGGATATCTTTCAAATCTTAAATCTGATACTGTAACTTCCAAAGTTCTTATATAGCAAGCAAAGAGGGGTGAGGGAAGGAGTGGATAATCTTCTTTATGGTAGGACCAAGTTAGTTGTGGGTAAACAATAGGAGGACTTGCTGAGGAGTCTCCTGAACCTATTGGGGTTTATATACTAATACAGAGTGTTTGTACTTATGTACTATACAGTTGATGAAGGCAGTGGCTGATGATATTATAGGGTGCAGCCCTTGTGACCATCTCCACCACATGAAAGAGTTGTAACTAAAAATACAAGGAAGTTGTGCAGCGCTGTTGATGGTGAAGACTGTTGCTAGAAAACTACACACAAAAACAAAGTATCAAATAATCCTCCCAGATTCCATGGAACGTGTTTATAGGCCCTGCCTCCTAGAATGGTGGGTGATCTGGTTGTTTGTAAGGTGATATATATAATGATCCTTCAAAGTGAAACCCAGAGATGTGTGGGTGTGGATTTTTGGAGGAGAAGGAATAGATGAAATTTGAATGAGAGGTACTTTGAGACAACTATGGACAAGCACTACCTTGCTAATTGTAGGTCAAGGTAGGTTTGAGAATAACAAGATGGCAAGATTCCCAGTGATAACAGGCTTCTAATGCACAGACTGTAGTGCTCAGAAGGACTCTAATTGAAAGGGATAACAACGACTTCAGAAGTGGAGAGTGACAATGACAGCAGTTAACAGTAGTAGTAGTGGAAAGTGTTGTGACCACACTAGATCACAAGTAGCAATAGGAAGTGGACTTGAGATTAGAGGACAAGTCTGGATTGGATTTCTTGTTTTTACAAGGTAGAATACAGGGGTTTATAGAGTGAAAAAAAGGAAGGCTATGCACAGTATAGCTGTGTAAAAAGAATGAGAAAGAACATGAAGGAAGGAATATACCCTGACAAATCATGTGTAGGTAGTACAGGATAAGGTCATCAAAATTGTCATATCCGTGCCAGAAGACAGAACTCCGGAATCTCTGAAGAAGACATTTCTCAAGTCTGGACCCCCAAGCCTTTAGTACTCTCGGGATTACACGCCTCGTGTCCTGCTGCCCATCTCCACATGGTACTCTGGACATCCGCCCTGATCCTCCTACACCGATTATTAGTTTGTTTTTGTGTGTGGTTTTCTAACAACAGTTCTCATTGTTGACACCATGTAAAAACCTACAAGAAAAATACTCATATTTGATTAACAGATATTAGATAGTACCTTGCCATATATGATTATTTGCTCAAAGTAAAGTTCAAAAGTTAGAACTAAATGTGAATACTGTAAAATAAAAAATCTGATAGATATATCCTACACTGTAATATTCCCCCTTTTGGCATCATACCATTTTTGCTAGTGCCTCTACAACAACATTTCCAGTCATGGTATCTAGATAATTTCAAGTTATATGCTAGACTAAAAGTTCTGAAGGCTTACTAGGTTTGGGTGCTCTTAGTATATCTCCCACTTCTCTTACTGTCCTGTAAGAGACTCTCTCCATTTTCCAGTCCAGAGTAGCTAAAAGAGCCAGCACATAAACAGATCCACAAGCAGCAAGTACTCCATATTTGCTCCCTAAGACTCTCCACTCTTAGAACCTTTAAAAAAAAAGCTTAGTATTCAGATTTGCTATTTCCCCTTTGTAAAGAGTTGTGATATTAAAATATTAGAAGTCTAAGAGATAAGACTTGTTTACTGTTAATACCTTACTTCTTAGATACTAACAGCAAAAATACCTTTTGCATTTCATAAAAAGTTGCATATAGCTCATCATCATAAGGAAGCTATCTCCAGCACCTTTCCTTCTAAAAGCCTAGCAAAGTGTAATAGTGGAAGCAAGTGAATTGTCAGAATCAGCATATAGTCCAGTGCAGCATTTGATACCCTCTACTATGGCTTCAGGTTCAGGCACTTCTCCAGACAGGTGTGCACCTGCTAATTCAGCAATTAAAGCCCCTGCACTTTAAGAGTATGCTAGCTCTTTAGCTGTATGTAACCCTGCTATAGGCCACGGAACCCCATTACCACAGCAAGGCTTTCAAACAGATCTAGCTACCCTACCAGCCTGTGGCTGCTACACCGTGACTAACTCCTTTTCTGCACCACATTTTGTGCAGCTAGGGCTTTTTCCAACGCCTGGATCTTCTTCCTCCTCTTCTTCTTCCCCTTTCTCCCTGTAGATTGGTATTCCTCAGTAAAATTAGAAAGATGTTGTGTGCGGAAAGATAGCACCTCAATAACCCTGGAGTCCCAAACACCCTTTGCAGGGGAGTGCCAGAGGTACTGTTGCTAACTTTCCCCCAGTATCTTCAACAGCACAAGTTAACCTTGGAGCAGTAAGTTCTAGTGTTGTATTATTGTAAATCCAAAGGTCAGATTTCATCACTTACAACAGAAATTTTTTGTCAAGGTATATCTGAGCTTTATGATGTAAAAATAATTACAAACATTATGACATAGCCTTATAAAGGCTTGCCTTGTCATGCCTAGCAAGCTGGCTATTATCATGTGATAACCATCTATAGCCACATGATTCATAGCAGTCAAAGCTCAAGCAATCACATGATATAACAGTTCAGCTTGGTTACAAAGCCAGTTTTAGCTGACACTGTGGCAACACTAGTCTAGACTCAACATGTGACTGGTCACATGCTGTACATTGTACTTAAGCTTTATTTATCAACTGTATAATACCTCATGTATTGTAGTATATATACTGGAGTAATACATGGGGAAGGACTCAGCAAGTTCTCTCCTAGTGTCTGTCAACACTAGTGAAGACAATCTCCCTCTCTTGATGAGTTGTATCATTATTACTTTGAGTTATAGCCTTTGTGGTTATGCTTCAGTGCCTCAAGGTAGTACCTTGCTGGTGTTGTCACAGGATGAGTGCAAGCTACAACCAGTGCAAACAAAATCATGGTAGTATCACAATAATATCAATTGCACTGGAGACAACTCATAATCTTGATTGAAGTTGATACAATCTTGATGGGTTTGATGTGTTGAGATCAACTTGTTCAGGACTTGCCAAAACCATAATTTATGATATGAGTAGATACAGTATATACTTTTCTGTAACAACTGGGAAATATAAATATCTAATTCACTCTATATTGTAACAACCAAGAGTTAGTTACTCCGGCGCACACAGGAACACACTATAAAGAAAATGAAGAGGGAGTGGTTACCCCTTAAGATACAGTGAGTTAGTTGGTATACAACAGGAGGACTCGCTGAGTCCTTCCCCATGTATTGCTCTTTGTATATATACTAAAATACATGAGGTACTGTACAGTTGTAAATAAAGTCCAAAGTCCGATGTTTAGCATGTGACCAGTCACATGATGAGTCTAGACACTGGTCAGGTGATGTGTCACATGACTGGTCATGTGACTATGAAAAGTTGAAAATGTAAAGTAAAGTAAATGGTCACATGACTGATTATGTGACTTGGAAAATAAAAGTAGAAATACAAAAGTGAAGCGTAAGTAGGTGCTGGTATGTCAATTGTGAAATATATTGTCTGACTTTTGACTGGGCTATAAGGCTGATCCCTATACATCCAAGGGGACAGTCCCATAGTGCCCATAGGACCTTATCTGAGGAGTTCTTAGCTCTGATGGTTTGGTGATTATGATCAAGCTAAGAGCTACCATATAATGGGCAAAGTAACAGATATCAGAGGAGCAAAATTGGGAAAAAAAGAGATGGGAGAACAGAAGTTTGAGCACAGCCAAAGTAAATGAAGGAACCAAAGTGAAGACACAAGATGATCGTAAGAAACAGAGTGATGATAGAATTGTTGGTGAATTATATGACAGTATACTGAGGCCTGAGGGTACCAGTCTGACAAAACCAGATAAAATCCAGTCTCAGATAACAGCCATTGTTCTTCATAGAGCATAATCACCACTTCAAGGAGTCACCCATTGTTCTCCTATGAGTTATTGTGCCTTTGCAAGTAGCACCTCTGCTATAAGGAGTAGGGGGCTTAGTATAGGAATACCTCAGTCATTTCTATAGCCTTCTAGCCAGCGGCTGAGGTATGTTACATTATATCCTATAGAGTAAACACCTACTGTAGTTTAGGCATTCTGCCCTTTCACTTAGATTTATTAGTCTCCAACTGTTGATTGTTACATGAGTGAAGTTCAAAACCCATTATCCTGATATATATGTGGCAGAAATTGCAAAGCTGTACAGAAAACATCCATGTACCAGTCATTGGCACTAATAATTTGATCATATGGTAGTCGTTTGGTTACGGTTCATTTAGCACTTCAGCCGGGAGTGCCGGGTTGATATTTTCTATTGTCCAATGAACCTTACTGAAAACCCATACCAGATATTAAATCTAATAATTGTATTTGTGAATACTCGAGTTTTCACACATGAAAATAGATCTTAAGTTCAATGATCGGGCAACTTGCTATTGTTGGTCCAACTATTTTCAAAATCAGAGCCACCCTCATCCAATGAATACACCACCTCAGATCCACTATCACCTTATATGGGATAATGTGGCATATCAACCACTGCCATGTATTCTGTGCCTGCCAATCCATCCACAGGAACTTCAGGGTGGGAAGCAATAGCTGTTTTGAGCTCGGGATCATCATTCACTATGGATTCAAAGTAAGCTAGCGTGTTATGAAAGATAACCCATGCATTATTGCAATTAAAAACAGGCAATCCTGAGCGTTGAAGAAAGGCATGGGCCTCAGCAGGAAATGCAGGGGATACAAGGTTGAAAACAAAGTGGTCCGGAGGGGTATACTTGAGGTGTACCTCTTCAAGGTAAGGTGGATGTAACTTAATCTTGTAGATACAATATTTGTAGTTAGTGGATATGACAATGATATGGGGGAGCCCTTACCGCAGAGTCACAAGACTTGAATCGGTCAGGTTTTGTAAAAATGTCAATGGGATGCCCATGTGGTAATATTTTGATTGGATTATGTCGAGGTGCAGTGCGGTTGAATTTGGTTATGAAGAGATCCAGCTCCATTTGAAGCCAGGGAATAAAGATGTAATGAAAAACTAGTCTGAAATTTGTCTGTGAGTAATGTGTGAAGGGCTCCAGTCCAACGTGCAGAAAGAATTGGAAACATCTCCACTTATTGTGTTGGTCAAAACACCATATGTTGTTAACACTTGCTGTCCAGAAATACCTTCATTTCAATCTTTGTTGGCAGCGTGCAAGAACCTCTTCATGATGGTAAGTTTTCATGTATTGTAAGATGAGTTCTCTGTATACTATGCAAGGTGAGAAAAACGCCTTAGTCTCAATCAAGAATGCTTACCGTGATACCCATATATTTTCCTCCTGTTGCAATGTCAACCTCAGGTTATGTGATCCCTGCAGAGGGAGCCTTGCTTGAAGGTGTTCAATTCCTGGTCCAATGCTCTCAATTGTGTGGTTAAATCCTCTTGTGCTCTTCATGCACCAAACCATTTGTCTCTTTTTCAGAAGAGATAACCTATATCTTGTATATTAGTATAGCGGCTGTGAACAGCACATATGAGAACTCACAATACATTATGCTGTTCTATGTTAATTTCACCAATATTTTGGGATTGTTGTACCCATCAGCAACAAACTGCTCAAACAATGGATGAATGATATCATCAGGTGCTGGATGTATTGTTAACTCTGTAGAAGTGGTGGATGGAATAGAGACTTACACCATCCTTGTCTCTAGGATTTGGCATTTCCTGGTAAAAGAGTGAGCAAGAGAGTGACATACAGCGTGATATGAGACTGAGAACAAGGCTGAACTTAGTAAGCTTTAAGATAGATGGAGTAATAGATACAAGACTGAGAACAAGGCTGAACTCAGTAGAATAAGGGTGGATGAGATGATACTCTGTTGGGATACATTGCAACTGGTGCGTGGTTAGATTGCTATGAGAGGAAATTGCTGACCTGTGGTAAAATATGTCTAGTGAACTGTCAGACTAGTTGGACAATTCATGCACACACTCGGCTAATAATACACACCTAGCACACAACCTTTTTAGACATATATATTGAACATGTATAACGACTGAGTTGCACTACTGGAAGAAACCAGGCAACTCAACGTCAATCTCTAGCAAGTAGTTGAACAAGTGTATAAAGACGAAATCAAAAGCTAAGGTATGTACATCGTTGAGTGTCTACTTATATATGTAAGAACTCATGTCAGCCATGAGGTGCTGACTGATAGACATGAGGATGTATCGTGTTTAGCTTGGTAAGATGATTTGTAAGTGATCATGTGACTTAGGGTCACATGATGAGATAAGAAGATAAGATAAGGAAGACTACGTGATAAGATAAGGAGAGATGAGTGTTTCTACGTCAGAGTTGGATATGAAAGGTGAAGTATTAGGTGTAAGAGAAGAGGATCGTGACAACATGCCTGTGGCCCCAACCTGAGGAAATTGATGTACCAGCTTGGCTGCACATATAGCATGAGATTGCAGACAAGACGCTAGAAGACGGTTTCTCAGAAAGCACCAAAGCACCAGTTGTATATATAAGAGGATTTAAAAGTGAATAAATGCAAACCAGAATGGTGCCGATTTCACACCTACCAGCGACATTACTATCAACCGGACTTGCGACCGTTGTAAGACTACATATGACCGTTCTATGCAGTTCTTCTACCTCAAGGACATCAATGGGACAGCTCACAACTGCTGTTAGTTCTGTGCTGAGCACTATCAGAAAAAGAGAGGTCTCGATGCTGAGCCTGGGAATGGTCTTGATCTCTGGACCATTTATGTTTTCTTATCTTTTTGTTCCATGTCTTGGTTCTCAGGCAATTTCCCCATTACACCTCTGGCTTTAGGGCTAGAGGTTGTTACAATACACAATTTTCAGACCTTTAATTTTTATTCTCCTCTTTAACCTTTTTCTGTAGTTTTCACACACTGTGCCATGCGGCACTTTCCCTTTTGTTCAAAACTCCTCTTTCTCGCGCTGCGCTGCCTTCCTTCTTATTTTAGCTACAAGTATCTCACGCAGTGGAGCTGGTCACACAGGCTGTGCCCATGACATCATCAGCCACTGCCTCAGCGAGTCCTCCTGTTGTATCCTCACAACTAACTTGTTGAAGCCTAAAGGGTAACCACTCCCTCATCATCCTCTCTACAACTTGTCTGAGTTGTGCGCCGGAGTAACAAACTCTTGGTTGTTACAGAGGTATCCTTTGCTACCTTGCTTCTCATAGCCCTAACAGGCTTTCTTAACCATTGTTACCATTTTATATATTGCAGATCAGAGACTGGGTAACACTCTCAGCCAGCCAGCACAATGGGTAAGGGCTGGTAGTAGAGATCTCACTAACCGGCTCCATGCCGCATATGTGCCTGGATATATTAATAGATGCTTTAGTCAGGATTGTACTTCATCATAAGGATATGGTTCCTGAACATGCATGACATACCTGTTATTAGTACATTCTCTCACCTGCTGATTAATCCCTGAAGTCGTACAATAAGTTGTTCTTTTTTTTATTGGATAGTTTCATCCTCAGACCACTTTTCTTTTATTCAATTTCCGGTCTGAGAAATAGACAATTAGCTATAAAAACCCTACATACTCATGTATTGTTCTTTAGCTTTTTATTACTTGAATCACCCGCTTTACTCCTCATCAGAAACCCTTGAGTTTACTCCCAACCCTCTACTTGCTAAAATCTCTAGCATCTGTCAATCTCAAACTCATTATACCTCTTACTCTCTGCAAGTGCAGTCAGAGATGGGTATTGTTTTTTGTTATAGTTTAATATTGCCTCACAATCTCGGGGAAGCTATTGGTGAGTATTAGCATCAGCATCTAAAGTTGGATGGCACTAATATTAGCATGAGCCATCAAGACTTCACTGCCACAGCAAGCATTAACAACTTTCATCACACTCATAATGGATGAAAACTCTGAAAGTAGTTAAAATATTTGATTGCATTTTGGATCTACAGAATGATATCTTTTTATTGACATATTTCCATTAATACTATATTTTAGTGTGGATATGTAGAGATATGTCAACAAAAATACATTATTCTGATAAAATCTTGTAGGTCCAAAATGCAATTATACATTTTAACTACTTTCAGACTTTTTCATTAATTTTGGGTGTGACAAAAGTTAGTTATGCTTGCTGTGTGCAACTGCTGGTCCGTGCCCAGGAGCAAATACCAACTTGAAGAAGGCAACATCAGCCGCACAATGTGGTAGTATGTTCTCGGCCCTCAGCTTCATTCCAGTGCTAGCTTATCTTTTATCAGATCCATGCTTGCCTAAGTAGCACATCAGTGCAGCAGCCTTGGCTTATCCACCACCACCATTGCAATATGTGGTTAACTCAACAAGTTTTGTAGGCCAAAATAATGTTGTCAGATATACACCAAGTCATGGCTTACATATGCAACACCGGAGGAAGATGATAGCAGCAACAATCCAGCCGCAGCGCCAAGTTAATATTTGTGTTGCTATACATCACCTCAAAAGCGAGGGAAAATCTGGTACAGAGCTTGTTGGTGTGAGTTTTTTGATCTTATCATCAAACATCTAACTACCTATTCTCTCAGAATATTGAGCGTGATATTAGTGTGTGATATGATGACAAGACTGTAAATGAAAAGACTCTCAGTCTTTCTGGTAAATGACTGAGGTGTCTAAGGTAGGATGAGTGCGCTTTTCTGTATCCTAATTAGGAAGCTTATGTAATGTATCAAAATGTCGGAATAGTTGAATGAAAATGAATGAAAGAATGGAAAATCTATAGTAGTGTCCATGATATGCCAACACACTCCCTCAAACCAAACTCACTCCCATCATCTTAACAAAATATTCTAGCTTGGGTCGAGCCAGTGGTTTTGTAAGGCAATGTGCAGGCATTTCTTTAGTAGGACAGTAGAATATTTGAATTGCTTTGTTTTCTACAGTTTGTCGAATAAAATGGAAGCGGATGTCGATGTGTTTGGTTTTTGAGTGGTACACATTCTTCTTTGGTAGCTCTATAGCACCACGGTTGTTGCTGTGCAGAGGGACTGGTGGTTGCAGTGATTTATTGGTGATTTTGGCCCATATATTTGTGATCCAGATTGCCTCTTTGGTTGCATGTGTCAGCACAACGTATTCGGCCTCTGTTGTTGATAGAGTGACTATTGGTTGGGTTTTGCTATTCTAGGACACGGCACCACCATTTATGCGGAAAATGTAGCCAGATATAGAGTGTCAATGGGCATGTGAAGCATAGTCAGCGTCCGAGAAACTGACCAGTCCTTCTTGACTCTGACCAATTAGTAAGTGGTGGTTCCTCGTTGCCTTAAGGTATCTGAACACTCGTTTGGCTGCTTCCCAGTGTTGTCAGGCAACGAATACGAAGCTATATAACAAAACACAATGCCTGGTCAAGTCCTTGCTGCAAGGCGATGAATCAGGGTATGAGAGTTTTGAAGAGTATCAGTATAGGCACAAATTCAAACTAATATTGAACTAAAGAATAATACATCGAGTATGTACTTCTTTATATAGTGAACAGCAAGGGTCAGACCAAGAAAGGGAAGAATTAAGAAAGTGGTCTGACCAACTGACTAACCAATAGGAAAAGAAAGAGAAAGTGGTTTGATCTATCGTATTTACTAATCGTATGAGAAAAAGTATTGGTAAGGGGTGTGTAATTGGCTGTATCAGTAAGCCCATGAGAAGGCGCTGATTCACAACCTTCTTCGCTTATCAATATCGCTCCGAAGTGTTCCCAGACATAGCACTGGATTGTTGCTATGTCATTTGGATATCTTCTCGAGGGTCTACAGCAAGTCTCCTTCGTTGTAAGTACGATAGGACGTGAGTGTGAATAGAGAACAAGAAGAAAAAGGATAAAAGTAATAAGATACCGGCTGTGATCTCTAGTCCAAGAGCAAGAGGAGTGACAGGGATCAAGTCTGTTAACCACAACATGACGGGAATGCGATAAGAAAAATCGATTCCTCACAGCGACATTTGCGGCTGGGACAGAAGGATTTGTATCCGGTGCTTTATTGGTAGGTTTTTGGCTTTGAGAATGTTGGCTCTCCTTTCCACAACCTGGTGCATAACAGTATTCAACTGTATGGCCTGTTTTGGTGGGGCATTTGGGGTTCAAACACTTGAAGTGTTTGTGTCTCTCTTGCCTCGTCATTTTTGAATATGATTTAACAGCCATAGCAGATTCCCCTTTGGATTTTGAGGCTATGTTTCTATGGTCTGCCTCTTCGGTAATGTGAATGATCAAGTCTGCCGAAGATAGTGGGTTTTTTGAGATGCAAGCTGCAGCAGTGATTGATGATAGTAGAGGGCGGTACAAAATTGGTAGCAAAGATAGTATCATTGCTGAAAAGTCCTTTTCATCTACCGAAGCACCCATGCCAGCTAATTCTTCTTTTAGCATTAGCATTTCCCCCAAGTGGCTCCTGACGTTGCCACTTTCAGAACATCTAAGGTCCTGCAGCCTTCGTCGGATATCCACTTGCATCATTTCTGACTTGCCTTCATGCATTTTGGTCAGAGTGTCCCATATTGCAGCTGCCGAGCTCCTGTCCTGTATCTGGATTAAGGTCTCCTCATGTATGGTTGAGTATAGTTGTTGTGTGATGAGGCACTCCTTTTGGGCATATTCATCCACTTTAGCCTCATACTCATCTATTTGCTTTTCAGTCATTACTGTTCCATCATTCAGTTTAGCTACACCTGCCAAGTTGTACTTGTAATTTTCGACAGGTGGCTTCCTGGCAGATCCTAGTAGAAATTTAGACAGTCCTCTTGCTCCGACAGCAGTAGTGACTCTTGTCTTGTATGTGATCCAGTTCAAACCATCCTTTGCTAGTTTAGGTACTTGAAAAGTAGCACTCGAAGCATTGCTGGTGAAAGACATGTCACCAGGGCTCATAACCTGATGTGATGACAAGAACTGTAAATGAAAAGACTCTCAGTCTTTCTGGTAAATAACTGATATATTATTCAAATGTACCTGTAAATGAAAAGACTCTAAAGGAATGTGTAAGTATGTGTTTAACTGTAATAATGATGTTACTATACCTCAGTCTTTCTGGTAAATGACTGAGGTGTCTAAGGTAGGATGAGTGCACTTTTCTTTATCCTAATTAGGAAGCTTATGTAATGTATCAAAATGTCGGAATAGTTGAATGAAAACGAATGAAAAAATGGAAAATCTATAGTAGTATCCATGATATGCCAACAGTGTGCCTTTAACAATCACCTGCAGTCACTTGTGACTCAATCCAAGTACTACAAGGCTTATGGTCACTGTGGTCATCTGATCACAAACTTTCACTTTATTTGCTCGAGATGCACAAGGCCGAGCGATTTCTCCTATTTGACCCTCTGTCCACTGACATTGACATTGATGAAGACCGGCTTGGCCTATACAATTTCTTTGTTTGCTCAACTAACAAAGACCCCACCCCCAAATTTATTGCTTCAACAAAACTGACTATCACATTGCTGATGAGCAACAATCAATTTGAAGAAGTCATTGCTTGGAAAGAAGCAGCAAAAGGCCATTTGGATCCTATTGACATGGAAGACAAATATTTGGACAGTCCTATAGGAAAGGTAGTCCTTCTTTCCCAGATTATATCCTATGACTGACTGCCTTTAGATTTTCCTTCCAGTCACAAAGGGGAGACAAAAAACCCATGGCAAGAAGCATCCAAAGCCAGCTGAAGTGAAGCAGCAGAAAACTCCAAAAGGAGTGACAACGGAGAAACCAGCCTGTTTATCCACAACCCCAATAGCTTGCTGGACTTGAGTAATGAACCCAAGTTAGCTCACCCCACCTTCAGTTGAAACCAGCCAGCTACTACTCTCAGCCGCAGCCAGCCAGCTATCACTTCAGTACCGCTATTCCGCCATCTGAAACTTGACCCCCTCTGTTCATTCTGGAGAAAAAAAGCTTAGAGCAAGTTCTTGCTGCACGGGTAGATGTTTGACGCCAGGCAAAACCATCTGTAAGTCTGTCATTTTAAACATGATAATTACCTGACGCTCCGCTCAAGTAAGCTGTGATGTGGGAATCTATTTCATATTTCCAATACCCCAACTACCTTATGAAAAAGTGTATACTTTTCACCATTGATAATAAGGCCCATTGTAGGACTGTCACGCTCTCCGTTGATACAAGTCTGTATTCATCACTTCCTTCGTCTTCGTTACGAGGAGCCATGATAGTGTCCCTAGATGCTTCCAGAATCTCATTGGGTTCCCTGTATTGTTGTGCGCATTGTCTCCCACTTGGGTGACAGTCATACAATCTGTCCGAGTCATCATCTGCTGATGATGTCTTGTATATTGGGTCCCATGACCTAGCCTCTCTTGCTCTGCGCAAGAGAGCTATTTCTCTTTTTATGTGCTTCGCTCTGTGGGGGTTTTCCTCCCCTACATATTTTAGCCATTCTCTCTACTAGTAGAGCTGTTGCTCCACCAGTCTGTCCATTATATAATGGAGTTGTCTGGCTGTGATGAATGGTTCGGCCGTCCTAGGGAGTGAAAACTCCTCTCTCCCTAGGATGACTGTACTTCCATCATTTGGATCTCTTGATCCCCCTCATAATTCTGGTAATCCACTGTCTGCTGACAGCGGATTGCCCTGTGGGCCTCTACTGAGGAGCCATTGTTGTCCCGGGACAAATGATGCTCTCCTCCCCTAGACGGACCTGTTGGTTTGTCTGAGAGAGGATGTACTGCCCTGTTTGTCTCGTTGGCATCTCTCCTTGCCATGATTGGTGCCTGTAATGTGTCGCTATTCTCAGTGTTTCTTTGTGGGTCCATGTTGTGATCTTCTTGACCGGGTTCTTCTAGACCCAATTGTGGATCATTTTCCAATTTTTGGGGCTCATTGCCTTCGAGATTAGATTTTGTACTGGTTCCGGCAGTCTGACTCCTGTTAGACTGCTTCTGCCATTTTGTATTACTTCATGTAATAGTAGCCATTGCTGAATATACAGGAAAATTCAAAAACTGTAAATTGGGGAGTGTCTCACTGATATATGGTGATTCACTCTGATTATCTTTTATCACTCACTTACTCACACAGTACTGAATTTGACCTGGGTTATATTCAATGGTATGTAAGAGTTTGCTGTTAGATTGTCCTAATCTAATTGCAAACTTGGACTAAATAGCCATGTGGCTTAAAACTACATAGTTTACACTACCTATTTTGGATGCAAGGTATGACTAATGGTCAATACCTTACAGTGAGCATGGGGTGTGCTTTGGTCAAGGGAACTAGACAGCTACTGTTACAATTGACATACCAGCACCCTACTTACGCTTTACTTTTTGTACTTTTGCTTTTCATTTTCCAAGTCACATGACTGATCATGTGACCATATTTTCATAGCCACATGACCAATCATGTGACCCATCACCTGACCAGTGTCTAGACTCATCAGGCAACTCCGCCATAGCCAGGGAAGTCACCGAATCGGTCGACCAATTGACCGATTGTCGACCGATTATTCACGTGACCTGACTGTTTCATTTTACCCCAGGTTGCATCTTTTTTTTTTCACCAAGTTCATTTCTAACCCTATTTTCAGGGTTCGCATAGGTAGTGGTACTCTTTTGAAAGTCTATACAGCAACAGCAAAGGCATAAAATATTTATATTAGAGATCTGTGCCCATTCATGTGTATTGCACAAGTATTATGAGTAGTGTGAATCCAGAAAAAAGTACGGAAATGCAGAAAAAAGTAAGGAAAAGAGCGAAAATCATGAAAAAAACTTCAAGAAACCACTACTGCTTGCTCCATGTCGGAAAGACAGTCAACCCTCAAATACTTTTTTCCTTCGTGCTCCTTGACCAAATCCGGCATGGGGGGACTCAACGTGAGGGATTCATAAAGCCGAAACAAGACTGGGCTGTTTGAAATTGGAGGGGTCATTCGTTTGACTAGCATAGCCGCAAATGCCTGATATTCCATCTCAAGGTCAGCACCATTTCCACCCTCAATTATGACCTTCTCATATATTTCGAATAGTCGAGAGGAAAACCCGAGGATGAAAGTGAGTGCCATTCACAAAAATGCCTTGAGGCTGTGGCCAGGGTGGAAGCTCGTCTGGGAAATCCTTTCTGACAGGAACACCGTCAGAACAGAATAGTTTCTTGTGGTTTCCTGAAAAGCCTGTCGATCCTGGGTACTTGATAGTGCGGCAACGGCTACATATTTGAGTCTTACGCTAGTAGCATAGTTAGATCAATCATATATTGTTTCATGTATGTTTATCACTTACTGATTTCAGGTCTGTGTTTTCTCCTTTAACGAGCTGGACAATGAAACAATGGGTTCTCCAAAACTTCTCATTGCCGCTTGATGCTGATGAAAGAGACAGACAATTCAGTAGTACAATATGAGAGAATCAAACAATTCTTACAAACAAAATTATTAGACTTGATCCTCTCGACAATCTTTGTCTCTATTTCCCCCAATTTGTCAAATAGTGCACGGGGATTTTTCATAACTGCTGGGCTACCACCAGACTTAGGAAGCTTCTCTAGTCTACTATTATAGTCTGCTGTAGCCAGAACCCATTTTCGAGACGTCATGCTGAACGATGCCCATTTATTTTGTAGGCGCATATCCATGAATAGGAAAAATTCGGCACTAGAGTTGAGGGTGAGTGAACGTGGGTCGATACCCGTCGAGATGGAAAATATGCGCTGAGAGCGTGAGAGACCATTCAAGTTGGGGTCAGCAAGTGGTGAGAAGGCCGCCATCAAGTTTTGGCTGGTGTGTTTGTCACTAGGGCACTTGGGGGCGACAGTCTTTGATCCAGGTGCAAAAAACATGCTGATAATATTGCTGGTGGATGGCTGGTTGGTCCGGATAAGTGGGTACTATGGGCATGCTCAGTGTTGATTTCATTATAGTCAGATATGTACTTACAGTGCCTTTTGCCTGTATACTTGAGGCATTTGTAGCCGGTGTACTTGGGGCATTTGTTGCTGATGTACTTAGGGTGTTTGCTGTTGTCTCCTATGCAGTAGTGTACATTAGTATTCCAAAAAAGGATATTAAATCTACATACCTGAGCAGTGGGGATACGACTCTTCTTCTGTAGTGGGCCTTCCAATGCGCCAGCAAGTGGCCCCAAATCTCCAGTTAGGTCATAAAATGGGACCTTCCGCTTGAGAGGCCCAGATTGGCTGGAATTGGCAAGCGCTGTTGGCTCAGTTATAGCCATCATTTCACCTGGTTGCGATGAGGCATACTCAAGTAGAGCACATGAGTGTTGTGTGTCAGCTGAAAAGGACAGAAGTTAGTTAGGTAGCAAGACAGTCATGGTGAAGAGGATACTTGCCTAAGGTGATTTGAGGCACTGTAAGCAAGTTGGGGTTGATATCCAGGCATTGCAGGATTGATGTGGGCTCAATCTCGGCATCTAAGACTAATTGATCCAGGCTGAGGTCTTGCTTGTCAAAATCAGCCTCAGTCTTAACTTCTATGAGGCCTCCAAATGTTGAGCTGTGGTTGGAGGGGCCGAGACCAAAGGATTCTTTGGTGTTGATGGATGAAAGGACAGGGCGTGCCTTCAGCTCTTGACTGTTGTTGCTGTGAGTTGGTTCTGTGGAAAGCAAGCTGTTCCATGAGTTGGCAATGTGGTTAGCTAAGCGGATGTGGTGTGTCCCATGGATAGAACTAAGGAATTTGCTCGGTTTCTGCGAGCGGAAGCGAATGCGTATGTTACGACGTATCACAAAATCAAAACCTAAGGCTAAGAACATCTCCAGGCTGCTGGCAAATGACCGCATGATGCCGTTCCAAGCCTTGTGCGACCCTTCAATGCGGCTTCCATCTGATCTTATATCTTGCCAAACTTGCATCAAACACCCTTTTTTGACGTGTGCGAGCTGGTCTGCGTGCACCTGTGTAATTTAGATTGCCAGTAGTAGTGTATATGGCATGAAAAATGAAGTACTTACCTTGGAGGCAGCTGCAGACCACACCCTGCCCTTTTTGGCCCACTTCTCAAACATCGTTTGAAGCTGGACCTCTTGCTCTTCTTTTGTTCGATACTTCACACTTTCTCCATGACCTGATGCCCGTGAACTCAGGATAGCTTTGCTAATGTCGTGGGCTACAGCCGAATGCTGAGGGTTCCTGGTTCCGTTGAGAATGGCAGCAAGATACCTGCAAATATGTGAGTACAAGAACAGATAAGTCGTGTTTACTTACCTCATAATAAAATGGAATACATCCAGGCCAACTTGTGCATCTGGTATTGCTTTATTGACTGCACTGCGTACGTGGCAGCAGTTATCAACAATGACCATTTGTGGGAGGGGCTGATCCAGTTCTTCATAGCGAGACTTCAAGCCTTCAAGCAACTCCTCCATTTCTGCGTTTGCTTGAGTTTGGCAAAGTCTCTGTTAGATCCAGATTAGCCAGCAAGCCCAAACATTAATAAAACAAAACTCACCCAACAAAGTATCTCATTATCCTCGTTTATAGCGGTAAGCATTCCCCCCCTCATGAACTTGGTCCTTGTCTTCTGCTTATCTGCCACTGTTGCCTTCCCTGCAGCTTTGAAAGTATTGTCGAGAGAAAGACAAACACCTGTTGCATCCCATGTTAGTTCCAGAGTTGATCAGTTACTGAAGGGAAAAGGATCTCACCAGACAAGGTGCGTAAGTATTCAGATGACTCAGCTTGTCGTGAGCGTTTACTGACTTCGGGATAAACATCTGTGATAAGATCATCAGTAATAGGTTTGTCACCATATGCATTGCTCAGGTTTGTCGGTGAGAATTCCACAAGAGGAGCACATGGCTCAAAAGGCGAGTGACACCTTCTTCTCTTTTCAAAATGTTGTAAGTATTCTAGAAAGCGCTGCTGATAGTCGAAAAGATGGAGTTCTGCGGTCAATGTCACATTTCCAGGTAAGCGTTGAAGGCACAAAAGACATGATGACTTACGTTTGAAATTTTCTGCCAGTCCAGCCAATGTGGTTAAAGGTCGCAACTCAATGATCAGATCAAACAGATCGCGTGTCATACCGCATCTTTTGAAGAAGACTGGCACATTTCCTGTTTAATCCGGTGAGATCAGTGGCAGCTGTCTTGATGATGGGATTACTAACGAGGGATCTTCCAAAATTCCCACTTCTCCCAGAATAGATGACTTGTGGTCGCAAAGCAGTACATATCTTCTCCACTTTTAGGATCACCACGTTGCTTATTATTCTCTTTGCAGGCCTTGCATCGCAACTGGACTCCTAGTGCGTACTCTTCTCTTTGGATGCCATGAACATCTTGATGTCCTGTGGAAGTCCATCCTCCCCACTTCACATCCAGAGACTGACACCTCGGACATTGATCAAGGCCGTCAAAATAGAAAGGGTGGACAATGGTTATCTCCTTCATGTAAGCAGTTCCAGGCTTCACATTTGGAAGATGTTTACGTTTCTCTAGTTGCAAAAATGTTGGAGGTGTAAATCGAGGGCCATAAAAAGGTATGCTACTCTTCAGATTTGGTGGAACTGACCCACTCTTGCTGTTGGGGTGAACAGATGTTGCTGAACTGACAAAGTCCACATACTCGACCACATGGGCCTCCCATTCGTACTGGGCCGTTTGAAATTCACTGGCTGGGGTTGAACGACTACCTTCCCATGCTCTGACACGTCGTTTCACCTTCATTTCAAGTAAGTTCTTATCTTTGACTGGATTGTATGACAAAACAACTCACAGATTCATTCCAATTAGTCTCAAACTTTACACGTTCACCAGCAGTCAAGGTGTTTTTAATCACACCTCTGACAACCATTGGCTCGAAGACTGACATGCTTTTACTAGGTAGTTGGGCTGTAGTCCGTTGTTGACAAAACTGGAGAATAGGAGTGGTGAGCACTCTCCTTTTTATTTAAATTTTTATTTCAAACTGGCTAAAGCTTTGCTAAGACAGCTAGTACACTATTACTCAAACACTTCGGCGACCTTCTAAACATCACAGTGAAATATATGTAGATCAGGTAATATAAAATACAGAGTGACTAGGCTATACTAGAAATAAATAAGTAAGAATAAAAATTGAATCACAGAACAGTCATCATGAAACTGCATTTTGCAGAAGAGTGCGCAACCGACTGTATCGAGCCTCACGAATAGACAGGAAATGTCCTCGAATAAGTCGGTTTCCATGTATACCTGGACCATGTAGTAGTGTGAAACACACCTTGACAGGCAGGCCAATCGGGATGTCATCAAACGTTTCTGGTGGCCTTTGGTCCCCACATGAATTGAATATTGGGAACTCATTTGCGAGGGAATGCTAGCCAAACACATGAAAATTTAATTAGCCTTATATTTCTCAAAAAAAAGACACTCACACCATTATCATCATAGAGTCTCGACGAGACTTGTATCAGTTCTGTTTCATCAGCTCCAATTGCAATAGGCCTTGAGATCAGCTCAGAGGTACATGTCCCCTCACCGAGACTCAGTGAAACCTCGTGAAGACAGTGCAAAAGACACTGCCACGCTCTAAGCCCACACTGATCTTCCATCGGTTCAAGCCAGCAAGATGCAACAGTGCTGTGTATGTCTGGATAACCTTCAAACATGCTGTTGTCTCCTTGAGTAGTTAAATAGCACTGTCTTGACGAGATCTTGCAATCAACCGCAAATGCCATCTTAAAATATGCCGGAGGCTGAATAGAGCCTGGAAACCTCCAACAGAGGAGATACCTGTCAGGGCCTATGCTAACGAAACAAAGATTGTCGAGTTGGCTTTCAGTATCGGCAAGAAGGGCAGGGCAATGGAGGAAATAATCAGATAGCGTAATTTCTATTTGACAACATGAACTCTATAAAAATATATAGCATACTACTTAATAGCTCACCTAGGCCTGCCATAAGACTCAATCCCCACAAGTTTTTGAAGTTGTACACTTGAAAATCTCCTGAGCAATTGTGAGTCATTGTCAACCTTCTTTGCAGATACGATCTGATGGCTTAGCACTTACCAATTGATACCGGTGGAATGGTACAAAGAAGCACACGAGGGAAGCACGTTTGGTAAAGGTGGGTGTCTTGATAATAGCCGCTCAGAAGTAAGGAACAGAGGGGCTCTCTCGAGTGTGGCCGCAGAAGTTCCTGGGAGGGTCCCAGAATAGCCCTGGGGACCTTCCTGGTAGCTTTGGCAGCCCGCCGGGGGCGAGAACTTCCTGGGAATGACCAATTTTTCACTCATCATGTGACCAGTCACATGCTAGACATTGGACTTTAAACTTTATTTACAACTGTACAGTACCTCATGTATTTTAGTATATATACTGGAGCAATACATGGGGAGAGACTCAGCGAGTCCTCTTCTAGTGTATACCAACATTAGTATGACAACCTCCCTCTTTTGATAGGTTGTACACTTCCTTATCCTCCATTGAGTGTTGTTGTTGTTGTGCTCCAGTGCCCCAAGACTGTGTCTTGTTGGTGTTGTCACAGCTACACTGGAGGAATTTCCTTGCCTGCACATGCAACAACTACTGCAAGTTCTTTGGGTTGTCTGAGCTTACCATCATGGTCTGTTTCTTATTGCTTCACATGATATTACACTACTGACAATCACTTATGTTCTGCCTGCTCACCCGATCATTGAACTTGGGATCTATTTTCACGTGTGAGAACTCAAGTATTCACAAATACAATTATTAAATTTATGGGTTTCCAGTAAGGTTCATCGGACAATGGAAAATATCTCCCAGTTGAAGTGCTAAACAAACCGTAACCAAACGACCACCATATGATCAAAACAACCGAATAGTGAATGTATAAATCTATGTGATATGTGATTTACTAGCCAGTGTGTACTCTATGCCAATCATCGTCTAAGTTCGTTCAATGTTCATATAATATACCCATGATACAACGCAACACTTGATGTATGATCCTTCGACCATGATTAAACGCTCGGAACAAGCCTACAATTTATCTTCAGATACAGACAGGGTGAATAAAACGGCTTAAAGACCTACCAATCATATTTTACAGAATCATCTATGTTGAGAATAGCAGCAGACGCCAATTGTCGTGCTTCGAGCCACACCCAGACCTGTTAATAATACACCATTAGCCTCGAAAAGAAATTTCAGCCATAGGTAACTAGCTTACTTTCAGTAATGCTCCAAAGTTCCCGGAAGGCAGGTGCGTCATACTCTCCTGCGCTGTCATTTGTCTACCAAGCTGCCTCAAAATCGGCAGTGCGCTTTTAAAAAGATCTAAACTTGGATCCAACTGCCTTCCAATCCCCTCTAACAATAGGATTGAGATGACGGTATTGATAAAGTCGCCCTCCATCTTCACGTGGTGTTGTCTCACTGCCTTTAACACCTCCGTCAGGATGTCCGATATTTTGATCTGTCCTAGGGAGAAGGTCTTGCGCTTCACGCTCAGCACAATATGTTGCATCCTCAGGGCAAATGTTTCTGTTTCTATGGCAAGCTCGGGCGTGCGACAGCGTTCCACCATGAGCTGACCCGTGCGATAGCCATCAAATTCTGCGACGGCGCGAAAGAGGTCGAGGAAGTTCTTTCGGTTTGTAGCATTTAGCGTCGTTACCAAACCAGCGTCAATGAACACAATTTCGGGGATATACCCTGCTTCCGATAATTCCTTCAATTCCTCGCGCCACTCTGTTGGTGAATGCCGAAGTTCGCGCAGGCGACCGACGATAGCATCAGACTCGGACTGGCTTGTCATGACGTGCTGCTTGTGAGTGCCGTTATGACCCCCAAAAAGTGAATTAAAGACGTTGCGGAGAAGATCTTGCGTTGTTGGGGGTTTTGTGAATTTAATCATAATGTTGCCAGGGTGAAGATCAGAATGAACGAAGTTATCCAGTAAAAGCATGTTCTAAGAAAAGGATTAGAGAGTAACCGAGGCATAATCAAGGACAGCTTACAAGGAACGCATCAAGACCGACAGTTGCCATCTGATCGTCAAATGGCCCACCACCATTCTTCAAAAACGTCTCAAGCGGCAACGCATTTTCATATTCTTCGACTAGTAAATTCTTTGTGGAGAATACCTTGAGTGGGCGGGGGAACGTGACTGGTACGTTTCTCGGCGCGAAATTACTCTCAAAAGTCAGAAGATTTTCTGCCTCATGTCTCAAGTCTATCTGCTGGTACATCATCTGACCAAACACCTCGACTTCCTCGGGAAGTGAAATCCACTGCATACCAGGGAGAAGAGTGATTATATGCGCAAAAAATGACATGATCGAGAGGTCGCGCGCAATCATCTTTCCAACTCGGGGATGGAGAACTTTTATGGCAACCGAGGCAGTGGGAACAAGTGGTGGAGGGTCTTGAAGAATGACAGGTGCGATAGAGGCTGCAGGAGATTTGGAATGCCGCTTAGGACCAAGATATGATGGGGGGATGAGATCATGTTTCAGAGTAGCTCTGTACACCTGAAAAAGACTTGAGCCAACGTGTATCCAGCGAATATACAAACGCAAACCTGAGCAATGGCGCCGGTCCCTATGGGTTTCTCATCGAACTCTTCGAAAACATCCTCAAATGGCCGCTGGAATACATCCTCTATTACACGTTTTGTATGCGCTAACGAATGAGGTTTTCCGTGTGAATGCATGGCCCCCATTCTATTGCAGAGGATCGAAGGAAACAAATCGGCGCGAGATGCTGCCCACTGTGCCAACTGAACCGAGGTTAAATTATCGATATTCAGACACTCGAGTACGTCTGGGACATACCTTAATGAAAGTCGGCCCTGCGGCTTCCATCCTTCTAACCAGAAAGCCATACCACCAAACTGCCCCCCAGCGATCACCATGGTACCTCCTTTCCGGCTTCCCCATGAGAAGCATAGGCATGGTGACGATGACAGGCACGAACAGGTAGAAAAGATGAATAAAACGTCGAGCGGTCAATAGAGGCTCCCACATATGTTCGCGAAGGAGTGTCAAGATGCGCGAAACAAATGAGTGGTGAGGTTCTGCGGGTGAAGCAATCATAGCATCGCCAGACGAGTCGGTGAAAGATGGTTGCGAGGATGAGCACGGGATGAGCGTTGGAGAGGCAAAGATAGCGGGTAGGAGAGACTTTGGGCGGGGCGAGTAATAGAATGCGACGCCACCAGCTATTGGAAGAACCCAGATAACCTTCTGCCATCGTGAATAAGGTGGAGGTCGTGCGCTTGAAAAGAACGGTTGGAACGAGTGATGCGTCCACCGAGACGAGTACCGGACATTCTGGCGAAAAGATGACAAGGTCATCCTCAGCCCTAGAGGCAGCGATGCGATACGGTGCGACATCGCTGAGTCAATGTTAATTTATTGGACGTCGAGCGCGTTGCCCCTCGGGGGCACGAGTAATAAGCACTCTCAAATACACAGCCCTGGCAAGCAAGTCGTTGTTGCCAAATAAACCCAGCAATTACCTGAAAATTGCTGGATGTTTTCGGAGACTGGGCAGTCTTCCTGGTTTGATCTGGCACGACTTGGTGGTTGTCCGAGATGGCGGTTACGTGCTTGGTCGTTGTGCCGAACAATGAGCTCAACGCGGCATTTTTCGAAGCGGCAACTCAAAGCTTTACCGAGCGCGACTCGGCTTGTGTTTTTTGAAGTCTAAAGTAAATTTAACTATGCTCTGTGAACGTATATTCCTTCATTTATATTTCATTCATATAGGATGCATGGATTATAAATTGTTTATTCAGCTGAGTCTGTATTTATAGCACTGATACGACTGGAGCGTGTCACTTCATCATGTCACTTACTATGAAGCCAGCATGGCAGGCCACGCTCGTTCGTATTGATTCGCAGGCTTGACTGCGACACCCAGCGCTTGTGCCGCAGTCATAGGCCAGTGTGGGTCACGCATGAGCGCCCGTGCGAGGAACACAATATCTGCCTTCCCATCTTTTAGGTAGGACTCAATCTGTACTGGATCAACAAGCAGGCCAACAGTGCCAATGGCAAGGTTGGGATAAGCTTTCTTGAGTGCTTCTCCGAATTGAACCTAGGCAGCCGTTCAATATTACAAGAATAACACTGGATAAATATCAAGATACGCACCTGATACCCATGTCCAAGCGAAATTCGTTGCTTCACCCAATTACCTCCGGAGCTGGCGTCAACGAGATCAACCCCGAGTTTCTCCATCTCCCCTACAAATACCTTGCTCTGCTCGATCCCCCATTGCCTCCAGTTTCCACTATCATCCATCTCTGGGCCTTCTGCCCAGTCAGTTGCACTGATCCTCACGAAAAGGGGTTTCTCTGCCCAAGCTTCTCGAGCGCGCTCAATGACACGCAGAGGAAAGCGTAAACGATTGGCCAGAGACCCGCCATACCCATCCGCACGTGCGTTAGATAAGGGCGAAAGGAAGTTGTGGAAAAGGTATCCATGAGCAGCGTGTAATTCAATGAAGTCGACTAACGAAAGTTAAGCTGAAGTGATCACGATATAGGCTTGGCATAAGTTACGCACAGCCAATTGCTTTACAACGCTCAATTGCTGCAATAAAAGCATCCTCGACACGTTGCATCTCTACTTCAGTCATTGCTTTGGGATGAGGGTAATTGTCTGCGAACGAGATTTCACTCGGCCCATAGACTGAGGAAGGGCGCTAGCCGTGAGCCAGAAGACGGATATTCTAGTAGTATCAAAACTTACTTTTATCCGCAAAACCTCCTTCATCCTCTTGTATCACATATGTATCGGCTTTGTATGTTCCAGCAGCATTTGCATATACCCATGGTGGAAGCGTCGAGGCTTTGCGTCCTCCGTGAGCTAGCTGTATACCTATCTTAGTTCCTTGTGAATGAACGAAATTGACTATGCGTTTCAAGGGAGCTATTTGACTATCTTCCCAAAGCCCCTAAAAGAGGTTGAGCTCTGTAACACTGCAACAAAATATAATATATAGACTCACTGCGTCTTGGGCGGATAAACGGCCTTCTGGGACAACCGCAGTGGCTTCGACAGTGATAGCACCTGATCCACGCGTAGCAAATCCCTGCAAATAATGAGTTATGACGCTTGTGATCTCCAGTGCGCTTTAACTTACTCCAAGGTGGACTAAGTGCCAATCAGTCGCATGACCGTTATCTGAGCTATACTGGCACATTGCGGACTGGAACACAAGATGACTATAGGCACAGACATATGAACACATGCACGATACTGACAACAAATATCCTGTTCTTGAATGTCACATTCTTGATTGTGAGAGGTTGGAATAAGACAGGTAAAGTTTCGTTGGAAGGAAAAACGTCCTGCAGAAGTGAAGATAATAATTGATAGGACAGCGATTACATTATGACTTGAATGAAACACTTACTGTATTCCTGTATGCTGTGCCGATCTCTGGCTCGTTCAATGGGAAGTAGCCATCTACTCCAGGAGCTGCTGTGTTCAAGTTGGGCATTGAATTGACTGCAACAAGGTGAATGTGTGATTTGGGATAAGTCAATTTCTAGTTTACCTTTACTTATAAAGTCAGATCATTGCCTGATTGGTGATTATTTGCGTAGTAAGCTATTCTTGACTGTGGGGATTATGATGTAGTAAGCAGCGTTCTCAGTCAGCATAGGCTTGCTGTATAATTTCTTTTTGGAGGTATCATGGTATCTTTTACTTTCGGATTGGTAATGTGTGTGCTTTACTATGAATTGTGTGACATCGGCATAAATAAAGTCGAGGCGGCCGAGGGATTCCTCTACACAGAGAAGGTAAAGCCATTTTTCAGGCTGTAAGCCCTGAAAGAGCCGCATTAGCAAAAGGGGTTATTTCCGTGATAAGATCAAGAAGATTTCTTACTAATGCGAGTGCAAATGCATGACTTTTTATTGACTGGATGGTGCCATCAGATTCGCGGAGATGAAACTGAACCAAGTGGGTAGGCTGACATCACTCTAGGACTGTGTCACAATCAGCGTCCCCTTCAAGCTCTCACCTCTGCCCCTGAGACAACCACCGTATCATGCCCCGAACAAGTGCTGTAACCAAAATATTTCTCAGTTACCTTCGGGAGCTTGAGCCCAACGCTGAATACACCGTGCACCTGCCAACCATCAAATCCTCTTCAGGAAAAACGTATTTTGCGAAGGTGGGATCTCGCAGTGACAAGGACCAGTTCGTGGGAGAAGCAGAGTCACTCAAGGCCATTAACATCGCAGCCCCAGGATTAGCACCCCAACTCTTGGCATCTGGAGTGACAGATAGAAATGAAGATGATATATCGTCAGGCGAACCATATTTCCTCTCCGAATACAGGGACTTCACACATCTCACGGATAAAGCAGGGGAGATATTGGGTAAGAGAATGGCAACAGAGCTACATGCGCACAAGAGCAAGAATGGCTTCGGCTTCGAGGTACCGACCTATTGCGGTGCGACAAGGCAAGAAAACGGCTGGTACGAAAGGTGGGAGGAGTGCTACAGTGCAATGATCGGCAATCTTTTATCGAAGTTGAAGGGTCAAGGCAGGTATGCAGATTTATGTCAAAAAGGAGATCAAGTGAGAGAGAGGTGAGTTTAGAGGTGCCGATGAAGAGAAGTACACTCATGATGTCAAGAGTAATTCCATACCTGCTCAAATCACTGGTTAGAGTCGAGCCAGTTTTGTTACATGGCGATTTATGGGTTCGTCTAACATAGTCTTCGTTTACGCACTGATATCCATATGAGCTGTTCCAGAGTGGCAATACGGGTACAGACAGATCAAATGGCCAGCCTGTAATATTCGACCCTTCATCATACTACGGGCACAATGAAGCAGAGTTAGTACAAATTTTCCACGAAAGTTATACATGTGCCAATGCTCACCTACGCCTGCGCTCGCAGTCTTGCTATAGCACGTATATTCGGAGGAATACCAAAAAGTTTCTTTACTACCTATCATTCTCACTTACCCAAATCAGAGCCGGTGGATCAGTATGAACTGAGGGCAGACTTGTATGAATTGTACCACTATTTGAATCATACGGTTCTATTCGGGGTGAGTGAAGGAAGACTATCTCGTGAGGATAACATTGATTAGTCAACGACAGAGTTCTTACGCTGGAAGCGCGCATCAAAAGATGGATAGATTGCTGAGAGAATGCCCAGAGAGCAGAATAGAATAGAAGTTTTTCTGATACATTTGTATGTCCAGTGTCCGAGAAATTCAATGTGTGTGTTCACAGAGATTTCCTGTCAAACATGGCGGTGCGGAGTTTGAAGTATAGCGCGGGCCACAATAATGCCACAATCCACAACAAGGATCAACAAAGCTCACTAACTGAGCTTGCTCATTGACCGCGACGACGAACTCGACGCCTGTCTTGTTCTCCTCACTGCTCTCTACGCTGTGTTTATCCATCGCTTCAATTAAGCAGCTCTTTTAACCTGAATCACAGTCTCTGCGCCTTTTAGCCTTCGAGCTCAGCATGAGTCAAGGTATCTATTAAACAATTGTTTTGACTGACTGTTTCTAAAGCTCTTTACTTGAGATTTTGACCTTTCCCAGCAACCTACGTATTCATACGATGACCCCACTTATGGAATGGAGGAAGATGAGGACGAGTATGAAGAGATAACACAGGAGGATTGCTGGACAGTTATTTCCAGTTTCTTCGAACAAAAAGGTCTTGTCCGGCAGCAGCTCGACTCCTTCGATGAATTCGTACAGAATACCATGCAGGAGCTCGTGGACGAGAACGCAGATCTTATCCTCGATCAGGCCGACCAACATACCGGACACGAATCAGACATGACGCGGCGCTATGAAATTAAATTTGGTCAAATCTACCTCTCGCGTCCAACCGTGACGGAGGCAGATGGGTCTGTCGTGCCAGTTTTCCCTCAGGAGGCTAGGTTGAGGAACCTTACTTATTCTGCTCCGTTGTACATCGAGATGAAGAAAAGGGTTCTGATTGGGCATTCGGACCCCAATGGTGGGCAAGGAGACATCTTGTGGGATGCTGAGCATGAAGAGTCACCGGAAGACACCACAAAAGTATGGATCGGCAAGGTACGTAATAAAGTGCAGAGTCATGTTTGGCAGCATGTAAATGATTCTGCAGGTCCCTATCATGCTTAGGTCGACTTTTTGTATCCTTCGTGGGCTGCAAGATCAGGACTTATATGATCTGAATGAATGTCCGTACGACTCTGGAGGATATTTTATCATCAATGGGTCTGAAAAGGTGCTCATTGCTCAAGAGCGAATGGCCACCAACCATGTCTATGTGTTTGCCAAGGCGCAGCCATCTCCAATCAATTTCCTGGCTGAAATTCGTAGCGCCGTAGAGAAGGGTGGAAAAACTATCAGTCAGTTCCAGGTCAAAATGTTCCACAGGAACCAAGAACGATCGGTTAGTACTTTGACCATTCTTCCTGATTTGACGCTCACATCGAAGACCCAATTAGCTTGGCAATGTTATGAAGGCTACGATACCATATATCAAAGTCGATATTCCAATATGGGTTGTTTTCCGTGCCCTCGGCGTGATATCTGATCGTGATATCCTCGAACACATATGCTACGACATGCAAGACGCCCAAATGCTCGAGATGTTGAAGCCTTGTATTGATGATGGTTTCGTCATTCAAGACCGTGAGGTTGCCCTCGATTTCATTGGTAACCGTGGAACGACAACCGGTCTTTCTCGCGAGCGACGTATTCGTTATGCTCAAGAAATTCTACAGAAAGAGATGTTGCCCCACGTGTCAATGGCTGAAGGATCAGAGTCGAAGAAAGCGTATTTCTTTGGATATATGATTCATCGTCTGTTATTGGCAGCTTTAGAGAGACGAGAGTTGGATGATCGTGATCATTTCGGGAAAAAACGATTGGATCTCGCAGGTCCTTTGCTTGCCAACCTTTTCCGTATGTTGTTCAGGAAGTTGACGAGGGATGTCTATCGATATTTGCAGAAGGTACAAGCTCCCATCCTTGTTCACCAACAATACTTAAGTTCTGTGTAGTGTGTTGAAACCCACAAGGAATTCAATCTCTCGCTAGCGGTTAAGCATCAGACCATTACCAACGGTTTGAAGTATTCGCTTGCAACTGGGAACTGGGGTGATCAAAAGAAGTCGATGTCCTCAAAGGCTGGAGTATCGCAGGTGCTGAACAGGTATACATACGCTTCAACGCTTTCTCACTTACGTCGGTGTAACACTCCCCTTGGACGAGAAGGAAAGATCGCCAAACCTCGTCAACTGCACAATACCCATTGGGGTATGGTTTGTCCTGCTGAGACACCCGAAGGACAAGCTTGTGGTCTCGTAAAGAATTTGGCTCTTATGTCCTGTATCTCTGTCGGTTCCTACTCTGCCCCTGTCATCGAGTTTTTGGAAGAATGGGGTCTGGAATCACTGGAAGAAAATGCTCACTCGTCGACGCCTTGCACAAAAGTGTTCGTGAATGGTGTTTGGATGGGTGTTCACCGTGATCCTGCCAACCTTGTCAAAACAATCAAAAAGCTTCGTCGGAAAGACGACATCAGCCCTGAAGTCTCTGTTGTTCGTGATATCCGCGAGAGAGAATTACGACTTTACACCGACGCCGGTCGTGTCTGTCGTCCTCTTTTCATTGTCGAAAATCAACAGCTTGCGTTGCAGAAAAAGCACATCAAGTGGTTGAATCAGGGTTACCGAGATGATGATGGCGAGGAGTATAAATGGGAGCATTTGGTGAAAAGTGGAATCATTGAACTTTTGGATGCTGAAGAAGAAGAGACGGTCATGATCTCGATGACCCCAGAGGATCTGGAGAACTCGAGATTGCAGTCGGCAGGAATTGACCCTCACACAAATGATGGTGACTATGATCCTGCGGCTAGGCTGAAGGCAGGCAATAATTCGCACACATGGACACATTGTGAGATTCACCCAAGCATGATTCTTGGTGTATGCGCTAGTATTATTCCTTTCCCCGATCATAACCAGGTATGTCGATAAACTATTTCTATATTGCGCGCTGTTGACCTTTCAATAGTCTCCTCGTAATACTTACCAATCAGCCATGGGAAAACAAGCCATGGGTATCTACCTAACCAATTTCCTCGTTCGGATGGACACGATGGCAAATATTCTATACTACCCACAGAAGCCTCTGGCTACCACTCGTTCGATGGAATACCTGAAATTCCGAGAATTGCCTGCCGGTCAAAATGCAATCGTCGCAATCTTGTGTTACAGTGGATATAACCAGGAAGATTCCGTCATCATGAACCAAAGCTCAATAGATCGTGGTCTTTTCCGGAGTATATATTACCGGAGCTACATGGATCTCGAGAAAAAGAGCGGTGTACAACAGCTTGAAGAATTCGAGAAACCTACTCGGGATAACACGCTGAGAATGAAACATGGGACGTACGACAAACTCGAAGACGATGGTTTGATCGCACCTGGTACCGGAGTATCTGGAGAAGACATCATCATTGGAAAGACAGCGCCAATCCCTCCAGACAGCGAAGAATTGGGACAACGGACGCGGACCCATACTAGACGGGATGTGTCTACACCTCTCAAAAGTACCGAGAATGGTATCGTCGACCAGGTCCTAATTACCACGAATTCGGAAGGACAGAAGTTCGTTAAAATTCGTGTGCGTTCGACCCGTATACCGCAGATTGGTGACAAGTTTGCCTCTCGCCATGGACAGAAAGGTACAATTGGTATCACTTATCGTCAGGAAGATATGCCTTTTACCGCAGAGGGTATTGTTCCGGATATTGTCATTAACCCCCATGCTATTCCATCTCGGATGACAATCGGTCACTTGGTCGAATGTCTTCTCTCCAAGGTTGCAACTTTGATCGGTAATGAAGGTGATGCAACGCCGTTCACCGATTTGACTGTTGAGTCGGTATCGACGTTCCTACGTCAGAAGGGCTACCAGTCGCGTGGTTTGGAAGTCATGTACCATGGTCATACTGGGCGAAAGCTACAAGCTCAAGTTTACCTTGGTCCTACATACTATCAACGCTTGAAACACATGGTGGATGACAAAATCCACTCTCGTGCGAGAGGTCCTGTACAAATTCTAACCAGACAGCCGGTGGAGGGTAGGAGTCGTGACGGTGGTCTTCGTTTCGGAGAGATGGAACGTGATTGTATGATCTCACATGGTGTGGCTGGATTCTTGAAGGAGCGCTTGTTCGAGGCTAGTGATGCGTATCGACTGCATGTGTGCGATATGTAAGTGGTGTCCCTATCTTGACTGATTTATCTTCTTACTGTAACATTCAGCTGTGGTTTAACTGCCATCGCCAATCTGGTAAGTTTAAATGTATATCACTATACTTCACGCTGACCTTTATTGTTTTACAGAAAAAGCAAAGTTTCGAGGTACGTTCTACTGTTTTTCCTATCCTAAATAGCATTCACTGAATCACCCCCTGCAGTGCCGTGCTTGCAAAAACAAGACAGCTTGTTCGCAGTTGTATATTCCATATGCTGCAAAGTTGTTGTTCCAGGTACTTGATATTATTATTTTGCCTCTAGCCGTTCATTAATGGCTTTTGCTCAGGAATTACAAAGCATGAACATTGCTGCTCGGTTATATACGGTGTCTACCGGTCGTGTCCGGGATGGGTCATAGGTTGATTTAATACAGCTCTAGCTGTTCCACTGAAGTCCATGTATTCTACATATAATGATTAACAGAGCTGTTTCAATAAGACAAATGGTAGCTGGGGTCAGACAGATCTCGATAACTAATTTACTCGTCTCTGTCCTTTTGCTGATGTGCGCTTGAATCTATAAGCCCCTCTCGCTCTTCCTCCACCCCGTCTTGACGGTCTGTCGATGATCTTATGCCCCCGCGACGTTTTTTAGCAGGAGTATCTGGCTCATCGTCGCTACCAGCATCCTCGTCACCGATCTCGAAGACTACGTGGTCCTCTGCGAGAGCCTCGGGTTCTCGCCTGTTAACGAGAGTGATTTCATCGTCATCGCGAGTTCGAGTTCGGCTTTCTAGGGCCTCTAGGTCATAATCTTCGGCGTCCTCGTCTTCTTGAGCGATCTCATCTGACATAGCCAGCGTAGCTATCGGAATTAGGTAAGTACGTACGCCTGGCCCAACTGGGGAAACGGTACTTATCTGCGGTTGTTGGCAGAAGGACGCCATAAGAAGGCGATAGCCCAGAACGCTACGAAATAGAGGATGGCAAGGTAACCATCAAGAAGCCACCATCGTATTTTCCACGATTTTGCTGCATAATCTGTCGATATATGCGTCAGAAAGCCGTGTTAAGAAAGTTACCGAGGAAGGATAAACTGACCTTCCGCAAGTCGATCTGAAAATGAAAAGGAAGATATGACAAGGAAGATTACAATGATAACAACGGCCGCTAATAGAATGAGGTGTAGGCGCTTGAACATGGTTAATTTGTATCTCTGTTTGCGGATAATTAATTGCTTGATCGTGGCTGCGGATATTTGGCTTCATCAGGCACTTGAACAACACCAGTTGTGTATAATTACCATTCAGAGAATACAGGATCCACATGAGGAAGCCACTCAGAGTGAATGCTAATGGAATCACGAACAGAAGCAGGATCAGTCCTGAAGCGGACTCGAGCTCGAGCTCAACGATGCCAACGGCGTACAGGACTATAGTCAAGATCAGTTGGAGCCACAACAAGGGAGTGAGAAAACCATACCTCCGAAGATAAAGTGGGCACCCGTAAGCAATTGGCATTTGAGCATAGTCCTGCCCAGGGAGTCCCGAACAACACTTAGTCCCAAAGATACTACTAGAAGCATGAAAAATGACAATGCATTCCTCCCAGCCTCCAAGATAGCAACTACAAAGAGGTCAAGCAGGTAACTTAAAAATTTAACCTAACACTTACCCACGAATAAGAAAACAGTTGAAGCTGTATTTTTTCCGTGTGCATTGAGATACCGGTAATAAACTGTCCCAGCAAAGATGATGAATGGCTTGAACTCAAAATACAACGATTTGCACTTACTCCAGTTAGCAGCCATCTCAATGACCAAAAACCCAACCAAGCTTGATAGGTAGTACTAGCACACGAAGAAAGTTCAGTTATGCTAAGATGAGATGAGAGGAACATGTACTGACTTGAATTGGAAGAAGTTCTGTAACGTGTCTGTAACATAACCAAGCCCACGCTGAGCCAACAACGGCATATGCGAGGAACATAAATAGATAAAACTGCGAGAAAATTCTGTAAGGATGATCAGAACATATTGGATCAGCGTGCTCACGTTGACTTTGGGATACTCTGTGGCTGGCAGCTTTCCTTGGAAAGTATTCTGGAAAATAACGACACCATTGTACGAAGGATGATAAGGAACGTCTGTAGAAGTTTGGCGAGAATTTGGTGATAAAATCGTCACTGGAACCATTGCTGGAAACTCGAGTTAACATCGCGAACACGTTACATCCTGTATAGACCCAACTTACCTACGCAGTAATAACCTGTACTGCGAACTTGATAATGGATTGGGTTCTGATAGGTAAGTATACCATCAGGGCTTGGATTAAGGGCACTGGATAGATTTGACTCTTGTCGAGAGATTTTGTCTCCACCGGACGACGTCAATCCTCTGGGACGCCAAGGCGATGTATAGTTATCAGCCGGTAGGGAAGGATTTCCCTCAGGGTCGTCCCAAAATCCAGAGGCGGTGCTGTCACCGGCGGTGCTTGAGCTATTAGACCCAAATGCCACCCTGGCAGACCAGAAACTTGTTTCATTGACTGATACTCCCTCCGGAAGGTCAAGAATGAATGTCCCTAGCTGAGAAGAGGTGCAGAAACCTCCTCTTACGGCGTTCGAGGTGCATACATACGTTTTCTGCTATGTGAGTGTTTTAGGAAATGGAATACGCTAAGGCGCAGCAGCGGACACCTTGGAAGAACGACTCACAGACAAAGACTCGTCAGACATTGAAGTAACTTTCCCCAGATACTGCATATCTTTCCACTCGTATATCACCATAGCCAGCTGACCCTGCGACGTACTACTGTCGAATGTAACTAGTTGTTTGTTGGCATGAGTTCAAGATATAGGTGTCATATCATGAAATGACATACCATTGATGAACGGTGTGCTCCCGCCCCACATCCCAGAGCACGCCTGGCGCGAGTAATCCGAATCTGAGAATGGGACCTCATACCCAGCAACACACGACAACCCCCACAGCAGCCAAAGCACCAGAAATGAGTGGCTGAAATAATGCATAACCAGAAAGCGTTTGTTTGCGTTTATTGTCCAACGGCCTCCAAGTATCCATGTCACAGTCACACCTGGTCACAGCCGACGTATACTGCGCGTCCACACCCTGAGGTTGTCCATTACCAGGATCACTGTCCAGCTCATATAGCTCCTCAAAGTCAAGACAAGCTCGCAACTCCCCACAGAGACGCAACAATTATGCTTGGCGAGGACGAAGATGTATTCGACAGCGTTACATGGGAGTCTCCCTCGGCTCCGTACGATGTCGATCACATCACCCCGCATACTGGACCGGGATTCAAACAAAGTACTGCTGGAGCTGACGAGGGTCATGGCCCACACGATCCCAAGTGGGAGGGGTACCTCATTACAGTAGTCAAAGATCCTGTCAAGGAACTGGCAGAAACAAAAGACGCTTATGTTTCTTACTTGGTCTCGGCTAAGGTCAGTATATCGAACCCGTTTCGTGCTAAGATTTATAGAAGGTGTAACCATCATACAGACGAATCTCCCTATTTTCTCTACTCCCAATCCTTCATCACGTCGACGGTTCCAGGACTTTGTCTTCCTTCGAGACCATCTTGTTAAGGATTTCCCAGCATGTGTAGTTCCCGCTTTACCCGATAAACATCGACTGGGTTTGTTCAAGGCTCATAATGGCCTTTGTATGATTAATGACTAGTAATTTAGAGTATATAACTGGTGACAGGTTTAGTCCAGAGTTTATGGAGAGACGGAGGCTCGAGTGAGCTATCATTTTTCTACATCGAGGATACCCCCTAATGTATTATTAGTCTTCATCGTTTCCTGCAACGCATTTCGTGGCATCCCACGCTTCAGAGAAGTACTCTTGTTCGTGCCTTCTTCGAGTCTACGGAATGGGTAAGTAAAAGTCTACAATATATGATGCATGATACGTTTGTAATAGTTTATAGCATGTTCACATGCATCAACACTTGGCGCATCCTCCAGGTCCTGAACCTACGCCAGGAATTATAGATAATATCTCAGACACTCTTCTTAATGCCTTCGCTCGTGTTCGTAAACCGGATGAGCGTTTCCTCGAGATGCGGGAAAATGTTGACAAATTTGAAGATGGCCTCGTCCTGTCTGAACGGGTTTGGAATCGCGTCCGGGGGAGAACGAACGGTAAGCCATTCTTACTTCTTTTCTCTTTTCTTCGTCTTCAGAATCTGAGGCTGAACGAGATGGCAACCCCGAATCTGGTGAAGATCTCACCGCGGACTACCATGATTTAGCTGTCGCAGTACAGGGCCTAGGATTTTTAGAATCGGGCATCACAGATCCTCTAAACCATTTCTCGAATACCTTGCTGGAGTTCTCTGCGCTCTTACGTCACAAGGTTTGTTTTTCTATCCTCCCATTAGATCTGTGTCACATCATTAATATGTTTCAACTAAATCTTCAACTTCTTGCCTACCTGCAGACGTCAACGACCACTGACCCCTTCCTCGTCCACCTGCATTCCCTTCTTACATATTCTCATGCCAACCGTGCTGTGTTGAAGTTGCGAGACCAAAAGCAGCTAGACTTTGAGGAATTATCAGATTACCTTTCAGGCGTGACTCTTGAACGGGATCGCCTTTCGGCAGTAATCAGTGGCCATGCAGGGAGTACGGGTTTAGGACTCAGTTCCTACTTGAAAGACAAAGTTGATGCCATTCGTGGGGCGGACGATGACAGGAGCAGGGTAGAGAAGATGCGAAAGCTGGACATAAAGATAAAAGAGGTATGGCCTATGGTCTCATCGTATGACTTATTGTTAATTATACAACTTCACCTACAGCTACAGGACGCGGTCACCACCGCTCACGAAACATCGGATGCTTTCAGCGACGAAACCCTTCGAGAGCAAACGGTATTTCAGTACGCTAAAGAAGCAGAAATGAAAGAGATGCTAGGCAATCTCGCTGATGGCGAGATTGAATTTTATCAAACAGTACGTATATGCTCTCTACTCTATAAAATCACTAATGATACTATGTTCTATAGGCCATGGAAGAGTGGGAGCGGATTATACCTATTATTCAGCGCATACGAGTGGACGTTTAGCATTCTCATAACTGACCTCTTATCTCACTTTACATACGAGCCTTCTTATTGACTCTCATTGTATTCTAGTTTTCTTGTCTACTTGGGGAACCCCAGATAGATTTAGTTTCCCGATAGTGCCGCCTAGGTCCATGATTGTTACTACACAATGTCCCAACAATTACCACCAAAACCACCGAGTCGGGTGAAAATTGCAAAAAAAAAAAAACAAAAAACAAAAAACAAAAAAAGTCCGACGATAACACAGATAAGTTAAGACGCCTTCTCTTTACCCTTCCCCTTATCTATGGCCTTACTGCCTTTGTTGTCCATTCTTCGAATTTTCTCCTCGGATTCTTGGACGGCCAGGGAGAGCTTGTCAAAATAGGCAAGTCCGTTAATGTGGGATTGCGGAGCGCTTTTATGCTACACTCACGTTGATAATACCCGTATCAACTGCCCTAAGTAGATGAAGTTCAGCATTTTCTGAAGCCCCAGACGTCGTATGTTGAATGTCTGCTGGTACCCACGGAGGAGGTTCCTATTAGTGAGGTTTTGTTTTGAGAAATACGCCTTGCATTTACAGAAATTAAATCTACCTTCTCGTGTATCTCTGTCGGCGTCTTGTCTTTAAGCTCTACGACGATCGCAAAGGAGGCATTGTCTGTAGAAGAATCACTCATGCAATAAACGCTGTGACTCTTCAAATGCGAGGCAAACATAAGAAACACAGACCATGTAATTCAAGCATCCCTAGCTGCGACTCCACCATATTCAGCTTGATGAGAAACGATCGGAAATATTGGCCAAGTTTTGCGGCAGACATGGCACCTTCGACACTTGGAATAGTGAATACGACGATCTGGGTCACCAATAAAATTCCCAAACCTCGTATCCTTGTCGAAGGCTTCCACATGGAGCATACTTCGCAAGGAAAAGATATATCTCTCGAGGGGAACTTGTTCTTGATCTTTAATGACAACTACTACTTTGTCAACATTTCCCTAAAAGGGGATAAGCACGATAGGGAAGGGGGTCAATAAGATGATACCGACAAAAATGAGCTCTTCGCCGACCGCTTTGACGGCACCGGAGATATACTCATTCAAAGCAGGATGTCGAGACTGAAAGACAGGGGTGTCGTATTTTTTTCGGCGCACGAACAAATCAGCTGGATAAATCTGCCGGACGTAGAGTATGGAATGTATAGCGACTTCCACTGTATCCCTCACTTTCAGCATGTGCGTACATAACATGATAACAAAGTCACCCACCGAACTCGAGCATTCCATTCACGGTTTCTAGTAATAATATTGATTAGTTAAATTAGTTAGGTGGCTTTACGGTAGGAATGTCAACAGGACTTACGATTGAATGTAAGTGACGTATCTAGTTCCGCCATTCCATGTACTGTTGATGAAAAAGTGTTTACCAACCGTTATGTGTTCTATCGTTCTATCTGAGTGTAGTACAATTGTTAGGCATAAACTGTGATGAAGACCTACTAATCCAATAATGAGGTCCGTTACATAGACTTAACAGGTCAAGCCCGATCGAAAACACATGAATAGAGAAACGGCCTGGCGTTCGGCTTATAAGCCTGAGAGCAAAATCAAGAAGATCAAAAACACTGAGAAAAAAAATATTTTTCCCATTAGCCGACTTGAACGACTGACCTCGTCATTACTAGTGACGCGCTCTACCAACTGAGCTAAACGGGACTTGTTGTGTCGTATGCTATTGAATTATATGACACCCATAGACGCTATTCACATAATGTCCCAGTCAACTACTTGGAGACGATGATTCTGCGAGAACGGCTACAGACCGCTATCTGCATCAATCATAGCTTGTTGAAAGCAAATAAGTCTCTGATAAGTCACTTCATTGTGACTCATATAAAGTTCCAGTTAAGATATGGCACTTCGTAACCGACGCTGTGCTCGACAGCGAGGTCCTATCCATATAACAAACCAGATTATAGGACCAACGGCGAGACTGATACACCCGAACAGAACATAGGTCCACCCCATTCCGATTGCGGTTAAAGCTAGGTCGATGGTTGATACGACAGCCGCACCCAATGAACACCGGACCAAGTTGTTCTGCGCAAAGTCAAGATGACATAAATTCGAATGGTCGTGTAGTCACTCACGCATGCAGTGACTGATGAGCTTTGCGTTGGTAACAAGTCCACCAGGAGTGTTTGAACCGTATTCATCACAGATATCATGGTATAACCAACTGTGTGATAGTAGTTGTTAGAAACCACTCACACGTTACGAACTAAAATGACCCACGAATGATCTGTAGTATCAAAGGTCCAGCTAAGTTGACCCTCTCTTGTAGACACCATCCATAACCAATTGTGCAAGCAGCGAAGATAACAAGATATATGGGAATCGTCCTCAGTCTTGCCATCTCGATTGGGAAATGTTCGTCCATAGTAACGTCTTCTGGGTTGATGCGGTGTTCTGGGTCGGCTTCAGCTTTACGAATCATCTGGTTTTTCATTGATTTATAGTCTCGGTCTAAAAATCTTCCCATAAAAATGCTGCCAAACATCATGCCACCTCCAATTGCTAGGAAGCATAAACCGACGTCAGTTTCGGTGAGGAACGGATATGCCTGTACGAAAAGCGAGGATATCGAAGTCGTTATACCATAGAAAACTGCATAAATTACGCCGTTGAAAAATAAAAGAGCAGCAACGTCTGGATATGTGAAAATACGGAGAGGGTTGGTGAGTGGCTGCGGTGACGGTCTTCCCGCGGAGTAGTTTATCCGTCCACGACCAACGATAGGTATCAGTGGACGATATATACGTGACGGAACTACGCTGCCATCGCCGACTAGCCTACGCAATGTTTCGGGTAGAATTCTGGAAGGAATGAAAAACAAAATCAGGATCCAGATCGTATAACAGAAGAAGGAAAAATGTACGCTATCATGAAGGCAAGACACACGGCTGTCGATATACAAAGGAACCAGAATATTGATCTGAAAGTATTCTCAGCAAGTTTTACTGCAGCCTTCTAAAGCATGCTTACCTCCATCCCAATGAACCAGCCAAAGCACCCCCGATGACAGGACCAATGGACGGGCCCACCTGCAATGTTGTCAGTACAATAGCACCATATCAATGAAATATGTAACTTTCCATAGGGCCCATGCTATACAATCCAAAGAAGCCACCTCGTTCAGAGCGAGTAGCAATATCACCGATTACACCGGCACCTATAGGAAACTTATTAGGACGAGAGATATATTATGTACGGATAATACCTAGAGCAACAGTACTAGCAGATCCCGCAGATTGAAGACACCGGAGGAGCATCAGTAACCAATAATCAGAGGTAGGCACTAGCGCGAGACCAACGCAAGCCAGACACAGTACGAAAAGACAGACAAGGAATATAGGCCTTCTGCCCAGTCTATCTGCCATCGTTCCCCAGAACATGGGCGCTGTGCAATAGATAAATAAGATGGCCGGTTAGCGGGAAATATTTTCTAAATTTTACAGTCTAACTTACAGACGCCCTGAAGTACCAAGTAGACAGTGACGGTTAAATTGATAAGCTCAATGGACTTGTGAAACGCGGTTGCGATGGTTGGAATGGCAGGAAAGTAGATATTAGATGTAAGCGGACTATTAGATACGGTAAATGGTTAGGGATGATTATCTGAAGCAAGGTCCCAGGCAAAAAAATGCTACGAACCTAAAGAGACCTGCCACTGAAGCAATAGAGACTATGATCCACTTCTCGCTATGTGTGTAAATACTATATGGTTTTTCTACAGCAATTTCTCCTTTGATACCTTTCTCTTGAACGGCTGTGATCTCATGTTCGGGTTGTCCTGGCGCAGAAGCATTGTTCAAGTCAGCGACGACTGACTCTGGGCGATCCCGAGCTTGAGTAGTCATTTCGTTGCAGACAAGGGGAGGGGAGGGAGGACAGCTCAAGCTATGCTCAACATGTGTTGCCCGTTTATACTTCAGAGTCCAGGAGTCATATACCACGCGAGTGATAAACCGTGATCTTGCATTTCTATTTATATCTTTTTTTTTGCCGTGCCGGACTCGTCATTGAAGATTGATGACTAATTGTGACGGCATGCCATCTGATTAAAAGCCATCTTCGTCTGGGCTATTTCAGACATGAACAGTCTTTCGAATCGACAGAACGCGAAGCTTGATTAAATATACAAGTACCAGTCTACATTGGCTATGAAGGCAAAGGTTTATAGAGATACAAAAACGAGCAGAACGTAAACATACACGTAACACAACTGGCACGATCAAAGGCATCATCATGATATAGAGATACAAAAACGAGCAGAACGTGGACATACACGTAACACAACGGGCACCAAAGGCATCATCATGATATATAGGTGGGAAGAACATCATGCACTGATGTTAAAGGGCCCGAGTATTGAGTCACGAAATCTTCGAAGCAGTTGTGCCTTTCTTTGAAAAAGGATTCGACAACGTTATCTGACTTAAGTTGCTCCACCTGCAAGAATTGACTTCTGTTATTGCCTATCGATGGTGCAACTGGAGTGCACATACCTGAGCTCGAGTAACAGTAAATAGTGATTGAGGCAAACGTTCCAACATTGACCCCTGCAGCATACCCACGCCAAAGGGAATCGATATAATGGGACGCCTTCGGCGCGTGTACTGTAGTACGAGGTTCATGATTTCTCGATATGTAAAAACTGAAAGAAGGCACGCTCAGAGAACGATGGGACACCCGAAAATCTTATTATTCACCTTCAGGTCCTCCGGCCTCCAATATCTTGCCGGCGACATGTTCTTTGATCATTGTACTGTCCCTCGAAATAATTTCGACCGCACGAGCTAAATCACCAACATAGTCCGGCTGGAAACGAGACGTGCCACCTCCGAAGACAGGTAAAAATGGCAGAAGCTGAGATAACCGGGCAAATCTCTGTAGTGACGGGAACAAAATTAGAGTATTAGAATACTTCGAAGGTCAATGACCAACATATGATACCTACTCACAGTAAAGAACGAATCCCCAGGGCCAAAGACGAGACTCGGTCTTATGATCGTTGCATCGGGGCAAGCCTCGAACACAACCTCTTCACCTAGAGCCTTAGTCCTAACATACGGGATATGGCTGGCCTTATCGGCTCCTATGGCGCTGAAGTGCACAAGTTTGGCATTGGCACGCCTCGCAGCGTTGGCAATATTTTCTGCGCCTCTCCACTGAATGCGTTCAAAGTCTTCAGGAGTTCCATTCATAATACCAACCAATGAGACGACCACATTGGCACCGTGGAAAGCAGCATCCAAAGTCTGAGGTTTAGTTATATCCACAGCTTGTGGGGGAAGGAGACGACGGTGATCTATGACTGTTTCGAGAGCAGCATGAACGGTTTGAGGATGGCGAGAGGATAGTTGTACTAGGCGGTTGGGGAAATTCGATCCTTGAGCTGCAGCTATGGTCTTCGCGATGTGGGACCCTATGCGAAAAATGCTAAGTGACAGATCCTGAAAGGGGAAGGGAAAGCAAAAATAATTTTAGCGGGGAACAAACCTAGGAAGCCCGCGCCGCAAACAACCACTCTAATGTTTTGAGACATGAACACAAACAGACTCGCAGAAAGGCTACGCTGCAACACTCTAGCTATATGACTACAAATTTACAGAAAGGTATTAAACCAGAATATAGGCGTGGAATAAACAATGGGCGAGGCAGGTGAGTAGAGAGCGGGGAACTCCTCGCATGACGTAAACACGGTAAATGGGTACATACATGCCTTCCTTTCCTGGACATCAATGTTTGCGGTAGAGTCGGAAGCAAACTTACCGTGCTCGGCTGAGCGATCCAGACTACAACTTGGGTTCTGGCTGCAGGGAAATCGAGCAGGCGACATCTCACCCAATTTTATATCAAAATATTATTCTCCTCACTGTTATTGAGGCTGGAAACAAAGCTAGATATAAGGAAATAAGAGGGAAAAGAACCGTCCCAAAAATGTCAGTAAATACTTCGCCGGATCAGACTTCACCAGACACGCCATTCATCCAAGAATGGTGGGAAGGCTGTGGGAGTCGAAAAAAATGGCGTTTGAGCGCTGGGCCCATCTATGCAAGACAGATGGTAACGGAGGTATCTGAGCGGACTTCTCTGCAAAACTAAAATAATATTTGGGCAAAGCGAAGACACGTTTAGCGCAAGTTGCAGGTTACAATCGAAGTGGACCGACCTGGAGCAGCGCTATGACTTGTCTGATTCATGCCAGGAAGAGATAGAGGTGGTAGGGGATCATCTATAACTCTGAACGCGAGACAAGGCACTTCTGAGACATGATTCTTCTGGGAGTCATGCCTATCAGATTAAACTGGAAACCGATATTGGGGACTATTGGGAATGATGATAGGATGCGGATCATTGTTAAAAATAGTAGGTAACGTGAAAATCCTGAATACAGAGGCCCAACAAGTATTTGTTGGAAGAAATGAGAAAGGGGATGACGGTAAAGAGGAAGTCGCGTGACGGAGTGACTGGTCCATAACGGAGCTTCCTTCCTCCCTTCCTCATGCCACAACATGAGGCTGGGCATTCAAAATGCCTTCAAACCAACCAATCTAGATCATTGAAATTTTGGTCAGTACTCATGAGACACAAGAAAGTCCAGGATATTCTAGAGCAAGAGATACTAACGATTGCCTCGGACAGATACAACGAGCCGAATTATAGAGGGAGGAGATTTCCAAAACTCCATGGTGCTGGTATCCTACATTTACGGTTATTATCGTGTGCGCTGGCTTCTTCTCGTACTTATGCGCTGACCGACGAGGATATCAAGTTCGACATCGCCACTCTTGCACAAGATCCGAGACTGATTTCCCTCGGGTTAGTAGGCACATAAGCTACTCGTTCTGGATGTCAACAAAGAGACTAATCAAGTGGATTGATGGCTTAACCTTGGCTCCTTCAACAGAGTTGATTAGTTTTAAAGTAAGTCACAGCATTCCCTTGAGTTATTCTTGGTATACTGGTAGGCTATAATGTTTTCTTCATCGTGCCAGTAGCACCAATACTTTTGCGATTTTTTTGCATTCGTCTAGCATCCTGAATATGCCTTGTGGATAATGCTGTATAATCTATTCATCCATCAATGCGAGGTCATGTCGAAAAACATAGGGTAAGTACATACTCGGTATGTTCATATGATAAACGTGACACATATTGATGTATGTCACAGGGTGTCACACGCTATGGGGGTATGATTGTGACAAAAAAAACAAACACTAGTAGGCTTTGGCTTACACCTTCAGGATCCGTCCAGTCATTGAACTGCACAGGATTCTGCTCGTTAACACCGAAAGGAGCTGTGGAGTGTTTCTGATATTTCATTTCTCCGAACAAGATGTGAATGCCCCTTTGAATCGGATGGCCAAGTGCCACAAGAATTGGCAGTGTACACTGAATGCGGAGACTTGAAAAAAGTGCAACCAAAGCCTTCATATAACCCCTTATTTCCCTTTCTCCAATGGTATGTCGAGGACAGCCGGGCTGGGATTTGGGGCGTTGATAACATGCAATGGCATCCTCCACCCGCTGGACCGGTGCATGGCTCTGCCCATGCTTAGACTGGCCTGAGCGAATTGTTTATAATGCAGCTGATTGTAGCCCTCTGGTTCTAGATGTCGTACTCTCCACGACTCCATTCCTGGAAGAGCAAGCTGATAGCGCTCGGAATCAAATGGCATTTGCGGAGCCTGGAGTTGCTAAAGCCAAAAAAGCGGATTAAAAATCCGGGGAACTATGCTGCCGCGGTCTTGCAATGTGGCGACATGCTTTTCGGCTCCTTAGGACAACGTACATAAAGCCCATGAGTCCTACCTTTCTCCTCGTTCCTATCTCCCCTTTCCCTCTTCCTAACCTCCTCTCTTTATCTTACCTTGCTTTCTAAATGCCTTCTGCCACCGAATATCCCTGTCCTTCCTTTGAATTTGCGCTCTCTCAGGCAAATTATACTCTCAAGCTCCCCAACTACCGTTCTTCGCACCTCGGAAGATACCACCCTTATGGCAAGAGACAGCCGAAAGGAGGTTTTGAAGACCTCATGGTAAGCTACCGAAGATGCTTCGGCCTTTTCTACCAATTTCACGTCTGGCGTTTCCTTGAAGGAAACTGTCGATGATGATCGCAGTTGGAACTACGACAATTTCTCATCCCCGAGGTTCCCTCTGGTATCGACAGTGTTCCAGCTTGCCATGAGGCACTTACTTATAGCTACTATAGTCTGTGGTATTGGAAGAAAACGAAGACGTCGCTAGCCTCCATGTCGTTGTTCCTGCCATGGAGGGTAGGCGTGCTGATATTGCAAGACGTATCGGCCCCGTCGAATTGATCATTGTAAGTGCTCTATGATTCCTCCACTGAGTGCTATCTGGACGCTAACGGATTAATACCAGGACTTTGCTCTGGCCATGCGGCGCCAGTTTGAAAAAACGCGAGCCCGTAACTGTTGTTTAGTGTCTAGCGCTCAGAAGTGAGGCGCATAGTACGAACAGTTGTTTCGATCTAGTGCATAGACAATTTGATTGCGTCTGGTTGTAAATCGAGCCTGATGGGATAATCAAGTTTTTTCTAGCTGTGTTAATTGTGTCTGATCTTCACTAGCCCATCATTCTCAGTCTGGCGTCTGTCGGCCGGTTTCGTTTCAAATACTCAGCCTTAGGCGGTGCAGCTAAGCGTTTAAAAGGCTTCGCCACTGATCTTTTGTCAGCCTATATACCCTCCATATCTTAGTCTCGCTTTCTGTTATTCTTCCTTCTCTCGCATTCGATCTGGCGTCGATGTCTTTCAAACACCATGTTCATTTTCCTGTCCATCTAGCCTCGCCTCCAGTTGACCGTCTTAGACAGGTGAGTAACATTTGATCCACCTTGATGTCCGAAACACAATCATATCCCTTCAGTTTACTAATTGTTCTCAGGCGGATCTTACCTATCCCAAGGTCGCCCAATCGAAAGGGCTTTGCCAGGATAGGCGGTCTTCCTACGATCTGTACTGGCAATGGGACAAGCTTTCTACGGTGTCGGCCACCCTACGCTCGGATGCATTGACTGATGACCCCTTGAATCAATTGTCACCTCGGGCTGCTGCTATGGTGAGTCAAAAATGAACCAACACAACCGACGATCATTGACTGACCCCTGAAATTCTTTCATTAGCTTCTCTTTGAAACACCGTCCAGTTGCATACTGCTCAGCAATGCATCCGATGAGGTTTATTCTATCGTTGGTCTCACGAGCCCCACAGTTCCTTCCCGCGCTGCCCCTCGGTTTGCACACGGTATGCAGACGCACAGAGTGTCGTTAGGTCATATTGGGCCGTACGACTCCCAGCTATCTTCCCAATCGCTCCGTACTACTCCCGCGACTGGGTTACAGGAAGTATCAAAACACCGTAACTCTGAAATCTTCCAGGGTGCTCGATACGTCACCTGCCAATAATGCATAATGACTGACGCTGGTTACTATCCTGTATATATACTTACGCTATTTGAGCTTGTCTTGCTTGTTTTACGACACAGGATCGATGATTATGAACTTGATAGTTGCATACTTTACAACGTAGCACAATAATTAAAATGAATTGAACGTTTGCTGTCTGTTTTACAAGCATTACATCGAAAATGCAAAATGTATACATCGAATCCAACTGAGAACTCCAGATAAGAAAGGAAAGGTGCGATATCATTCTCTAGTCCATATCAGCAACCAATCCTCCTCTTCCTCTTCTTATTCTGTCTTCCAAGCCCCCAACACCTCCAAATACCTTCTTCTGCTCATGGCTCAAAAATCCGCCCATGCCTTTTGATTTGGCCCTAGCACGCTCTTCAGCCTCCATCTCAGCCTTTTCCTTCTCGAGCATTGCATTCAATCGCTGCTGACGCTCAGCAGTCATACTCGTTGCGCCGGATTGCATAGCAGCCAGGCGGGCGGCTCGTTCTTCGGCAGCATTGTTCTGCTGCTTTGACACCGACTGAGTAGATCTAGAAGCAGGAGGTGGAGATCGGCTTAATCGAGAGCGCTTTCCTCGAGGACTTGGAGGGGTATAGCTGCGTCTCCGTTTTCTGTCATCTTCTGCAAAACGCCTCGGAGGCTCTTTTCGCCGGTCGTCAATGGGACCATTATCGTCCGACTCGTCCGACCTTGGCCAAACTTTAACCCGTCCACCGGGTTGGCCTCGGCTCATATCGTCTCTGGCGCGATAGCGTGAATCAGGAGTGCGACTGCGGCTTCTTAGTCTCGCTCTAGAATCATCCTGACTGTACCTTCGATCATCATAGCGTGGGTGTGATGGAGGTGAACGAGAGCGACGATAGTAAGGACTCCGTGAACGCCTTGAGCGATCATATCGGTCATATGAAGGCGAACGACGGCGATATCCATCCACAGGACTGAGCGTTCGTGATCTTGATCTTTCCCTACCACGCACTTCCAAATCTCTATCTTTTTTCTTGTCCTTTTTCTTCTCTTGCTTGTCTCGCTTCTTATCCTTCTTATCCTTCTTTGGCTTGATTCCATTGCGCTGCTGCATCTCTCGGAGGCGCAGAGGGTTGGCCATCAATGCTTCATACGCTGCTTGTTCTTGCTTTTTGATAGCAAGAAGAGGATCTTCCCGAATCTTAGCTGCAATATCGCGAGTATTGTTGGCATTCTGTACAGCGATAAAGCTTTTGTGTGCAGCACCAAGCTATATGGCAACATGAAATTAGAATAAGAACTAAAAGAACTTAGTATGGGCGTACCTTTGCATTCTCATCGGCGGTCAAAATCTTGTCAACACGCTTCTTCCCTAGCAAATAATCCTCTAGCTCATTTGCATTTTGGCTGCTCCCCGTAGCTGGAGTAGTATACATCCATTCTAGCTTCTCTGTTCTCTTCTTCCCCGTTTGTTCCTCCTGCAGTCGCTGCAGCTCTTGTAGCTGCCTTTCCTCCTCCTTTTCCTTGCGCAATTGATCGAGTTTCTTTTTCTCTTCAAGCTGTGGGTAGTGTCAATCAGCAAAGTCAAAGGTAGGTCATATAGAGTATTTCGTACAGCTTTCTTTTCTTCCAGCCAAACCCGCTCCTGATTCTTCAACAAGAGCGGATGCCAGGACTTTTTCATGTTCAAGTCTCCACCACCCATCTTGATATGCTTTTACAGGGTATGTGATATAAAAAATGTTTGGGTTGATGCAAAGAAAATAGGACAGGAGTTATCGTGTCCAGCGTTGAGACGAGACGAAGGAGAGAGAGCCACAGGCAACAACGTTTATCTCTGTTTGTTCCGCATTATTCTGCGCCACAGTCATTGCCCTTCGGCGCAATGGGCAGCATTGGTAGTATGTATAACGTATTTATACGTGCGCAGCCTTTTCAGCGCGACGACGACGGACAGTATGCCAGAACCACCAGAATACCATGATTCTGTCGAAACAGATCGTCTAACGGACGAGGAAAATGTACCAGTGCAGCCAATGTTTGCTTTCTTTGTATGACTTGAACTTGCAGATTTCTGATACTTTTGTACAGGACTACACGCTCGATATATGCTCTAACACGGAGCGAAATAACCAAAGGAATTGCCAATCGTTTCGTGCACTCGCGGATTTACATATTTCTATACCTTGGCATGGCTGCACTATCAGTGACCACAGTCGTGCTCAGTCTCTCCGACGGATGCCCAGGGTTACCATTCTATATCTTGGAAATAATAATTAACACGTCTATGATACTTGAAGTTGGAGTGAGATTCGTTGCTTTCGGAAGGGTGAGCGCATTCATGCACTGGTCTGACAAGGTCTGCCACATTCAATATTCACCATGTGCATCAGCAATTCTGGAAATCACCATTTAACGTATTCGACTTGATCCTTACCCTCTTTTGTGCCTTGACACTGTTGGTGTTGGCGTTTGCGGGGTGTGGCACGACGAGCAAGGAGGAGGAAATATTGGATACCCTGCTACTTGTGGCCCGTAACGTGCTGCAGTTTGGGCGTCTAGCCGCTGTGATGCGACAGTCAGTATAGCCTTTCATAGCCTCCTCATCTCGCATAATATTGACGAAATGACTTCAGATCAGGACAGTCCATATTTACGCGGCCAAAGCCTATTGATATTTCTGCAGTACGGAGAGCAGGATACAATAGTCTTGACATAGACCTGGAGGATGAAGAGTTAGACGCGGAGCTCGGGAGACCACTTGTGCGAGACACTGTTGTGTTTGATGCGCAAGACGAACACGGGCTTACACCTCACAGTGCGCCGATGACGGACATGCCCCGAGCTGCGCAGGCCCTGGACGACCGGGATGAAGAGGATGTGTGGGCCGAGTTGGGTTGATCGATATACAACCATCATCATTTCATTTCATGCTTTCCCATCTGGCAGTTTCGTAATATATGCTACGGAGGGAGCTTCGTCACGGAGCTTCAGCGACTCCTTCAAATAATAATGATATCTGTCACCGTGCCTCTTCGACTATAGGATGCAGTATTTCGAAAGTGATGCCAAGTGTGGGTTTAGTCAGCTACGAGGATGCTGGGAGCTTGAGGTTTTATTCATCTGTCTCAATGTTTCGTTGCTGAGCGAAATGTTTTTTATTGCTAAGATACAGCACCGCTATTGTGGTCGCGACGTGAGGGATATACATCCGTGGACACCTGGCGTACTTATTTTGTTGATATGACGCAGTGCGGCAGGTGCTACAAACTTACTTGTTAGCGGTGGGAAAGCTTCCGGTTTCCCAATGCCAATCCCGATGGATCAAGTCGGCCAAGCTGCGCTTGATGTTGAAGATAAACTTCGTGCTATTTCAGCTAAGTAGATCCTATGAAAGAGTAACGCTGAGGACAGTTGACTTTTTTTTTTTTTGTTTTTTTTTTGGCCTAATTTCTCAAGGCAGCGGTTAACGACCAGACAGGCTGAGAGATAGACGTGAATCAAACTTAAAAGTGAGTAGAACTGTTCTCCGGATTTAAAATGATTCACCTTTTGAGTTACGGGTACCAACGCAGCAAAATGGGTTTAGTCTAAGAGTGCAAATATATGAGGTCACTTGAGGCTAATGGTTCCTGACCTGCAGGTAACCTGTGATTTCGCTTCCGATAAATACCGGCGGCCCTGAGTACTGTAACGGATGGGCCTTGAAAGGACGACAAATTCCGCCTGCGCATGGTTACCAAAATGCTTGTACGGAAGGAACAAGGTGAAGTTTCTATGAATGAATTGTATTGTCTGGCCCGGACTAAAGTCTTTCAATATAGTATATGACTTCCAAAGAACTCAGGACGTTAGTCCTAGTTAGTAACAAGAATGCGCTACGTAAATTGTATATGGTATTTCCTTACTTGGAGTGCTAAAAGGATATTGCGCTCATTTATGATCGACCTCTTAGATCAGGATGATAACAGAGATAACGAATATCGCGGTGGTGCCTGCTTATTGAGCAGATCAAGTATATGAGGGTGATCTGATGAGGCTTTGACAAACGTGCGGGTAATGCGAGTGTAATGAGCCAGCAAGGTGCGTGTAAAAAGACGGCGCACTACCGAACGACGAGCAGGTTGTTTTCCAGAATGCCACGATGGTGCTTACGGCAATGGAGCCACTCAAACGACCTTCGGAAGCTCTACTGCCTGCGGGGCCGTGTCTGCCGTGCTATATTTCATCTCATGCATGCCTCAAGGCTTCGCTGGTTGACAATGAGTCGTCTCATCTTCGCCTCACACTCGGACCCTCACATTCAAGTTGACACATTCTCATTTTCGACAGGAATTATGTGGGATGAAGATTTCGTGTGCGCTTGCAAGGTGTAGCTGTGGAGTAGATGCTGAGGGATTGCGTGACTGGGCAATTGATTCTATGTTGGATTTTTCCGTTGGTGACAAATGATGGCCCACCGAGGGATGATTCAGTTGCAATTTCCTGTGAAAAGATGATCAAGAAAAGGACAGCAATCTGATGCAGCCTGGGTGTGATCTGGGTGATATTGGCTTTATTTGGGCCGAGTGAGCCGGGGCTGAATTTTATGAGAAAACACGTAAGGGAGCTGTTCACTGCAAATATACCGTCTCTACGCAGAGGAAAAGGACACATTCGGTGCCTTCCGTTGCCGTCCTCTTTTTCTTTCCTTACCACAAATGTCCCATACCTCCCATTCCTTTCTGTAACCCTTTATCCGGTCGCGCTCAAGGACCTACACACAGAGCTCACCTTCTCGGCATCCCTGTACCACCTTTTCCCAGCAAACACTCTTTTTATCCACCCCTTTCACCTTTCCTTTATGTCTTCAGTTCGTCACGAATCTTCACGGAGCCGTTGGTTTTCGTCCAAGAATTCCCAGCTGCCCACTCACAAGCCTATCCAGACCATGCCAACCTCCATTCCTTCAGAAAAGCTCCCGACTCACTCTGACAACGTAAAACATCACCCTGGAAGATTCTACACCCTTGCCTCTGTCATTGGAATCGGTGGCAAGCCTAGGAAACAGCCAGCAGCGTTGCCTGTACATAACCCACCTTCCAAACCCGACAATGAGCGCCCTGTCCCCCCTCGCTACACAAACAGACCTCCAGCCCGCTCCATATCATCCACCGTAAGGACACGTGATGATTCCATCGAGGTACACACACCCCTGGATGCACCCAGAGACCGTCTATCCTTCCCCCGCTCTGTCTTCACCGTCTCTGACACAGACCCATTTGCTGCAGAGGCCATTGCCTTTCCTCGAGGCACATTGGACCCAACCAGGTTGTCTGTTCATTCCAATAACTCATTTGGTGAACTGAACAGAAAGGTTGAATCAAACATGCCCTTCAACCGTTCATCTTTTGCCTCCACCTCTTCCCAGTCTAATTACGACTCCGGCTCGGTTTATTCTGAAGGGCCCAAGTCACCTTTGTCGTCATCCTCTTGTGATGCTACACGAAGATGGTCTCCGAAGTGAGTGTAATTCTTCTTTCTACAACCCTCCGTCGTGTTAATAGATGTAAAGGAAATCTGCGGGGCAAAATGTCCGACAGGGAACACGGGAGACCTTTTTGCCGCAAACTTCATCTGAGCTCACGTTAGAAGGCGTTACGAAGTCTTCACTCTCCAAATCAGGGTCTTCCTTGACGTTAACGGATAAGAACCGCGGAAACGAACCGTCACGTATGCCTCATCCCCAAACTCGCCCAAGGGGAAAGACAGATGCTGGGCACTCCCCAAGCGCCTATCAAACTATTGAAAATACACGTCAGAGTACGGCTCCAGCATCATTCGTCCCTCCCGCCCTGCCTACTTCCCGCCCTCGCACTCTCAGTCGCCAGGCTTCCGTTTCTCGTGTTGTTACTCTCCCGCCTTCTGCGCCACCTGCTCATGATTTACCTCCACCTCCTAAAGAGGGTGCATCGGATGATCAGGACCCGTCTTCAGCAAGGACTACTGATTCTGAATCATCGTCGTCAAGCATATCATTTGCGTCGTCAAAGTCTTCTGTACCAGACTTTGGTGAAGAAGGTGACGACGACGATAACGACGAGGGGTACTACAGCCCTCGTCACAAGTCGAAGAAGGATCGGCAACTCGCGTTAGATCGTGACTTTGCGACCATACGCAGACCACATAAGGGGGCTGATCATGGTCGAATAGCCGACATCTTCGCACCACACTCTAAAGCCGCATTGTCGAGTTCGATCCATCATAATCTGAAAAAAGCAGTCTCGCATCAGTCTCTCACCAAGGGCAATCCATATGGAGGCAGTACGCCTACACTTGTTCCTCCGTTGGATCAACTCAAGGTAGTGGGTAAAGAGACGGTTATGCGAAAGCAGCGGTCGTTCCACCAACCTCGATTTCCTGCACCTCCTGTACCTCCTCTTCGCCATGCCAATTCGTGCACTCCGACGCCTGCTTCTCCCCTTTCACCCGCTGAGTCTCCTGTTATTGCAGAACAGCAGCGGCGAGGGAGTGCCACGGCACCTCCGTTTACAGTACGAAGACGTTTATTTTCAGGATCGAGTGTACGACGACCCTCAGCAAGCGTGAGCGCGGACGAGGACTTGCGATCTGTTTTTAGCTTGCCCACAGAGAGCGAGGTAGGACATGGAGTCACTTCCTTGAGCTCTTTTGCCCCTTCCATAAACGACGACACAATATCCGAAGCGCGATGCCCTAGTCCCACAACGTCGACGGTAGAATACACTCCGCAGCACATAATGTCCCCTGCCGAGATGCTTAAAGTCGAGGCGAGCGTTCAGAGCGAATTCGAGACCAAATATGGCGATACTTTAAGAACTCGCTCACGCGGACAGTCATTTGCGTCTTCTTCGACGCCAATGCTGACGACACAGGAGAAGGAAGCCCTCGATTCTCTCATGCCCCCCTTGCCCCGTATAACTCCTTCCCGCAGTGCATCCATGATTCTGAAAGGACAATCCCCTCCCCAACGGCTTGCGTTAAGGCCGTCGACTGCACAGGGGAGCACAGAGTTTTCTCCGGTATCTCCCACTTTCGGCTCCGCTTCCTTGTCTATTCAATCCGCCCAGTTTCCTGCTATCGGTCTTCCACCACCACCGCGGCCTCGGCTCAGGCCGCAGGCTTCTAACGGGAGTAATGTGGGAGCGAACGGCGACAATCGCTCTAGTAATGTGCCCATCGTCCCACTATCGCCTCCTCCGCGCAAAAATATTGTTAGGAGTTCAGTGGGGGTGGTAACGACAGCACCCCACAAGTTTATGATCCGGAAGCCATCTTTCCTTGAGATAACGGACCATATACCGTCATCACCTCAAGATAGTAGTTTCCTTGACATGGATGGGCGGGACTCTTTAGACACCAATCGAGATTTCGGCGACGAAGATTAATTGACCCCTTAATACTTGCTACTTACTGCAGGTTTTCATTACTGACCTCACTTTTAATTCATATGTTTTTTAGTATTCATATCTTAGTATTATAGTCACAGTAGAGCATCGTAAACGCTCCTTTCTTCGTGTTTGTTTTAATAGTAACTACTCATGTCCGTGTTACTCTCCCTCCAATCTTACAACGCCTTTGCTCCTTATTGCTCCACTTAACGCTGAATGCTCCACTTAACGATGAAAGTCCCTGCAGTAATCACAAGCAACTTGAAAGGAAAGAAATCCAAAATTGTAAACAAAAAAATTACATGCGAATGCATCAACATAAAACTTCATGAAACGGTAGTCAAAACGTCTGGTAATATCTCCCAAATTTAATCTGTTTCGTCAGTATGATAACCGGCTCGTCTCATTGCACCAAGGCGATGCCTTGCAGCGCCCAATTCCTTTTCGAGCTTCAGAATATCAACCTGCTGTTCCATCTCGCGCCTCTTGAATTCCATCACCGCCATATTCTTGTAATCCACATCATCATCCACTTGCTTGGAAGAAAGAGCCTTGACATGTTTGACCAAAGCTTTGCATGCTTCGGTGACAGCTTTTGCAGCAAGTTCTAGGCGCTCTTGCGTCTTGGACATCAAGTTTGCCTTGACACGAGATGCAGCAACTAGTTGGGCTGTAGCTCCGGCAACTTCGTTAGAAGCAACGATGAGCTGTTCTAACGAGTGAGTTCCTGACAAGACACCGTCGGCACTTTCAATAAGAAGATTGGTCGCAAATGCAACAGATTTCGCTGCAGAGATGAGACCCTCTGTCCACCTGTTGTTCCGTTTATAGAATTGTTGGACCGAACTTGAGCCTTTCCCTTGAGCAACAATCTCCTTTTGCGAATCAGTAGCCGCTTGGATGAGGCGAGCAATGGCATTTGTGATTGCCATTGCCGCAGACAAGATAGAGTCGTGGACTTGTAAATCGATGGCGCTGAATCTCGATGAGTCGCGGGGACGAGACATGAGCTGCTGCAGACGCTGAGTAGCGGCTTCGATGGCTTGTGCAGCGCCCAACATTTCTTGCTCGACGATGTCGCCAATGTTACCATTTGCTCGTGCGAGTGCACCACCCTTGGTACCTTTTGGAACGAGGCCATCGACGACTTCAGATAGCTTGGTGAGTGCCCCCCGCACTTCGCTGTTGTTACGCATCGACACATCTTTCCTCTGTGATGGTTGTAGGAGGTCGAGTTTATATGATTGGAGGTTGAGGAAAAAGCGAAGACCGACGTCACCGGCTGTCTTTGCAACAGCGACGATCTTGTCAGACTTGTCATCGTCATCGGCCAGACGGGTGATCCCTTTTGAGTTGATCAACACGTCCGATAACACCTGCGCGAATTCATTGGCACCCTTGATAACATCAACATGATCGCCGCCGACATCTCCGCCAAGATGAAGGTTGAAGACCATCGCAAAATCAGTAGCGTTATTGATGGCTTTCTCGATCATTGACAAAGTATATTCTGGGGTTGAGTTAGGGTTTCCAGCTTGAGAGGGAGACTCGAGCTCGTAGATAGCATCATCCACTTTCTGGACGCATGCCTGTAGAATAGAATCTACGAGGCTATGTTAGATGGGGCTGGAAATGATACAGAAGAAGTACGGACCGATGATCTCATTCAACTTCTTACGATTGTCAAGGATGAGAGTATCGATTTGGGCGTTTGTAGCTTCCTCACTGATACCTTGGGTCTATAATTTCGAATAGTGAACAAAAAGGAGTTTTGTAATAAGATGACCGATCGTACCTGACGTGTCTCTGATAGCTGTTGAATCGTGCTGTCCATACCCTCCTGCAAAATCATAATCTCTTGGTCTTTCTCGTCCCTCAGCCTGTCCAAATCTCCGCTGGCATTGTCCAGTCTCACAAGCAAATCGTCGATCTGTATTTGCTTACTCTGTCCAAGACAATAAGGATCATTGCTACAGGAAGAAAGTAAAGGTGCATACCCTCAACGAATCCTCGAGTTCAGATAGCTGACGGTTGTACTTGCCCATAACACCAGATACTTCGGAGCTCTTTGACCGGGAAGCATCTTCAGCACGTTCGTTCGCAAAGCTCAGTTCACGACGGAGTCTATCTATATCGTCCTTGTGTGTCGCTTTTTGACGGTCTACGTCGAATCGGGCCCTATCACGCTCACGGATCATGTCTGCGAGTTCAAGGTTCTTGGCCTTCAAATCACGCTCCATGCGTTCCATACGGTCCACGGCTTCCTGCGCTGAACTAGCCTTGAGCTGCATTTGTTTGAATTTTGAAAGCATATCCAAATGTTCTGTACGTAGTTGACTGTAGAGTTTCGCCAATGCCTCGTACTTATTTCTCCACAGTGTAACTTGATCTTGAAGCTGTTTTATCAGGTCGTCCTTGGATGCCAGCTGGGCGTTGACAGTTACGGTTACTCCACCCAACTCGCCTTCCAAAGCTTTGACTCTCTATCATATCAATCAATAACAAGCAATTATCCCAAGAGGATTACAACGCACTCGATCGTATTGCTCCAACAACAGTTGGTCACGTTCATACTGCCCTCTCATGGCAAGCATTTCTCTTTCTAGTTCACTAGCTTGCTGAGCGGCTTGGTTGTTATACTGTGCCATCTGCGCGTGCATAAGCTGTTCTTGAGCCAATCGTTGCTGCTCTGCCTGCTGTTGCTGCCGCAGCTCAAATTCACGTTGTTGCGCTGCTTCCAATTCTAGTCGTCGCCGCTCCTCGGCATCTCTTTGGGCTTGTAAGGCAGCTTGTTGCTCTTCATATTGTTTTAACATACGTGCTTGCTCGTTAACGGCGGCAGCATCTGGCGAAGGAGCGGCGGGAGGAGGTGAAGGGGATCGAACAGCTGTTTTAGGGCGAGCTGGCAGATCTGGTGCATCTCCGTTGTCCATCAAGTTTGGAGGATCCTTTAAAGAAATATAAGTTAATGGCAACCCTGAAATAAAATGCGTACTCACTTGGCCCAATTTTGGTACGTTAATTAGACCAGTCAGATATTTAAGATTAGAGCATTCGTAGTAAAACTTCCTGAGGCTGTAGTGTTGCGCAGTGTAACGTTCTCGTAAAGGCTCCAACGCATCGATAGAGTTTGTCCCTGATAGCTTTTAGTTGAAAATCTCACCATCATCAGACATTATTACTCACTTCTATGCATAGCGCGCAACATGCTGGTAATGAATCTGTATATGCCCCAGCTCTCCTTTACCAGTGGGACCAACGCAGATATGCGACATTCGTTGTTGGCCGAATGCCTGAAGTGAGCAAATACCATCCTTTGGAAAGATTCAATTTGGTCTTGCAGGCTCATAAGATCTGAAATGGTTTCGTAGCTGCCAGGGGAGGTTTAGTATACACTTTCTGGAGTTCATTTATGATTTCTTACCCTTCGTTGGGATCATCGATACCCTTGAGCGATATATATTCCTCGTACTCGAATAAACCATTGAACTCTGGTCGCAGACGGTGGAATCGAAGTTTAGCCAATATGAACTGGACATATGTTCTAATTAACGAGCCATAACCTTAAGATAGCGTTAGAGATATTAAGCCACGATGTTACAGCACGAGGGCATACCTCGACCGCCATCAGTTCCAACTGTTCGTGCACAAGTTTCAAGCCAACTAGTTTGACCATGAGCTTCCTTGATCGTCTGAAACAAATACCATCAGTGGCTGTCGGATGGGAATTGAAGTGGATTACGAACCACAGGGTGCCCTTCTTGTAGAACCTTGTGGACCGTTATGAGGGCCTTGAAGGTCTGAACTTCATCTGAGAGGATAGGTTGTACTCGTAGGCCGCTCCAAAATGATATCGAGCTGTGGTAATCCCATGTATAAACAATACATTCTGCCGAAAGTTAGCATGCAATCAAATTCAATTCAGATGAATGCTTACTCCGGACATGTTTCTGTTTGGGGGCACTCTCATCAGCACTTGTAGCTTTCTTGATGTTGACCACAAGCTCTTGCTCGGCCTTGTCTTTGTCGACCGGTCGGGTTGGGTAGTGTACTTCGTCACCATCCACGTCGAAGCCAGTTGCGCGAGTCCGGCGAGACCTGTGTTGCGTACAGTGAGAAACACGATCACGATGTACTTGTGGATAACATACATTGCTGTCGATGTAGTTTTAGAGTCTCAAAGGACTTTCGAAAAGTGTTTTGGGAGTTGAGAGACGTAGGAAGGTATTACTCCAGGTATAAAGCACCTCGTGGGAAACCTGGACCCAGACGGGCTCGGCGGACTGCGACAGCTGCGACTGGCAGTGCACTCCTCACTACAGTGACATCCAAGCTGCATACGGATATCCGGTGCAAGGCTGTCAAGGCTACCCCTAAGGCTATCTTATGCTTTCAGTACTACGGTCGACATTTCCTAAACGTGGACTTTCAGCGCTGAAGCCCAACCGGCTTCACAATACTTCATTTTCTCCCCGTTTTGTGCACACAGAGAAAACAGGAGCGTCCTTGTCATCAGCATACAAAGCGCGGAGAGATTCGTGGTATAATCCAACTGTTTTGGTACTTGGCTTTATCCCCATATTCACTTTTGCTCTGGGCACTTGGCAACTCCAGCGTTTGCAATGGAAAATAGCTCTGATTGATGAACTCGAGGAAAAATTACGTCGTGAGCCAATCCTCCTCCCGAAACGAGTAAAGTGCGAGCGCATTTCCCTTCACATCGAGATCGACGATCTAAAATGGACTCTGCATCAAAAGTCTTTCAGTTGTCCCCGAATTTATTTTCCGTAGGGTCGTTCTTCGAGGTAGATGGGATCACAAACGTTCAATGTTACTGGGTCCCCGTGTACGGGACGGGACACACGGATATCACGTTATAACACCTTTAATACGGTCCGATGGTTCAACAGTTCTTGTTGATCGTGGTTTCGTTTCCAAAGACTTTGCTGAGAATTATGTTCGCGGAGAGGAAGGAGAGGTTCAGTTCCTCGGGATGCTTCGAACATCGCATACGCGGAATAACTTCACTCCTGACAATCGTCCAGAAGAAGGCAAATGGTATTGGGCCGATGTTGATGCAATGGCAGAGTACGCGGGTGGTGAACACGCTTATGTTCAGCCCGTGTATATCGAGGAAATCTTCGGTAAGGAGTCATACCCCTTGTGATTATTGTGTAGTCAAGTTTCTGACTATCACTAGATGGCCATGCCGGGGAAGCTGCATCGCGACTGAACAAGGGCATACCCCTGGGTCGATCGGCAACCGTTGACGTGCGGAATGCACATATGTCCTACGTGGTCACTTGGTAAATACTGCATTGCACCGAATATGCTGATGGGATCGCTAATATAAATGGATACGTCAGGTACTCACTCTCTGCGTTCACTGCTGTGATGTTGGGTCGCCTTGTTCTGAAAAGGAGAGCGCAAAATCGTGCTAGACCACTCCCGCGCTAGAGTCCGGATGTGTTTGAGTTTAATGATGGGCATTTCTACATAGCTGTACTCTCGCACTGTGCATTTGTAGATAAATCACATTTTACTAAAACAATGCATTGAATCACCATTCCATGGGTTGTTGTTTGATGGTTAGACTGGGCTCCACTGCTAGCGCACATCTTGCTTGCCTAATAGGGACGTACCCTCGTTATAATCACATCGATGCTACCACCCTCGATAAAGTCACCTTTAGCTTTGCTTTAAGCCACCGTGTGCATCTCGGACCTCTCCGTGACTATTCTTTGCTTGAGACCACTATGGCCGCGTGTAAAATGCTTGTGGACCGCTTTGCCTTCTCTGTCAAAGCACACTGTGTGTATTGGTGGCCGAGAGCCACAGTGGCCAAGGATGCTTCTGTGGACGTATTTGCTGTGTATATAAGGGCTCATGTCTAAGGTAAATAACACATCTAGAATATCGCGATACACCCACTCATCTATCTCCTCGAACGAAGTCGCGGATATGGCATCTCTTTACGGTTGTAAACGCGTTCCTTCCTCTGCTCCACGTCGTATCCGTACTTCGGAGGTTTCAGCTGCATCTGCAGCTGAAGCGCGACGCCTCGCAATGGGAGTCTCTCCAAGGCTAAAAGGAAAATCGCGTCGCCACGACATACTTAGCCCAGATTACATGTGTACATGGCAGGATGTCGAGGTGCAGAACGACTGGAACATGATGTCGAAAGAGCAAGGTTGGTCCAATGATTCTATCTATCATTTTCTGACTGCGTACTAACCTGCTGCTTACAGAAAACAAAATTGAAAGAGAAGTGGAGGCTGCGTTGTATTACCAACAACGCGCGAGAGAACGCAAGGCGCGTGAGGGAAGCTCCTCGAGTTATGAGCAACGCCTGCGCGAACTGGATGTCTTAGCACGTCCCGTCCCTCCGAATTCCTGGGCACCTTCAAGCAGAATTCCAGGTTGCCTGCCTTTCACCCCAGGGCACTATAATCCGAATTACCCTCTCTATTGTCCAGGTGAGGGCATTCTTTTTCCGCGTTTACTTATTACTGAAGCATTTGACCATAGTTCCCAATCCCTTACCTCTTCCAGAGGAATTGCCATGTGCCGGGGCACAAAAAGTAGGGCCCGCACATACGTCCAAGGGCCCACATAAATGGTTCACCAAAGGGCTACTATCATTTTTCTCATCATTCCGCCGAGCTCGCGCAGACTCGTCGGATGCTGAATTCAAAGATTCACAATGTGAACGTGTTATATCACGGCGGAACTCGATGATCATTATTAGAGCTGGACTTTGACTTTATCCGAGTCAATTGCTGTAATGTCGTATTCTCCTCTTTTTGTATCGATATCCCAAATTTCATACTACTCGTTATATTTTTCTTCCATGAATCACGCGTATTGTTGTAGCTGATTATCATACACAGCATCACCATATAATCTTACCCTCCATAGACTTGCCATTGACATTGCAACTATCGATCTACAAGACATCCTCTAGTTACCCTATTCTAGCGATTACGACTTTGAACCTATCTATAATATCAATCACTATTGCTGTGACTTCCTTCCTCGTTCACTGTGTGCACCATAACCACTCTTCTACATAACGCAGAAGCAAGGTCAGGTGTACCTATCAAGGTTAACGTTCACCTCTGTCACTTGCACATGTCAATGCATCTCCGTGAACGCCCCTTATAGCCGTGTTCTCTGGCAAGATATTTCCCAGCCGATGAAGATGCTGAGCAGAGGATAGAAGTTCCAGGCATGCAGTACCTTCGTGCATCAAGTGCTTGATCATCATCTCCGCACGCTTCTCCTATCGCGAGGTGATTCGTCCATTGATTCCCGAACAGACCGCGTTTTTAGTCTATATCTTTGAAGAGCGGCCGCTTGGTAGATACCATGTGGGGGGTCATATATGTACATATAAGTATATCAGAACTGCCATCCGCTGCGCTGGGCACCGTGTTTTCCGCGAGGATGTATATGGTTAGCCTCTTTGAAGTGCGCACGTAAACCGATCCAGCGCCGGAAGCTTATAAGTACACGTGCCTCTGAGTATGTCCGCCTCACCGAATGGCCCGAACGGGGTTGCAGCCGACGTTCTCTAGCCTTTCACTACTGTAACCTTCCTTTGTCTCCAACCATCACCTTGTTTTTTCTCTACACCAACACTGCCATTGCTTTGCCTGAGAGCAAATGGCAGATCCAGACACTTTACCTTCGGGCAGCACCCAACATAACCCGGACTTAATATTACCCGTCCATGCCAGTGTCTCCCATCAACATCCTCGTATTCACTTTCCAGACCAACCAAACGGTCACAACAGTGTTGGGAAATCGTCTAGGTCGTCCTCAATGAGTCTTGGCTCTTCTCCATCACCGGCCACGGCTCTTAGGCTGGATTCGAAGAGAGCTTCGCAGGCGCCTCAGAAGGTAGATGAACGTCGTCGCATACGGTCGTTGGATGCCACAGCTTTACTTTCGGACCCATCTGCTTCAAAGAGGTCGTCTAACCAAGGTACTGGCTCTAGAAGGAAATCGAAACGAGGAGCAAACGGGAACCAAAGGTCACCCTTGCTCAATTTGGATCCTTTCGTGTCAGATTTCGACTCTGGTGCTTTCTCAGATGAATACGATTTATGTGAATTTCAGTTCTCGTCCCATGCTGATATATTTAGTTTCTTATTGACCTTCTCGTCTTAGCTCATGAAGGCAAGTGTCAATTTCTTGAGTTAGACCATAGCATGCTTAGCTATCTTTCAAATTCAGATCCTCGTATTTTGCAAGATGTACAGCGAGCTCTTCAGTATCAGTCTCGACGCCGTGATCGTCGATCCATCGTTCACACACAACCCACAGTTCAAGAAGTCCCGTCCCATTCTGACGCGACTTCGTCTTCTTCTGTACCTATAGCATCTACTTCTACAGCGTTATCATTGTCACTCCCTTCTCCTACCTTTCCTTCTGTAGCCGTCAAAGTTCCATCGGAAATTGACTTCAGTCCATCTACCAGGACTGTCCCTCTTCACCCCATCCCACTTTCTTCGAATGGAGGAGCTACTCTCGATTGGACGGGGTGTCTATCCGATGAAGAGAAACATGAAAAACGTTGGAGCCTGTCCGTGAGCAAACGGAAAGGGAAGGAGAAAGTTTCCCCTTCGAGTAAAGCTATAGTGGAGAAGCAAGAGGCTCTATTTGCAGGCATGTATCTTGAATCCTGTGGCTTATACGAGAGTTAATTTCAATTATTTCAGACAAAATTTCAAGGATCAAGGCAGAGGCGCAATCTAATACTTTTCGTAAAGCAGCGATCATTAAGGAGCAATTAGGTCGGCGTTACAACTTGTTATATACTTCTCTTTCAACCCCCGAGCCGCTCAATCTGGCCAAGGTTGCGCGATGGTATGCTAGCTCCGATCCACTTTTGCAACGCTCTTTCGACGATACTGAACCACTTACATGGCTCAAACATTTATTGGATAAGCGTGGGACACGTTCTCTATGGCACATGTCTGCATTAATCGTTGAGGAATTCACGAAATCGAAAGGGGATCCCAATCTTTTGCGTGCCCCCCCGGAGGGCTCAACGCTGGCCACTACGGGATCATCTTCTATTGAGGCGACACCTCCTCAACCCGGGGTATCATCTCCTACGCATATAAATATTTCTGGGACTTCGTCTCTTGAGCCCTCGCTATCCAGAAAACGCTCATCTGAAGGTCACGTATCTTTTGAGCCTTTGATCGAGTCGGCACGAAATTCTGTAGAAAGCCACGACAAGCGCAAGAATGGTGAAGGCTTGTCTAGGTCGTGGCGACACTCTCTGCCTGGTATGACAGACTCTCCGCATGGCTCTATTCACAGCAGTTTCTTTGGTGGATCTCCACACTTTCATTCACATCATCATGCAGCTGGTGGACTTTCTCCTGCAAGTAGTCGCCTACATTTCCCTGATTTCGTTCAGCGTATGCGTCGGCGACCTGACAGTGATGAAGGGTCCTCATCTCCGCCAAATTCACAATCAGAAGACCAAGTCCATTCTGAAGGCGGTAAGGTACCGAAACGTAAGAAAGCTCGACGAAGTCATGTATCTTTCTCTTATGCTGCCAATATGCGATCTCCTGCAATATCTGGGATGGAAGTTGGGCGTGCTGGCCAGCCTTCTGATCAAGGGGATAGTTTGCGGTCTGTGCCAGACCCGTTCGCATCAATGTCTCCACCTCCGGAGATTGTGTCTGATTTGGAGCTTGCTTTGCCTGCCAAGGCGGACCCGAGCTCTCTTGAGGAGCCTGCTGTTGTAACTCCCCGCCCATTTCCCCGTCGGAGAGTAGTCCGTCGCACATCCCTGCCTCCTTCAGAAAGCTCGTCTTTTCGAAAGGAACAGAAACATCGGGAAGAGGCAGACGAGGCGAAACTACAAGCCGACTACCACATAAAGTCTCAGTGAGATTCTTTCGTCTCTGTATTTGTTCAAGCAACTGATATCCTCTTTCAGGATGCTAGAAGATGCCATAGCGCAGAACTATAGGCTGCGCCAGAGATTGCAACGGGTGGCCGCCGACGTAAGAGACTATGAGACGCTGCGGTCTAATTTCATGAGGACGGTCGGTATGCCCCATCGAAGTATACCCCCCGAGCTGTTGGATGCCTTCAGCCACGATCCTTCATCTGTGACCAGTGGGACACGTAAGACAAAGAGTTGGCGAGCGGTAGAGGACATTCACAATCGTATCGTCCGACAACAGGAAACTTTCCGTATATTTCTTTCGATTGTGAAGGAAGATGGAATACCTGCACCGGAGAGCATTCTGGACGACCACATTAACACGCTCATGGATAAGTTACAGAGGCTCGAAAGACATCACAAGTCCATGACGGCAAAAGCTGCCGAGGTTAAAGATGCCCTAACCAAGGTGAAGGGTACACATGCAGCTGTGAAAATACAGTACAACGACACTCTAAGTCATACGTCTGCAGTTTACCCTGAGGTATGTGATGTCCCTTTTAAGCCTTTCTCGTGTCTAGGCTTTTTGCTTACCTGTATTTAAGCTATCGCAAATCGTGGCTCTCGAAGAAAGCTATAAAGACCAGTACCAACAATTCTGGGAATTAGGCATGGATGCTTTGACTTTCATTTTGGATACCGTAACACCATTCTGGAGGACCTATGGGAAAACCATTGGCGACGATGTGCAGGATTTCCTCATCATCCCCTGGTACCGCAACGAGTTCACCGGGGAGCCGAAACGGTATCCCATACGATCCCTTCCACGACGATCATTTCAACACTGGATGGGTTTACTGCTTTTCTTTTTTATTACAGCTGCTGTCATTTTACTCCAGGCACACGCAGCTATGTCATCGATTTATAACTACAAGTTACCGTGGATAGGAAACGACGGCTTTCGGTGGATCCTCATGCCATTCTTTTGGATCGGCATCCTTATACAATGGGGTGCCGTGTTATTTGAGTTGTGCATCTTCTTTGCACAGATGGGAGTAATTGCATGGTGGATTGGTTGGGCAGCAAAAATCTTCACATAGTTATTTTATTCAATTTCATGACTATTTACGACGCTTGATATCTTAACAATTTATTATAACAGTAATACACCTGCTTGATTATATATGTAGAATACACTTCTTAGCAATAACATCTAACTTTCGATTGTGTTTATAGAAGCTTTATCTTTGTCAGTAGTAGGCTTGTCTAGAGACTGTAGAGATGGGTTCTCGACAGGTGTTGAAGAGGACGCTGGTTGTATGATAGCAGGTTTTTCAGGAGGTGCTGTTTCGTTTGTGTTGGCTGTAGTGCACTGAACTTGCGGCTTGACTTCCATATGGCTAGGAAGTTGGTACGTGAACGTGGTTCCAACCGCAGGGGCCAGGCTGGTCCCTTTACCAGCTTCCACACACGGGCGACAGTAACCTTGCAAAGATGGTCATTGCGAGGTACCAAGTTAAAATTTGGACTAACGTACGACCACCCATTATCAGAGGAACGTCTGTTTGTCCACATGTAAAACAAGCTATCTTGGGCAATGCTACTGTGGACTTGGGCTGTGACAAACGCTTTCGCTTTGCAGGAGGAGCGCCATTCGCAGGAGCATCGCCTTCTTGTGGTTGCTTTCGGGGAGCTGACTTACGCTTTGGTTTGTTGCTGTTGTCCTGCACAGTTTTGATTGATTTCATGGTATACGGAGGAGCTGCAGCCTACGAGACCAATTAGCTGTGGAGCACCAGTGTAAACACCCATGGTAAAGAATCGTACGTTTTGAATCTGTGTCAAGTTGGGACCTTCTGGAAGCTGGTGTGCGAGATATGTGCGTTCAGGAGTTTTCTAAGCGGTTGATGAGTCTCCAAAGCAAATGGCGTATACTATATAACAGAAATACCATTGAATCGAGGACCTTACGATACTCCTCACGCTTCTCTTCTGGACCTAGCCAACGGGATATTGAATCCCAGATGGCTGAAGAAGCTTTCGTCAAATGAAAAGTGACGACTTCTAGAACATCATCTGTGGTGGATGGTGCAGGGGGATTCGTTTGTGACTCAGTTGTGCCGCTTGGAGGGGACTTTTTGGCGAACGGAAGACAGGTTGATATGACTACGTCGCCATAAGAGCCCATGCCCCCGGGGGCGGGTATGTACTCGCATGAAGCAGGTCCACGGGGAAACACCCAGCGGTCAGAAGGTGCTTCACGAAATTCAATTATGACATCGAATTCCTTGAAGTTTTGAGCGTAGGCTGGCTGATATAGGACATTAGGCCTAGGTGCCGGAGTTGGGAGTGTTACCGGAGGTGGGGGTGGGGGTGCCGCAGGAGTGGGGAGTACTGTCGGAGATAGAAGGGCTGCCGGGATTGGAAGTGCTGCTGGAATTGGAGGTGCTGCTGGAGTTGGAAATGCTGCCTGTATTTGGAGCTCTGCTGAAGTTTGGGGTGTTGAATTCGACACTGGCTGAGGCGGTGGTGTGATACCAGTAGAACTAGCAGCTAATGAAGAGTCAGCTTCCAATGTAGTGGATGTTGCCAGGGTTTGGATCAGCAGCCCAAGAGTCTTGAGCTGGTCTGCGGATGCCTTCCCTGTGGCAGCTAGTTGCAACAAACCTGCAAGCGTTGGATTTGCGATCGCGGCGGCGTTGACCCGAGATATCAGACCGGGAGTGATGCTTACAGCCGAAGTAAGCGAAGAGAGCAAAGGAGAAGGAGAAGGAGTAGAGATAGAGGTAGAGGCATCTGCGATCGTGGATAAGGCAGGGGGTGTTGGGAACACCGCAGGCTTGACAGCTAGATTCTGCGCATAAGAAGAGTAAGGCGTCCGATTATACTGGTTCGCTGTTTGCCAGGGACCACCAGGTACAGAATGATAAGCAAATGGCTGCACGGATGTGGCTGGTAATGGTGCAGGGTGGTAATGTACTTCGAAGATAGTTGTCTCTGGGAATACGTGAGGACCAACTTCGAAATCGCACCTGCCACGGTTGTATATTGTGTGAGGGGGAGGTACCACTTCAGGAGGTTTTCCACCGCGAGATTTTGAAGAGAATTTTGGAAAGGTATGTCTTAGCCATTTCTCTCGAGCTGAGTGCATGTATGAGATTCATATATCAGGGCAAGAAACATTGCCTACATTGCTTGAGCGATTGCAGAATAATTAAGCTGCGAGATAACATTCAGTGTATATGACAAGGACGAAGGTGGAGAATCAGACCTGTCAGATATACTCTTTGGTTCTGGATGTCCGCTGCCATTGTCGTCCTGTTCTAGTTCCCAGCCAGGAGTTGGTCCTAAAGGCAATTTGGCGGTACGAATCATCGGGCGTTGTTTACACCTGTTGTCCAAGAACCTGCAGAACTAACCAGACCAAACAACTAATATTTACTCTGTTATCTTTTATCTGTTTCACATTGGTTACAGAATTGTTCTGTAGATAATTATCTTATACCTTATTTATCTGCGATTGTTGGAATTCGATGTCCAGTCGTGTTCGTAAGTACTTTTCTGATGTAGGCGCGGACATTATTGGTAATCTAACGTTGCACGTTCGTAGAAAAGGGAGGTCCGGTGTTCAGACCTGTTGCAAAACCAAGGGCCCGTCATGGTACTACCGAAACTACTTCTAGACAGCCCTCAGTTGCTGCAGACCCCAGAGTCTCTGTACCGCCTAGCGCAATACCAGAAGAAGTACCACTAACGTCGAGTTCATTCCTTCCACCCTCGACTTCGATGCCTCCACCAGTAATCGTACCCGTTAGAATAGCCGACCCTTCTCCTCCACCTATCTCACAGCCATCTAAATATGGCGGAGTTCCTAGTACACCGATTGCGACACCCTCAGTGAGGATGTCCTCAGAAATACGGAATCCTCACATTCGTCCCCCCGAGCGACAAGACCTCTCGAATTCCACCGTTGTAGAAGAACAAATTACTGCACAACAGGAAGAAATACAATCACCGAAGAGCGATTCTACGTCGAAAAAGGTCCGAAAACGTAGTTTGAGTTCTCAGGAATCTTTAAACTCGCGGAAGTCACGGAAGTCTCGCACTGCATCTGTTCCATATGACCTGCAAGCTGATCCTGGAGAAGATCTGGATCCAACGACGGTTACGATGGCCACCTTATGCGACGATACTGGCCAAGGTCGTATCAGCAGCAAGGCCATGCAAATTCAAAACAGCCATCTAGCTTGGAAAACATCTAGTCGCGAGAAGAGGGCACGTATGAGGGCACTGATGGAGGCTAAAAAATATGGCCGGGACGATGAAAATGCAGAGACTGCGCAGGCTCGGATACCAGCAACACCATCAGAGCAGCCAGGTACAAATTCGACGTCTGGACCATCTACAACCAATGGCAGTGAAAGTGCCTCGGAAGATATCACTGGGAGCGGTTTCGACTACTCGCAATCCATGGCCACTAGCAAATACAACGTGCAAGTACGCATTGGCCCCAATGGAGAGACAATAATAGACGAAACTTCGCTGTTCGTTGATCGTAGCGTTGAGGACGAGTCCGCAAATTATACACATGTTGAAGAGTCTGACACCACGAAATTTGTCAATTCCGGGACATACGGTAAAAGATTTCGAGGCTCGCGCTGGAGTGCTGAAGAAACGGAGCTTTTCTATGATGTAAATTACCTTGTCGCTTCTTTTCCATCATCATGTTTATTGACTTGACTTAATCCCCCCAAGGCACTCTCACAATTTGGAGAAAACTATGAACTAATATCCTACGTGCTTCCCGGTCGAGATCGAAAATCGTGTAAAAACAAATTCAAGGCTGAGGATAAAAAGAATACTGCCCGAATTACTTACTGCTTAAATAATCGTGTTCCATACGGTTGGTGCATCACTTTTACTTTCACTTCTTTTGACTAACCACGTATGATCGCCTTTTGAAAGACATGCAAACGCTATCGCGGATGACGGGCAAAGATTTTAGCGGCCCAACGCCTGAAATTCGTGCTCCCACTGTCTTAACACTTGCTGAATCAGAAGCAGCACCTGCTGAACATTCGGGGCGAAGTATATCGCCTGAGCTTCCTGACATGATCAGCAAACAAAGTGGGACGCCTGCATTGGGAGAAGAGAGTGAAGAGGTACTGGGCGATATATCTAGTTTCGAATGAGTGAGTTGGGACACAATCCCAAACGTTGCCTCTTTATGCCCGTATGTTGATCGCACAGATTCTTTCCAGCGGCATAATTTATTCATGCCGGGGTAGCTCAGCTGGGAGAGCAACAGACTGAAGTAGCCTTTCGTAGAGTGGGGTGGTATCTGGAGGTCCCGTGTTCAATCCACGGTCCTGGCATAGTTTTTTGATTTTCTTATTTGATCTATATTTTCTTCTTGCTTTCAGTATTTTACATTTCTCTGTTTAATGCGTACTCGCAGTAAGTCGAATACTGTCAGGACATAGTATTTACCCTACTTTCACCGAGTCTCAGCAGCAGTATGGCATCAAGTCGGCGTGAAGTTTGTATAAAGCCGACAGATGGCAGTGACCTGAGCATGTGACCGCGCGACCGCGTCTGAAGTAACTGGGACGGTCACCACAATTGCAACTTTATTTCGCCAACCATCCTTGTTCTACTCAGTTCATTCTCCTCTTCTTCTACCTTTCACTTTCTATGCCATCTCGCCGACCAACTGCCACCGAAAGTATGCCTCCTCCCAGTCCTCCACCAGGCGATGACAATGAAGAGGTACTGGGAACACACAGTTTCACCCCTAGGTGTCGGACAAAATCCGCTAACTTGGTTTTCTTTTATCAAAGGCGCCGTTCTTCGATAATGTCGATGAGCTCCAGCAGCACGTGAGTGACTGAGACGCGTATATGCGCGCATATAGCCCTATTTGCCGACTGTCGATGTTTTGTACAGGGAATAAACGTACAGGACATTCTGAAGCTAAAGGTCGATCATATAATATCTGTAACAGAAAACACCGTTCATTATCAATATATTCACAGGCCTCTTCCATAAATACGATTTCAGGCATTGTGATGACGACACGTAGGCAGCTACTCAAGATTAAAGTGCTGAAGAGCTTTTGGAAACTGGTTCAATGGTCTTACACGTACTTTTTCAGGGAATGTCCGAAGCAAAAGTCGAAAAGATAAAGGTGACCGTTTCTTGAGCTCAATAAACCACATCCACCGATGCATTTTACGTGTCAGGAAGCGGCACAGAAAATAGCGGTTAGTCTGCTCTTCAATGAACATTGTGTTAGCTCGTTAATATTATCCGAAGGGTTCATCCTTTGCCACTGGTATCGAAGTGCAAGACCGGCGAAAGCGAGTCCTAGTTATCAGCACGGGGAGCAAATCCGTAGATGCTATACTTGGTGGTATGTCTACGCATGATCGAAAATACCAAGGCTTGACGCGTTTTTATTCAGGTGGTATCATGTCCCAATCTATTTCCGAAGGTATATATACTTCTCCTGTTCCTCATGCCAAATATATACTTGACTTACTGGAGTCACGAATGATCAGTTTATGGTGAGTTTCGAACGGGGAAAACTCAATTGGCCCACACGATGTGTGTCGTCACACAACTACCGACCGAACTTGGCGGCGCTGCTGGAAAGGTGAATATCCATCTATTGTCCAATTTATTGCTAATAGCCACTTCTAGGTTGCCTATATCGACACGGAAGGTATGTACCTCATCATTTTCGCCTATAATGTCCAGCTCATAGTTTATTTATTTTGAAGGCACTTTCCGGCCAGACCGCATCAGATCTATTGCTGAGCGTTTCGGAGTAGATGGGAACATGGCTCTGGAGAATATTCTTTATGGTAGTCCACCCCTTTCTATGAATGAATCCATCAGTGAAGGTGCTAACGTAGAGCTTTGATAGCTCGTGCATTTAATAGCGAGCATCAGGTATGTTGAAAGTTCTTTTTCTTCTTCTCAACTACACTTTTTCTTCTACATTTCTAAGATGGAATTGATCAACGAATGCTCTATGCGGTTTGCTGAAGACAAGGATTTCAGGCTTATGGTGAGTTTCCTTTGGCTTAGCTTTTTTGGTTTATCATCGTTGTAGATTATCGACAGTATCATGGCCCTGTTTCGAGTTGATTTCTCTGGTAGGGGGGAACTTAGTGAGAGGCAGCAAAAAGTAAGAAAAGCACATAATCATTCCATATGCGAAATCAGTTCACATTTCATTGTAGCTTGCCCAGGTAAGATGAGTTCCATCTAACTCCCCCTTGTGATACTAGTATAGTTCGAATCTACCATAGATGCTCTCAAAACTTACCAAGCTCTCGGAGGAATATAATGTTAGATTTTCCGCTCGATTTACACTGTTGTCTAACATGCACTCTTTATCCAGATCGCCGTGCTTTTAACTAACCAAGTACAATGTAGGATTATTCTGCTAGCTTCTCCACGCAATCTCGATATATGAACCAAAACATTTTTCATTTTGCTGAATGTGTTTTACTTTGTTTAGCTGATCCTGGAGCGACGATGACGTTTGTTGCAGGAGGCGCATTGAAACCTATTGGGGGCCACATATTATCTCATGCTTCTGCGACTCGAATGTTCTTACGCAAAGGTAAGATTATGTGGGCGCGTTGCGCATGAACGAACCTGGGGGTTGCGGCCGTCGAGTCGCTTGGCTGACTGGTCTGTAAAGCTGTATACTGATAATGGTTCCACTCTCCCCATTCATTTGACCAGGTCGTGCTGAGGAACGTGTTGCGAAACTAGTGGACAGCCCGGACCGGCCTGAAAGTGAAGCATCATACAAGCTAGATGAAGGCGGATGGACCGATGTTTAATGTTATTTCAAGCTCGTTCCTGGTGGCCAACTCTTGTCTGCTTCTTGGACCTCATGCTCCACTCTCAGGGTCACATCTATATTTTTGCTCTGCTGCTGTGTTTTCTTCTTGGTGCTGTGGACTATTGTTATCCTCTGGTGATCTGTATGGCATCCTAAAACGATTATCTCGTCTGTTAATACCGCAATAACGATAGTCTTCATTTTGACTTCGCCAATGGCTGGAATGTCAGCGGATTAGCGTTAAGCATTAAGGATATCACGCCAACGAGTTTCCCTAACTTTGTGCCAAGGTACGGCTCTGAGATATTTTGGTTATACTGAGCTTCTTTGAATGAAGGGATTGTCAAGTATTGTCAGCCTGTGAGAGTGCTGCCCTAAATATACTTGAGCTCGCTTGTTGCGGGATTGGCCATACCTAGATCTCCACTCGCCAATCCGCGGAATACTTGCAGAGCCGACTGAATAAAGCAGCGACAGGATAGGTTAGCAAGACGTCTTGCGCCGTAGCAGCTCTTTAAATTCAAGCTTCAGGTTCCATCGAGTTCGCCAATCCGAGAATTCGAATCTAAATAGCACACGCCCACGTGGTCGCTGTCTGTATCTCCAAGAATTTTACGAGCCATCAAAGAGCCTCGTCTCACCTGCCGGACATAAAAACATTTATAAACGTTACGTCTCCAGCTTCAGCATATGGTACGAATTTCGATAAGCACGTTCGTATCGGCTCTTCTTGTAGGGAAAGTTTATAAGTATAGCCCCATATCACCACCATCTTGAAGTCCGTTTCAACGATGTTGCCCCTCGTCACCTTAGCATCTGTCCTCGCTGCTTCTGCCTCCGCTCGGGCTGAAAGCACGCAAGCCCCCTACCTCACTCCCACGTACCCAAATATCGCAGCATGCGTTGACTTACCTCTGCAATATTCCTGTGAAAACACTACAGCATTTACTAACGCATGCTGTAACGTCGTAGAAGGTGGTCTAGTCTTGCAGACGCAGTTCTGGGATACGTATACTGGTCTGGAGGACGAGGGTCAGCTCCTTCCCTATGGAAGCTGGGGCATTCACGGCCTTTGGCCAGATAACTGTGATGGGTATGCTAAACACGCCCCACGTCATAAATCATACTAAGATCGATGATTAATTTATCTCTGGTCCGTTTCTTCAGATCGTACAGCCAGTACTGCGATGCCACGAGAGATTACACGGGACCCAATGTCACGAGTTTCATCAATGATTTCGGACGCACCGATCTTCTCGACTACAGTGAGGTTCATTTTCATACGACTGTCCTACTAGGTTGACTGAGACGCGTTGCAAACCAGTGAACAACTTCTGGATCAACCAAGGGGCACCAAATGACGATTTCTGGGCTCACGAGGTCATTTCATCATTACACACACTGGCACGCGCAGTCCTGACTTTCCGCATTCTATAGTTCTCTAAACATGCCACTTGCACATCCACATTTGATGTTGCATGCTATGGGCCTGACTATGTGGAACACATGGAGGTTGTCAACTTCTATGAGACTGTCACGAAGGTTTTCCAGATGTACCCAACCTACAACATGCTTGCTGCGTAAGTATCGCGCCTCCAGCACTCTTGGACTGTTCTTACCAAATCCATTCCTAGGGCTGGTATCTTGCCCTCTAACACAACCACTTATACTCTTGCCGAGATCACCAATGCTCTCGTCTCGCAGACGGGTGCTGTGCCTTACCTTGGATGCAGTGGTAGCGATGGGACTGTGTTAGATGAGGTTTGGTACTTCCATCACGTCTTGGGCACAGTGCGTATACTGCCTGCTTGTTTGTCTGTGATCAGTAATAAATGACACGCCTACAGGAGCAATACGGTCACTTTAAGACAATCAACTCCACCACGGCTTCTAGTTGCGCATCCACTGGAGTCTGGTACTACGAGCGCACCAATACTTCGGAGCGCCTCGTCAAATATTAGGATGTAAGTCGTTTTAGTGACACTGTTGAACGCTGTAGTCTGTACAGAAATGATTAAATCAATGCGCGTAATGCATGGGTAAAATAATTATCAAGTTCAGTGTGCATGGAAGTGTTCCTGAAGAGATGTGCTCGCCATCGGTATTGATGAATGAACATGGACGGCTGATAAGGATCATAGCATCCCTTGGTGAGCATGGCAGTGAAACTAGCCGGAGCTTGCCAGGGAACGCGAGAATCATGTGATTAACGCGACGCGACGCGGTATGATTCCGCAAATAGACAACAACATTAACGTTGAGCTTTAAGGTGCACCAAGTCTGCATGCTGCTTTTGTTCGTGTGCAGCGTGTTTCATCTCCTGTGGCCATTTAGTTCAACTGCTGGCAATCGCCTTGGTAGGCCAACATGACAGTAACCCTAGATTTCGAGTCCTCAACTTCAGATTCCAGCACCCGGAGAGCTCTTTCAGACATTTCACTAGCTGTAGCAAAGTGTAAAAAGATTGTGGTCGTTACTGGAGCTGGGATTTCGTGTTCTTGTGGCATTCCAGTAAGTATCACGTCCTATCATACTCCGGCTATATATCTGATTCCTTGTTCTAGGACTTTCGTTCTTCCGATGGATTATATGCCTTGGTGAAACAACAGTATCCCGACGTCGTCCTCAAAGGCCGTGATCTCTTCGATGCCTCTCTGTTTCGCGACTCAACATCCACTTCCGTGTTCTACACGTTTATCTCACAACTGAAGAGATCTATCGACTCTGCATCACCTGCTCCGACACACAATTTCATAAAGACTCTGGAGGCAAAGCAGAAATTGCTGCGATCTTACACGCAAAACATAGACGGGCTCGAGGAAAGGGTGGGGCTGAGAGGGAGCTCCAGTCGTGATGCAAAATCCACGGGGAAAGGAAAATCCAAACTAAAAGTCAAGGAGGTTAGGAACGTCCAACTCCACGGAGACATACACCGAGTCCGGTGTACATTCTGCTCAGCAGAATTTCCGTGTATAGAGGAACATTTGAAAGTTTTCAGCAAGGGTATGGCACCGGATTGTCCGGAATGCTTTGCACGATGTGAGTTTATTTTTCTACTGTGGCTGTTGGTGCAATTTACATTAACATGCTCTTGATTATAGCGGCCGCCCGGGTAGCACGATCAGCTCGCGCCCTCAAGGTTGGAACCCTTCGCCCTGCTATTGTATTATACGACGAGCCGCATCCCTTGGGTGACGATATTGCTACGATCCAGACTGCCGACATTGCTCGCAAGCCTGACATGCTTATCATTATGGGTACATCGCTAAAAGTGCACGGCTTGAAGAAGCTTGTGAAGGACTTTGCCAAAACCATCCGTACCACATCATCATCATCAAATTCAGCGGGATCATCGTCAAAAACTTCCAAGAGTTGGACTGGGAAAGTGATAATTGTGAACAAGACACCACCGGGAAGTGAATGGTCTGATATCATCGATTATCATGTGGCAGGAGAAACAGACAGATGGGTGGAGAGGGTTCTCGAAGATTGGAAGAAGATGAGACCTTCAGATTGGGAGGTACAGCAGACATTGACGACAGAGGGTGAGGTGGAAGGGTTCAAGGTCGTCAAAGACAACAGCTCTCTGGGAGCCACAAAATCGAAAGAGAAAGGTGACCTTCCTGTGAAACGTCTTCTCTTTTGACGAAGTTGATGACCTTTATTTCAATAGCGATACCAGGGAAGGGCAAAAATAAAGCAGGTGTCGAGAACGTCCCACCAGATGACATATTCTCTACAAGCGTTGCTTCGCCTCGTCCGAAGGCCATAGCGAGTGCTCCATCTTCTCCCAGCAAACGACGTCAAGCTGCGTCGCACTATTCGGATGTCGAATCAAGTCCATCGAAGAAACGTGATCTAGTGAATGTTTCCGCCCAACCGAAGATGGCAGTCGAAGAGAGAGGACTCTTATTTGGCGATACCACGAATATGCTACCAAAAGTGATCGTTCCTGATATGGAAGACGTGCAATTCTCCAAGCCCAAAGCAAGGAGAACGCGAGCACAAACTGTGTCAGGGAAGACATCAGGATCGCTAACGCGAACAAAATCACTGGGAAAATTGAAGAGGGACTTCTATGTGGAGATCAAGCAGAAAACATGATACATGATTTAGAGTAAATAATATTCCATTGCTAGTTTGCGCGCATATACTGTATCATAGTGTACACTGACTTACTGGGTCTAATGATTGAGGATGCAACAGTTTGTTATTCATTGCTATCCATCGATGCGTCATTCTTTGAATCACTTCCTGGGGGTTTGAAAAGACCAGTCACAACCAAGCCATTATAACTAGCTAGAATATACTCATAACACAAGTCCCATAAACTCGACAAGATATTTTAAACAACATTCTATGGACAGCTACTCACACATTTTATGTATGTCTCCACTTTACTCGCTGATGAGCTCCGAGACACTCCAGTCCTCAAAACTACCGTCTGGCAGATATCGTCTGATGATAAGAGGTATTTTTCGTTGAGAGAGTTCTTTGATGGCGATTTGAAGTGCATCTGTTTCGCCATCGAGAGGAACAAGGACGGGGGCATTCATACTTTGCGAGAGCACGTGTATGAAGGTCAGTCGTGGAAAGGACGAGAGGTAGCGACTGACCTTATTTGTAGTGCTCTAGTCCCCAATATCCGTGCACGCTCATATTTGGTCAGATAGGGCGTTGTAACCCTTACTTTGTTCGGTTGTCTTTCTCCATGCATTCCCGCACCGGTCGTGCTCGGTTCATGGGGCTGGGTTCCCTCGTCTCCATTCGTCATTTCCTGGTCGTGGTCTGTGCCATTGACCCCATTTACATGTGATACTTCTCCTGCACCTTCCTCCTCTCCTTGCTCCCCCTCCTGTGTCTCGTTAGCTAAGAGATCATAGGTCTCATCCTGGAACAGGCTAAATGGACTCGTTTACTGAGAAAGCGACTGGTTAAACGCACGAAGGCACCGTCATTAAAACTGGAACGAATTGACCATTAATTGTAAGATTTTTTGTATTGAACTAGATGTGTACCTCGGTCCATCGTAGTCATAGTCATCTCCCCCACCTCCTCCATATCCATCGTCTGACATGTTTCAAGGATATTGAGAATATGTGAAAAGAACAAGAGTGCCGATTCACGCAGAGCTCACGGTCTTGGAAGATCGCTTGTGGCAGGAAATTTCCTCAAACCAAGGCGGAGTTTGACGGATTGATTACGTAAACCTTCTATCCTTCGCCTACTTCCTTCCAAACTTTATCTTCGTAGGCTTTATCTGAGTCCATGAAAAGTCAACAAGTGTCCATATCGCAAATGCATCCTACAATCAGCTATATCCATGGAAATCGGAAGTCAGTCCATGTGACAGCTTTTGCCTTAAGCGCTTAAGCATCCACCAATTCCTCGGATTCAGACTATCAGCGGTTTCACCTATCTCTAACATTGACAGAGGGTCTCTACCATATTCGCGGCTTACATCTCACGAACCACCGACAAAGCCTGCTTGTGTATTCACGTTTTATTCCACAGGATATAGCACTCGTAAAATCTAGCAGATGGCGTAGGTGGTGTGTGCTATTTCAACTCAAGAATCAGGCCTATCAGGGGTATATAGCGCCATAATCCCAAGCAGCCGATCCTGTCCATTTTGGAAGCTTGGAGCCCAACGTCAATCATCCAGGTATTCTATTTGGACCTTGAAAGTAATTGACAGATCTGATCGCGCACAACGTTAGAAAGTAATGGCGGTGTTTTGGACGTTCGGCCGCCTCGAAGTGGATAACATTATTTGATATCGACGTTTATTTCGAATTTTATAAGGGAGTCCTCTTAGCCGGTGGGGATTCACTCCTTAGATGATTTACTAACTGGCTAACGGCACTATCAATTTGATTCAGGTGGCCATCTTGATATCGGTACAGCAACTATAATGTAGAGCCACCGGCTTCGTACTTGCTCAACAAGCGCTCGCTCACGCAAATCCTATTTCAGCTGGAGACTTCCCGAAATCCCCTGTTGGACCTTATTGTTCGTTTGATCTGGACCTTTACTCCTTTCTTGGGGTAGATGCATCTCGACCGGGCCATATCATATTCGAAGCATTGCATTTATCGTGACGCGACGCGAAACTGTACATGTTCAGTATGATCGTCGGTTCCTAGATCCAGTTCGCACCATTGACTATCTACGCAAAGCCATACGGACATCTGAGAAATACAGGTAAATTGGCATATAATTTCTCACCAAAAACGGTACCGTCAAATATATTGAAAGAACACTTGGAGTAATCTTAAACAGTGAGGCGACGGTGATGCCCGTACGTGGATGATAAATGCATTTTTCTACGAGATTTGGTGTCAAAACTACTTATTTTATGTTTTATCTGAGACTCACGTGAGATTGAGGTGAGCGGGCGAGTTGGCGTTGGTTTGGTCGCCGCCGCCGCCGTATTTCTTCAAACACGCACCCTTTGGCTTTTGACCACATCCTTGTCACAGCATTACCACATTTCTAGGGTTCCTCTGTCTCTTATTGTCTTGTAATGCAGACCATTCAGTCACGTACTTGGGGGACGCGTTTTGATTCCCTCGTTTCTTCTCCTTCTTCACCCACACTCAAATCTACTCTTTCTTGTGAAAGCGTCGCTCTCACCAGCGATACAAACATTGCTCACGCTTCCAACAGAAAACAACACGAGAGAATGCCTCATGACTCGAGTGTATTCGTTGGCAGGTAATCTTGCATCCAATTCTATCTAGCTCTGCTTTTGACAACGAGACCACAGCCTTCCGTGTAACATCGAGCATCAAGAGCTCAACCGTCTGCTTTCTGAACATCTTTCGGGATACACAGAACCACAGAACATCAAGGTAGTTCGCGACTCCAAGGGTGGTACTTGTGCCTTCATACAATGCCAGGTTTGTTTCTTGGATTAAAGCATCATTGTGTCACAGTTTACGCGTTATCCAGGATGCTGCTTCTGCGGCTCGATTGATCGACACTCTTCACTCCTTGTCTCCACGTCAATTCATGGGTCGTTACTTACGTTTCGAGCCTGCTCGTGCATTTAGGACTCTGCTCATCTCCTACAGGTGAGCTGACCGTTCACTGTGATCAGATCATGCGCATATTGCCACCTTTATCACTCGTTTTCAACTCCTTGCTCAGTTAAATCAATCTAACCGGAATTTCACAGGTGTCCAAGGCAATATGTGCCCTCTGATTCAACGGGCAGGGTTTTTGGCGACTTTAAAAGGGACAGACTTGTTGAACTAGAACTGCCCTCAGCTATGAAGTTATGGCGAAATGCTGGTGCCAAGTGAAATAGTTTATGCCCTTATTATCGAATAGCCACTAACCACTACTTCACTGAAGATATCTTTCAATCCTTTACAATTCAGACGCTTGCACAGCAGCTGAAGTTGAAGGTCTGCAGGTCAACGTTAATTATAACGCAAATGCACCGAATCTTTTCCTTTCTCCACTACTTTTCGATGCAGAGGTCAGTAGCAATGTCGGCTTCGTATTTGCCGCTGTTTATATTTTAATCATAACCCAGACACTTCAAGCGATCACTGCACTGTTCGGACCTGTCGAATATTTCGCTCCGTATAGCCCTGAGAAGGAGAACTTGGGAATGCCCTTCGCTCTAGAGTTGAAAGATAGTAAGATATACACAAATTCCGTTTCTTTGGTAACTGATCAAGGACCCTGGTAGCTCCTACACGCGACTGGCCTGCCTCTGCTGTACAATATCCTTCCCCTCACGATGCGCCCCGTTCTACAGTTATGGATTCGGGATGCTGGGAAGTTAAGTGGCGCTACCGAGATGATTGCGTCAGCGCGTTAATGGTATGTTATTTCTACCGGATATAACGCTGAAAATAACAGGGTATATGCGTCTCAGACTCTTCGAAAAGTACCTCATCTCACCGTGACATGGGCACATCAGCTACCTTTACCTACAAATCAACAGCAATCACATAATGCGTCCTATCATAACATGAACCAAGCTCACTCAAACGCGACCTCGTATTCGTTTCATGTGCAAGCTGGATCTAACAATAACCCTACAAAGGATTTTGGTGGTATAATGTCTTCTCCTGAATCATACCTTCCACCCTCGTCTCGGTTTACGGGTGTAGGGGACAAGGTTTCGACCGCTAGAGACTCACCGTTAACTCCAACTCTGCCTCGCTCCGCACCTGGCGATTTCCTTTCTACCCCAAGGTCGTCATCCATCAGTGATGACCGAGACTGGACTCGAAATGTTGTTTCAGCCACAGTTACCCCTTCCCGTGCTCGTGCACATTCTTTAAGCTACCGTTCAGGCTCTTCCCTTCGTGTTGGCGATAATGCTGATGACAGTCATATATCTGGTTCAACTGCGGTAAATTGGTCCGAAAACGATTTTCCCCCGCTAGGAAATATGTCAAAGAACCAGGAAACACAAGGTCATCTGTGGGGTGATAGGATGACAGCGGCTGAAGGGGAAGATCATGATGATAGGTATTTGAATCCCTCAAATTTTCTTCTACCTCAGTCTCACTAGTGTGGAAAAGCATTCCATCTACAGAGTCACTTTCTAGTACGTTGGCTTTATTTGGTACTCCACGCCTACCGGCTTCGCAGGTTGATCCTGCAGAGAGAGAAGACGAAGGGCAAGATGTAGATGTAGATATCCCTCCGACCCCTGAATTTGGAACGTCACCCGTAACACCTAAAACACCAGGTTCTCTGGTACCTCTCACTCCAACCACAGGCAGCTACATAGGCGACTTTCAGAGTGTATCCTCAAAAGGGTACCATGGAAAAGGTGTTTCCATGTATACTGAGGAGAAGCGAGAAAGTGCTTTAGATCCGACCACAATTTTTGTCGGAGGACTCGAGATGTATGGACCTAATGCATGGGACGAGGAACGAGTTCGAAACTTCTTTTCCAGGTTTGGGGGGGTTGAAACGGTGAAAGTTGTTCGTCCTGGTACGTGAAATTTAGTAAACTGAAAGGGTGGCCATCAGTGATGACGACCCTGCTACCCAGTGAATAAGCGGTCGGCTTTCGCCTTTGTTAAATTTGATAATACAGAGTCACCAATACGTGCTGTGAATGAAGAGGTATGATCCACCTTTTTTAGATGAATTACACGTGCCAATTTTTGATCTCAACCTATATATTTTCAGCATAACCGCGTCCTTGATGGTCGACCGATTCGCGTTCAGTTGAGGGACTGGAATCCGCCTCATCGTGCAGTCTGGAAGTTCAGCCGCGGCCGCGGTAGGTTTCAACAATTCGGTGCTACTCGTCATAGCGTCGAACAGGCGGACGATCAGAGTGAAGACTTTTGTACAAACACTTCGCTGCTTAGTCTTAACTCAGAAGATCAAGTCGCTGATGTCGATACTGGTTCATTCGCGGACAAAAGCAGTATCTCCGAAAGCAAAGATGTCAATTTGAAACCTCGATCAGAAAATTCTATAGTGAAGTGGAGCACCGACGCTCAAAATAGCGGAGACGTAGACAGAGGTGAAGCACAACGCACAGATTCTACATCTATCGAGAAAAGTTCTACGCATGATTCTTCAACCTTGCGTCAATCCGCAGTGCCACAATCAGACGATTTAGACAAACCATGGATGCAAGGGACACACCCACCCATCACCACTTCTTCGTCTTATGCATCGGTCTCAGGCCCTACTCCTATGGCCTATCCAATACCAGCTGTAGGATATTACCCACAGCAAGGCGGTTGGATGCCTGGATTTGCACCTCAGATCCAGTATCCCGTACCTTTTGCTTATCCGGGTACTTACGCATACCCACAGTATCCGAACCCTGCGGGCTCTGACACAAGCGGACCACCGTCTGGTACGCAGACTCCTTTCCCCCAGCCCGGGGCCATGTATGCCGTAAGTTTATGTGCTCTAGATCTTCTTTACAAGGGGATTGACATCGGATTGCAGCCTTTTATTCCCTATCCAGCGTACTCCGTGAGGACTGTAAGCTTCGATCAAACTCAGAGTCAGTCGTCAGGGACCCCCCAACCTCAGGCTCCGTTGTTGCCCACAGGTTTCATTCAAGGCGATCAGGGAATGCTCGTTCCGGTCTATCCTCCTGATGCGCTCGATCAGTACATGTCCGGTACCCAGGGGCAGCAAGTAGCGGCTGCCGGACCTCCTGTTCAAGCACAAAACACTCCTCCGTGGCGCCCTTACTCACAACCTCCAGTGTATCCTCCAACTATCCCAATCGCAAGCATCCCAGGTTTGCATCCTCCACCTTTCCAGGCCATAGCAGGTACACAGCCAGGTGTTGGAAATCATGGTTGGATCCCTCATCATGGGCCCTCTATGACGCCTCAAGCACCTCACCCTTCTATGCAAGGTTCCGCGCGTCAGCATGTTCCGCACACTGTCCCGGGTGGATCATCTGTTTCAGGACTAGGACCTTTGTTCGAGCAGCGTAATGTTCCCCCTAGACGTCAGTATCGAAGAGTCTCACAACCTGATTACAATAAAAACAACACCAATACCCGAGGTCCTCCTAATCGCTATCCCAGGGGAGGCATGGCTACCTCCTATTCGTCTTATAATGTCGATCGTACTGCATCTCAGCAGAACTTTAGTCCGCACAAGTTCAGCGAACATTCTAATCGTGATTCTGGCGGAAGAAATGATTGGAGTCAGGCTCAGTGGAACTTAAGTCAGTGAACCTTTTCATAGATTTTCCAACAATTTCGTCTTTCTTGTACATGTTATCGTTCAGCTGCCTTCGTCTTTTATGTTTTTAAATAATTGATATCCCCCTTCGCTCTTTCTACTATATATTATTCGACGCTCTTATCTTCCATTTCTTCCAATGAAAGCACATGTCTAAATGCTCTCATTTTCATAAAGCATCAAAAACAATATAAAGACTTCCTCTATTCTTCTATTCATTCTTATCCATAGCTTCTCTTACCTCTGCTCATTTGTTACCAGTTTTTCTAAATTTTAGGTTGCGTTCTCGTTTACATACTATACATCGTACACAGGTCCTCAATTCACCACTCGTTTACATTCCATTGCATTTCTCTCTATTCCATGAGTTTAACACTGCTACATCAAGTTTCGAGGCAGTTATCCTTCTATAGATCTAGGTATGGTCACAACAAACCGCGTCATTCTCTGGTCGTCTATTTCTTTTAGCCAGTGCCCCTGTTCTTCCCAGAACATTTTTTGGCGCGCACTTCCCATCCATAGCGGCGCAATTGACAGATGATTAGCTGACTTCAGTTCGTGGACATGCCATACTCCGGGCAGTGGCTTCCTTTCACATGACGCCGTCGCCATTGGGTAGTGTCGACATAATTCAGAACTACATGATAAAAACGTTCAGCAAATTACCCAAAAGACCGAGAGACTGAGCATGTACCTGCATTCGAAAGGATGGTACTGGGAGAAGACAGGCACAACTCCATCATTTGCACAAAATAGCTCCTGAAAATTACTGTGAACACGGCTTTTCATCACAGTACCACCAGATTCAAGGTCGTCGCAACCATCATGCGAAGTAGCAACCTGTGACATAAATGAGGGTTGCGGTTGAAGGGAAGAGAAATCAAAAGACGCCATGAAACGAGAGGACAGGTATAATGGAGAGAAAATGTCTAGAACAGCGAAGAGTCTACGAGTCCCTTTCCAGTCTTCTACTGTCTAGAAAAGGCTCACGGTTATTGTCTACTACAAAAGATTTCAAGACTTGGAGATTTACCATCTCAGCAGCATAAGCACGGTAAAACGAGTTCTTGTTCGGAATGCCCTCGAAAACTGCCTCTCTTTCATCCGCAGCCTCGAATGTCACATCAAAAGGCGCAGCATCTCTACTTTCTGCCCAATCGCTCTTTTTGAGCTGCTTCCAAAATGACTTCCAAGACGTCTCACGATACGAGAGCTTTCGAGACTCGCTGTGGAAATCAAACGGGCTGTGCGTGGGAGGTGAGAAGAAGGATATGATGTGTACGATCTTTGATAGAGCGGTGCCCAGTGAGAGAGGACGAACGGCAGGTGCAGCGTCTATGCGCTCGCCGAGGATATAAACAAGCTGTGTTCCGCGGAGTGGCGATGAGACTAGAAAATAGTCAGCTCATGTTATATATTCTGCTGCATAACGCCAACACTTACTTGCAGTGACGGAGAGAACCATGTCAGGGTGCACATGGGTGCCAAAGAAGCCTGTATGCATAAGCCACTGCAACTTCACGATAGTCGGACCTCCCTATGAGTTTCGTTTAGGTGATTATGATATACATAAAACGAAAAAAGAGGAACGAGCAGACCATGGAGTGTCCAAGGAAATGGAGAGGCCTCCCTGTCGACCACTCTGGGTACAGTCCTTCCTGATTGGTCCGACCATACCGCGAATGGCCATGTTCGAGAGCGTGCTGTTCGCCATAATCGACTATTGCAAGAATTCGTCGATATAGGCGCAATATTGGGGCGCATTTACACCACCTGTGCCTCCACACAACGCGTAAAACAGCTCGCATGCTCTGTCATGCAATGAACTGACTGGTCCTACACTTTTCCAAAACAAGGTTTTCGTAAAAGTGACTCGGGACGCTTGACGTGTTTGCAGGACACACCTGACGAAAATCGTTCTCCTCTTCTTCAGACCACTATCCTCATGTCCTATGTTCAGGTAATGTTCGAAATTACCCCACAACAGTGCACCTGTTCCACCGAGAAAGCCATCGACGATCACGACAGGTATCGGTTCGTCTTGCGGTCTTGGGACACCCACCTCGCAGGGGGATTTGTGGTCTACAGCGCCTGGCATGAGGGGGATTGTTACACGACACTTCTATGTAAGAAGAAGAGGTAAACGAGCGAGCACCTTTCTTAATAATGTATCAGTAGGACCATTTCCGATGTCACGATGGAAGGAAACCGAGGAGCATCACCAGAAGGTCTCGATCGCGGACTTTCATTGTCGACGGAATATGCCAACGATACCTCGATCAAGGCACCGAGCACTATGCCTGGACAAGTGTTGATAACGGTACCTCAGTTGAGAATGGCTCAAAAAACAAATATCGCTGACCTAGATTTTTGTAGGAGCAAGAATAGATACCATATTAAACGATGTCAAGTTTTAGGTCAGTGATGGCTTATTTTTTGAGCCGAGCCGTTCTCAACTGAGGTACCTTTATCAACACCTGTTCAGGCACACTCTGTTTACTTCGTCACTCACATAAACGCATAAAACGTTGAACCTGAAGCTCACAGGTAATTCGTACGCAAAAATCAAGGTAATCTGGGGACCCCTTCAATCAGGGTCATCACTGTATTGCTTCAAGCAAAAAATCGTTCTAGAAACCTATCGAAAATAATTAAATGAGGTGCTATGAGTGTGCAGAGAGAAAGACAGTTCTTGAAGGTTATACTTGTGATACTCGTGTTTCAATCCTCAACGATTCACGCTCAAAGAATTGCGTGAATAGTTGTTAGGATTCAGATGCAGTGACTTGTAAACAAAAGAAGAAAAAATAAAGAAAAAAAAAGGTTCACTGTGTCCCAACAAAAAAAGTCATAACGTCATCGAAGGAGTGATTGGTATGTGTCGTGAGAAGAAGGATATCATATTTGCCAGGGAATGGGAAGAATGCAAGGGGGGATTAATGTCGAGATATGCAGGGTTTTGTAAAATAGTCATTGCGAGAATAAAATGGAATAGGGTCATAGAAAGTCGTCCTGCCCATGAGAGCATGATTAAGCACAAACAGGACAGGGACATAGCGCTAGAACACGTACACATAGTAGGGGTCGGTACAAACAGTCGTCATAGATATGTGCATATGTCAAATTAGTGCCAGACTCGTCGGCAGAGGTAGTGGCGATTAAATGCGGGTGTAAAGTGCGGATGCATAGTACACTATAGGGGTTAAAGCGCTCAGCAACTGTAGGCATTTGAGTGACCGTAAAGGGACACACCTTACAAAGGGTGATGATGGGTAAAGTTGGTATGTATTTGATTTTTTTAGGGTCGTTTGTTTCCAGAAAACCATGACAGGTATACACTTCCGACACTGGCAATATGTACTTTAGCGCGGACACGACAAACCTACGTGACCATAGTCAGTGGAGATACGAGAGCAAGGATAGGAACAGATAGCATACAGTGTCTGCGACTTCAGCCTTGCGAAAATTTACATGTAAATCACCATTAGGCATTCTAGTAATTTGGTCGACTTCACCAAACGACTGAGAGACATATATCAGCAACAGCTTGATGTAGGGTATGATGAAAGTGGTTACCTGACACCACCTCGTGGCGGCCTCTAGTCTCCTTGAATCATTGAACCCAATACCACTTATGACCAGTTTCTTCTTTTTACTGCGGGTATGGCTGCTAATAGATGAAAGCGACACCCTGCTCTTGCCAGGATCCTTGTACACGATGTGAGGTTGAGAAGGATCATGTTCCTCAATGACAACGGCGGTGTGATTTGACTTTGCCTTCGTCACGAACGGCAAGCGGATGGTGCTTGCCTTGTGTGCAAGTGACGACGGCGAGCTCTGTGGGTCGGCCAGGTGCGGAGCAGAGAGTGGGAGGGGCCAGAGTGCCGGTGTTGAAGCTGAAGCAGTATCCGCTTTGAACAGCGACCGTGACGAGGGCTTCGGAGAACGCGCACGAGAACGGAGAGAGTTGAGGAAGATCGTTTTCTGGGGCGTCGAAGATAGATGGGGCATGTCAGTTTCGTCGTAAGTCGTGGTAGTGGGAGTGGTGAACGAGGACTGGGTGTTGGACGAAGATATACTGGGGCGTGACGGGTTAGACTGAGAGTCGGGGCTCAGAAACTGGGTGTCGGTGACGGAAGAGGACGAGAAATGTCCGAGGACACTTGGCCGCCAGCGCCAAGGCGATGAGGACGACCCTGGGGACCCAGAAGGACCATCGGAAGAGGTGACAGAGTGAGGATGGAGGGTCTGTAGACTTGTGGATCGGGAGTGTTGACACCCATTATTCGCGCCCGAGTTTGAATTGGGATGCGGAGACCTTTGAAACATGGATAAGCGAGATGGACTCCGAGATGCCGAAGAGGCTGCAGACGGGGAGGCCGAGCGGAGTGACAGCTGAAAATTGCGTATTGAGGGTGGTGTGTGGGTGATTCTTAGTGTCGAGCGAGGAGTCGACGTATCTTTGGGCACGGAATGATCTACAGAAGTCTGCGATAAGGAGATACGGAGGATGATTAGATAGAGGTCCAAAATAGAGAACTAAATGTATAGTGATGACGTACCTGAGATTCGCCAGACTCCACTGGGGGATAATCGTGGCTTTCATCCAAGATAACGTAGCTGTGCATGCTACCAGCGTCGTCGAAGCTGTTGCGCAGCGCAGCGCCACTCAGATGAGGATAAGCCAGGTATGGGTTACATTCGGTACCGACGCCTTGGACGTCATCTGAGATGTCAAAGTCGAGATCTGCCTGCGACGACTTTGGCGAAACATGACTTTGTTGTTCTTGGAGCCAGCGCGAGAGATGACTTGAGCGACGGCGGAGAGTCCTGCTGGAACGTTTCACTTGGAGAAAGAGGTCGTCGCGGGAGACGCGGGAGAGACCAGACGCGTCCATTCTGCGAACAGTCGTGCCAGAAGATGGGGAACCGGGGCAAACTGGAGGGTGCTCTTTATAAAGCAGCAAATTGAAAGGAAACACATGGGTGATGTCAGTACCGATTGTATCTCGATATATTACAAGTTGCCACATACTGATACTGTCGATGTCGGTCATTTGGGGCTCATTTGTATCGTTAGAAAATAGTTGTGCAGAAGTAGAAGCTGATGTTTGGAGAGAAGCGAGAGAACACGGTTGTTCTGGTTCAGAGATGTTTGACGTCTGCATTGATTGATAGTTGTTGAACGAGGTGCAGGCCAAGTTGGATAGAGTACAGAACACAAAATGGAATACTGGGCTGACGTTGGAGAAAAGGATGGCGGAGAAGTAAGTGGAAAATGGGGTATTATTGGAGAAAAAGCATGGAAAGATGGGAGGATATGAACGTTATATGAACGAGGCAGGCTGAGACAGAAACAAGAAACGATGCACTCCAAATTCGGTTCGTTGAACAGGAACGTGGCCGCCAATTTTTAGCTCTGCTGCCGAGTCTCCCATGCTCCCTCAGTTCATGACCAGCTGTGTACGCCATTATATTCAGATCTGTCCTCCAACGACGCACTGTCCTGCGATAATCAGGCAACGATATAAAGCGTTTCCGTGTCATCACTGGCATCTCCCACCGCTGTCACTCACCTGTCAATTACTAGCTCTCTTTTATTTAAAGCTTATGAGATACCTGCATCGCGTCCTTTCCAACAGATAAAGCAACAGGCGGCCTAGCGTCGATCTAGGCGATCCCACTTGTGAATTTGTGAATGCAGAAAAAACATTCATGTCTCAAATCTTGGGCGCTACCACAGGCGCCCGATATGACCCACCCAGCTGTCCATCGTACCCCGCACTCGGAGACATATTCCTTGAATCTTAAAAGGAAAACCGACCCTTTCCTGTACTCCTGTCTCTTAATCCTGTAGAAATATGGCGACCGCGGTTCAGCGTCTGGATTATAGCGCCATAGGTCTGGTGAATCCACGAGCGGAAAGGTCTGAAAAAGCTATTGATACATCCTTTCATTCCTGTATATATTACGCGTACAGATACTCTTCACTCTATAGTTTTGTGCACCACCTGCGAAGGCCGGAACATGAGGATCCTTGTCCACGCCGACGTAATCGCCGACACACTCGCCTATCCTCACAATTTATATCAATGCAAGCTGTAAATGAAGACCGACTCGGAAACGCCGCCAGCCTGGAGCGAGCTTGTGTCACCTCGTATTCGCCTCTGAGCTAGATTGCTCCACGCCGGGTAGCGTCTGAATGAGTTTCTGTGTAATCGCCGTGAATAGATTCGCAGATGACGTCTTCTGGTATCGCTGCAGCAGTTCAAACGACTTGTCGCTGCTCTCATTCGACGTTGGTTCGACCTCCGCAGCGTCCAACAATGTCACCAGCTCTGTGTCCACAGGCATGCTTCCCAAGAATGGCAGCCCTTCTCGTCTAGCCATCTCCTCGCCACCGCCAGTGGAGAACACGTTGCTGATTTCCCCGCAGCATGGACAGACGTACCCACTCATATTCTCGATCAGCCCAAGGACAGGAAGAGACACGGTCCGAGTGAATGAAAGACACTTCATTGCATCTATTAGCGCGACAGCTTGTGGTGTAGTCACAATAACAGCAGATAGGCGTGAGTGTACGGGAGCAAGGTGCTCTAATAACGATAAATGTTCGTCAGACGTCCCTACTTGCGTTTAACACACTGCTCAGGAGAGTACAAAACCATATAAACGCACCTGGCGGTGTATCAATTACCAAATAATCAAGGTCACCCCATCTCACATCACTTAGGAACTGCCTGATCATCGCGTTTTTCTTTGGTCCTCTCCACACGACCGAATCTCCCTTCTTCTTCAGCAAGAATCCAACACTCATACATGACAGTCTCGGCTCTCCATCTCCACGCGTATCAGCGTACACGGGGACCCATCCGTCACTACTTTGATGTACACCATGCCCGTCGAGACCCAGCATGCGCGGGATCGATGGTCCCGTGAGATCGACGTCGAGGATGCCAACGCGAGCGGTCGGCGACGAGGCGCGTAAGCTGAGGGCCAGTTGAGCAGAAACAGATGACTTTCCGACGCCACCTTTGCCTGAACAGACGATGATGATGTGTTTGACGGATTTCAGCCGTCGAGATACGGGTGTTTCTTGGATGTCCATGGTCGACGTCGCAGCCTGAGGGAGAAAAGCTGAGTAAACCGGACAGATAAAGATCGGATTTCGGAATGATATATCTACATTTGAGTCACAGGTCGTGGGAAAAGATAAATTAGCTCCTATCCATGCCAAGGAACGAGCGCCCACAGTATCATATATATACAAGACACGTTTACAGTCTTCCCCCGTCATCTCTCCTTATCGATGGCACCTGCGAGGGAAAAAGTCAAACGCCCTTCAGCTGCTCAAAAGGGCAAAGAAACTGTCGTCCAAAAATCATGGATCACGGACATGCCTTTGGATGTCTTATTTGAGGTGGGAAGAACACATCTCATCCTCGTCGCTCTGATTTTAAATGACATTCTTTCTAGATTTTCAAATACGTGGAACCTTTAACATTGTCGAATCTCACAAGGACTTCAAAAGGCTTTCGTGCACTCCTGCTGAATCGCTCCAAAGCATGTCGCGTCTGGCAAGACGTTCTCGCAGGAGTTGAAGGTCTGCCACCAGCCTCTCAATATTATCTCAGTGAGCCCGCATACGCTCATTTGATATATGTACCAATATGTCATGTACGCTTCTGTTGCAATATGGTGGTTCAGGTTGGCCACTTGTTCTAATGAAGTTCTGTGTAGGGATGTTATGAAACCCAGTGCGACTCCGTCATTTGGAGCTTTCGTGCGCGCATCTGTGCAAAATGCATTCCATCAATGTAATGAACATTTTTTACTGTTGGTCCCTTGGATTCTTTGCTAATATTGTTTAGGTGTTGCGACATCGCATCGTTTAACAGTCTTGTCTCTAGTTCTCTCAGGAAACATGTCGAAAGATCTCAATCTCAATATGTGCTCCTTCCATACAGCCCAATTCGGAGATGTATGTGGATCTTCATAATAGATATTTCTACGCCAGATACTCATACCCTGAGTAGTAGGTGATGCACCTCGTTGCTACCTCCATGATGTCAGGCAACTCCAAGAACAGTTCAATGCTTTACCCAAAAAAAAAGGCGAACTAGTCGGTGACTTCTTTCGTCAACGCATCTTCCTTACCTCAACAATCGGTAATGTAAGCATATATTACATGCGCTGAGTTTTTCACTTACGCCCTCCACTGTAGCACGCACGACTGTGTGCGTACTGGGAGGAAAGACTAACACGGATCCGTGAAAGTGAAATCAGAAGGCTCATTTACAAGAGACGGGTTGAGTATGTATTTTTCAAAGCTTTTTTCAAGTTGTTATTTATGCAAAGTATAATCTTTGAATTTAAGGATCGAACACAGGTTGACAAAAACTGGATGGGGCGGAGAACTGTCCTATATTAAGGGAGACTATGGTAGCGAATTTACATTTTCTTTACTTCCTGAGGTCAATAAAGCTGAAAAGCTCGATAATAGGAGTAAGTTGTTCAATCGATGATATTTCCTGTTTCTGACAATGCATATATTCCGTAGAATGGCGAAATATCCATCCAAAATTGTTCGATTACATGATGAAACATAGCTTGTCCCGTATGAAAGAGCCTCAAGAATCAGCTTTGCGAGCGCGTTTTATAAAGCTAGATACGCTCATCAAAGATGCTCCGAGGGACATTGAGCTTGATTTCTATCCACGTTTAATAGACATTTGCCAATTCCCCAAAGTCCAACAATTACTGGATGTGGGGTACAGGGTCGAGGTGGATTGCGAACACCTGCAGAAAGAACTCAAGTTGATTCTGCCCGGTCTCATGGAAGAGTGGCATGAGGATGTCATGGAAGAATTCGAAGATCACCTGCGCTCCAATTTCAAAGCTCTCAAAGCTCGTAAAGACATCAACGTTCGTGAACTAGCCGCATTGACGTTCACTTGCGAACAATGCTGGACTACTCTGCAGTATCCCATGGTCCTCGGTCACAGCTGCCTGTATCAGATCTATAGTGCGTCGCCCACCATGCCGAACCAAGACTGCGGAGCTGTCGGGGAGACTTTGTATGCGGAAATTGCCAAAGAGAAGTGTGAATCTTTTCCTTGGTCCTGCAAGATGATACGACCTACCAAGTGGAATGATCGAGTACAGAACTTATTTGAAGTATGCGGTCAAGATCCTAGAAGGGCCAGTTTGGAAGATCTGGATAAACAAGATGCAAGGGTTTTCTGCAATATGTGCCGCCGCCGTCGAGGGCGATTAGTGATGACTTGGCGAGCTGCAGTAAGGAAAAATGCAATTTCATCATAGGTCAAATTCACTGATGCATCTATTTCAAGTTTAACCACTGTCATTCGCATCATAAGAGAGCTGAGCCTTCATCGGTGACATGGTCGCTTGTGACAGGCGAAGAAGAAAAACAAGCAAGAGAACTAGAGGAATCCTGTATGGATAAGGCCATACTGAAATATGAAAAAGAACCGCATTGGACTTGCCTCGGTTGTCCATACGTAGCTTCGAAGGGAGACGTGATTGCTCATAACTTCGCTGAGTGAGTTGGCTCGGTGCACTTCTAGGAATGTGTCTTCAACCATCATATTAAATGACTCGGAGCAGACACGAAATTTCTCCTGGGGACGTTGTGGAAGGCAAGGATTACCACCGAATGATAGGCTCGCCACCATTCGCAATCAAACCAGTGGTGGTCTACCCCAAAAGGATCAGCAACAGGGGAGAATAATCCGCGCCCAATACTATTAGAGGTCACTGGAGGAGGGGTAAGCGGATTATGCGCGGACCGTTTGAACTCGATTAGTCTCCTCTGAGCAGACTGATCGCGGAGTGAGAATCGTGTCGTTAAGGAAGATCCTGACCGTCGGTACTATCGTTGGTGTCGTGCTGTATCTCTAGCAACATTCAGTGGTAGCCTCTGCCTCGATCCGAGAATACTTCAAGCCGTGTAATCACAACTGAATTTCATGATGAACTGTAGCGTTTAAATTCGCAGGTGAAACATCACATATACACAATTTTAAGATGCTATATGATACGCAACTGCAAAATGTGATTCATGTCGAATCCCACTTTCTTCCCCAGACCCAATGGGTGTATGGTTGTCCATCTACTAAGAAGAAACTCGTCTGAACGAATAACTCTTGAGGTTACCCCAGTATCTAACGTGATACAGTTGTCGTACTGCATCTGACAAAAATAAGTTCCTGTGGCGAGATACGATGTGTTCACTGACCCACATCTAAGCCAACAACCATATCAAGTCAACGACTATATTAATACTATCGGTATCATGACACTAACAATACATGCAGGAGATAAAGACCATTGAAGTACTGTACCCACTGTAAGCCAATCAAATCGAAGAATGGAAAGGGAAATATATAAGCCTCAGGTGCTGTTTGGGCGCCAAAACAAAGCTGGAGAAGAGATTGAGATGGGTTTTTGTCTGAAGCCTCTACACCCCTAACAGGAGTAATTGATCCGCATATACAGTATAGCACCTACTTTTCACAAGCTTGATGAACTTCCGCCTTCCATAGCGCTAGAATGTACGAGAGGTTGAAAACAGGAAGGAGTGACGCGGAAGGATATCTGGATTTGTGAAAGAAGGCTTCCGCAAAAACTGTTGAACCAGCTGAAAAAATGAACGGATCATCGACTATTGTGTAGTCGCGGCGTTAATTGACATTTTACAGGATTAAACCAAAAGGAGTGGACTCAATTCCATATGTTCAATATGGTGAGTGTCTTCGCCATTGGCTAAATGTCCAGCCAGGAGTCCGTATATAATAGAAGTGTTTGTTTACGTCCAGAAGAAGGTTGGAAAAGGATCAGCTGAAGCCATAACGACGCAATAAGTGAAAATCAAGCGTTCGACACTCTGAATTTCCGTGATCGGTCTTCTAGGTGTGGGATGCATATACAAAGGACGTTCCAGAGAGTCTGATACGGGAATGGTAAGAACCTAGGACTAGGATAGCTGAGAACCGTGCATACCTTTTCGAGTTATCGCGCATGTACAAAGTTCATCTCGTACTTGTTCCGTACTTGTGCCCTTGCCACGATCACAGCATAAGAGGTGACAAAAAATCGTGGATGTGGCAGCTGTCTCAGAGATAAGAGATACTTTGACGAGTTCCACGCTGGAGGCAATGAGCCCACTTTCATTGGCAGAGATTAACCGTCATAGGGCACGTGGTCGAAGGTGTTCCGTGTGTTTGTTTCGTTTTGTGTTTCGTTTCCGTTTTTCTTTGAACTCTCCGTATATATAGCAGACGATGCCACCGATGTGTGTAACAAGTCTCGAATGGAACGCAGACTATAAATCCTTGGAAGTCACGTCTATGATTGGCTACAGATAACTGGTGTAACACTGAAGGGTTGCGAGTTGACCGCACGCACCCAACATTGGGTGAAACAATGGGAGCGCTGTGACACACCGAAGTTTCATCTGGCTGAGGAAGAGTGCGAGATATCTGGCATACGGATGGCTCTAGCTGGGTAGAATTACGTTCCCGCAGCGTTGCTGGGAATCACAAGGCTCAGCGGGTGGTGTACTATGTCCCTCAGAAGCTGTACTACGCCCGCGTAGTCTCCACTTGTGTGGCAGGCGGTACAGAGTTGCTCTAGTCTATGTAGGCTGTGAATGTAGTTTCATGTCAGAGATGACAATGTCATTGACAATAACCAAAGTGCAAGCCAAGTGTGTGGAGGTGGCAACGACCGGGTGGCAGTTCTTTTAGCGGCCGTACTGAAATGTAATAGGCATCTTTCTTCTGGCCACCCTTTTCAGTTCAGCTTTGCCATCCGACGTTCGTTTGTTCTTTCATTCATCTTTCTTTCTTCCCAGCTTTGCTTTCTCCTTTTCCTTTATACCCGTGCCTACCCAGGTCGTTTTATGGAGGCTCCATCGTTGATCCTCGTTCCCCCGTCTTCAAACTTCCCCAATCCATCGCCGTCCTCCTCAGTCCCAGAGCTTACCCAGACTCCAATCGACCAGGAGCGCAGCTCGTCAGAGACGACAATATTCACAATTTACTCAATGTATGGCGACGACGACGCTCGGGCCAGCTGGTCTGCTTCAGCCTTCGACGACAATTCGAAGGAGCTCGACCTGTCGCTGTCAGACAACTTCAGTTATCACAATTCTTTCTTAAAGGCCAGTCCACACACGTCAACCCTGACAAGCGATACGACATACATCGATCTCTCCTCCGACGTCCAGCCATTCTCCAAACTCTCCAGTCCACATCACCTGCCGCGCGATTCAGCCACCTCCAACGGCTCCGCCCATTTGCCTCCCTCCCGTCCAGGCTCAAACTATGCCACGTCCCTCAACATTAATGGAAAGGATTCTTTGGTTCTTCCTCCTCGAGACTCTGCATCCGCAATACAAAAACGTCCCCGTGGCACGATGGCATCGTATGGCTCATCTGCTACTGACAGTATACCACCCAGTCTTGCACACCCAAGATCCCCTCACAGTCGTCCACCATCAGCTTTACGGCGATCAGAGTCGCCTGGTGGCGAACGTGCGCTTACTATAACTACTCCACAGTCCTCTGTTCCTCACGGTGTCCCGCTCACCCCTCAATCGCCTTCCTCGTCTCCAACGAAACAACGGTCGAAGCTTAGTTCACCTTCCAGCAAAACGTCTCTCGTACCGTCCGAAGGCGAAGATCTTGATGCATTCCATGTGCGAAGCACATATGCACAGCTGGAACTCACAGGAGTCAAAGGTGATGGGTATGAAGAAGGCGTGGAGCGTACACGGGCTCGAGTAAACACCAGCAGGCTAAGCGAGTTGAGAGCCGAGGAGGCTCTCGCAGATCGTTCAGAGAAAACAAGAGATCTCAGCATGCAGGAAATTCGTACCTTGTCCAGTTTGGATCGGTAAGTGCCCCTTTAGGATAATGATAGATATGCCCTCTCAAAAGTTCAATATTGTATCAGCTATGGTTTCTTTGTCTCGTCTTTGCATGATCGTTTGGTGCAGCTTCCTTCTCTTCCGTTTTCCAAACGGTTGACAAGGGTAACTGCGGGTCCTAAAGGTGCTCCAGCCAATGCCCTATCATTGGATGCTCTCCCAGCTATACCATCTCCTCTCAAAGAAAAATCGCGAATCGCGAAATGGGGGAGGATGCTCGAAGTTCGCAGTCGGGACAAAGGCGGGAACGTCGAAACATGGGGTATCAATGTTTCGAAGGAACGCAAGTTAAGGGAGCGAGTATACAAGGGCATTCCTGATAGATGGAGGGGTGCCGTCTGGGAAATTCTTATGAACCGCATCTCTCAAAGTGGGCATAAAGAGCTAGGGCAGCTCGAAAAGGCATATTGGGAGGAACTGGAAAAGGCCTCGACCTACGATATACAGATTGATCTGGATGTGCCGAGGACAATCAATGGCCATATTCTGTTCCGCACCAGATATGGTTCAGGGTATGTTGAACATTGAATCCTTTCTTTATAGTTCGATGAGTCTGATAATTCTATAGCCAACGCTCTCTGTTCCGTGTTCTCCATGCCTTCTCACTGCGCTGCTCACATTGCGGATATGTTCAGGGCATGGGCCCTATTGCTGCCACCTTTCTGTGTTACTTCCAACCCGAACGCGTCTATGCTTCCCTTGTCCGCCTTCACGATTCGTATCTCATGCATACAATCTTCAGTCCAGGATTTCCTGGTCTGCTAGAAGCTATTTACGTCCAAGAGCGGACTATAGAGTTCATGATGCCCGATGTTTATGCTGCATTCAAGGAACATACCATCTCGACCACGTCCTATGCCACAAAATGGTATATCACACTGTTTGCAAATTCAGTGCCGTTCCAAACACAACTGCGGTTATGGGATGCCTACCTTTTTGATGGCCAAGATGTGTTCGTGGCTGTCGCTGTTGCGATCGTATGGGTATATCGAGGTCTGTTTATTCCCCCTACACCTCGGTTTTGACTGTTTATTTATTTACTTCGCTGTACAGACCAGATAACGTCGAGCTCTGCCAGCTTCGAGACAGTGCTCTCCTTGCTCTCCTCTTTCTTTGTTCCCGAAGATGAGGACTCGCTCTTATTCTGGATCGAGAACATGCTTGGTGACAAGAAGCTTAGGTCACGCATGGATCAATGGAGAATCGACTGGAAACAGCTCGTTGCAACGGGACAAGATAGTAAAGCCTTACTATAATCCCGCTTTGGTTCTCCACACATCGTATGTGCCCGTCTTGTTGCCCAAATTTCGCTTTCACGATAGTCTTTGCATGGCCGCTCTGGTATATATTGTGACTCAACCATTGGTCATTTGTATCACTCACTTGCATTTGGAATGAACGATTTGCTTAGTGCAATGCATACACACTTAATAGCTCTAATTGGTTAATCCCATTCATGGAATTGTTTTATTTGTGTATCATCAACAGAATTTTATACATCGTTTTTGAAAGGCTAGGAAATGGAAGATCGTGAAAATCAGTAATCTTATCGCGAGTACATTGCATCTGATCAAGGGATTCAAGTTTGCTAGTAGATACAACGTTTGCTATCGACTTGCACAAAAAAATCAAGGTTCAAAAAAATCAAAGGTATATCAGTAGTACAGTAACATAGCATGCTCCATCAGAATGGATCCCAAAATTAAATTGTGTTTACATTAAAAATCGGAATCAAAGTTTCCATTGTTTCCCATCTCCTCAAGTTCACTATCGGCAAGCAGACAGTCGGCGTACATCTGTCAAAACCCACTATGATAAGCTACGAAACACGGTGTCAGAGTCACGACTTACATCTAACGATTCGGAAATTTCCTGATTGGAAATGGAGGGCCCAGAGTTTTTGTTTGTCATGATATCTTCTGAAGTGGTAGTCGTGGTTTCCATAATTTTCCGTAGTCGCTCCCAATTCCGTTCGGGCACTGGTGGTAATACGGTGCCCATGTTGGCCAAGCGGTCCGCATGTTCGTTGCCTTCGTGACCATTGTGGCCCCGGACGTACTTTAGTCTGACCTTTTGCCCCTTGCGCCGACGTGTTTCGAGTAGGGAGGCAAGATACTGTATCAGAGGCGCATTTTTTACTGGTGTTCCATTTGATGTCTTAAAGCCATTCGAGCTCCATTTTGGGAACCACAGCTCGAAACCTGGATGATCAATAAGCCACATCGCCCAGATAATTAGAATTTCAGTAAACGGACATTTTATTGAGTACTGCGAATCAGTCTTGATCACGAGTGTCCGTTTGCTTGTTGGTGTGGTCTCCAATATCCGCACAATAGCCTGTAAGAGCGTGTCGGTCATTTGAAAGATTTGAAATGTGAAAAAGCGTGGATATTGTGATGGAAAAACAGCTCACAATGAGTTCTGCTCGATTATTTGTTTGATCGCCTGGACACCGCTCTATGATATTTCTGATTGGTACATGAGCGTTCGTGAGGCATTCAGTAATTATTGAATGGAAAGCCACTGACCGCGGATCGTTGACCCCCCACCACACGCCAACTCCAGCTATCGATCCCACTTGACCGTTCCCTTTGCACGCCCCATCACAATACACGACATCACAGTCCCGCTCATCTGCATCCACGGCGACTGCGGCAACTTGGACAACACGCGTCTTCTCATAGGCTGTAAACGCAGTAGAGGCACTAGCGGCAGCCACTGTCCGAGTCGATGTTCCTTCAGTCTCGACGCGTCTCGTCTCCCTTGCAGAGTCGAGTATGCTTGTCACGCCAACTTCAGGGTTACTCCGTCCTTCTGCGAATTTCTCGGCTTCCGTAGAGGTACTGAATTTTTTGTAGACCGCTCCAGCAAACCCCTTGATTTGCGCTTCGCAATCCTCCCTACGGTTCAGACATCCCATTAAGCACTCAGTCTGGGTATCTGGATAAACCTATGATTGCATACCAGGTATGATAAACTCCAGGACTGCGCCCTTTTCGGACAGCATAAAATCCACCCTTGACCTTGGGCATCTCAAGAACCTGAGAGCCTGACAGGTCCACCCAAATCGTACGGGCCCTGGTAAACTGAAAAGGCCAGGGTAAAGATGATCTCAGAGTCAGCGTGTTCCCTCTGTTTACAAGAGCAAAATGGGTGAGAGGTAGCAACTTGTATCTGTAGAACGATATGATGGTTCGGTAGAAGAACGGTAATGTGGCCAGGACTGGATATTCAAGTTCACTTTACAGGTTTCACGTGAACCAAGCTTGCAGGTGCCACTATATAAGCCCTAACCTTATTCTAGGTGTGCGGCATTACTCGGCATTACTCGGTCAGGGCGTCTAATTCACCATCAATTGATCGTCGGTTGGCTTTTTCAACGCTTGGTAAGTTGGTAAGCCTCTCCGCAGACATTTCCAGCTGAACAAGCGAAACATTGTTATTGGCCGATACTTGGCCGATTCCGTTTTTTGTTGTTATATAGCTGCTACGGAACGTTCGGGTGTCCGTCGAGTCATCATATAAAACGCCATTCTACCCGGATCCTACCACTAACTTGAAGGTCAACTTGAACTTGTTCTTACTATCGTGCTAAACTGTCTGGTGATTGGCCCACACTCGTCGCCATGATCCCAATCTTCAAGTCTTTGCGCAAAGGCGCCAGGAGATCTGCCGTTTCTGCCATTCGCTCTCGCCGCGAAAGTGTCGATCCCGAATTAAAGTTGCCTGAAACAGCTTCCCTTGTCATAATGATCGTCGCAAACATACTGCTCCAAGTAAGTTTGTCTATTTTGAAAACAGTCAACAAACGAGGTTTTTAATCGCACGGTCAGCTTTCCTTTTTTATAATCGTTTCGTCCTCGAATAAGTATGCCGAGTACTTGGGAGGGACCTCTACATTTTCTGGAATCGTCATCGGTATCCCGACCGTCGCCTCTGGTATTGTGCTGATACCCATGACCAGATATGACAAAGGTATGCCTCACCGACTTGCTCCCACTGCCAACTTATCACAATATTTTATAAGGGGGCTACAAGATGCCACTTCACGTCGCGTGTGGATTCTCGATCATAGGCCACATCTTATATGCGACTGCATACCAGGCGCATTTTCTGTATCTTATTCTTATCGGTCGTATCGTCGGTGGCGTCGCATTCTCTGGGTTCATGTACTGTAAACGATACTGCACCGATCCTCGCATCGTCGGTGTCCGTCGCAGGACCACACTCGCCAGCTGGCTTGTAATAGGTCAAGGCCTTGGAATGACCCTTGGTCCCTTCGCTGGTGGCTTGCTATACAAAATCGGTTTCGCGAACTCCGTTTTTAACGGCTTCACCAGTCCCGGATGGGTCATGGCTGGAGTTTGGGCCGTATTCTGGGTTTGTGTGACCGTCTGGTACAAGGATGTACCGACGGAATCCGACGACGTAGAACTGCGATCAGTAGGAGACCCGACTCCGTCTCCACAGCTCGAAAAAGCAGCTGGCAATGACAATTTGCCGGTCCTGGCCTCGTCATCTGCTCTCGAAGAGCCCGAGGTCGTTCCAGCCACCCCTGTAGCCCCTGTAGACGAAGCCCTCAATCAAAATCTGAGCAGCCAAATTTACCGTGTGACATCAGCCCAATGGGGTGTTATTGTATGCATGTGCTGGTTCGCGATGGCGAACTTCTTTATTCTGGGTTCCTGGGAAGCGAATCTCCCGGTCCTAGGTGCTAGCATGCCTCAACTCAACTGGTCGCCATATGCTGCCGGTAATTTCATTGCTTTGGGTGGAATCACGACGTTCCCTTTCCTCTTGGCCAACTTGCTTCTCTCACAGCGGTTGCAGGACCGAAAGCTGCTTGCCTTCGGATCGGCGGTTGGTCTCACTGGCCTGCTGATCGCCTTATCGCTCCTCCGTACCAGCAAGGTCAACTACGGGAGCCTTTTCGCGTGCTGGTGGCTAGTCGCACTAGGCTTCAACCTCGCCACCACCGTCACGCTGAGTCTGCTCAGTAAGCAACTTCCACCCGAGTGGAATGGACGGACATCTATGGCTATTCAATACAGCAACTACACGGGGAGGGTGACTGGAGCAGTCTGGGGCGGAAGTGGGGTGCGAGTGGGCATGCTGAACTTTGTTGGTGTCGAGATTGCCATCGTGGGGATTGGTGCTGTTCTCTTCATTGCTTTATGGCGGGATTTGAAGGCTAAGATGGGTTAGAGGCAGTTGGAGATGTGGTGATATCTTTTTGTGATGATAGAAGATGGGTTTCGAAAGCAAACGAGACTACGGTAACAAATTTCCAGTCCGAGTGAAATGACAGCTCAAACCGGTGTGCGCTGATTCTGTTCTAGTCGATCATAGAGTGATCATCTGAGTTGTTCTTTGTAGATCGATAACGTGTAATTACCGTCCCGTGAGCGGTAAGTCGCGGTCACATATGCAATGATATCTGTACCTTGCACCCTTACAAGAACATACAACATGGCCCAGTAAGGCGCGAGACAACTGTTAGAAATAGAACTTGCGATAACCTTTAATGACTTGTCTGTCAACACTAACCTTGAAGGGATCAAGGGCAAATAAATCCATCCCAAACTCAGAACAAGAAATCAAGAACGTGACTGTCAATCGCGGTGGACGCGCCTTGATATCCAAAAATGATAGCGGAAGACCTCGAGCTTTACTGAATCCGTACGTTTCCTTGTTCCACTTGAGGCAATGTGAACATGGCATCAGAAGATGGAAGGGAGCGCCAGGTTTACAGCAACGCGGGGTTACCATATGGGAACAAGGCTACGTCCAATTGTGGCCGTTACCTTGTACTCACATTTTTGTCCAACATTAGGTATTCTTCGCTTTCAAGCTACTGCGTTTGGTATATAAAATGTGCAAAGAGCCAAGGGTTCCCTTCACAGACCAGAATTGGTCCAACAGAAGCAGCAACAGCCAGTGCCTCACATTTAATACTACGACATCGTATTCCTTGCCTTTGCTCTGCCATCATAACACATCTACATTGCTATTGCTATTCCTACGCACCTTCACGACAGACGAGCATCCTCGCATTCACGAACAAGTCTGACCCAAGCAATATCCTGCACTTGAACAAACCAATTCTATTGAGCTTTTCATCTGCATAAGCTAGGAACACATACCACATCCTATACGACATCCTCGCCCTCTTCATTTATAACCATGTCTTCATACAACTACGCCTACACGTCTCCGCCCACCTCTCCCACGTATGGGTTCTTCCCCAGCGGCCCCGCTAGCCCTCACGCGTTCTCATCTTTCCACCAAGACCCGCGACAGACTCACAACATGTATGCTTCGCTCGGGTCTGCAATGGGTTATCAGAGCAGTGGGCATTCGTCGCAGAGCAGCCATAGCCACAGCCATCACCACAGTCACCAACGCAGCTCGAGCAGCAGCAGCAGCAACCCACTTAAAAAACTATATCGCAGATAATGATTTCTCTGCATTCACCGGCATGCTATACCCACTGTATCATAGACCATTCACTGTTGGGGAGTATTGGGGGAAGGGACGGGATCGGAGCTGTGGATTATTCCAGCGACATCTTCCTTGGCTAATTGTCATGTATCGAGGGAAGATGGGAAGAACGGGATAGGGGGGAGAAGCGAAGGGACGGTGCTGGCACAATCTCACGACTCCATATGCATTTCGACATTTACCACTGTTTCCATATAACGTAGACCTGTCATCACTGTATCTTTTATTGTTTCGCTCTGGATACCAACAAGACATTTACCCATTCCTAGAGAGTGATGCCTTGAGCTGTGTCGACGACTACGGATGACAATACGAGCTGTCAGGTAATGAAAAGGTGACTTCTCTGAACTGGTTTGCATGTCCAGTTCCAAAGGAGAGGTATCCTTGCAGAAGTATTCCTGGGCGGTGATTGCTGTCGTACGTATCAGGAATGGAAGATGAGGCTGTAGTCCAATTGCCAATGTTCGTTATACATAGAAAGCTCTCTCCATGGAGCAAGTTGGCGAGAGAGACGACTGCAGATGGGAAACAGGCTATCATTGTCAGGTTCCAGGTGAATATGATGGCCATATCAGAGTAACGTTACTGTAGCACAAGGCGAGAATTTGCATACTGTCTGTAGCCGCGACATGACTGGAACTGAAGACCTTTATTATTGTAGCCACATCGGGTTGGCATGGCGGACCGGAGACCTCTGCCACTTTTCTGTTATACGGGGGCAAAGATTCAGGTAGTACTTGGCCTTAAAATTCATTCTTGCCATCGCCGACAACGACGACCTCGACAATAACGCATTCATCACCATGGCTCCTTCCCGTGCCCCCTCAACGATGAACCCAGGAAATTCCAATACCGCCTACACGCTCTCCTTATTGTCTGAATACACCCATTCTCTCGATTCGCTGCCTCTGGACCTTTCTCGCAACTTTGCAGATCTCCGCGAGCTCGACGCCGTTCTGTCTTCTTCAGTAGCATCAATCACTGGAAAAATACAAAAACTGACGCGGATGATAGAAGAAAACACATCTCCAAAGCAAGAACGTCTCTTTTTGCTAGCAGAGATCGCGGAGGAGGCGACGCGTCTCAAGCTTGGGGGAGAGGATAAGATACGTGTCGCATCTCAGGCAGCTGATAACCTCAAGGGGCACACCGGTCATATGACAGCACTGCTGAGCCATATTCCTGCCCTTGATATGTCGATACTGAACCGGAAAACTACATATCCCCATGTTGCGCCCCGTTCATTCATGCCTCACACCACCATGGAGTCTGGAAGACGCAGAAGGGGTGCATATAGCTCTCTATTGGCTAGTGCACCGGATTTCAGCCCTGCGAAAAGAAAGAGGCAGCCAAGAGACGATGACCTCGACGGTGGGGGATCAAAGTCGCCACGCAAAGACAGGAGTGGTGATGCAACCACTCAAAGAGCTAGGAATGGTGCTCGTGCAAGAAAGTCAGTGATATCTGGTCTATCTGGCTTTATCCATCCCTAACTCGATTTTCTCATAGACCTGAGCGGGCTATATCTCCTGCAGAATCCATGGTGTCTGTCATCTCACACAACGTCACCCAGAACACACAAACTGCTGCTAATAACTCAAGATCTGGCGCTCAACATGCTTCAGGCCGGGCTGGAAATGCATCTGGTACGAACAAACGCACCAGACCGTCCGCTTCCAACCATCAGGATAATGACACTCCTTCGGAAGCAACCTCGGCCGCCCGTAGGGACATCTTCAACGCACCACCCTCTTCTTCCGTCTCACATCCGTCGCTGCCTTTACGCGGTGTCAATGTCTACGATCTACCAAGTGGTCATGCCATTCCACCAAGCGAGTGGGCTGGGCCTTTACCACCTGGCCAGCTCGAGGGCCCAGGTATGCCTGTGGCAAGGAGTACCGCCCCTGGGATGTCTATTGGCCCTGCAGGTGTTCTCACTCCAAATATCCCTCTCGGGTCGGGCGCAGGTACGCCCGTTGTGGCCGCAGCAGCGGCTGATGCCTTGACGGAAGCTGGCGATGGAGATGGCGAAGGGGATGATAGGACATACTGTTTCTGCGATGGCATCAGCTACGGAGAGATGATTGCTTGCGATGATGCGAGCTGTGAGCGAGAATGGGTGCGTGTTTTTTACTTGCTTGATCCTCATTTGGGGAGAGCTGATAGGCTTTTCGCAGTTCCATCTTGCTTGTATAGGCCTTTCAGTGCCCCCAGACGGGACATGGTATTGTGAAGTATGCAGAAACAAACAACGGAACGCCAAAAGGGGAGGAAGGGGAGGCAAGAGACGCTCAGGTGGGGCACGGTCGGGTGCGAAGGCAGCCAACGGTGCTTAGGATATATTCTCTCAGGCAGACATTTCATTTCAGAGCGGACGTTTACATTCATCTTGTCTTGTCCCCCGCTCATTGTAGCCATTTTCGATGTTCCATGTAAGACTTATCGTTGTACCAATATAATCTAGATTTCTTCGACACTATGCCGGGATAAAAGCTTGGAAACTGAATAAATTGTTATCGTATCTTCTACGGCAGCGCTTCTGTACACTTGTACGTGAATCATGTATACGACGCCTACAACCACTCTTTGCTCCCTTTGTGTGAGAGGAAAGCTCCAGTATCTGCTACGGTGATCTTGTTGATAACCTCTAGCTGCATCCTGACAGAAGTTTCAGGAGTAATGGGGCCTTCGAAATCAGGATAGAGAGTCCTGAACTTCTTCAACATCAGCGAGAATTCCGCTATTTCTTCCTGAGTTGCTATAAATCAAGCAAGTTATAACGTCTTCACAAACATAAACGAGGCTATGTCACTTACGAGGCTTCAGAGCAGTGTTAACAAGGCCAGGGCTCAAGGCGAGGAAAACAAAGCCTTGTGACTTGAACTTTGCCGCGTAAAATGCGACCACCATGTTCACGGCTGCCTTTGAGATCGAGTACGATGATGTTGCGTAGGTTTCGGACTTAACTATGAAGTCTGTATCGGCGAGGCCGGTGCTAATGGTAATGACTTTCTTAGCGTTGCCATTGCGGAGTAGAGGGAGGAAGATGTTGATGGTGTGTACGACGGCGATAGCGTTCACGTTGAACTATGACCACGGTGGTCAGGAACGATTTCGACACTCGTAAACTCAAGAATCAAACTTACACTATGAGAAAGGTCTCGTGTAAGATCTTCTTCCATGTGAGCAGGGCTGAAGATCTTATCAGCAATTGGATGGAAGTATAGTCGAGCGCGTTACTTACAATTCATCTAGATCATATTTGATCCTATCTCGGGCCTCTTCGCCGGCATAAGCAGCATTGTTGATCAAATGGTCCAGCGATCCTCCGGTGACCTTGGATATCTCTGCTGCTGCTGCCTAATGGGAAACTCAGTTGGAAATGTAGGCCAGACATCAATAAATGGTTATGTACCTTCAGGGTCTTGTTATCGGTGATATCCGCTTGAATGACGTAGACATTGCTTCTGCCTAGTTCCACGAGCTTGGTCGCGGTAGCCTTGTTGCGAACGAGGGCGAACACGGTGTTGGCAGAGTTGGCACTGAGCTGGTTGACATACTCATACTAATAGTGAAAACGTTGAGCTCAAAGAAACTTGAAAGTGGTAAAGGTATGGCACTTACTCCGATGCCCCGTGCTGCTCCTGTGATAGCGTATGAAGACATGTGGTAGGTGCTGGAAGGTTGTGTGGGTAGTAAGTAGGTGTAGGACTGGTTTGGACGATACCTTTCAGCTTATTTTCGACCTCGTTTTATACCCAGAGGAGGGGACTCTGTATACTAAGTGTCCTCGGGCTGACTCATTCCGTCATTTTTGCGGTCTTCCAATCAAGGTCTTTGAGGATTATTCATGATTTCTTCAGGGATATCTTTGCAAGGGCGTAGAGACAGGTTGGGACTCAGGCGGCGCCTATGCAATTGCGGCAAGTGGGACTGTGGAAGCTGTAGAGAAAACATACACCCGAAAAGGAAAGAACGCCCAGTACGTGCGACACCGGAGCGTCTCCCTTCCGGATCGAGGGTCTGCTTATGGGAGACCAGCGAGACAAGATCAACTCACAGCACAGCATTTTGTAGGCAGCTCACTTACGAAGAACATTGCATTATGTTGCCTCTGCAGATATGCGATTTAATCAGCTCTGTTTGAGGGTATTCTGGAGAACATGATGGATGAGCAATCACCGGCTCTGCTAGTACAATCGAGTTCCTTACTAATCATTTCCCTGTTGAATCGGGGAAAATATAGATTTTGAAGCAGAAACCGTGAAAGACATAACACCTGGCTGCAGGTCCCAGGTCCGTCCCAGTATATTAAGGAAACATTGTCGGATTCGTCAGAGCTCATCATGTTTCACCGTGGGCGCTAATCAGCAAAAACAATATTCGATATGAACTTACCTATATCTGCTCCACGAAAGTTTGCAACATCGACAACATGTAACCAATTGACTGCAAATAGCAGACATATCGCAAGTGCGAATTTCAAGATATTTGTACACGCGAAGAAATATAATATGTAGCTTGCGTACTGTAAGATGAATATGGGAGTGAGTGGGCATATCACCGCCTTTTTAAACCTCGGCCATCATCTAAGCCAGGTGAGCTACGTCGTTTCCTGAAGTATGAGTTAGCTATCGATCGAGCGACGATATATTAAAAATGTGCTCACCGACTTTGACCTCGATCCTCAGGCTCACCCGAAGGTGTCCGTCCACCCCCACCACCCGCGTTTCCTCCATAGTCCAGACCATCAACAGCGGGCGCATTCCCGTCCCTATCCTTGTACTTATTTTGGTTTCTCGGGCCTGTTGGAACATTAGGTGGAAGCGGCGAAGCAGGCCGGACTGGAGCTGGCGTCGCTGACACTCCTGGTTCTGCTTTGTGAGCTACCACAAATTCACATGGCATCAAGTGAACGACATACTGCTTTCATTGGCTCCTCCATACATTCCCCGGCCTCTACCTCGTCCAGGAAAACCACCACGTCCACGCATATTCTGTCCCATTGCACGTCCCCGGAATGGGCCAGTGGGTGCACCACGTCCACTAGGACCAGCAGTAGGACCAGGACCAGGGACAGGGACAGGGGTTCCACTACCCTCCATACCGGGGTACATTTGTTGTCCCATAGTTGCTTGCTCCTGCTTAAACACACATGGTTCATGCGATATTATGACATTATGTGTAGCTAGAATATGAAGGATTCAACCATACCTGCATACCGTAATCTCCTCCCATCCCCATTCCCATCATACCTGGCCCGGGGCCTCCTCCACCAAACCCATCCTGCATACCCATCTGCACGCCCTGTTCTGGCGTCCCGCTAGACCCTACAGGGCCTGCAGGTCCTGGCCCAGGAGCCTCTTGCATCATCGGCCCACCTGCCTGCATCTGCATTGCTAAATCACCGTTCATTCCCATTCCCATAGGACCCATGTTCATCGGACCCATCCCTGACATATCCATCATCGGATTCATACCAACAGCGGGGCCCATCATGTTTGGGTTGGGTCCAGCACCGGACATCATCGCGTTAGCACCAGTCATCACCATCGTACGCAGCTCTGGTGGAAGTGCTGTGAGCTGGTCCTCCGGCATACCCGCAAAGTTCTACAGAGTTCTGAGCACAGACAGGTAGGACGAGATAATGCAAACGTACAAGCACATTAGCCTTGAGTACATTAGCTAGCTCCCCTAAGTCACGCCTTCTATAACAATATGCTTCCCAAGAAATCTCATCAAACCCATAGTTAAACCAGTCACTGATATCCGACCCTGGCCGCCTCCACGGTTTCTCTGCCATGGCGTTGAGGTCTACTTCTAGGATAGAGCGTCCATCAAGTGTTCCAGGCAAAGAAGGGTTGATGGCAGGATGTGAAGGCGGGGCACTAGCTGGTGGAAGTGTCGAAGGGTCAGGTCCCTCGTCCATACGACTTCTGTCCTGCCCCTGAAGTTCGCCGCCAAGTTGTTGACTTGGTTGTAAGATACCAGGATAAATTGGGACGACAGGTTTGGTTGGAGCACCTCGTTCACGAGGGGTGTATTCGGTTGTTAAGGATGGTTGGGGGGCTTTATATGCGTCAGTGACAGGTGATTAAGGCAATGAAAAACATGTCAGACCTTTTATAGGCGTAACATTTGTGGCACTGACGGAGCGATTTTGAGGTCTGGATGGGGGGTTTGTATTTTGCCTAATAAAGGTGGTCAGAAAGAACGCTCGCGGCAAATCCGAAAGTGTACTACCGAAAGTCAAGGGAACGCGAGGCAGGTTCCATAATAATTTCAATATCCTGTCCATGTTCAGCTGGTGGTATGATGCTTTTGACAAGGAAAACGTACATCTTCACTTTCATCACCTTCTCCGTCTCCATCTTCTTCGGCATCTGCGTCTGCGTCTGCATCTGCATCTGCATCTGCATCGACATCTACATCGCCCTCCCCAGTGTCGTCGCCCCCTCCCTCGTCCATAAATGCTCTGTCGCCGGGTCCAAAAGGTATTTCTTCCTCCTCCTCTACTACAAGAGTTTCCATGCTTGAAAGCACTCCATTTGAAGACTTCACCGTCTCGAGAAAAATCCTGAGATAAACGTTGAGCAAAAGACAACCCGAGATTGTGATGGAGCATACTCACGGTTGGGAAACTAAGCACACACGATACGTCGAAATTTATGAGTTAAAATTCATATCATATTAACCATAGAAATACAACAGAAGTTAAGAAGTCTCTTTCGGAAACAAAACTCAGTCAACATGAACCAGCTCTCACCAGAAGTAGGTAAACCCAGCTTAGTCGGCTGTGGGTCATTAGTCTCCCCGTACAAGAATGCGTCGTCGTCTTCATCCCTGGAAGCTTACGGTCATTTATGTTTCTAGCATAATGTAGAATAACATACATTTCACAACAATTAACGCTTGCTGAGGTTGTACAAAAGCAAATGAGAGCGCGAAAGGCCAAGTCCGAAAACGAGCCTTCGTTACCCGTGTGACGTGACGTGTAACGCGTTATGTTACAGCATCCGTATTCCGCTCCGATGGCAGGCGGCGGCGGTTGTCAATTTATTCCAGCTTTCGCTTTTTAGCTTCAATGTTGTCTTTGTTGGCGACGCGCACGTCTGCGTCCTCCATAAAGCATTTCTTGTCTCGCACATATGTCGTATCTGTCAAACCACCTCGAGTATATGATGGAAAGCCAACACCACGGCGCTATGGAGTCAGAAAGACATTCCTCTACCACCAATACATGAGGATGCTCGAAGCCAGTGCAGACTCGCCCATGATATTTCTGCAGCACACCAATTTTACCGTACAGAGACTCCAAAAGCTGCGTCGAGACATCTCAGATGCATCCACCCGCTTGCCTCCTTCCCTTGCCTCGCCCACTCCAATTTCTGTGCCATCAGACCCGCCAACGCTGACAGTCATGCGCACGTCGCTTTTTGGTGTTGCGCTACGTGAATTTGCGCCAATGGATGCTACCACTACGTCAGAAATTGCGGATTTGGTTACAGGCAGTCTTGCTGTCCTTACACTGCCATCGCTCAACCCACCCCAGATGGATATCATCCTACGCGCATTAGACCGCGCTGTGCCCCGCAAAAAAACTCAGCCTGTGGAAAATAATAAAGCGAGGAAGCGGGAAGACGACCCTGACTTTGTTCCAGGTAGGAAGCCTCAGAGGGTGAAGCCAAATTTGACACCAGAGCTGTCTTTGGTTGGGGCTTTGATCGAGGGGCGGGTATTTGCAGCTGAGGGTACACGAGATGTGTCGAAGCTGCCCACCTTGGATACATTGAGAGCGCAGATTGTGGGACTTATCAGCTCACCTGCTACTCAAATAGCAGCGGTGCTGAGTGAGGCGAGCGGTGGAAGACTGGCGAGAACTTTGGAGGGTCTCAAAAAGGGCTTAGAGGAGCAACAGGGCGCAGAGTCGGAACCTTCATCATAGCACCAGTATTTATGGTTGACCTACACATATATTATTTCACCTATTGTGTGCTTAGAAGTTTCATTTGTGATGCTGAAACGTATTGCCATACTCGTGCACCATCATACATATATCATGATTGATCACGGAGACAAAATTCCCAAGTGCGATCCTCTCCTCCCTGTCCCGTCGTACCCTGGCCATTGACTCTTTCGCCTTTTGTCATCCGGTGTTCATATCCCTTCCATAGCTTCCTCTGAAAGACGAACGACCTGAAGATGGTATAGCGGGGTGGAGATGCCCCTGCGACTCCTCCCTTGGGAGGATTTTTAGCCAGCCGTGGAACATCCCTGGTAATACAATCAGTGATAAGAAAGGCCACCGAAAGTGAAATAGATCACCATTTCACGTATGGTTCAACATTTCGCAATGTGATGAGTACTGTTCCCCTTGCTCCGGTCGCAGGCGTTGAAGTCTCATCATCAGAAAACATCATCTCGTCCTCTGAAACTTTAACATCCTCCTCGTCTTCGTCATCATCATCTGCTTTCCGCTTTCTTTTGTGTCCCGCACTGATAACTGGCATGGGACCGATCGCAAGGAATTTGGCGGCAGAGCGAAAGAAATCAGATATCAGTATCTGGTGTGATAGGATATTTCGGTCCTGATCTGTTATACCCTTTCCTTATGATGCTTGTTAATAAAGATACGAACTACAAGTAATCTTCGGGACGTCGTACTTTACCTGAATGAGGAAAATTCCACACAATCCGATCCCATAGTTTGCCCTTGAACGTAGGTATCTTCTCGAGTTTCGTAGCATCAATCCCAAATAGCGTTTCGACCCCTTTATCTCTCAAAGTCTCCACTATTTCCTTCGCTTCTGGGTATTTAGCATAGCATTCCTCTTCAGAATCGTATGCAGTAGCAGTGATGTTTCTGGGCACTAGATGCTCCAATGACGATGGTGGATCGACGAGCAGTGCACGGGCAAAAGAGAAATTCCCTTCGCCAATGAGGAGTATTTTGTCGGTAGGCTTGAACGGTATCGTAGGTCTTTTTTTACTATTACGCTGTTGTTTCTGTTTTCCTTTCTGTTCAGTAACCTCGGCTGCATGGGCAGCTTTTTGTTTGTTCTTCAACCTTGTCTGTTGTGACTGCAAGGTTGACTTCAAGGACGCCTTCTTGCCAGATTTTCCATGGCCCATGGTGAATTTGGAGGGTAAGCCACAGATATACAAATATAGATCTCTCTCGAAGGAGGATAGTGTTTGTTTGGATCTAAAGCCTTTGGTAAACAAACGCCAGATACCCGTTATGGCAGGACACGTCACACAATGGATTCTATCCAAGCTTGAGCATTCCTAAATCACACGTCACTCGTTTCAGAACCTTCATATTGTTGCAAAATGGTAAGTTTCTCTGTTTTTATCATGCACCATAGCTCACTGATAGTTTCCAGCCTACGGAATTCGAGCTACGCAGAAAAAATGCTCAGTTTGCCAATGCAGTCCGTTCAGGGAAGAAAGCCGTGAAGCCTTCGCGCCAGGAGAGATTGTCGAAGCGCAGCCCCGTCAGCCTAGCGACTCTTGGTGTTATTCTATTTGTCGTTGTAGGAGGTGGTATGTACCTCTTGCTCGTTTATTATACAAACAGTGACCCATTTCGTTGTCACCAGTCATCTTTGAGCTTGTCAGACTGTTCTTCTAGTAAAAGTCACTCAAGTGCACTTCTATAAAAGGTAGCAAATATGGGCACTTCATGGTACTGGGTGGAACATAGGCATGTCACCACATTGTATTGCACACGGCTTTTCGAGATTCGTCATTCATTTTACAATCTGTTTTGTATATCAACGGTTACAGGGTTTGCCGTTGTGGATAGCACACGACACTTTAAAAAACACATACTCAGATACATTAACTATCTTCTTCCTCTCCATCACCTCCTGAAACACTGGCAGTTGCACTTATACTCATACTCTGGCTCCGCGCACTCGTTGCACCACTTGCGTTGGCACTTTTGGCACCCTCCAGGGCTGCTGCAGTCTCTACGCCTTCCATAGCCTCGCCCTCCAATTCTGTTTCATCAATTTTCACTTCATCGCCCGCCCACACTCGCATAGTGGGTTGCCAGACCATTACGACGTTATCTTCTGAAGTGCTCGAGAGTGTCCAGTTCTCATCTATGCCAGGTGCCCAGCAAAGGTCGCTGGGACGGGTTGTGTGACCTAAACACAATGATAGTTACTTAGCAAAGATATCAGGTTTTTGGCGTGGGACGTACCTCCGTGAACAAACATGAGCTCTGGAGGCCCATCTTCCTGGTCATCTGGAGTTTGCTCGACACCAATCTGGGATATGTCCCATATATTGATCCTCCTGTCGCTAGATGCTGATGCAAAGATGGCATCATCGTGTGGCGACCACGCCAGGTGTAATACTTCGTCCGTATGAGACTCGAAGACGTGTAGCTTTTTGGTGGGCGACCTGATGTCGTGGAGAATGATGGTCTATCAAGAGCAGATATATGAGCATGTCTTAAAAGCCATAGGAGAACCATACCTTATCCGCGCTCCCTGTGATCATCAAATGTTCTCTAGCAGGACTGAAAGCGCATGAGAGAACTTCTCGTTCGTGAGCTTGAACTTTTGTCACGGCATCAGTTGGCGTCCTTGTGTCCCAGCTGAACGGTGGTCAATACAAGGATAGTGCGTTACTTAATTTAAAACATACATCAATAGCATCTTGTCATCTCCCACACTGGCCAGTATGTTTTCTTTAGTTGAATGCCAATCCACATCCTAAGGTTGTGAAAATGGTGGCATATCACTCAGACTCGAGTAAATGCAAAGTTAGGGAACGACGTACCCCGACCACAGATGTATGGCCTCTAAACACGGTGGTGGGCTCAATCGTATTTTTCGCTTTAGTGTAGGAGTTAATATCCCTAACACATATAACTTTCAGTAAAGAGCATCAAAAGAACCACAGACAACGTACCAATGACAGACCGTCATATCTTCTGAAGCACCCAAGACGTGACCAGCCTTCGCGGGATTCCAAGCCAAACCATAGCTGTTGATACAATGACTTCCCCAGGTAGAAGTTCTCAGCAATCTAGACTTACCCTTCCTTTTGCTGTCCCACCAAACGTATGTCAGGCTTGCACACGCCTCCCCTTTCTGGCTCACTTGAATGCTTTGTACGATCAAACACGAGGACCTCCCCAGAAATGGCTTTCGTCGCTATCAGATCTGGGTTCTGGGGCATGTATCGAGCCTTGTTGACTTCGCCGTCATGATTGATTCTTTGGGTAATCTGAATGCGAGGTTGTGGTGGGATAGTGTGTCCGCCAAGCTCTCCGCGCTCATCGTCGTAGTCTGCGCGATCGAGCTTGTCGGCAGACACACCCTCACGTTTAGGTATCTGGACAGTCGCGATTCGAAGGTAATCCTGAGCCTGGCCGGACGTGTGAGTGCCGAGGAGAAGACGATGAACAGTGTATGGCTTATTTGGCGGCCTACACGAACGTTTCAGTGACAACGATAGAGCAAAGATAGGCAAACTACTTGCGATTCTTTGTCTGGGAACCACTGACAAGTGAGACTTGGCCAATCAAATGCATGGGTGATAACCATGTCATACAGGTAAGGAGCGTTCTTTTTCCTGGAAGAATCAGTTCCATCGCGTTGGTGAAAGTTAAAGGCCAGAATATCATTAGAAATACCATGTTTTGTACTCCTGCGAGTAAATTTCGAGAGTCCGTTATTGAGTTTCGATGAAGCAAATCATTCGTACCTCATTGATGAGCTTATTCTCTTCCTCAGCAATCAAATCATCCTCCATTTCATCTTGCACAGTTGGTCTCATCGTTCCGTAGATTTAGACGCAATAGAAACAAATATATCAGGGTTTGCGCCTTTCCGTGAACCTGGTTGTACAAATACGAAATACACCGAACACGCGCCAAGCTCTGTAGCGCGACTCAAATCCTATCTGTTCATAGGCATCTGAATCGCTGTGGCTCTTACTCAAAAATTATTCAAAAAAAATTAAGCCGGACTATACGATACTAAAGAAAAATTTACTATAGCATATGAGATCAAGAGGGGGATTTTGTGGTTTCATGTTGAGAGGCCAAAGATCGCTTTATCAAATTCTCTCAAGAGTTCTGCAGTAGAGCAACCTGGGTTATGGTAGGAAAACCAAGATGACTTCTTCTGGCAAGTCAAGAGGAGTTATACAATCTGCTACCCTAATCCATGCAATTTGCTCCACCAAAAAAAAAATTGTAACTGTTCGTGAGTGCGAACGAAAGACTCGATTAATGTCAAAGAGAGCGAGTGGCTGTCTCTACGAACAACGTATGCACAGTTCTATGGGTCGGCAAAGTCGAGGCTTCGCATGCATGGTCTAGAGGTATATTGTCGAGAGTATACAATTATTTCGATTCGCTCTCCCATTTTGCGACGAGCTTTTCCAGATCAAACCGCGGGTCTTCTGGGTCGGTAACAACTGAGGAAATAGATATCAATAATGACGCTTATATAGCCAGTAATAGTGATGCAAAAGCAATGTGTAGCAGGTGTTCCGTTCAAAGTGACAGAAACACAACGTCCTTCACACGATGTAACGAGTCGATTAAAGAAACGAGAGACTCACTGCCGTCACCCTTCGAGCTTTCTTGTTTGTTTTGCCATGCCTCCCTAGCCTGCACTATGAGTGCTTCTCTATGATGTATGGCATGATGCTCCTTTTGCTGGTCATGGGCTTTCTGCAACGACCGACGGTGGTAGATACCGTAGAAAACACCAGACAACAGGGCTGAATACCGCGCAACCTGTGTGATATCGTACAGACGCGTGTCAGTACGATTCCAAAGATAATTTGACATTGCAATTTGCTACACACGTTAACGGTGGAAGAAACCATGGTAGAACTTTCAAGTTCGTACTTCTTGACCGCGGGTGAAAGATGTAATACCCTTGAGAGGAGAAATATGAAAACCACTGTAAGAAAATCACTCAGATATTATATTCAAGGCAGCGACATTTTAGAAAACTCACCGAACTGTGCTGACGGAAAAGAATGGGAGCTCGTTCACTTTACGCGGAGGATGTCGGCCACTCCCGCTGCTGATGTAAGCCGACAGTACCACCCTTTTCGATGTCGATGGCCGTTCACTTGCACCCTTGACTTGGACTCTACAGTTATCCAGCAAATGTAGATCAGGCCTTGATATTGCTATCGTTTACACTGACTTTCTAATTTGATATCGACTACCATAAGCTGGTTGACATAGGATTTCCTTAACTGCGCACTACCTGCACCAAGTTCTGGCAAAAGGACCGTCGCTTCAGGGGCAATGTCGACCACTCACCACGGCGCCATGACGGGCTCTAGCAATCATGTGCTCAAAGGATCCTGTTTCTGTGGAAATGTCTCGTATTCCGTCTTTACTCCGCCCGTTCTCAGTGCGTATTGTCACTGCTCGCAGTGTCAGCGTTTCACTGGTGAGCGATTCATTTCTGAGATTAATGCCGGAACTGATCGACCCTGCAATTGTCACAGCCAGTCCGTTCGTGCATTCAATGCACTTTGAGGAAAAAGATTTTGTATGGACACATTCGGAGCCGCATGCAGACCATCTTGATTTTTATGACAACCCCCTGAAGCCACATAAACGACGCTACAGGTGCAAGAAATGTGGTGTAACTGTCACATCTTACAACTCCAAAGTAAATCGTTTCAGTGTGTGGGGTGCACTACTTGAGAGAAATGAGGAAGGGAAGATCAAGAATTGGGATATTGCGAAGCCGACCGCTCATATGTTTTATGGGACTCGCATGCTGGATGTCGGCGATGACCTGGGTAAGTGGGAGGGTTATGAGAATAAATCGCAAAGGTTGGCATAGATAATCTTGAGCATGTATTCTTGTGCTGGAGGGCTGGATATTGACGTTGCTTTCCATGATCAAATGACAACCGACATATATGTAGATTAGATCAAAGACATTCGTTGTACCAAAATCAAACAAGGATAAAGCCTTTAATTACATTATATCGTGAGGTCCAAGTCCAAGTCCAAGCCCCCAGTCCCATATCCCGACAAGTACTACTAAGTAGTGAGTTCGTTAGTCGCAATTAAAGTAGTTTCCAGGGATGACATTGGGGCATCCGTCAGTGTCTGATTGCGCAGGTCAGCATATGTGGATGAGATAGCGGTGTGAATCACCTTTATTGGTGGGGCAATCAGCAGGATCATCGCAGCACTTGATGCAGGCGCGAGGCCCAGCAGGTTCAACTAGCTCCACATAGTGGTTGTAGCTGAACAAATAGCTATGAGTCACCAATAGTGCTATAAAAGTAGTATATTCGTACCCAAGGCATGCACTTCCCTGAGGGTTTCCTTGACCGTTCACCCCGCCGCTGGAATCATATTGACCGCCAGCATCGTTAGGATTTAGACGATCAAGGAGGCTTGGTACAATGCAACCGGTCACTGGATAGTTTGGACGTTAAAGTAGGCTCAAATGGCGAGACTATATGTGTACGAACACTGTGCATAACGGCCTCCGCTGACTCCAGTACCGCTCTGGAACGAAACGTTGCTCCAGAAGCCAGCAGGTATTTCACCCTGGTCGGCGGAGTAGTGGCCAGCTGAAGAGCAGTATGTCTGCATGCCTCCTGGGTGTTCACTGTCTCCTATGTTGGTGTGGGGATCACTGCAAAAATCGGGGTGGTGAAAAAGGGCACTGAAGGTCATAAACGAAAAGACATACCGAGGCATGATCATGCTGGTGCAAAAGGGTATTTCAATAAAGGGTATAGTCGATGATCAAGTGATGGACCTACCAATAAGTGCTCGAGTCAGTCACATATACAATGTTGTCCGTGGCCTGCCTTGCCTTCAGAGTGTTATCTGAAGGCATGGCTGCGACATGCGATGCCTCGAGCAAGACAGAGGCGGAAACAGCGAGCACAAAGGCACCTAACATGACTATGAAAATGGACTGAACGTTTCGTACCCGAGGAGCACAAAGATTGCAGTGGCAGACGGTGCGTTTATAACATGGACCAAAGGCTTGGCTAGCATAATTCGACTAGGGTCCAACCGACGTATATATCACTTGACCGACGAAATTCCCTTGGCCTCGTATGGCCTTACGTTGTAGTTTGCCGCTGCGTGTATTTCCAGATATTTCCCTACGAAAAGGGACCGAGGAAAATAGAGAATGACAGCACCTGCTCAACATCGGAACCTCGTCGAGGGTACATCTATACACATTTGCATACCATTAAGGGAGAAAATACGCTATTCAAGCATAGTACCGGCGCCACGCGGTGATCGTAAGGCCTCTATCATGATGGAGCCTTGTACTCATGACATTTATGAATTTTGATGACGGGTGGTCATGCCCGTATCCTGTGTCCTGGGTTTTCAGCGGTGATACCCAAGGCAGAAAGAAAGAGGCTTCGAGTGTGGAATTCGACATCGCTTCAAAGGCATGAGCTATAGAATGTTGAGCAAGTTATACTAAGAACTGAGATTACATTTACTTACAGCCAATGATGGTGGAAGCAAAGAGCTCTAAGATCTAAGCGCCGGTATCAAGCCGACAACTGGCCGAGCCGGCGTCTATTCATCACTGAGAAGCCTGAGGCTGTTGTACTGAGACTTGACCAAGAGTACATGTTTCGAGTCTCGCCTTGGATCAACTACACACCCTCAGGCAGCCCAAACAGCAGAGAGCTATCTAACAATAACCCTGCAAACATGGACGATGATGTAGATATGGATGCTCCTGAAATTTCAACTCTTCGAGAGGAAAACACGCCCCCGCCAATTCGAACCTCCAAATTTCGCGTGAAACTACTGGTCAAAGACAACAAAAAGGGTTCATCAATATCCTCGAACCGGTCCTCTCGTAAACAGCCAGCTGGACCGACACCAGGGCGGAGCGAGGATGATGCAGAGGATGAAGACGAAGAGGACCAGCTGATTGACGACGACGACGACGACATTCAGCCATCCACGTCTATTTCAGCTGTCACCATCGCACCACCGCCTCAAGCTAAACTTTCAGCTAGAGGAAAGGTGGCTCAGAAAAGGAAATCACGCAATGTGAAAGGGGAGCCAGAGAAGAAGGTTCGAGATAAGCAAGCGGGTGCGCCATATTTTGTCCGAATAGTAAGCTTGGTTTAAGATTGCATCCCCAGAATCTAACGTAGCAGAAGAAGCGGATAACTGGGATGCTCAGAGTGGAAGCATTATCGTCTCCGAACCGCCTGCCTCGAAGGCTCCCGCAAAGAAGAAAGCTGCTCCTCGGAAGACTCCAGGTACCGTTCAGCGGTCAAAGGGCAAAGCATCCTCAAAGTGAGCCATTTATTGTTATTTTTATTTTTATGAACTAGGTATACTAATCACAAATACCAGAGTTGCAAAAGCCACGCCTGCGCTCCCTGTTGAAGATGTAGCGGCGATGAGTGAAAGTGAGTAGCGTTCTTCGACTTTAAACTATAATCATCTAACGAAATATATTAGCTTATACGGGTACAGCCCCATCATCACCTGTTCCGCAGGAGAAAGCTTCTCCGGAACCAGAAGTCGCTTTACCAGTCAATACTGCAGCTCCATCTGCTGGAGAGCAAAACCTCGAGGCTGTTCCCCTCCCTATATATCCCCTGCCATCAAAACCATTCCCAGTTCAACCTCCTCCAAAAATTGGTACAGGCTTTGCACCAGTCGTACCACTTGACAGGAGTGGTAATAAAGTGCGTCACTGGCGCACAGCCAACCGCGAAATCCGAGGGATAGCTGGTGGTCGCTGGTTTGCACGCTCTTGGGTTGGCGACAAAGAATCAGAATTTTCACTCGCCACGGCCTCCAATACCGCAGTCTTGAAAGCTTCCCAATTGGATGGTGATAAGGGATTGTCATCGGCATCCATTTCGAAGATGTCTGCTATGTCCATATCTGCACCGCCATCAGGAAAAGGAAGTGGGAGGAGCAAGGTCTCCAAGGCCCTGTCAGCAGCGTCTGTAGGTCCTTCGCGCGCAGGTTCTATTGTCCCCGACAGTCATGCCAACGCTGGCACTGCAAGTGTGCGAGCTCCAACGAAGATGCGCACAATAGTAGCTGCCCCTACATCTGATATAGATGTTGACTCTGACGCAGCTGCACAAGGTTCTTAGAGTGTTTGTACTCCTTGCATTAGATTATTCTACTTTTTGTATCTTTCTTGCATTCGTTGTACAATATCGCTTTCAAGTTAATAGAGCTGCTGATGAATGGCTGCGTGGTAAATTCCCTTATACGGTCCTACGTATACGCTTGACACTGCTTGAGCGCTTACAGTCACATCAGCCAAAATTACAACGAGAACGCAGGCAAGGTTAAGCCACTCAGGCTATTTCGTTTGGCCTTACACTACTGTCCTTTGACCACCTGTTCAAAGAGCTCAGAGATGAAGAAGGCGGAGGCAGCGGGGACGAATGTCAGTTCTCAGACTCAAACGTTGCGTGCAGGGCGGGCTACCGAAAGAGGTGAGTGGTTAGTTGGCTTCAAAGACATCTCGCTCACAGCGAAAGTAGCGGCAGCACTTCAGGCGATTTCCTCAGATCCAAAGTACAAGAAGTACAGCCAACAGGTCGAGAAATGTCTAAATTCGTTTGATAATGTACACGAATGGGCGGATTGTATCGCGTTTCTGAAGCAGTTATTGAAGGTAAATCCCAAGGATTGTATGTTCGTAGGAAAATTTATATTCACTCATGGGATGAATAGTCATTTCAGTCCTATATGCAATTCAAGGAGATTCCTCACAAGCTTATCGTTGCCAAGCGATTATCTCAGTGTTTGAATCCTGCATTGCCTACAGGAGTTCACCAGAGAGCTTTGGATGTGTATACACATATTCTTGCAGTCCTTGGGGTACGTGCAGATTGGTCATGGCGTCAAATATATACTTATTCTTGCTCTAAAGACAGAAGGATTAAAGCGCGACTTACCACTTTGGTCGTCGGGGCTTTTTCCGTTCTTTGAGTATGCTGCAACATCAGTCAAGGTGAGACATAATTGCGCATGTACTTAAATTAGTATTGACACACAATATTAGCCCACACTTCTCAATATCTACGATACTCACTACTTGCCTTTGCAAGGTGGTCTACGGCCCGTGATGAAAGCATTTATTCTTGCCCTTCTTCCAGGTCTTGAGGAGGAGACAGGAGAATTCTTTGACAAGGTACGAATATATGTAGAGGCTACATAGCTCATGTGTATAACGTTGCTCACGGCTGCTCAGGTCCTAAGTCTGCTGGATCGATTATCCGGAACTGTGTCGCCTGCTTTCTTTTTCCAGAACATATGGCTAGTTATGTCAACCATGCCTTCAGCTCGTGGTACAGCTCTCAATTTCCTCTCCAGAAGGTTGCCTCGTTTAAGCTCTGACGAAGGTATGGTCTGATGTTCTATATCAAGCATTCGACTCAACATCCCGCAGATATCACGCATATTATTGGCCGTGATATTGGACTCATGATCAGAGCATTTGCAGCGGCTCTCGAAGATGACAATCTACTCGTACGGCGAGGAGCTCTTGATATACTTTTACAGTCGATGCGTATTGATAGTGCAGCTATAAAACAAGCACAGTCAGAGGATTGTGTGATTCTAATGCGGGCTGCTACTGGAGTCGTCCTTCGACGTGATCTGTCTCTGAACCGTCGGTTATACACTTGGCTACTAGGTCCAGACGAGAAAAGTGCAACCCAGATTGCGTACCTACGAGAACATTCTCTTCATCTTCTAAAATCTACATTAAGGGTATGTCAACGTCTTGTTCTACCGCCGGAATTACCTTATGCATAATACTCCTCAGGAAGAAATGTTCACACCTTCAGGAGATTATTCAGAATCGCGTCCGTTCAAGGTCTTCATCTCGTTGTTGGACAAATGGGAGATCGGTTCTCCCCTCACTGAGGCTCTCGTGTATGATATCTTCAAAGCTATACGTAAACTCATTGACTCGGGTTCCGATAGCTATGACGATGTTTGCATTTCATTATTTCGTTTTTGGCACATCTCTGACACATGTCTACGCAGATGCTGATGACGGCTAGCACACTTTATGAGGCTATCGAACCTGATATTATTTGGAAACAACTACTGAATTCGGCTATGGAAGACATAACCGGGGACGGCACGCACTTCGAGGTCAATAGCATACATTTATTGTTTTTAAACCTTACTGATGTACCTTCCCCTAGGCCATTGACATGATACTCTTCATTCTTAGAACCTTCCCTGTGCACGATGAAGACATTCAGGGTTTACATTTACCAGTTGTATTCGGTGCTGTGATGGATGTTTTGAATGTAAGTGCGCCTCGACTATCCTATTGTTTAGCGTTAGTGACATGCGTAAAGCAACACGTCCGAAGTGACATTTCCAGGGCTGCTTCTACCTCAGTTCGAGAGGGCTTGATTCTACAAGAAGAAATATTGGGGCACCTCATTCCTGCAGCACTCTATCAACACACAGAATTGAATGAAAAGCTTGAAGGCTTTGCTTCCACTGCAAGCCCTTTATCATTTGCTCGTCATTTCTACGGCATTACGTCAGGCGAGAAGATGGAGACAGTTGCTACGCGCGCACCGTTAATTCCTGTACTCGAAGCTATAATAGGTTTGAGTCAGAGTTGTGCACAGTGCCTTCTGAAAAATCGCGACAATCTTCTGCTCGTACGAGGGGCCTTGTGCCAATCTTTATCATTGTTACTTAGGATGATCGAGCAATTTGGTGCAAACCAAGATCCAGTCACCATAGTTTCATGGGAACCTTCAGAGTGGCTTAATTTGATTCTCCAGACGATTGATCTTGAGGTAGTATTATCTATGTTCCTTCTTCTCGTAAAACTAATCAGTACTTTGGTTTAGGTTGCAGACTTTACACTAGTCGATCGTGCCATCTCCGTGGTTATAGCACTGCATCAGCTTAAATGGTTGCAACCTACTGTAAATATAGAGGAACGCCGAATCATAACAAAAATGGTCAAAAAGGTATCTACGGTTTCTTCTAATCAACTAACAGTGAGTTAAACATACTTTTTCCAGCTCTTCAATTATCTTCATCAGGACTGGTTCATCTACCATGTCCGTGCCGTGAACTTGATTTGGTCTCTCGAAGCTGCAACTCCCCAATCACATGTGGAGTCGATCATTGCGCAGAGCATGAGTTCTCCAGAGTCGCGGAATGTATACGAAGCCTATGAAGCATTTGGAGTTCTTTGGCGGCTTACTGGTTTGTCTTCCATCTCAACCTGTCGAATTATATAGTAGCTTATGATAATGATCCAGATGATACTTTCTTTCCGGGCTTCAAGTTCAAAGTTCCATTGATGATCGTTCTGGATACTTTGAAACATGACGACCCTATACTTCGTCGCGTCGGCGAAACGTGGATGCGGTGTAGTCTAAAGTCATATATCCGGTAGGTTGACAAAGACACTTTTCGTTTAGTCGCTGATCAACTGTTATACAGCGTTTTGGACCCAATAATGTACGATCTTTTGGACCCTACTATTCGCCGCTCGGCGATGGTAGCCAAGGTACACGGGAGGGAAATACAAAGTTTTGTATATGATCGTTCCTTCGACCAACGCTACGTGAATCATCTCCTCGAGATTTTACTCTCCATCATCCGCTTCGGAGGTCAAGGCTTCGCGAAGGCTGCTCGTGGTACTACTGTTAAGCGCTCGCAGCATCCTGCTTTACTCCAGAGGCTAGAAGCAGGTAAATATGTTCATCAACTATGTTGATCACTGAGACTGACAAGCAAACCACCATAAGCTAGCATCGACTTAGATGCCACGTATCTTGATGCTTTGGTTGAGATTCTATTGAGGTTGGTCTCCCAGTACAATGGCCAGCTCTTATGATAATTCCATTCATGCAGGTTTTTGCAATCGGAACCAAGAGAGTCGCGCGCACCTATCATGCAGTCTCTGAATGCTGTCATCCAGTCTACTTCAGTCGACCTGTTACAAGCCATAGTAGCTCGCGGTGAAATTGAAAACATCACAGTGGAGATTATGGAAGCTGTCATCATCGGCAAACTCTATTACAGCGTGCATTTGGGCCGTCTTGATTTGCAAAACAAACTTCTGCACATACTGCATTCGCTAATATCTGTTTCGACAACAATTTTCTTATCCCATCCTGTTACGAGGGTGGATCTATCCAAACAAGGCGATGGCAATTCTGAAGGTCATAGCACGCAAGATGAATCTCAGGAGCTTGGAAGGAAGACATATGCGGTCAATCCCTTACTAGTCCAAACACTCATTGATGGGATCGGCATACCTCAAAATCGAGCAGTCCTACAACATTGGCTGGATTTTGTTCTTATGGCGATTCCCCAATTCCAGCCCGCCCTGCAGTCTATAGTGTCTCCTATGAATGACTGCCTGTGTCGTCAGCTTCGCCTGGCTCTGTCAGATGTTCTACGGGTATCTTCCACAGATGCCAAAGAGGAGGATATACACATAGTAACAGATGCAGAATTCATCATGTTGCTCAACGCGCTCGAACGTTTAGTTCTCCTTGGCCTTGCATACACGCCGGATGCATCTCAGCAAGAAGACGATGTTGTTGTCCAAGAGAAACCCACAAATGAAACTAGTGGCATTCTCGGTTATGTTTCTAATGTCTTCACAACTGAAAATGTCCCAGCCGTTTCGGACGAACAATTCACGGTCAGTGCCTTGTATACCATTGGTGATAACGTTAACCTATACGCCTTTAAAATAGGCTCGGTCGCCTGGCTACAAATCTCTTCACGAAGGGATCAAGATACTGTATTCCATATGGACAAATTTGTCATGGACAAAAACTAAAGCGACCTCTCCCAAAGATGATTCACTTTCTCTCGTCTATAACCGAACTCGGGGCCGATGTCGTAGAGTGCTGGAGCACCTTTTTCGCGTTCATTCCGCAGAGGTACTAGAATCCATCATTGACTGCTGGGATCGCGAAGTAGCAGTATGTATATTTTTTAATGTATAAACCTACAACTCATCCGATATTTTCAGGCCTCCGGGTCATCCAATAGCTCTGTCTTTGAATTAGTGGACCTGCTGATCGCCAATGTGCAAGTTACTGTCCACATGATTTGTGACAGCATTCTATGTCGCGTGCCAAATGCCTTGGATAAAACTAGAAAGCAGGTTATTAATCCCAACCTGTGAGTTATTATTCCCTTCACGGAATATATATTGCTTACGGGATGTCAATAGCTCTGATGTGGCCCTTTTCACTTTTCTCGAACAATACTTCCAGCGGCTAGAAGGCCCTCTAGCTATCCAGGTTTGGGCAAGGTTTTTGCAGCTTACAAAAGAGTTAGCAAGTTCTACTCGCGAATTCAAAGTACAGAATTTTTTGGTAATGAAGTAAGCTATGTCCCTCATTCAGAGATGTGATTGAAATGAACAATTAACCATTATAGATCCCTTTGCATATTGGCAGAGAAGGTCACTCAAACGGCAGCAGTGGAGGACAAGCGGCTAAGGAAGGATCTGCAGGCAAGCCAATTACAAATTTCCACTCGAGTTTGAAACAGTATCTGACTCTGCATCTTAGGAAACACTGACGAAGCTGCTGGATTCATGTATAATGTTTGTGGGACGGACATTTGACCAACCAACCTGGATTCGACGAAGTGCAAAGGATGCTCTTTCCATCAATGGTAGAGACAGTCCAGTGCCGCGCATTGGTAAGTCGTCTACTCACATCTATCTTTTTTACGTTGCTCACAAACCCCAGCGGGAGAACCCCGAATAGACGAGAAGATAAATGCAAGTTCAGTCTCTCTACAAGAGTCCCCACGGCCTTCTTGGGGTGCAGAACTCCCATCACAGGTACGTACGAGCCTGTATCATACATTCGCACTAACTGTTTGAGTAGATCAGTCAATTTGTTGCTGTCGTAGCCCTACCTAATCTTCGGAAGTTTATGATGGATAACGACAAAGTTGCAAGCGTCTGCAACAATATTATCTACTACATTGTGAACCCTTCACTAAAGGCCAAATCAAAGTAAGTGCATGCAATGTGACGTATCACACGGATTTTATTTGACAATGGAACAGACCCATGGATGTAGATAATATTATACCTGATATCATTAGAGAAATGTCCCGCATTCCTGCCGCTCTCAAGGTCTGGCGTGGTCCGGTTCTCGAGCTCTTGAACGATAATCGCGTCTTCAACTCCAGCTGTGATACTGCTTTGAAGTGGAAGCCCATTATCAAGGCTCTATACGACTCGGATAAGACTGCGTTCACCGAACTGCTAGGTAAGCAGTTCAAATTATGTCATAGGTGACAACTTTCATACGCATTCCTGCAGGGAAAATTGCGACAGCTCCGTCTACAAATATATTCACGAATCGAGAATATGAAATGTTACTGCGATCAATGAATCTACGGCGACTATCCTTCATCTTATTTAGCGGAGAGAAGAACCATTTCCTAACACAGCTGCCGAACGTGCAGGAGAAACTAGTTGATATTCTTCGTAACGTTAACTCACCCGTGGTACAGAGCGAAGTGTATCTCTGCATTCGTGTCCTACTTTGTCGCCTTTCACCACATAATTTGACCAGTTTTTGGCCTGTTGTTCTCACTGAGCTTGTGAGTGTTCTCATTGACAGATAGGAGTGATATTGACGTACATGCCGACTAGTATCGTGTGTTCGAGCAAATTATAACGACAGCGCCTTCCGACGGCTCCGAAGACTTGCAGTTGATATTGTCCGCTTCTAAATGCTTGGACTTATTGCTTGTCCTCCAGACAGAGGAATTCCAAATGTAAGAATCAATCCAAATGAGACCATCAACTATTTTGGCTGACACCATTGCAGACATCAATGGATATTCATCACGGACACTGTTGACGCTGTATATCACCATGATGATTGGCGTCCCGAGGCAATGATGGACCAACTAGCAGATATCGTTGGTAGTATCCCCATACCAGAGGTTAGTACATATTTCGCAGTCTATTCATTGTGCTATAACGAGTGTGGCGCAATAGGATGGAGTGGCGTTGAAATCACAAGACAGTACCAAATCCTTTGCATACACAACACATATGGATTCTCGATCCATGCGACGTCCATTATTGAACTCCTTACGACAAATAGATAGCATACGGGACCTTACTCCCTTCTTTTCGCATGTTAGTATCGCCTCTTATGAGAGCGTCTATGCCTGCGGTGGAAACATTGACTGGGAGGCCGTGGAGCGAGGTGTCCTGGAAGATATGTTCGATGGACGGTGAAATATCAGGCTATTTTACGACTTAACGATGGAATGTCCTTACAGCACATATCTTATTCACTCGGACGTGTAGATTAGTGCATCATTCTTGTCACGCCGTACGTACTGACACATAATCCATACATTTTCTGACCTGGTATATTGGCTGACGAGACATATGTTATCCTTGAGAACCAAATCGGTATAGCGTAGATGTGTCTCTCCAAAGACACCACAAAGTCGTAAAATAAATACGAGCAAAATAGACAGACCGTTCAGAAGTCCCCCCAGCTGCGACGGAATTTGTACTGCATACGTTCCTGTAAGTCAGTTTTCCTTTCTGCATCTAAGAGAATGGATAGGTGAACAAACCTTGTATGGTAGATTCTTCCTGAAAACGTCGAAAGATTCAATCAGAATAACAGTAATAGTTGAAAACCTGCAGGAACAAACCTCATCTTTTCAACTGGCGACTTGGGTTGTTTGTAACCATCGTCTCCAGTTCCCCAGTCTGCCTGAGTTTCGCCTTCCTTATCGATATCCTTGTACCTAACGTTAGGATCCAACTTTTCAGGTGGTGTCCCGCGAGTGATTTTAGGTTTGGGTACGTCAGCAACCGGAGTTGCTGCATCCACTGGTGGCTCCTCCTTAGTCTGTTCGCCTTCAGCGTTGTCTACCTTAGGGAGTGTTGGTTGACGACCTTGATTGGGAGGAGGAGCGGGATCGTGGGCACGTAAAGCTTCTTCAACAGAAATTCCCTGGAACTTAGCCTCCTTCTCAACTTCCCGGAGTTCGATAGATTCATGCTGCGCGAAGTGCTCAAGGTCCTCTGCGTGGTGGTAGGAATCATCCGTCTGCGTCTCTTCCGTAGAGTGGAATTGTTCTTTGGACGTTGTAAGTATCTGCTAAGTGAAAACGGCGCGAAGAACTACCAACCTTCATGATGTAAGAAGAACTCTATCGAAGTATAAGCTGTGTAACTTGGTATTGAAAGTAGAGTGGACTAACCGCTTTCGACATCGTAGTGGTGGCCTTCTGCCCCCAGGTCCTCAAAGTTAGGCAGTCCCTTCAGGCCGGCGACGTTAAACTCCTCTGGAGAAATTTTGCCGTCCCTGTTCTTGTCTATGAGTTTCAGAATAGTATCTACGATGTGGTCCGCCTTCTGTTGGTGTTCAGCCTCGTCCTACGGGCAGGTTTGAGTGGATCTAGGATAGCAGTCAAGCTCGTTGTTTGACGCACCTTTGACTTCTTCTGTGAGTAAACGTGATGCACTCCGTATATAGCTTCTATTTCTTCTCGATCCCAAATACCGTTTCTGTGCATTTCGGGCTGTTTAGAATGCATTTGAAGAGCGCGAAACAATGGTAAAACACACCTGTCAAGGTCATGCAATTGGAAGAAGCTTCCGAGGTCAAACGAGTCACTGTATTTGTTTTTTTTTGGCATGGTTAGTGAGCTGAATGCCGCTAAGGAGATGATCATTACATGTGATGTTCTGTGGCCATCTAGCATATGAAGTTGCTCAGCAAACAGAGGGATCCAACGGATGAATTGTCCAAACGTACGTGCTTTTGGGCATATTCTCCACCAGCGAGCTTGGGGTTGCCTTCTGATTCTCCATGTCCACCGTGCCCAGAAACGGCCAGAATAAAAGGTAACACCAAAAGAGCCCTCATGTCAAAGTACAAGGAGAGTTGGATTAGTACTAAGGTATACGTTTGCTGCCAGTGCCAGTGGTAACCGTGCCAGTGCGAGTCTAGTGTGATTTTGGCCGTCCAATCAGTGCGAGTGTTAGTCAGCTTTCCTTGTTTGGCGTCAAGTTAAGAACATAAAGTCTACAATAAGTCTACAAGCAAGTCGTTTACAAGACCTACAGTTCCAGATGCTAGTAGTAAAGTATTGCGAATGTATTGGACAGGGTATTGTTCGACGGATTTCAGCACATTACAACATTATAGTAGCCCCCAGTATTTCCAGGTGGTATATCTCTTAAAACCTCCAAAAACACAATAACAGTGATTCAAACAACCTCGGGTTCGTCCCCAGAACGACTCATTCCAGCACTCCAGACAGTGCTCCCACTCCCGTTACCACTTCTCTTACTCCTCCGGCTGCGTCGGTCCTCCCCGTTCAAGCTTCTTGGTGATAGCTCAGTGAAACCACTCCTAGCCCCTTTGGCAATCTCTTCGCTGAGAACTTTCTCATGCGTGTCTAATGCAACAAGGGCATTCTGCGCCTCAACGTGCTCCAACGCCTCTTGCGTGAGTTCCGAACGCTCGTTTCCGTCAATACCGAGACCGTACGGCGCGAGATGGCTGTTCGGAGCGGAGTGCGCAGAGTGAATGGATGATGTTTCAGAATGGCTTGTCTGCGAACGGAAGAACGAGAATCGGCTGGGCACTGCGGGTGGGCTTGCGGGAGAGGAGTAGCTTTTCTGCATTGGAGGTGCTGGGCTACTTAGTCCAGATCGGATGATGACAGGTGTTTCCGTAGGTTTCTCTAACCCCATCAGCTTCATAGTAGCATTTAATCGTTCCCTCTCCCTTCTATCGTCTTCATCTTCATATGTCTCTAGTTTGCGGGCCCCGGTGACAGAACTAGCTCCAGGCTTGAGGGTAAGAGGTCGGAGATTTGCGGACTCGTTCTTTTTATCACCCCCACCAAACATCGAAAAGTTCTTCCAATCAAAGGAAAGCGACCGACGCTGGGCTTTCGTGCTCGAGCTGGCAGGTTGAGAAGGAGAGAGAGGATTTGGACTGCTTTCGCCAGTCTGCCCGAAAGTTGAGGTTGAACGAGGAAAGAAGGCGGAATGTCGACGGGCCTTTGCAGTGTCGATGGAAGGCGGGAAAGGTGATCTGGGGCCTGTCGCTGAGGGTGTGATGGGCGATTTCTCGTAATCTATAGAAAGAACGTGTTCAAAGCCTTCCTCTGCAATAATCCTGTCGATGATCTTCGATGCATACAGCGATAGAGCCTTATTGGCATCCTTGAGAGACTTGACTTCACTCCGTAGGGCGTCCAGGTCGCTAGCTGGAGCACCTGTTTCCAGTCCCTCGGATGTTGCAGAGACTTTCCTACTCTCCGACGAGCCCTTCTTTCCTCGTTTGCCTTTTCCGTAGGGGAAGGCGCCCGAATCTTCGATAGAGGTTCCACCGATGATGTCCTTGTTCTCTGCTCGTCCCAGTTCAGCGGCAAGATCGAGGCCTGGACCAGTGATCGGAAGGCCTGCAAGGGACTCGCCACGAGGAGCACGGCCGCCTGGAGAAGACAGACCAGAGCTGCGTTTATGACTGTGTCTGCCTGTGTGACGTGTAGCCTCGCTCTCCTCAAGGTCGAGTTGATCTTCTTCGTCAGATTCGAGGTCGTGTTCATGTTCGGACATCTCGTCGACTCTGTCTAGTGTACTTCGACCACTACTCTTCAGACTGCCACCGCTTCCACCACTGGTAGTGTCGTACAGGTCGTCGTCGTCGCCCTCTGTGGTACTGGTCGTCCCCACTTGTCTGAGGAGGTCGAATTGTCCACTTAAAGTCTTCTCTCTTAGAAGGATCATGTAGCTCTCGTTTTCCTCCTGCAGCTCGTTGTTGACCCTCTTAAGATCCACGAGTTGCGTCTGCAAAAGTATTAGGGTACTCTGGAGTGAAGCATATGATGTTGACAGTGTCGAAAGTTCCAGCCTAAGGGCTGTCATCTCTGCTGGTTCGCTCTCCTCGTAGTTTGTAGTATATCCCGAGAGGTAGGACGTGTGCGTGAGAGAGCTTTCTGTGGTTTCGGAATCGTCAGACTCGTGTTCCGTGTGCGTGAGGGAGCTTTCTGTGATTTCAGAATCGTCGGAATCGTGTCCTGTGTCGGATTCTGGAGGGCGTACGACTACAGGTTGTCTGCGAACCTGCGAGAGAGACTGGATACGCGACTTGAGATGCTGTTCGTTATCGTAGAAAGCTTGACGCTCTGCATCAAACGTCGACGTCTGCCAAGGCCATTAGTTGATGTGTGATAACGACGAGTATAATTAGAAATCTGACCTGCTCGTTATACCGGCGCTGGACGTCCCGCTTTTCCTTTTCGAGTTCCCTGACCTGAGCGCGCAGCTTATCTGCGATTTCTATACGAGCAGACATTTCCTCCTCCATGCGGCTCTGATCTGCGTAGAAATCATTGAGGCGTGAATCTGCTTCATTAAGAGCAGAGGAGAGGCTATTATTAGTTTGAGTCAAGGTGGAGATGGTTTGGTCTTTTTGTTGAATTTGGAGCAGCAGCTGGATGAAACCGAGTCAGCACGAGTGAAGGTCTCGCAGACATGCCACGACTCACCCTGTCACGCTCTTCTGTGTCATCTCTATGCGTGTGAGGTTCTCGCCCTTCAGGATGGGACTGTGTGGCACCCTTGATTGAGGGCCGTCGTGCAGCGGCAGAGCTTACATTGGCAGAGACACGGGAATTTGTGAGTGCTGAGCGGGCTGTAGCGCCTTTTGCGATGGAAATGTTTGGGGGTGGTGATGCGAAATGGGATTGGCGTCCGGAAGGTGGAGGGTCACGGTTGGCCCGAGATGAAGCCGTGGCAGCCATGACCATAAGATTTGTTTGGATAAGGCTGCAGGCTGATTACAAGGCTGGAGTACAATATTTACAAGAGCCTGTGTACAAGATGACTGTTGCTTGCAAGGAAAAGAGCATGTTGTCCTCGTTGCTGTCCTTTGATCTGACGAGCTCACGGGCAACGGCCGGTCTCGCACGCTACCCATCACCCGGAGCTATTCCCTCTTTTGGGTACTCCCCGGGTTACCTTCACTGGCGCACCCAATGTCCTCCTCGTACTTATGGTCTCCATCACATCCATCATCGCGGGTTGCAGGGATCTAGTAGCAGTCTAGTTTCATCCGCATCTGAACATCGTAACCGAGCCTAGCAAATTATGAGTCTCCTCTAAGCAAACCTTAGCAAATTATCATCAATATAGACTTGGTGCCCCCTTTGAATCCATACACAGGTTCAAAGGCAGTGCAAAAATCTCCATGTTCAGATACACAGGTAGACTCTGACTCTAATAGTCGCCAAGCACATTCGCCACTCAGTCTAACGCTCGGAGTGTGGTGTCAAGTAAGTCATCATGACAATTCCACATCTTAGTCATTCGCTCAACCTTTCCTTAATGACACCATTATGCGTGTGCGTGTTGTAATGATGCCTTCAAGTATTCGAGCATGGAGATTTCATATTGCCACGTTTGCTCCTGAGGGGTAAATCTAAATATCCGTAATATGGTGCACGATGCAGCACGCTGCACTATCCTGAGACACGCCGCGGTCTGCGGCACGAATATTCTTCTTTTGACAGTTTGCTCACTGTTTTTCATCCATGTAAGCATCCAATATTTTTTTAACTGCGAATGCTTGAGCTGTGTCAGTGGATGAGGTCACGACGTCGATCCTCATAATACGTATGTAATTTCTACCTTTTGCAAATATTACAGCACTGACCAGCTGAGCACAGATTGTCGTTTGGATTCTCAACTGCTTTGGGATAAACTCCTTTTTTATCCACCATGCTTCGAACACAACAAGTTACTCGATGAACAACCGTTCAACTAAACAATATCAACACGCTGACAGTACAGGAGCAAATGTGAACGCCAATAGTCATTGAAGCCATAATCATGACTTGGTTTCACTCTTGTTCATATTCACGACTACCTCGGTTTTTCTTGTTAGTGCCCATAACAACAGATAAGAATTCACTGTCATGATCTATTTTACCTGATTGGGTTCTCTCCGAATTCTCGTGGAATGAATAAAGCAATGGAGACTTGTCAGCGGCCCAGCCATGCCTGCCTTTGTCCTACTGTACTTATATGTTGGATGCATTTCCGTTGGAAGTTATCCGACTGATACGATACTATGAAATGCAGAACGCTTATTGAGTCACTGAGCTAGTCCGATAATCGTGGATTTTGGGGTACTCGTCATATCGCCATTGTCCCGAATCCCGGCGGACTCGGGAAACACGAGACGACGCTGGTCAATGTTTCTGGGTCTACCAGCAGTTTTCATGGCCTCAGATAAGCCAAAAAAAGGATGCGACATGCATTGGAAAGACAGGGGACGTCGTGTATGTCCAAGTACGCAGAGCAACAAGGGGACAGCACAATGAAAAGTGTACTGGTATAGTAATCTTTGTAAGATGGTCGGGAGTCAATCTCCGCGAAGATGGCAAAAACGCTGCCGGATTGCTGAGTCTGGGTGACCGACGGTACCGATCTGACACATAGAAAAAGCATGATGGGCGGAAAATATAATTATAAGTACACCCAGTCTGGTTTCTTCCACCTTAACTCTGGTCGCCTCACGCCTTACAGGTGTTGTCACAATGGTTAGCACTCCAGGCGAAGTAGACACGCTCAATGGTGAAGACCATCGCTCCTTTGTCGACATCCAGCAGGCGGAGGCAACGTTCAACGAGCTATCGCGCCAGCTAACGGCGAGATCAGCCAACGCCCTTTCACGCACTGGATCTGCTGCGTCAACAGCGGACGTTAATGGCCCACAGGATCTAGAGAAAGGCGGTGAAGCTGGGGCTCCTTTTGATTTGCGAGAGTACCTTTCGTCGTCGAATGATGCCAACCAACGAGCAGGAATAAAACACAAACACGTCGGCGTGACTTGGGAAAATTTGGAGGTCAACGTCATTGGTGGTGCGGACAGCAAGGTATGTGTTGTTCTTTTTGTTTTGTCTTTATTCTGCCTTACCAAACCGTACTTGTCACTTAGTTTTATGTAGGCACTTTTGGAGGTAGGGTTTCGTGCCAACCCTCGATCACTACATATTTATGTTCATTTCAGGGGCTGTCCTCGACTTTATTATGACACCTTTCGTTTGGATATGGGCTGCGCTGCTTACAATTCTCCCGACCAAGCATCTCCCAACTCGCACTATTCTTCACAAGTACAACTATTATTTATTACTACTTGAATATTTTTTCACACATTTATCAGATCTTCTGGTGTATTGAAACCAGGCGAGATGTGCCTTGTACTTGGTTGTCCCGGCGCTGGATGTACTACTTTCTTGAAGACCATTGCCAATCAAAGGTCGGATTACGCAAGCGTTACAGGCGACGTTCAATATGCTGGTATTAGCGCGGAGGAAATGGCCAAATATTATCGAGGAGAGGTTGTTTACAATCAAGAAGGCATGTTAGACTTTTTACATTTTTACTTAGTTCTAACCCTCTGCCGATGTAGACGACGTCCACATTGCAACGCTCACCGTGGCTCAGACCTTGAGCTTTGCGCTCTCAACAAAAACGCCAGGACCGAATGGACGTTTGCCTGGTATCTCACGGAAAGAATTTGACGAATTGGTTCAAGAAACGTTATTGAAGATGCTGAATATCTCTCACACATCTCAGACCTTGGTTGGTGATGAATATGTTCGCGGTGTTTCTGGTGGAGAGCGTAAGCGTGTCAGTATCGCCGAAATGATGGCCACTCGCGCCCGGGTCCAGTGCTGGGATAACTCCACCCGTGGTTTGGATGCTTCGACTGCCCTGGATTTCTCCAAGAGTTTAAGGATCATGACGGATATCCTTGGCCAGACTACTTTCGTGAGCTTGTGGGTATAGTCTGCTTTGCTGCTATAATTTGGTACTAAAGCAAAGCGTGCGTGGCAGGTACCAAGCAGGAGAAGGTATCTATGATTTATTCGACAAGGTCATGGTCATCGACAAAGGACGTCAAGTTTTCTTCGGCGCACCCACCGAAGCTCGTGCCTATTTTGAAAATATTGGCTACAAGTCTCTCCCTAGGCAAAGCACCGCTGACTACCTCACTGGTTGCACCGACCCCAATGAACGTCAATTCGCACCCGGACACTCCGTTGAAAACACACCATCTTCTCCCGAAGCGCTCGAAGCCGCTTACTTCAAGTCATCGTATTACAATGACCTTACGAGTTCGCTAGAAAAGTTCAAGATTCACGTGGAAACTGAGAGGGATGACCAAGAGGCTTTCCGTGCTGCAGTCTTGGACGATAAAAAACGAGGGGTCTCCAAAAAGAGCCCTTATACACTGGGATTCACCGGACAAGTGCGAGCGCTGACTATCCGTCAATTCAAAATGCGTTTGCAAGACAAATTCCAGCTGTACACGAGTTTTGGAATGACGACTGTAAGTTCTTCATGGTTGTTGTTTTAGGGTGTCCGACGAGCTCATCTGGGCGTCAGATTTTGGCCCTTGTTATTGGTGGAGCATACTTCAATCTCCCTCCCGACGCTGGAGGCGCTTTCACGCGAGGTAGTGTGATTTTTGCAAGTATGTTGACAATCTGTTTGGACGCTTTCAGTGAAGTAAGTTTTATGTCTGTTCACTCGGGTATCTAGCACGTCTAATGTATTTTCTTTAGCTGCCTACTCAAATGTTTGGTCGGCCCATCCTCCGTAAACAGGTAGGCTGATTCCGTGTGCAATGTTTAAAATTCATATCAAATTTTTTTTATCAGACTGGATATGGTTTATACCGTCCCGCCGCCACTGCTATAGGTAACACACTGGCAGATATTCCGTTTTCCGCCACTAGGGTCCTACTGTTTGATATCATTGTGTACTTCATGCCTCATCTGTGAGTGAATCGTGTTTTGGCAAACTTGAAATTTTCCTAATGTAAATCTTTCCTCAAGGTCACGGACGGCTGGTGGATTCTGGACTTTCCATTTGTTCAATTATGTTGCCTTCTTGACCATGCAAGGCTTCTTCCGGACGTTTGGTTTGCTGTGTGCCAACTTCGATACAGCTTTCCGAGTGGCGACGTTCTTCATGCCTAACATCATTCAGTACACCGGCTACATGATTCCGTCTTTCAACATGAAACGATGGCTTTTCTGGATTGTGAGTGTTATTCCATGAAGTGTATTGTTACATGAATTAATCACCAATATTTGTAGTACTATATTAATCCCTTATCATACTGTGAGTGCATCTTATCGTCCAATAGAACTCGGGTGATAACCTGGTACTGTAGCTTGGGCAGGGAGCATGGAGAACGAGTTTATGCGGATTTCGGTATGTTCTTTGACTGAAGTAGTGTTTCCAGCTCACAGTCATTTTTAGATGCTATGTGATGGAAGCTACGTGGTCCCTCGCAATGGGCCTGGCATGACTAAATACCCGTAGGTCCATCACAGCATCGGTTGTTCTTGTCACTCAATTGCGTGTACTTTCTCAGTGACGTTGTCGGCCCTTATCAAGCGTGCACGTTGTACGGTTCGTCAAGTGGAAGTAGTCAAATCCCCGGTAGCTCGTACCTTGATGCTGGATATGGTATCGACGTCAAGGATATCTGGCGCCGTAATCTGTTGGTCCTGATTGGCTGGCTCATCTTCTTCCAGGTGACGCAGCTCGTCTCGATTGAGTACCTGCAGGTGAGGTTTTGATCAAGTTGGAGGTGGTGATTGCATTGTGTTAAGCCTCGCTTTTCAGCCTGTTGTCCCTGGAACCTCAGCGAATGTCTATGCAAGGGAGAACGCAGAAACAAAGGAACGTAACGCTGTTCTTCGCGAGAAGAAATCGAAGCGTGTGGGCAAGCAAGACGAAACTAAAGAGGATATGGAAGTTCCGAGTTCGAAGTAAGTAGCGGTTATTATTTTATCCTGAAACAAGTAGCATTGACCTTGTGCATTTAGGCCGGCTGCTTATGCTCATAGGAAAACGTTCACTTGGGAGGGCCTTAACTATCACGTCCCGGTTCCAGGAGGCACGAGAAGGCTCCTACATGACGTGTGTGGCTATGTGAAACCAGGAACTTTGACTGCTCTCATGGGTGCTTCCGGTGCTGGTATGTAATTGGTTAAAGTTCCTTGGACGCGATGCTAACTTTGTTTATGAAATCAGGTAAAACTACCTGTTTGGATGTCCTCGCTCAAAGGAAGAACATTGGTGTCGTCTCTGGCGATATCCTTGTGGAAGGTCGCCCGATTGACTCGGACTTTGCTCGAGGCACCGCTTACGGTATGTTATCATGGCCGCTTGTTCGGTGTTTTCTCTGACGATGGATATTACAGCTGAACAAATGGATGTCCATGAGGGTACTGCTACTGTTCGAGAGGCCATGCGTTTTTCAGCCTACCTTCGTCAACCTGCTGAGGTTTCCAAGGCAGAAAAGGATAACTACGTCGAGGAGGTGATCGAGCTGCTGGAGTTGCAAGATTTATCCGAAGCCTTGGTCTTCAGTCTCAACGTCGAGGCTCGTAAACGGCTTACCATCGGTGTTGAATTGGCCAGCAAACCGGAACTACTTCTCTTCTTGGATGAGCCAACCTCGGGTTTGGATGCTCAGAGCGCCTGGAACTTGGTTCGATTCCTCAGAAAACTGGCTGACCAAGGCCAGGCTATCTTGTGTACGATCCACCAGCCGTCTAGTTTACTTTTCGAGAGCTTCGACAGGCTGTTACTGTTGGAAAGAGGCGGAGAGACTGTCTACTTTGGTGACATCGGCGCAGATTCACATATCCTCAGAGATTACTTCTCACGAAACGGAGCGGACTGTCCACCCAATGTGAACCCCGCTGAATACATGTTGGAAGCCATCGGTGCGGGTATTACTCCTCGTGTTGGCCCTCGCGATTGGAACGATATTTGGTTGGACTCTCCGGAGTACAAAACTGTCCGTGACGAGATCACTACCATCAAGCAGCATGCGCTCTCGATTCCTTTGCCCCCCAACACCAAGCACAGTACATGTAAGTTTCAGCCTCATCGACCTCACCCCTTCGGCTGCTGATTATGCTCGCCAGATGCTACGTCGTTCTTGTTCCAGCTCAAGACGGTTGTCAAGCGGAACAATATCGCGCTGTGGAGATCGCCTGATTATGTGTTCAGTCGGTTATTCGTCCATGCCTTCTTCTCGCTGTTCATCTCGCTGTCCTTCCTGCAACTCGGTAATAGTGTGCGTGACTTGCAATATCGAGTGTTCGGAATGTATGTATCGTCTTTTCTTTTTTTCGTGGTTAAAATGACTTACATCCGGGTAGTTTCTGGGTTGTCATTTTACCTGCTATCATCATGACGCAACTTGAGCCGTTGTTCATTTTCAATCGACGTGAGTTTATAACGTTTCTTCGTGATTGAACAAGAGTCTGACCACACACATTTTAGGGGTTTTCATACGAGGTATGGTATAGACTAAAGCGGCCTAGTTGTATGTGCTTACGATAGTTTACAGAGGCATCCAGTAAAATCTATTCACCTTACGTTTTCGCCATCGCTCAACTTATTGGCGAAATTCCATACTCCGTTTTGTGTGCTATCGTTTACTGGGTTTTAATGGTATGGACATCGATACCTGCTTAATTGCCGTTGATACTCACCGTTGGATTTTAGGTTTATCCTATGGGCTTTGGAAAAGGCGCCGCAGGTCTGAACGGCACTGGCTTCCAACTTATGGTCATCATATTCATGGAGTTGTTCGGAGTCACACTGGGACAACTGATGGCTTCCATTTCGTCAAGCGTTCAAATTGCCGTTCTCTTCACTCCTTTCATTGGAGTCGTACTGAGTACCTTCTGTGGAGTCACGTTACCATACCCCACTTTGAACTCTTTCTGGAGATCCTGGTTGTATCAGTTGGACCCATATACGCGCACCCTGGCCGCAATGGTGTCTACAGAGCTTCAGTAAGTTTGGGTTCAGGTTTTCATATTCCATGTAGCTGATCGTATTTTTAGTGGTCTCGTTATTGAGTGCCAGGCTGACGAGTTTACGATATTCACCCCACCCCCTGGTCAAACGTGTTCAGCTTGGGCTAGTGACTTCGTCACTGCGGTTGGTGGTTATCTAGATAATCCAAATGCCACTGATAGCTGTCGTTACTGCGAATATTCTGTGAGTAGCTCGTATCATCTTTGGTTTGCGCAAGTAGTTGACCGTTTTGGCTAGGTCGGAGACCAATTTTTCCTTCCTTTGAATATTTCTTATTCGAACCGTTGGAGAGACGCTTTCATTCTTTTCGCCTTCTTCATATTCAACTTCATTGTTACTATCAGTAAGTGCCCCGACTGCTCTGCAATGCTACATATTAACTTAATCTATATCACAGTTGCCTCTCGTTTCCTTCGTTACGCCAAACGGTGATTCGTCTACAATCTGGTTCTTCCTCCTACAAGTTTGCTCTATATCACTAGAAACGTCATTTGCGAAGCTACACTTAGAAGTGACGACCAGCATGATTCATTGGACCTAGACTAATCAAGCAAACGGGTGACTCAGTGACGACTGCTATATTTTATCTCGGGATTATAGATATTCCCTGCATTGTTTCGATACGTAGACTGTTCTTCAAGGACGGGTTTAATTAGATGGTCTCATCAGTAGTACCACTATATAATATTGCTTTCTATGTGTATCATGTTTATAACGTCTTGCGAAATTGATCAGAATCATGTTTAGTGTTTATTCACTGCGTGATTGTCGTTTTTTGCTTGTCAAGTGTGTAAATGAGTAGACTGCTAACTCTACCCAAGCCATGTCGATTAAGTTGCAGGTGTTGCACAGAAATTAGGAGGGGGCAAGAAAGTTAATCATATAGATTAAATCGCGTCGTGTCTTTGGTTGGGGTACTGCCCGGAAAAGCCATGATGGCGGCTCGGTCCTGTTATACACTCTCAGTGACCAGCGATATAAACGATACAAGTCACAATTTAGCAGCTTGGGATTGATATTACAAGAAAACGAGAAGGCGGGTCATTGAATTACAGCAAATCGTGCATGATCTACGACCTAGAACTGTGATGAAACTGACGATGGATAGATAAGAATACAATTCTGCTATGGAATAGGAGATAAGAACGTACTATATCACGTAGTTGAGCTTGTGCGTCATTGAATTGCTTTTCAAGATATTTCGACTATCAGACGGTAGGTATTAGTGACCATGACCATTGTTGACACAAGAAGCCTATAGGGACTCTGATCGTACCTTCTTGTTCAGACTGTTTATGTCGTCGGTAAACTCTTTCTCTTGACCCTTTAGTTCCTTCTCCATTGTCTTTCTCGGTACCATCACGAACCTACCGTAACGGTCAGGTCAAAGTCGATGTAGTGTGATAGCGACTCTTACATTTTGCCAACTCCTTTGTAAAGATTCACGTCGCCCTCCATATGTTGAATCTCATCTATCGTCAACTGCAGGATCCTACGCTCCCGTTCTTTCGTAGCGCTTTGTTGACGTGATGCATTCAGTGCTCGTTGCGATTGGACAGCTGTTTGTTGGATTTGAACAAGGATCTGAAGTGTACATTTGAGCTTGCCTCGTCAACGCAATGACCGACTGATATGAACCTTTCTTAACGTTTCGTCCGATAATGTAGACATCTTGTTTAGGCTGGAAGTGAATAATTTTGCAGTAAGCCCGAGACCAGCTCCTGACTGTGAGGCTTCAAGTACTTTCAATTGGAAAATGCAATCATAGCTCAGGTAAGAAAGACCGGAGTTTGAAATATATTCTTGCTGAACGCGCGCCAAAAGTTTACCAACATTAGCACCTGCAAGGCTTTTGCTCCATAAATGGCTTCGTTCGAGGACTACGATGAGTTTGGAAACTACATAGGAGGAGATTTGGCCTCAGACGACGAGGATGATATCCTTCAGCCTGATTTTCGTCCACCCGTACAAGAGCAACCGGCGACACTCGAGGGCTACGATGACGAGCCTATGGGAGTTCAGGAGGACGGTGCATTAATGGAAATCGACGGTGCGTGTGTCTAGTGCCTATAAGTTATTGCGTATCTCAAACGATTCTATAGAACCTGTTCATAATGCCGTAGTCTTGCACGAAGACAAACAATACTACCCTTCAGCCTCGGACGTTTATGGCGCAGATGTTGAAACATTAGTTCAGGAAGAAGATGCTCAACCACTCTCTGAGCCAATTGTTGCCCCCATTAAGGTTCGAAAATGGACTGTCGAGGAGAAGGATATGCCTGAAACTCGCTTTGACAAAGGGTGAGGAGATCCCGGGCTCCTTTTCCTCGCGTTTACTCAGTCTATCAACAGCTTCTTGTTGAACATGATGTCGTTTCCAGACATGATTCGAAATGTTGCTGTAGTAGGCCATTTGCATCACGGCAAGACTGCATTGGTGGATATGCTGGTGTTCGAAACCCACAAACTTATATGGGACGCTGACCAACCGGTTTGTAAGTCGCTTTTTCTCAGAATATCACTGCTAACATCCGCCACTACTAGACTCGGTATACCGATACTCATATCCTCTCTCGAGAACGTCGAATATCCATAAAATCATCTCCCATGTCCCTAGTTCTTTCCACCACATCCGGGAAGTCACATCTTGTGCATCTCATTGACACCCCTGGACACGTCAACTTCGTCGATGAAGTTGCTTCAGCAATGCGACTAGTAGATGGCATAATTCTAGTGGTGGATGTTGTTGAAGGGGTCGGTCGTCTTTTATTGCCTTGCCTTAACGCTACTGAGAGACGTATAGATGATGATCAACACCGAACACATTATACGACACGCAATGCAAGAGGGTATCAAAATGACCCTTGTAGTAAACAAGATTGATCGACTCATCCTGGAGTTGCGCATTAAACCTGCCGATGCCTACTACAAGATCAAGCACACGATAGAAGAAATTAACACATTCATCAGGTATTTCGCCTATATTTCTGTCGAAAGCATCTGAATGGACGCGTTATATGATAGTGGCATTGATCCCGACCCAGACCTTCGTCTCACCCCTGAAAATGGCAACGTTGCGTTCGCGAGCACTGACATGAACTGGTGTTTCACCCTTCGCTCTTTTGCGCAAATGTATGCTGATACATATGGTATGATTCACTGCTTTACTGATTTTAATTGGGCTGACGATGATTTATTAGGCTCTTTGGATGTTCAGTCCTTTGCTGACCGTCTATGGGGCGATATCTTCTTCAATGAAGAAACGCGGAAGTTCACACGGAAACAAGCAGATCCGGAACAAAGTCGTACTTTTGTACACTTTATCATGGACCCGCTGTACAAACTATACAGTCATGTTCTAAGCCAAGAAACGGATGACCTCAAGCAAACCTTGGAGGGATTAGGAATCAGGCTCAAGCCGGTGATGTACAAAATGGATGTGAGGCCACTTTTGAAGGCCGCCTTGGACCAGTTCTTTGGCCCGTCGACGGGACTTGTGGATATGATTGCGGAGCATATTCCTTCACCCGTAGAAGGTGCTTCGGGCAAGGTATGTTTGTCAAGCTTATCTTCTTCCAATACAGTAATATATGTCTAATATCTTGAAGGTTGAACGGACATACACTGGTCCACAAACTTCAGATCTGGTGGCGACGATGAAAGCTTGCGATGCAGAAGGTCCTGTCATGGTTCAGATCACGAAGTTGTATCACACTACGGATGCCCAGTCTTTCAGGTCGTTTGGACGTGTTATAAGTGGTACGATCAGAAAGGGTATGGACATCAAGGTACTTGGAGAAGGTTATTCGCCAGAGGACGAGGAGGACATGATGAAGGCAAGGGTAGAAGATATATGGTTGAGTGAATCTCGGTTAGTATCATTCCTTCGAACAATGTGTGGTGTAAATCGATCTAATCCTTCACTTGCACAGTTACTTCGTTCCCGCCGAAGAGGCTCCAGCAGGGAACCTTGTTCTTCTTGGCGGCGTTGACGCCTCTATATCGAAAACAGCAACTCTGGCTTCTGTGGACATCGACGATGACCTTCACATTTTCCGCCCAATAAAACACATGACGGAGTCTGTCCTGAAAGTTGCTATTGAACCTATTGCTCCATCGGAATTGCCCAAGATGCTGTCTGGCCTACGAAGTATCAACAAGTCCTATCCTCTTGCTGCTACTAAAGTAGAAGAAAGTGGTGAACATGTTCTGATTGGCACTGGAGAACTATACTTGGACTGCATTTTGCACGATCTTCGCAAATTATTCTCAGAAATTGAGATCAAGGTGTCCGACCCCGTGACCAAGTTTTGCGAGACTGTTCTGGAGACCAGCGCGCTGAAATGTTATGCTGATACACCAAATAAAAAGTGCTTCCAATTCTTGTTATTCATGTTAACTTTATACTGATGTTGTATAGGAACAAAATCACGATGATCGCAGAGCCACTTGAGAGAGGAGTTGCGGAAGACGTTGAACGAGGCAGAGTGACTATGCGTATGACACCAAAGGAGAGAGGTTCTTTCTTCCAGGAAAAATATCAATGGGATCTATTGGCTTCTCGATCAATATGGGCGTTTGGACCAGAAGAGAGTGGACCCAATATACTATTGGACGACACTCTGCCTTCACAGGTAAATATTACATTTTCATTTTATTTACAATTACGGTTACTGAACACATTATGTAGGTGGACAAAAAGATGTTGGGCACTGTGAAAGAACACATCAAGCAGGGCTTCCAATGGGGTGCTCGTGAAGGTCCCCTATGTGATGAGCGTGCGTCTTCAATGTGCCATTATCTTACTAGGTGATAACCTTTCTACAGCAATGCGCAATGTGAAATTCCGTATCCTTGATGCCAGCCTGGCACAAGAACCAATTTTCCGTGGCGGTGGCCAGATTGTTCCAACTGCACGACGAGTATGCTACTCGTCTTTCCTTATGGTATGTCTTTGCTTGCGAGACATGTGTGGAGTACTCATTTGGTCCAGGCTACTCCTCGTTTGATGGAGCCTGTATACTATGTTGAGGTGCAAGCCCCAGCAGATTGTATATCAGCTGTTTATACTGTTCTTGCGAGACGGAGAGGACATGTGACGCAAGATATACCAAAAGCCGGTTCGCCGTTGTACACAGTGAAAGCCCTTATTCCGGTGATAGATGCCAATGGCTTTGAAACTGACCTACGAACGGCAACGCAAGGCCAGGCGTTCTGTCTCCAAGTGTTCGATCACTGGTCAATTGTGCCCGGTGCGTGACTTGCATTTCCTTGAATGTTTTTCCGGCGGCTACTGATCTGTGGATGACAGGTGATCCCACGGACACTAGCATTAAGCTTCGACCACTGGAGCCAGCGTCTGGGCAAGCGTTAGCGAGAGATCTTGTACTGAAGACACGGCGGCGCAAAGGTCTTGGAGACCAGATTGCGGTGTCGAAGTATCTGGACGACGAGTTTGTGGTAAGTGTGCATGTTTTGAGCGTTATAGCGCTGCCTGACGAAATGAATGATACAGCTTGCACTGTCTGCATCTGGGCACGCAGACCTGCTTGGGTAAGATGGTAGTGTGTTGTAGTACATTAATATGTAGCTTGTAAAATAAAAAGAGTGCTGCATTTTGTCAGGGTGGGTGTGATGAGTGTTTTGATGACTTGTTATTTCGGTACTGGCTTAAGCGTGGGAGATTGGTACTTGGTGGAATGTGCATACGTGGCAGGAACTAGCCGGGCGAGCATTTAGAGACGCCGAGACGCATTTCTGCCTTTAAACTCATTCTCGCTCGTTTTCTCTCATCTTGCTTTCTTAATATCCCGTCGTTTGGTCCTTCGTATAACAATGCGAAGCGTAGCGCTTTCCGTTCTCCTTGCTGTCGCTGCTGCCAGCGCGTCGGCCTCCGATGATGCAAAACCTGTATTCCAGGCAAGTCTCTTTTTCTTTTCATTCCCCATGCTCGTGTTCAAACGCGCATATACCTTAGGCTACCGAAATAACCGCCCCCTTCCTTGAACAATTCACTGATGACTGGTCGGAGCGCTGGACTCCTTCAGAGGCTACCAAGAAAACCCCAGTCGGCGGCGAGACTTTTTCCTACGTCGGCAAGTGGGAGGTTGAGGAGCCAGAGACAGTAGTCGTCGAGGGCGATAAGGGCCTCGTGGCTAAAACCAAGGCTGCTCACCATGCCATCTCTGCACCTTTCTCAGAGCCAATCAGCTTCAAGGACAAGCCTTTGGTGGTTCAATATGAAGTCAAGTACCAGAAGGGCGGCAACTGCGGTGGTGGCTACGTGAAGCTCCTTGAGGATGGCTTCCAGACCAGTGGTAAAGAGTTCTCTGACAACACTCCTTGGGTTGTCATGTTTGGACCTGATCTCACTTGTCCTGGCACCAAGGTAAATGAACGGTTATGAAAACATGACCACTGAAGCTAATCTTTCATACATTTACCAGCTCCACTTCATTTTCCGTCACAAGAACCCCATCACCGGCGAGTATGAGGAGAAGCACCTTGTGCCTCCTCCCAAACCCGCGTTCGAGAAGCTCACCAACCTTTACACCCTCATTGTCAAGTAAGTGCGTTTGATGGTTACTTTGGCCTTGATCGCTAATTCTATATTCTTCATTAAAGCCCCGACAACACCTATGATGTTCTCTTCAATGGCGAGAGCCAGAAATCTGGTAGTCTTCTTGAGGACTTTACCCCCGCCGTTAACCCATCTAAGGAGATTGATGACCCTGAAGACACGAAGCCCGAAGACTGGGTCGACACCAAGAGGATCGCTGACCCTGACGCTACCAAGGTAACGTGATGATGTTGCCCGTTTGAAAGATGTGATTGTTAATTTGTAATTTCAGCCCGCAGACTGGGATGAAGATGAACCTTACCAAATCGTTGACGAGGACGCTGAGAAACCCGAAGGCTGGCTCGATGACGAACCTGACACTATCCCCGACCCTGGTAAGATTCACTTACTTTGCGAGTGATGGTAATTAACATCATGTATACAGATGCTGAGAAGCCTGAAGAGTGGGATGATGAGGAAGACGGTGACTGGATTGCACCCACCGTTTCCAACCCCGCTTGTGAGGAAGCTCCTGGATGTGGTGCTTGGAAAGCGTATGTTGATTTTTAATTTTGGGTCCACATTGGCCACCTCTGACCTGCCACGTAGTCCCATGAAAGCCAACCCCGCTTACAAGGGCAAATGGTATGCTCCCATGATTGACAACCCCGCATACATCGGTGAATGGGCCCCACGCAAGATCGCCAACCCTGATTTCTTCGAAGACCTTACTCCTGTTCAGAGCCTTGAGAAGATCGTTAGTATTGTTCTCCTATTCATCTCATGCAAGTTGACTTACTTTTAATCTAGGGTGGTATTGGTATTGAACTCTGGACCATGACTGAGGACATCCTCTTCAACAACATCTACATTGGTCACTCTGCTGAGGATGCCAAGGCTCTTGCTGCTGAAACATTCGAGGTTAAGAGACCTCTTGAAGTTGAGGCCGCCAAGGTTACTCTCCCAGACGACGATGAGGAAGTGTCCTTCGCTGAGGACCCAGTCGCCTTCATCCGCCAGAAGGTCTTCACTTTCATCGACCTCGCCAAGCTTGACCCCGTCCTTGCCTTCAAGACTCAACCTGAGACTGGTGTCGCCTTGGCTGGTGCCGTCTTTACTCTCTTCGGAATGATTGGTGTCCTCTTTGGTCTCGTCGGTGCTCAGCAAAAACCCATTACCAAGGTATATATTATCTATTCACATCTAAATTAGAATGACTTTACTGACTCTTTCTTATAGTCGTCCAAGAAGACCGATGCCCCTACTGCCGATGACAAGAAAAAGGATGAGAGTGCTCCTGTTGCACCTGCTGGAGGGGAGAAGAAAGATGAGACACCTGTGAAGAAGCGCAAGTAAAAAGCATTGTATTGTCGTATGCAACTTTTGTTAGTTTGCGAGGGCTTTTTGGTAGAGGAAACAAAATATATGTTATATCCAAATTACGCTAACTCGCGGCGCGGATCTCCGTTCGAAGCCAGTCAATGTATATTCTTAATACGCCTTTGTCATAGTAAAATCTTAGAGATGTGAGTTGAATTATTGTCATGTGAACCTCGACCGTCCTTCTAGTGCAAGAGGTGTGCGTGCTAACTTATTCTAGTAATTTGAAGTCTATCACCATGTCCGCTTGACCACTCGTTCTGTCAACACCTCTAACGCTATTTTCGCATCGCTGTCTGGTAACAACCCTAACACTTCTCTTGCTTTGTCGGCATGCGCCAGAGCGAGATCTCTCGTGCGTTCTACACCTGATGAACGTCGAACGAGGTCTCTAGCCTAAATCAAAAATAAGATAACAGGAAGCAGGGCAAGTTGAGTTCACGGCGCTCACCAGCTCGACATCGCCCTCTTTCTCGAATTTGCGTTCGATAAGAGGTCCCATTTCTGGATGTTCCTCCCAGGCATAGAGAGCAGGTCCTGTGGCAAGTCCTAGCTGGAGATCTGCACCTCCAGGTTTGCCGAGGGTGGCCTCTCCTGCCTCGTAATCCAAGATATCGTCAACAAGCTAGAAGGAGAATATGCAGTCAGGTACGGTTTCTCAAGAATATGTAGAGGAAGTATGGACCTGGAATGCTATGCCGACGTTGCGGCCATATGCATATGCAACCTCCTTCCAAACCTCGCCTTCCTTACAGCCTCCCAAGACTACGGCAGCACGTGCGCCCTTTGCCATCAGACTGGCAGTTTTGAGATAGCACTTCTTGAGGTAAATATTCCAGCCTTCTCTGCCAGCCCTGGGCGTGCCTACGAGACCGAGTTCGGGGGCATGGACCTCCTTCATCTGCAGAATCTCGCCTTCCACGAGATTGGCAATAACGCTTGCGATCAGCTCGACGACTTCGTTGTCGCCCAGACGAGAGAGGGCTGCGCTGGCACGTCCGAGGAGGAAGTCGCCGCCCAGGACGGAGAGTTTGTTGCCGAAAGCAGCTGGGGCGGAAGCAGAACCTCTGCGGAGGGGGGACTTGTCGATGACATCGTCGTGGAGTAACGAGGCGACGTGTATCATCTCCACGATCTGGGCGAGGCGCAGCTGGGTGGGTAGCAGCACGTCTGAGGATGAGAAGAGGGACGTATCGCGGGTGGACGAGGAGGGCGTGAAGACGGGGGGCGGGGTGGGGATGGTGGGAGGTTGTATTGAGAAGGCGGACTCGAAGGACGCTGTGTGGTCTGGCATGTGGGGATTCCAGTCATTGAGGACGTCTGGACGCGTCAGAGGGCGGTCGAGCTCTTCTGTCCGTCCTCCTGCGCCTTCGCATTCTGCAGCCCAGTGCTTGAGCTCCCAGTCGCGTCCGAGACCGTTTGTAGCACGAGAAAAGAGGAGGACGAGGAGTGGACGGAGCTGCTTTGAGGGGTGCAGAAAGTAGTACTGCGCTATGTCATTGAGGGACGGGTGCGACGAGCCAAGGAGGTTCAGCAATGTTGTTCGGAGGTGGGCGAGCTCAGGTGCTAGTAGCTTATACGGGTCTGGTCGTGCTGGTGGTACTGCGTCTGCGACAACTGAAGATGCAGATGACTGAGACTGTATTTTTTGCTGCTGGGCGAATACGCTATGTTTTCGTATGGCAGAACACGATCGCGTGACGCCTCGGTTTGTTCGTGAAGCAAAACATATGGTGGAGACTGCACCAGACCACCGCGACATATTAAAAGCAGAAAGTATTAAGAGGGTAGGAAGGGGTCGACGTTGTCGCCAACGTTTGCCAGAGTGTTTTGGGCAGCGACACGGTGAAAATGGCTGGCAGAGCGTCGCCTTAGCTTGGTGGTGCCTATCGTAACCGGGTTCCAGTTTTTCCCGCGTATGCTCAAACGCGCCTTATACGATAGGTCTCTTTTGACACGAGCATTGCATGCAGACAACCGCATTTCGGGCAATTGTTAACACACCTTCAGGATGTATTCTGCTCTTTTATGTACTACATCTCAACGGCATAGATGCAGTAAGGCAATAGCTCTGAGAGATAATGCCGTTTAACATGCAGGCGGACCCAAGTGAGGTGCTTTCTTTAAAGGGTTTGCTGCACGTCATCTATCTCCACAAAAGTAGCCTTGAAACAGCCACTTCAGTTTTAAACCCGACTTGTTTCGGCACATTGAATGGGATCAAATCCTCCATTTACATAGCTGCCTTTCGGTGTACAGCGAATGTCCTGATCGCCACCATCCTTTCTGCAATAGGCTGACCATCTTGTGATAGCTGACATCTATCCTTCTAAATAACGCGGCGTATCTCATCGTAGAGAGCTGAAACATCCTTGTCGGCAAATGCTTAATCAGGCGCCAGCGAGATAAAGTAACGAGGCGCCCTGACTTACTCATATATCTCGATATGAGATATAACACAGCAACAGCGCCATCTAGCGAGCAGACCGGTTTGGTGAAGGAGTGTTGCTTGGGGCTTTAGAAGCCTCAAACTGTTCACGATATTTGTTCACAGAGGGAGCCAGGTACCTGGCCATCTTTTTTCCCTGAGAAATTAGGATCAGTTTCGGAAGTATACAGCAGTGACTATGACGCGCACCTTCATTTGCAATACTTCCCACTCCACTGAAGGTGTCGCATTCAGAGCCAACAGCAATAAAGGATCCCGGTTTTCAGGGGGCACTTCATTCTCAATAGCAATTACTAGGATGCGCCCGAGCTTTGACAAAGGTCGCATGATGGTTAGACACGAATCACCTGCGATACAAGGGGCAAGTACCTCACTCTCGACCATCCCAAATGCCTGTCCTCGAGTCTCTTGCCATACTTCAGCACTCAGTGCTGCGACAATACGTATTTGGTCCTTTGGACGTTGTGGGTTTGCTGCAACAGACACCAAAGAGCCCTCTGGATTGAGGAGCAGGGCGGTGTGGAGGTCTTGACAAAGGATCTGGGACAGGTATTTGTGGATTGCGGAAAGAACAAGCATTTTTGGGAACGAAAACGGAGCGCGCCGAAGACGAGAGCGGTGGAAGTATATTCGCGGAGCTCAATTTAAAACAGTGCGCTTCATACCATGACCCTTCCTCTCAAACCTGAACCACAAGAATCATAGAAAATGGCTAATACAGCAACCCAGCTTTCTCTGGCACTCCAGCGCTGTAAGGACCATCGAATGATCACCAGCAAGAATGCAAGTTTATTGCGTAGAAGTCACTTTAAACTTTGTGTGCAAAGCTGTGAATGTCTTTACGTTTTGATATTCTAGCGGCTCTGATATTCGGGACCCTCTGACAAGATGCGAACATGGAATCCTGCTAGTCCATATCAGAAAACATGGGCTCTGTTCTCCGGAAGATATTTTGATTTCGGTCCTGCTCATTTCCCACCGCTCGACTTTTCGTTCGTCCTCTGAGCTCCCCTAGACATGGTTAACATCATGGAGATCGAACAGCAAATTAGTGTCACTCAGCTGCACGCTTCCGTGTCCCCTGCAAATATATCAAACGACATACAGTCCATCACCGATCCCTCGACCGCCCTACAAGCATTTCTATCTGATGAACATGAAACTATCAAACCTTCTGGTGATGCGAACAATGTCCCAGAGTCCTTGGATGTCCACCAACTCCAAGCACAAGTGACAGGCATAGTAGAGACGGAAGGACGCGCCCTCGTCGTCGCCGCTCTCACAGATCCCGAATATATCGACGTCCATCAACTTGAAAGTCAAGCCATACACATGATTGAAACCGAAGGACGCACCCTACTCGTCTCCTATGCCTCCAGGATCCCCATCGTTGGGCGATTTATTAGCACTCGCATCAGCGGGACAGCCGTCGCTACCACCGCGGACGGTAAGCAGACCGAGGTCAATGTCGATATTGCAGATGTAGAGGGACTGGTGTCCGAAACGTCTCCTCTGCTGGGCGAGGCTCTGCGCGCGGGCAAGGATCCAAAAGGCTATGCCGAGAAGCGCATCAAGGCGCTTGTGGTCACATTGACCGGCCCTATTATGAGTCGTGTTCCCGATATCGAGGCTTATGGAGATAATAATAGTGATAATCAAAGTCTCCTGCTTCAATTGTTTATCGAGGTGTTTGTCTTATCGAAATATGCTGGGCCCCTCTTCTTGTAAGCGTCATTTATAATCTTTGCAAGGGACATGTTTCGCTGAATGCCGTCCAAAGTTCGCATATCCAGGAGCATTCGCTAGCGGTAGCCCCTACGGTGTCCCTTGGACACCTATCAACCACGACCCTTGCTGCTTCGACGATAGGTACCATGGCCGCGAGTATTACAGGTCACAGTATCATTCAAGGCTTCATCAGGTGCATCTAGTTCGTTATTGCCTTGAAGTTGAATTCTCATCTTATATTTTTCAGTGCGCTTGATGGCCTCCTTGCATCAGCTGGTTCAGATCATCACCTCGCTACTGTCTGGTGTCTTCGCACAGCCCTTATCACAGCGATCGTTTTAATGGTAATTTATCTCTCATGGCTTATATGCGTTTTACACACTTCACGTACAGCCGATCGTCCAACTCTGGTTCCAAGCTGAATCATTACTACTCCAAATCGGCCAAGATCCAGAGGTCGCAAGCTTAGCTTCTCAATTTCTGAGATTTACTGCCATTGGTCTACCATCCTACGCTTTCAACGAGATAGCAAAGTAGGTGTGACTGCTGCAAGCTTCTCTATGCTCTGATATTGATAAAGGATTGTAGACGATACTTGATTTCACAAGGTAAGTTAGTTGTGACTGCACGACCTCAGAGTTACTTACCGTGATGGATCAAAGATCTTTCCTCCGTTCATACTCGTATTCTTACAATGACAGCACCCCTGAACATGCTCCTTAATTATCTACTTGGTTTGCATCATTCTTTTTTCTGTTAAACCCGAGCTTTTTCACTCACTCGATCACAGTCGACGGGCCAGAATCGTTCCGCCTGGGCTTTGTAGGAGCCCCAGTGTCTACCGCAATCAGTCACAATCTCATCTCTATACTCCTATTTTTTTATATTCTCAAAAGAGTCGTCACCAAACGAGAAGAACTATTCGCGCGATCGTCACCTCCTCCCCCTTTTTTCCATGGCATGTATGACCTCTTGGTTGCAGGTATCTCTGGCGTTGGTGAGCTAGTTATACGTGCTATTATGCTATGTATTGACGTGTTCCAATGGCCAGCTCGGAGTGCTTCGCAGTTGTGGTCTAAAGATCTTGGTGGTCGTAAGTACCATCCCTGGTATCCTGCTGTAGACCTGCGCTGAGCCGGCCACATATGCAGTTGCGGCCAGCATGTAGGGCAATATTTTGTTATTGTTTTCCAGTTGTTCACATGGACGCTACGCTTTTAGGCTGGGCCCTATTGCTTTAGCTACTCAGGCTATCTTGCTTACTACTGCTACAACACTTCATCAAGCACCTCGCGCTCTGTCATCATCGTCTTCTAATCGGTGAGACCAAAGCATACAGTTTATATCACTCCTCTTGAATTGAACGATATCTTAATTTGCATCAGTGTCAAGAAGCTCTTGGGGAGAGGAGATGTGGTCAGGGCCAGAATCGCAACATTGGTGTCCTTTGTAGCTACAGTATTCGGGGTGTTAACGCTTAGGTATGTATATCGTGTTGTATTTTATCTCACTATCGTTCTAATCACATGCATTGACTTATTAGTAACGTCCTGTTGGCTTCTGCGGATTCTTGGGGTGAACTGTTCAATAATGATCCCGGTATTAGCATAAATTCAACATGATGTGAACTCGTTTACTAATCACGGTACGTTGATCTAGCTGTGCTGCAAAACGTCGCCTCTGTCTTGCCCTTTATTGCCCTTTTCCAAGCTGTTCATGGGCTTGGTGCCTGGGTTGATGGTATGCTAGGTGCTCTGGGGAAAACGGTTCGTCATCTATGGCATCATCAGAATTACCTTGCGACTAATGGTGCACATACACAAAGGCCATCTATCCAGCTTTAAATGCCAGGTACATCTCATACCTATTCTAACATATTACTCTTCATCCAACTCACGTGCTTTCGTCCCAAAGCTCTGATTACTTCGTAGGTGAGACCTCCACAGAACCAGAGCTCGCTGTTATCATGCTGACTTATGTGTTTGTTTGTTCTGCGTATTAGGGATTCCTTTGGGACTTTACTTGGCTTTTGGCCGCCATTGGGGGCTCTCTGGGTTATGGGCCGGTTTGATTGCCAGTTTGACTTACTCTTTGGTGGTTGCTGCGATCGTGCTCCTCACTTCGAGCTGGTCTTCACGCGACAAAAACACTCGAGAGGCGGAAGAAGACGAACCGGATTGTGCGGAAGTCTAGTTAAAAATTTTGTGTCATGTTCTTTGTATGGCCAATTAAGTGGAAGGAGAGTGATCAGTTAACTTGATGTGTATCGAATCTGGCTTCGGTTAACTATCGTTTTATTTCTCCGATTAGGAATTTGTTTATCGATATTGTATTGAAATTTTATGACACTAGCAGAATACGACTATAATGACTGGGTTGTTATATTGATAAAAAAGGTGCATTCAAAGCAACACGATTTCTAGTCAACCAAAATGGCTGTCGCAACTGACGGTGTAGATAAAATAGAAGAACTACAGCTTGCCAACGATGCGGCCCCAGAAACAGTCCTGAACAAGAGTGAGCCTGAGGGTGTCTATGACAAGGAGGCCAATTATTTGTGATAACCAGCAAGATAGCTAGAATTGTTCAGAGATCCTTGGAATTGTCTATGGCAAAGAGGCACATATGCTAAGGATAGCGCACGCTATCACGAGAAAAATTAATGAGTCAGGGGGAGTGTCCTTTGCACCGCCAATGGAACGTGCGTGCCAGTTGTGGTCGTATCTCGCAGATAGCATTGAGCTTACTGGAAAGCTCACAGGGGGTCCACTTGGTCATCCACCTATCTTTTTGAGTACATTGAAGCATTTCAGGATACATGAAGGCATCGCGCACCATACATCATGATACGATCTCCCACGTGCAAAGCTGCACTACCACCAGTCTGAGGGCATTGAAAGACCTGATTCGGCTGCGACGAAAAGAAATGTCTGTCACATCGTTACCAACGCAGACTCTATCAATAGCCATACCTGATAATCTTGTGCACATTGATGGATATTGCAGGGACCGTCGACGTGAGAGGGCAGATGCAGAAGCATCGGAAATTCATATCAGTTGAGAATCTCCCATAGCTTCAATCACATTTCCCTGGTATCCCATTGAACGCTGTAAGTGACATATCAGCTTCTATTGCTTTTAGATGCAGACGAGAGAACTTGAAGAGGGAGTAAAGATCAATCCCTTATTTGGTCAACACATAAGTACATATATACATATATTATACGTCAGAAGACGAAGTCAATATGGACAAAAGAACTACGAAATTGAGACCGTTACACACTGCGCACCTAAGTACGCTTTTGAGATTGCTAAAATAAGCACGTACATCAGCATCATTAGAAACCTCAGTATATAAACAAATTACTCACCAGATAAGCCATAAGCTGCTGATAACCAGGATTACCTGGCTGTGGTGCACCCGGAGGCATACTAGACATTGGAGGCGGTGTCATCATTTGGTGAGGAGGGAGCCCATACTGGCCAGATGGTGGTGGCGGCGGTGGAGGTCCTTGAGTAGTTTGTTGAAGCAAGGCAAGGATGTTGGGAGGCAAATTAGCCAAATTTGGCGGACCCTGTCCTGGCTGAGGAGTGGGTGCTTGGGGGGGCATTCCATAAGGATTGGAGTTCCCACCAGGTGGCGGAAGTTGGCCCGGGTAAGGAGGTTGAGCTTGTTGCATGGGAGGAGGTGGTTGATAGTAGGGAGGAGGATTAGGGACTTGAGGAGGCATTTGTGGCATGTTGAGGGCACCAGGCGGTGGTGGGGGCGGTCCAAGTCCGCCTGTGCTGTTCAAACCACCGCCGTTCTGAGGTTGTTTTAGAGCAGCAAGGAGTTGTTGAACTTTTCGAGCTTGCTCCAAGCGTTCGTCAATCGGCTGTATATTTGTCAGAACTAGACATCCTAGGTCTTGAGGAATACTCACGGGCTGCACGGCTGGAGGAGGCTGATTATATGCAGCTGCTGTGTTTGTTGGCTCGCTGTATCCAGGAGACGGTCCGTATCCACCCCCACCTCCTCTGCTGTCAAATCTGTCCCCGTATCCGCCACCGCCACCTCTACCACCTCGACCTCTGTAATCATCATCATAGCGGGCGGGACGGTCACGATCGCGGCCCCATTCGTCACGGCGTTCCCAGTCCTCGCCACCACCTCCGCCACCTCCACCGCCGCCTCCGCCCCCACCTCCACCTCCACCTCCGCCACGTCCCCTACCACGTCCGCGTCCACGCCCTCGACCACGGGAGTGCCCACGTGGACCATCATCCCACTCACGGCCACCTCCACCACCACCTTCATAGTTTCTGTCATCGCGCCTAAATCACGCCACTTGTTAGCATACAAATGTTGAAGGATATCTCTATTTCAGATACCTTTGTCCGCCGCTATTCGGAGGGCCATTGCCCTCCGTCACATCCCATGCAAAGACAATGTCCATGACTCCATCTTGTAAGCCTTGATGTCTCAGTCGATCATACGATTCCTCGCAAGCCTGCACACATATCAGTCGATAAAGTAATATGATATACGATAATTAGTATTCACGTACCCTGATATCATAAAATTCGACGTAGCGTTGACTAATTCAATTCAACAGTCAGATATGTCGATTCGAGGAAAAGGATATGTGCGATACTTACTCGCCACGATCCCCAATTGGTCGTACGGATTTCACATCCCCAAATTGCTGGAACTTACGTCGCACTTCATTATCATCGATGGGTTGACCGGAAGGGGAATTACGGAGGGTGACTATAACGGTGCCCTGTAACTATTATAAAGGGAAAGACGTGTGAACAAGATTTCAAAACGTGAAACAACAACAGTCGTCCCAATGCACCTGATTTTTGTCACCTCCCTGCCGTTGATCATCACGTGGGAGAGAATAATGTACATCGATCTGTCAAAAAAAGAGGAACTTAGTTGATGTCCGCTTGGGCACTGGATTCAGTAAACTTACAGGTCGACCACTAATCTCAGAGCCTTGTAAACGATCTCTCGCACGCTCAGCTGCTCGCAAGTCATACTGAAAATTTGCAATATCTTAGACCGATACTAGAGCTGTATCACAGGTCACTCACGTAAGTAACAAAGACCATTCCTCGTGTCGATATAAGGTCAAAGAAAGTTTTGATCTCTCCATGTTCTTCAAAAGAGTGGCGTACGTCTTCACTATTAGTTTCATACTGCAACACGAAAGACCAATCTCATTAGCTCCTTACGATCGTACACACGGAACGAAATGAAGCGAGAAGAAAAACGCAAAAGGAGCGCTCCACACGCAAGCGATAAATCTCAATATTTCAGAGGTAAGACTTGCCTTGATATTGCGTATGAAAAGTGTACGACAAGGACGTTCACGTTGAATACGTTCTTCTATAATAGAATCGTGCACCTTGTCATCCCTTTCCCGTCGTACGATACGTTTTCCGGAGCGATTACCGTAAGCTCCCTCGTCATAATTTGAGTCTGTTCCGTCTAACAAAGGACCGAGATGTGAGATATGTTTCTTTTAAAGGCCAAAAATACCAGAAAACTAAGGAGAGCAGAAGCGGATGCGCAGCAAAGGCGAACGAACAATACTGCCACCAGGCCAAAGCGACAGTTCAGCAGAACTTTGGCAAAAAAGACAAGTTCTCCCGGCATATGTCAAGGATCCGACGATCACAGCATTCGCACGATTCTCATCCCAGCAATTTTCGCGATGATAACCCAACCTCACGACATGGCTCTCGCTAATGGATAGCTTAAGCTTGCAGGAAAGGCTCTCATTGCCTGACGACCTCTCGACAACAGCATTTGCATCTCTTGCAACGTATACATCGTCAGGTTTGCATGCGCTTTACTTCAAAATTTAAAGACGAGTATATGCCTATAATTCGCTCGATGTTTTTCAGTCTTAATTTCAAGCGCACCTTCAAAATTGCCGTAAGCCTGGTTGTAGCCATCTGAGGCAGGAGGGGCAGTATACTGAGAAGGGCCACCACCATAACCAGCGTTGCCATTTTGGTAAAAGGGTTGTTCTTGTGAGCCAGAATCGTAATTATTGTAGATTCCAATATCGCTCTGGGGTGGAGCTTGGTCGTAAGGAGAGGAGCTTTGGGCTGCATTAGCATCGAAAGCATTATAGCCTCCTCCCCGACCCCGGCCGAATCCTCTCCCACGAGGGGCGCCTCTATGATGATATGTCCTATCCGGTCCAGGACCTCCAGGAGAACCACCTCTCCGAGCAGAGGTTTCAAACCCTCCGTAAGGATGATGCCGATTCATTCCTGATTTCTCAGATGTGAAGATGCTCTCTGATGCGCAGCTTAGGTGTAGGACGAAGGTGATTTAAATCCAGGCGGTGAAATATGACAAGGAGACTGGGCCACAGATGAAATTCGAGGGATTGGTTGGTACCAGATAGGCCTAATTCTTAGCCAGGGCTAAAAGACAGACGATTACTGCTGTAGATGATGGTGGTTGGAGTTCAACCTTCGGACAACGCTGACAAGAAAAATTCGGGGGGAGATGAGAGCGTGGGAATCGGAAAATAAAATTTACGTAATGATATCACCCAATGCGGTCGCTGCGCGTCCCTCAGCCAAGCGTTGCTCGGTGCTCCACTTGACCTTTCCGCAATACAACGACCTCTCACCACCGTGGACGATGTCGAAGCAATATCAGTTCAAACTTGTCCTCCTAGGTATTTCGTCACTTTATCTCTTTTAAACTGTGGGGCTTATTCAAGGTTTTCACCCTCGCAGGAGAGTCTGCCGTAGGAAAGTCCAGGTATGATGGTCGAAATACAAGGGCATTTGATGTAACTCTAATGCCGCATGTAATTCAGCTTGGTACTTAGATTTGTTAAAGATCAGTTTGATGACTATCGGGAGAGTACCATCGGAGGTTGCTAAGTTTCTAGTGGTATACACGTTATCTTTCTGACTTTGCACTTTTCAGCGGCTTTCCTGACCCAAACGGTGACGCTCGACGACCAAAGCACAGTGAAATTTGAGATATGGTTAGTGCATTACAGAATTTTTTTGGGTGCTCTTCTCATCTGTCCGACAGGGATACTGCCGGTCAGGAACGGTATAAGGTATGTTCCAATCACCACTGAATTGCTAGCTGACGCTGACATGGATAATATATCACAGTCACTAGTACGCCTCCTCATTTCTCTCCACCGATATAATCGTAACCTGGATTCTCACAGGCGCCTATGTATTACCGGAACGCCAACTGTGCTGTGGTAGTCTATGACATAACCCAGTCCGCTTCACTCGAGAAGGCTCGTACTTGGATTCGCGAACTTCAACGCCAAGCCGATCCTTCAATAGTGATCGCACTTTGTGGGAACAAGACAGACTTGTCAGCTCGTCGCCAGGTAACGCAAGAGGAAGCAAAGAAATACGCCGAGGAAGAAGGCCTCATGTGGGGCGAGACTAGTGCGAAATCCGGCGAGGGTGTCGCAGACATCTTCACTGCCATTGGTAAGGACATCTAAATCCACGCAAACGTGCAATCTAACGAATGCGAATGTCTTTGTCTACAGCTAAGAAGTTGCCACTCACAGCAGCCCCACCAGCATCAAGGGGAGGCGGTGCTCGCGGAGGTGGACCGGCACCTAGATCAGGAGTCGATCTGAACAGGCAGGCCGGTGGACAGAGTGGACATAACGAAGCCTGCAACTGTTAGTGGCCATCTGTCTGGCATGTTGCACGGTTATCTCCCCAATCCCCCGTCCCTCTTTCGCATTTGCCCCCCACGCTTACACCCGGTTAACTCCTTTTACCTCACCACCATTTAGTAGTCAGTCTTTGCGTTCTTCAGTCTTGTAATCATAAGTATTTTTTGCGATATATGCTGGACTTCTCTCAGGGTATACAGTATATACTCAACTCGTTTCATATTCCCTCACCGTCCTCGAGTCTTACTTCTATGGAGTGAAAAGACCCGAAACCATCCCTGAATAATATGCATATATATGCGTCAAACCCGTTGTATATTTCACCTAGCATATATGAGATAAAATAGATGATGCTCTGACCACAGCAGAGCCACGAAGAAAAAATGCGCCAAGAATACCCAGTCGATACAATAATGATAGAGATAAAAGTGTATGATATATGATAACAGTCCCAAGACAACCATGAGAAGCCTATCCATTTCAAAATCCAGCCGCCTCCAGACCCTTCCTGATATCCGCATGAGCCAGCTCCGACTGCTGAATTTCCTGACTCTTCGACCAGAACCAGTCTTGGCCAGCCGTACCAGACGAATACAACACCCCCTCGATAAAACTCCGTGCAGACGGATCGACGACGAACTGGTAAGGCTTTGACTGATAACGAAGCATCGTCGTTACCGTCTCATGCCATCTCTGCCGCTTCGTGAACGAAATGAAGGCCACGTCGCCTTGGGAAGCCGAGAGTGGGATCGTGTCGTTGTATTGGCCTTGGATCTGGATGACGTCCGTGAGGAACGTCCGAACATAGGGTATACAAGGTCCTTCTGTGGATGTCAGAAGACATTTATAGCCTGAGGACCCATTCAATGGGTCGCACACTTTCACCAACGCATCATACTGTGATTTCCGACTGCAGTGCGACCAGGTCAGATGTAACCGTGCGATAACGACGCTTGACAGGCCTGCCATCACAGCACTCATCGAATGAAAATTGTGGACGTTCCGACATTTCTGCATACGGAAAACGATCAATTTTAGGACAGCGTACTCGAAATATCGAAATGTGGACACACGTACATCTGCAACTCTGATCCAAAAATCGATCACATCCGCCCTTTTGCCCAAAACATCGCTGTTCAAAACGCTCACTTTCACCCACGCCGAAAGCTGGTCGTGTGTGTGGCAGAAGGTGGTAATGTTTTCCACCTCTTCTCCTGTTTGTAGTTTAGCCCAATTAAGACATTCTTGAGGCCGAATGTTTGCATAATATTTATGCTCGATAAGGCACAGCTGCTCGACCAGTTCATCTGGATTCCACCGAAGCAAATCGTTCTTGTGCGATTTTGGCTTGCGACACCTGCGCAAAGAAGCTTGATGACTAAGTGAGGTAGGCCGCGCAAAGGTCTAGCAGAACCTGAGTGAGATCGGGAAGGGAATGGGAACCTGACATTCAGGGCTTACCATACGCTCCAGTGACTGCAGGATCAACTTCGCCGTGAGCACCAAGTGCGATGGCATGACGATGGCTGAGAGGAAACTTGTCAGCTTCTGCGCAATCTCCGGCTCCTCGTCCAACAAGTGGTAATCCTCCAACCACATCGTCATCACCGTCAACACCCTATTCTGAACCGGTCTCAGTTTCTTCTCCTTCCATTCTTCAATCTCTTGAGGCGACAAATTACTCGGTCCTCGCATCTCAAAACGTTCCACTAGCAAATCAAATAGTCTCTCCGCTGTCACAAAACTCCTAAACGTGAGCAGGAATATCTTTCGAAATTCAAGATCATGGGAACCTAGTAGAACACAGCGGGATAAACACGTCAGAGACTCGATTAAAGAGCTCTGAAATACTAACGAATTGGATCGATCGTCAGCTTCTCTACAAGAGCTCGAAGGGTACCCGCTTTGACTTGACCATCCGTATCAGCTTTGAGCTCATCAGAGTAACTTGGTCGCAAATACCAAGGTCCTTGAGGCTGTGGAGACTTTGGGTTGTTGCTGATAGACGTCTCATCACATTGACGCCGCCTGTTCTTCTCCGCTTGTTGCATAGCAATCCGAGCAAAGGCATCAAAAGATTGGTTAATATCAGGGCTGCTCAACAAATTGGTCTCCTCCGACTCTAGTAATGTGGACAGCCGCGAGAGCGAAGCGCGATCGTCTACATACATGGGGCGTCGACGACGATGACGGCCAGAGCTAGAGGTAGAGTCGGAGCGGCTGCGACCGTGTTTGCTGGGTGGATCGTACACGCTTGACTGATACCCTCGAGGTAGAGAGATTGATCGCGGAAGAGACGGTCTCGGGATGATCATCGTTGGCGAAGGGTGAGCCTGAGCGAACTTGGAATCTACGGGAGACTCCTCTTCGTCCGTATCACAGAAGAAGGAATCGAAGCTCTTGCCGCTCAGAAGGCCTGTTTCTGGCGACTGACGTCCGGGAACGAGGTCAGTCGGAGTCACGAGTTGCATAGAAGGGGCCTTCAAAAGTAAAGTAGATTACGATAAATCACAAACCCTCGAGAGTAAACATGCAAATGGTGCATTACCTTGACATCCTCCACTACGCGAACCCAATCCTCTTCATGAGAGTCGGGAAAATGAATCATGGGGTGATTAGATCCGGCTGAGGCAAGACCAGCAGCTTCACGAGGCTTTTCAGCCTCGCCGTCAACACCTTTCTCTTCACGACCATACTGCACCCTCTCTCCCGTCTGCTCTCTCACCAGCTCCACAAACGCACTCGGGATCCAGCCCACACGGTCCTCGTTAGGCCTCATAGCCGCCCACCACCCCGACTCCTCCTGTTTCACCACCACCAACACCTCGTCTGCGCGAAAAGGCAAATGGTCCGGGTCCGTCGAGTCGAAATCGTACCTGCACACCACCATCACCTGCTGGGGGTGCCAGTCGGCTGAGACGCACGAGCTGGGGGTGGTTCCGCTGGTGGTGATGCTGGCATGGGTGGAGGAGGACGGGGTGATCGATGTTGGTGAAGTGTTGCTGTAAGGGCTGTGATACGGCGAGGCGTCTATCGACAGCCGCAGAGACTGGCGGGCGTTCCTCAGTTGCCAACCTGTCGTCCCACCGCGCATGGCATAAAAGCAGGGGGTAGAGTAACGAGGAAGTAAACGGTGAAGAAGCCACTGGCAGTCAAGGCTTATGACTATGACTACGTTCTATCATTCATGAAGTGGCCCCAGTCCATATCTAAATACGATGCAAAAGGTACGAAGGAAAAAAAACAAGAGTGGAATTCTCCAAATCAAGCGACGGTCACCGAATCTACCATCATTTAATCACATTCCCACCATTCATCGTGTCCCCTGATCTCGCTGTGCAAAAACTCATTTACGAGCATCAGTCTTGTTCTGCACTGCAGATGGCAGAACCAACGCAGACACCAGATATTTTGCTCCAAATCCATTTTATTGCTCGCCAATTATTTAAACTACCTAATGCTACCAGATACCCGGACTACGCGAAGCATGGTAGGGCAACGAGATTTTCGTCGTGGGACGGCTCTAGGCCCAGGCATCAGAAGATAGCGACGTATGATACGTATGATAGGAAAATTGAAGGGCACTGCAAGCTGGTCTCGCCGCATCAGTAACTCCCAACGATGGCAAGCCACCTGACAACACCACACCGCACCTTCATACTTCTCTGCCAACATCGCATCTTCGCCCTCAACTCATTCCAGCCATCCACAGTCACCATCATCCTTTTCCTTAACGTAGAAAGGAATTGCAGCGGCGTGCTCCTGTACCGCACAGGCTCAGAGTCCTCAATGGCATAATGTCATTACGGCCAGGCTGTCCACTTGTCATGTCTTGTCTCGATACGGCAGTCTCCTCTTTCCTTTTCTCATGGTTGTGAGTGTGACGGGGAGTGCTGGGGGGGAAAGATGGAGAGCCCTGCGAAATCTATATTTCGATGTAGTTAGGTTATGCTGATCGCCATCCACTACGTGCATAGCTATCAGTATTCTGATGCCCGTAACCCCAACCAGATCAAAATTTAGCCACGTACGATGAGAAACAAGGCGCGACCGCTCGGACACTCGGAGAGCTGTAAAAAAGCCCGTCGGAATACTGGAGAGTCGTGATGTCTGCTGACGGATTAGACTCTTGAAGTAAGCACTTGTCAATTGTGATCGTGATCGTGATACCCCATGTTGTTTTTTTCTTTTTCATTTGCACGATGTTATCTGATTAATATTAGTCAAAACGGCGACAAAAGACGTTAGCCAAACCCATGATCGCACGTCACTGTCCTGTCACCAGCGTCGTTGGTGGGGCCCTCGAAGTCGGGTGAGAGAAAATCTGCAAGGGGCTAATAAAAATAAAAATATAATGGGCATCGCTGCTATAGTAACGAAAAAACGAAAAAGCTTCGAATGGAAAATGGTAGTAGTGATAGTCAATTTGGACGTACACTTGGCCGCATCATGATACTAACCGCCCTTTTGACAATATTGAATTTGAAACGACACACTCAAATCACCAGGAGCGCTCGACCGCCGACTTGGCAAGTTGTATCATTCGATCATGATATACACGTCGGCCTTTCATACCAGTCAAAACAAAATTTCACAAGCTCGAGTGTCCGCATCAAGCGATCGTGGTACGGCGTACCCCGTAGGTCACCTAGTCACCGCCAGGCCGACTCGGACGTATGACAGGACTTTGAATGATGCATGATCGCATGATGGCGAGTACAACCACAGCTGGATATGCGCGAATGGAAGATAAGCAACGACCCGAGACTCGCAAAGTGCCGTACCAGTTCTGAAAACGACCCTTCATGATAAGTAATGTAATAAGTAAACCAGCTCAGGATCAACCCGTTGTCGCAAAAATCCGTTTTTCATGATTTGGCCGAATGCGACCTGATAACGCTGTAAGAAATTTGGATAACATATTAGATACAAAACGCTGCGGACAGGTTCGATCAGATGCCTGTAAGGATAATACGCGTGATGAGTGTGAATACGCTAGCCACGTTGATCGCGCTGACATGGCTGATCGTGCTGACACGGCTGATCGCGCTGAAGTGCCGAAGTACGCTGATCGAGCTCACCAGACTGACCTGTCAATTCAGCCTGAGTGCTGTGATCAAGGATATCCGTCGATTCAGGCAGAGGACACGGACAACGCTGACCTGGTATCAGTAAGGCTCAACAGTCCTATCGCGCCTGGTTCGGCCTAATACGGAGTTTTTAATATATGCTTTTGTTTGCTTTTTGCCGGTTTTCAATTTTAAAGCTTAGAGTAAAAAGAGACAATAGAAGCCATAGTATTTCGTTGTAAATAGTATCTACTAGTTGTTAAAGTGATATCCCCGAGGTAGATTTGTATATTACTAAGCCATTAGTATCAGTAAATACCGTACACGTTGATTCATGATTCTCATCCCATTCCTCAGATGGGTAGCAAGTTGAGTGATAATGCAAGCATTAATATGGGATGGTCCAGGCATCGGAAGGGGAAATTTTGCTCCTAGTGTTGCAGAAACAGCCAGCGAGACTGACTGCTTGATGGCTGCTATAGCAGAAGACAACATTGAGGCTGATGCCAAAGTCAGAAAGATTATAATACATACCTGAGTAGTGCGGCTCCTAGCCGTGTTCTTTGTTGGCTGCTGGCTTCCTCGTTTAAACATCAGGGTTGATTGGCTCTGCAAGCATATTTGAGTTATCAATAAATGAGTGTGCATCGTGTAGCCTGATGACATACCTTGTAAGTTTGAAGACTCAAAGGCCTGCAACATCAAGTGTTCGTGTTGGTGGTATTCAAAAGGGAGCAAGCATGTGAACGACAGGCGGGAGCCTCGCCCTCCTTATATACAACATGTGGCGCTGGTGGAGCTAGAAACGTCATGATTAGTTAATTATCAAGAGATACTGTATCCTCGCTCACTGGAAGTGGAGCCCAACAATACACTTGGACCCATAATCCAACAACCCATGCCATCATACACAGGAAAGCGACGACGACGTAGTTCCACGCCTTGTATTGAAGAGACGTCGTCGTCAGAAAACAGCTCAAAGTCATCTACTTATAATAATGCTGCTCCCACAGTTCTTGCACATGCTGCCGAAGGTCCCAGTAAACTCGAGCAACACTGGCTGAAAATTCATGGAGACACATATTCAGTAAAGCAGAAGGAAAATAATGCAGGGCTTGTAGCTGCAACAAGTCCCCTGGTCTCACCTCGTACACCTACGCCGCCTCCGCCAACCAAAGACTCTCCAGTGCTGAGATTGGGCTCCACAAGCACGCACACATCTGACGGTGTGATATCATACCATGATGGTGGTGGATTTGGTCAGGGTTGTCCTGTGGATAGAAAAGGGCGTTATAAGTACAATCGGCTTGAACGATACCAGCAAAGTACCCCGAGTTTTTCGACACCCACTAAATCCCGGGTAGATGACACAGCGAGTGCTGATAAACTTCCTACGCCTGGTGTGAACCTGGTCAATTCTTTTAATGCGGCAAACAAAGAGGTAAGAAATTCAATACACAAGAATTATGTTTTGTGACTTACCAGTTTGATTGAAAGAACTCTGTGGTAAATGTTGCCGAGACAACAGGAAAAAGTGATGGAAAAGGCACCGTCCCTTTGAAGCGTCGCATAGGTGATCAAGATACCATTGACAATGAGGTACACATATTGAGATCACAGTAATTTGGGCTCACCGTTGGTACCATTCAGCAGATGGTCAATATTATTCCCCCATTGACTCCTGGGACCGGTCGTGGGGCGCGTCAATTCCTCGTATCACAAATGGAGCTCTCACCGCTTAACCCAGGGAAAAGGAGGAGAGTTGCAAGGTCAGAAGCACCAGACAGTCGAGTCTCTCAAGATTTGGAAGAGACATTGCGGAACATCAAAAAGAATCTTGATGAGGTGGGAAAAGTGTTGAAAGAAGACGTTGGAGGGGCGATCCGCGAGCAGACTGAAGTGCTGAAGGGTGTTCTCCATGAGTTTGTGTCAAAGTAGAGCGGGTACAAATCACTGCTGTATCATTATTGTTGATTGTGTTAGTAAAGACTGTACGAACCTGCCTTTCTCTTTGTCCAACTTGTCTCCCATAGTCTTGGACAGTTTCTTGAACTCGTGTTTGGACTTGGCGTTATCGACACCTCAGTTACAGTTTGAGTCGTCCAGATTTAAGCTTGATTGAAGCTTGATTGAAGCTTGATCGATTGATCATCGATAAGATTACAAAGCCAATCAGTCATTCAAGGTCTGGCCATTGATAACATCAATTCGCTAGTATTTGTATCTTATCTAATAACAGAGGCACTATCTATACACATGTGCCTTCACTCCTCGAAGTTATCGCTTCCATCTTCGCTGTTCCCACCCTCGTTGAGTCCCCCAGAGCCTCGTTCAGAATGGCTGTTATGGCCTTCGGGCTGTTCATATCCATCCTCATCATGATTCAATGCAGCCATCACACTTTGCATTAATTGATCCCTGTCTGTGTTGCTCAGTTGGCCTGCGAGTCCATGGCTTGTATTGGGGAAAAGGACTTGATCCCACTCTCGGAATATATTGAGTACACTTTTTTTTTGTTTTTGAAGGCCGCTTAAAAGGTACTCCAGGTAGTTGTCAAAATCATCGTGCCAACGAATGCCAGATTCGTTCCCCTTTTCCTTGAGGCACTCGTCTGGAGATAAGGCCCAACGAGCCTAAATAAATCCCTGTATGTTAGTCAGATTTCTCTATGAGCTCAAGAAGTACTCACAAGGACAGCAGAAGCTGCGACCATGCCAGGCGTTGTATGGTTTAATCCCCATTTTAGATCCATCGTTTCATTGTTTCTTGCAGCACGGGAAGATTCGCCTTCGTTCATTGCAATTACGGATGCAGGCCCTCGTATGATACAGCTCATTGTCTGCTTGGTTGGCTTTTAGTTCTTATTTTTTTTCAGCTGTTATTGACTCACTTTCTGAAGAATTGGATTCAAAAAAACTGTTTGGATGTCGAAGCGTCCCTTGTAGTCACGATGAAGGACACTGACGTTCCATGGATGATACATCGAGGTACCGTTTGCATTTTCTACCCGCCCAATATCTTCGCTAAACTTTGCACATCGTTTGCGGGATATCCTCAAGTCTTCCTCTGTGCAATTAAAAATGGTGGCACCTCGAGATCGAAGACGAGTAGCTGTGTTTGACCGCTGTTCTTGCATTCCATCACGGAACTGAAAATCAGGTGAGTTTCGAACACTGCTTACAAAATTCTGGACCACTCACTGAACGGCCTAACCAGTGATTCGGAAGGTCACCATGGTATGTGGCAGGAACAATGTCTAAAATATCACGAAGCTGACCTTGCACTTTAGCAGCTGTGCTGCCAAAACGGTCCAGTTTATCATACTCGTCGTCAATGGTTGTTTGAAAAGTCTTGGTAGGCTCATGTAGCCAAAGAGCATGAGTTATCTCAAACTGATGCCCCAGTCCCTTGATTACTTGCTCGTGGTGCGTGTCATCATCTCTTGAGCTCTTGGTTTTTTTTTCCTTCTTTGATCCCCTTTCAACAGACTCATCCTGATGTACCTCATTCATAGCATCGTCGTATTTACGACGCATAGTTTTAGCTTCTTCCTTTGCAGCATTAGCTGCAATTTGAGCGTTACGGGCAGCCTATATACACCATCAGCACATCTTTGTGGACAAGAAACTAACTGTCTCTACCTTATACAGTGATGCCGGTGACATTCGCAGACTGATTTGTGATAAATCACTATCTGATTCCGTGTTACTGATGGGTTTCTGCGCAGAGCTTGGATGCTCGTTACTATCTGGTGAGTCTGATACCTCTGAATCATCTCCACCTCTCTCTCGTTCACTATTGCCCTCCATTTCGGTACTAGACGCCTGTCTGCGTGAAACAACTCTGCTCTTTGCATGGGCTATTCTTCTTCCTGGAGCTTGAGCAGTCTGACGAGCAGCCTTTTGATTGGTAGAGGTCTTCTTCTTCTTGTCTTTGATATGTTTCTGTTTTTTTTCCATCTGCACTGTTTTGGTTGGAGACGAGCAACAGTGTGGAGTATCTGTTACTGACTCTGATTCAATTGTTACGTACACCAGGCTAACCGTGACTTGTAGATAACATCATGATCTATGATTTTCTCAACAACGACGTCTCCATGCTCAACTATACTAGCTAGCTACACTATGTCTCATATTCCTAGGACAACCGAGGCAAAAAAAGGACCATGGTGTAAATATTGTCAACAACACCGAAGCACACAGCGCTTTGACAAGCACATCAAGTCCTGCAAGGTCAGAAATCAGGAACAATTAGAGCTAGCGGCACGACAAGAAAACCATTCAGAGAAACGGTGCTTAGGGAGATCACTCGAGGAGCCAAATCAAAAAAGAAAGAAAACTGTTGAGGTGTTAACGTCTCTCTTTTTCAACTTCTTAAATTTACAGTTCTGTGCATCTTATCAGGCTGACGGAGACCGGACTCAAGTCAATGACGAGGTTGAAGCGGGTCCTCCAATCAGCGGTGCGGGAATATTTCATTTCATTCTGTCTTTCAACTGTGCCTGACAGACTTGAGTCTTGACTTAGCAGAATCTGGTAACGACGAAACCAATGTCCAACAGATATCAAGTGCAACTTTTATTCAAGTTGTCCACCATCCTCAAAGTGGGAAGCACGACCCAGTCATAATTCCCCTTGACAGTGTTATCCCTTCAGCTGATCAAGGCAACCACGAAGCTGGACTTGGCTCTGCATTGGAGATCAAACCGTGGGCGCCCTTTCGCAATCGTGCCGACTTTGAATATGCGGAAACAGCTGTCAAGGGATTATTAAGTAAAGCAATAGTAAACACACAGTTATATGGGATACATCATGGATGGGCAGATAATACTAACATTACATTTCGGAACTATGCAGACATCGAGAAGACTTTACAAGTAGCACGTGCGCAATATGTCCAGGTGGGCAAAGACGACCCTCAAAATCGATTCTTCTAACCTTTCTTTCAGTTTCAAGAAGGAAATGTTTCTGCATGTTATCTAGGAGAAACTCATTACTTCAAGTTTCAGTACCGAGATCCGTGGAAAATCTATCGCAACTGGATTATGGATGAGACATTAGCGCCTCTCATCCTTTGGCATCCTTGCCGCAAATATTATTGCCGTCGAAATGGTAGGATAGTCTTGAAAGAACGCATATACGACGAGTTCAATTCAGCCAACAAATGGTGGGACGTACAGGTAAATATATAGTATATACATTTACATGCTTTCTGATGTGGATTAATTTGAATGCAGGAATCCTTTCCACAAGAAGAACCACCGCATTGCTTTCTACCGATCTCTCTCTGGCTTGACAAAGGCAACATCACTAAGCGGGTCAAGAAGCACCCTATAATTATTCGTCCGCTATTTTTGCCGCGGGGGGTAAGAAATGCGTCGGGAAATGGAGGAGGTGTTCTTGTAGGGTATATGCCCATTGTAAGCGTTTTTTCTGCTACACAGGGGCTTCTTATTGCATTGTTTTTACAGCCTTTGGACCCGGCCGACCCATCTGACAGAAACACTGCTGATACCATTAAATGGCAGTGCTTCAAGCGTGAAGTTTACCACAAGGTTGCCGAAGTAATATTCCACTCACTACGATGGCCTGCACGCTTCGGAGAAGCAATGGCCTGTGGTGACAAAATTGATAGAGTGATACATCCAGGAATACCAGTCAAGTCTGTTGATGGCGAAGAAAGCTGTGCGCTAACAGCTACGCGTGCGGCCCTGGCCAAATTTCCATGCCCGAAATGTCTTGTCTGCCATGACAGTTTAACGAAACTATGCGGAAATTTTCAGTGTCGCACAACTGACAACATGGAGAAGGTGTACAAGCGTTCAATCACAGCATCAAATAAAACGGAGGCTGAACGAATCTTACAAGCCCACGGATTACATGCAACCAAGGTTTTCTCCCCGTATTTTTTTTATCTTCCACTCACTAGCTTTTTACAGAACTTTTTTTGGTCACTCGACCACTCAGACCCATATTGTTCCATTTCATACGATAAATTACACTCCGATGATCTAGGAAAATGGGGTAAGCACATCTGGCCGCTCCTCCTCACAGTGTTAGCAGAAAACGGAAACAAAGGCCATATGGCCAGAAAGTAAGTTTCAACTACACGTCAAACTTGACGTCTCACTAAAACTCGGGATATATAGCATGCGGAATGTATCAAGATGGCCTGGACTCAAACACTTCATGAACGTCACCACAGTCGAATATGCGGATGGTCAAGTGTTTTATGATATACTCAAGGTGCATAGTCCTTAATACATTATTTATTAGCGCTATACACTGACTTTTCTGTTCTTCTAGTGCATCCTCCCATGCATCGTCCAAATTCTCCCTAGGAACTCAACATTAGTACATGGTATCCGAGCCTATGCTAGATATCGGCTCATGATTGGCCTCAATTGTATGACCGAAGGGAGGACACACCGGCTAAAACAATATATTATTCAATATGAACAATGTTGTGAAGTGAGTAGCGGTTCTACATGTGTCTTGATTGTTTTCTAATGGTTCTTATAATACAGCACATTTCAAACAATTACGAGAAGGACTTCCACTTTAGCAAGCAACACGCCATAAATCATATTCTCACAGAAATCCGGCAGAAGGGTGCAACGGATAACTACGACACACGAGTCAGCGAGGGCTTTCACCAAGAGGCGCAAGAAGCCTACGAGCAGACAAACCGGAAAGATACAGACAGCCAGGTAAGCAAACATATTTATGTGTACCAAAAGCCCGATGTTCAGTTTCCACAGATGGCTCGCATTGACGAGAACCCAAGAAGCCATCGCCCACATACGGATGACCGTTGACAACTATGATAAAGCCCACCATAATGACACTGAGGACCAAGACTTAGGAGATGACGCTGGCAGAAATGATGACCAGAGGTCGACACAACCTACCCCCGATAACCACTGGATGCTAGGATCTCCCACAAACCTGACAAGCTCGGTAGTCATGGAGCATTGCGAGGGCCTCAAAGGATTTGACAAGCGTCTGCGGAGTTTTTTAGTCTCAAGTTGCAATGTAGCCGTTGGAGATGGTCCCATCTCAGTAAGCTGATATTAGATATACTTTACAGCTCTAACATTGTTCTATGTTCCACAGATCAGGAAATATCAATGCATTTATCTTAAGTATCAATCACACGAAGACTGGAGCGAAGGACGGGACATCCTTCGCTGCAACCCCAACTTCAATAAAGAATCACGCTTCGACTGTGTTCTCATTAACACAGACACATCGGAGCCAGTTCCTGCTCGACTCCAAACCGTCTTTCGATGTTTCCTTCAGTCCTCTTCGTTTGATATTGTGTCGGTCAAGATATTCAAGCCATCAAATGGAATTCCGAGGACCAGATGGTCGGGGGCACTTTTGTATGATGAAGCGAGAGATTTCAAGCTGGTCATGGCTAAGTCCCTGATTCGGGGAGCTCATATGATCGAGGCTTTTGATCTGAAGGAAGGCCGGTTTTATTTAAATGACTTGATTGATGGTGATATGTTCCTACGTTTCGGGAACTGACAACTAGACTGCTTTTATTGTTAACTACCACTAGTAAAATCTCAGGTGTCACATTTTGAACCGTTGAGCTAAGTCTGTCTGATGGCATCTATTTCAACCCATACATGCTCTCTTTTGATCTGGTCATGTCTGGTCAGAGAATATCTGTCGCTCGTATCCCTCTTACCCCAGCTAATCCGCCTGATCGTTTTCTGTCCCAGTTCCGATATGTTTCTCATCAGACACAATCTGTGTCTCTTATCTTCTTATCCCAGCTGATCCGCCTGATTATAGTCTGTTCTATTTCTGATCCGATTCTGATCACCAACGGCTCAGATCATCAGGTGGCCCAGGTAAGTTACAGACATTCGTAGGGTCTGATCTGGTTAAACGGATTTTTCCGACAGTTGTCCCACTCAGCATCAATGTCATCCAAGTGCATCATCTTTGAACCGGACCCCATTTTATCATTGACCCACCCCACCAAACCTTGAACAGACCCGAGCGCCACGATGTCACCGCCGTACTCAGGCTTGACGCGCAAGAGCATCTGATATCTGATAGCACCAGCCATCCATAGTGATAAGCCTGCCCTCCAGCTTGAAGGTTCGACGGATACCAGGATGTGCTGCCATTGGCTGAACAAATTCAAAATTGAATTTGTGGCTGCAAGACGAAATAGCTCTAATTACGTCAGAAAATGCCTAGAATAGTTATCACAGATCATCTCCCGTTGACCACCGTCCCATCCTCCATTTCCACTGAACCCCCATAGACCACCAATGCCGCCATGGAACGCTGCCAAAGCCAAGGTCAGTCTCCCTCCCTCCCTCCCCTCCCCTCACCCCATCGCACTCACCGCCCATCGCACCCCAGGTCCAACTACGGTAAACCCCATCTCTGCCCCTTGCCTTGAACCCATCCCTAACGCTTATCATATCACACCACCCCCGCGCCCCGTCCTTTCCTCTCGCACTCCTCCCCCTCCAGCCTCTCCGTCCATCGCTTGGGGATCATAATGCAGAACAAGGAGGCTAAGGCTTGAAGCTCTCGCCGGGACATTGCTATGCGGCTTGTGAGGGCAAGATCGAGAGCGCACGGGTTAAGGTGGAAGCTAGTCAGTCCCACCTTTGTTCTTCGTTCATCGTTCATCGTTCGCGCTTACCCACCACCACCACCACCACCTCCAGTCATCCACGAAGACATACACGTCGAGCTTCTCGAGCTCCTCGAGCTCTACTGCGAACTCCTCCTCGCCCGCTTCGGCTTGTTGGATCAGAAGTGAGTTTTACCCCCACTCGCTTGCCCCACTCCCACTCCCTTCCCCCTGTGGGGAAAAGGGAGGGTGCAGAGTGGATGGGATTGGACGGCAAGGCTGACGATGCAGTTCGCGAGAGCCAGATCCAGGAATCAGTGAAGGCGTATGCAGTATCATACACGCAGCCCCGCGGACGGACCTCAAAGGTGAACTATCTCCTGCCCTTTCCTTTTCTTTTCTTTCTTTTCTTCGTAGACCCTCCTTGCATCACGCGGCTGATCATGTCTCCCCTCCCTCCACCCAACTGACTGAACTGACGCCCCCACCGCCACGCACACGACGCACACGCCAAAAAAGAACTACAGGTCCTACGAGAACTACTCATGCACAAATACGGCCGCGAGTTCTCCGCAGCCGTCATGGAAAATCGAAATGGATGTGTCAGTGACCGCGTAAGTCGACACCTCCTTCCCCTGCGCTACTCGTATGATCACGCCGGGCCTACCCCAGTCTCCTCACTCTTGGGGTGCACGCACCCACTGGGGGCCTGGGTGATCTATCCAGCGTGATCAATGATAATTCAATCATATATATTTATATTTATAATATATATATCATGTGTGTCAAAAAAACGACACACAAAACACCGCATCCCCATCGCTGACCGAACCTTTTTTTTTTTTTTTTTTTTTTTTTTTCTCTTCTTTCTCCTTCTTCCCCGAAACAGGTGCTGAAAAAACTGACGATCGCGACGCCGTCTGGAGAGCTCGTGGATGGCTATCTCGGAGAGATTGCGAGGGGATATCATGTGGATTGGGCACCTGCGCCGCCGCCTTTACGCGCTGTTGATGGTGGCGAGGGCGGCGATGGGGGAGATGGCGGGGGCGAGGATGACGATAACGTTGGGGGAGGGGTGAGTGGTTTGATGATTCTATTGGCACTGTCGCTGCTGTGAGACCGTTCGCCCTGCTGACGAACCATATGCAGACATCGAGTGCGCAGCGCCGGCGCCGAGACGCAGCCTCAGCCCAACCCCCCGCCATCGTCGACGGCGCCACGAAAACGAAAGAGACGTCCAGAGCGGCGGCGGCAGACGCAGACGCAGACGCAGTACCGAGACTGCCGAACCTCCCGCCTACGGAGGACGAGGGCGAGGACGAGAAGGGGGCGATTGAGGAAAAGGAAAAGCTGAAGCCAAAGCCCAAGCCCAAGGACGCGAGCGCAAACGTGTACTCGAGCGCGTACTCGCCGCCTCCGCCGATGGTCCAGGAACCCGAAGATGAAGATGATTTTTCCGCGCTGGCGAGACGGTTTGAGGCGTTGAAAAGGCGGTGATGTGGAGGAGTTTTTTTATTTACTTGGGAGGTGGGGGTGGTGGAGTGGGAGTGTGTGCAGATGGGATGGGATGGGAGGAGATGAAGTTGAGGTTGGTTGGTGAGCTGGAGGTTTGCACGGTGTGAGGCTGCGTTGTGATGAAGCAGAGTGGGAGCTGAAACCGGATTTTTTTCTCTCTCAACGATGTCATAAAATAAAAATAAAAAGTGACACAGTCCATATGTATTCATATTCATACTCATTCCCCACGCTCTCACAAATCTCTTATGCTCAGGCTGTATCTCCGGTCCTGTTACAGTTAGTTCATACATTACCGCGCTTGCACAAACTGTATATACACCCCTTGGCATCAGCCTGGCATTTTTATTTTGTACTGCTGTACGGATAAGGAAAGGGAGAGGGAAAGGAAGGCGGGTATATATGGTATATATTATATATGGTTTTGCCAGAGTCTGAATGCAAGTTCCGCCGGCGACCTTTTTCGAGTACTGAGAATGAGTTGGGTGGGTAGGAGGATGATGCCCTGATGGGGTTGGGCGCGCTCGAACGGTCGAAAAAGGATGATATTTGGAAATAGCTGACCGGCCGAATGGTTGGAAAAAAGGGACTACTAGGGAAATGCTGTACGGCCACTCTATCTCTTACGGCGAGACGCTGAGGGCTGCGCGATAGCGGGGGGATCAAGTTCGTGTACACGCCCACCGTCCGTTTTCGGTTTTCCGGCGGTGAGGAAGTAAGGTCAAGGAGTACGGATCTGAGTCACGGTGTACAAGTGTTTCTTCTTCTTTTCATCTGATCACGGCATGTCCAGAAATGTATTCAATTCGAACTGCGGAACATTCTAGTGGGCATCTCAGCATCTCAGCCGTTGAGGGCGGCGTGGTAAATAGAAGGAAGGAAGGGGAGGCGGAGTGACGATAACGGGAGGTTAAAGGCAAGATCGGCGCTGGAGGAACACAGGGACCGGAGGGGAGTAGGAATGGACGGTGATGCGTCTACTGGATCAGAAATAGATAATGTGTAAGAGGAAGTTGGGGTAGAGCGGGGTTGACACGGACAGAGGCTGTATGAAGGGTAGGCAGAGATTGTGTGAGAGGCAAGGGGAGAGGCTGGGGACATGTGCTGATAGGACTGGTTTATGGTTATATTGGAGGTGTTAAGGCTACCTAGTGGAGTGTGGCGGCGGAGGAGGCATTTAGAAGAAATTGTTTATTTGGAGTAGTTGCGAGCTGGAGTGCCATACGGATGTTAGCCAAGGGTGTGGTCGGACAAGAGAGCGAGTAGCATGGAAGACTGAATTGAATGTAGGAAGAGTGGAAGAGACGGCGGAGGTGAATGAGAGGTGACGAGAGGGTGCTGACTAAGACCATCGTTGAGCCCCTGTGCGAACCACGATCGGTGGGGTGTCCATATATGGAAGTCAGTCGCCAGTCATGCCGAGAGCGAGAGCCTGACGCGAAAAAAACCTTGAGCTTCAATTGGACACGCTGCCGACCAGATGGAGATCGATGCTGCCATATCGTGTAGCTGGCATCGACGTGGGGAGGGGACTGCGACTGCTACTTTGCACAGGCTATCGCGCGTGAGTGAGCCAAGACGGGAGAATGAGTGTAAACACCCACCGCTAATTCCGAGTGGTGGCCAAACGGCAGACTCCGGACGGAGAGAGTCCTCGGCCACGTGGATCTCCTATTCGCGCGATCGGAACGGCACAGAGCATCCTTCGGAGAGAGTCGATGATGTCCGCCGGATGTCTCTCATTTCACCCAATCTCTTTATAACCTTACTCTCCCCTCCACTCACCACTCTGCATGTCGACCGCTACAATGTCTGCCCACTTCTCGAACCCTCTCTTCCCACCCCACGACGACGCAGACGACCTCGACGACTTTGCCAGTGACATCGGCTCAGATGTCTACACCGACATCTCCATGGATCCCTTCTCCCCCAGCATCGCAAGCTCAAGAACGTCGGCTGATATTTCCATCCGCTCAGCTTCACCCGCACCCTCCGTATATTCTCTCACAAGTTCTCTAAGAGCCCAGTCTTTCCGTCACGAGTACGGCAGAGGCCTCAATAACTACTCCGAAGTATATCGTTTGCCTGCAGACGACGAGGAACTCGAACGTCTAGGTCTGCTCTGCCTCGTCTACCCCCCCCCCACCCTCTAATTTTCTCGGCAGATAAACAATACGACATGTTTTACAGAGTCATGGGCAAATATCCAAATCCCCTCCCACAAATACTCGCAGACGACGTTCCTGGAGAAACAAAGGCCGTTTTAGATCTCGGCTGTGGAAGTGGAAAATGGTACCCCTCCTTTTTTCTCTCCGTCCCTCCACAGGCTTATTTTCGCTAGGATCATGGATGTCGCGTGTGAATTTCCACACTCGACCGCGGTAGCTGTCGACCTCGTTCCCATGCAGTCTCTGTAAGTACCTCAATCTCTTCCTTCTTCTTACAGACACTCAGCTAACAAAGTCACTTTTGCAGATCCATGCCGCCAAATTGCAGGTGAGCGCTCTCACATGACCACCGCTGTTTTTTTTGTTTTTCCGGCCACCGCTAATGCCTAGCGTTCCTAGGAGTGAAGTCGACGATATTAACCTCGGACTTGAACATTTTTACGGTGACTTTAACGTCGTCCATGCCCAGCTTATTTCTTCAGGGGTAAGTCCTCGGTGCCTTTCCACCGCGCCCTTCCTTCTCACCCCTCGCAGATCAAAGATTACAAAGGCCTCATAGATCACATCAGCCACGTCCTCAGACCAGGCGGACTCATCGACCTCACAGAATTCCCCTTCACCTTCCACTCCTACGACAAGAAAATGATGCTCCCCTCTCCCGACGACCTCCAGGCCCCCTGGGCGCCCCTCTGGATGTCCCTCGCCAACGGCGCAGTGCGCAAACAGGGCGGCAGCGCCGACGCGTCTTTCAATCTGCACAGATGGATCTCGGAGCACCCCGCGTTCGAAGATGTGACGTACAGGGAGTGGTGGATACCGTGTTCGCCGTGGCTGCAGGGGAAGGACGCGGAGAGCGTGTTTTGGAACGAGATTGGGGCGACGATGCGGGATGATATTTTGGTGGGTGGACGGCGACGGTCTTTTTCGCCTCCTCTTTCTTTCCTTTTGCAAGCGGTGACAATGCTCATGACGTTTTCTCTCTCTCTTTTTTGATGTTACCATCATCACAGGCGTTTATGAGCTCTGGACGGCCGCTTCTGCTCGGCAGTGGGTATTCGGAGGCGCTGGTGGACGATATAGAGGCAAAGGCGCGTGCTGAACTGCTCGAAGCTCGGACTCCAAGTTATGTCCATGTACAAAATGTGTATGCGCGGAAGAAACATCACTGATTCTCTGTTCCTGTCGTTGATGTCGTCGTTCTTGTTTTACCTACCTACCTACTTTTGCTTGTTGATGATACCGCCGACACTCTAGATTATTGTACTAGTTTTTTTTTTTTTTTTTTTTTGGTTTACGAACGGTCACGTTGACGTTGACCGTTGTATGTTCTAGTCGCTACACAGTTCTCACTATCATCTATATAATGCATATCTCTCTTACACGCACACCTCTGCGCGCTTTTCTGTTTCGTTTCTCATTTTTGCCATTTTTCGCAACCCCGCATCTCGATACCAACTCGGGGTTTGCTGAAGCGAGAGATGGATGGGGGGTTTTGTAAGGTGGCTGTATGAACGGAATAATCTGATTTTGATTTTTTTGGTGATCGTTCTCTGATGATGATCGAGATTGAAATAAAGGAGTTTCTGATCGAAGGAGAGGGAAGGGAAGGGAAAGTGAAAATTAAAAGGAGAGAAAGGGAGAAGGGAAAAAGAGTCCCTTCTAAGAAAGATCATATGACATTCGAAAGAATTAAATTAAAATGAACGCCCCGCATCAGTGATGACGGACTGGGAGGGGAGAGCAGAGAAAAAGGAGATAACTGTGATGATAAAACGAGGAGGAAAAGTAAAAAAATCAAAAGGGAAAGGAGAGGGAGATAGTGGCTAGAAAGATAATATGAAGTCGAAGAATCGAAATGCGTGACGGACTTGGCACATACTAGCTATAGCTGATTGGTCGAGTTTTCAAAGCCGATGTCGGGCGCTGCGTAGGATCGTGGACGGCGTGGGCCGCAGTCGCACAATCGCACAAAAGGCCGAACGCAGCACGGTGCTGGTGAAAGGGGATAAAGCTTGGAGCTTGAAGGGGATAATCTGGGTGTGGCAGCGGTGGTGGGCAACGGTGAGCGAACGTTAAACTTGAAGGTTTGAAGATTTGAATCTCAAGATTAGGACACTCGAGGACGGTCTCGAGGGACTCCGACAGAAGGACCAACCGTCTGACAAGTTTGTCCAATCATCATCCGTTGTACACCCACCGATGACGACGTATCCGATTATCCCCAACTCAAACATCGGATAGGCACACCACACACACGTCTCTCCAGCTATAGCTACACTATCGTTTCATAGACTCACATGCGGTCATTAATCTATCAACTTTTGTATTTTTGTATTATTATCTTTCATTTTGCCCCAAGATCCGGGCGGCCAATGGCGGTCGTGCCTGCACTTGCCGCTTCCCCCCTCCGTGCTATCGGTATGAAGATGAATGACGGTTTAATGTCCTCCGTTCCGCGCAGGCCATGCGGTCATGCAGCCCACGTTGGTTGATTTATGGCCAGTGTGGAAGATGGCAGAGCCGGGGACTCGGAGGGGCCGCGTGTGTGTGTGTGTGTGTGTGTGGAGAATAGGAGGAGGTCCACGTCGGTATTACCAGTTCAATTTAATTATGATGATGGTTCGTTCCGCGCAGCCATGCTGGCATGCAGCACGATGTTGGGTTGATTGTGTGGAAGATGCGCCGGGGATTCTTAGCGCCGGGCGTGTGTGGGGAGATAGGAGGAGGATAGGAGGCAGAGACGGCGTGGGGTAGATCGGTGTGGTTTTCGGAGCTTGGTGGTTTGGGGACGTTTATTGTGATACGATAGTGCGTTCTAGGAGATCGAGATTGAGAATGCGTTTTGGACACTGGGCACGCGTGTGTATTGTGTATTGCATTAGCATTAGCGAGAGAACGGGTAGACTTGGTGCTTAGTTTCAAACCACCGTAACGGGAAGAAGAGTGTGTACAGCCCAACTAAGAGATCGAGACTAGGAGGGTGGTAACAGCAGCACACTTACCGTTTGCTGCCAGAATCATCCGCGGGATTAGGGTTTGGAAGCTTGTGCGTGTGGTGTGGTGTGGTTAGAGAGGGAGGAAGGAAGACGAAAGAGCGAAGAGACGTATACGCGTGGTGTTTCTCCGAGGAGGATGTGTAGTATAGGTTCGATGGGCTGCCAGTGGCCGGTCTAGTGACTTGAGACTTCACACGCCGCGGCGTTCGTGGATTACCAGGAAGAAGGCCAAGAAGGCTAAGGAGGGCTTTTTGTAAGAGGTAGGGAGTGCTTTGAGGATAACAATAACGACGAGGACAATTAGAGAGAGACGGAGAACCCGGAGACGAGAAGTGTTAGAGTATGCGTGGTGGGTGGAGTGGAGTGGAGATGAGATTTTCTTTTGGGTGGGGGTTCTAAGATGCTAGAAGCCAATGACTACGTAAAGACTGTGTATTGTGTATAGCTGCCTAGAGGCGACTGGCTCGGACTTGGGATGATAAGCTTCAGATGGCGGCGGTGTGGTAGTCCTCGTCATGCCGTTCTCAGTCTTCTTCTAGGCTCGATTCAGGGGGGGTGGACTGTAGAGCTTTGATGAGAGACTAGGCAGGGTGATTGGTCGTGCCAGTGATCCAGATTCCATGGTATATTTCCTGGACAATGATGGTGGACCGAATCAAAGGCCGGCTAATACCTCGTGCGCATTGCTAGAATCTTGATACGTCTCGTCACCCATCAGGGTGTTCAAAGCACATGATATTGCAGCATGTCTTGAATGCGAGAGGGCGTTTTGATTAGGCCGCTGGCAATTGACACAAAATGCAGCGTAATAGAGGGGTTTTTGATTCTGCTAGGATTGTAACTTGGATATTGGCCTGGGCTTCAAGTTGATCTGTGGGGATAGTTCGATGATCGATCCAATTCAGCTAGCTTGCAGATTGACAATGTCCGCAAGCATATTCCGGGAAAGTTTGGAGAGAGTTGACCGCCAGTCACGCTGCCAGAGGTCGACACCAGTTTGTCACGTTGTGGAGAAAAAATCGTGGCAGAGGTAGTTTTAAAAAAAAGTGTTGTAATAGCGGCCGTACCTAGTGTAATTATTACCCAGACTCGGAGCACCAGACTTGCCCGCCCGCAGTTGGTGAGGCCAAACTCATCCTGTGAAAAAAAAATCCACGGATTAAAACGTACCAATAAAGATATTCCATGCTCGGGATCGTGTAGTCGCGGCACAAACGAGGCAGACGCTTCAGCACTGTTAGCCCCACGGTAGTATGTCCCGTTAGCATTCGCCAAACTTACATACCCGATTTGGTGACTCCGAGTCGGGAAAACATACGGTCTAATTGGTTGAGCCTTTTCGATGAAGTTGAAGTCTGCAGTCGAGCAGAGAAAACTCACAATTCTGAACTTTTCGTTATCAGGGACGAATCTTAATTCCCGCTTAAACACATTGACGCTGGCACGCACCGAACGTTACTGAGAATTAATGGCACTTTAGATACCGCTGTCATGACGCAAGCCATGCAAATACCCACCTTCATTGATTCATTGAAAGGGCAGTCATACCCCTGCCACTGCTGCACCAGTATCATAGCTCTTCCAAGGTTCTAGAAGTAAATATGGTAAACTGATCAACACGTTTGGAAGGGTCCTGGAACACCACTGATTGATATGCGTTGTGTTTGATCCGTGACCCGCTATTGGTCCAAAGGACCGTCAAAGGTTACAGAGCGGATAAATCATACATATTCAGATACGGCACGGGAAAAGCAACGCCGTGAATTGAAGTTGCGGCAGAAAGCCAAAGTCGAGTGCTCAATTATCGTCAAGGCAACAAGGTGAATGGTCACACTCACCCGCTGATGTCGTGGCACGTCATTCAGTGAGAATATGTCCCAGGACGGATGCACGCTTCGAGCTTACGATGTTAACCTGCTGTCAATGACTGTGCTCTTTGTGCCACGCTGAGAATGGGTGCGGGAGGACGGTGATTGCGCGAACATGTTTCTGATGCGTGGGATCTCCTAGTTTCGTGGAAAGTCGAGGTCCCTGATGGTGTTGTCTAGCGGCTGAAATCGTACGAAAGGATGAGAAGTTTTTAAACGTTGTGGAGGAAATATGTAATCGGTACGCGACCGAGGGTAGCACATACCTCAACCTTGACGAGCTGCGATCATCGGAGCCTCGTTCTTTTCCAAGGTTTCTCTTAGAAGAGTCCCTCGGGCTCACAAACGTTTACACATTTGTAATTCAGGCGAAACATGAGAAAATCTGACGGTAATAATGGTAGGGCCAGCCTGAGTGCGAGCGCTCCGAAAAATAGACGACTTGACGAGGGAGATAACCTGAGATCCGAGAGGTGCTTATGCCTGGGCCAGGTAGTCATGCATCATGGGACACATCATAGACGTTATCGTTACAATGATCTTGCGACCGTTCGTAAGATGCTTGAACGATATATCTGGGTTCTTTTAACGATATCGTCGTTGTGAGTGGGTGACGGCACTAATACAGGATGTAGTTTGTTTTGGCGCCGGTGGAAATTCATGGCTGCACATCGGGCGCTAAACTGGAGCTTGCCCAGGCGCGTACACCTTGCATTCATTTCTGAGTCTTTTACTTCCAAGGCAATCATCTAAGCCTTGTTTAATCCAATCTCTGTTCGTACATTTTTTGGCCGAGGGATACCGTATCGCTCAACCAGCGTCATCATACGATAGTGCACAGGGATGGAAGAGTCACAAGATCTTCTGATCAGCCAAATACTGCAGCCAAGTAAGGGCAATAGTGATGACTTGCTAGAGAAAATCGGACTGGGCGGTATACCGTCTCGCGAACAAGTATATCAAGAAATCGAAGAAAAATTGCTATTACCTCCTAGCACTTTACCCGAAAACTGGCTTTCAACTTACCAGATGTATGGTTTCTTCTGGTCAGAAATCGTCTCGTCTACAATGTTGAATATAATGGACATAGACATTGGCAACGCGAAGTTTCAGTCCCTTCTTTGTTGACGTATGAACCTTCTCCACCGCCAACATCTCTTACATTCGTCCGTTCAGGGCTGCAAGGTCATGTCACCGGTTATGCAGAAGTAATGGCCTCTTTACTCGTCTGGTCCTCCCGAACTCACCAATAGTATTCAGACTCCTAATCCACATGTATCCACAGGTCTTACTTCTACTTCGATGGACCGTGCTCCTGGCCCTAGTAAAAACTTCGTAAGAGGAAAATCGGGTCACGTCCCTTTCTGGCCAGGAGGTTTGGAAGATGTTATCTCGAGTTCGGGAAATAGTTCTATTGAATCTGCAAAGGGGCTGAGGACTGTCCCGCCTGGTTTCACTAGAGGCCTCCGTCTACCTGGAGACGATTTTGAAGACGAAGCACTTGCCCAATTCGATGAAAAAATCAATGCAGAGGGCATTAAAGAGAGTGATATGGTAACATTTTATCCCTCTTATAACATGCTGTTCCTTACGTTCAACCGATTGCTATCCAGCACGACGATGTTAATGGTCTTCCTGATGGTGAACGCGGTTTCGAGGACCTTACATCGCAAAATATGGGTGATATAGATGATTTATTGCCTACTACAGTAAGCTTCCCGAGCAAACCCAAGTCCTTCCTCTAACCTCGGCTTAGCGAACGCATCTAAGACCCACCAAAACTACTCGACGAACTAGATTAGCAACTATTATCAAGCGAGATTGGGCTCATGTTGTTGATATCAATAAACCGATGACTAACTTCCGTGAACTGGTGCCAGAGATGGCTCACGAAGTAAGTAACTCTGCCTCTGTATCTTACGACCCCATCAATCGATTCCTACCATTAGTATCCGTTCGAACTGGATACCTTCCAGAAAGAGGCAGTATACCATCTGGAGATGGGCGACTCTGTTTTTGTCGCCGCTCACACCTCCGCTGGAAAAACTGTAGTTGCTGAATATGCCATTGCCTTGGCTGAGAAGCATATGACCCGGTTCGTGCCCAAGCGCTTATGTCTAATAAAGTGCCTAGTCTGACTATTGTTATTTTACTAGAGCAATCTATACATCTCCTATCAAGGCGCTTTCCAATCAGAAGTTCCGAGATTTCAAGCAAACCTTTTCCTCTTCTTCGGTTGGTATTCTGACCGGAGACGTACAGATTAACCCCGAAGCAAGTTGTCTTGTGATGACCACGGAAATTCTGCGCAGCATGCTATACAAAGGAGCTGATCTTATCCGCGATGTTGAATTCGTCATCTTTGACGAAGTGCACTATGTCAATGATGCAGAGGTAATTTTTTTTATAAACTTTCAACCGCTAAAAGCCCTTCTGATGTCAGTACGTCAGAGAGGCGTGGTATGGGAAGAAGTAATCATCATGCTTCCTGATCACGTTAACATCATTCTATTATCTGCAACCGTCCCAAACACAAAGGAATTTGCCGATTGGGTTGGGTGAGTAGCATTATATCTCCTTTCGAAATGTCACAATACCTGACACGAGGTCAGACGCACTAAAAAAAAAGATATATATGTAATCTCAACAGCACAACGGCCTGTGCCTCTGGAGCATTATATTTATGCTGGAAGGGAAACATTCAAAATTGTAGACGCAAATCGAAGATGGATTTCTGAAGGGTGTGTACTTTTATTCGATGGAGTCGTATCCTTTGACTTATCACCGTGTTTAGGTACAAAGATGCAGGAGAGGCCCTGAAAAGGAAACAGGATAAAGCGCGCGAAGCTGCTGGATTGCCGCCAGTACAGCGGGTTGGCGCTCGTGGTGCAGCCCCACGAGGTGGCCAAAGGGGAGGGACGCCAACCAGAGGCGGACAAAGAGGTGCTACTCCGAACAACAGGGGAGCACCTCCTGGGCGTGGAGGAGGACCATCACGTATTATTCATACTGGGGCTGACAAGAATCTATATGTGCATTTGCTCAATCATCTACAGAAGAAGACACTACTACCTGTTGTGGTCTTCACGTTCTCCAAGAAGAAATGTGAAGAAAACGCGGGGACGTTAACGAACGCGGATTTATGTACATCGGTCGAGAAAAGTGAAATTCATGTCGCGATAGAAAAGGCGCTTTCTCGATTAAAAGGTGTTTTTTCATAGAGTTCTCTAAATGCTATACGATTATTGACTGTTTTATACTACAGGTACGGACAAAAAATTACCACAAATAAGTCGAATGCGTGATCTGCTTTCTCGCGGCATTGGGGTGCACCATGGAGGAATATTACCCATTGTAAAAGAGGTAAGAAATTTCTGAACTCGACTTCATTGTCCTCATCTGTTTTCACAGGTTGTTGAGATTTTGTTCGGTCGTGGACTGGTGAAGATCTTGTTTGCCACAGAAACTTTCGCTATGGTGAGGACGCCCGTGTTGAAACGCCTGGCATTTTCACACACACTGATATTCTAGGGAGTAAACATGCCTGCGCGATGTGTAGTTTTTTCCGGTATTCGCAAACATGATGGAAAGAGCTTCAGAGATATTTTGCCTGGAGAGTACACGCAAATGGCGGGCCGTGCGGGAAGGCGTGGTTTGGATCCTACAGGAACGGTTATTATCGTCGTTAACGATGAACTCCCCGATGTGCGCTCATTTGTGTCATATGTTCGTAGACGCATTTTTCACTTATCATTCACAGCAAACATCGATTCAACATATGATGCTCGGTACTCCGGCAAAGCTTCAATCACAGTTTAGGTTAACGTACAACATGATTCTCAACTTGCTTCGCGTTGAAGCTCTCAGGGTTGAAGAGATGATCAAACGCAGCTTCTCTGAAAACGCTTCTCAGAAGCTCTTACCTGATCAACAAAAAGAAGTTGTACAGGTATGCACCTTAACTCTAACTCAAGCGTTGCAATGGTTACTGGACAACGACCGGTTTAGCATGAAAAAGCTCTATCATCATTGCCCAAACTTCAGTGTGAAGTTTGCTTGCCTGATATAGAGCACTACTATGACGACACCTCTACCATCGTACAACACAACGGGAGGCTCCTAGCTATGGTCATCAGCAACCCTTCAAATTCAAATATGCTAGCATCAGGAAGGGTAGCTGTCCTCAGAGATTCGGTTTGTCAACTCCCACACCTCGACGATAGTGTAGAATTGACCTTCCCTCTAGCATTTCAGGTCAAATAACGTAGCAATTCTACTAAAAGCAGATCTGCGACAACCTTCGAGTTTTGGCAGAAGGTTCTTTGCACTTGCTCTTGTGGACCAGAGCACCAAAAGTGGCGAGTTTGGTATGTGACACGTCTTGATTATTGTATGCCACGAACTCGTCACTAAAGTGATAATTACAGACGTCGACGAACAGTCTGTTCCCCCTCACTGGCCGCCTACGCCTGCTTCTTTACACGCAGAGAATGCAACGTATGAGGTTAGGAGCGTGCCTCTAGCTAGCATAGCCCTTGTGACAAGCCGGATTATCAAAGTATATAGAATCTCATAAAAGTGGACATGTTCTAACTGGCCCTCGCATTGCTAGGTTGACACAACGAACATTATCGATGTCCATAAGAAGTCCGACCTACTTGAAGCCACGCATTCGTTGAAGATGCTCGTTCAGGAGTGGATGTCCTCAGGGGCTATACCTGAGGTGGACTGGGGTCGTATACGCACTTTAGAATTTCAGGAGACATTACAGGCGAGAAATGGCTTGGTGAAGCGTCAAAATAGCGCATCATGCACCTTATGCATTGATTTCAGCGAACACGTGAGTTGATCCAGCTGTCCACTACAAAAGCTGACCCTTTTGGTGTAGTACCTTTTGCTCCATGGTCAAAAGATTTTAAAGAAGAATATCTCATTTTTGAAACTGGCAATCTCTGACCAGAATTTGGAACTTATTCCCGATTATGAGCAAAGAATTGAGGTACTGAAGGAGCTGAATTTTATTGACGATAATTCAACGATACAGCTTAAGGGTCGAGTGGCTTGCGAGGTATGCAATATGTCATAAATGTCACATCTTTACTGATAATGATGCAGATCAATTCTACAAACGAGCTCGTTCTCACGGAGCTAATTCTTGAAAATACCTTAGCCAACTACGACCCTGAAGAAGTGGTCGCCTTGTTATCGTGTTTTGTATTCCAAGAGAAGACAGATATTGACCCGATCATTTCGCCAAAGCTAGAACAAGGACGTGATGCTATAGTTGCCATACTCGACAGAATAGGTCGTGTTCAGGACCGTCACAAAGTTGTTGTCGAAGAATTCCGGTCCAATCTAAAGTTCGGCCTAACGGAAGTTGTTTACGAGTGGGCTAAAGGGATGGTAAGTTGGTGCTTTTCTTTTTGCAATGTTTATATGCTGATCCTGGGGAAGCCCTTTGAACAAATCACGGCTCTGACTGATGTTGCGGAAGGTACTATCGTTCGGGTGATAACGCGTCTAGACGAAACATGCCGAGAAGTGCGAGATGCTGCCCGTGTTATTGGCGATGCAGATCTATTCAAGAAGATGGAAGAAGCACAAATCAAAATTAAGAGAGACAGTAAGTAATTCATATTCACGACCTTGAATACCGACTGATGCACCTCTGTCAAAGTTGTATTTGCTGCTAGTTTGTATTTTTAGCGAGGGCAGGCAATCAAAATATACCTTCACACACGAGCGAGTCAACTGAAAGCGTCAAGCATAAGTATAACGGTTTGTAATGCACGATGTCCCCGAGATCCGCAATAGATTCCGGTGAGCGAGTTGACATGCGAAGCACACTTGCTAACAATCATTCAGCCAGTTCATTCGCATGGATGTATTAAACACTCCCGATAGCTGGCTGTACGTGGGCAAATAACAGGCTAATGTGAGTAAGTGATATCCATCAGAAACTCTGATGGCGGAGGGGTGCTGAGGCAGAACAGATTAATATTCAGAGCAAGTGTGAGTCGTTCGACAAAGAAGGGCAATGAAACAGCTCTAAGAGAAACGCGAAATGACACTTGGTCGAAATTTTGACTACAGATCGTCCTGTCACTATCAAGGACGAGCGCGCTGTTTGTTACCCCATGACCAGCCTCGATGCTTCAATTCGCTTACTTGTGTCTTAGTCGAGACGCACGACAAACAATCAACCATTTTGAGTTGATCTTGCGGCACCAACTTATTTGCCGCCAGGTGAGATCCGTGATATAGAAGGTAAGAGTGCAGCGATAAGGCTCACCTGGTTTGGGGGGATTTCAAGATAAGTCTGACGAGACTCCCTCGTGTATTGATTATCGCGCTGGATTGAGACTAGTGGCCTGCGATATCTCGTACGCGTGTAAGTGCGAGGAACTCGTCTCCCACGGGTCCTCTCGGCTAGTTAGGTTGGCGGCAGTTGTTCGGGACCTTGCCGCATATATGGAACAGAACACCAAGTTATTTTTCTGGCCGAAAGTCGAAGAAAGTCATTTTCGATTCCCGTCATGTCTTCAGCACCGCCAGTGGCTTCCGTCCACTCTGGAATGGAGGCAGCGCAATCATTCCGTCACGAGTATGGAAGAGACCTGAACAATCAGTCAGAAGTCTATCGTTTAGCCGCAGACGCTGAGGAGTTAGATCGTCTTGGTGAGTCCGTTTTATTGTATGTTGTGGCACAACTGTAAACGTATAGCGTGTAGATAAACAATACGAAATGTTTTGTAAAGTGATGGGGAGGTATCCACCTCCAGTGGCGGAAATATTGACAGGTGATGCGTTCGGCGGAGACAACACCAAGGCCGTGCTGGACCTTGGTTGTGGAAGTGGAATATGGTAAGGTCTGCATGAGCGCAATCCCAACACCCCTAACGGCTCGTTTTCTTTAGGATAATGGATGTTGCTCGCGAGTTTCCGCAATGCACTGCGGTGGCTGTTGATCTGATCCCCATGCAATCAGTGTAGGTAGACAGATGAGTAGCTCTGAATTCCATATGGGACAAACTAACGGCTGCGCTAGGTCCATGCCTCCTAACTGTAGGTGAGAAGAAGAAAAATGAGTCTCTCAAGGCCCGCAAATGATACCTTCCTCCTTCAGGAGCGAAGTAGATGACATAAACTTCGGATTAGAACACTTCTACGGCAAGTTTGATGTGGTTCACTCGAAACTGATATCATCAGGCGTAAGTCATTAGTGAGAGTCACTGTTTCACGAACCTTTTTCAAACTTTTTCAATACATTAACTGCAGGTCGAAGATTATCAAAACCTGATAGATAAGATTAGTCATATTCTACGGCCAGGAGGCTTGATTGACGTCAGCGAATTTGCCTTTGTCTTTTATGGCCGCGACAAAGAAAAATTATCTCCTCCGCCAGGGACGGTACAACCACCCTGGGCTCCCCTGTGGATGTCCCTTGCTAATGCGGCCGTAAAGAAACGTGGAGGCAGCGCGGATGCGTCTCTGTACTTACATTCATGGGTCTCTGAACACCCTGCTTTCGAAGACGTGGTTTATCGCGAGTGGTGGATACCATGTTCTCCGTGGCTTGAAGGTGATGACCCAGACACACAGTTTTGGAACGGCATAGGTTTAACTATGAGAGACGATGTATTGGTGCGTAGAATGCTCATGGTAGAGATGCCTTCGACTGAAGGCTCCGACAGGCTTTCATGAGATCTGGTCGACCTCTTCTGCTTAGCGGTGGACTTTCGGAAGAATTTGTCGACGATATCATGGCTAAAGCGCAGGATGAGCTTATGGAGGCCAAGACGCCGATCTATGTTCACGTACAAAATGTATACGCTCGTAAGAAGCACACTTGATGCTCGTCTCACAGCACATCCTGAAGCGGAGCTATCGCTTTACTCTTTGGAGGGTTATTGTTGGGGTGGGAGATAACATCCAAGCGGATCTCACTGGCCTAGCACTATGGGATTACTCAAGCATCGATGACAGTACCAAATTCAAGTTGGCGGTATCAGATACCTACTGTGTGGATGGATAAAGAATTTTCTTTTTGTATTATAGTCATAACCCAAAGTTATCGGATGAAAAAAGCTATTCCTGTTAGCATTCATCTGATTGTTCTGATTGTCTCTGTAATATGAATCCAAGAAAAAAGATCGAACCAGCAAACTGCAGTGGCAGCATGCTGTGCGGTGCATGTTTGATGCGCGCATTCTGATGGACGCCACATTGGCCCCTCTTTAGTCCCATACAGTACCACAGCATAATATCGACCATCATTTGGAAACCATGCATGAACCACTTCTTAGCGCAACCTCATGCTGTTCTGACTCTAGGACACCTGCCTTTTCAGATATCATCTCTCCTGATCCCGCCCAGGACAACCAAAACAACCAACGCGAAAATGCGCATACCCCCGCAGCAGAACAGCCGACGCCTTGTGGCATTCCTGCGTCTCCTCCTCGTGGTTTGAATATAACTCATCAAAGGCGAAGAGTCAATCCGGAAAGCCTTGCTCTCAAACTTGGACCGGACCTTGTGCGTGATCTGGATGCGCTCATTCCACCGGGGAACACGGAAATGCCATCCTTCGCTGTCCGAAAGGAGCTTCAAGAGCGTTACAACATCGACAGGAGACACATCTATGACTATTTTCACAGCAAGGGTTTACGAGTCGTCAAAGAAGATAAACACGGTAATGCTGTTGTCCCCAAGGATATGGTTGGCTCGCCATCGCTGGTAGATATATGCGTGATATATGCTGCCACATCAATTTTCACCTGACCGCTACTACTTTTAATCATCCAGCCGAACCTTCGTCCTTTAAGGCAAGCTCCCCCTAAAGATCCCATTTTAATGCGTCGTCACCCTGCGCACCTTTTGAGCAATACCACCCGCAATGGCACTCCCCTCAAACCCCGCGGAATTACCAAAAGTAAACCTGGTCGCCCAAGAAAAAATGTTCCGAAGCAAAGAGTCCCGTCGACCGAGACGATATTTTCCCGAAATGATCTCGGTCAATCTAATCAATCAAGTTATACTATCAGTCCTTTTCTTCCGCCTAGCATTCATCCCTGTCTCAGCGCAGTTGAGGTTCAAGAAATCAGCTCCCTGCAATCGGCTGAAAGTCTTTCAGAAAACAAAATTTATCCCGTGCCAGCGGAAACTACATGCGATATTTTGCACACTTATCAGCTTGATTCTAGGCCTGTGTTTGAGAACGTGAATGAAATACAAGGTCCAGGACCGAGCTCAGCCCCATCGGCAGCACCCTTTGAGTTCGGAAAAGATCCTGCTTATAAAATCTACGCGTTCCCTTCACCTGACCACAGGCCTCTTGTCCAAAGAGAGCGTGAGGCATTCTACCGCTTTCTTTCTGATATCCTTGGACCGGTGCATGGCATACAGGAGTCCGTCTGTACGTACAAGTTATACATGGAACAACAGTCGAGAATTTACTACGCAAGGCTACTTTCATCGCCCTATGGCAGCTCCCGTAGCCATCGCGTCGAATCATCGCAGGGTCGGCACGTTCAGGCTTCTAGGGAAAATGAGTTCCGGTCCTGGATTTTCTCTGGCTTCGATGACACTGGGAACTTGAATAATTCTACCTCCAGGCACAGTGCAGCCGCTAAATCTGTCAATCCAGGTGACACCGGCAAGAACAGGAAGATGCGTGATTTCAATCCATTGCGAATTGATTCTTTGGATGATCTCTTCCCTGCTCTATCAGATAGCGGAATATGTCTCATGGACGACGTCTCGGGGTCACCTGTCGTCCGAAGCTCACAGGAGGCCGATCACTATGTTTCTTCAACGAATCCCTCTAAACTATTTTGCGACGATAAAAATGGAACGGAAGAGTCCAGAGCCCACCATTCCGCAGTGGTTGATGTTGACATGGAAGACATGGAAACTTGCACGAGAAAAGTAACTACACCTCCTTGTACCCCCAAACGCCAAGTCCGTGGATCTTTCATCTTTGCCTGCGCTCCGCTGGTACCGCTTTCGTCCGCATCTCGTCAAGGCGCCGAAGACCTGAAATGGTCGACTCTGCCCTTGCCGTTATGCCCCGTTTTGCCTGATGCTGTCAACCTCAGCATTTCTGATAATGACGCGACAACAGAAGTCTCTCATGACACCGCTTCCGAGATGATCTATGCGAACCGCAAGGCTCGTTCCCGCATGCCTTCTCAAACTCAAATCAAAGGTTTGGATATCAAACTGGAACGCCACAGCCGATTGAGGTGTAGTGCCCAAAGTGCGAGAATAAGGACGAGCTCGGCTGGAGGTGGAATTTAAGCACTCACCGAAACACCTAATAATAATACCCTGGTACGTGTCATTCTACGCAACCTTTTGTTCCCCGACATAGTGCCGCCTCATGATATTTTATGAAACCTGAGATTTTTCATTTTTTGCAAGCATGGACCGGCAAATAATGATTGATCGAGCGAACCCCTTTCCGTCTTTTTGTCGACTCTTCCTTCTCTCTCCCCGTGTTTGCTCCGCATCCATACACTGCGATACCATCCGCCCGCGATATCCCGGTTATTTTAGCTTCAAAACCCCACAATAGATCGAGTTAGTACAGCCTCAGTTCTGTTACATTGTGTCCGGCCGTCCTGAGTGGTGCTTTTTTTGGCACCGCAGGTCTGGGAAGTGCACCACTGTTTTCGCGTCACTCCTGGTACTATGTTGAATCATCATCAATCATCGATCCGAGTCATATCTTGTTTTGTTTCCTTGCACGGCTGCGAAAAGCTGTGATTTTCTGGTTCCACGATGCCTTTCTTAAGAGGAAGGCATCAGCATCACATGTTTTGTTGCCTGTTACTTATCTTCTATTCGTGTCCCGTGTATAATGTCTTACTATACGCACCATTATGAAGCAATTCTCGGCGTAATTGGTTTTCCTATCAGTTTGGAGTGCCTTTTTGACAAACGAGTATAGCAGGTCTCATGCATTGGTTGGACTAGAAGCAAGACGATTGATATATGATGCGAATGATTCTGTTGAATTACGGCTGAAATAGCTTCCTGACATGATGAATAGTATGATATGATGAATCTACCGTAAGAACTACTATTAGCTAGTAGATACTGCCCTCGATGTGATGAATGATCCTGATGCTGACCAGTGGTTTGAAAGAAAAAGAAAGAAAAAGAAAACAATAGACCCCCAAAATATGTGAAGCATAATTAGTAATTTACTCGTATCTCAGCCCAAGCAGACGCCCATGCACCCGCAATCGCATTGGAACTGTTTCACTTTATTCGGGCGCGTGAGTCGAGTGTCAAAGTAGGCCGTCGTCTGGCTGCTGGGAAGGATCATGTCGTCTGATACGATGCCAACATACGCGCCCAACGTCGCCTCGGCATCGTTCACCTCCTCATCTTCGTCATCATCCTCCTCGTCATCCTCCTCCGATGACGTGTTCCCGGCAAGATCACCCATCGTCTTGAGCTGATATCGCACGGCGTCGCTAACGGGCTGACAGAGAAGCGAGAGGGGCGAGAGGCCTGGGGATTTCTCGGATTTCATGAGCCGGTTATTATGGCTGTTTTGGTGGTGGTGGTGGTCGGGAACGCCGGCTCTGGGTGAGGTGTGATCTCGATCTTGTTCTTCTTCGGATGCGGCTGCTAGATCTGAGAGGGGGATGGGCGGGATGGGACGTATGGGCTGAGGCTGTAATATGGGAACCGGGGCTTGTGGTGCTGCTGCGGGACGACGTGAATGATACGGATTTGCAGACGCTGCTGACGAGACGGCATTTGTTGAGAAGTTGGCCGTCGTCGACGGTGGGGCCATTGGATGATGTACATTGTGAACGGGAGAAGGAAGAGGGGCGAATAAGGCGGTTGAGGATGGGGATATGTTTGTATAGGTGTCTGGTTGGGGGTATAGATACGGGGATGGATGGTGTGAGCGAGAGACGGTGTAGTAGGCGTTGTTGGGCTCGGGCCGTTGTCGCTGTCGTTGGTGTTGCTGCTGCTGCTGGTGGGCATGCGGCACCTGAACATCGAGTGAGGGGTAGGACACTCGGGGATGGCCAGGTGCGGACATGGACATCTTGCGGTCGTCGATGTCTTGAGAGCGGAGGTGCGATTTAGCAGCGGTGGTGGTGGTGATAGGGCGAGAGTAGTGTCCGAGGGCACCGTCGAGGGCTGAGATGGAGGCGAAAGAGTGCATGGACTCTTGGTGCCACGAGGACGTGGAGCGCAGCAGACGACTCTGGTCCACTCCCCCTGCCGCCCCTCCATCGTCCACGCCGTCCATGTCGTCGGCAAAGTCAGAGTCGATGTCCTCATCGTCCGACTCTGAATCGTCCATCTCGATGTCGTCTTCGTCGAGAAGAGTGTCCTTGTAGTAGTCTGCGAACTCGGGGAGGGGCGGGGAGAGGGGGGTGAGTATGGATAGGGAGGAGGCTGAGGAGGGGGTGTTGAGGGACGAGGAGGCGGACATGTGGGGGAATGTGGATATGGTGGGCGGGCTGTTGTAGGCGAAGTAGCGGGGGCTGTGTTGGCCGCTGGAGGAGGCGGGAGAGGGCTGGCTCTGTGAAGGGTAGGCAGGGTGGTAGAACGTGTTGGTGCGGTAGACAGGCATGTTCATTGTGGGCTGGCGTCAGAGATCATAAGACAAGGGATGATCAGAGTGGTGGTTGTGTCGAGAATGCTTTATAGTCATGGCGGTCCAAAAGTGAAACTACAGCCTCGATGCATGTTAGGTTATAGCGACATGTTGAAAGAGAACAATGGGGTGAGAGGAGCTTGGAACACGTTGCGATATGACATTTAAGAATGTTGCAGACGCCAGAGACATATATCAGGCAAATCAGCGGGCACGGAGATGGCGTCTGTGGGACCACGCCTCATGGGTCCATATCCTCGTATATCCCACATCCCATCCCCATTGCCTCCGCATCCCATGATCCTACACTATTATCTACATTCCGTAACTAACACAAATCCTTTCATTTTCATCTGCCAGCGTGGAGCACGGATGCGGCCCTGTCGTAAATCCATGCCAAGGCCCGCAGGCTGCTCGCATACCTCTGAATCAGAACCATAGCTAATGGAGCTACTTCTTGCCATCTTTCCATCTTCTCTATACTAAGACTCCATATCGCCTCTGTCATCTATCACATTCAATGCACCCTTGATTTCCTGTCGGGACACCCCTCATCGTCGAGGCTGCGATCCCATCAATCACTCAGAGATAGCTTGCTATTACTGTGGCTTCGTGCCTACCAATCCAACCATGGATGCTATCCACATTGGAAAAGGGCGAACAATCTGAAAGCTCAATCCATCTCCGCGATATCAATCCGAGGATAACAGCTTCAGATTAAAGCATCAACAGATGCACAACAGCAACAGAAACACCGATAACCACACCAGAAAAAACCACTCGTATCATAACCGTCTCAAATAAACATCGAAAGCATCCAATCCTTCACTCAGCAACCGTCAGACCACCCATAGCCCTCTGCATATCTCTCAGTGTCAGGTCTGCACCCCCTCTTGGGCTATCCCCTCCATGCATCCCATTACCGTGCACCCCTCTCGGCCCTAATCCGGGGTGTCTCACACCCAACGCAGCTCCCAGCATCCTCTTCCCCGGATCACCAATCCTCGGGGGTCCTTCCGCATGCAAAATCGCCGGGTCCTCACGCCCCACCGCCGAATTGATCAGCTCGTTCAATGTTGGGTGAGAAGGCAGTGAGGGAAGCGTTGGTGATGGTTCCCGCCCGTTCATATTCGGTGAGTGCTCTGAAATAGTACCAGTCGTCACGTGTGGTCCATTACCATTGCGAAAATTATTATTGCCGTTCTGGCTGTTATTGGCACTGCGGCTTGGGAACACTGAGATCGAGGCCGCACGCATATTGTGTCCGCGAGATGGATTACTGTTGTGTTGACCACGCGTGTTGACCGTCTGAATGACGGTCTGAGCATCCGGACCGTCGTATGGTTTGATGACTGAACCGGCAGAGAGTATAGCAGGAGGGAAGGCGAGCGTATGGAGATATGCACGCTTAGCTGTTTGAACAAGCACCGCGTAATTGAATAAAACAAATGAGGTTACTGAGGACAAAGAAAGACAATACGACTCACCGACAGCGGCATCGTTGAAAACAATTAAAAGACTGGTGTCATCTCTCCATTTGATCTTGAAGCCTCCAGCAACGGTCTCCCACTCTGAGAATGCAGACTGGATATCCTTTGTCTTGAGCTCCTTAGCGAAGCCAGTCAGGTACAGGATACGCGTGACTGAAGCAGAAAGACCAGAGGTAGAAGCAGACATTGGAAGAGTATAAAATGGTGCAAAAAAAGCTCAAAGGTAATGGTGTGTGTAGTGATATCTGGGGAGCAAAAAAAAAAAAAAGAAGAGTCGCAAAAGACGATACGAAAGAGGTGGCCGGGAAAGTAAACGGGATTATCGAATCTTTTTTTGCGTAACAGAAACGTGTGGGGAGTGGCTCTGGATGCGCGCTGCGGGTTGCGAAAGAAAAGTAGATGTAAAAAAGAGCTGAATATGTGAAGAAAGCGAGTGTTATGTTGATGTTATACAGAAGCTGAGGGAGACCAGGACAAGAGATGATGAACGTAGGAGAAAAGGGAAAATCCTCAATGCGCCTCGCACCCATCCAAGGCTGCGGGCGCTTTTCCCACGCTATCCCTACCCTGACACTGTTCAGTGTTTTATCAAATACAGTACATTTGCGATAGCATACAGCCCCATGTAACCTGCCAAATCGTGTATATACGTCGCTGTCAGATATCCTAGAGGGCTATAGTACGACATGATCCAGAATGCAGCGTCTTTTGCTATCAAATAATGAGCGGTAGGCGTGGAGTTGGCCGTCGTCGCGTCTCCCAATTAGGCTGTCAAATGCTTGCCGTATAGCTTGAGCCACATATCGTCTTTAGCCCTTACCGTATCTGACGCCCAAAGTCTGCATTACTTTTTTTTCTTGGGAAAAAAAGCCAGCCATATCTCACTTTTCTTATTCATCAGCCATGGACAACGAGCTCTTGCGCGTATGGCTGCTCGTCCATGAGCTCAGCGACCAGCTCGCCCAGAACCAGAAATTCACAAATGCGCTGCAGTCTCAGGCTGACGTGCTCAAGGTGAGGCATTTACTGGTCACCGGGCGCCCTCTTCGACGCTTCATAGCTCCTTTCTGTAGGAACAGGCAAGCCATAGCGGGACTGGTTTTGCGCTGAGGCGATTCAATACCGATATCTCAAAGGGTATGTCCTTCCTGCCCCCTCCGTAGATCATGGACTGAGGGAGGGGACACATCGCCTGTTGCAGAGGTCTTCGAGTCAGAACTCGAGCGCATGAACGCTCAGATCATAATAGAGAACCAAACCTTCCTGCACGAAAACAAACAGCTCAGCCTCCTCCTCAAAGAGTACGAAACCACAATGGAAACCATCATGACCAAATTCCGGAATCACGCCGTACGTCTCTCGTCTCATTTCATTCTTTGTCTTGCCCCTTCCGTTTCTGCCTTTTTTGATACCTGTCACCCCCAAAACGTCCTGTGCTCAATACTCTCAAATTTCACTTCGTAGTTGGCCGCACAGCAGCACGAGCTGACATTGACGCGACATTACGAAACCCTCCTCCTCGCCCGCGAATCCCAAACCCTCTCCTCCGACCTCTCCTCCGAAACCAACGTCTCCATCGCCCTCCACCGCCTCTCCAAACACCTCCGCAGCCTCCTCCGCTCCATGGCAGGCGAAGACCCCTCCCCCTCCCCTCCCTCCCACCCCAACGGCGACGGAACCGTCAGCGGGAACGAAGGCACAGACGACACCCCCCTCGAAGACATCCACGCCCTCATCCAAGCCCTCGACGACGACGCCTGCACCTCCGCGCGGGACGACTGGGCCCTCGAGCGCGAATGCGAGATCGCCCGCCTCGAAAGGGAGAACGAGCAGCTCCGGCGCCTCCTCGGCATCGACCCCGCCACCCTCGCCCAGAACGGCGTCTCCCTCGACCTGGAGAGGGACGACGGCGCGCGGTACGTCTACGCCACGCTGGCGTCGCGCAAGCGCTCCGAATCGGCCTCGGGCTCGGGGCTGGGCTTGGGGGCGGGGTTGGGCGACGCGAGGGCGGGGGCGGGGGGGATGGTGTTTGCGAGTGGGGAGCAGCGGGATGTGTGGGGGCAGACGATGCCTTCTGCCTACGGACCCGAGAGTGGGAATGAGATGATGGGCGGCGGGAATGGCGGCGGGATGCAAGACCGGAACCAGAACCAGAACCAGAGTCAGAGCCAATTTCAGCAGCAGCAGCAGCAGCAGCAACAACATCTCGGGAACGGCGTCCCCCTCCAACGCGTCGTCGACATCCCACCCGGCGGCGGCGGGATGCGCATCCAACCCCGTCGACCGCCCATGTTCACGCGCGGCTCTGCGCCGCCCGCCGCCATGAACCCCGGTCGAGGCTCGAGTCTCCTCTCGCAGTGGCCGCAAGCGGTCATGTCTGAGCGGCTATGGTCACAGACGGGCTCGACGCTTGATTTGAGTCGGTGACATCGAGAATGAGGGTTAGTTTACATACATACGTACATACGTATACGCTGTATTACGCTTTTGTGATTTACATGGCACTTTTCTTACGGTATTCATGGTTGTACATGCACCCTTGTACTTCAGACTTGATACCCCCCACGATGTTTAGCAAAGTATTTATTACGTTTCAATTCTAGTCCGCATCTACCAAGCGTCGACCATGATGAGAATGCTAGCGAGATGCAAAAAAAAGGGGGGGAATCGGAAAAGTGGAGAGAACAAGTGAGGTATAAAAAAAATTTAAAGAAAACGGAAACGGAAAAAAGGTATGTACGGACATATGAAGGGTATCGCAAAGATGTCGCAATATAGATACAACAGCACTGTACTCGTGTTCGCCACTCGTACACATAAGAGCCCATGATGCATTAGTATTAGAAGCACATAAAGAGATTATAAGACGTCAAAATCACCGAGCACACCATTATACGTGACCATAATGCATAAAAAAGCAAAACACACACAAAAACAACGCGGATGTGTGACTCGCAAAACCAACCACCTCACACCATTCACGCGCTTATCATCCATTCACCATCCCACCATCAATCACACCACCGCTACGAATCGCACTTCACACCCAAGTCCACTCCGTCCCCGGCCCTCAAATGCAACGCCCAACATCCTCTCCTTCCCACACCCCAACCCACCCTCTCGCGAGCGTCCCTCCCATTCTTTCCCGCGCGCATACATGAGATTCTGAAGCGCCCTCAAGCGCAACAGCGCGGGGTTGGCAACGGGCCGCATGCGATAGGCAAGTGCGGATGGGGGCGTGCGAGGGCGGAGGGGAGAGGGCACGATGGGAGGTTGCGGCGAACGAGCGCGCATGCGTGCTGTAGAATCCGTCGTTGAATTCGGGGGTGATGGGAAGGGGCAGACGAGCGGGATGAAATGCACCGGCTGTACTGCACCATTCCCATCATCGACAGAAGCGATAAAAGTGCTTACATCGGCACGACGCACGCGGTACCCTTCAGGCAAAGGCGTCTTTACGTTTATGCCCTGGAGCTTGGGACGAGCAGGCGACATGGAGCGCGGTCGGAGGTTATAAGGCGAACCACTAGAGAACAATGCAGCGGCTATGTATGCCGATTGCAGTCCTCTGGCGATTTCGACAAACCCAGTGACCGACTGACTTACTCGCTTCACAAAGGTCCTGCCCACACTCCCGCCAGTTGTTATAGTCCCAGTCTGCGAGTCATTCTGTGCAGTAACAGCGCCACGATTCAGCTTTTTCGCTTCCTGTGCAGCCGAGTGGGGCTCTGGGATGGACAACGGGCAATCTGCGAGAGGTACAGGAACGAGGGCGCGTTGAGGATGGCAGCAATGAGGTACAGCGATCTCTTTTATCTCTGACCCCGCCTGTGATGGAGGAGATGACAGGGGTGATTTCGATGATGGTGAGATAGGAGACATCGCAGGGCTCGTCATTGCTGTAGACACGGATGCTGTGGAGCTTCGCGAGCCACCGAATGATAGCCACGAGCTTGCACGCGATGCGGCTGTACCAGAGGACGATGCAGACGTGGAGGCCGCGGAACACGCCGCACAGAAAGGGGTGCGATAGCTGAGAGAAGACTTCTCTGAGTATCTCACCGGTCTCTGCGCAGTTTTACCCTTTGCCTTACGCTTTTCACCCTCCTCCCACTCGACGACCTTTAAAAGACTATCGAGGAGGTCAGCCCTGACGGTGCTCTTGCGCCTGTGACATGCGGGGCTGACAAGAGAGCTGACGCCAGAGAGACGTTTGGCTTCCTGGGCCTGTTCAGCTGGATCGAGAGGGAATAGTTGACCGTGCATGCTGGCAACGACGTCTTTGAAAGAGACAGAGCGTTGTATGCGGCAAGGCGAGCGCATATTCGCGGGTGTCTTATATTTAGGGGATTTCGGGGAACCAAGCGATCGATGCACAGGACTGACGCTGAGTGGCATGAAATTGTACTGGAAGGGGTCCTCGTCTCGTAGAGGGACGTGATGCTCGAGGCGAGCTTGCGATAAAGATCCATAAGATAGGATCTCACGTGAAGGGAGAGAGATCCCCAGCCGCGGGGATCGTTGGTGGAAGGCACGTTCTAACTCCTCTCGTTCTCGTGCTTCTGCCACGCGTCTATGTTCTTGCTCCCTTGCAAATTCGTCCTCACGCTTCTTCTGGGCACGAAGTCTTTCCTTACGCAGCCTGCGTTTCTCTTCCTCCCATATCTTCTCACAAGCCTTCAACCTTTCCATCCTCTGCCTTTGTTCCCATCTTTCACGTTCTCTTCTCTGAACTTCTTGAACAGCCTTTCTGTCCGCCTCCTCGAGCACCAAAGGGCCAGCTGGCACGAAGCATATATCAAAGTCTTCATCTCGGACTTCATCAATTCTAGGATCGTCGTCGGAAGTGATTTCTACGCCCTTGAGTTTCAATAGAAGGATCTTTGCGAGTCTAATGTCGTCTAGTGCGTAAGCGACCTGTACCTGATCTTGGAGGGAACGAGGGGGTGATGGGGGTGAGTCGTAATAGTCTGGCGATAGCGACAGGCAATCTGACATGGACGACGAATTAGAAGAGCCTTCGGAAGCGGAGGGCGTAGGGGAGGGCGAGCGACTTGGGAGAGGGGCGACAGGCGTGGGTGTGGGTGTGGTATCAGAGGGTATTGATGGTGCGGGAGGTGGCAGGGGAGAGAGGACGTCGTTGAGGACGAGTGCGGGTATTGGGGGGTCTAGATTGCCAGCCTGGAGGAAGAGGGACGAGTCGGGGGGTGGATGCGATGGGAGGAGATGGCGGGAAGTGGATGCGAGGAGGCGAGCTTGCCTATGCAACTCGTGTAGGGCGGCCTGTCTGCGCTCTTCGGAGGCCTGTCTAGCGAGGGCCACGTTTGAGACCTGGCGAGAGCGGCCGCGACGCTGCATGGGAGGAGGAGGACGTGTGTACCAGGCGTTACTGGGCGGACGGAAGGAAGCTGTGAGCATTGGGGCAACGGAAGAAAAGAAAAAGGAACGGACAGAGCAATCGTTAAAAAGAGAAATGGGAGCACGCGGACGTAAACGAGATGATACGGAAATTGCCTCGAGGCGGGGAATGTTCTGATACACACGCAAGGATCCGTGAATATCAGACAATGGCTGTGATTAAGTGAGTCTGACCTGTGGAGAACGAGAGCGACGGTGAGCTCGCTGTGACGGTGGTGTGCTTGTCGCTGCAGACGATGAGCAGGGGGGGAAGAAAGAGTGGGTTGAATTTAATAGCGAATAACTGGATGGGGTGCCGGTAAGAGCCGAGGGAGATATCTTCCAATCAGAGACCGGGGATTATCCGAGTGGCAGTGATTATGTAATATACGGCATGTGTGGCGAGATCTGCCTCGAGGCTGGTTGGGTTTGGCTAATGGGATCCCTACGAGCGGGCCAGCTGAAACGAGGCTGCGCTACCTTCTCCAACGTCTCTCCCTCTCCCGAACTCACCCCACATGACCATCGCCTCTGTCCCTCCATCCATTATCTTGCACTTGGGCCTTTCCCCGTCATAATTCGCTGTTTCTTTGTCAATCTACACGTTGCCTCTCATCGTCAACATCCTCCTTCAAAGAACTTGTCCTCTCCTCCCTTCACCCACACAATCTTGTTTCTTCAAATTCACCCATCTCAAATCTAATCATCTCTGCGCCCTGCCGCCTTGACAAATATCACACGACGTCACTCATATCCTTCTCACTCTCCTCCCACGTTTATAATCTTATCCTCCTTTGGCATCCATCTTTACCCACTTGACGCCACGTGGCTCTACTCTTCCGCCCCTCTCTTTATGTATTCCATCAATATCTTCCTCCTTTGGCTTTCTCTCGACGTAGTCCGGTACCTCGAGGCTTTCTTACCAACTCCTTGGACCACACCGACTCGCTTCCTCCCCGGTCTTCTTGTGCATCTGGCCTAGCCTTGCCTGTCCTTACTTGTCAAACATCATCTACCTCTCCTCTCCAACAACTACTGCGCCTCTCTCTATCCCCTTTGTCTCTGATCACCTCACTTGATCTTGATCGCTCCTCAATATACTCTCGTCCTAGCCTCCTTGGCAATCATGCTCATGGTGATAATCTCTCTTTCTATATCAATGTCATCAATGTCCTTCCGTCTACCACTGTTGCTCTTCTTGTATGGCTCCTTATCTTGTTGCGATGTACGCATTTATCCATATTGCTGTCGTCATTCCACTCATCACGGAGATTTTCGTAAGTATTATTGGCACTTTCCCTCTTCGGCATCGTCTTCTCTCTAACTTTTTGCCTACCTGTGAGAGTTTACTCATGTCTACTCATGTCCAGTCTCTTTCCACAGAACACTTTACTTGTTCTGTCATATTTTTGACAGCAGCCCGTGATGCTGCTGTGTAAAACGCACTCCTCACAGGCTGTTGGAACACGTATCACTCTCCTACTTCTCTCTTGCTCCGTCGATGCCAGGACGCCACTGCAAGTAGGACTCACGAGGCTATGCTGAATCGACATGGCGAAATGGCTGTCAACGGTGGTAGTAACGAGGGTGGTGTGGTGTTTTCGATCCATGCTGTATGTTTTATATGCCGGATGATCGTTTATGTCAGGCCTTCCCCCTACGTTATGGACCGCGACTCTCCGCATCAAAGGGTCCCGAGGCTCTTTCGCCATTACCCACTCGGTCTTTGCCAAGCCCTCTATCCTTTTGAGGATGGCGCAGCTCACAAGGTCGAGCCGTCCTATCATGTATAGAGCCACGATATACATGAACGATATATCTGACATACTGCACTTTAATAAAGCATTGCTTTCCTGGAAACTGTTGGACTGCCTGAGACACTGCAAGTGCTGCGTGTATGCGTGGTGTATGTGTGGCGGTCCCGTCCCAGTAGTGTCACTGCTTTTCACAAAATAAAGTAATTAACGCGGGTTCCCACGCCTCTATTACGTATATTCCCCGCGGCACGCGCCCCCGCCTGCCCCGCAGGATCCGGCTATCTTATTTGCCGGTCCACTCTCTTTTTCCATATCGCTTTTACTTTGCAGCCGTCTGACTGGTTTCACACCGTTTCATGTCAGACCCAACGCTCCTCTCACTTTCATGCGTCCCTTGCACCATCTTCATTGATCATTATCTATATCCTGTGGATTAATCCACATTCTGCACTGTACTTTGACTGTCACGTTTGGCTTATTCCAGGAGCGCACGAGCTTGGGGGACCTGACTTTTGGGATGCTGAAGCGTATATCGCAACCAGCTGTGCGATGGTTTGACTTGGAGAGGGCCATATCTTATTCGGCCGAAGAGCACTCACTCGTATGTGTTGCTGGCTTACAAGAATACATCAAATTCTAACTGATTACTCATAGTCTTTGGATGTGGATGCGTTTACTTCATTGGTTTTGTCCTCTGATATAACATGGAGGGGCGTCGCGGGGGTCTGTGGGCGCACTATATCGCCCATGTACCACGGACTACAAAATATGGTTCAAACTGACTTGGACCATGTAGCGAATTTGTTGTCGGAGTTAGAGCCGTTAGAAGAGGGGGAGGGTGGCATGCAGAGTAGCGTACGTTCATATCGTTTTACTGGGCCTTTGCGCCATTTGACGACCATTGCGCAGTGCGTGAAGGAAGCTGCAGACACGTCCGGTGTATCAAAATGCCCAGTTGCGCATGGTGTCCGTCGCGATTCGCATCCACCCGACATCATCCAACCCAGATCCTGTCGAAAACGCCGGCGATCCTCGACGGTGAACTCGGTAAGTAGGGCGTGGTTAATCACCGTCGATGACTGACTTGTGTGTCCTCCCTTCGTTTCACCTCGTCATGTTCATGTTCATGTCCATGTCATATGCTGTATAATAGCCCGATCCTTTGATCATACGCAGCGCCCATCCTTCGATTCCCACCATCGTGATTACGCCCTGCCCCGCGCAGTGTCGCGAAACCTCGTGCTGGGTGCCGTACCAAGACGGGATGTTCGGAGCTCGGCTGACGGTGCCCACCCACCCCGTGTTCAACGGCACGTTCCCGCCGCTCGCACCCCCTCGAGCTGGCGGCGGTGCGTTGCCGCATATGGAGAAATGGAGATATGTGGAGGGGCACTGGAGGGCGGTGGTGCCGACGTTGGAAGAGCAGAGTGGGAGGGGGCTGTTTTCGAAGAGTACGGCGGGTGCGAGGAGGAGGTCGTGTCGGATGTATTGTAGGGCGCGATCGCCCCAGTTCTGATTTGAGGTGGGTCATGATGCGATTTGGAGGGGTGATCTTGGTTGATAGCATCACCTTTCGGTTCTTTGATTTAACACTACGCTTGATTATGGGGATGTATGTGTATTTCTATATCTTGTATCTGCACTGCTGCCATGATGACGCTTGCATTGGGTTTGTATTCTCTACACAAGACATATGTCAACGGAACATTCTGCATTGTCATGTTGGAGCTGTGTCGATTGGGGCACGTGGAGGGTGGGAAAAGTGACGGTACTTTGACCTGCGATTAAGTGCCAGAAAGGAACGTGTCCCCGCCATTCTGCTTTTCACTTCCACCTGCTGCCCTCTTCACTGACACTGCAGCCATCCAAAGCAAAAAGCCACCCAAGACCGAGCCATAGCACCTCTCTTTCCAACGTACCACGACATCGCGCCCTTGGAGGCTGAACATGTCGCTTAGAGCTCTTCTGTATGTATACGTGCTGGGTGGAGTCACGTTCATTCCGTTGGTGATATTCGGTGTTTTCTGCTATACGATATACACCTCTGTCCCCGTTGGCGCCGAGCTCGAGGGCGATACCAAAGCGGCCACTCGCGAGCACGGGGAGGGGGCGTCGCCCGACAAGGCGGCGGCGTCGTCGTCCTCGTCGGAAGACGACCCGGCCGACCACCCCGCTCCATCGCCCTCCGACCTGAACGACCTGCCCAAGACGCGAAGAGGCTGGCTGACGATGCGCCGGACGTTCGAAGAGTCCGCGTTCGACGGCTCGTACGTCACCCTCGTGCGCTCCTTCCTCGACGCCCGCTCCAAAGACCCGAAACGCTCGCGCCCGAAGGACATGTGGTATGTGGTGCTGAAGACGAAGGTGCTGTATCTGTATGAGGACGAGAGCATGATGGAGTGCGAGGCGGCGCTGGAGCTGGGGGGACATGAGGTGTTGGTGTACCCGGAAGGCCTGCTGGACGGGGAGCTGTTCGCGAAGAGGAATGCGATTTGTTTGAGGCCGAAGGCGGTGGGGGGTGAGACCAAGGGGATGCCGAGCGTGACGAAGGAGATGAAGTTTGAGGAGGGAAAAGAGGGGGTGGAGCAGAAGGTGGAGGAGGCTGGGGGGAGCGCGGGGAAGCGGAGTAGGGTGAGGCTGGGTGATGAGGAGAAGAAGCGGGAGGGGGCTCGTGACGAGGCTTTCAACCTATCCACACCCTGGTTCATCTTCGTGCGGTCTTGCGTGGAGATGGAGGACTGGTATTTTGCGCTACTTCATGCATCTGAAAACCCGGCGAATACCCCAACGCTCAACCCACTTCAGGCTGTCTTTTTGCCGTCTGAGATGAGTCATTTGGTGACTACCCTGGACGAACAGCCGGATGTGATACCTATGCGATGGCTCAACGCGCTTCTGGGTCGTATTTTCTTCAGTTTTTACCGCACGAAACTCTTGGAATCTTATATCATCGGACGACTCATGAAGAAACTGTCTAAAGTCAAGAGGCCTACGTTTCTCACCGATATCGTGGTCACCGAGTTCTCGGTGGGGAACAAGGCGCCGACGCTGAGTAAACCTATGCTCAAGGAGCTGACGAAGGAGGGAGATGCGTCTTTGGAGGTGCGTCTGCTATATAAAGGAGAGATCCGAGCGACGGTGGAAGCTACGGCTACTATCAATCTTGGCGCGAGGTTCAAGTCTTACACTGTGAAGCTGGTTCTTGCCGTCGTTCTACGAGAGTTGGAGGGGAATCTGCTCATTAAAGTCAAGCGACCGCCAAGCAGTCGGATCTGGTATGCATTCACGCAAAAGCCACGAATGGTACTCGACGTCGAACCTATCGTGAGCGATCGCCAGATCACGTGGAGTATGATTCTGAATACTATAGAATCCAAACTTATCGAAGTTGTAAGTAAAACAGGTGTGATATATGTTTATGTTTTTCGAGCTGATTTTTCATCTCTGCGTAGATTCAGGAATCGGTAGTGATGCCCAACATGGATGATATTTCGTTCTTTGATAGCAAAAGTTGCGACCACCGCGGCGGAATTTGGTCGGATTCGTCGAGACGCGAGAGGCCTTCGTCCTCGGGCGACACGCCATTACCTCCAGATATCAAAGATGATGTTCCAGCCACTCCAGATACAGTACCGCCAATACCCGACCCTGCTCGCGAAGGAGAATCACCGCCAATAGAGCGGTCACAATCCGCTGAAGAGCTCCCATCCGATGTCCCCCCATTAGAAGCCGTTCCCGCTGTGATTAGATCGGCGACTTTGACAGGCCCGGGGGAGACTGCCAATACGACGAAGACGGCGAGACGCCGCTCTTGGTTTGCCACGGTGAGGGGTGAGAGTCCCGAGGTGGCGAGTGAGCAGCTTGACGTGGAGGAAGCCACTGAAGTTGATGTCAACCGAGGAAGAACAGCCACTGTGGAACTGGAATCTGCTTCAGCCCCAAAAATGCAGCCTGAGACGTCTACAGAGTTGCCTGCCGCTTATTATGCGGATGAATATGATGCCGATGAGCCTCGTGAATTCTTGTCGCCACAATATCGGAGGTCTTCATCGCAGCACTCACAAGCACGGTCACGGTCATCGCGCACTCATTCCGTGTCATCATCTACGGGCGGCGATGATAGTTCATCTTATTATTTATCTGATAGCTCTTCAAAAGGTGCACGTGCGCGAAGCCCCAGTGCCACGCCTACGACGCCGACTTCATTTCTGTCTACGCTGAAATCTAAAGCTGGCGACAAGCAGGCTCTGAGTAATTCTGCCAAGGAGGCCATGCGGAAATGGGGTGTTAATTGGGGTGGACTGAAGAAAGACAGCAGTCCGCAGGGAATGTCAAATCATGAAGATGTTCCTGACGTCGGCCCTCCGGACCATCGTACCCGAGTAGACAGCAATAACTCATCCCAACGTACACGCCCCACGTATGCGGAAGTACGGGCTGCTGTTGCGGAACGTAAGGAGCGAGAAAAACCGTCATATCTGGAAGAAGACGTACCATCGTCAGCTGCACCCATCGATATTCCCAGCGGTGGCGCGATGGGCAAGACAAGGTCGACGAGTATATCGGGCGGCCAATCTCCCTCTGCCTCCGATGATGGTTCCGCTTCTTCATCTTCTCCTTCTAAAATTCAATCCGGCTCGTCTGAAGGTACATCCTCTAAAATGAGTGTTCCTTCTCTGTCACGTGCTCCTACTGTCGATGGCGGCGATGTGTTGAGAGAATCCCGTGGTTTGCCAGAGGCAGCGGAAGCGCTTCGTCCGAGTCCATCTCCTATTCATACGCAGCCCCCTCAAGCAAGAACTATGACTATTCCAGGAATACATGCCAGCCATCGCGGCGAGGTGATGTCCATGGGGTATGTCGCCCCATCGTCGTCTTCCCCCGAAAGTAAATCGAGCAAGGCACCGGCTATACAAAGTGTGTACCGTCTATGGAAGAGCCCCATCCTGGCTAGTCAGCAGCAGCAAGGCTCTGAAGGTCAGTTTGCTTCGCAGTTGGAGACGACAGCGGAGCGTAATAAGGACGTTGTACCGCTTTCTCTCTCGTCTGAACCGGCACCGTTGCCTCGGCCTATTCCTCCTCCTCTTCCACCACGGACTATCTCGTCGATAGCGACTCGGCATGTTCCTGAGACTCCTAAAGCGCCAGATTCTGGGCCTTCAGGACAAACATCACCAGCGTCAGAAGCTCTGAAATCTATCGTGACGAAAGTCGAGACGAAACGCCCCGTGGTGGAGCAGAGTTCACCCACTAGGTCGAATCGCATAGGGTCCACGAATGAGGACGTGAGTTTGGGCGGAGGTGATCGCAGGGAAGACGACATGATGACACCGATTCCTGCGACTGCAGGTGTCAAACCTCCGCTACCGCCGCGCAGGATACAAGCCCCTGCCTAATACACGCATCGAATTTCTGCTTGCACTTTTTGTATGATAATGTGCTGTACGTTAGATTTATGCTCATCACGTCGACTGTTTTCTGCTCGCAAGTACTACAGTATATCTATCGCCACTGTACTGTAACAATTATTATCGTCGCATGTTAGATGGAGTGGACCGCGTGTGTGTATGGAGACTGCAAGATGCGGCATGGTAAGTAACCAGCCAAGAGGTTCAGTAACAAAAAGAAGAAAGATTTGCGGTAGTTACAGCGGTTACAGGATGATATGGATACTAGCATGGATTGTAACAGGATGAGTGTACAGGTCTGTCCTCCACCGTTGTCAAGGTCGGGTGCACACAGGACTGGTGACCCTGATCATTTGATTTTGTATGATATTCCGCTTTTTTTTTTTGGTATGGAACAAGTCATTTGGTCTGCTAGCATTTCGATCTTCCGCCGTTCATTCCATCTCCAAAACGTCTCCAACGGTCGTAAAAAGCGTTTTAGACCAAGTTTTAGACGCCCTCGGACATTCTAGTCGACGTCGACGAACCTGACATTTGGAATTTACGGTACATCGGCTTAAGCGAGCATATATTCATTTAAAACTCTCTCCACCTCCGGTGCTTTTTCCCTAGCTTCTACACATATTGCGTCGAGGAAGCAAACGGCGTTGGGCAAACGCATAGCGCAGGCATGAATGATCTCTCGTACTACCGCTCGGATTCCCCGCAGGAGCTCGTCATTCCTTCCTCTGGCCCGTCGATGCAGATATCCCCCAATCTCGAGGCGCTGCTGAAGCACGACGAGCTCACCCGCCAGGCTGCTGCACTCGAGGGCTCGACGCTGCCGTACTATCGCCCGTCATTGGACTCGTCTTTTGGCTTTGCTATCAGTTTGCCTCCCCCTCCGCCTCGCGCTGGTCATAGCAAGAAATCGATATCGCGCGATACGCGTCCGGAGCTGAAGAAGGCGACCACTAACGTTACCGGCCCAGGTCACTCCTCATCCGCTGCAACAGCCGACGCCCCGAGGAATCGTCCAAGTCCAGTCCCGTCGAGAGCGGCTACACCAAGCCCGCTGCCAGGGCCGAACCCTTATATCAATCCTGCGCCGCTGATAAAGCCCGCTGCTCAAACAGAGTGTAGTAAGGAGGAAGGTATGTTGTCTGTTTTTTTTTTTTTTACACTACTCTAGAATACGACGTTTATGATCTCTGTTCAACTTGAAGGCCGCGCGAACACGCTCGACTTGTCTCCCACACAGTCACCTTTAGAGCCCATGCGTTCTCGCGATGACGCCAGGCAGACGCCTTCTCACAAACTGCCGGATGATGGCCGTGGTTTTTCCATCGCTGATCAGACCTCTCAACGCTCCTATCCAGCCTTGGCTAAAGTTGAGAAAATTCTGGGACGCGGAAAAGGCTTTTTCCCTGGCTCAAACCTTCCGAGCAATCCCAAGGATACGAGGGGCGAACACGCCTCGACTCACAAGCATGGTCGCCCTGGCTCTGGAGACAAAGTGATTGATCTTACTGCAACCTCACGTACGTGAAAAACCGCCTTCTTCGTTGCTCTCAGCTCTAACGACGCTATTTTAAACAGTGTCAGACATGCGGCAGGTACGGGTTATCCGGGACAAAAGTGGTATGTCACACCAGAGGCCCACCTTCGGTATCGGTTACACAGCCTCCGTCTCTCCCCATTTGATGACAACGCCATCGCAGTCGTCGCAACCGTCGCAACCGTCGTCTGCGTCGTCTCCAGAAGTTTTTAAAGGTTTAGACCGCCCTCCTGCGTCTCATGCGCACCGCAATTCAGATTCCTCTACGCGCTCCCATTCTTCAAATCCTGCATATACACCAGGAACAGACATATGCGTCAGCATCTCAAATACCTCCATACCCACTTTCTCGAAGCAAGGTTTACGCCAGAATCACATGAGTAGACCAATGGATGATACTCTGGTTTCAAGGCCCTTGATAGGGTCATCCAACGATAGTGCAAGCCATGAATCATTCATGGATTTATTTTCGCCATCTACCACAGATTTCGATTCCAGCATACAATTCCGTCACGATTACCCTTCTGACGACTCTTCGCGCCCTATTTTATCGCCTCAACGGTTACAGTTATCGCCAATTGAATATTCTAGCGTATATTCTAATCCTTCAGCATATTCATCTTCTACATCTCTTGCTAGTATGGTTTTTGCTCCAGCAAGCCCCAGCTCACCTCAATATGATAAACCCCCGGTACCCACTTCTTCTAAACCCAGCTTCAACCTATCGCAGCACCAATTAAAGAAGAGCTCACCTATTCCATCACCGTCACCACCGCCACAGTTTACTTCCGAACCGTTTCTTCTTCCACCGACCACGAATATCCTTGATGCCAATGAACGAGCGGGTCGCATACGCAGAAATCGAAAGCTTGCGCAGCTTTTCGGTCGCGCACCTGGCGCGAACTTGTTAGCTGTCACGGATAAGGAAGAAGTGAGGTCATCCCGGCCTTTACCACAGCTTCCTGTCCCGCCTTTGATCAGCCCGGTGAAGCATCGTCATGCAATGTCTGTGTCTGTTCCTCTCCACAGTCCTAGTCTAGTTCCAGAGTGCACTTCACCGTGGCAGTTGTTGGACAACCCATGGTCTTCTGACAACAGAAGACACTCAGCTCCTTTAAGTCCTCAAGGCTCCACTTTTTCAGTCGACTCCCCCACAACGTCAAATAATGTCAACGTCGACAGGAGAAATTATGAGAGGACTCAACTTGACGAAACTATACTTCGTCATCGAACTCCATCCAGGAATCAAACCGCTGCATCTCCAACCTCATTCATAGATCTATCAGATGAAGATGTTCCGAATGATGATGTGTCCGCCATCATCGCTATGGAGACTCCCAAGAAGGCAGATAGGCGCCAAGGATTCCCTTATTCGCCTTCGACTCCCTCGCTCATCGACGGCATGTCACCCGAAGAACTGGCAGAACGGGAAAGGCGGCGTAAGAGGGATAAGTTGGCAAAACTCCACCGTTTCCTTGGATCACGAGTACCCGCAGACCTCGTACTTGGTCCTCTGGATAGCCCATCACTGCCTCCAACTTCGTTCTCTCACTCTACGTCCGACATGTCTCGGGACGACGCTCGTAAAGCTTGGGTGAGGCAGCAACGACGAAGCAGCTCAGCTGGCGCACTGCCTATGGGATCTCTCAACGACCACTTTGATAGGATCAAAGAGGAGCTAGGTGAGGAAGAGAAGGCTCTGAATGTGAGGCGGGCGCAAAAAATGGAGAAGGTCAGTTTTATTCTACATTCTATGTTAATGGATCTATATACCGACCAAATCGGCTTCATCTAGGTATTTGGCATACCCCCTCCGCAGACCTTGTACCATACTCGTCACTCTCCATCCATCTCGACGCCTCCCGCTCCCCAGATCAGTCCAATAGCTGTTTCTATCCCGTCTCCTTTCATCCTTCCAAGCGATCTTCCTGCGTCACCTCAGCGCAATCCTAATCAGTCTGCATATACGAAACTGAAAGGAAGGAAGTCTCACCGTCCTGGTACTTCGGAGTCGACGCAGAACCTGCTGAGGGCGGTGTCGCCTTCCTCTCCAGACGCGGAAGGCTCGCACTACACCGATGTTTTGGCGCGTTCTACCGTCTACATGAATTATCACTTCTCGTTAAACTCGTTGACTGACATTATCAATCGGGTGAGTTTATATGTATACATTTCAGGGCTTTGCGTAGTTGCTCATATGGAGATTTAGGATGACAGAGAATCGCTTGCTGAACTTCATCGCTACCTTCACAGCGAGCTCCTCGACTCCCCCATCGAAGAGCAACCAGCAGTGGACCCTCGACGCCTTTCGCTTTCGTCTTCGTTGAAATCTGAGCGTCGTCGCTCCCTTCCAACACGGACATCGATGGCGTCGATCTCATCCGAGTTTACTCTGCCTGTTGCTAAGCCAGAGGCATCAGATTTCCAGATGCGGAGAAGAAGGGCGGCAAAACTGACGCATTTCTTTGGGGTGGATTACCATGAGTTGATTCACGACGTGTTGGAGAGTATCGAGAAAGGTGTGGACGAGGAGAGGAAGAGGGGGACGCTCCAGCCGGAGGAAGTTGAGGTAAGTTACCAAAAGCTCTTTTTCGTAATGGGGAACTGACGATGGTTGTAGGTGCTGCTCCACAAACTGCGCACTCTCAAAACCAAACGGAATGGACTGTTCTAATTTACATATATGCGCCAGCCCTATGATTCCTATCCACACTTTATGCGTTCTATCCATTGTACAAATCATTATGATGATGATGACAACTCATGAACTTGATGCACTCCTATGTTTAACTTGTATACCCAGCGATCATCGTGAATATAACAAAAATTATATTTGACGCAACCGAGCTTCACAAAATAACTAGGTCACCACGACATGAGTTACACCAAAAAATGTGAGAGTCATCCATAAATTGTAACCGCTTGAACGATGAAGGATCCGAATGCAAGGAATCGTTATCTGGCTCTGGTATCGTTGAGAGAACAGGATGGTCATGGTGAATTGCAGGGGATATAGCCCGTGACGATGGGTGACTTCCAACTGAAACAGCAGCCATTTCACTATCGATGCGGGCTTTTAACATACTAAGGCTGACTTGCCGTTTGTGTCTGGTCTCTGGGGATAAGCCCACGTCAAAGACCGAACGAGAAGGTGCCAGAGTGGTAGATTTGTGACCAAATGATGCACGGCGCAGATCCGTATGATTTACTCCACGGCTAGAAGGTCTCGAAGGTATACCGGGAGAGAATGGCCTTGGAGTCGCGGTTGCCCGCCGCGATTGCGCTAACTGGTCCTCCAATATATTAACTTGCTTCTGCAGATTATGTGATGTGGCCTGAGCCTCAAAGACGGAAGACTCCAAAGTGCGAATCCGAGATTGTGCTGTGGATAGATCTAACGAATATTGTTGTTTCACCGCACTCAACATCTCGTCATCTAACGAACGAGCATCGTCGGAAGTAGAGGCAATAGAAACAGACTGATTGAGACGCTCTATCTCTTCCACCTTGGATGCAATTTCTGCTCGAAGGGCTTCTAATTCGTCGTTGGCGTCATCCAAAAGCCCTTGCTGCTCCTCCGCAAAGTGCTTGTAATCTTCCAATTCTCGACGCACGTTCGAGGAGTCGTCCGATTGCTGCAGAGAAGATAACTTGAAGCTCAAACGGTCAAGGTCCTCCCGTTGGTGTATTTCACTTTGGCGTAACGTGGCACGCTCAGCTTCAAGGGACTTTACGGCTCCTTGCATTGCTTCGAATTCCGCTTGTAGCTCAGTATATGCGTTTTGCAGCTCCAGATTGGCCTTCTGAGCAGATGATTTTTCCTTCTCCCGCAAAGCAATTGTCTCTTCCAGAACTGCTTGTGCCGTCTCCTCCTGCTCTCGTATCTCCCCCACGGCATTCTCCAGCTGTGCAATCACCGCATCGCGACTCTTAAGTTCGTGTTCTACGCCATTAACTTTCTCCATAAGATCCACCTTCTCTGCAGTGAGCTCGACAATTTTAGGTCGCATCTCATCGAGTGAACGCAGAAGATGTGTACCCTCAGCCTGAAGATCCTTCTGAACTCTTTCAGCATCGTCCGCGCGTCGATTGGCCATCCTTAACTCGTTTTGTGTGTTCTGAAGATTTCGGTTACTCGACGTCAACTCTGTGGCAACTTCCACAAGCTTTTGCTGAAGCTGCTTAACGGCACTTTGGTTGAACTCCACCTGTGAATGCAGTGCAGACTTCTCTTCCAGCAACGCCTCGCGGCTACTCTTGGTAGATTCCAGATCTTGCGCAAGTGTGGAGTGTTGCTTCTCCAAATTGGCATGTTTCGTCTTCCACTCTGCTTCTCCATCTGCCCGTAGACGCAACTTGGACTCGACATCATCACGCTCACTTTTGAGAGTTGCGTGAGACTAATAAACAAGAGAGTCAGCTCCAGTGAGATATACTTGTAATTAAAGCACTATACCTGCTTGAGTTTCGAAAGCTGGAATTCAAGCTCGTCGTTCCTGTCCTGAGTGTTTTTCAGGGAACTTTCTAGCCGCTCTGCCCGATCATCGTTCTCAATTTGCTCCTCCAACTCACGAACACGTTTCTGATGTTGATCAGATTCGGACCGTAGTTCTTCGAGTGTGGCAAGCGTAAATTGGTACTCTCGTTCCTAAGAAAGTGTAAACACGCATATAGGTGCAGTTGAGTAAAAGTTCTTGCCTGATCTCGATATTTGTCATTTAGCTCTTTCTCCCTAGTTATACTTTGCTCAAGATCATGTTTTATCCTGATAGAAGATGCCTCCAAGGTCTGGACACGCTTGTCAAGCGTCTGTGATTTGTCCTGTTCTTCGCGTAACAGCGCTTCCTTTTCTCGCAACACTAGGACTGTAGATTAGAACTGTGCTATACACAAAACTGCCTTCACCTACCTATTTCCAGCTCCTCTGACCGTTCGGCTGAGGTTTGCAAGGAAGTTTTTTCGGAAACAAGTAAAGCAATAGTCTGTTGCTGATTTTGGACCTGCGCTTGCCAATGGTCGACATACTGGGTTTCTTGTGCTTTCAGCTGCTGGATGGATTCGTTGGCTTGCTGAAGGTCCCCTTCAATTTGCCGGGTAAGATCCTCGAATGCGTGTGATCGAGACTTCGCTTCTGAGAGCAATGCTTCCTTATCTTGCAATTCTAAAGTATCGGCCGCTCAGCCATGTGGACACTATGAATTGGCTCAAGGAGCATACCATTATGAGCATCCTGCAGACGTTGGGTGGACTGTTGCAAAGAATCTTGTAATTCATGATTCACTGAAGATAGATGCCGCACTTCCTCAGCATTCGTGTTGGCGAGACGTTTCAGAGATCCATTTTCAGACTCCAGTTGCTGAATATGCTGGGAAGCGCGTTGGGCGTCTTGTCCCAACTGCTTCTCTCGCAACTCGAGGGTATCGTAATGGCTGCGCTGTTCTTGAAGCAGAGCCTCCAGCTCTCGTGTATCTGACATATAGCTGAGTTTGTCCTATTGCTTACAATCCAGAGAGACGTACTCTGTGAAACACCAATAGCCTCAGCCAGTGAACTTTCTAGACCTGCCTTTTCCTTCTCCAGAAATGATATAGAGTGACGTAGGCTGTCAACCACAGCATGTAAGTCCTCCGATTCCGCCTTCGACGGAGACGAGACAACAAGAGGTTGCGCCTCTGAAACCGAGGCTGAAGGAGGAAGCTCCGGGCTCAGCACAGGTGTTTCTGTCCTCCGAGGTATTTCAGCTTTAGGCAAAGACTCAATCCAGTTCGTGTCCGCATCAGTCTTGGAAAATCTGTGTTAATACAGGTTTCCATTATATGTACAAAGAAGGTTTTGTGAGAAATGCGAGGACACGTATAGCGACGAACTCACAGGTCTGCGATGTCATTCTTTCCGTTCTCCACGGGTGCTGGCGACTCTGGGGGTACAGGAGGGGTAAATGACCTTGAAGGCGGTGGGCTTGCTAACCCCACACCCGGACCAGCTTTCTTTTGCTGTCGTTTCTTGAGCTTTAGATGTTATGGGTATCAGTTTCATGTATTAAGAACGGTTCGCTGCCAAAAGCCGCCCACCATTGCCTTGGCTCTTGCAGCCTTTGCAGCTCGGTCATCTTCAGACATGGCAGTGTTGAGAAAGGAAGTATTAGCGGTGTCAGTAGATTATTGCGAGTGTAAAAGGTGAGCGATGCATGAAACGTCAATGCAGCAGATAACTTGAATACGTGTCCCGGACGCGTGCCCTAAGAATACAACTGTCGTCACGCAGCTTATAGCAATACAATTCAGGCAAGGATACAGTAGCAACAAGACGCCCGCATTTTCAATGAACGTCGATGTAAAATACTACAAACGAGTTTTAATATGAATTTGATTTCGGAAGTATATACGGGATCCAGGTGGTCGCAGATGGCGAAAGAGCATTGAAGAGAAGAATTGGGTAGCAACAGATAACCTGATAACGAGACAATATATGTATACCACAAGGAAAATGGAACCATGCCTACGTATAAAGGCTAATGATATTCTGTAGAGACCGACTCGAGGCGTCCATGCCAATGACTGCACGCAGGTGAGCAATAGAGTAAGGATATAAAATGACAGATACTGGCGCCGGAAAAGTCAAGGAAAAGGGACGACATTACGAGAAAACGGAAAGAAGTAGCATGCAATGAGGCAAGAAGGGTATTTGTAAGTATCGGGGACCGGGTCACGTTATGCCCAAACCTGAAAACAGCATTTTAATAACGGACGCGATATGTATGAAAGAAGATGATACTAACCCTGAGGGTGCTGTCCCAACTACCAGTGCAAAGAGCCATTCCATCTACGCTTACTCCCAAACAGCTGACTCGGTTTTCATGGCCAGTTAAAACACCTACACGCTCGCCTCTCAGCGTATCCCAGACGTTACATGTCCAGTCGTCATAACCACCAAAGAGGATACGTCCTGAAATGGAGAAGGCGACTGAGGTGATACCACAGAGAATGTTGTCGTGTGTGAAGCTGTTTAACTCTCGATCGGCTCGGATGTCAAACAAGCGACAGGAAGCATCATCGGATCCGGTGGCGAATGCATCGCCGTTGGGGAAGAACCTAAATAAAAGCTGTAAGCTTTGCATAGCCGGTAGGCAAGACACTGTATACGCACTGCACGGCATTGATGTCCGACTCATGACCAGTAAAAGTCTGTGTAGCTCGACCGCTCCGGATGTCCCAAAGTTTTGCGGTTGCATCACAGGCACCAGACACGAAGACATTCTGATTGGGTCCTAGCGATAAACTGACCGCAGTGTTAGACTACAAGCGTAAGCGAAGACGATCTGCGTACCTCATCACATCCCCAGTGTGGTCGCTGAATTCGACTACGCGAACACCAGCTTCGATATCCCACAACATACAAGTCATGTCGCCGGAGCTAGTGACGATTTGTCTGTCGTTAATGAATCGGCAGCAGCTGAGATAACCAGAGTGGGCGCTAAGCTCTCGGCCGCCTTTGACGCCGTTGGCCTCTTTGCTGTTGAGGTTATAAATTGAGCAGATGTTATCCAGACCACCACAAGCCACAAAGTTGCCTGAAGGCGAGTAAGCGCAGGTCATGACCCAGCTAGACCGAAGTGGAATGGCGTGAACTTTATTTGTTGTGTAGGCGTCCCAAACGATAAGTTTTCCGTCCTGCGAGGCAGAGACGAGATGTCTGCGATCTGCAGCCCAGTGCATGGCGTAGATTTTTGCAAGATGACCTTTTAGCGCACGTCGAGGTCGCATGACGATTCGAGGGAGAGTATCAACTTCTGCAGCCATAGCTCGCACTGTTTGTCATCCACGGTTACCTGACCTATCCGAAAGCAAAAGACAAGTAACAATGGTACGAACAACTTGTATCTGCTGATGCTTCTCTGCTTGCACGAATTTTCTCCTTCAGAACCTCCGCCTCACGACGCGCCGCAGCGATTCTTTCTTGAATATCACCTTGTGGTTGGGCCATGATTTAAGCCAGTTACTGGAGGGAAAAGAGTAAGAGAGTATAAGAATCAGTAGAGATAACCCAAAAGTCTCTAAGTCAGAAACTTAGTAGATAAAGAGTGGAGAGAAGAAAATTTCCCCACCTGCGATTCTTGCGAAACAACAGGAAGATGAATGTAGGGACGAGCGTGTGAAATGGCACGCTAATAATGGACCTGTGCCAGCAAAGCGACGATATTAGCAGAACTGGTCCAGATAGATGTGGACGACAAAAAGTGGGCGGCGAGGACGACGGGGACGACGACGAGACGGGGGGTAACGGGCTCTGGGAACGATGAGCTCGAAGCTAGAGACAGGTGTCCCTTTGCATTGATGGGCCGCTCAGCAACTCGGCACTCCCCGCAATACAAGCTCCGATTCAATATTCCACCATGCGCTCGTGGGCGCTCGCCGCTCGCCATCTCTGGCACCACTGAGCACAAATCCGTCGTTTATGAGACTCCTCCCGTTGACGCACTGCAGATGCTCATCTTATGCCCCAGGACATGCATTGATGCCTGGCACCCCCTGTGCTCTTTCATCAGCGCTGATTGCGGTCGAGTGCAAAGCACAGCTAAAGACGTGGTTTATATTGTTTGCGGGTGTAGCGCTCGCAGTCTCATTTCAATATCTATCACTGTTGAATGATTCTAATACGAACACAAGTACGATAATACTCTCAGCATTCTTTGCGATTTTACGCACGCGTTCGTTGAGATGGTGCACTGATTCAGATCTTTAAGTATCATCACGCATCAATGTGCACCGCGCGTTGTACATGCGGAGTTCGCCACTAGCAACTGGCAATCGGTAGCATTTTCTAAACTGCCAGCTTTCTCAAGTTACACGCGATATGGATAGAAACTAACATCATTGAGATTCGTGACATATACAACATGTGCAAGACATCGTATACTGGTGTCTGCAAGAAAACGTACCCCATTGGAAAATATAGATATCTCAGAATCAAACATGCCTGGTCCATGCACAAGACGAGTCATTCTTCACACTGTGACTGGTGTACCAACTGTATTTGACGGTGCCTCCGGCTGACTGTGCGTAGCATTAGCACCAGAATATTGCGTCAGCGGATGTGTGGTCGTTGCACCGTTCGTGGGTGCATGGAAGTTGGCCTCCTTCACGGATGATGTCCAGACACTGTTACCGCGACTTCCGGCGACTATAGAAAACACAAGAATCACCACAGTATACACGAACACTGTTACAGGCGAAGCAAAAATGCTTGTTAGTTCACAAAGCAGGAACATTCAAATGATGGATATTACTGAGGATAAAATTGAGGAATGCGAATGCTTCTACCGCAGCAAATTCGTGACATATTTGATTTTCAAGTGCTGTACATTGATCCGGTTAGTTTAAATCCAATCTTTGGAAAACAAGCATTACGGTTGAAGTAGTTGCATCCGAAAGGGAAGGTCAAAGAAGTAGCTGATGCGGCATCAGCGCCAGTGGCAAGCCATAAAACCCACAGCACAACTGCGACGAAACGTTAGAGATAAATATAGAGGTATCAATGTAAGATCACCGTACAGAGCCAAACTAGCTCCACCACGATCATGGACGTGAAAGCCCCACGTCTCAACACATCCATGATGAAACTAATTGATAATTTTAATGAGATGTGATCATGCCTCAACAGAAATGCTTACAGTACAGGAATCGTCACGATCGTTAGAACTGCAGTGGCAATTGCCAAGGCGCCGAAAATCAAGTAACCGCCGAAATACTCCAGAGTCACCGATGTGATATGAGCAGCAATGCCCAAGACGATCAGAGAAAACACCAGAGAAATAGCTGGGACCAGGTGGAGGTACTCAGCAAAGCTTAAAGCTTAAAAGGATACCACACGTACCAAACACGATAGTTCGAAATAACGGGGAAAATGACATTTTTCAGACAAGAGTGGAACTGGACTTCAAAAAAGACTCGACTACCAAGGCAAATTCAGCACAAGAGTGGATATACCATGCAAACGTCCTTTTATCCTCGACTTTCTCTTGGCAGAAAAGCAGTGCGTAAAAAGGACATGCTTCTTGACAACGCTAACAATGTAACATATTCGGCGCTTTATCTCGCTTTAGCACTCCCAAAGAAGTCAGATTCCCTGTAGAACAATTAGACCGAAATTGTACCTCCGATTTTCATGTCTGGCTCTCGGAGGTTCAGACCAACATCACTGATATAAGTCATTGTTCACTTCGTCTCCAGTTGCTGACCAAATTTATGACATGACAGTCGATATCTTGCTCACTAAATGAAACGCTTCAATACGTTTACTGCAACACAGCGGAGGAAACATACGTCGATCAAGTAGTCCTAGCCAATATATATATATTGACAACACTGTGTTGTTATCTGTAGTCCTTGTTTTTGATTTGAAGCTTAGGGGACCTATACAGGATCATATCGCGACCAAAGATCGATGGAAATCCGAATCTCTCTCTTTCAGCTTCCGTAGACTTCCGCTCAACGTTGGCCTGGACCTCGGCAATAGTGTGGTGTACCTGTAGACCTCATTCTAAAGTGACTATATGACTGCTACGGCCTGCACGTCATCGGCAGGTGAACTCGTGCACCTGAGAAAAACGACAGGAAAAGAGGTCGACTGGCGTGGTGTTGCTGCTTCCCTATGCATCGCCTTTTGACATGCATTTTGCTGTACATGAGTGCCATGCTCAGATTTAACGTCGGGCGATTATTCTGCTCCCGGTCCCATCATATATTGCGAATGGTATGTGTGATTGTCCCGAGCGAATCATAAAGCCTAAATGGCAGCCCTGAAACTTAATGTCGACGAAAATTGTGGTCATCAATCACTTTTGCAGGTGATACAAGGTGATTTAACTTGAAGTGAATCGTACTTTCATATCGCCTACAACGAAATGCAGAAATACAAGACGTTATGCATGGACGATGGCGAAAAGCCAAGGTTGTCATACAGTAGGAGAAGTCAAAGATGCGATGGATGCCATGGTGAACTACCTGTCAAAGACTGCCACCGGCAGGGTGGACACTGAAAATGTACAAAGTACCATCAACAAGATTCTGTTAGATCATGTGAGCGTTAATATTGCCGCCTTTGGCTACAACCTCCGACTCGATAAAGTGGTCTCCGTGTTCCTATTATGTAGCACCGGTGACTTGTGTTACGAGCGATATCACGATCATCTCTCAGTATCATTACGTGGACCCATCTTCCCGCGACGTATATACCATATGACGACGGCGCCTTCTAAGAGCCCTTCAGAATCTCTTCAAGGCCAATTGCAAGTTCTGATTGCCGTCGAATAACAGTTTGGAAGAGTTTCTTCAAGTCTAGTTCTTGACTGGGCCGCTCATCGCGGAAAACGACCTGAAGCAAGCCTTGACATGGATAGCTGAAAGATGGGAATCAACGAGCGCTTTCCCCTTTAGCGAAAACCATCAATACGGTGTATCAAGCGCTCGTCCTGTTCAACATTGCAGTCCTGAGTCCTGACACTAAACCCAAAGTACAAGCGCCTGAACATTGATACCAACCCGGTAATCCCTGGCAACTCGCCATTTTGCATATCCTCGTCCTCCGTTTGGATTTTTCATGAACAAAGATTGCGCATAGCACGGTTCCTATACTGTTCGCGCGCGCGCCCTCCAAACGTTCGGTTGCACCACCACTTTCCCTTTTACAACATACGTGACTGGTTTGTTTGGTGCAACGGCTACTATAATTGTACGGAGAATGTCGCGCGCGCCGTATTCCTCCCAAGGCAGCAAATATTATCTCCGAGGATACAGCAAGCATTGCATGCCAGTGTTCCCCAGGGACCATCGTATTTCCTGCTGTCATTTCTAGCATTTACTTTTGCTGCGATGAACCTGTGACGGAACTTTCTTGGTCTCCTCGGCCATATCTTGCTCCGCTGTACCATTCGTCGCAGTCAATTCGGTTATGGATCATTATACGCTGTGACGGAGGCTGCTATGCTGATCACACAACAAGGGGTCCGACTATGTCGTGGTCCCTCGCGTCTAGCTATCCCGTTTTGTGCGGTCCTGACGGTATGCTATACAATCAGTGAGTTCTCCGCATTTATCTATCGTTCCCACTGGACATTTTGACATTTTGACGTGTATTCCTTTGTATTCTTTTGACGATGATCAAGAGTCTGTGTAAAATTCGTGTGCATCTAATTGAGCTGTTATTCGTCACGGCCGCTTCGCCTATCAAAATTGACGTCAATGGCTGGAATATTGCAGTAGGGGTAACATAGCTCCTCCGTCTCATTGATGTCCGGTGGCTAAAACGAATGGACCATCTTGTAGTGTTCACCCTTCCACAAGACTATTCTCATTGGTTAGGCCCTTAAGACGTTTACTGCTAACGGTGGTAATCGTCGGCATTACACTGGGCGGATCAGTCAACTGGATACGGGAGGAAAAAGAAGAATTTAGCGACATCTGCCTTTGCATCATCCAGTACATCCCGCTACTCGTACAAGTGCAGTAGTGATGCGCCATAGGCTAAATGCCCATTGGAGTTTAAGACATTATAGAGAAGACCTAACCCCATTTGTCGACATTGTTCCTTGTATGTGTTTCGTGGGCTAGTAATGTTTCTATTTGGTAGGTTCACCTTCCTCGTCGTCCTACTAGCTGAACAACACTTCACAGGTGTTGGTGCTGCGCAGCCCTTTTACGATGATGATTTGAAAAAAATATCACTGTCTGGGCTCAGGAGTTCTGGTATGCTGCAAAGTTCCTCAACTGCTCTGCGCAGGTCGGCCTACCTGGCCCGTTTGTACTTTCGATGGAGATGCGTTGTGGCGTTTTTATTTCGTTCGTTGCGACTGTGTTCCGCACATATCCTGTATGTGCCTCTTGACATATATAAGAGATCGCGTGCTACTCCTCAGACAATCCTCATACTCATCAACCAGCCTTCTCTTCCTCCAAAAAGTTCATCCTTACAACTACAAATAGCCATGGCTACTCAAACCCGTATGTTCTCTAACTCAGTCTATAATTTCGGTGCAAATTCAAATGGCCACTATTCGTAGATTACCGTATGGAATTGAACAATGTGTTGCAACAAAGGGATGGATCCACGAGCGCGTTGACTTGGGAGGCATTCTCCACAGGCCCCCTTCACGACCCCACGTGGACCTACATCGCGTATAGTATGTCACAATAAAGCTCCTGCTGTAGCACCTGCTGATATATCTTTTCATAGTCAAAGGCGTTGAGTATGGTCGTGGGCAGGGACGTGGCAAAGATATCGCCAAGGAATTGGCAGCCCAACGAGCCCTGATTGCCCTGAGAGGCTAAATGATTATTAGCTTTCGTAAGTCGAGAGTTCCATCGCTGTTCAACTGAATTCAATACTGAGTCTCTTTAACAGATATCCATATTGTATCCCTAGTTTATAGTAAACCGTCTGTAGAATTTTCTTGTAGCCAAATCTCTCCTCTCAATGTACTTACTGTATCTGATATATATATTGTTTTGTTCTTGTCAGCTTTTCAGGACGCGTTCATGTTATATTAGTCACGTGGTGAGAATGTTAAAGTCAGCACTCGCGACATGTGCCAAAAAAACATAACTTCTTAGCTTGTCTGCGTTTTGGTGTGTCTACCGCATGTTGAGCTCAGCTTGCTGTACAACGGGACATCAAGTTTTTCAAAAAGAATGCATGTACGGCTCAATCTACCCGTACGCATTGTGGTCGTAGGATGGCGGCGGTTTCATGGCAGGCCAGGTCCACAAAACCCCAGGAGGAGCCCCAATGATCAAGATGTGATGCTCGTACGTTTTCCATATTACCCTGCAATGTCATCACAGCAAAGCTCGCCTATGGAATGTCTTTCCTCCCAACAAATTTGCGAGTAGGCAGCCTCGGGCTACATGCAGCATGACCTTCGCAAGCTTATGTGCCGGCGCCTTGAACTTGAGCCGGGGTGCGAGTTTCTCAGCATTTTTCTTTTTCAAAAACAGATCATTAGTTTCGGTAATTGAAAACTTCACTTCACAGAAACAATTAACATGCCTGGGTGCCAATATGCCAATCCGAGCCCCCTACCGCAGCTAGACGACATGAATATCTCGTGGTCAATCTCGTTCGTCCTCCTCGTAAAGCGATCGCCTTCGTGGGCACACCTCGAGCACCTATTCGATCAGTTCTTTGGGCGCTCTCACTTCGAATTCCTCTTCGCTTTGAGTCAGGATTGTAACAATTTAGCGATAATTGAAAGCGTGCCACTGAGGCGACTTTCACTACCGCTGTCAGCGCGTTCAATCCACAGCTTCAGGTTTCCTTCTGAAAGCAACACATTAAGCAAGAACTCCTGTATAAATGTACTAGATTTACTTCACTATGGGTTCTTTCCTCAAGCAAATATAGAATGTCTAACGGTACGACAACTTGTGATATCGGAGTATTCCATCTTCTGACACTTTCTTGCAGAAGGAACTGTTGCCCTCAACAACTGTAGGCCAAGAACTCAATGTTCCATTAGCATTTTTCTCACATCGACTTGACAGACTTGCAAGCGACGAACCAGCTGACTTCTCTAAGCTGGCAAGACTCCACAAGTGGGCCAAAAAATGCACCTCAATGGACATCTACTTGTAAAAGTATGCATCTCTCGTTACTGTTATCAGCTAAACGCTCACAATATCTTCAGTCGCTGGACAAGTTTATGGCATCGGCACAGGCACCCATAAACATATCGCTAGGAACATGGCTTCCACCATTGCTTTGAATTCTCTTAGACAATCAAGTAGCCAAGGTTAGAACATGCCCGGTCAAACTTCAGTGAATTTTTTCCAATTCTCGTAAATTTGCATTGCACTGGACTTCTATAGACTGCCTGTTTTTGTGACTTCTCTGCTGTTTATTTCCATGTAGCCTTTGCCTCTTTACCGGATGGGAGTCAGATGGCGTGATTGAGTTAGCTGAAATAGTGTGTCCTATCTTGTTCAATGATCAAGGTATTCTGCTGATAAGGAGTAGTGCAATGTTCATGCACGTCTGCGATGGTCCCTTTCTTATTGACGGTCGGGTAGCCGGCCCGGATAGAGGGAAGTCCCTGAGCGACTTGGAAGGTGCACTACGGAAGGCGCCTATCAAGGCTTCAGATATTCAGACCTGAGGCTTGATGTTGACAATACTTGGACCCTACGACTTGCCACGGCGCCTTCCCGTTGACAAGCTCTATTCTCGTCAGATCGTGATTATCGGGTCGAACTTTTTTCAAAGGAGCGTCGTTCCACCTTGATCACCGAACAACTGATTTCGCCGTCCTCGGCGACCAAACGTACTTGCGTAAATGGAGCAAATGCAACCTTCAAAATACCTGCCACCGATACCCACCGAGGAGGTATCATTTGTTATAGAAAATGATATCTTGGGAGTACACACGTGTACAAAGACAGGCAGACCATGGTATTTGTAATGACTTTATGGCTCTGTGCTATCATGATTATCGCCGGCCTGATGTCCTTCCTCTCCACATTTTGAGTCCCGCTAATATCCTCTGCCTTATTAGATTGTGCAACACCGGTGGCTGCGGGCGCAAGGGGGTCTGTGAGGGGATCATAGTGTCTAACTTTACGTCCTTGTATGGTTGCTTCATTGTACCTCCAAGTCAATGCGCTGATGAACTACTGGCATGTACAGAATAAAACTCAGCCCCCCCCCCGTGACACCTCGGGGGAGATCGAATTGATGAGTTTCTCAGCTCCGCGCCTAGCTGACTCACCCCGTTAAAATCGCAGCGTAAGTCGCCGTCTCATGCTACATACTGATCAAGTTAATCGGTTTTGCGGCGTTTATCCACAATTTCGATCACTGAATATACACCTATTTGCTTTGCAAATGCCCACATAGTGACGTATAACACCATTCTAGAATCCTGAAATCATAATGCCGGTCCTTAGCTAGGCAATATGCCGCAAAAAACTGATATCCGCACAAAGTCACGTCGCCGTCTCCGAGATGTTGAGTGGACGAGCGAAGTTCCCGTGCTAGACTCCGGTACATTGTAACATTGAGTCCTCGTTTTAGTCTTGCGATTTCTGTATCTCTGACGCTGCACGGTGAATTATCTATCCCCCATCCAAAGGTGTCGATGTATAAGAAGGGATGTGTACAAGGATAGTATTCAGCATCCTTAAGGACTTTTCTAATACTTCCAACCCTTACAAATTATACAATGACTATTAGTAAGTGTTGTCGTCCCTGGCTATCTATGTGCTCACTGACGCGCTTCATGGGCTCAGATTATATCATGGTTTTGCACAACCGCAAGTAACATCTCCGTTCATTTTGTCAGTAGGGATTCATATTCGACCAAAAGACTACCAGAGGCGACAGCAGCAGCACTTGCTCAGCTTCGTAGAATCTAGGTCTGGGCCATCTCATTCGGTTTTATGGACTGTCACTTGTAAAGGTGGGAGCTATGCACAAGCGTATTTTACAAGGCGCTGATCATCTGACTAACCGATGAAGTCGCGGGTCAAGAAGTGAGCTCAGCTACGGCGCCGCAGAAGCCTGTTGCGAAAGAAGAGGCGGCAAGGAAGGCTTGTCAGGCTTTACAAATACAATGATAGAGATATCCTTTAAATCGTTATAAGAATTACTATACATCAATTTCTCGTACAGCTAGAAGTATCCATGAGACGTTTATGCTTATGCCGCGGAGTTTTAAATTACGATCCCTGCGGCGAATGCCACTTTCCACTTTTACTAAACACTGAACACGATTTTATTGTCGCATGTCTCGACGAGCCATTCCATATATTGTGGCCGGGTTAACTGGTATCGTCTTATTCGTTAAACAATATGTAAATGCAAACTACAGCTGACAACACAGGCGTTGTGTCGGGTACATACATATTTCAGCCAATCTTCCAAGGAATGGCCGCAAAGTACGCGTACAGCTTGACCTAACTGGTACACAACGATACTGATGAATTTTACAGACAAGAGGAGGTCAATCAACAGAACTCAGCGTCTGCTATACCAGATCAGTCTGCGGCTATAGACTCCAGTTCATCTTCAAGCTCTTCTGCAGCACCCCCTCAAGATACTGGTAACAGGTCCTGAGGTTGAGGCCAGGCATGGCCCATTATGGCTATCTGGCACTCACAGCCATGTTCTTGCGAGTGCCACAAAATATTCCAAACCAGTTTCCTTCAAGAACAATTGTAGGGAGTTCACCACGAGGAGAGTTGTCATAAAGAAGATAGCTATTTACAGTGCATAATGCTATGGTATTGATGTCTCGCTGTTCACACCTTCACAATGCTGTGGGCCATCAACATGTTAGTCGACCACCATACCTTTCATATACTCTCCATTAGACTCGGAAGTATCGGTACGTCGTTCCCATATCTGTTCATACGTCCCTGATCAGCAAGATTTCCTAAAACGTGACTATGTGCCCACCTGTAAAACGGTTTCGCCCAAGAAAATCATCTCCTTCCGGGTTTCTTCTACAATAAGATCTTGAATTTGGAACCACTTTTCTCCTTCTCCACCCCCTCCAGCAGCGCGGAGATGAACCTTCCAGACAGTATTTTCTTTGTCTCGTGTCGTACCTGCCACCGACTCATGGGTGACGTTGGCAATTAGATCGTATACAGTTGGCGGATGAGAGGGCGGTGCATCGAGATCTGAATTCGTCAAGTTATGAAATCGAGAATAACATAGAACGTAGCAGCGATCGTCTCACAGTCTCGGAAATCAACTCCTCGAAGAGGGAAATTGACAATAGTAGGATTCTTCTCTTCCACAAATGCATTCTTCGTGAACCTTTTAAAGTGCAAAATAATGTACTCTGGTAGGCGCTGACATTTATATCTTCTTAGCTGTCCCGCCGACTCCTAAATGATAACTATGAGTAATGTACAATGATAGGGGTTTAATAAGCGGCAACTTGCTTGCGTAGTTTTTCCATCGTACTTTGCTAGAACAGAATGGATGCTGACTTGAGGGATAATATTTTTCTCGACAGAATCCTGGAACAGGGGCGGTGGGGGTAAATCAACGGCGAGGAAAAGAAATGGAGACGTTGTTGATTTGCTGTCTATCATTAACGACGTCAGGACATGCGACACTCGATGCCACCTTGAAACGCACCTCTAGCGATATCAAAGCGGGGTTTCTCATTTTCGCCAGCGTCTGGGCGAACGAGGACTTGCTGAGTCTCCACACGCAACTCTCCCTGAAACGTCGAGAAAATGACACCTGTCTATTTCATGCATCAACTACATTTTCGGAGCGCGGAAGAGACCTACTGGAGTTTTTCTTTTTCGTTCCACCCGTATCTTTATGAAGACGGTTCAAGAGCCAGCCTAAAAATTCAACCGGATCCCCCTGCTGCTCTAGCCTGAATTTTCCTGTACTGGCTCTATTGACCTCCTGTAGAAACTCGTGTGGGCTTACTTGACTCTTGAATAGCCTAGGGTTCCAGACTTTCTTGGCAAGAGTAGCAAATCGTTTGACAAGCTCGGACTCTTTGCCGCGGAAATTTGACAATAGCAAGTAGTCCCGAAGGGGTGGGATGTGGAGAAGAGAGTGGATGATAACGTTCATATGATCATTCCGTTTTATATTGTTGAGCCCAATATATCCTGGCAAGTATGGTTTCGACGACAAGTCATAGGACGGTTTCAGTAGATGGGAAGATGATGACAGACTTGATATCGAAGAGCGCGTGAAGGATGGGGCGAGGACGAACGATATATCCTCCAAAGAAGGGTCGGACACGGGATAACCATCTGGCAATACATGAACCTGATAGACAGCCTTATGAGTGAGTTGTACTGTGAGATGGCTGCAGCACTAATTCCCAACCTTAGTGGTTTCAAGATTGATGAAGACGTGGTGGTCGTCGTGGATCGAATGTGCATAAGCGTATGATTTGCGTCCTCGACCTTGAAAGTATTTTCCGCAAACAAGACAACCATATGTGTTAATATTCGAGAGAGAGACCGAACACACTTTCTCGAAGTCAAAATCAAGAAGTGCTCTATTAATCTAAGATATCTTTGAGTTAGCTATGGATATTAATGTTGATTGGACCCACTGTGTCCAAGTACAAATCTGATGCTTTTGGCTCATTCTTGGATTGCTCATACCCCTCTATTTCATCGTCGTAGTCGTCTTCAACAAAAGTCTGCATGTTCTTTTCCATACCACCTTCAAGTTGGTCGTCCGGCGGCGCTGTTTGCGTCGAAGAGGTTCCGTTGAAGCGTCCATCTTCTCCCACTTTTACTCTTTTCAAGGGCCTCTCCTCGACATCACTTGCAGGTTTCGGTCCACTTGATTGAGCCATTGAATTGAGGTCAAGGCCGCTGGATGAGCTTGAAACTGCTCGAAATTGGACCGCCTACTAGAAGCGTTTGAGTTACATAATCGCACACTTGCTGAGGCTTTTTCTTCAAATTGCCTTTTCAATCTGCTGCAACATTAACTGCAGCTTGCTAGTGTGCATACATATTCAAAGTATCAGTCCATCGCAGCCTTTTCTTTATCTCTGTAGTGAAAGCAGCTGCGGTTTAAGATGCTTCGCAAGGCTTGCACAAGCCATTTGCGCCTCTTATGTTTGTCACGTCTCCCGGTCTCAAGCTTCTCCTCGAAATCTGCAATATCGTCTGGTTTACCAAATGCACCCATTGACCTTGATCCAAGTTTGAAGGCTTTGCTCAAAGACATTGATATATCGTTGAAGAACGATGGCCAGCGGGCCAGCGACGGAACATTCTCTCCTGCTCCACGTGAACTTGAAGCCTATCCTGCTGAAGATTCATTGATTGGAACCCACGAAAGTGAAGAATTTGTTGAAGAGGACGATGCTGTTTACCACAAGGATACAAGAAAGTCTCCGGCAGCCCATTTTGGTAGTCGGGGAATTGGTGCAGTTGTCTTGCCAGACGAGCTACAGAGAACTATTACTACCCTCATAGCAGGTTTGTCTCCCAGTTCATTCTAGCACACTGGCGTTCTCTTATAGTCTACGTTACACTTAGAATCCGATAAAACGACATTACACAGCGACGCAAAACGCTTGTTTTATGAGCCTGAAGGTAGGGGAGAAGTAGAAAAACGGTGGGACCCAGAATATGACGTGAAGTATCGATCCCGCCGACAGGCTTCCCGCCATTCTGAACGTGATGGGACTGCTTTCGCGTCAGTTGCACTTCCAGCACACTATTCAGCTATATGTGCTGTCCTCGATCATCTCAAGCTCAGACTAGGCCCTGATTATCAAATAAAGAGGGTCGTTGAGTGGGGAGCAGGCGCAGGTAGTGGATTCTGGTGATGCATAAATATTGCTGATTCGATTTATGAGTGAAAACTGAACTTCTGCTCCTCTAGGGCGTCACTACATTCTTTTCAAAAGTCTCGCGAAGGTACAGAAGACGAAGACGGACCTAAGTTATCGACGTCTGATGTCATAACTTATACTGGTATCGACAAGCGCGAAGGGCTTGTTTCGATTGGGAAGAAGTTACTCCGAGGTAAGTATCTTGCGCTTGTATCATTCACTATAACCATTTTTATGTAGATATCGACCTTGGGGCCGTAAGCGCAACATGGCAGAAGTCTCTGCAAGACCAGGATAAAATTCGTCGTTCTGAAGGACATGATTCTCTTGCTTTGTCTGCTTTCTTGCTATCTTCCCTGTCACCTCCTTTAGCAAGAAAAAAGCTGGTAAAAGAAATGTGGGAGAGTGGTGCTAGTACTATTGTAAGTGAAACTCTGAAGCCATTTCAGTCAATCCGCTGATGATGTCTCCCAGGTTCTCATCGACCATAGCTCCACTGCCGGTTTCGAAAATATTGCGGAGGCCAGAGAGTATATACTAGAAATGGGCAGGAAGGAACTGGATGATCCTGAAACGGCCGAATGGCCAGTGAGAGGGGCCCATGTTGTCGCGCCTGTAACGTGTTTTCTCTTCTTTGTAATACGTCGACTGACTTCTAATTCATGACAGTGTCCTCATGATGGCACTTGCCCTTTGTATCATCCGGGCTCAAGCAAACTCATATGTGGCTTTTCTCAGCGTCTTCAGCGCCCCGCGTTTGTTCGTCTTACCAAACACTCGGGTCTGGGTCATGAAGACATCGGATACTCTTATGTCGTCATTCGCAGAGGTGTGAGACCTGAGTCGAGCTCCATGAAACTCGGAAGAATCGGCGCTGTAGGCCAGAACGAATTGGAGAAAGCAGCATTACTCCCAACTCGAAAAGAACTGGAAATCAACAGTGATAATGAAGCCTCTGTAATCACAGACTCCTCACTAATGTCGCCATTAAGTGATACCACTGAAGTAGTCGACGAATCTATGGTAGACCTTGAAGCAGCTTTACGACAAGAAGCGTACAGATGGCCCCGTCTCGTGTTTCCTCCTCTCAAGAAAAGTGGCCATATTATCCTGGACGCATGCACCCCTGAAGGTAAGAGCCTCACATCACGTGATATGCACAGGTCTGAAGGAGATTGTCAGAAAAAATCATGCGACTTACCATTCCGAAGTCGCAAGGTAAACAGCCTTACTATGATGCCCGGAAATCCAGTTGGGGAGACATTTTCCCCCACGAGCCTAAAAACACACCACAAGTGCGATATCAGCCCCCGCGCGCCAAACGCGAGGGAGGCATGAATCCCATTAAAGGAACTGACATTGGCAAGAGGAGCTCGAAAGCAAAAGTCCGCAACACAAGCTACTCTTCTCTTTCTGATGAGCTGAAAGAAAAAAGGAAAAAGACCCGCAGAGACCGAATTCATGCCAGAGACGCCCAAGATATCTAGCTTGGAATTGGGTACCTGTCTCATTTGTTGCAAATATATTACCATCCACCTCATCTCTCAGTCTAACCTCTTTCGTGTTGTATATCTAAATGCATTCTAACATAGTAATATACTAGAGATCTGATATCTGAATGCCCGGAGCCTGAGTAGAGCTCAATATAATCCGAGTGATCGCATTTACTAGGTAACCGTCTTGTCAGAGAACTCAGCACAGGCATATGATGTACGCACCTGGTTTGACGTTCTTGTTCTTCTTATCAGATTCAGGGTCTTTCTGATTACCAGTTGCTCTCTTTACGGAACTGACAAACAGGCGGACATTCTTCACAACATCTTCCACCGGGAAGTGCATCTTTGGAAAATGTCAGCTTGACCACGATAGCGGTAAAGAGTGCGCTTTTACTTTTGCAATAGCCATGCGAATAGTACCGCCTTTGTCTCCCCTCCACTCTGTGGTACCGGATAACCGCCGGATATACCCAACTATGTCGTCGGTCACCGTACCACGCCTATCTGAAGGCATCAATCCACGGGGACCCAAGATACGACCAAGTTTAGGTGTGATGGCACGGATGAGCGCTGGGGTACAGAGTATCGTAGTTGCCTGGTGACGCCCGTTGATGACCTGCATTTGTGTTCCGATCAGTAAAAATTACTTTTCGAAAGGGACGCTTTGTGAACGCACTCCATCAATCAACTCAGCACCGCCTACAATGTGTGCCCCGGCCCTTTTGGCCTCCTCTGCCTGTCTACCCTCAGCAAATACGAGAATTCGTTCTTCTGTCTTTATTTTTGCCTCTCTTGGCAGGCTAATACGCCCCTTTGGTACAGCGGAGCCCCTTGACATCGCCGTTTTCACAACTAATTCATATGTGGCGTTGGGTTTAGCAACTTCGACGGACTGAAGAAAAGAATGGATAAATTTGTGGCTTGGTTTGCCGAACGCGACGAGAACGCACTCTGAGTATAGAAATGGCGTCCATGAGAGACATTTTCTCATTCTCGTAGATATTTTTACGAGCTTTCAAGGCCCGCTTTCTTGCTTTCGCAGCTAAGGCTTTCTTGGACAGGACGGGAGGTTTTTTGACTTGGCGCGCGAGGACAGTTGGACTAGCTGAGAACTGACGGCTAAACGAAAAGGGCTAGCAAAGAATGATAACCTGTAAAGATAGATGCAATAACAAATTTGTAGCACTCACCGGTGTCGTTGGATAATGACAACATTGTCGACAGAGAGAACCCAAATTTCTGAGCATCACACTGTTACTGGAAAGACCCGTTAACCGAAAGGACCTCTCCGTGGATTTGTACTGCTTTGCAAACAGGAAATTTTCAACTCCGCGATTACCTTTGGATTTATCTGTCGCATCAACCTGGCTCAGTCACGGTAACCTGCAAATACACCTGAAAATCCATACTCCACCAACCAGAGACAGATGGTCCGCGATAAATTCAATAATTATTTTTACATTAGGAAGGACTGATCCAAGCCCTTACTATCGTCCCAGCCCTTGGCGACTCGGCAATACAACTTGAAGATGCTGGATCCCATCATGTCCATCCTCAATATGTCCCTCTCTAGCTTGAGACTCCAAATCACCGAAAGCTTCCAAGACGCAAATAATTGTTCGGGAGTTATATTCCACCCAGCCCGTCACCTTTTGTGGACACAAGATCAGGATCTCTCGCCGCACGGGTTTTGAAAGCGTGCCATCACCGTGGCTATCGTACTCGGGCTAGTAGTAAACCAATATTATACTATCAGAATCCAACAACTCTACTTTATCGTGCGGTAGCCTGATGAAATCCCGTGATGGCCACTAATACTATAGGCCCAACCAAGAATAATTGCACATATCAAGGAAATGGTTCAGATTCCCAAATGAAGAAGTTACTTAGTTACCCCAGGAGTCTCCAGAAGAATTCGGATTTGGCCACCGGGGAACATTGTTGAATATCGGGCGCCTAGCTAGTCCGAGGATGAGATTATTGAGGGGCCGGTAGTTGCCAGTAATTAGCAACCCTACTACAGCCTGAGGTTGCGGACAGCTGCTCATGGAATCTAAGACAGCAAAGTCGATACCATCTAAGCATCAGCAAATCGGCGGGCATCCGAGTCCTATGCTGTAGCATCAGCGCCTATGCGATAATTAAACTGGCAACATTAGCATCGGATCGTGTGCTGAGTAGTAATACTCCACTTCATCCTCCTGATAACGACTGCCAGTAAAACCACTGGTATTGAAATATAGCGGTGAGTCGACTCTCACCAGTCGTCTCTCGCAAACTTCCAGATGTCTTTCAAGTTGAGGGGCACACTGTCGCGTGTGAAGTCTAAATAGGCCATGCATGCCGTAGCAAACGCAAGACATGAGAAAAACGAGCTTAAAGAAGTGGGCGTGCTGGCCACTGTCCGGTGCCCGGAATATTCTTCGAAGAATTAAAAACTGATGGATGAATAGAACCAAAGAGGCCGGGAGGCATCTTGCATAGGTTGACGCATGTTAGCATGTCACTCAAGTACCGCCGCCCCTCTTCATGTAGAATTATCAAAATTGAAACAGCGCCCTAGGCCCAACACCTGCTGACATGAATAACACACAGGAATTAGCTGACAAGGCCATCAGAACTGTCAACAAAAACTATTGAAGCAAGACAGCTGGAAAATAACGCCCAGAAATTTCAACGTACAGCCTTAACTGTTACAGAATATATATCCATATACGCATCGATGCGATTCAGCGGGGGAGACAGTAGTTGCACGTTTTTCTCGGGTCAAGACGAGCCGAATCAAGGAGGCGACAGACTCACGGCAACAGTGGGGTAAACGGGTGAAAGGGGCAATGAATTATCCCTCGTAGCGTTCGTGGTGGGACGCTAATGTGCCTTGGATCACTGAACAGTACATTCTGAGCTAAATTCTGATCCGGTTGGCCTATGACAGACACGATTGAATCAACACAAAAGAGATAATGGATCGCAAGGGGGATGGATGCTGTAAGTAACTTTCTGGACTGAATTTATACCATCATTGGTGATATGGACCAAGTAGCGAGACGGCACTCAAACAGTCCATCCCCAAAGAGGTTCAAAAAAGTATGCTGATATTACTATCTGTCACACGAGACCTGATTGAGAGGCTCTGTTGTTACCAACAGTCATATGAAGACAACCGCACTAGCTTTATCGAGAAAGCGTTTACTTGTAAAGCAGTTCATAATTACTTACCGTCTGAAAAACATAGTAGTGGAGTGTCCCGTATACGTTTTCCCATAGTATGATGACCACCGTGTTAGGACACCCTTGCGAGAACAGGTTAGTGACCTCCTGCGCCGTAGTAAGTTCGCGCCAGGTCCGGAAGTTTTGTTAGTACCCAGAGATGGCACCTCTCTCGTAGTTTCGCCGGGCTGTCCTTCATCCTGTGTTCCCCTGAAAGTGAAGGGATAGCACGCTGTTATTAGACGGAACCCCCCGCATTAACTTATCCTTTGTCGATGTCTGGGCAACGACGAAGGTTCAGGCAGTTCATATCATGAGTGGGAGTCAGATGAATGAAAGGATGCATGGTGTTAGATAGATCTCCCCGCAAGATTGGCCAACTGAGAATACTGCCAACAGTAACATGAGGACCATCCACAATGCATGATGAGGTGCTGGTACATGTGGCTTCCCCAAGTCGAGCTTTCAACTTGCAACCTCGCAAGCCGCGGCAGAATCCTGGGCGTGACTGTAGCGTGACTTGTAATTTAAAATATAATATTTTTGTTGTATCTTTCATAAAGTATTTAAAAATGACATTTTTATCAGCCGTGGGAAAGGAAATACTTTTAACACTTCTGACCTTTTTCTCTGAAGCATTCCCGCTCACCAACCATGTCTTTCTCGTTGTTTGCACCTGGGAGCTCCAAGCAGTTTTTCAGAATATCGCAGACATCCGTGCGACACGCAGGGAGGAAAGCAGAGGCGACTGGTGGGGATCCTAAAAAAGAAATCCTTCGTCGTGTTCTATATCCCAGCAATATTCGTAATAAACCCACTCCAATTGGAACATGGAGACCAGACGTTGGTCGCGCCCTTCAGCGCGCCATACCCTCTGTTCAGGCGCACGAAACCATAGAGCGAGCATGGCTTCTTCACCAACGTCACCAGCGAAAAAAGCGGGAAGCAGAGTTGGCGAGGAAACTTGAGTGCATGAAGCAAGCCATGATTGAACTGGAGGGGATCGATTCTCGCCTTTATATGGAGGCAAATAAGCATGAGGATCCAAGGAGAAGGAGTGAGGTCGAGGTTGAGATGATGAAGTCTATGTCGGAGCCAGAGAAAAGAGCAATGGAGTCGAGAGCACGCGGCCTCTTCCCCCGGGAGCTGCGAATACCAACCGACACTCCCCCTCGAGCTGGATGGAACTACGAGTGGAAGCCATTCACGCGTCCAATATAAATAATGTACGCGTCTGCATCATATACCTGCTAACTCGTGGAGTAACCTAAATTCCTGTGTTCAGAGTCGGGCCCTATAGTCAAACCTTGGTCTTCAGTTTTCATCCTTAGATACCATACACCAAGTAATAAGTATCACGTCTTATAAATCAATAGGTGAAACGCGATTGAAGGGATTTCAGTAGGAATACATTTGGTTTGAGCAAAATAAATCAGAAAGGTCCATCTCGAAAGCCAACATATCCTTCCGGTGGAAGACCTATCGTTGGGTCAGCCCTACCTCCAGTTGATGTCTTGGCCACGACAGCAGAATGCACAGACTCGAGTGCTTCTGTCCACTTTTCTAGAGCTGAATATCGCTTCTTCTCCAAACTTTGCCTGTAAGAGCTTTTGTGTTAGCAAAGCTCAGATAAAACTTAAAAATCACTTGCTGGCGGTCTAACTCAAGCTTCATTCCGACTTGATCAATCTGACCTTCTACCTTGCCTTCCAGAATTAGACCGATTAGCAGTTCCTCGACTTCCACGATCTCGACATTTAGTTGCTACAATTTCTAATCAGGATCCAATGAGAAAGTCGGTTTGCGCGTTATCCATACCTTTGCTAGGAATGACAACTCAAGGCGCGTATATGGTTTGATAAGGTCAATAAGGTACGAGGTACGCAAACTTCGCAATAACTCTCCGATATATGAACGTATGAAAGTGTCGTCCATAATAGTTGATCTGTTGTCTGATTGAAGGATAATTAACACGATTCATTTGCACACAAATTTGACACTCACTTCTGAGGATCTTCTCGGCCGAATGTACTTCACGTCGTTGATAAGCATCGACAAGGTCCGTCATAGCTTTTATCTGCGGATCATTCTTGTATCTGCAACATGCATCAGTTTATTGAGCACAAGATTGAAGACCTGGTCATATTCACGGTTTCGTTTCCTGACTATCAAATGGGTTCACCTCGCTTCCTGTTAACATGTTGGCTAGGACGAGGTATTTGAGTACTTGGATTCTCTGTGGGGAGCCAGCTTCATCGTAATTTCTGAAAGACTCGAAGAAGTCTTCACTCGCTCGGTTCCATTGACCTGGAAATTTTCAGATGAGCACTTGGTTTAAATGAGGTTGTGTACTTACGTTCTCCCATCCACATCTTTCCACCACATTCTTTGATGACTCCCATAATACGCGGATGAGGTATAGCAGAACGGACACTGTTGGAGGCGTTGTATATTTCCTACGATATCCATCAATGCCATCAGCAAACAAAGTATATAAAATAAAAATATGCCAGTCGTCACGAACCTTGAGCTTCTTGAAATTCCGCATCTCGTTGTGCATCTGAATCTCAAGAGCATATATCTCGAGCAGCTGGGTACCTTTCTGTGACTGATCTTCATTGTCCGTACCTGATCCAGTGACATCGTGCAAATCTCGAATAAGCTGAGAAAAAGAGTAAGTCAACGTCATGCACTCTTGTGTAGGGACATACTTTGGATAAGCGCCCGTATTCTTTACGGTCAAGCCATAGTTTGGCAAGTTTGAGATTGGTCTTTACAGATAATCGCTGAAGAAAGCATGTTCGTCAAGTGGGTATTTTAAAAAGAAGGCACGGGATAGACCTCGTTCTTTGCCTCCTCCAGAGCATCTTTTGTAACTTGATAAAACTTTTCAAGCACATCGACCTCTACAGGACCACTTTTGCCTCCACCGACATAATCCAAGATACCATTGATAGTCTTCTCCGAATAATTTCGAGTTACGGCAGATTTAGTGTATGTCAGCAGTTGCGTGTAGGTCTTGAGAGCGTCAGCAGGTCTGTGTAGAACGAGGAAGAGCAGCTTCGTGGACTGCTTCAAAGCTTTGAATCCCCTTTCAGTAAAGGGGGCATTCTTTTGTAAGTCTTTAACTCAAGTTTTGGTGGTACTACAACGTACCAATCGCCTTTGTCTTCCTCCTGATCAAGTATTGCTCTGAACTCTCTCAGTGCTTCCTCTGGATTGTCCTCCTTTTTTGCTGAGGCGAAATTTAACTGACAGAGTCAGTATATTTAACTGTGAGAGCTTACACTTGGCGGTGTAATACATGTTCTCTACGTCTGCGCTTCCCGACTCATTGGCTTCGTCACCGTCAGAGTAGTCGAAGCCATAATCCTGGAAAGCTTTCAGAAAGATGAAGAGCGACGATGGAGAAGAATACCTCATCATCGCTACCCTGCATATAATCAGCGTCGTCGTCGTCCATGATTCAGGGAGATGCCTGCTGTTCAATGACTTTTGACTTGGATGAGTTTAGGGAATGCTTCAAGTTACCTCGCGAGTGCGGCTGGCTTGCCACTTCTATGCTTTTTCCCTTTTTAAGCATAGCAGATAAAGTGAACCACAGCTCAGATAATCAATAGGACACATATGAGGAGTACATGTACATAATCTTTATTATACATGGTAGTTATGTCTTCAAAACACAGGAAATCGAGAAGAAAAGTCCATGTTTATGGCCACGACAACATAGTTACTGTATATGAACCATCAGTCATCCATTCCTTCTCTGGACGAGCTCCAGCTCGCAACCAAAGCGTTTCACGCTCGACTGCAGCATACTTGTACGAATGCGCTAAAAGTATCAGTTCACCTTCGTATAAGAAGGTCGGAGGGTAGTCGCCAGGAAGGCGAATTTCGAAATCATGAGTACAGCGATAATACACTTCGTGACGACCTTTCACCTGCGACAATGTTCGATAAGTATCAACGCTGAAGAGCCAGTAGAAGCATCACGTGTCTTCAATACGCACCTCGTTGTAAACAGTGCGGTATTTAGCACAAGATATATCTATAATAGCACGTCCGAAAAGTTGATTGAAACTATCTATGCCGTTGAGACAAAAACGCTCGGCGAAGCCTTCCCTGTCGTTGTAAGCTCGACAGATGGTATCAACCTCGTGATATCTGCTGTCAATGGCCACGACGAAACGGTCTTTCGATGAGAGGACATCGCCAAATGATCGTATGAAATCGCCGGCATCGTCTAAACGAAACGAGCGAGCTTTGAACAAGATATTCGGAGTGCACGGAAAAGTGATATACACACCCCGTTTCACGTTACCGATAGAAGAGCCAAGCCATAATATCGTGCGAGGACTGTCAGAAGTATTTTCTGATAACCATCGACGGCCGTCGTCATATGTGCCCCAGAGACCACCAAGCTTGACGTGAGTATACTTTCCATTGAGCTGTCCGAGGGTGCGGACAAGCTCCGGACGGTCTAAATCCAGCGCCAGATAAGCTACTTCTTTTTTCTGCGCCTCCAGTGCATCAAGGATCAGGGCAGTCTTTCTCAAAGCACTGTTAGCAGTTAAGGGTGGGCAACACCGGTGAAAATGTCATGACACGAACCCTGCCCCCAACTCCATGATCAATGAGCCAACTGGAATCGAGTCTGCAATTTGCAAGGAGTGCTTGGAGAGTATTTCAATTTCGAGACCAGTCAAGTAATAATCAGGCTGATAGGTAAGGTCTTCGAATAAGCGCAAGCCTGTCTCGTTATACAATAACAAGTCAGGAATACTTTTCTTGTTGTATGGGCGTGCTAGTCCAGAGACAACCTTTTTGCGAATAGTCTCCTCGAGGCATGATGGAGTGCGAATGTCCACAATGGGTATTTGAAAAGATACTAGATTCTGGGTGGAGGTTGCCTCGAGCATGGTTGAGTTGATTGTACTGGTAGCTTTTCTGGTTAGCCATGGCTTTTATGTATAAGGCTCACTCACAATCAGCATGTTGTAATATTTCGAAAAGATCTTATTTGTAATAATCACCCCCAGTGATGAGATGCACTTCGATGAGGAGTCTGTAACGTCAACATGACACCCGACGAGTAAAAGTGTGTATGTGAATAACTGTATAAGTCGTACGAAGTCATGGACATGAGGTAAAGAGTATGTTATCTCGTGTAAAGTTAGAAAGAACTGTGGAGCGAATTGGTTGCCGTATGCGCTCCAAGTTGTTCGTATGTGGGATGTTGACATCAATATGTCCCTTTTCGTCAATTGACAGTGTACTAACTCGACATGTGCGAGTGTAAGGGGTTGCATCCTAAGAGTTCTTTCAGCTAACTGCACAGTATACATTACCCACCTTGTCTAAAGCGTGTGTGACCAGAGTCCAACGTATGGCCCAGAAAAGCGTTTGTAGCTGGCCAATCTTGACTTCCTTGTAGCGACCACATCGGTTGGTAAGCCAATGTTGATGGACGTGTAAAGAGCGGTAGTGTTGCTATAATACATTGGAATGTTTGAAGTATGGAAAGAGTGAAAGCAAAACCAGCAATGGTCCAGCATCAAGGTCGATTTTAAAAGTCGAGGCTATCCAGGGGAAGTTAAATATTTTTCGGCCAATATCAAGATGATGATCCTTGCCGTGCGCAATGTGTTACACTAGTCTCCAGTCATCTTGACGGTCAGCGATTTTGTACTGCAGCTGAAAGTAGATTCGTACGATAGTGGTAAAACTTGACATAGGGGTGAAATGCAAAGATAGGTGCGGTGTTGATGTGACACGCCGGTATGTCGATATATGTGATAAGTACGAGCCTGCAAGCTCCATGAGCGTCAAAATTGCGAGATCCCTGCCATCCAAAGTCAGGACCAGCTCAGGCTAGTACTGACTGGGAAGCGAGATAGGGAGCTGTGGTGAACACGTGCGTTACTCAGTCTGGTGTAGTAGTGGGAGCTATGATCGCCGAGATGCCGATTCTGGGCGTCTATGGCGGTATCGGTTGTGCGGCAGTGTATAACCCTCAGGGTTGTTCAAGACAATGACCGTCGGTGCTCTTTCGTAGGTTTGCTCATCGTTTCATCCGTTGAGCTCGACCTTTATCTCTTACCCATGGAATCTCCAATCATTCATTCTCCAGTACACAGCAGTGGACCTCCCTCAAGGTCGCGCAGCAGCACGAAGGTTGGTGATGATGTGACCAGTCTCACTTCCTTTAACCCATTTTCCGAGGAAGATGAGAATGACCAGTCTTCTTATGCCCTCGTTACGTCTCTTTTCTCGAGAATGAAAAGTAGTTTTTCAGTACCTTTATCCTCTGCGGCTCCATCATCAATCACCCAGCCAAATGGCACTGCTGGTGCAGAACAACGACGCCCTTCAGCTACAGCATTGCACAATACCCAGTCAAGTTTTTCATCTAGATCATCTGCAGCTGACCGTCCAAATTCACTGTCTGTCTTACCGTCAAACCCAGCGCCTCCCCTCGTGTCTTTAACCCCAGTTGTATCTGAAGCACCTTCTTTCACTGTAGACTATGACCGCTCGCCCTCTCGAGGTCCTCTATATACTCCTGTCTACGAAACACCGGATGGTGGTATGTTTGGAACTGCTATTCCTGGGTTCCCGATACAAGATGATACCAGAAGTATCAGAACTTCTGTTTCTGCTTCAATCCACCGCTCTGCTTCAGTGTCTAAAGTTATCCGTAGAATACGCGGAGAAGGTGCGTTTCCTCGTGTCATGTCAATCGCCTCTAATGCGCACCAAAAGGGTTGTCTCGGGACTATTGGATGGATGACGAGAACTGTAAAGAATGCTATGACTGTAAAAGTATATTCACGACATGGCGGCGGAAACATCACTGTCGTATATGCGGTCAGTTCAATATTGTGGCTGCTGCGGAAGTACATTCTTAACGATTCTCTAGGTCAAATATTCTGTTCACGCTGTGCTTCCAATATTATCAAAGGCTCGAGGTTTGGGCACGACGGCATGGTCCGTGTGTGCAATCTCTGTCTCGGGAAACTTGCCAAAGTCGACGATGACGACGACGACGATCAAAGATCAATCATTTCATCCACCACGTCACCATTTCCTGCCCATCAGCTAGGCGTGGATTCATTTATGATGGGGCTTAATCATCATCCACAGTCTCCCTTTGCAGCGTCTCAGCTATTTGGACGTACGGATGAACCATTTAATCTCTATTCCATCGCTGAAACCAAGAGACCTATATCTGGATCAGACGATAGTGGCTTCGGTTCAAGGCCTATCACTCCGAGGGAGATCGATGGGATGTGGGATCCAGGAAGCACATGGGAACCAGTCCGAGAGATTACAGCGCCTTTTCGAAGAAATTTAGCTGATGAGGAAAAAGACCCTGTCACATCATCAAGCGCATTTAATGACCATTCCCCTACAGCTCCAGGCTCCAAAACACCTATTGATTTTCCAGTGATGGTGCCTGTGTCCGAGGGTCCTATGAGTTCAATACAATTTCCAATGAGTTCTCCCGATCAACATGGTCCCGACAGCCCTGGAGGGACGAGTATGATGAGGTCCCGTTTCAATTCTTTTGGCGATTTTGACGTAGCAACACCTTTTATTCGGAGTCGGGTTCAGAGTAGACTAGACCAATTTATTTCCATGGATGCGGGGTGGCGTACTAGAAGGGATAGCACTGCGTAGGTTATTGTATTTTCTACTGCCAGCGAAAAGCTCAAGGCGTTGTTTTAGATATGCACAGGAGTTGAACCTCATTTCGATGTTTCATCTCCGTATCATGCTTCGACAAATGCTCAGTACGGAACAGATACCCAATATCAAAGAATGGGAGGAAACACTTTTGAGACTTGCTCTTAGGATTGCTCGCGAGCTCACTTTCACTGCATTACCCCATCATCAAGGTGAAGACATGGATGTTCGTCGTTATGTCAAGATCAAGAAAATACCAGGTGGTAGTCCATCTGACTCCGAATATGTCGATGGTGCGGTTATTACTAAAAATGTCGCGCACAAGCAAATGTCAAGATTTCAAAAAAACCCTCGCGTAATGTTTGTTACATTTCCACTGGAGTTTCATCGAGTAGAGGGGCAATACGTGCATTTTGGGCAAATTCTCCGCCAGGAAAAGGAGTATCTTGGTAATCTCGCGTCTCGCATTGCGGCGTTACGTCCTCATATTGTGATCGTCGAGAAATCGGTTTCACGAATTGCACTAGAAGCTCTAGCTGAGCACAACATCGCCGTGGCTAGATCAGTGAAACCATCAGCGATACAATTCGTGGCTCGCATGACACAAGCAGACGTATTTTCGTCCATGGACAAGCTTGCACTGGAGCGTCGGCTGGGACATTGTAAACGGTTCCGCATTCAAACTTTTGATCATCATCTTATTCCTGGTCGTCGGAAAACATATATGCGTTTCGAAGGATGTAGTCGTGACATGGGCTGTACCATAATCCTCAGGGGCGGCGATTTCGAGACGCTCCGAAGGGTTAAAAAAGTTACTCGGTTCCTCACTTTTATTGTTCGCAATTTGAAACTGGAGACACACTTGTGGAAGGATTCTGTTATTACACTGCCATCATTGACAGCCGAGGCTATCCCTGCTTCCCCATCTCGTCAAATAACAGGAGCTTCTGGGTCACAGTCTCTCGTACCTGCTTCCATCTCGTCGGCGCGTTTAATTGTATCATCGGATGAAGTGGAATCCACGTTAAATGTTTTTCAAACGGAAAGCACAGCTGAGGAAGACCTTCCCGACGATGAAGCAGAGCAGATGCGACTATCGAAGCGCATACACCAATCACTCGAACCTTATACCAAAACCTTCATATCTGTTTCTGCGACTTTGAGGTTCCCACCTCCCCAGCCACTACGGCGTATGAAAGAGCTAGATGATGAGCTTATGTATGTTAAGAGGGCTTGGGAAGACGAAGTTGTTCGACGAGAAGAGCAGGGTCACAAGGGACATATAATGGAGATGTCCGTCACTCCAATGCCGATCATAGAGGCTACCCATGATGCGGACGATGTCAAGGCTCAGATAGAGGCACTACATCTACCAGATATGCCCGGGACACCACTTCTAAGCCAGACTGGTCTCTCGGACGTCGCTGAAGCCCCTAGTGGATACTTCGATCCTCAGCCCAACTCTTCTCCCCACATATTCCCACAGTCAACCCTCATTACTTCCCCAATGATCTTAAGCCCAAGGATGGAAGAACCCCAGTTGCCCCTCAAGACTGCTGCAGATATATCTTTAGAAAGCCAACTGAGTCTAGTAAAATGGCAACATGAAGAGCAACGACGCATCTGGGAGTGGTATCTACGGAAAAATAGCGATGATTTCGTGGTCGAGAAGTATCAGCGTATAAGCCTTTGGGAATATACTATGCCTATTGCGGAATTTGGCTTACATCGAGCTTGTTTCGCACCTCATCTCAACTACATCACATTCTATGGGGAGAAAGACTGTACCCTTGGACAATACATCGAAAAATCCGTTTCTGACACTCTAGTGCAATTCTTGGATCCCAAGGCCATATGCACGGGTAAGGGTTGCACCCAACCACTAGCTCGTCACTGCAAAGTCTACGTCCACAACGAAACTCGCCTTTTTGTTGCTGTGGAGCAATGGGATGGTCAAATTAAAGGTCGAAACGTCCATCCCTCCCCTGAATTAATCACTACCTGGAGTGCCTGCCGTGTATGTGGTTCAGCAACTCCATTTATTCCTGTTTCAGAGGAGATGCAACGCTATTCGTTTGCAAAATTCTTGGAACTGCATTTTTACCCGGCTGATGTGCAGCTTGTTCAAGGAGCTGGCTGTCAACACAACATATACCAACACCATATCCGGTATTTTGCTTCAAAAGGAATGACTGTACGATTTCAAGCAGATCCTATCTTGCTTCATGAGGTTGTTTACCCTCCTATGCGTATACGTGTGCGTCCAGAAACCCAACTGGAGCTGAAAAACGCAGACTTTGAACGTTTGCATCGCCGAAACCTGATGTGGTACACTGCTTTAGTTGACGATCTCAAGTTGATTAGTATCGATGCTTCTACCGGCGACGAGGAGCATGATGCACGTCTCACAGTGGATATCAATATTTTGATTTCCCGGGCTGAAGCAGAGAGGGAAGAAATTAGTAACCTCATCAACCGAATTTACAAGGAGTCATCGCCTACTGATACTTTAGCATTAAACCACATACGCTCGTATAGGCAGGACAAGATTGTAGCATGGCAGCAGGATTTTGACAAATTGCCAAAGCCTCGACCTGCAAACACCTTGGATCGCAATAGTCGTCGAGTTTCCGCCTTTGGGTCTGTTCGAGCAATGTGGCCAAAGAAATACGATTTACCCAGTGCTTTTGGTGACCTACACATTCCTTCCTCAAGTGTCTCAGAAGCCGAAGGGGGCCGTTTATCCATGAGACGAGTAACTGGTGATTCATTCACGTCATCGGCATCTGAAGCCTCTGAGGTGGAACCTGAGACAACCTGTGAGCCTGCACAAGCAGGGAAGGATGCTATTTCTGAAATGAAGTTGGAGCCGTCGCTCACGGCACCTAGAGAAATATTTCCAGAGGATTCGTATATTCCTGTTGCGACGAAAAATGATCCAGATAGTGATTCTACAATTGGAGCTGCTAAAGATGATGGTATCTTATCTGACCAGGCACCTATCTCGGCCTCACAGGTTCGTAAAACAATAACATTGTCACACTGATTCAGACTGATGTTTCTTCTCCAGGATGAACATAGCGAGCCCAACGGCGATAGAACTGTTGAACAGATGTCAAGATTGCCCCGGCGCGCTACTCAAAACCCTAGTGTAGCAGAACTTGTCAAAAAGTATCAAGACTTCTTACCTCCCCAGGGCGTCCAGGAACTCGCAAAGACTGCTTTAGCTCCACCCCCTCCAGTGTCGGAAAGTGACCAAGAGAGTGTGATCATGCCATATCCTCGTACGCTACGCTCGAAGAGCAGGCGTCATGGGCCCTCCAAGAAACCTTCCATATCGGACTTCGAGCAAAGTTATGCGGTTAATGTTGCCTCGAGGTATCTGACTTACAATCGTCGATCTCTTGGCCAGGGGCCACAGGCTAGTCGCATTCCTGGACCCATCGGATCTTCAGTCGAATCCCAGCCTCCGTCTCGTCGCGCGTCGCCGGATAAACGTTCTGCCAAAACCCTTACAGATGGGTCAAGTAAACTTGGTCGTACATCTCCCCCTTCGGGGAGCAAAGCACCCGTTCCTCCCACAACTGTTGCTCGGAATATGAGGGGAAAACCCCCGGCGCGAGGGTTCCCCAAGGACAAGGCATCTTCTCGGCCACCATCTAGTTCGGGGACGAAGCCGGGCTTCCGGAGAGCACCAGTCGGAACAGGCAGCAAGGTATCGAATATAGCTAGACACTTTGAGCGGATAAATCGAGATACCGAAAAAGCAAATCGACGTTATGCTGTTATTCGCGGTAAACGGGCTCGACCTGTAGCGTCTGCGAAAGCCACTGTAGAAGTCCTCGACAGTATCAAAGACGCCATTAAGGACGAATCCGAGAGCTCCGATTCCTCAAGCGAAGCAGATGATGAAGGAGGCGATGAAGATGAAGGGCGTAAATCAAGTGATAAGACTACCTTGGATTCATCTCCCGAACAATCAGCTACACTTCCTGAGGTGAAGGTGCAGCCAGAGGTCACCGATAATAGTAATCCCGCACCAAATACTCTCGATAATTCAAATGATGTGATATCTACGGTTCCTCAATCGCAGGTACTTCTGCCTCGTCCTATCGTTCAACCTGAGCCTCAGACCAAAGTTCCCGCATCACCATTCTTATCATCCACGCCGGCGTGTCAAAACCCTCCTTCGACGCCGTTGACACCTGATATGGATATTATCGGTGGCGGAACAGAACGCGGCTCGATTTTCAAAGCTGCATTGTCTGGTCTCTGGCCTCAACAATTTCCGCAACCCCGCCGTGTAGAATTCGAAGGCGATGATCCTATGAGTGATCCAGAGCATATTTTCCGTGATTCATCAATGGTTGTACGTACCGATGAGCCAACGTCCATTATCGCCTTGGCATTGAAGTGAGTTATTGATCAATCTATCTTGCGCCTATGCTCATAACTGTGTTCAGCTCCCCACAGTATCGCGACATGCTAGCTAGATCACGCGCGGAGAAACGAATAGCTCGCGAACCGAAGCTCACAGATGGTGGAGAGGCTTTTATGCCTGATGATCGTTCCGTGGCAGAGTCAACATCTACTTGGGGTGTCGTAAATGTTGAGAGTGCAGACTGCGCCAATCCAACAGATGAGCTGAAGTCTGCGTCTTCTAAACTTCCCTGGGCAATTTGTAAGCACTGCTGCATCGATACTTGCAGTAGTACTAACCGCATTTACAGCTTTTGAAAGTGGAGGTCTGACCATCAGCTGCACGGTCCTATATCCGGAACACTTTGACGCGTTACGAAGGACCTATGACTGCGAAAAATCTATCATTGAGTCTTTAGCACGATGTGTAAAGTGGAATGCGAGCGGCGGTAAATCAGGTTCCGCCTTCTTGAAAACCCGAGGTGGGTTATAGCCGGCCACATCTTGTAGCTTATGTTATTGACGTTATAACGTTATAACGAAGATGATCGTTTCATTGCCAAGGAGCTATCCAGACCTGAATTACAGACGATGGAGACATTCGCTCCTGCTTATTTCGATTACATGGCTTCGGCTGTTACTGGAAACGTAGGAATTACCACCTTGAAGTGTTAGACGATTTACTCAACTTATCCTCAGCGGCCGACTTTGCTTGCCAAAGTTTTCGGATGCTACAAAATTACGTTCAAGAAGACCAAGGACAAAGGATCTAGCAAGTCGAAACTAACGCAGATGAACTTGGTCGTCATGGAAAATCTCTTTTACGATCGACGCTTTTCGAAGGTATCTACATACGTACTTTTGTTTTGTCTCAAAACTCATTTTTTTTTGGTAGATATATGACTTGAAGGGGTCAACTCGCAATCGCCACGTACAGTCAACCGGTCGAGAAAACGAGGTTCTTTTGGATGAGAATTTGGTTGAAAGTAAGGCCTAGTTACTCAGCATCTGAGTATGCGCTAACCATTTTACAAAGCTGCTCATTTATCTCCTTTTTATCTGCGGGAACATTCCAAGCGTGTTCTTCGGGGAGCATTATACAACGATAGCAAATTTCTTGCCGATATCAATGTTATGGACTACTCCTTAGTCGTTGGTGTGGACAACATAAAAAATGAGCTGGTAGTGGGCATCGTTGGTAAGTGGGACAACGACTGCCTCATTTACCTCTTACCTCGCACTCACCTCCAATAAAGATTACATCCGAACCTACACATGGGACAAAAAGCTAGAAAGCTGGGTAAAAGAATCCGCTTTCATGGGTGGTGCTGGAAGAGGGGAGCCTACCATTGTCACACCCAAACAATACAGGCAACGGTTCATTAGTGCAATGGAGCGGTATTTCCCCCTGGTATGTCCCTGCTGCTCACGTTCTTTCGAATTGTATCTTGACCTTGCTATAGGTTCCTGATCGTTGGATGAAACAAAAAGATACATCTGAGGAAGATCCCCGTAGTCTTGCTGAACTCTGGCCTGATTGGTAAATTCACATCTTAAGCGTTACTTCTTGTGGTTATTTTTGAACTCCTCCTCGTATTGGCATATGTATTGTTACCACCTCTATTTCATCTGCGTATCATAGCACTCATCACAACCACTGTTTAGTACATACCACAGCAATATCATTTTTGAACTAGTCTTAGCACATCTTGTCATATTCATAGTTTACGCACTCTATATTTTTCCCTGTTGGCTATGTCGTGGTTTTGATGTTTCATTTCTTCTGAGAATTGCTCTTTTGTGGCTTTCTTATCTGCGCGTCGTACTTGCCGCTCTGCCTTAACGGCTTGCTTGCGAGCCTTCTTCTCCTCTTTAGACTCGTCACGAGGCCTTGCTGTAGTTTCCTTTGGAACTAGATGCAAAAACAAACTATAAGACCAACATTAAGGAAACACTCGACAACCATACCTTTCTCGTGATTGGAGTCATCAGCTGCAGGGATTGATTTAGCAGACCGGTTCTTCAGCTGTCGAGATTTTGTGATGGAAACCTCCCCATCGACCATGGGTAATCCAGTTCGAGGATCTAATCTAATCTTCGGTTCGGGCTTTGGCTCGCGAGCACGTATTAAACGTGGATGATTTTCAAGATTGGAATATGTAGCTAGTTGAATCAGGAAGAATGTCTGCACATAATCAAAATTCATACTCACACAGAACGGTTTCACAATCCCATCTATCCTTCTTGTCTTCTTCCAATGTCATAAAGATGTCTTGGTCATCCGTATCCTCTTCCTCGGCATTGCTTATTCTCACCCGCTCATCTTGCCCCATAGCTCTTCTTAGTGTCTCCAGTTTTGCAGCACCGCTATCTCCCGCAAGTACGGGCTTCATCTTTCTGCCTAGAAGTTCATAGTTATCCAAAAAATCGTTCATCATATCCTCAAAGTCGTCTCGCGAAGTGATGAGATCTGGTGCCTCATCAGAAAGATCAGAAGAGGACTCTTCTTCTTCGTCCTCGTCGTTCGATTGGTACTCTTTACCAATCATCTACATTGGATAAATCCAGTGAACATGGCGACAGTTACAAAGTAAACTTACCTGATCAAAACGCTCATCAAGAGTAAGCAGTGCCTCTGTACGGTACATAGACGAGCTACTCATGCTGTAGCCTGAGGCATCCGATGTACCTTTTCGCCTTCGCTTCCCCCCCACTACAGCCAACTTTGGAAGATTCCCAACAGTATCTCCGCCCTCGCTATGAGCATCAGAACCAGAATCACTTCCTGCAGGGCCGTTCTTTTGCTCCAGTTTAAATTTCGCAAATCTCGTCTCCCAGCCATCTTCATCTTCACTGCCTTCAGTGGGATCGCCAGTAATATTGTGCTCCCTCAGGTCATCCTCGAAAAACTCAAACTCTACTTTATCACCTTCTTCTCGTTCTCCTGCCCCAACAAGCTCGCCAAAGAAATTGTCCTCCAGACCATCGTCTACAAAAGCATCGTCCTCAAGGGCTTCTAGCACCTGTCGTAAGTGAGGATCCATATCAGGTTGAAAACCAGCTATCGATGAAGGAACAGCCTCCTGTGACTCATAATTTCTTGGTAGTTCTGAGGTTGATGGTAGTGCATCAGAGGGCAGATCCCGCAGAAAAAGAGGTTCTCGCTGCTTCTGTTTTGACTTTGCCTTTTGTGAGGTTGGAGCCTCGATCCATACACTGTCTACACCTTCTTCTTCTTCTCCCGCTGCGCGCAGATGTTGCATGTAGTCATATTCTGTGTCATCGAAATATACTCCGTACAGAGAAGCTTCTCCTACATTGGCACGGGAGTCGTGTTCCAGATCGGATGGAGAGATAATGGCCTCAAGCTCTACTCGAGATTTGCCCTACTTTAATCAATAAGATCATTGTATGTTAACATCTTCAGCACTACGCACTTTTTTGTCGTTGCCTCTAACAAATGCTTTGAGAACATGTTGACTGGCATCGGGGTCATGTATAAGAGGATCACGCTGAGATCTGTGGACAAGCCGGAAATGCTGCGTTCCAGGTTGGCGGAATATTGACTTTGGAGCCATTGTAGCGAGATATGTATGTTTTGTGCCGGAAAATGTGTTTAGGCTTGAGATGGAAGCAGATAAAGAAAAGAATGGTATGGTATCGATGTGCTGTGGCTGAGAGAAATCGCAAGTGGTGTGGCACGCGAGGATTATGTAAGCATATGGGTTCTTCCTTCGCCCGTCACCGTCCCACCACCTGGCGGCCTGTAATTTCTAACGCAATACGGTCCCCGAACTCTCAACGCTCTCCGTTCTTGTCTTTTCAGTATCCCGTATAGACCCTGGCTACCTTTGATTTTGGATTTCTGCTCTTTTTCTTGCCCTTTTTCACTGCATTTTGGCCCAACACTGAACATGCAACGCGAACACATGCGTCGAGGTTTCTCTATATACGTTTACTCCCCCTTTCGTGTATATTTTGAAGGCTAACCTCGTTTGATTCTATACTAGTCACCAAAAAGTCGTTCTGGAGATAGATTTCTCTGGTTCTCTATGGGTGAGGACCGTTCATCTGGCCCATTCTTTCACGAGCGCTCAACAACAGGGAATACGACATTCAATAGGGTTACACGGAAATAACCATCATTCCCACCAGCGAAAATTTGAAGACCATTCATCTACATTCCAGACAATGTTGTACGTTACTTTACCCACAGTCGCGCCCGATTTTGCTGACATATCAATGCAGCTATCCATTCTGTCTCTGTCGCTTCGCATCAGGCGGATTTCGTGCATCACGACCCCCTGGCCCACATAAGCATATCGAACCCGAAAGATGCTCACACTTATCCTGAGCTGAAGAGGAAGATTTACTCGGCTTTGGCGGAGGGCGATGAGGGCGAGTTATCCATAGCAATCCCCAAGGAGGTGCCGTTGCGACCTTCGGGTCATGCCGCTGCGAGTGGCATGGTTAGTGAAGGTAGGCTGTTTCTCTTGGGCTCACTAAACTTCAACTTCATTTTTTGTCGCTTTAAGCCGCCACACCGGAACCACAAACACCAGGGCCTTCGTTTCATACTCCAGTCGCAATGCCCGAGTTCATGCCAATCACTGTTAATATTGTATATAGCTTGCGCAATCCTGTGGATGGCATTCAGTTTGTTTTGCCCACCGATTCATATCCCTACGTCAGTAACAGATTTCCCCCACTTGCCTACTGTCATTAACTCCAGGTTCACGTAGCGCGCTCCTCATGCGTATACGACGCCATCGTCTCCTGATGCAGCAAGATGTTGGGTACCTTGTGTGGACAACCTTTGGGAGAAGTGTACGTGGGAGTTCGAGTTCATAGTGCCTAGATTTTTGGAGGAGGTGGAAGTGGTAAATCGGAGTGAAAACGGAGACGTCGAAGATGTGCGAGAGTCAAATCCAACGGTTGTCGTATGTAGCGGGGATCTTATCGAACAAGTGGGTGATCATATGCTGTTCTAGGCTGATAGATCCTTAAGGAATGCTCCAGGTCGCCCACCCGAACAACTCGAACAAGACGATCTTTCTTTTCTCCCAGACTGTTCTCACTTCTGTGCAACAAATCGCCTTCGCGGCTGGGCCCTTCCATGTCTATCCCATTCCTTCAGAACATTCGTCCGATGATGTATCAGGTGCTTCACAACCATTAATGTATGCCTTCTGTTTGCCTGGACACGAAGCAATGCTCCATGCATCTGTAACGTGCCTTCGTTCGGCGATGAACTTCTACACCACCGATTGTGGCTCCTACCCATTCGGTTCATACAAGGTCGTGGCTGTAGACGAGCTTCACGTGCAACGTTTCGACAGTTCTACACTATCTATAGTGACTGTCGACTTGCTTCATGCAGACGATGCGATTGAGCAGGCGCTTGAAACGCGGCATGCTCTCAGCCATGCTTTGGCATACCAGTGGGTCGGCGTCAACATTCAGCAGAAGACGTGGTCGGATACCTGGCTTGTAAACGGATTGGCCCTTTACATGACAGGTCTTTTTATGAGGAAGCTGCTCGGGAATAATGAATATCGTTATCGACTAAAGCGAGATATGGAGCGAGTTTTGGAATGGGACAACGGTTCCATGCCGCCAATGTGTCAACCACAACATTTTGAGCCGCCAGACTCTGCCACTTTGCCTTTTATCAATTTCAAAGCACCTTTGGTTCTCCATATCCTAGATCGACGTTTAGGCAAATCTGGCACTTCTCTTGGTTTGTCTCGCGTTCTGCCAAAAGTCTTTTTATCGGGTATCAGTGGAGAAATGCCCAATAATGCCCTGTCGACGCATTCGTTTCTAAGGACTTGCCGAAAGGTTAGTGGTGTAGAACTGCGCTCCTTTGCGGAACAATGGATCTATGGAAGTGGTTGTCCTGCCTTTGGCTTCTCCGCATCCTTCAATCGCAAGAAGATGGCTGTAGAAATAACCATGAGGCAGGAGGCCCCTGCTTTCAAGTTACACGAAAGTAATGAGGTTTCAAAGGCATTGCTGAAGCCTGTACCATTTTTCGAGGTATGTTGGCAATCTCAGATGTACGTTTTCGAGTTATATTGACTTGTTGGTGGTAGGGTCAAATGACTATTCGTATTCACGAAGCTGATGGTACTCCTTACGAGCATGTTTTGGACATTCGCACTCCATTTAAACGTTATGAGGTCCCATTCAACACGAAATACAAGCGGATACGACGAAACACTAAACGATATCTTGCTCGGCAGGCTGCTGCGCAAGCAGCGGCTGAAGGTGATGCTGAAGCCGCGGAGGCGATGGGACTGGTTGACATGGGATTTGGTTTGGAAGTTTGGGAGAAGGAAAAGGAGCGGGAGAACTGGAAGGTCGCTGATTGGACAGAGGAGGATGAGCAAGTCATGTCAGGAGCCACGTATGAGTGGATTAGGATGGATGCTGATTTTGAGTGGATTGCCGCCATTGCCTTTGAGCAACCTGACTTCATGTGGGTATCACAGCTACAACGTGACAGAGATGTTGTCGCCCAGCTTGAGGTAAGGATAATATTGTTTTTCTCATTGCAACGATTCATGAGCTGTGTTAGGCCATACATGCTCTTGCGAAGCAGCCAACCGCAATAGTATCGAGCACATTCACCAAGACGGTGCTCGTGTCTAATTACTTTTATCGTATTCGTTGCGAAGCTGCTCTCGCGCTTGTCAATGTAAGTCGTAAACCGAACGCCGTACAGTCTCGCTCACCGACACCAACAGTGTGCCATCCGAAGGCTTGATTTCTTGGGTTTATTCCATCTATTCAAGCTGTTTTTGCGCAACTGCTACGAGCCAGAGGACTCTAACCAAGATCTTTTTGCTCATACTTATGTCCCTAAGCCAAACGACTTCTCTGATTTGTCCGAATATTTTGTTCGGAAGGTAAGCTCAGTGGCTTTTGCATTATATTTGATGTCATAGTAATGTTTTCTAACTCAGAGCTTGGTAAATGCAATATCGCGAGTTCGGTTTGAGAATGGTAAATCACCGTCGGTAGTTCGCCAGTTTCTCATCGACCAATTACGATACAACGACAATACAGCAAACCCTGTGAGTACTTCTAGTCATCTAGATGCCTTGTTTTGACATTATCTGTTCATTAGTATTCGGACGCCTTTTATATTTGCACTATCATCTCTGCTTCCGCGTGTGCAACAGTTTCGACTGCTCCCCCTGAACGTGGGGAGTTACTTCCTACGGAAACTCGATCTGAGCAGAACTCGGAGGATACAAGTCTTCTGAAGCAGGCGATTTCTGAGATCGATAGATACAGGAGCATGGACAGGCTGATTACGTCACCTCATAACGTGGTAACTATTGCTGCACTTGAGGTAAGTACACCGTTCATGGAAGGCACAGTTTCTCAACGTTTTGTAGTTTTATCTTGTCTTAACTGTCGCGAACCTTGCTCCGAGTGATCTTCGCGTCTTCTTCCCCTTGACTCGGTAGGATTTTACTCAGAGCGATATCATTACGGATGCTCATTGACGATCCAGGGAAGGCAACTATACACAAGTCCGTATAGCTGCTTTCGACGGTCTATTTCTGTCGAAGTGGTATACACCCGCGATTATGAAATATGTGTTAGCTGTGATGGCTCACGATCCCTCTCGAGCTATCCGACGACATGTTACTCAGAGCGCCTGTCAGAGTTTAGCACTATTGGTTTCAATGGGAGAGATGAAGAATGCTCTCAAAGAAACAGAGTCGCTACTCATTGAGGAAGATGGGTCCATGCCTGAGAAGGCCAAAGAGGTAAAGAAGAGCGAGGTCGATTTGATGATCAAGGTTCTTCGAAAGGATAGAGAGATTGGTAAAAACGAAGTCTTGCGAGAATTTCTAATGCCAATTGCCCTGTATGCTATTTTTTTTCTGCGTAGTTTGCCCTCTTTAACCGTACATCTTAGTGCACCGGATGTCGACCACGAAGTCCGCTGGGGGATCATCAAGCTTGCAGATATACTTTTGAGAGGAGTAGAAGAAACCGCGCCAAAAGTTACAATTCACCTTCCGCCTACCCCGGTTGTGGAATCTTCACCTCATTTGCCTCTGGTAAAGCTGCCATCTAAAGTTCCAAGACCATTAAAGTCTGGAGGCCCACCGATACGAAGTCCCCTGGTCCCTCCTACGGTTCCTCCAAAGCTCAAAATCATGCCTAGTCAGTCGCAAGTGGATATCACAGCATCAAATGCCACCAAGATTGCTCCTGGACCAAAGCAGGGTACGGCCCCAGCGGTTAAATCCAAGGTGAAAGGTAAACCTCTAAATGGTGCCAAGCCTTCGCATGTTCCAAAAGCACAATCTGGTGGAATGAGCCTCAATGACTTACGAGCTTCCCGAAATGCACTGAAGAAAATCAAGGTCCATAAGAATGCAACGCTTTTCTTGCAGCCTGTTGATCCCGTCAGAGATCACGCCCCCAAGTTTGTTGACTATATGAGTCGCTATACTGTTTATAAACTCACATATTTCCGACAGCTACTATGAAATCATCAAGCATGCCATGGATATCTCTACGATAGGCGCAAAGCTTGAGGAGGGCATGTACAAGGATCGCTTTGCTTTCGAGGCCGATTTTCGTCTGATGATAGCTAACGCTAAGCAATATAATGTGGCTGGCAGCTTTGCGCATAATGAGGCTACCGCAATTGAAGTATTTTTTGACAAACGTAAGTTTTTCAACTTTTATATTCTCTGGCAGTTCTAATTTTACCGTCAGTATGGGCTCGCATAAGTAAGACTCTCGAGGCTGCTAATAAACATGCTCAGGAAGAACCTGCGGAGGTTTTGCCGAATATTGTTGTCAAACAACCTGTAAAGCCTGTCACAAACCCCATACCGCCACCTTCACCTGTACCCGTCGCTGCTTCGCCGCCGCTACCAGTTGCTACACCCTCCACCTCTCGGCCTACTATCAAACTTAAAGTCGGCGCATCGCAGGATAAGGTTAATGATACGCCCAAGCCTCCTCCGAAGCCCAAAAATCGCAAGCCTAAGATGGTTGATGTACCACCGCCGGCATATGTTGATGATGGATCTCACGATCTTCTTCAAGAGGTCATTGCTATAGAGAGAGAGAAGGACGAAGAAAAGCGACACCGATTGACTACAGAAACGACTAAACCATCTATCGCGATACCTGTCAGAGCATCTGGTAGTGTTCCTCCTGGGAAACGTAAAAAGTCCAATCTTGATGGTGAAGAAGACATATTAGCTCTGGCAACTCCAGCTAAGAAAGAGAAACATACTGCCCCTCCCGCTAACTTGGCATCTCGAGCTATCGAGAAACCTCCAGCGCCGCAACCCGTGAAAACTGCTCCAAGTGCCCATCGACCCAAGAAAGACAAGGTTCCCGATCTTCCCGAGATTCAACCCAAGCCAGAAGCTCCGCGTGTATCAATCAAGGGCAAGGAAAAGGAGACTGCTTCTAGTGCTTCCTCTACTCCAGCGAGAACGAAGAAATCCTCTGCAAACCAGTCTACGCCGATTAATGACAAGAAATGCAAAGAGATTCTTAAAACACTTCTGAAATTACCAGAATGTCTGATCTTTGCTCAACCTGTTGATCCTATCAGGGATGGTTGTCCAACGTGGGTGTGTTTGACTTTTTATGAAGTACCGTTCTCTCATCTTTTTTCAGGTATTACGATGAAATCGAAAATCCAATGGATTTCGGCACAATGACGCAGCGTTTGAATGAGGGAAAATACAGTACCATGGAAGAATTTGCGAAAGATGTAGAGCTTGTATTTCGTAATTGCCGCAAATTCAACCCTCCGACGACGTATCCAGTTTCTTGTGCGGAAGCTGTTGAAAGAGCATTTCGCAAGGAATGGTCCAAAGCGATGGAGAAGAAACTATCATGGACGGAGAAAAGGAGTTTACAAGGGATGATGGGTTCTCTTATCAAAGAGGATATGTAAGTATTTCTACACATCTAGTGACGCCGTTGATGTTCTAATCCGCTATCTCTCCACCCAGCTCTTGGGTATTCCGGGAGCCTGTAGACCCAGTTCTATTGGGTATTCCCACGTATTTCGAGGTCATACCTCGCAAAGATGCTAGGGATCTCAGAACCATTCGTACAAAACTAGATGCCGATAAATACGATTCCGTAGAGGCGTTCCAGGCGGATATGGATCTCATGGTGCGAAATGCTATTACCTTCAACGGTGCAGATTCAGAAGTGGGGAGGATTGCGGTGATGGTCAATAACAGAGCAAAGGAGCTATTAGGAGGTGTGAAGTTGGCAACGACGAAGAAACGCAAGGAGGGCGAGAAGAGCACGCCTCAGCCAACAAAGAAGGCGAAACTTGGATGAGAACGACATTTTATGATATGAACATTTGATAAATAATAAGGCTAACTGTATTCTTGTACTTGCTTTGCTACTTGCTCTGTATCTTCGTTCCGTTGAAACACTGGTGACGGTGAATATTGTCTCTTCTGGTTTGACGATAAGATATGCGAGAGCGCTCGCGCGAGAACTTTTTGAAAGCTTTCTCTCAACCATCACAAGGTTTCTGAACCAATGGCATCTCCGTCTAACGCTGGGGGGGAGCATAACAATGCAGACATCGATCCGATATGGATGTCAAGCCGTACATCTCGACAGATATACGCTCTCGGAGAGGTGGAAAAGGTTTTGGTTCATTTTATCGGAGTACCGGCAAGAACAATCCTGATCATAGTTCCTCGTCTAATAGGACATCACACGCTTGCTCTCCCTCGCAGGATCGTCCATCTCGTTGCTGACGCTTCCCCAGACCGATGGCCCAGAGGATAACCTCCCACAGGGCGAAGAAAGGTCTGAACAATTCGTGCTTGAAGTGAGCGAGTATTTTGAACGCTTAGACGTAAGTGACTCTTTCAAATTATTTTTCGAGTCTTTCCTCCTTCTACAGTAACATCACGCTCGAATTAGACTGTCATATTTTCATCAGCTTGAGAACGAGATGCTAAATTAACACCATTTTTTATTTTGTGCAGGCAATACAAGTTGCTATACGTTCGTCACTCGCACACATGCGCCAGTCACGCATAGCTCCGTCTGCTATCAACGCACCCCCCTTGGGGGCCATACCACCCTCTCTTGGCGTTGGATTACCAGTCACAGAAGATACTACTGGTGCTAACGAAGCCAACCGTGGGCTACAGGAGGAGCGCGTAGATCGTGACGCATGGGTGGGTATACTCGACGCGCTGACGAGATTACAAGCAGCAAAAGAGCAGGAAGTGCAGCCAGAAGCTCATCAGGCTATGGACACGCGAAAATAGGACACAGCGAAGGGGTGGAACAACATGATCTCAAATACTTGGCGGAGTGTTACTTTATTTTCCGATGGCTTTTTACATGCATAAACATTCACAATATTCGCAATCTTAGCCCTTCTTCATCTACTATGCACATTATCATCCTATCCACACTCTGCAGAGTAACGACCAACCTGCTGCTGTTCAAGTACAAACCGCATTCTTTGGGCCCTCAACCTTGCATCCGTATGGACTACCGCAGGGGGCAAACAAGACGAACTCTTCACCATTGCAGATAAAGATGTACGCATTGCCGCCGTTGACGCTGGCGGTGTTCGCGCAGCCGACATCGCCTATGAACCCCAAATTGAGAACCAAAGAACTGGCCACAGACGATGGTGATACGTACCGGCCTGATCACTTGGGCACGGCTCCCCCACATCCTGTGCTATAGCAGCTCCGGCGAAGAACGAGAATACAATGACGGCTACGGTGGATAATCTCATGATTAATTGATGTAGGAGGCAACTGAGTAGCAGCGGATTCGACGCTGGGAGAGCGCACAAAAACTCGACGTTTTATCCTGGTTAACAGGTGAAGGCAGTGGACGACAATTGGTATGATTCGCCTTCGTGAGGAGTCTCCGGGCGCTGCGGAGGATTTCGAAAAGATGGAGGATACAAGAAGTATATGGAGGATCCATTCAGTGAGGCGCAGGATGGATTAAAACAGCAAGGTCGACCTCCTGAATCACGTTTCAGATATTTATTCGAGTCAAGGATTCGCTTTGGAAAGCTTAATGAGCGAGGTTTAATCCCGGGAATCATACACTCTTGATAGAAACAGGTTCTGCATAAGAGTCGCATTCCTATCCTGGTTGACGCGTTAACGTTGAAGACGAGTTGGACCACTGCCTACCTTAACTAGGTTGCCCGTGTGTCGTGCGGCATATCGTCAACCCCTATTACCAGTGCGCACTATCCGTAAATTACGAGGAAAGAAATGTAATTTCTTCACTCATACTACATTTTGTGACAGTACAGGCTATATGCGTATGGAATGACTCGAAAGTAAGCAAATCAACATGGTCCATCTTCTTTTTCGTTTTCTTTACACGGTAGTAATGTTACAGACGCGCTGGAACTGGTTCTCGAGGGCTTATAATGTCCATGGTACTAAGCTCCCCTTACGATTCTATACACTGGCCTCTTCGAGTACCTCCTCCGCCTTTATGAGCTCTTCGTCTTCTGCGAACGACGGTTGTTGCTTGACCAGAATCTATTGGACGCAGTGAAGTGAGAGGGAACGAGGGTCAGTCAGTGGACAAAAGGGATGAAGAAGGAGAAGACGACGTACAATGAGACTTCTTAGCTCTTGCACCACATTTCCAAGGCGCGTATCAGCATCGACGATCATCCTCTTTGCCTCATCCAGAATTTTCGCCTGTATTTTTTTGTCCAAAGAGAAAAAACGATCAGTCAGCCTGTATTTCTTTGTATTCCCCATTATTTCATCCCTCCTGCCTCTTTCATTTCACGTTTCATCGTTCTCGAAGATTAGGAATGTATAGAGGAATGACTTACAGCGCTTCTTACATCCCACTCGTCAGCGCCGTCAGCGACCATTTTGTCATGCTTCCGTTTCTGCTCCTCAGCTTCCTTTCGATAGAGGGAGTGTTCTTTCAACAGCCTAAATTTGTCGTGAATCGTGAAAAGAAAAGAAAATGAGCTCCTCTCTACCGACAAGTAGATGTAGAGTAGAGTATCGGCTAGATAACACACCTCTTTGTTGCTCCACACTTGATCTTGAGCTGGCGATGTACGGTAGCGGGATCGTTCATTGTAAAAAGTAGAAGTTATTGTAAAGAAGATGAGCGTAGACTGTAGAATATGAAAAGACGTCCATTGCACCGTCGCGAAGAAAAAGATCGTCTTATCTGTTTGAAGTCATCGATAAGGCACACCACTCGCTGGAAGAGACGTATTCCGAACTCCACACCACATTCGCTCAACTCACTCATAATCACACGGTGAATAAAGTACAGAAGAGAACGCCGTTCCATTGAATTATGAAGACAAAACACAGGGGGGCTAGTGCTACATCACAGATACTCCTACAATGCAACAAGTACAAGCCAGCAAGACAAGGTCAGATCCACAACCATCATCTGCTATTCGTCTCCATCGTAAATAAAATGAAAAACGACCAGAGCGGGCAAAAAGAAATATAAGGCGGGTGAGTCGATAAACGTGTAGGAAATAGTGCCATCAAGTCAAGCCGGGGATGAACGAGTAATAGACCGAGCGCGCTACAACAGGTTTCACAGCACACGCAGGCATGAATGATGACGATAACGATATCGCGGGGTAGAGGGTAGGTAATGAACCGGGGCATGAGGAGGCATGTCAGAGCGTCAAGGGAGTCGAGCGATTACGAGGCATCCAACATCCGCAAGCGAACGCAGGACCAGAACCGTAGGAGCTGTTTCAAACTTCAACTTCATAGTCGTCGCCAATCCACTCGGGCGCTCAAGCAGTCTTCTCCAAACCTAAACAACGACTAGCGAGGAAAGGCAAGAGAGACGCGAGCGGCGCCAAATAGCGTTGGAGAGGGTTCCAAAGAAAAAGCAGAAAGCATCGAATCGCAGACAAACTGTCGTCGTCAAATGTCGCCCTCGCCAACACCAATCCAAAAGTCTTCCCTTACCTACGAGTACCAGAATCGTCACACACACGCTCACAGACATGCAATGTCCGGTGCGGCGGCAAAGGTCATCAATTGACAATGAGATAGAACGCAATCTCAAAGGTACTCGTCAGGAGGGCGGTGAAAATGAAGGGCGAGACAGAGGGTTTGTCGTGAAGTTGAGCGGTGATCAGGCGCTCGATTCGTGACGCGCAAGTATGGGTGGGTCGTATAAATCAGGGATAGTAATAAAAAAAAAATGCGTGATGATGAGCGGGGCATCAGGGCAGAGGCCTGAACGTTGGTGGAGGGGAGATAGGAGAATATTTCGTTCGTAAGGGCGTTTCGGGAGACGTCGAGATCTTCGTAGCAATAGATGAGGCCAGTGTATCGGCGCGCACGAGGCACGTAACCACAATAAAGTGGTCGTTCGCCTACAAGTGCGAGAGGGATGGACTCGGAAGGGGATAGAAGGTGCAACAAACGACAAATTTTGAAAAAAGGATGAAGACAAGAGAGTGTCAGCGACAGCGGCGAGGCACGCACGCAGCCTACAAGGAGGCGCGTGACCCATGCGCCTCAAGCTCGTCTGTGCCGTCTTGTGTCATTGTCGTGCCGCGAACCGTCTATCAACCGCAACCTTGGTATCCACATCTTGTCATCGTCGTGTTGCTGAGATCTCCGAGTGCGGCGCGGCCACAAAACGATCTTGAGAGCCCAAGAAGAACGGAAATAAAGCGTCACCGACGCATATACCAACTGTGCTCTGGTGATGCGAGACCGCTATGATAACGAGTCGTAAAACATGCTGAATAAAAAAAATAATGCGAGTGTCCATTGTAAGCAAATGCAGCCTGCGTCCAGGCAGGATTTCAATCCCATGCAATCATCTTAAGTAGTCCGTATATAGTAAAGTGCCCGATGGGCGAGTGTGCGATTTTGATTTTTTTTGTGCGGGGACGGCCAAGGTAACAAGACGAGGCGTTCAAAACGAGGATTGCGACTGTTGTGAAACTGCTGCAACAGCAGCAGCGGCAGCGGCATGACGTTGCTCTGCAGTGCCGAGCATCAATGCCTCGTTGACACTGAAATATTCATGAGTGACTGATTAAAGGGTCTATAGATCATACACTTACGTGCGTAGTCGCTGAACTTCATTTTCAGCCTGTTGGAGTCTCGTTTGGAGCTGCTGCGCGGTCATCTCGAGGTACTTGATGTGGGTCGTAGCACGGTCCAAGAGGGACACTTTGCTAGACTTCTGGTTCGAGACCGGCAGGGCATCCTTAAGCCGACGGTAGCCATCACGGAGCTCATCTCTGCGCCTCTGCTCTGACTCGATGCGCTGGCGGCGAATGGTTTCGCGGCGGACATCAGTGCTGGCAGAAGTGCTGTTGAGGGGTTGGAAATCGTCATCGTCGTCATCTGAATCATCATTCCTCGACTTTCTCCTCGTCGCCTTTGTAGCCGAACGCGTGGTGGGGGCAGCGATCGGGTTGAAGCGGTGCGAGCGTGGCACAGCTGCAGAGTAAGGGACATTGTGAACAGAGGCAGGAGAGTGAGTACCACTACCACGGCTGCGTCTGCCCGACTGGAGACCGTCAGACGAGAGCTCTCCGCCACTGAGACTGTACAGGGCAGGGGGAGAGATGCCGTTATCGGGGGGCGTGTAGGGACGGCCCGGCGAAGCTGTGGTGTAGGAAGTGCCAGAGGAGTAGTAGTCGCTGAGTGGGTTTGCGAGATTCAGCGAATTGAAATCAAGACGAGGGGACGAAGAAGAGGGCCCAGGAACTATAGATGCTAATGAGATGTTGATCGTATATGAAATTGCAATAAGAACTTACGAGCCATGGAAGAGACGCCATAGGGAGACTGCGGGTATTGCAGATAGTCGAGGTTTGAGAGGGCGTCGTAAGTGAATGAAGAATCCATGAAGTTGGGGCTCCTGGGGTGCTCGAGGGAGATGGGGGCGTCCATGTGGTAAATCAAAAAAACGGACAGAAGATGTTTGAAAGATGCTGTTGTGAGCTTGCACGATATACAGACGATTGGGAGCAATAAATGAGATGTGAAATTATGCCAAAGACTAGATATATGCGCGTTGAGTACAAAAGAGATAATGGCGGGTAGCGACTTACGTTAAGCACAACAAGGAGATCCGACGTCGTACTCGCAGCAAACAATAGGACAAGCAGGCAAGAAGAAGAAGAAAAGAAAGAAATGGCGGAGAGAGAAGAGGGCGGGACTGAGGAAGGAGAAAGGAAAGGGGGGATGGAGAAAAAGAGAGACGATTGGGTCCGTACTAAATATGCCTTGAGAGGAAGAGCTTCCTGATAAGGAAACGTCGTCTTATTGCCCGGCGTACGCGGGTGTGGCTGAGCCTCGTGTCGCTGTTCGGAAGTGACGTCGGAGCCTGGTGCGGAGTGTGAAGTCTCGGGACCACTAGTCCCTGACGGTCTAAAGGGGTTCGATTAGTTTCCCACCGCCGTGCTGAGCCGTATGCGGCTTGACCCACAGCCCTGTGTCTCACCAGCCATCGTCTCTCCAGTTCACCCTTTCCCCCCATCAAATCCCTTTTGCAGTCTTCGCATCGCTTTTCTCTTCATCCCCGTCCCGGCTGTCCGTCTCCCATCGATTTATTTCCTTGCTCTTCCTAGTACCCTTCATCAAGATCCGGTCCCCCGACCAGAGGCGCTTCTCGGCGACCAGGCTAATCATCACCCTTCATCTGACTCGTCTCTCCATTTCTGTCCTAGCCGAAACTCCCATCACCACTCGCCGCCGACACGAGGATCGCTCAGCCTGCAACGTTTTCTTCATTTTCCTCTATTTCCTTCTCATTGAAACTTGTCTTTTTCGACTTAAACTCGTCTTCTTCTCCGATCAAACGTGTATTATCCTTGTCACGTCACAATCACACCACAACAAGCCACAACACCCCCTCCCCAGTCTCTCCGCCGCATCACGCTCTCATCTCCCTCGGGGCGCTCGCACAAATGACTCCTAACAATACATTTCCTTACATACACCGCGCAGCACACGCAAGTCTTGACTGACACGGCAATATCTCCCTCTCTAAATGCGCTACAGAAGTCTGCCGTTATATCGCAGGTCTTATAACCACTTCGTCGCAAGCAGTAAGAAGTCTCCTTTACGTTGAATGCCACCGTGCGGCCCATGCGGTTGCAGATCGCACACAAAGATACAGGGAGACTTGCCTTCAGTTATTATTGATCCATACCTGTCATTGTCATATCCTGTAGGTCCAGCTCCATGTTCCGTTCAAGCGATATGACCCCTCCAACCGTCATCTCGTACTCCTTCACGAGAAGGACCCTGGCCCTGCATTCTCGCCACGGAGGTGAACTGGCAATCACGATCAAACTCGCTAGATGAATCAGCTGACCACTTCCGTCTATAAAATATACGTAATTAGACTTTAGGCAATGCACGCTCCTCAAAGGCGATGACTTACATAGGCTCCTCCTACGTCAATAGCTGTTTTCCCTGGGAAGCATAAGCTAGTAGCCTATACTTGACTGGATCTGTTAGATACAGACGCGAGTGGGAATACACACCATTCGAAGCGATGCGAGAACACATCGACGAACATCACGTAAGAGACACCGGGTCCAGGATTTGGAGACTCCCTAACATTGGTCGATACATTCATTCGACGTTCCACGGCGAATGAGCCAAATGAATGCATAGCAGAGATCGGGTTCGATTTGGAACGACAGGGTACTTTTGGGACCGTCGTGATGTGTGACGTGAACTGGTTTCGGAGCATCTGACACGTTCTGAACATATTCGAAAACCTGAGCCTCGGAGACGAAACAAATCAACAGGCGCAGTAACACTGACCAAGCAATCTCACCCCGGAATAGCCCTGTTGCGTGAGATAACATGCAGATAAAAAGTGAGAATGTTCGGCGACCTTCCAGGAGACTGTTCTTCAAGGTTTTGCGTTAGCGTTGACAGGGGGGCGACGGAGGACAAGGCCAACAAAACACGAAGAGTCGGGTATCAAACAAGAAGAGCAGCCAAGCGTCACGGTAAGGTCGGCATGAGAGTTCCCCAGAACGGCGTATCGAGAGAAGAGTATTAACTCCGTGTGAGTGGACTTGTTGGGTAACAGCTCATTGCATCTCGTGACCCCCTCTCTGGCCTTCTAGCGCGCATAAAAAAAGAGAAGGGAAGATTCGGAGCGCAGACCCTTGACAAGCAGATGCCAGTATCCGATAAGTAACAAGAGAGTGCCAGATGAGGATGAAGGTTCCATTTCAGAGAAGCCGTGTAAACCCAACATAATTTCCAGGTCGGGAGCAAACAAGGAAGCCAATTCTCAGAAAATCAATGCTTCCAACGCAAGTCAGCGCCAGAAAGCCAACGCCTAAGCCCAATGGATCCAAATCAGAACCTAACGGAAATAATAAGAGAAAAAGAGAAAAGGCATCAGCAAGTGTACAAAGGACGAAAGGAAAAGGCGACGTAACGCCCTGGGAGAGTGACAGGATGTGACAGAAACGTGGTGTCACTGCCGTCACCTGGGTCCTCGCGTTTTTTTTTCCCAAAACTGCTCAACGGATCGTCATGCTATTCTCATCAGTTCTGGATAAGGATTCTTTTGCTCTATAGCAGTACAATTTTGAAGCAATCCATCAAGATCTCACTGCTGCACCCAAGCATAGCAAAGCCCAACCAGCACTAGGGCGTGCTTCTTCATATCCCCCTTGATGTGACTTTTAGAATGTAACTTTGCGCTCTTCACAATTTGTCACCACGAAAGTCATGGCTATCGAGTGCCATTGATGCGAAACTGTTCTGCGCCTGTCATCTTGCGTTCTCGAAGGACTACGGAAGTGTAAGGGTCGACTATTGCCCGCTCGTCATCTTTGCTGCTAGTCCCCATCTTTTAATCCTGGGCGTTGGAGCATTGCCATAGTCGGGTTCCCCGTCTCAGTCACATGGCCTGCCGGTGTACGACATGCCAATGCAGTATACTGCAATTGTACCTAGCTTTGATCTCTGCTGTCAAATCTCAAGCTTTTCAAGTTCGATGACAGCTAGGCCCTGGCCTCCTGCAAGATGGTCTGCTTTTCAAGAAACTTCCTTGTTCGTGGCCGTCCTTTTCTCGTGACCTTCGCTGGGTCTATTTTCACCCTTCATCAAACAGTCCAAGTTCAGAAAAGAACACAAAAACCCTGAAAAATAATCATGGCGAATCTTCATTTCCGTATTTCACAACTGTCAATGAAAGACCAGAATCGCCAGCCCCCCACCCTCGCTATCGATATCCAACACGGCCGCCTTTCACGGAATGGGAGGGCGGTGGATGGGGGAAGCCACTCAGACTACTTCCATTTTCAAGCACGGTTCTCCCTGCGGTGATGGGATTTCCGTCAATAATTGTTGGTTCGGTACCGATTTTTTTCTGATTGGTTGGTCTGGTTTGAAAGAATGCACCCTCCATGTTATCCGCCAAACAACAGCCGAGTACAACTTGACTTATCCAGCAGTGGCATTTTACCCAGTGGTGGCAGTAGCACCTTGACCCTCCGTTTCTCCGGTCACGCACGAGGGCTGGTGTCAATATGTCACTCTAGGTTCAATATCAGCATCAGTGTCAGCATCAATATCAGGCGCAAAAACAAAAGCAGTCGCAAGGCGCTCCAGTGCATCGTAGTACTCCCGTAACTTTATTCGTGATGTGTGCGGCGCGCTCGCTCGGGGGCGTTCAGGGTCCATTCTACAGAGCGGGCTAGTGTTCATGTAACTTTCTGGCCAACAATGTTCTAGTATTGCGCTCTGGCGGTACATACAGACCCCCTCGCGGAAGAAGCAACCTCGGTCAATTATGTCCTTAGTCCTATCTCGGAGGCCCACTTAATATCCAATGAGGCCCACTGAGTTTTGCCGGTCACTCGGCGCCCGATGGCGTCCCCCTCCCCCTTGCACCACAACTTAGGCAGGAGCACGCTGCAGTTCAGTTGACTTTGGGGTTTATAGAAAGCCAGAGAATTTTCATTCGCTTTGCCATCAGGTTTCATCTTCTTTTTTTGCTCTCCAGAACTCTTACGCTCAGGCTTGTCTGGCCAGAGAGATGTTTCCATGTTTCCATGTTTGTTATGTTTGTGCCATGTGCTACCTATAGAACGCAGTGGTGAGTGCTGCGGCATGTTTTTTTGTACATTCCTCCTATGGCTATGGTTCAGTCCTCATCATCACCCGTTACACGTGTGTGTACATGCGTGCGCGCATCCTATACATGTGGAACGCAGTTTTTGTTCTTCAAATTGCAATTTCATGTTGATGTAGAGCTTCATAGTATACATGGCTTTGATTCATTGTCCTTGACCAATAGTTTTTCTTTCTCGACTCTCAATCTATCCCAACAGTTTGGCCATTTCGAAGAATGCATATACAATTTACAGATGGGAAGGATACAAAACATTGTATGCGCTGACACAAACAAACTTCTAACTACAATGATATGGTAGATCTTCGGTCATATCGTCGGGAGCGGTCAAATTGCTACAAGTCCTTTATTTCATCGTCCATGCTCTTCCGTCCGCTACTGGAGCGGGCACCCGTCGTAATAATAGGTTTCCTTCAAGGAACTTTCGGCTGAGGTCTTTCTCTCGTCTGCTTCGACGACTCCAAGTCGGAAGCGGACGGAGGCAGTCCACCTAGCTGGTCCCTACCATTTCAGCCACGGGCGACGGTTGGGGTCAATGGACAACTTCGGAGCAAGTTCTCCGCAGTTCCGATCGACGTGGAAATTCGTGAATGGCTCGTCGCAAAATGTGGTTTTTCGTTCAGTCGTATCAGTGGTTCATATCCTTCGTAAGTAATGGGGCGGTCTTTAATTTGAAGTGTGCTCTGTCGCATCGCGATATCAAGGCAATCGGAAGGGTCCATCGGAAGAAAGACGGTTTGAAGCGCAGGGGAGAATGAGATGCGTCGGAGTAAGATGGATACAATCAGCAGACTGCAACGACGTAGGAGCGCAGTGGAATGAAATGGAGTGAAACAGGGCGCGAGAAGTGCAATGGGGGAAGGTTGCTGCGAGAGGAAGAGGGTTCTAGTCCACTAGGGATCCAGAACTCGAAAGGAACACGAGGCAGGGGAGTAATGTGCCACAGCTCCATCGATCAACGAGATAAGGTGCGATCAGAAGTTAAACACACTGGAATCCGGATCGACATGTGGTTTCTTGCATGCTGGCCTGCAGCGTCGAGTTATAGGGGGTAGTCTCACGTTAGGCGGAGAATAAGGCGAACTGAACCGTGGATAGTGCGCATGAGCGCCATACACGTTCCCCAGCGCCTTTGTCGGTCAACCTCCTTCGAGTGAGTCGGTCTCCTTCGCTCTCCCAATCGCTGCGCCGTGAAATGTGATACAAACGTGCAAATAAAACAAGACGATGAAGAAATGGATGAAGAAAAAGGAAGAAAAAATGAGGTAAAAAAAAACAACAGCGTCCTTGGGATGATGACTTTAGAACCAGATTAGTCTAATAACAGCCGTCGTCTGAGACTGGACTCCTCGAGTCTTCTCGTGGAGGCTCTTGGCCCTTTACATGGGCTAGCGAATGTATGGGCATCCCTGATTCCGGTGGTGGGGATAGAGGTCTGCTGTCCATGCCATGCATGTGGGTACTTTGTCCTGGTGACGGGGTGTTATTGACGCCCAGCGAAATCTTCTCGTTGATTGCTCGTAGCCTCTGCACCTCTTGTTCCAAAGAAAGAAGACGAGCCTGCATCTCCTGCGTTGATTTCTCCAGATTGACGATGTGATTCGTAGCTATGAGGTGTAAGGACATTTCATGAGACAGCTTCTTGAGATTCTGAAAGAGAAAGCTAACCTCGTTCAAGAAGCGACACTTTACTGCTCTTTTGATTTGAGACTGGTAACACATCCTTCAGCCTTGCATAACCATCCCTCAGCTCGTCTCTCCTTCGTTGTTCTGCCTCTATCCTCTGCTTCCTAGTGGCCTCCTTCCTGGAATGGGCAAGGTTCTCAACAAATGCAGCACCCATATTGTCCTCGTCGTCTGAATCGTGTAGGGAACGACCTCGTCTTCGGCCAGATGAGCTGGTGGGAGACGGTGTCGGGTTGTAACGAAGAGAATTTCTGTGGACTAGACTAGCGCCTCGCGACGAGGATGGTGAACCGGTGCCGCTGCTATTATTTCTGGAGTGGTGGTGGTGGTAAATGCCGTCTCCTGATGTGTCCGATCCAGAAATGGGGGGAGACAAGGGGTCATACATGTGTGGGGACGGGGAAGGGGGAGAACTAGGAAGAGGCAGGGGCACATGTTGTGGCGATGAGGTGTAAACAGGTGGCGGATATTGATGGGTGGGCATGAGGCTGAGGTTGTGGAACTGAAGACCTTGGTGCAGGTCTGGTGCGGAGAGATGACCTGAATACAAAGAAGACAAGAACATTATCAGATCAACATGCGTTATGGTGGTGAAGTAATAAAACGCAGGAGAATGCACCCACGCGGAGGAGGCCCGGGATGCTGCACGACTTGATAAGGCTGGATCTGAGGATTGTAGGCGAGGTTGTAAGAGGGATCTTGTTCGGCTGGATAATAGCCATAAGGGCCTGAGGTAAGATTTGGATTGTGATCATCGGGGATGTGGTGATGCTGGTGGTGGTGCTGATCCATGGTGGTTCGTCGTGGATGAGTCGTGGTGGTGAATGAAAAGCGATGGCTTGCAGAAATCGTAATGAAGTAAAGAGAAGAAAAGATACAAAAAAATAATAACCGAAGAAAGAAAAAAGGCGAAGTTGAAGCGGGAACAACAACAATGGACTACCAGCTTGAAGACGATCTTCGCTGCCAAGTCTACCCAATATCCCTACTCCTCTTTTTTCTCACGCCCATTCCTTTGTTTATTGCTTGTTTGTACTAGGATCGCAGACAATGCCCCGCCATTCTACAATACAACGCCCATTATCCTCGTCGCCAGCCATTGTAAAACCATTGTCTGACGGCTATCGGTGTACGAATGCCCACAGCTGTCGTACGACACTCGTGGCATATTTTAGTGACAAGCCTCGAGGCTACCGTGCGTGTACCAATCAGGGTGTAAACTCGCAACTGAATCTGTGCGAGATCGGTGCTATTTTATCTCCACCCCATCTTCGACCATGTCCTCCGCTCTGTCTGTGATCCTGTTCATACCCAAACATTCACAGCAAGCGAGCACAACAGCGACTCATCTCGTGCTTTCCTCTGTCACGTCCGTTTCTATCGATCGTGCCATCGTCCATAAAGAACCACTCGCTTTCCTGTAGAATTGACATTAGCCCGACAGTTTCTCCGGCTCCCGTCTCTTTGGGGCGGAAGGAATTCGAATAACCGTAAGTGGTGCCAGACATATTTTTAAGTCTGATTTTTGACACCAGTTCTCAGCGCTTATGACAAAGACGGACAAGGAGACTTGCCCAGGTCCAATCAGGCCATCAAGCCTTCAACAACTCCCCACTCCACTTTTCATTATCATCGATGCCTTGCACAAATGCACAGCTGACCCATATGTGTTCTTGGCCTTGGCTACTGTTTAGGAGGTCTGTGCCCTAATACGCTCTCGAAGCCTTCACAGGAGGTCGCGTGACCCAGTCATGGCTGCCGCGGAAGACTATCGCTGGACAAAATCATTCCATCATTGCAGGCAGGCCGGCGTCAAGTGATCGATTGTCCAAAACGTAATAATGGCTACTAGACACCTTCTCTTCCAGTAAACATGTTGAGATCCGAATATGTTGATAACGTATCATTCAAGTGGCCACCTTATTCCCGGATCGACCTCTTGATAACGTACCAATAACAAGTCGTCGGTTTTGTGTTCGTTCGCCGGAGAGGAAGGTAGAAGAGAAGATTCGTATCGTCGATAGGATGCTCACAAGACCAGGAGTCATGTGTCCTCTCCGGGATCATCGGCCAGAAATCAATCACGAAAAAGTTTGTTTGTGCTATTACATGTAAACTTTTGGAACTTTTGGGGTGCGACGAGACCGGTCGTGAATCGGATATCTGTTTCAGCTGTTGTGATATTGCGTGCTAGATTGAAGGCGATAATGCGACCCACATCCTGTTGAGAGACCAGTCACATACGCAGCAAGACGTGGCATATTTCGACTTGAAGCCTCGACATTGTGAAAACCAAGCATGATGGATTGATGGGGCGCAGCACCGGAGAACGACAGGTTCATCAGCCTTTGTGAGCTCAGGGGATGCCTATGCTGGCTGGTGCCATCACAGTTTCAGCAGTGTCGAGGAAGAAAAAGGCTTCAAGTTGTTTCAAACGTGCCAATGAGGCCAAGTCCATAAGGCACTAACGTTAACCGCGGAATTGATGTCGGCCCGTTCAACGGTTGAACTTCAACCACCTCGTCCCGCTCCGAATCAGCTCTGGTTCCAGGCATACATAGAATGGTGTTGATGAACACATCTCTACAGAAAGTGACTGAACTTGGAGGGAGTCGCGAACTCGTGTACTTGAATGTAACTCGCGAACGGAAGGAAGACAATTGGGACCAGCCCGAGTTTTTACTTGCTATTACGCCCATAAAGAGCAATATATCTGCATGCTCAAATATAAAATATACAATCATCATAACGGGCCCAATAGAAAGCTACTCGTGGGCAAGGAGAAAAGAAGGGCACGAAAATGATCAGGTTGCTTTTGTGCCCTGGTCCTATGAAAGCTCGTTACGGTGGGTGACGAAATCTTCCCAGCATTCCTTCGACATCCTTCTGAGAGCCTCGTAATGTTGTAAGACCTCCCGCCTAAACTCCGGAACTTCCATTCCTTCGTTCAGACGACTACGCACTTGACTACTTCTGTCTTGGAGACCGGGTACTGAGCTGTGGTAATAGAACATAGTGATGGCAGGTATTGTCATGGAATGAAACGGATCTAAGCCATTGCGATCGCGAGCTGCGTTGTTGTATTGGAAAGTAGCAATGGCTTGAGCGATGACCTGCGCTACTGGATCCTTGGCACCGATGACCGTTTTGTCTTCTTGGCTAACAAGTGGCATCAGGTATTGTGTTGGGCTTATATCCGAAGGTGTCTGAGGATTAACGGCGGATTGTGATGTTGTAGGCGATTAAGTCATTCGGTGTCCAATCACTGCCCGACTTGGCAGAAGTATATATTTTCTGTAGAGTATTCTGACCGCTATGAGATACATTCAAATGGAAGAGATGAACATACTCACTAATTGGGTATTTAACGAGATGACATCATGACGATTGTAGGTCGGTTGTTTGCAGAAGTTTGGCTGCTGGTGGCATTAGCGACGGTCGTGATCTCGTCAAGTGGTCTTGCTGAGGACACCGGTGAACATGTTGAGATCCAAATGTCGTTAACGTATCGCTCAAGTGGTCCACCTCATACCCGGATCGACATCTTGATAACATACCAATACCAAGTCGTCCGTGTATTCGAATCTGTTTCAGCCATTGTGACATTGCGTGCTAGATTCAAGGCGATACTGCGACCCACACCTGTTGACCAGTCACGCCGCAAGATGCTCATTTGACTTTCGTGGAACATCGACATGGTGAAGACCAAGCATGATTGATTGATGGCGCGCAGCACCGGAATACGACACGATTATCAGCGTTTGTGAGCTACCGGTGATGTCTTATAACTGGTGCATCACAGTTTCAGCAGTGTCGAGGACTAAAAAGGCTTCCAGTTGCTTCAAACATGCCAGTGATGCCGAGACCATATCAACAATCCCTGAAGGCTGAGTAGGGGGAGACACGGTCAAATATGATCAATCGCCTATGCTGGACGACACGAAGATGAATACTATGGCTGGAGTGATAGTTTGGATGGAGCTCATCGGTGCAGAGGTCGAGCTGCAGTCAATGCACGCGAGAGAAAAGGAAGGATATTGTGGACAAGAGACCGAGGATCGGTTTCTATAATAATAGGACGCCAGTATCTGCATCAAATAAAGACTGGAGACGACAGCCGACGAGGGAGATGCCGTGACAGCAGGTGCAAGTGGCGCAGCAATCTGCTTCCGTTGATGCCGAATGCGGAAATGTGTTCGCACAGTCGAGCAGAGTGCTGAGCTGTGAACTCGTCCCCACCTGCTCGCGCTCGTCGCCTTCGCTCACGACCACCACGATATCCTGCAAACATATTATACCACCTTTGTATGAGTTTTGCATAACGGCCCTATACCACGTCTTCGTACGTACTTTACACGTCTTGTGCCATCACCAAACCTGACACAGCTATCAGTTCAACGCTTTTCTGGCTCTTACATTTGATCTCCTTCAAAACAGCTTTTCAGCGGTGAAACTTGCTCTTTTCGCCTAATCAATCGACGCGCTCTTTCCCTGCGTTCTCATGTCAAATCTAACGCCCTCTGAGCGGTCTTCTCAATACTCGGCCAGCCCTGCCAGCAGTCCCCTTCCAGGATGGGCTCCTCCCCGATCTCCCTTGCCACCACATCGCCTTGCAAAACTTGCGAATGCGCTCGGGGTATCGACCCCTCTCCCTGCAATGCAACCTTCGCCTTCCTTCCTTTCCGTCTCCTCTAGTTTTCCAAGCTCTTCAACTTCCGCATCATTTTCTGACCAGTACCGTCGCTCACCAACCCCGTCCTCTATGTCCACCTCCGCCTTCAGCTCTTCGACATACACTTCGCAGTCAAAATTCCTTCTCCATGTCATCCCTCCCCACCATCTCCCTCACGATTCAGACGACTCTCCCAGCACCTCCGAACTAACGCCTCCTCCACTCAGTGCATCAGGTTACCACACCCAATTCCAGCGTGGAACTCTCGTTGCTTTGCAATCGTCCCTCCACGCTCAGCTCACCGCTATCGCCAAAGAGTACGCTTTGCCCAGCACCGCCGGACTGATCCTCTACCTCGTTTCTTCATCGCATCCCTCTCGGAGCACCCAAAATAGCCCAATGCCCTTCCAGTCTCCCGCTTCAAATGAATCAGGTGCTGAGGAGCCCGGTCCTAGACTCTCTGAAGATATATGGAAATTTATATGGTCACGGGTGGTCCAAACTGAACGGGAAGAAGCAATCGCCCGCTCCCGAGGCCCAACCCCCAGCCCTTTCGGCCTCGGTGTAGGATTGGATGCCAACAGTCTCCGTCCTCTCGTTTCACAGCGGTCAGAAACGCCTCAGCCTTTCGGTTATCCCATCACACCCTCCCCTTCAACCCCATCTTCATTATCGGAGCTTCGGTCGCACTCCAAGTCTGCCCCGCCATCATCATCTACATCTGCATCTCAGTTCGAGCCTGATACCCCTGATACCTCTCAGTCTTCTGATACGGACCCTCTTGCTCAGGGTATTGACCTCCCAGGCTTGAATTCACCTTCCATCATCCCTATTTTGGCCAAAGTAGAATTTGACATTGATCGTAGAAGGGCGCCGTGGTATGAGCCTTGGCTGCGAAGCCGTAGAATGAACCACGCCAAGCGCACTGAGAGCAGAATGAGTAACAGGAAACGTGCCCATTCGAGGGCGGAGGGCGAGGAGAGTCCCATGGAGGATAGAAGGGCACCGTTGGATTTGAAGTTGGTGGGGAGGCTGCAGACGGCAAGTCCTGCGCCAAGTTTCGCATTGAGAAATACAAAACTAGCCAAGGACAAGGCTGCTGCGGAATCGAGTGACGAGGAGGCAGGTGAAATTGGTAATTATACACCTCTCTCTGGTTCACAAGAAGATCTAGCATCTGGCTCGGAGTACGAAGAGGAGTCCACTGCACGTATGGCTTCCCTTCCTGGAGGCAAGGACCCACTAGCAGATATGTTTGGGAGTGATGCAGAAACTTGGGCTAGCGTACATAATAACTCGCAAGGAGTTCGACGTCAGCCTAATCCCAATGTGGTCGAACTAGCGCTAGACGGATCTACACTTGCTGCTCTGCCGGACCAGAGGCGTCTTGACGAGGCGGAACTCGAGGGCCATGACGAGGTGGAAGAAGTAAGAGATATACTGCACCGAATGTCGCGCCCATCATTAATGGTGTCGATACCGGCGTCCTCTCCGCCGAATAAGCGGAGGTCATCTCCTACTACGGCCGGCACGATTAGACGGCCTGTTCCACCGCCTTTGGTTCTTCACCCGAATGCGGGCGATGGATTGCTAGTTCCTGCGACACCCAGCCCCGCACCACCGAGTAGTAGTACAGGGAGTACCGACTTGGCGTACCTGGTGGGTGGCAGTACACCTGACTTGTCGGATAAAGACGCCCTCTCTGCTAATGGCGGTGAGGGAGAACTTGTGAGAGCGAGGAGTCCAGCAGACGAGAAGCGTGATGGTGCGGTGTTTGAGGATTTAGATCTTGGTTTGGAGCCAAGTTACGAAGAAGAGGTGATTCTGATTCTATCTGTGATTTTGACTGATAGCCTGACGTTTCTGTGCTCCAGAACTATGACGAGAATGACCCTAATGACCGCCGTAGGAGTCAGTACCTTATGAAGAGGAAGCTTGACGAAATCGAGAAGGTACATTTCATGGGGTGGTACCTTTGTAGATAATCTAAACCAGATTTGTGTAGACTTTAGCCCAATTCTCTCCGCGACGACTCAAGACTGATCTTGGGGGGGAGAATCACTCACACTCACATGTGTATTCAACGTCCTCTAGTGCACATACAGCAAGCTCCCCGCCCTCAGCGGCCTTCCCTCCCACGCCAGATTCAGACTTTGGGAGCTCGAGAGACAATCGTGACACTGTTAGATATGAAGGGTAAGTTTTTTTTTTGAGCCTTTACTGGGAGTAGCCAATGTAACCACGACGATCTCTATAAACAGTAGCTCCATTATTCCCCAAGACATGTCTAACATGGCATGGCCTGCTGTCCCTTTTTCGTCAATATCTGCCAAGGTGTCTAATTCACCGTCACCACCACGTTCAGTCACACAATACCCATCTCCCCCTCGCTTGGCAATTAACGGTGTATCCACAGGTGCTCCCAAGGCTTACATGTCTAACATGCGTTCAAATTCTTCGGATACTGCCTCTTCTGAGACCGAGCTGCGAAAGAGGGATTTAGACGACTCTATGTACCCGCCACTACTTCCGCCGTCGTTCTCACGAAAGGTGTCTGACCTCTCTGCATCGCCGATTCCCCTATCCCCAGATCCATTTGGGCGGTTTTCATCAGCTCCTGAACCAGAGCATGGCAGAGCGTACTGGGATCCCACCATGGTTCAATACTCTAGCGAGGATTTCTCAGAGCCAAGACCGTCTCTTTCATCAATCGATGAAGGCTCGTGTGTTTCTACGCCTCCTTCAAGTAGATTCTCTGCCGATTCTGCTACGATGTCCGGAGAGGACGTAGCGACTACGAAGAGTTTGAAGGTGTCTAGTAATTCTCGGATGAGTGTGAAGACTTTTAAGAAGCTGTGGAGAAAGAGCAAACCCTCGATCTCAGGGCAGCCTCCTACGCCGGTTGTGGCACGCTCGTCTTTCCAGTTACCCGCATCAGCGCGTTCGTCCATCTCACAAGAACAGCAGGTTGCTACTCCTGTCGACAAATCGTTACCACCTATACCAATTGTCGCGACGGGTAGCCATGGGAAGTTGAAGACTCCTGTGCTGGCTGACCAGGAATCCCCCTATACCGTAAATAATCGTTCAGGACCACGGCCTTCCATCTCGGAACCCCCTAATCAACCCGTCTCCCTACCTACTCCCGGGGGCGTTCCCGTGACACAGCCAGAGAAGACTGCAGCTCGCAAGTCCATCCTAAAGTCCTGGAAATCTGCAAGCGGCCTCTCACAAAGTTCAGCTTCCGTGGAACAACGGATGAGCATCGATAGGACGACGTTGTACAGCGATGGGTCAAAGCCACGGAGACCGAGCGTGTTGGAGATGAGCTCATCCGGGAGACGAATATCCTCCGCAGGACAGTCCGAGATTCCGCCTAGCCCGCGGCTGCCGGAACAGTACGTTGCGTCCAATGCCCATGCACGTGGAAACAGCGGGGCGTTTGGGCATGAGCGGAGAAAGTCGGCACTGCGTCCAAAGTTGGTATCAGCGTCGTCGTCGTCGGCTGAGGCGTCTCCCCCACCACGGACGAGTTCGCTGGCTATGCTGCAAGGCTCGGCGTCCCCCCCGCGCTCGATTTTGTCGACGACGTCGAGGCTGTCGGAGGAGACGCGTGGGAGCTTTGATACGTCGCAGTTTGAGATGGTGTCTCCACCAAAAGTGCATCCCAATGTCAACTATACGTATCACGGATTCGAACATGATTAGCCTGTGGCCAGACTTCTGATGGCCTGTACATCATGCATCATGGTATAGGAGCGGTTAAAGCCTGCTGGGCTGGCTGTACTGGTGACGTTAGTCTTATCACGGTCTATCTCATTTTTGGGATGGTATTACGCATTCACTTACCGACCTGTTAGTTACTCTGCATTTCATTCGCATCAAAGTAATACCGCATATATACACATATGTCTTAACCCCCCTACATTTTTCTTGCCTTTTTTCTTTATCTGTATCTTATTTTTACTTAGATCCTCGATAGCTGGCTTTTTATTGTGTTTTATTTTTCCCTTCTTGTCTTGCTTCTTGCTGATATTCGCAGTTTCTTCTTCTTCTAGTCGTTATCCGCATTTAGTTCCGGACTTGTACTGACCATACAAAATAAAACGCTGCAAGCTCGATAGATTTGAAATCCACGCATATCATACGCATACGAAAGACATGCATCCTCCTCCCGTTTAGAAGCTGTGTTCCGTCGAATCCTTGCCAATGGCTGAAGTACTTGACGATCCAGAAGACACGGTCTGCAGAATCTTGTCAATGTAATTCGCGCCACTCCTTTTGTTTCAGTAATCAGTACTGTATAATATAACACAATTTCTCGAACCAAGGAGAAGAAAAAACGCACCATTTCTGATGCGTGAGCACGTCACACCCGATTTCCTTCTCCTTGCGCTGAACGAGCTCGACGTAGGCAAGCATGCCATCTTCCTTGTAGCGCGCAGCCAACTCAGCTGTGCGTGCGCGTGAGAGGGTGTGAGAGGGTGTGTTCGCGGGATAAAGTTAGAGTTTGTTGGGACGTCGGTGTCGAGAATCGGCATTGTATTCAATATTGAAATGCCGTTCCATGAGGATCAAGTGAATCAATCAGAACAAGGACACAAAAAACAAAACAAAAAGATAAAAAGGGAGGGAAATAGGCTATAGGATGGGATGATAGCAAAAGTAGAGAGAAAAAAGAATAAAGAAACGCACCGGTGGCTGCGGCATTACTATGTAAACCGGCAAGCGAGATAAGCTGCAGTACAAACCTATATTTCGAGAAATGAAAAACGAAAGAAAAAGGCAAGTCAACGTAAGTTAGGGTCAGAATCTGATAAGAAAGAACATGTCATGTCATGGAAGACGCCGTTGCTGAAAGCCAACTAGCAAGAATCAGCCAATAATCAGGCCTATCAGCAGCAGCGGCGGTGACGGCGACGGTAAGCAACAAGTCCATGACATCTCATGTTCTTCATTAACGGCTATCTCTCACCCTTCCTTTCCAAGCTCCCAGATAAAGTTCTTCAAATCCGTATCTGCGGGGTTGTCAGAGGAAGAAAGAGAAGGAGCGCGTTATCGCAGATAAGCTATGGCAGGTACGTATGGCACGAGAACGATCATACCAGAAAAGCCCTGCTTCGACCAATTGAAGCTCGGGCTAAGGTTATAGACGAACCACCTTCGAGAAAGGAAAGAATTCCAGTTAGAAAATTGGGTAATTTCAGCATGACATCGTGGCGCGGCGATCGCAAGTATAGTTGAGCATAATGAAAAAAGGGAGAAGGGAAGGGAAAAAAGGAAAGACTCACTTCCCGGGATATTTCTCCCTTATCTTCCGCGCAAAGTACCGCGCCTGCTCTAAGTCTGGTGTTTTCGTTTCGAGCCAGATAAGGTCCGCATAGGGGGCGTATATGAGCGCACGGTTGATGGCCGCCTTCAATATTTTTTGGGGTGGAAAACACGTGTATTAGCGTGGTGTTAACGAGTGAATGAGATCAAAAAAAAGTGCGTGGTTGTTCTGATGGAAGGAGAGGGTACTATACCTCGAGGCCGCCCGTGTAATGATAGTAGCCTTCGCGAGTACGAGGGACTGGTAGTAAACAGTTAGTACCAGACTCACGTCAGAAATGGGGACTTTACTTACGGTCCCAGTCCCAGAAGACACGCTCTCCCAAAATGTCCTTTGCAATATCCTTTGCGTCGTTATTCGACTTTCCAGCAGAGGCAGCAAGGTATTGCTCGTAAGCTGACTGCTTCTCGCGCAAACTTGAGCTTTCAATGGCACGTTCAACAGCTATACCATCCCAGTCCAGTCAAAACACAGATATGACCTTGGTGAGATAAACGTACCTTGGTCAAACGTGCAGAGCTCTCGCTGGCCAACCCATTCGGTCTCGAGCCTCCCGACTTCGTCTGCACTGGCGCCCCGAGCCTCCGCTTCTTCCAACACCTCTGCAAGCGCCTTTCCGCTGTGCGTCGTCCCTAGGATGTACTTGTGATCGGCGACGTCGACAGTGGAGGACAGGAGACGAGCAGATTCAGCGTCCGTGCGAGCTATGAGGAGCATAGAGGAGAGCAGGAGGTCGAGTTGGAAGCGTGAGGCGAGGAGACGGGAGACATGGGTGCTGGGAGGAACAAGGACTTTGCCAGCAAGATGACCACACTAATATATGGTTTAGCCCACAAAGTTAAGTTAGTTTTCTCAAAGAAAGAACACTACCTTTTTTCCACCATGAAGCTGATCCTCTAGATGAATTGCGGAGGCGCCCTGGAATGATTAAGTACTCGCTCGTCGGAGGTGGGCACAAGAATAGAACGACATACGGATTCGGCAAAGAGTTTGACGAGTTTCATTACAGCAGAGTTCCCTCCGTGTCTATTGGGAAGTATAAAGCGCAGCAAGATGGAATGAATGAGTCATCAAGAGTACGCGGTAGATATGGACAAGATGCACAAGCAGAATGATGATACTCACCCTGTGTCAGCGTCGGCTATGATAGGCCGGAGGTAGTCGATGAACTGCATCTTTGAACGCTCATCTGGAGTTGCGGACATACGCTCGTCGTAATGCTTCTTGTCGTGAAGTTGTTGTGCGCGGAATATGCGGTGTACTTGGTTCGGGACCGTGGTGTATGGATAATCGCTGCGTAATAGACGGAGTTAGCTATAGTTACTGAATATTGATAGATAACTTACCCCAGGTCTGGACCAACTTCGTTATTTCCTGTGGTCAATACGCTAGAGGCAGCCCAGCCAGAGATGTATACAACCTGCTGATGCTTTGCCATCTGAGTCATCTGGACAGGGTCTATGGCTCCCATTGTATGAACTGGTTTCCCTTCAGCTGAAGCCTTTGAAAAGAGGGAGAAGAGCTTGTCTGCGAGTAAATTTGAGGGTAAAGGCAACACGGGAAGAGAACCTTGCTTTGACGCGATTGCAGCAGGTGAGTAGGACCGTTTGAGAGACGCGAAACGGGGAGAGGCAAAAAAAGACGCGACTTGATCTATGCGAGAAGAAAACTGAGCAGCCTCTTCATCTGGCGTTGGTGGTTGCAAGGGAAGTGCAGGGACAGAAAGCATGCTGGAGGGCGAGGATGATATTGCACGAATGATTCTGCGGTAAGAGGACAGCCTGAGTCGTGAGCGGGCTGAGCTCGATATGGAGGACATCGCTGGGAACGCTGCTGACGACGACGAGAACAGTGAGCTCGACGTATTAGCAACTTGAAATGACACTAAGCTTACCTTGCTCTGGAGAGAGAGCGGAGGACAAAGTTCAGGCGGTGACCATAGTGTGGGGTTAGGGTCCTCGGTACTTCACATGGGAGTATTCACAGAAGACATCTTTGCAGTCTGAAACGAGTTCAAACGTCTTTTTCTTATTGTCTGCCATTATTCGCGAAGCTTTTTCTGTGAAAAAAAAGCGTTCTTTCTCTGCAAAGGTTCGTGCTTATCGGCGGCGCCAAATGGAAGACTAGCTTTTACTATGGTCTTGTTTCCTGTTCCAGTGCGACCTTTGCCTGTTTTCGAGGACATGTCTTTTTTACTTCTTGACATCCTAGGGGCCTGATTCCTTATTGTCAACAAATCCTTCATTTCTTGGCTGGCTTTGCGCCGTGTGAGGTAATGTTCTCTTCGTGCCCTCTATCTCCCCTAACCAGCCGTACTTACTTAAAGCCATCGACAAAACAATAAGCTCTCAAATCCACCAACATGCCTCGCACATCGTCCCCATCTCTTCATGTCAAGTCATCGACGTTCATACACGCCGTCATGGCCTATGTCTCCCCAGAAGCTACCACTTTCGATGAAATTATACACCTTAAGTCCCGGTGCACCCCCTCCTTATCCCACCGCACCACCATCCTCTCCCTCCCCCCAGAACTCCTCATTCGCATCCGCTCCCACCTCCAACGCACCCTCACATCCTCCCTCATCGCCCACTCCTCTGTCGCCCTCAAAGCGTACGAGCAAGCCGCCATTAGCGGGCTATGTGACGACTGCAGGTTCTACAACGAGGAAGTCTTTGGCGCTGACGTTTGGGACTGGCCTGATTTTGGCTCACGTTGTGGGTGTTGGGACATTGGCGTTGATAATGGAAAAGGCAAGGCGAGGGTCGACTCGAGAATGAGCTTATCGCCTGTCCCAGCCGTCGGTGTCTACGGCCTCGTAGACGAATCTCTTATCAAAACTCGTCTGTCTACAGGTACATGCCTCACTCCCTTCCACTGGCTCTCCCACCACCTCTCTCTCTCCCTCACACAAACACTCGCCGCTTGCCCGTCCTCGTACTACGCCTCTGAGTGCAAGCAGAGCATAGAAGCCCTCGCCTCTGCCGTTCTTCTCGACTTTGGGTGTACATTTGAGTATATCCCGAATGGGAAGGTTGGCTGCGGCGTTGGGTCTATTCCAGCTTGGACGGCGCTTGCTATCGCGTTTCGGTGGGACGACCGCTTTGATGGCGTGCATGGCAGGATATGTGCCCTCACTGACTCCATCCACGCGACAGGTGTACACGTGCGCCAGCAAGAAACCCTAAAACTAGGCAGACTCTTCCGCGAGCTCGGCCTAGATCAAGTGTGTCCCGAATTACGAGACAACAGAGTGGCCAGAATAGCCGCTGGGTTTCTCAGTCCAGATCGCCGAGCTACTTCAGCGTACACATCGAGTGAGTCGTGTATGTTGTGTGTCTTACCCTGATAGATACTCATGCCCTGTTTTTACTGGGTGTATTAGACAGACGACATCGTACTACGCGGAGCAGTCCTTCGTTCAGACCGTGGCATTGCGGCATTTTCTATCCGTCATACATCCTGCAAGCGCTCGTCTTGATCGTTTTCATAAGTCTGCGACGGTCTGTCTCACTAGGTCATGGCCTTGCTTCCGTTGTTCGCCAGTTCTTTACGTTCTAACTTATTTCGTTATGGATGATGTTCTCCCATTCACGACTCACTTCGCACTTCATTAGCATTTCTTCTACCCCGTTGTATCGGACTGTATTCATCCAAGACTTCACTTTATCATAGCACCTAACATGTCCATTCTCCACGATTTTGCTGTACTATGTACTACATACAATCCCAGTACCGTTTGCACGCCATCACTTGTTTGCATATGTAGCAAACACCAGTCTTGCACTCTTCCGCATCCTCCAACACTCATTGAAATATTAGATAGATATCTCACTCATAAGTAGGCAATCCTGGATTGATATTATCCTCGACATTTAGGGCTCAGTCGTCTCCAAAGATGGCTTTAAGGTTCTCCAAAGACTCTGGATCTGCCTTGCCGGGTCCCTTGCCACGAAACGCTTCTTTCACGATAGCTGTCTTCTTTTTCTGAATCTGAAGGATGCGCCCTTCGATGGTATGTTCGATCTTATAAAACGTCGCTGTCAGCGTCAAACGTCAAACGTCAAGCTGTTAAAAACAGGCTCTGGGCTCGTGGAACCCTGAAACTTACTATAAAGTGTTTAACATAAACCGTCTTCTCTTGGCCTATTCTATGCACTCGGTCGATGGCTGCAGAATAGAAGTAGCAAACCAAGATTAGATTTGAACAGGATTTTAGAATGCGAGGAAGCTTACCCTGGTTCTCTGTCGCAGCGTTCCACCAACAATCCATCTGAGACAATACATAATAAGTACCACAATTGTGTTCATCAAAAGCCACCCAGCTCAACAAAAAAAAAAAACAGCAAAAAGGAACACCGCTTACCATGAACACATGATTAGCATTCGTCAGCTAAATTGTCCAACGAGTTAGCAAAGCTAAACAAGGCTGTGGATGTCAACTCGAAGGACAAACATTTAATCCAACACCTCCTGCCTTCAAGCTCACAATCAACACCTTGGGCGCCCGAGAAGCAGATTTGAACTCGGATATGGCGTGGTTCCGCTTCTTGATGTCCATAGACCCGTCGAATCGGTACCATGCCAGCCGTTCGCGCTCTAATGCGATCTCGATGAGATTTAGGAAACTCGTAAATTGGGAGAACACGACAGCGCGGAAACACGGGTCTTGGTCTTGCAGTCTCCCTACCATATTCGTGGCGTCAGTATGTCGAACTAGGGGTGAAAGTTAGTACTGCTCACGAAGATTCTGCACCAGTGCTTCCAGTTTCGTGGAGGAACGGAAATCGTTCCTCCTGAGAACGACCTCCGGTACTGCACTCACCCCATCTAGCAAATTGCTTGAGCTTTCTGCCTTGGGCCGTATTACTTCGATGAGTTCATGGTCCTGAAAGTATCTGAGTATATCAATATATAGGCAAGTACAGAGAGTTTCACTTTTATAGGACCCCTTGAACACGTCGGACAACGGCCTTCTTCGCCTCGCTCGTTACAAGCCTCCAAATAGGAGATGATGCAGTCCTTACAGCTACACCAAAGTGAGGCTGTGTCCTAGAGGTAGTAGACGACGACTTACCATCTATGCATACAATCTGGTATAATCGTAGGTGTTTCCATCACATCTAGGCAAATGGGACATTCGTCATTCCCAGAGTCTTTAAGGTTAGCTAGCACGCTGTCTGCAAAGAACTTGCTGCGGCTGCTGTCGGCAGCAGTGCTCATGATCTCATCCACGTCGACGGCACCGTCCCTCGACTTCCCGTTTGGTTCTTCGGTAGGACTGGCTACGAGGTCTGGATGAAGGACGGCACGTCGTAATCTGCGTCGAAGTTAGTGATTACCACTCGCCCCACCAGCGTCGTTGATAGCGCACCTCATGAGCATCGCCAAAATGTGGGTGTAGTTCCGACTGACAATTCCCTTGGCATTTAATTGGTCAAAGTCCTTTTTAGCATCCTTATAAATGGAATCGTATATCGCTTGCTCTGACGAGGAGAATGGAAGGTTTTCTACAGTAACCTTTGTTCTCGTATGATTAAATGTAGGTTTGGGGTCATACGAAATGGCGTACCTCTTTAGCAGGCAATTCTATTATCCGTTTGCCATTACTGTCACGCATGTTTTTCTCTCGCCTTAGTAGAACGCTCTCCAGAATCACCTGAACGATCTCGATCGCTTTGGGGTCACGAGCGAGGAATGGTACTGTGATAAACCTAGAAGAGTATAAGCAACGACTAGCCACATGTAGTGCGCCTTAGGACCCACGAGCGGAAGAATGGGTATTCCGACCAAGGAGTGAAACCCAAGAATTTACTATGCATTAAACTCAGACTACTGCTCTGATTAAACTTTGCGCTGATAAACTCACAGCAGTGAATACAGATCTTCAAGTTTATTCACGATAGGAGTCCCTAAATACGCATCAAATAGAAGGAAATGTGAAAATGCAGCACTTGCTGACCTGTTACTGCCCAACGTCTTCTCGCATGTAAAGCATATACTGCACGAGCTGTCTTACTGACTCTGGACTTGCAATGGTGAGCTTCATCAAGGATAACCCTTAACCACTCGACTAAAGAAAGAAATTAGGGATTCCCCTCGTGCTAGATTATTAGAGACTTGCCTTGGAAGACTGCTGATTGTCCACCCGACTTTGATATTTTCGAGTGCTCTGAAGCCAGTACTCCATAAGATGTTACCACGACCTTGATAGATTTGTCATTTTCGTTGTCCTCTTCGGTTGCGGCAGTTAAATCGAGACGATTCTGTCCATGCCATACGGTTACTTTCACAGTCCCAGGTTCACTTGACCGCTGAATTTCTTCCGACCACTGTGATAGAAGGGAAGTTGGCGCCACGATCAGTGTTGCTGATGGCCTGCTCGTCGACTTGTTTCTCTGGTGGGTTGTTGGCCTGAATGCACGATCAAGTTTAAGTTGACGAATTTTTGAATTGTCTTTGCCGGTATCGTCAAGTGCTTCTGGTTCCGGATCACGATTTGTTTGGATCAATGCCGAAAGCATGATGGTTTTTCCCATTCCCACTGAGCAGCTTTCGTGAATCATGCTATCAGAGAACTACGTGACATCAACGTACTTTCTATTGCAAAGGATATTGAGAAAATTTGTTAGCTAGGGTTCATTCCCATTAGAATAGCTAAAAAGACATTACCATCACTATCACAGTCGGAATTGTATTAGCAAGCTGTTCAGGAAGAGCTGGATTTACGTACGCTAGTATACCGCCCTTGAATTGGCGTTCAGCCTTGGGGAACTCAAGGCTTAACTCTCCCGAATATGGGTTGAAGTAAAAGGGCTGCTCGTCAGCAGTCAAGTCTATTACGCCTTCGTGGGGTTCACATGGGAACGCATACCTAAGGCAAAAAGAAAGAAAAAGAAAGATTGTAAGGCATGAACGATCAGTATTAAAGAACACAACGTACTCGCTCCAAAGTGGATGCATAGAAGTAGCCTCTCTCGCAGACACCTCCCCACTCTCCATGGAATGCATCCATCTATCTGTCGTGAGCTCCAATGACGGATGGGAGAGACGCCTGACTTACAAGAGAGCTTGCTTTTGATATCCTCTGAGGGTGAGAGAAAATGTGTCAGGAGGATCCATTTCGCCCATTGTCTGATCATGTCGTTGTGCTCTATGGGGAAACTGTTATCGATGAATTTGATATAGCTGAATGGTTCTTACCTTCTATAAATCATATCCAACTCGTTATCGGATAATTCTTCGCCTTCTTCCACTTCGATTACCTCTCCATCGCCAACGACTTCTCTCTTGACACTATTGTTTTTTGTTGCTGAACTTGGGGGAGGCTGGGTCATAGACTTTATAGCTTCCTGGTCAATGTCCTCATCACTCCTAATATCTCCCTTGTACTGTGCTCCACTTCGAGGTCGGAGGCTAATTTTGTCAAACAAAGACAATAAAGCGCTTTTACGCTCTCGAAGTGTCTGTTCACTCAAGCTTTCTTGGTCCTGCTTGAATGGATTCTTTGAGTGTTGAGCTTTTGAAGTACTTGGCGATGTAAAGGCAGATGCCCGGATATAAATGGACAACGATACGATAAGATCCACGCCAGAATGTAAAACGTCAGGACAATCAACCATAGTACTTCCTCGAAAGTCGACGATTCCTAGAATAGCGTGAGCTCAGGCCGACTAGCAGAAACAACCAACCAAGTACCCAGATCTAAGAGTTTTGATACCCAGGAGGCAACATCCTGAGGCAGGCGACCAAATTCTAGTTCGGTGTTAACACTATTACCCCTGCATCAGGTTTAAGAAACAGAACCGACCGAAACCACGACTATTTGTGAGCCGTACCACAGTATCTACCTTTTTCTTTAGGAAATTGGGAGGTTGTGACTTGAACATGGTGCTAATTGATATTTGCTTTTTCTTCCCTTTCCCTTTGATCTGTATTTCCTTCTTGTTCCCTTTTCCTGGATTGGATCGTGAGGAACTACCATCGTCTGGCTCATCCCTTTCTATGCGAATTTTGTCCCCAGACTTCACGTATCCTTTCCCTTTGACAGTGCTCCAAGCATTACCGACCAGAAATGACCCAATATAAGCGCATTCAAACGATACTACAGGGATTGGCGCGGGGACTGGGCTAGAAGGCGGTGACAGACGACGTTTCTTCGCAGGGCGATCTTTAGAGGCTGAACGGGAAGATAGAGGAGCTGGTGAAGAAGTTCTATGCGAGTGAACAGAGGAAATGTTGCTGACGCTAGACGCTCTAGGCACGTCCTCAAATGACGGGATTTCTATGTCACTTTCAGAATCATCACCCCCGTGGTTTATGATAACTTTTCTTGGTGATAGAATTTGCTGAGGAAAACAAGGCTCTTCATCTTCACTATCATCGAGAAATAGACGCTTTTCACGCGTAGAGCTTGCTTGGAAGTCGTTCGCAGTGCAATCGTTTATACCTATTGGTGCTCCGTTTCCCTGTTCTTCGTCGTCAGACCCAGCAAAAAAAAGACCTTCGGAGTGGTCATCTTCATGTTCAACGTCCATTTGGGGTTTACAGCTATCTTTCAGAGCAATGAGGACTCATTGAGGAGCTGGTGCGTGTTAAGACCTGAGCAAAGCTCTCAGGCTGACGCGTCTGACTCAGTACGATCTTGTCGCGTCCCTAAATGGCGCGTGTGGCAAAACAAGTGTAAATTGCACCTGCAGATACTTGCCATTAGGTTTCTTTCTGGCCATCACGTTTGCTTCAGAAAGATCCACTCAAGGATCCATCATCACAAAATGCAACGCGGTCTTCCTATGGTAGAGTAAAGCACTGCCTTTATCACGATACACACTGATTTCTATCTTTTGCAGCAACCAACTGTAGTTCTCCTTCGGGAGGGCACAGATACATCTCAAGGAAACCCTCAGCTGCTTTCCAACATATCTGCATGTCTTGCCATCTCAGAGACACTATCGAGCACTCTCGGTCCCAGAGGAATGGATAAACTGATCGTCAACGAACGTGGAGAAGCTCAGATAACAAATGACGGCGCAACCATCTTGAAGTTGCTCGATATCGTTCATCCAGCTGCAAGAACGTTGGTTGACATCGCTCGGGCACAGGATTCTGAGGTTGGTGATGGTACGACAAGTGTCGTGCTATTGGCAGCACAGCTATTGAAAGAAGTCCGTGGTTACATCGAGGAGGGCGTGAGCCCTCACATGATCATGAAAGGGTTTCGAAAGGCATCCCAACTGGTCTGTAGATTAACGTCGCCTTAAACAAGGCAAATTGAGCTCAAACTTGTATACAGGCTATAGATCGTATCAAAGAGATACAGGTTACCATCGACAAATCAGACCCCGAGTAAGTCTCCATTTTTTATCATCGCAACTGTCGAGCCATCGCTGATGTATCCTCAGGCGTTTCCGCTCTCTCCTTCTTAAATGTGCATCAACGTCTATGTCATCGAAGCTCATTCATTCCGAGAAACCATTTTTTGCTAACATGGTTGTTGATGCTGTTCAATGTCTTGATCAAGATGACCTCGACGAATCTCTCATTGGTGTTAAAAAGATTCCCGGTGGCGGCATGCAGGACTCTTTGTTAGTTGGTGGCGTTGCATTCAAAAAGACCTTCACATACGCTGGCGCAGAGCAACAGCCAAAGTCCTTCAAAAACCCTCTGATTCTCAGTCTGAACGTCGAACTCGAGCTCAAGGCTGAGAAGGATAATGCCGAAGTACGCGTAGATGCTGTATCAGATTATCAAGCAATTGTGGACGCTGAGTGGGAAATCATCTACCGAAAATTGGACGCCATCGAAAAAACTGGAGCGAAAGTCGTGTTGAGCAAACTTCCGATCGGTGACTTGGCAACTCAGTGGTTCGCAGACCGTGATATCTTCTGTGCTGGTCGTGTCCCAGGCGGTGATCTGCGAAGGGTTGTTCAGGCAGTTGGAGGGTCGATACAGTCGACATGTTCGGATATCGCCCGTGAACATCTTGGGACATGTGGCTCATTCGAGGAGCGACAGATTGGTGGCGAGAGATATAACATCCTCGTAGATTGTCCCAAGGCTAAAACATGTACTCTTCTCCTTCGTGGTGGAGCGGAGCAGTTTATTGAAGAAGTAGAGAGAAGTCTTCACGATGCTATCATGGTTGTAAAACGTGCTGTGAGAAATGGCGACATCGTTGCAGGAGGAGGTGCCGTTGAGGTACGCTTCATGCAGTTACACTAATACTCTTACACTTATCGTGCGCATAGATGGATCTTTCTGCGCACATTCGCAAAGATGCGCTTTTGATTCCAGGGAAACTTCAACTGGTCATGTCTGCGTTTGCAAAAGCGCTAGAAACCATTCCGCGTCAAATCTGTGATAATGCTGGTTTGGATTCTACTGATATTCTGAATAAACTCAGAATGAAGCATGCAACCGGCGAAAAGTGGTATGGTGTCGATGTCGATGGCGCCGACGGTGTGCGCGACAACATGGACGCATTCGTTTGGGAACCCTCCCTTGTAAAAGTAAACGCCATTAGCAGCGCCACTGAAGCTGCTTGCTTGATCTTGAGTGTAGACGAGACTGTCAGGAACCCTCAGAGTGAAGCGGTACGTATTTATACTTTTCTTATCAGAGCTTTAACTGATAAGTGGATTTCATAGCAAAATGCTGGGCCTCGCGCACCACCTGGTGCTGCGCAACGTGCGCTCAGGGGAAGGGGTAGGGGCATGCCTAGACGGTGAAGAAGAATTGACAATTTCAGCAGTAATTGAAAGCGTAGAGTATCACTTGTTCTCAGCAATTTCAAAACTAATATCAGTGTAAAATCTTTCAAAAGGGGCGCTGTGAATTTGCCAAAATTGACATATGGAGTTGATATGGTGACTTCTTTCATCGCGCCATCCGGTGGCTGAAGGCGCAATACACCGTGTCGTTAGTGTTCGGAGCCTTCGATGCCATATCTTATCTTTATGCATGGCGTGGACTTACGGTATATCAGTGAGCGTTAAGTGAAGTGAATCTGCTTTGGTTCCTGGATCCGCACCTTCAATCCTCACCTTCGAAGACATGACTACTCGACTTTTGCCACGTCTCGCTGTGAGGAATCCGTCTACAGACGGTAGTGAGGTCGATAGCAAGAGCGGTCCCAGCCCGACGATGAGTACAACGAATGTTTCAGAAAAAGCTCTGCCACTGGGTGCCCCAATCCAGCAACGTCCGAAACACTTTTGGCATTTCTTCAGGCGACCTCAGCAAGACTTAGACAGTATTGCCACACAACCTTCTGTATTTGATGACCCCACAACTCTAGAAGCATACCGTCCTCCAGTCCAGTATGAAAATGCTCACAGATTCGATCCTGACGCTCGCTGGACTTGGAGGGAGGAGGCGGTACGTGTTAAGCTATAGTTCTTTCGCTTGTTAGTGATTATCTCTAACCGTGTAGCATCTTGTCCGCAAGATTGACGTGCGCATCATGATCTGGGCGAGCATCATGTTCTTCGCTTTAGATCTAGACAGGACGAACATATCCCAGGCCAACACCGACAATTTCCTGCAGGATCTTAATATGACAACAAACGACTTCAATCTTGGTAACACTCTGTTTCGACTTTCGTTTCTCATTGCAGAGCTTCCATCCCAATTGATTTCGAAGAGAGTTGGGCCTGACGTATGGGTCCCCACTCAGGTTTGCGAGAAAATTGTCGTCCTTGTGATTTTTTCATAAGTGCTTGTTAGATGGTGGTTTGGAGTATTGTTGCCACATGCCAGTTCTGGCTTTCCGGTCGCACGTCTTTCCTTGCTACAAGGTTTGTATCACATTCAGCTTGAGGAAACGAGTACTAAGCACTGTCAATGGTTTCCTAGATTCCTACTAGGATTTCTGCAAGGTGGCTTTATCCCAGATGTGATTTTATACCTCTCATACTTCTTCACGAAATCCGAGCGTATGTGTACCATGAAGATTTTGAACTATGTGTTGATAGTTTTGATTAGTGACGATTCGGCTTGCATACTTTTGGGTTTCCAACTACGTCACCATGATTGTCAGCGCCTTTATTGCGACGGGCATCCTTTCGCTGCGTAACTCAGAACGAGCTGGATGGCGTTACCTGTTTCTTATCGAGGGCTTGCTTACACTTGCTGTAGGGATATCTTCATTCTTTCTGATGCCTCCAGGACCTACTCAAACCAAAGCATGGTTCCGACCGAAGGGGTGGTTCACTGAGCGGTCAGTTACTCATTACGCTCTATATCGTGATACCGGATTGATCGTATGACAGGGAAGAGATAATCATGGTCAACAGGCAAGTCCCACACCGGGAAAATGTGCTTGTGATGTATCTAACTGCTGTATGATGTAGAGTACTACGAGATGATCCATCGAAGTCGGACATGCATAACCGCGAAGGGTTGACGCCTCGTATGATCTTCATTGCGTTATGTGACTGGAGAATGTGGCCTCTGTATGTACTCGGCCTTCTTCATATGAGTAAGAGCTATTTCATGCTATCAGCAGACACCAAACTGACTATTGGACAGTACCTGTTGGTCCACCACAAACTTATCTGACCTTGTCTCTTCGTAACCTTGGTTTTGGAACCACTGAATCGAACCTACTGAGCATTCCGTCAACTGTTTGCGGCTTAGTTATGCTATTGTTCACTGCATACCTCAGTGAAATCATCGACAGCAGAGTGGCAGGGACGATAATCCTCCAATTCTGGGCCCTTCCCCTCCTTATAGCACTTTACACGTTCACTACATCAACTTCGCAATGGGTATACTTTGCTGTTGTCACATTGATTACTGGATTCCCCTATGTTCATCCCATCCAAGTGGCTTGGGCATCAAGAAATTCTTTCAGTGTTCGAACTCGAACGATTTCAGCTTCAATATACAATATGTTTGTACAAGCTGGAGCTATCGTATATGTATGTTTTTGCTTTCTAAATAAAAACAGCATCTTGACTCTTTTTAGGCAAATATTTATCGAACCAGTGATCAGGTGGGTTTCTCTAATTTAGATGTCTATTACCTCTCTGTCTGACAGTGTCTTTATCGAACACTATTTACCAGCCACTTTGTAAGCAAATTACACTTGCTCTTTCCCTTGCATTAATAAATGTATTCTTGGCAGACAAGAACGGCAACCGTGCCCTGATTGGAATTTGCTCGATGAACATTGTTCTGTACATATTCACATTCCTTTTTTATCGAGGCATAAATAAACATAGAGATAAAAAATGGAACGAAATGTCACCTAAGGTAAGTTTTTCTAGGCTGAGACTGCTTTGACCTGTTTTTTTAATAAGTGATTGTCTTTATATGTAGGAACGAGAAGTGTATATCGAGACGACGAAGGATGAGGGAAATCAAAGGCTAGATTTCAGATTTGCTTATTGAATCCTCACATGTCTCCTTGCTGTAAGTTACCTAGTTGATCATCCTACCCAGGCGGGGCATTCGAACCTTTGATGCAAACAAGTTGATATGTCGGCAAACTAGAAACCTAATGTATGGTATCAGAACGCAGTCCATATAATAAGGGCAAGAGAGTTTCTACGTCCTGGGACACTAGTTATGAAGTTCTCAACAAACAAGCAGTACAACGAAGTGGTGGTATTGTTTTTGCAGGCCAATGGTGACCTCAACGAGTACGTAGAGGAGCACATACTGTACCAGTTCAACATTCAACTGATCCATAGTAGAGTACGTAGTAGTAAACAGTCACGCAGAATGAGACATTTGATTCGCATTTTGCATTCATCAACCAACTTGAATCGCAATGTGTAAGCATTATATAACTCGAATTGAACATAACATAAAGAAAACCACAACGATCGATACATTAACTAACAGTTCTCGAGGCATAAGCAGCCTCCTTTCTCCTCGCCTTTACCTTGGATCTCCTTTCGCTCTCTGCAATTCTTCTCTTACGATCATTTACGTCGAGGAATTTGCCACCGACATCGACAAACTTGATAGCAGGACGTCCCTCCGGCTTCACAAATTTGATCTTATCGTGATCCTTACCCTGGAACCGCGGAACAAGAGTGGGGTGTGATTTAGCATCCCTTGTCTCCTTGATTTGCTTCTCCATATCCTGGCGTGCTTTCTCGAGGATATCTGGCATCAAAGGTTCCTTTCGTGGAAGGATTAGCTAACGTTAATTCAGCCATAGACGCAAGCGTACTTTGCCTTCACCCTCAGGAATCGACTCCCAGAACATACGTTGATAGCGAAGACGGGCCCAGTCTGAACCTTCTTGTTCATCGTGCGCATCAGCCTCTTGGACGTCATGTCTTGTGGGATCTTCAGATGCGAGGGATTTAGATACCCTTGTTCTCATGTGCTGAGTTACTCCCAAGACATCTTCCATCCCCTTGACGAAGCCTGTTTGAAGTGATCGATTCTGAAAATGAACGTTCAGTAGGTTCTTTATGTTATGAATAAAGCAAAAGCTATAGTTCAGATGGGGTTGAAAACGTTATAACCAATTTCCGGGCGATGTAAGGCACCACGGCGGTCTTGTTTTTTCGCGAATGAAGTATAGGCTCATCCAAAATATAAAAAGAAAACCCACCTCCTATAGATCATGCACAAACACATATACATATCGTTAGCGATTCTTGACATTTTTCGATAATAAACTAACTAATCACCTAGAAAAACGATATATCATTAGCACATAGTTCGGCTAATGGTACACAAATTCAGAAAGAAAATAAATTGTAACCATGTAGTAGTCTTAAAGACTAATCGAATTTTTGTTTATGCTCATCATGCGTACCATCCATGTGGACGGCCGTAATAGTTGAAATACACGAACCTTGGCCCAGTGCGCTTCCATACCCTTCAGTCGTAATATCGCATCGACACGCTTGATACTGAGATGGTACTGAGTGGCAAGTGCGCGAACACTATTCATTTTCGGGTCAGCCATATATTGCCTGTATATTAGGGTGCGCAAGGTATCCGAGAGAGGGATAGGCGGCTTGAAAGATGGATTCAAAGGAAAAGGCTAAAAGAAAATGTCAGGTGCGATGAGACAACGAAAAGCTGAGAATAAGGGACGGACTCAACTACTTCGCCACCAAGCCAATTACGAGGCTTCGAGTCTCTGTATCTATAGCCTTCTTCCATTAACCAATCTTCATACCGAAGGTTCCTTACAGTGGTTTCTTCCTCGACATCAGCTTCAATGTCTTCAACAATTGAATCATCTTCGATATCAGCAGACGTTGATGTCGAACGCACTGAGCTTAATGGGAGAGCATGATGCACAGAAACTAAACCACGAGGGCGGACAGCTCGTAGAGATGTGCTACGAAGAAGAGCAAACATTTGAGAAAAGTAGATGCAGAAAAACTTGAAGCATTTCTTGACGAAGTCACGTGCATACTTAGGGCAGGCGCGCCAGTTCATGGAACCGGAATGTGGCTGAGAGTTATCCTAGTTCAATACTATCATGTCTGATGGGCAACTGGAATTATTTGGTTTGCTTCGCGGATATTCCGCCCTTTCACCCATGCAGACGCAATCATTCCCAACCCATTTACCTTTCTCTTTAATCCATACATTTCTTCTGGATTCTGTGTTGTTGAACCCACATCTCAAGACTTATCCTCCCTCCAAACATTACCAGCAAACCTTTTGGAAATGGGCCACCTTTCTTCTGGAAACGATGCCCAAAGACGAGGCATGCCACATTTGAGGTGCCTATGAAGGCTGACAGGCTGACCAGCAATGATACGTCAAGGATGACGAGATCGACACTCGTATTTACAACCATTACCTATCGTTACTCATGTCCTCGACTCCGTGCGTACCATATAAGTGACGTCTCAGAAATTGTTGAAATCGGCTCAATTATAGTGAGCCAAACAACCCGCTTTCATTGTGTGGCCCACCAATCGAATCATATGTAACTCATTATTGGAAACTTCCTCAGCTAGAGAAACTCGTTGTTAATAGGGAGGCATGCGATGCATACCAGACAACGACATTGCTCGAGTCACAGACTACTATTGAGGGTGGTACTACTGGTCTTCGGACCTGGCGAGCGAGTCTTGTTCTCTCGCAATACTTGATATCTTGCCCCAGTAGGAAACACTGATCAGATTTTATGACTTGCTATTTACTCGTCTTCAGCGCTGGTTAAGAACAAGGTCGTCCTGGAGCTAGGATGCGGCACTGGTTTTTTGGGCATCATCGTTGCCAGTCTACAACAGCAAATATGCGATGCAAGCAAAACTCCAGGTACACACTCATCTCTGTGGTTAACTGACGTCAACGAAGATGTCCTTTCAAGATGTCGTGACAATCTTCGCCTACAGTGCAGTAAGCTCTTCGCCCTTGTGACTTAAAACTTTTTTGACTGTGTCTAAGACAGATCTTCGTCTCACCCTAACATACACTATCGTACGTTGAACTGGACTGATGCACTCGATTCGTTAGCAGCTCCACATCTACTTTCATTATTGCGCGACATTGATGCCGACATTATCATTGGGTCTGATTTGGTAAAGACATTCGCAGAAACCGATTGCCTTCGTGGAGCTAACCGATTGGCCAGGTTTTCGATCCCCTCCTCGTACCATCCCTCATTGCTGTCCTCTCGCTCGCGCTAAATCATGATAAAAGTGGAAATTTGAAAGGAAGGATGGCTTTAATAGCATTAACTGTCCGAAACAATGACACACTGTCGGTTTTCCTGCATGAAGCCAGTACGTTGTATAACTCTAATATCAATGTCTCTCATAGTATTTTTTTGTGCAGAGCAAAAGCTTCGTGTTGAAGAAGTGAAGGTATCTTTCGACACAAATATATTCGTTGGGATGTCAGAAGGTGGTATTGATAATAATCAAGATGTCAAAATATTCAAACTATGGTGAACCTAAATAAAAGCAATACAACAAAATAATTACATGGTATACAGGAAAGTAAGTAGGGCGACAGATGTAACAATTGCCATGAAAGTTGGCTTAAGCAAGGACGCTTTCCGCTTTGATATTTCCGCAAAACCGACATGACCAGAATTCGTGAGGTATATCTTCTTCTCTGCAGATTACACATGTCCACCCATGTGAAGGTTCATGTGGACGTTCGGATAGGCATGCATCACATTGTAACGCAAAAGGGTCGTTTTCAAGGGTACATGACGGACAAGTCCACTTCCCCACAGAAGTTGATGATTTTCCTTTCTGATGTGGACCGGAAATGGTGTTACCTACGAGTCTGGATTTAGTCAAGCGAACTGCAGGACCACAACTAGGCTCTGATGGTTTGTTCGATCCGGATATAACAGTCGATGTTGATGATGATGTTGTTCTCCTCGAGGGACCAGCGGCGGTGGTAGGATCAAAATCATCTATGTCGTTCGTGAGGTCGATGAAGACCTTACTCCCAACGCTTTCCTTCGCAGCCTTCGCAGCCTCTTTCTGTGCAGTGGCACCTGATCCACACGCTACTTCGTCGCGTTTTCTTCGCTCAGCGGCCTACACGGGGTGACGCATTCGCCTTGGTCCAAAACAAAAGTACAGATAGAAGAACGTACCTGTGCGGCTAGCTCTCTTGGACTCATACCTTGCATCGTACCGACGCGCCCGCCTAACCTACCACCGCTGCCCAGCATGGTGCTAGCCTTTCTTCGTTTCTCGGCAGCTTCCAGTGCCCTTACTCTTGCTAAATGAGGCGGCACATTGTGCGATACGTTTGTACCCAATCTGTGTCCTTTGGAGAAGAAGCCCTCCCCAGAGTATCCAGAGCGTTTCAACTCGTCGTACTCGTCTTCGAGGCCTGCAAGGAACTTGTAGAATTTCTCGTCGTGAGGCCCATGCACGTTGTGAGTGAGCTATCAGGGGGGTATTAGTATATGCAATAGACGAGGGTGATAAGGACAATGTTGGCTTCCTTGCCTCGTGCAACATTACTTTCACCACTTGCTCTTCTTCGTAAAAAGTATCAGCGGCCCATGCTGGTCGTAGTCTCAGAAGGATCTGTTCCCCTCCATTAATATCTGTAGATCATCATGTCCGAGTCAGAACCGTAGGATCGTATACCCTTACAGGTTCGAACTTACTTAGCCCTACATAAAGACAGTTCATGCATAAATCAGGGGTTGAAATGTATACCAGAAACTCACCGACTAGGTTGGGACTATCTGGAAAGAACTCAGAAAGTACAGGCAGCACCCAACTACGCTTTCGCATGATCGGCTTTACGAGAGACGCAATACGCTGTAGCATTGGAAGTGCGCGTTCGGCCTTGGGCCGATCTTTAAGATGCGTAAACGACTTGACGAATGTATCAGACATGGCTTCAGTGAGGTTGAGGAAATGGCACAATCAGAGTGCGACACGAGGATGGCATGCATTGCTCTGGCTTTATACGAGCGTTTGTATAGAGACGCGTCATGGTGTCTGTTCTGGAATCTACTAAATTACTCATTCGCTGACAAAAGCTACACACACATAGTCTGTTATAATTACCAGATCAGGTCTGTAGACTTCGGCCAGGACAAGGGAAGGCATGATTGTAATGTTTAAATGGTTATTTAATTGCTCAAAGGAAGGATCGTGAAGGTATAGTAGAAATATGCTGATGGCAGTGTGGTAAGGTATCACTACAATGGGAATACAAATGATAGTGCTCCAAGCTAGTACAATAACAGAACATCATGCATGAATGAATAAATCAATGATGGTGACAAATGAAGCAATGGGAAAAAAATGTCCCTCCAGAAGAATAAAAGGAACGTGAGACCGGCAAACAAAGCCTGGTATAATAGAGAAGTGGGAATGATATACAGAAAACACTGTTGGTCGAGTGTTACTGAGAATGCAGGTACGATGGTGATGTTTATGTGGGGTTGAAGTCTTCGTCTACTTTGACAGCTTCATACACCCTGATGGCACGTACGAAGGTTAGGTCATCACGTTTCACAAGAGTCATCGCCTCGTTCTCAGTAGAAGCTGGGCGAGGATGTCCCAGCATAGCATCAGGGCCCATTGAGGCACGAGCATTGTTGGCAGATCTCGGGGTAGCTTCTGTGAGTGGTACGTCCAAGCGATATTCTGGAATTTCTGAAGGCCAGTTGAAGCGCGAGCGACGGAAGCTACAATCACGTGAGAATTCATGACACAAAGAAGATAATATGACACTCCTACCACTCATAATCCCAGACGATATTTGTGAATTCTTCATCGCTGATTACGGGAACACCATCCTCGCGTTTTAAGCTATGAAGGTAGTCGGCCAAAGCCGATTTACATCCAAGAAGGAGGTGCAAATTCTTGCATGCGTGCATCTCTAACTCGAGAGGGGATATGGGAATAAACGTAGATGGCCATAGAAGAAGACCCGGTGACTGTGTTGGTGGGGAAGGTCGAGGAGGTGTGGCGGGAGTGTTGATGCCCAGGCGGCCTGCCGCTTTCGCACTGACGGTATCCGGAACAGACGAGGAAGAAAAAATGCTGTCCGCGCTTAACCTTTCTCCCTTTTTGCTGGGAGTGATGCCTAACCGTCCAGCTGCTTTTGTACTGATGGTATCTGGAACAGATGGGGAAGAAAAAATGCTGTCCTCGCTCAACCTTTCTCCCTTTTTGTTGGGAGTGATGCCTAATCGACCTGCTGCTTTCGCGCTGATACTGTCAGGAATCTGCGAGAAGGAGGCCATACTTTCTCCGCTGGACCTGTCCCCCTTCTTCCCCTTTTCCTTCTTCTCTTTCTTATCCCATTCGATATTCATCCATTTATAATCCTTGAATTTCTTATTCCCACTGTCTGTGCTAACCAATGAAGACTCGTCGGAATCCTTGTCGGGCGTAGGAGGAGCGAGAGCGAGATACATTGTGCTGATTTTGTTAGAGTGGTATCGACCAAACACCTGTTCGAGCATGATTTCGATGACTTCTTGAGGGCGCGCATATATGCCATTCTGGACTAGCATCTGTTCAAAGGCGTTTTCGAGATCTTTAGACTTCGCCACATTAGCTCTCCATTCCGCCGCACGATCTATACGGGCTTCGGATGGCTTTTCCAAGAGAGGCTCTTGTTCACTACACGAGTCATCGTCATCTACGCTCGTGAGTATGCTCTTGGTGCTTTGGAAGTCGTCGTCGTCCTCAGAGGTATCGTTATCGGTGGTGGCTTCGTCTTCATCTTTTTCGAATTCGGATCGCGCGGTCACAGTTAGGGCAAGTGATGGAACGGATGTTGACGGAGAAGATGATGGGGCTTTCTCGTATGGGAAGAAAATCTGGTCGTCAATTAACTCCAGCCGTCCGTTGGGCATCAAGATCCTGCGGACTTCACATAGCAGGTAGTCCCACTTGTCGTACGGAATACATAGCGACAAATTCGCCATTCGCACAAGATCAAAGGTGTTTTGATGAAACGGCAGTGGATCCTTAAGGCTAACGAAAAATATCAGTACTGCGAAGCTACGGAATGAGATAATGCATACAAGTTGGCTCGAACCCAGTAAACATTGTTGGGGGCAAATTTCGGATCATCAATCACATCTACAATGTCTAGTCCAGTCACTTTAGACTCTCTCCACACAGTCGCAGTATCGAGAACCCAGCGACCTGTGCCACAGCCAAGATCAAGGATATTAGAAGGCGGGGTTTTACCGTAGTTATGGAAGGACGGTGAACCGTTTGGGTTCAGTCGCTGTATCAAGATTTCCGTGAAACGATCGCTATAGCAAAATGAAATCAGTTGAGGATGATAACATTAGATGTGCGACCTTACTTATCAAGAAGTGTGGGGTTGTATGCTTGCATATAAGGAACCTCATCGCGAGAATATGGGTGATGCTTTAGACCCCGCTTGTGGAGGAAATACTTCCGTTCGTCAAAGCCAACGGTCGGCTTGTGGCCTGTCGTGTCGGCTCTCACGGGTGGAACAGCTGTTACCGGTGTCTCTTCTTGAGTGGGAGTAACGGGGTAACCATCGGATGGAGATGTAGTATGAGCCTGTGACTCTACGGGGAAGGGAATAGTTGCCTCAAGAGGTGCTGGCGACTTCTTCTTCGTGCGATGCAAGGTCGAACTAAAGAGACGCTTGCCTCGTTTCGGAGAGGTCTGAGAGCTCTGCTCCCCGGCATTGTCCACATGAATAACGGAATCCCTCTGATCGGATTCGGGGAGATGGGTCAATGGCTTTGAGAGTTTCCGAAGCCGATTTGAATCCTTGTCGTTACTGACGCCCATAACACTTGAATAACCTGAATCTGTGCTGGAGAATGACGAAGGACGGGGAGGTGAACTTGTAGGCGGTGAAACCGAGGGTGAGTTATTATAAAATGAGGAGCGTGGGGTGAGAATGGATTCTGTACAAAACAGTATGCCTGCAGATATCGATGGCAGGATGGGGCAAGGTTGTGCTGATGATGAGGCCATTCGACCACCAGGAACTGAAAGGTTATAAGCTTGTTGGTGGCCCCGCCAAAGCGTCTAGAGAATGAAACTGGTCCTGGTCTTTGTGTGGCCTCAATGAAGGATAGCCGTAGATATCACTGGACGTTTCGGTGGTACTGGTGGATTGTAGGGTATTCAGCAGACAAAGAGAATTATGCGGTCTAGCAAAGCGCCAAAGCGTGTACGAGATGAAGCAGCGGTGGACGAGTATCGATACAAAAAAGCGTGGATTACAGTTGCAAGAAACGTACGATGTCGATGTCGAGAATACAGGGGAAAACGAAAAAGCAAGACACAGGACAGAGACACAGCAGTTGTGATGGTTGGTATCAGAGTAGTATAGTACTGGACAATCAATCCGACAGCCCGGGAATACAGGACAGCCTTTTGGCTGACAAGCGAACGGCGCGCCAAAGACGCCATTGGCCACCCACCTGGGCGTTACTTTCTTATTTCAAGCTTTGATTCCGAGTACAATGGCCATAATGGATAAACTACATCCCATAGTTGGTAGTCTAAGGAAAAATGTCACACCCACAAGTGGATCGCTGTGAATGACCATGCTTATAAAGCATGATCATTACACAACGATCCAATCATTGGAACGGATATCCGTAACTCAGATCAAATGGATCACCCGACTCAAGGAAAGTGCTAAAAGGGGAACAAGGCACAGCCTTCGAGGAGGGGAACAGAAGACAAACACACTCGCCAAGCGAAGAGAACCATCGCCACGAAAGTACGCGGACTTGCGCCAGGCCATCTACACTCTCGCATTGCAGCTTCGATTATTTAAACAGAAGATGAGCCGTAATCGAAAGCAGGTGTAGCTAGTGTCTTCTTTTCTAACACCTCGGAAATCTGCTCAATCACTGACAGCTTAAAAGGAACACATCAGCGTCAGAAAGCACTCTTCAGGGGGGCAGGTTGACGAGGGCTCACCAGTGCACCTCCTAACTTAATTTGAAACCGATCTCCGGGACGTCACGGAATTGTACTAGTCCTCATCCTTTCGTGGAGGAGGCCCACAAGGCTGTAGCATGCGCTGACAGAGAATGAGTAAGCAGCGAACTGTAAACACTAGCTGCGCAGAGCATACCTCTGTCATCTCAAATTTTACTCTCCCAATCGACTCGCCGTCCGCAATGGCGAGATAAGACGTCAGCGTTGGATGTCCTACAATGGACGAGAGCGTATCCCTGTGTTGATGAGTGAGCCAATCACTAACAGTGATTTAGTATTGGATGCAATAACATAGTAAGCAACCAACTCACTACTTTGTCAAATCGGCATGCCCTATCAAATAGAAAATGTTTATGTGTCAGCTCTAGCTAGCAAAGTATAGGCACAGGGCGCACCAGTTCCTGTGTATCGAGCGTGCACTGCGATATTGCAAAAAAGTGACCTTAGCAACTCAACGTATAGCGACAGCACACCACTTACAGTGCTCTAACTGGGTGTTAGCAGTGTATCGTAGTTCTGAGGACTGCATTTTGAAACATCTTCAGCTTAGGTTTCCAATAGTCTCTGAAATGGCTCACCATAAGAGTATGTTGTCGGCTGTTTGTCCGCTTTGCAGCGAAGATAGGTGTAATCACGTGGTCTCCTTTGCAAAAAAAGTTCAATACTTGCCAGTGGCTCTTTGCAGACTTTCAAGTTAGATTCAGGTTCGAGGAATCTCTGAGATTCCAGTATCAACAGCCAAAATGACTTCAGAAACCACAAAGCTGCAGGCAAAGCTTGCCACGCTAAACGTTTCTCTCGATGAGCTCGAAACACAGCTGGAGCCTCTTTTCGCAAAATCACTTCCAGAAACCGTCGTAGGGCTCGAAACCATCCAGCAAGCCAAACTACAAGTGCTACTCCCATATCTAGTTTACGATCTCGTTTTCAGTGAGTACTTAGCGTTATGTGAGAGCGGATGATGGCGAACGAGATATGTACCAATATAGTATATCTCAAATCCCGAGGGATCGATCCAAGAACACATCCCGTCATAGCTGAACTGGTGAGCCCTAAACGCACTCAAATATGTACATCGTCATTGTCCTCTGATGCGAGTAAATTAGGACAGAGTGCGACAATACTTTGACAAAGTCAAGGGAGCTGAACAATCGGACGAAAAGAGTCAGCCCCGTGTCTTTTGTTCCTCTACCTTCTTTATTCATTCTTCTTCCAGAAAAATACGGCATCGACAAAGCGGCTGCTGGTCGATTCATCAAGCATGCCATAGCTCAAGCGAAGGATATCAGACCACCTGTCGATGCCACAGAAGGTGCCGCGAGCACGAGCGCGAGCACAAGCAACGTCCACGTCCCCGTAACAATCACCAGTAAGATGGCAGAACGAGCAGAGTATGAACGGAAACTAAAGGAGGAAGGCAGTGGAGAGGAGGATGAGGATCTTCAGGTATTTGATGAGGCTTCACCAGCTACTCCCGACGAGGAGCCGGTGGCAGAGACGAAAGAGAGTAAAAAGATGGGAAAGAAACGTGCAGTGGAATCAGATGAGATGAAAGATTCAGAAAATGCAGGTTTAAAGCGTAGAAGGCCACGAATAGATCCGTTTACCGGTCGGTTTTTTATTCCTTCTACGTTATAGTATGCACCCGCTGACTTTAACCAGGTCATGGCGAAAACGACGACTCGTCGATCTCTCATGCCTCTCCTGTAGGAAAAGAGGCTACAATGACTGACGCTGCCACTGAAGGTCAATCTGGTCGAACTACACCGTCGATATCAGAAGCAAAGAAGCAATCGAAGGCGTCGAAGAAGTCGAAACGGAAGCCGAGAAAGTCCTCTGGTTAGATTCTCGTACAGACATCTTACGACTCGTAATGTAAGTGGTAAATATATTCGATTTCATCTATACAACACTATTCAAGAAAAAGCAGAGAGAGAGAGAGATAAGAAGTACATTATACAAGTACAGACAGACGGAGAACCGGTATCAGAGCAAGCAAAAGCGATTTTACAGCAACAGAAAGAAAGAAAGAAAGAGAAAAAGCGTACAACAGTCAGATATTACAAATCCTCGAATCAAAATACACCAGCAACGATATACAATATTCACATGATGGTACAGCCGTCCCGATCGTTTGCATCTCCAGTCGTAGGTGAGGTGTTGCCAGAGGACCTTCTTCCACTTGGGGACCACCATCGCATCCCGGATCTCCCAGACGCAGGAACAGCATCTTCCGTGTCGCTACCCCCCCCAGAAACGTTCCTGGCCCGTCGCGTCGACTTACGTTGTCGATCTCGTGCCGCACGAACAGCGTCCACCGTCTGCCACGAGTAGAACGACTTGAGAACGACACGCTTATCGTCACATTCGTCCTGTCCTACTTTCAACTCTTCCTCGTCTCGCCCATCGAGATAACCAAGCTTCCTCGCCTCCCATGACCTCCAGCCCCTCCTCGGACGAGTCGAGACCGAGAGTTCCTTAACGACACTTTCCCCAATTCCTCTACAGTCCACAGCGACCACAGTAGGATTGCACATATTCCGGCTGCGAGTGAGCCGCACGAATTGCTTCAGCACGCTCCCTGACATGGCTGTACTATCTGCTTCCAAGACTCGAAGGCGCGGACAGTTGCTTATTAGTGACTTGAAGGCCTCGTTGCTTAGATTGCTAGCATATGATACCACCAGATGTTCTAAAGCGTGTCCAGCCTGTGGCGCTTCATTCGACACAACCCCACGCTGTAAGGTCGTATCTGTCAGCGGAGCCGGAGTGATGGCTGCGATCACAGCATCAGTAATTTCGCAGGCATCTTCTAGATCGATTTTCTTGATAAGAGGTGTCGTTTCCAACAGCCGGATAAGCCCCTCGTCCTTGAGCTCGCTACCTATGCCTCCTAATTCCAAGATTTCCAAACGTGGAACGGCATGCGCGAGGTGGGAACATGCTATATCAGTAAGCAATACGCATGAGGACAAGACAATGTGTCGGAGCGAGGTCAGACGTCGGCGATAGTTCTTCACGTCCCTTGACTCCCGGCCTGCTTGACGTGCTGTCAGCGTGACAGTCTCAATGTTCTCGTCCTCTTCGGTGCATGCGATGAATGCGTCAACAGCGGAGTTGTGCAGATTACGAGCGTAACCTATATCCAGAACCTCGAGATAGGGTGCAGCTTTACCTAAAGTCGCCATGACCTCGTCGTCAACATCCTGCAGGCCAGATAGCCGAAGCTCCTTCAGAGCAAGCCGATTTCCATGGCGGAGCACCGCAGACGAAAGACTGAGAATTCCCTGCGCATCCATGTTAGGGCACCGGCTCAAGTTTAACGAGGTGAGATGAGGGGACAGCGCGAGGAGGTCGCATGTCACATTGGTGACCGCCTCCAGGCCTTTGAGACATAGATTGCGCAAGAAAGGAGAGTGGATGATGAGATTGTGCAAGGACTGTGATGTCAGCGCTGAACAGCCTTGAAGGTTGACATCAATAAGTTGGGTGTACGGGGAATCAGAAGACTCTGGCCCAGAACATAGATTGTTCGTCAAGTTAAGCATGGTAGAGGGCGACAGATATACATGACCCGTCAGGTCGATTTTCTTTACGAAAGCCCCAGGTGTCTCTGAGAGACGCAAGAGGAGAGCCGTAGGCAGTTTCGGGAATGATCGTAGATTGACATCCATCCATAGCTGACCGTCAAAGACGAGGGCCTGCCACGCCTTCGAAACCTGGTAGCAGTATCAATATAGTTGAGTCAAAATCTGTCATGGCTTGATACTCACCCTACTCAATTTCACAAGTTCTCGCATGCCCCTGTCTCTACCTACCCATTTATTTTTAGAGGAAGAAGCCTTGTTCGCGGTCCAAGACCCGGTGCTTTTCTTACGTTCGTGGTCTTCGTGGTATAAGGATACGACGAAAGAAAGTATATGCAATTTCAGCTCCCGGGGTAAAGTTTCGTCGAATGAGTTGTGCACTACGATAGGCAATGGGACAAAGGTTTCGTCAGGAACAGCCGGAACAATGTCAAGGACAGATGTGGGGAAGGGCGATGAATAAGAGCGTCCTTTTCCCTTCAGATTGGCGCCATCTGGATACTGAGGCGGGTGATAAAGGAGAGCATTGTCCGTGCTCAAGACACCATCTGCATTAACGCTCAGGTAAGGAGGAAGAGGTGTACTTCGCTTATAATCGGTCCTCCACGGTAGGAAGCAGCTGCCCTGACCAACTATGGCCAAATCTCCAAGGTTGGGATCTGCTGTTAGCCCCACGCTGGGTCCGATTTCGACGGGACTTGTTGACGCTGACTCTGGCCTGGCTTTTGAGAAGAGTTTGCGAGCGAAACTGCCAGGGCTCCTAGGTCCGTTGAATTTTGTCTTTATTCGTGACATGGAGCGTGCGGCTAACGAACGTGTTGACTGCACAGAAAGGCTAGAGAGAGAGCGCCTGCGCGAAGGCATGCGTGTCAGAATACGCGAGTCCTCTGTCACACCCGGGCGGCTATCCGGATGCGCGTCAGGAGATTGGATCGATGGAAATGGACTCTGGGCGGTACTGAGAAGAGAAGTGTGACCTGATCCGTATGATGAAGGACCAGGGTTTGGTGACACGGGCTCAGGGGATGGCCAATCGATGGTGCCATATCCTAGTTCAGCTGGGGTAAACGATAAGGGAGGTAACGATGGGGGAAGTTCCTTGTCTTTGCCTTTATGACGCATTGATACTGGTGTCTCGAAGAGATGGGTGTGATTGGTAAGGGATGATCCGGATGCAGCCAGGGCATGCTGGAGCTCCGACATGAATGGGAGATTGATGGTGTCTAAGTGAAGATGATATGGATTGGGGCTAGGAGTGATTGAATGGAGTGGAGCGAGAGGCGAGTATGCGACAAGAGAGCGAGATGGGGATGGCTCGAGCGCAGAGCTGGAGGACATGGCGTCTGTGTGGAAAGGATGGGTGGTTGTATGCGCACGGATGGGCAGAGGCATGGATACACCTTTGCCTTTATCTGAAAAATCAGAAGTGGGATGTGAAATTGGGTGGTGAGCCATGTCCCCAGAATGCTGTTCTACGACTGTTGGATGGCTGTGATCGGACAAAAGCAGGGTCGAGGGTGGCGATATGTCGTAGGAAGTACACGAGGGACTGATAGGCGAAGGTGATGGGCGTTGGTGATAGCTGGGAGGTTCATCGTGTTCAAATAGAAATATAGCTTGCTCGTTATCGTTATCAATAATACACCCGTGCTCCATGCTGTACTATGCAACTGGGAGATGCGGGGCACAGAGATATGAGCTAGCAGGCAGAGAGATGCAAAAGAGGGAGGGACGGGACAACGGGAGACACAGCTGTAATAAGAGCAAGAGCGGCGATGCACCAAACAGCGCTAGTCTAACCTTTGGTGCATGGGAGCAACATGCATATTCCACAAATAGGGGCTCGTCAGATATGGAAATACCCTCCCACGCCTGCTACTCCTCCTGACCTGCCCATTCTCGGCCATATCACCTCGGCATCTTCTTTTATTATCAGATACACTCAAAATTACTTTCCTACCCTTTTTCTTTTCTTTCTTTTCTTCTTTTTTCTATTTATTTTCAGAGGTGCTGGAAAATAACAGATCCGGTGCCGTTCGACCATTTGTCATGTTGCGAAGGTAACTTCGACGGAGATCGTCGTTGACATGTCGAAAATACATGCTATTTCTAGACATGAGCGCTGATCCACTTTGATGTCATCACACTATCCAAAATACGAGTGGCTCAAGAAGTCATAATAATATTGTAGTAAAAGACAACTAGCAAGGACGTGAATGTAGATAATTAGTAGCAACACTAGAACCCAAAACAACCACATCCCAAAACTCAGAAAAAGGACAACAGGAGATAATCAAAGTAGAAAAGAGGTAGCTCGCTAATAAGTATAACAGTCATTTAAGCATACAGACTTTGAGTGTGGTGGAATGTGTCGTTGAGTTAACAACGGTCAAGAAATTCGGGGAGCAGGGTACAATACACAGCGACGACGTGCCGCTCGTTAAAAGGGTGCGCTGGTCGTCCATCAAGCCGTGACAGCCTTGGGATTTTCTTTCGCCGTCTTCCAGTTGGAAGTTGCTTGCTTGAATCTAGGTAGATCATGCGTTATCGTCAGCAAAACGCACGTAAGACAAATCTGGATACTCAACGTACCTCTCTTGATGCGACGCTTGCGGTTCAGTCTCCTTCAACCGAGCCATCTCAGACTGCATGAATTTGTTGAATGCACTAAGCTTCTTACGCCCACCACCTCCAGACGACTTCGCTAAGAAGGTCATAATGGGTCAGCACAGAACCGGGGGGGATCAAGTGCAACAACAGAACTCACTCTTCTTTGCAGGCTTCTCAGATGCCGTTTTTGCTTCCGTTCGTGGTGCCATTAATTCAGAGGGAGTAAAATATAGGTGATTTGTGGCGAATTGCACGTCAAAGGGCGAGCTAAGGACTAGAGGCAAGCGTAACAGGGGTTCTAATGTGACGATCGAGCAAAAATACAACAGAAACGTCATTATTTCAGTTAGGAGGTTCGGGGAAACCGAGAAAAAAAGTAGGAAACTCACTGAATAAAATGGAGCACAGACGGAGGAGAGCGGAAAGGGGGCGTGGAGGCGGTCTGAAGGAGGGAGGAAAAGTTCATCTCGTTCAAGTTGGGCGGACCTTATACGAGTTTCTTCGTATTGACAGGCCCGCTGAGTACTCCGCGTAAGTGGACCCCGGTTACCCTTACGTAATATTGTTCGTAAATGACCCAACTTCGGTACCTGCCAACGTGTTCCTGCTACTCTTCGGTCCCTCCTAATTGTTCGACGACGCTCCTGGAGAGCGCATCACTTTCGAAGCTTCAGTACGCTCTTATCGTCAAGCGCTAAATCCATTGAGAATTCACAATAAAATCAGCGCACCGAGCCTGCCGTTCGCACCACGATGGCACGTATGGCACGTCGATGGGCTGGGAAATCTATACATACACTTCACCACCAACATAGAAATGTGTGTAGATATAGGCAGAATCTTCCATGAGATAAGCACGTCAAAAAGGCCCAAACTCAATAGTTATTACTTAGTACAGTAATTCGCAGCGTAAGTTTGCGGACGGGCCTTGCTTCCAGCGTGAGCCTGCCGCGAGCCTAACGAGTCCCTGGTTTAGATGATAGGGGTTCTGGGGTCGTGGATACAAAGCAAGCCAAACAGACGCGTCGCGTCGCGTTGATTGACGACCGGGAGGTCTGCTGGTGGTAACATTCATATAGCAGATCAATAAACGGTCTAGAATACATTAGATCACGTCTTTTCTCCACTCCAATGCCCTTCCCAGGCATCCCTGCGTGGCTCAACAGTGAAACCACAGATCCGCAGTCGTACGGGAGCTGACACTAACACTAGCAGGTTCAATGCAACGGTCCGTGGTGTGAAGTACTGTACAAAAAATAGAAACCAACCAAGACAGCATGAAACCATCATGGAAGTTCCAAATTAAATACCAGCTTCTTTAGACCCTACAGTTTTGCCAACACCGGCAATGCTCTCGACCAGACTAGAACCGCTTACAATCCCTGTCGTCGCAATCAAGAACTTTCGGCCTGCGAAAATAATGTCACTATGCTGCGTTCATAAGAGGACAAGCTCAGTTTACCTCGATTCTGTCGGCTGACCCATCTTAGAGCAGCGATCTCAGTATATGTACACCCTCCTAAGAAAAATACAACAGTAGTAGTTGTCTGTTCATGTGGACGTACTGTGAAACATATCAGTAAGTGTCTCAGAAATCGGTTGTGTCCCCACTCACATAGTGAGGCGACGGAAGATGCTGAAGGCAGCGGAGCGCCCCGGGCCTTCTGCACAATGTCAAACGTCTCTCCAGGGATAGTGGCCAGCAGATCCTCAAAGCCCTTCCATCCGACGATAGGATGAGCATGGACCCTCCTTTCGGAGGCGCTCTTTCCTTTCCCATCTACATCATCAACCAAGGCTTTCTCCGCAGGATTGCTCAACACTCCGCTTTTCTGGGCGACACATTGCACGAGCCTGACACTGATGGGGGCATATCCGGAGTATACATAACTGATGTCGTTCTCGAGTTCATCCAACGCATCCGCGGTATCATCGATCAGAAGACGCAGGGGTTTGCGGATAGTCGTAAAGGGGTATTTGGCTGCGGTGACGAACTGCGGTGTAGAAGGTGGAAGGGGATTTGGGAGGAGTACAGCTAGTGGAGGAGCAGCTAACGCAAGAAGTAAAGGGAGGTAGTTGTACCCGTAAGCCTAGGAGCCAGAAGTTAAAAGCTAAATACTATTTGGGCAGGTTGTATATCACTTACCTGCAGTATCTCACGCTTGATGCTTTCCATTGGTTTGTTCTTGATACCACCGGCGGTGATACTAGCGAGACAGAACAACCTTACCACTAGCTGCATGTCGGCCCCCTGGGCTATCAGGTCTTCTATCGCAGTGATCTGCGCAGACACCTCGTACGACGCAAGAAGATCTAAACGGCACGACAATTGAAGGTCTTTGCAGAGAACCAAGAAAGTAACACTTACTTTGTTGTATTTCAAGTGACTTGTTGAATGTCTGCGTTTGAGTGTGGGGAACTAGCATCTCCGATAGTGCAGTATCTAAGAATAGTGTCAAAGGGAAAGAAGTAGAATTAGTCAAGCATGTCGTCTTACGAAGTCCTAAAGCCTGATGTTCCGTTTGTAGCCCACCAAGCTTACCCACGAAATCTCGCAGTTGCGCAACGGTCTTCGCTTGCAGTCGAGCCTATACCAGTTATGAGAAAATTTGCCAAAGGAACTAGGTATTTACGCACCTTATAGTCCTCATCAAGTCGGTGTGCGATTTTATTCAGTCTTCTTCCAATAGCTGAGAAATTCAGATCTCTCAACTCAGCAAACAAAGGGTCTGTTGCGGATGTGAGGTGATGCTTCTTCGTTTTCTCGTTATTTATTGATGTGACAGGAGTGGCAGATGAAGAAGTAGCTGGTGGATTGGACGGATTCTGAGCACTTGGCGGCGACAGCATGCTTAACGGAAGCTCAACATGAGCTACAGTAGAACAAGATGATGAAATCGTGAGTTTGGGAGAAATGGGTGAAAAACGCACAGTTCTTAATGCCAATGATATCGTCAATGAGACCCTCGTAAGTTAGTTGGGTAAGGAATGGCGTTATCATATCAACATGACGATCTAGGATGATCAGAGAATCGATCTGCCCAGGTGGTATTGGAGCGTCATTCGAGCTAGAGGCAGATTGTGAAGGCAAAGGGCGAGTCAACAGAGTAGCAAGTTTCTGTTGCTCGAAGTGAGAAATGTCACTGGTACAGACAGGCGTTAGGTAGACTCACAGCAGCGTAATCTCCTTTCCCGATGATTCGAGGAAACTGGCCGTATAGCTTCTGCAGAGAAGCCAGAGCTAATGCCGAATTATATATGACAGTTTCATCGCCGTCCTGATAGCTAAGTTGAATATAAAGCTCTAGAGTGTAAAATTAGCAAGCATACCACCCATATTTCTTTGAACGCGTTGTCATTTTCCAACGAAATGACATCTTCTGCTACAGGGATGAACTGAAGGTTGTACGAGGATATAGTCACGTCACCGAGTACTCCTTCCTCTTCTAGTATTCGCGATACGAGCGTCGAGGTACGTGGAACTAGGAATAGCGTATAGTTATGCTTGAGTGATTCTTTGGCATGTCTCTTTATCTGATCTGAACATTGATGAGAGAGTTAACCTGACATTTCCAGATAAGCATATACCAGCTATTATCTTCACGTATTTGATGAGGGGCCGGCAGAGATAAACTATATTAGTCGTTGTAGACGTTAGAGGACCTGACTCAAGCCAGTACATCTTGTCCACGCCATGATGCTGCAGAAACCGGGATTGGTAAATTTCTGAGGCAACATATGAGAAGAGAGAACCTTCAGCAACGAAACATCTGTTACAAGCCCCAGCGATCCTGCTAGTGTATTGTCGAGGACAAGTGTCTTTGCACCATTTACCTGAGCACAGCTATGCATTCAGCCTCGCATACAGGCAACTGGACTATGACTGACCGAGTTCAAGGCGTCTACCAGGGCTTTCTTTCCAATTTCCTTCAGTAATTCTACGTCTAACGAGTTCTCATCCTCTCTTTCTTGCCCCGACGTCTGTCCTTCAGAAACCGACGATGAAAGCGCCGCCATGATGGCCAGGTACAAGCAAGTGACACAGCCACAATTTACACTGTTAAGACCTATTCCGGTAAACCTATCCGGGATAAAGCTCGCCCTGCCTCCTGCCTCTACAACGTGAACATCAGGGCACGGTCAAAGCCTCTGCACAATGGAAGCAACATCGAATGGTCCAGAATACGATGACAGACACCCGTTGGTATCATTGGTCTCGGCGTGCTTTTGGGTGTTGCGTATGTTTCTTTCGAATCACACAAGGTACACGCTGACGATAGAGTAAACTGATAGTCTGGTTACTCTCTTGGGTAAAGGCCCTCATTGCTTTTGCAACCATAACGGTCCCTCGGTTTATATACTTTGTACTTTCGTACTCCATGACTTTGACGGTAGGTTACTCCATCTTCGTCCTATCCTGGAGCTAATATCGAAAATTATTAGCTTAACTTTTGGTCTTTTGCCATCATGTTCCTACTTTCTGCTGTTGCGCTTAATTATTGGATTCGATTTCGATATCTGAACACATATTCACAACTTAAAGAACCGCCATTGGTCAAACCTGATGTCAACGAACTTCACCCTGATGTAAATACCACAGATCCACCTCCCGCATTCCATAACTATCTGGACGACTTCTTGCAAGCAGTTAGGGTTTTTGGTTTCCTAGAGAAGCCGGTATGTGGTTATATGGGCTGTATACAGTGCATTACTGATCATTGTCCTGCGCAGGTCTTCCACGAACTTGCTAGGCATCTACAAACAAGGCGATTAATAGCCGGAGATAGTATATCGCTTGATCAAGATCGTAGTTTCTATTGTGTTATCGATGGTACAGTTCAAGTATATGCTCGAACGGGGAACTCTAGCCTGGGTCAAAAGGGCTCGTGGGATGAGGAAGACATGAATGGATACCAATTAATTAACGAAGTTGGGAGTGGTGGGACACTGTCTAGTCTATTCAGCATTCTCAGTCTTTTCACCGAGGATGTCAAGATCAGCTGGAAGGATGAGGGGCATGGGCCAACTGATAAGCCTGCTAACCACATTACTATGCCTGTCAGGACACGCACATCACGAGCAAATTCTGATGTTTCTCGATTTGACCTGGACCATACCTCACCAAGGTCACGTAGTCGCCGTGCTTCCGTTTCATCATCTGGGTCTACTGCTCATCCGCTAGAAGCAACATCACCACCTAGTGGAGCTCTTTCGCCTCGGTTCGACGACCCCTCGGAAACACCAACATCATATACTCCATCTTTTGCTCGTTCGGACTCTACACCCCCTTCTCAGGTTCATCATGGTATTGTAGCCCGTGCTACAGAGGATAGTACTTTAGCTGTTATCCCGGCCGAGGCATTCCGTAGAGTGACTAAAAAGTTCCCAAAAGCCACTGGACACATTGTTCAAGGCAGGTGATTTCGACATTCTGCGTTCAGAGTGGTCCGACTGACGTGCGAATAATTAGTGATTTTGACACGCTTTTCACGTGTTACGTTCAACGCTGCTCATAAATATCTTGGCCTGACAACAGAAGTACTTCGTGCGGAAAAAGCCATCAATGAAATCGCATGTCATCCGCTTCCTGCATCATTTTATGAAGGCGGGGGGCTACAGTATCTGCGACAGCGTTTTGACGAGGTGACTGTTCACGATACAGACTCCGAAGGTGATTATTTCACTTACACTTCGCCACCTTTGGCATCACCAAAAATCAATGTAGCGACTGCGAATGTTTCGTCAAAGGAAAACCTTTCAGAAAGTCCCTTACCGGCAACTCTGTCTACTTCATTACCGACTCCGTTGCGCAGTGCCACTATGCGTACCCCTATATCCCGCCATCAAGTCCAAGCAGGGGATTTGCATACCACAGCTGGTAGTTCAGAAGCATACAAACCTCTTACCAGGTCGTTTAGTGTTCTGAACACCCCTCGAATTTCCGCGCCGGTAAACAAGTTTCTTGACTCTCGCTTGTCTGGAGATGACTTTGACCTTCGAGAAGAAGTTATGTCTTGTATCGCCAAGTCTATTGGTTTACTACAACCTCCAATGAGCGGAGGCGAGTCCATCGAGGTTTCTCCTGCGCTCCCTGCCTTTGATACTGGGGGATCCCAATCTGTGCAATCGGGATTGTTTAATTCTTCTTTTGGTTCTTTGTCTTTACTGGATACAGCAGATGATGGTGCTTCTAGCTTGACAGGAGGCTCATCTACTCATGTAGGTGGATATATGAGTGGGCTGGACAATGAGGTAGAAATTCTGTTTTTTGCCGCGGGGTCTACCTTGGCGAAGGCTGGTGAAAGAAACACAGGTCAGCATAGCTTGGTTTTGTTCGCCTTCAGAATCTAATCATGGTTTTATAGGTTTATTCTATGTCATCGAAGGGTTTCTTGATATATTTTTACCTCTGGATGATACCAAAACCAATGGAAAGTCTATGGGTTCCGATACAGATTCGGTATTCACTGTCGATCACAAGCCTGAAGCGGATAAACATGTAGAAGGAAAACTGCTGTTTACAGTCAAACCTGGGGGGATTGCAGGCTATCTAGGTATGATTTTGTCTGGATAGTATGTAACGCACGACTGAAGGAAGGACTTTTAGCTTCTCTCACCAGTACAGCCTCCTATGTGGACATCAGCGCTAAAACAGATACATACGTAGGGTTCCTTCCTGCCAATGCCCTGGAACGTTTGCTCGAAAAGCGGCCGATCGTGCTTCTTACTTTGGCGAAGCGTCTCATATCGCTGCTGTCCCCACTGGGTTTGTCGTTATCAAGTGTTCGCCTTACTGAGATGTACTCAACAATTCCTTATAGTTTTGCAGATTGATGCATCGTTAGACTGGATGCAGGTCACTGCAGGTCAAGTCCTCTGGCGCCCGGAGGACATCAGCGATAGTTTCTATATAGTGATCAATGGGCGACTTCGCGCAATTTCCGAGACAGAAGGCAAAACCATAATTACTGGAGAGTATGGACAAGGTGATACTGTCGGGGAATTGGATGTTATTACTAGCTCGCCTCGCCGGACGACTGTTCATGCTATTCGTGACTCGGAACTTATTCGCATGCCCCAGACCCTCTTCAATGCCATTTCATCCAGGTATGCACAGCTATCATGATCGCCGAGGAATTACGTTAACATATGACCATGCATAGGAATCCTCAAACCACTGCTCAGTACGTGATTCATGAATGTATAGCATCCTAGTATGTGTGTTGACCATGTCATACTTGTTATATTACAGGTTATTGCGGATGATCGCTTCGCGAGTTAGAGATGAAGTCGATGCCAACTCTAATGTACCATCAAGGAACACAGCTTCAGAGCTTGGGCGGAACAATACCAACCTCAAAACTGTAGCTGTGCTTCCTGTATCCAGGCAGGTTCCCATAGATGCCTTTGCTCGTAAGCTCAAAGCTGCGTTGGAAGGTATTGGCGCGAAGACCAGCTTTTTGAACCAGGCATCTGTGTCGGGTCACCTGGGCCGCCATGCATTCTCGAGGATGGGAAAACTCAAAGCTGCCGCGTGGCTGGCTGACCAAGAACAGAGGTATCGTACGGTGTTGTACGTTGCTGACTCGCCAGTCAATAGTCCGTGGACTCAGACTTGTATCCGACAGGTAAGTAATAACGTCTAATTCATATCCTTGTGTAAGCTAAGCGGCCTTAGGCTGATTTTGTCATGGTAGTTGGTATGGGTGATGACCCAGGCCTCGGTGAATACGAGCGTCTTCTCCTTTCTATGAAAACAACTGCTCGCAAGGAGCTCGTGCTTTTGCACCCCGACCGTTCAGTAGCACCAGGGTCAACCAGGGAGTGGTTAAAGGTAAAGCAGGTTCCCGACATATTTCCATCACGTATCTAACTTCGGCTAGAATCGACCTTGGGTGCATCAACACATACACGTTGAACTTCCGGTATGAATTCATCATGTCAAGTGGATATTGTCACACTGATTGAGCTTCCTGTAGGGCCTGGTGTTACCCATGCCTAAAGTCATCCCTATTCAAGATCCAGGTGCCGTGACTGCCTTCAAGAACCTGAAAGACAAGGTACAGAGTGGAATTCAGAAGTATCGTGGGGGACCAAGGCATGCACGCCCACAGCGACCAGTCCACGTCAACGACTTCGCTAGATTGGCAAGAAGGTTGTGCGGGAAATCAATTGGTGTTGTTCTCGGAGGAGGAGGCGCTCGTGGTTTATCACACCTGGTACGCATAGTGTGATACATGACGTTGAAGGTCTTAACGTATGGCAATATTCCAGGGTGTTCTTCGTGCATTAGAAGAACACAGTGTGCCGATTGATTATATCGCTGGCACCAGTATTGGGGCGTTCATTGGAGGCTTATATGCGCGCGAGGGAGATATCATTCTTAGTGCCAGTCGTGCTAAGCAATTCAGTGGACGCATGGGTAACATCTGGAGGATGTTATCCGACGTCACTTATCCCCTGGTTGCTTACACCACTGTGAGTAAATTCGACACTGATTTATGTGATCTCATTTTGATTTTATCCAGGGTCACGAATTTAATCGTACGATTTACAAAGTAAGTCTTCACGAGGAAGAAAAGGCATCCAGCTAAAATATCGTGTTCCAGGCATTTTACGATCTTCATATCGAGGATATGTGGCTACCCTACTTTTGCAATACAACTAACATCAATACATCACGCATGGAAATCCACGAAACGGGTTATGCATGGAGATTCATACGTGAGTTATATAACCTGCATGTGGCAGGTACTTGTTGACGTGACTGCCATGCAATAGGGGCGTCTATGACATTGGTTGGCCTTCTCCCCCCACTGTGCGATAACGGCAATATGCTTGTTGATGGCGGATATAGTAAGTTTAGGCAACTCTTACTGGAACGATATGTTAACCACGTTCACTAGTTGATAATCTCCCGGTATGAAAGACCATGCGGCTGTATAATAATAGCCCTCTAATGATGGCATGAATTGTACCAGGTAGCCGCTATGTTCGCAATGGGCGCCAGCGCCGTTTTCGCCTCGGATGTCGGATCTGTAAGTCCTGGTTATCTTGTTACTTCTTATGTTTCCAATTAATATGGTAGGTGGACGACAATTCCCCGCGCAATTTTGGAGACTCGGTCTCAGGGTGGTGGCTTCTAGTCAATAGATGGAATCCTTTCTCAAGTGCAAGACTAGTGCCGGCTATCACTGAGATTCAGAGTAGATTAGCATAGTAAGTGGTGCCTCGTTTACTTTTTTAACGCGCGTTTTGCAGTCGTCCTGCTGATCTGATGGCGATATCATAACAGTGTGTCCAGCGTTCGTACACTGGAAGATGCCAAAATCGCAGGAGGGTGTCTATACATGCAAATGCCGGTACAGGAGGTGGGCCTCATTCTCGCCACCTAATCACCATCATGACCTAACATTTCACATGCCTTACCATCACTTGCCACGCCGCAGTACGGTACGCTTCAATTCAGCAAATTTGAAGAGATCGAGAAGAAAGGCTACCATGCTGCAATGGAACTGTTGAGTCGATGGGAAGATGAAGGCAAGCTGCCTCGGGGACATATTGGGGGGCAGGGTACGGGCGCGACAAAGGCAACCAAGAAGGGAAGAAGCGCCAGGAGAAATTCCGTGTGATCGCATGTGCATCGTCTGATCATCATGATTGCATGATTTACAGCGCATGTCGCACTTTGTGCAACGTTCAGTAGACACTATAAGGAGCAGTACTACCAATAGTGACTTGACATAATATAAGTTTGTAACCACAGTGCATCCGACCAAGGAGTGAAAGAGAGCAAGCACAACTCAACTGTACCCGGGTTAATAAGGCCTAGACACGAGACGGGGCTCTGGAGTGGCGGAGCGTGGTCTCCGGTCAGCGATGATGGGTGTTCCTGATAGATCGGAACACTCTGGGAGGAACATCGGCGACCTTGATAAGTCAAAAGAGGCCGGACCTTGAGCTGATTGGGAGGATACCAGGCCGAGTATAACATTTGCAGCAAGTGGAGATTCACATTAATGTCATTGTGGAGATTTTTGCTATTGGCCCACTGTCGGTCCGTATATGATTAGGCTGCATATACGGAAGAGCCCCCAAGTCTCAGTTGGATTAACCTAATGACAGTGTGCTGTGGAGCGCAGCATCCTGGGTGTGGGCTACGTGTACGGCCACCTCAGGAGTGATGTCGAAATAGACGCCTCTGACGACGTGGCGATGTTTCTCCACCGAACACCTGGGCCGAGGTAGGAACTAGTGATACAAACGGAACTTGATGCGTTAATATAACAGCCAGCATTGCCGCAAGATGTCAAAAGGAGACCTGGTGATAGCTGGAGGTCATGCCATGGTTTGCAGCTGAGAATAGCGAACTGAATGGAAGCGAAGAAAACGCAGAAGCCACCGCCATATCAGGATCAAAGATGCTGATTGAATGAACTGCTACAAAAGGACCCTTGTTTCGTCAATTTCTGTCTTTCTATCACTTCTTGTCGTACTTTCCTCTTTTCCATCGATATACACGTACAGATTTCAACCTCCGCCTTCCTCCTGGCAGTGTTCCCGTTCCCACGCCCTGTCCCTCTTGTTCTCCCAAAGCTCCTCCTCTCTTCTTTCTTTCTCCCTTGATCTCCTCCTCGCACCCTCTTCCCTGCGTTTCCCGTTCTCCTCGTTTATTTCACTCTCGTATTCTTTCAATCGGTCAGTATCCTCTCTTTCCCCCCTCTTTTTCCCAGTTTTCCCCCTCCAAATCGAACCACTAGAACCGCCTCGAGGATTCCTCATTGTCCCGGGCTAGTTCAAACTCGAGTTCAAAACGTGGCCTTTATTCTCGCTATTTATTACGACAAACAGCCATCAGGCGCAATTCTAGTAGAACCATTCTCCAAGCGATTACTCGCATCTGCGTCTTGCCGCCTGTCTTCTGTCAGCCACCGTTGTCACAACTCGTAATAGCCACGACATCTGATCCACACCCTATCCTGCCCTTCATCCGCGTTTTAAGCAGTTTTAGCTTCTTCCTTCTCCCTCTCTTCTTGTTCTTCCTCTCTTTCTTCTCTCCCATTTTACTGACCTTTTTGCTCTTGACAGTCTCATTTCCTTTATTCTCAGTTTCAAATGGCAGACAACACTTCTCATCGACTTGATCTGCGGGTTGGTGGTAAATACAGGCTTGGGAAGAAGATTGGTTCAGGCTCTTTTGGTGCGCCTCATTTACCGTCGTCGTCGGACTTTTACCTAATTCCATCATAGGCGACATCTACCTTGGGATCAACATCATCTCTGGTGAAGAAGTCGCCATCAAGCTTGAATCTGTCAAGGCCAAGCATCCGCAATTGGAGTACGAATCCAAAGTTTACAAGACTCTTGCTGGTGGCGTTGGTGTTCCTTTTGTCCGATGGTTCGGGACAGAATGTGATTACAACGCAATGGTGCTCGATTTATTGGGCCCGTCTCTTGAGGACCTGTTCAATTTTTGCAACCGCAAATTCAGCCTCAAGACCGTATTGCTGTTGGCCGACCAGTTGGTGAGTGCTTTACTAAATGTCATTCTCATTGTTCTCATCGGCAATGCAGATTTCTCGCACGGAATATATTCACTCCCGTAACTTCATCCACCGTGACATTAAACCAGATAACTTCCTCATGGGCATAGGCAAACGAGGCAATCAAGTCAACGTCATTGATTTTGGTCTCGCGAAGAAGTTCCGCGACCCTAAGACTCATCTCCACATTCCCTACAGAGAGAACAAGAATTTGACTGGCACTGCCCGTTACACTTCCATCAACACGCATTTAGGTGTCGAGCAAGCTCGTCGTGATGACCTCGAATCACTTGCATATGTTTTGATGTATTTCCTTCGAGGTGCTCTTCCTTGGCAGGGTCTCAAGGCCGCCACAAAGAAACAGAAGTATGATCGTATCATGGAGAAGAAGATGACTACTCCCACTGATCTTTTATGCCGTGGTTTTCCCAACGAGTTTGGCATATTCTTGAACTACACTCGTGCACTTCGTTTCGATGACAAGCCTGACTATTCGTACCTACGCAAGTTATTCCGTGACCTTTTCGTTCGAGAGGGTTATCAATATGACTATGTCTTCGACTGGAGCGTGCAGAGGGGTGCGCAGGATGATGGAAGTGCTGGTACGAGTCAGAAGGCGAGCGCTGGCAGGAGGAAGATTGTCCAGGAAGATGAAGAGCACAGGGCCAGCGACAGGATGTGAGTGCGGCTCTTGTATCATGTTTTACCACTCGTAAACTGAATGTCAGATCTAGGCTGCGCTCTCACACCCGTCAGGCTCAGCAGGCAGCCGCACCTGGCGCTGTTGGTCAGCAACGTGGCACTCGTGGCAGGGATGGTGATCTGTGGTAAATGTCCGTCAGCTTCCGTGTATGTTTGTGCGCAGCGCGCCCCGAGTTTCGGCCAAGGTTTGCGGAGGAAGAATGGTTGCGAAAGATAGCTCGGCCGGTGCTGGTTACGGTGCTTAGGGTGTCATAGGTGTTGGGTTGTAGGATTTGCATGTTCTGTCAGGTGTGCTTGTCGGTTTGGACGACACGAGAATAGGAGAACATCCGGTGGTAGCACGCCAGGTTCATCGAGCGACAACGATGTCATGGATTCGATTTCTCTGTTTCGCCCGACTTTGGTTGTCACATCCCCTATTGGAATCTCCCCCGCGTGGCTGCATCTACCTCCGAATGATCGCTTCGCCGCGCTACCGACCTCTTCATAAATGCAGCTGCATCTGTGAACCTCACAATTGCCTCCCCTTCTGTATAGTACGGACGCTTTTTTTTCATTTCACGTTGATTCGCTCTCCACTTCTCAGGAGTGTGGAGGGTAGGATCGGCTGCCTCACTCCTCCTTATTTGTCACACATCCTGGCTTGCCAACACTCAGCGCCCGTATTTTGGTACTGAATGGTTTCACTTTTGTCGGATTCACTATCAACCTCCCAGTCACATTTCAACCATCACATTCCATCTTCCATCGTGTATAGTTCTTCTTTCCTCTTTCTTATCCCGTGACAAACGTTCTTTACGTACCCTTTTTCTTCCTTCTACCCATGTTTGTTGTCCTTCCGTTCACCCTTTCATTTTCGGATCTATTTACATATAGGTCCGTTATTGGAGGCGAGTGCTATGGAAGAGGGCGCCGCGTTTTGGGTTGGATTGGATGATAGGACCCAAGGTACGACCAGGTATCGCAGGAGAGTTGAGGTTATGAGGGGACTCCTAGAGCGAGTCGCCAAGTCTAATTTCTTGCTATATTGTAGGCAATATCTACAAGAAAAAACCAAATTTCACAATGACTTTTTTTACACGATCCCCTCATGATTTCTGTTTTTTCAAACTCTTCACGTTCCTTTGGTCTTCCTTTCTAATACAGCCCAGATGCGAGTTTAAATATTAATACAGGTTTGGAGAGACAGTGTTGTAGATACATTAAATTAAAGGATGAGGTTATTTTTTGTGTTCGTAGTTGTGCACTGCCAGTGAGGGAATCCTGGGTTAATACTTTTGAGATTGAAGCTGGTGCCAAACAAAGACCAAACAAGTGCTGCCCGTTGACCACGTCGAGCACAGCCGGTCCAAAGGAAACCTAACATACGCTCTTCTTGGTCCTCTGACCCGCTCGCGATGGCATACGCTTCAAAAAAAGAGGAAGAGAGTGGTCTGAGCTCATACTACAACAATAAAACCACAATAATACAGGAGGCCCGCGTTTTCAATGACTCCCCAATCAGCCCGAGAAAGTGCAGGGCGTTACTCACGCGCATAGTCTATCTGCTCTATGTCGGTGAGACGTTTGGGACGCAAGAGGCAACGACGCTGTTCTTCGGGACTACGAAGCTTTTTCAGCACAAGGACGTATGTCACTTTCATACCAGTATGTCTAACCTTGTTAATATCAATGCATACAGAGTGCACTGCGGCAAATGGTCTATCTGGCTATCAAAGAGCTGGCAACTACGGCTGAAGATGTCATCATGGTCACGAGCAGTATAATGAAAGATATGCAACCCAACTCTGAGGTCATCTACAGACCAAATGCCATCCGTGCATTATGCCGCATCATAGATGTAAGCCTTTCATTTTATGCAATCGTGCTTTACTTAGATATCCTTTTTAGCCCTCTATGGCCCAGGGAGTTGAACGTTTCTTCAAGGCTGCTATCGTTGACCGCACACCCTCCATCTCATCTGCAGCCCTCGTCTCCTCTTACCATCTCTTCCCTCAAGCCAAGGATGTTGTCAGACGCTGGGTTAACGAAGTTCAAGAGGCCGTCAATGCCAAAACATCTGGATCTTTTTTTGGCGGCGCGTCTTCTGGTTCATACCTTAACTTTGGTTCATCGGGAAACTCGAATAGCGGGTACCAGCCTATTCCGTCCAGCAGCTATATCACGCAGTACCATGCCTTGGGTTTACTCTACTTGATTCGTCAACAGGATCGCATGGCCGTCACTAAAATGATCCAGCAACTCGGAGGAGGCAAGTCTGGTGCTGGCACTACGCTCAAAAACGCGATGGCTTTATGTATGCTCATTCGTTATGCCGCCAAGGTCATGGAAGAGGATCCGAAGTATGTGTCGTCGTTGTTCTGTTAGACTAATATTCATCTCTTCTCGTTTGTAGCGTTCAAAGGCAAATGGTCGATTTACTGGAAGGCTGGCTACGGCATAAGAGTGACATGGTCAACTTCGAAGCGGCTCGTGCTATTTGCGAGATGAAAAACGTTGGGCCTGCTCAGCTCACCAAATCAATAGCAGGTAGGATTACTTGCTATAGGACTACACGTGTTGTCTGACAAATTTGCGCATTTAGTCTTGCAGCTGTTCCTCTCATCTCCCAAATCTGTCTTAAAATTCGCTGCGACCCGCACGTTGGCTTCTCTTGCTTTATCACACCCTGCTAGTGTCGCTACTTGCAACGTTGACCTGGAAAGCCTTATTACGGATTCAAACAGAAGCGTCGCCACCTATGCGATTACTACGTTGCTCAAGGTATTTCCGCCGTTCATCGTGTCCACTTTCAATACTCAATACACTATATTAGACCGGTAATGAGGCATCTGTGGACCGTCTCATGAAACAGATCACTGGATTCATGTCCGAGATCAGTGACGAGTTCAAAGTTATCATCGTGGATGCCATACGCTCATTATGCCTCAAATTCCCTTTGAAACATGCATCTATGCTTGCCTTCCTTTCAGGTGTTCTCCGAGATGAAGGCGGTTACGATTTCAAGCGTGCTGTTGTTGAAGCTATATTTGACATGATCAAATTTATTGGGGAATGCAAGGAACAGGCACTGTCACACCTGTGTGAATTCATCGAGGATTGCGAGTTTACCAAGCTGTCTGTTCGCATCCTTCATTTGCTGGGCGCCGAAGGGCCAAAAGCCCCTCAGCCAACGAAGTACATCCGCTTCATCTACAATCGAGTAGTTCTGGAGAATGCTACCGTCAGGGCAGCTGCGGTTTCTAGCTTGGCCAAGTTTGGTGTCAATGCGGTAGATGCTGGCTTGCGGAGGAGCATTGGTGTACTACTTAACCGGTAAGACTTCGGTAGAAATTACTCCTAGCAGTTGCTGAGTTGACGTTTCCCAGTTGCCTCGATGACGTAGACGATGAAGTTCGTGATCGTGCTGCTATGTTCCTGAGGGTACTCAAGGAGGCTACCTTGGCTGATGCATATATTAAAGAAGGTTGGTATATTTCATACTCGTTGTGTTTCATGGACTCATGAATTTTAGAATCCGTATTCTCCTTGGCTGCTCTGGAGTCAAAATTGGTCGCCTATGTGAACGACCCCGATGCTATACAAACACCCTTTGACGCCACGTCAATACCCAAGATCAGTCGGGCTCAACTTGCTGCAGACGCAACTCGTGAGTCGGTCGGACAAACTTTATAAAGTACTAACGCAAACATAATCGATTACAGGTCCCAGTACACTCGATACCATTGCTGTTCCTAGCGCTAAGAAGACTTCCGCGTCGCCACCACCACCGACTGCTGCAGAAACACAGTCCGCCTACTTACAACAGCTCTCTGAAGTTCCTGAATTGGCTTCATATGGACCTGTTCTCAACAGCAGCACGAAGCCAGTGCAACTTACAGAAACTGAAACTGAATACCAGGTCACGTGTGTAAAGCATATTTTCAAGGAACATGTCGTATTCCAAGTAAGCTACTACACGGTATATTTCAGCTTATCGGTTTGCTGATTATGGATAGTTCAATGTATCGAATACTTTACCGGACACAGTCCTTGAACAGGTATCAGTGATCATGCAACCACAAACGGATTCCGGCTTGACAGAGGATTTCATCATTCCTGTACCTTCACTCGCATCCTCGACGTCACCCAGCATCGTTTATGTCTCATTTACGCGAGACACTCCAGAGGAGTATACGACTGCCTCGTTCCAATGTATTCTCAAGTTCATTAGCAAGGAACTCGATCCATCGACTGGTGAGCCAGAGGAAGAAGGTTATGAAGATGAATACCAGCTTGAGGAGGTGGAGTTGTCTGCTGGTGGAGATTACATCATTCCCAGCTACAGTACTTTCTCAGCGGAGTGGGATCGTCTACGATCAGGTGCTACTGCTACGGAGACATTCTCACTTGGTTCTATGGACAGCCTTAAAGGTACGCCCATTGTTTCGTTTTGTGAATATGTGCTAATCCCTTCAATGCATTCCTCTTTACCTGCCAACACTCCACTCACTCTCACGATTGTGTACTCTGGCTCTCACTCCCACTATGCGTGTCCAACAACCTTCAGCTGCCTGCGACTCAATTATTGAGGTATTGAACATGGAAGCGCTCGGTGGGACTGAGACACCGTCATCAAGCTCTGTGCACACAATGCAGCTTTCTGGTCTTGTGACAGGTGGAGGAGGAAAGGTATTGGTGCGCTGTCGGATGACGTTCGCCAAAGGAACGGGGGTGACACTAGAACTGGGGGTGCGTGCAGAGAAGGAGAACGCATGCAACCTGGTGCTTGCGGCCGTTGGAGGTTAGACGTAAAATCGGTAGTGTGTGTAATCGGATGCCATACCCCCAAATAATCGTACGACACCGAGTGTGACTACCACTTATGTTGCTGGCTTACTATTCCCATCTACTGGATATGCATATTTTCACACTAAGTGCCTGATTTTGTACAGCAATGTGCAGGTATTGGCGTTAGTAGGAAACGGGCTCGAAACCATAGCCGATGAGGAATCTCACGTATGGTGAGTGCAAGGTCCCGTTGTAGGATTACATGAGTACCCGCCGCGACCGGTTTAAGAACGAATCTGTTCTAGCCAAATTGCAGACCTGATGCTGCCGCCCGGTCTCGTCGCAAGACACAGGTTCAGCACTGATTTTTACATGTTTTACTCGTTCCTCGCCTGAGCGTCTGTGCAACACCATCGTAATATCGACATCAACCTCGCATCGAACCACCTTGTAATTGTCATTTTTCTCTGTGTGGTGTCATTCATCCTGCTTACTGATTAAATTGTTGCCCCTTTGCCGTCCAGAAGCTACCAGGAGATATTCTAGCGAAGCTAACGACATATATAAAGTACTGGATATACGTGTCAGAGCAAGCAGACACCATGGCCGCACCGTCACTCCCCACTCCACGTGTTATACATGTCGATACCAGAGGTGCCGTGATCCTCTCCGAAGAATCGCCCGAGGTTGGTCTCGAGCCATTTATCATGTCTGGATTTCCTGACAGCCTTTGTCGTTTTCCATGCTGTTATCCATTTCATTCAAACCGTAGACCCGCGACAGCCGAGGAATATATCTTCCAAACTACATCGAGCCTGTGTCGCATATCGCCGTCGATGTAAGTCTGTGCGGTGCTGTGGGCGTAAGCAATTCTTAGTTCTGATGGTATATCCCACTTAGATCGGTGGTTCACTAGCAAAGGTAGTTTATTTTACTCGATCACCCGAGCCTCCGAATTCCCCCTCAATAGCAGCAACTCGAGGCAGCAGCACTGCAAGTTCTCTCTCTACACCAGCTCAAGGGTCTCCATTGGATGAACATCCACCTTCTTCGTTCTCCCTCTCACCTCCTGCTCTGCTCAGTTCTTCCCATCCAAGACAGAACGGCGCATTGACCCCTCTCGTCCTAGAGTCGCATGCATATAACGGGAATGGATACTCAAACGGCGACAAGAGTCCCAAACCCAGGAAATGCTCCAATGACAATACAGACGTTTCCTTGCTAGACGCCGATCTCCTTCATTCCACTATCCTCCGGCGAGCGAGCCAAAACTCTACACCACGACACTTCCCGGGTGGCTCGCTCAACTTTGAAAGATTTGAGACAGACGATATTGATGCCTGCGTGTCATTCATCGAAGCGCTGATTGCTCGTTCAGCTCGTGCTAACAATGTATCGATCGAAGAGATGCGTCGCGGGGTAAAGATCATGGCGACAGGCGGAGGAGCACACCGGTTCTACGAGTTATTCAGTGGTACGCTGGGAGTGGAAGTAAGAAGAGAGGATGAAATGGAGTGTTTGATCGAGGGTCTGAAGTTTATCACCATGATCCCGGAGGAGGCGTACTATTTCTCCGACGAGTTGATACATTCTACGAAAGGTGTGAGCGGAAGTGGAAGTGGGAGCACTGCAGGTATAGTGCTGGAGCGTCCAAGTCCCGATCCGCCAAAGTATGCCGTGACGTTCGAAGAGGAGCCGTCTCCCCAGTTGCCGTGCCTTCTTGTGAACATTGGTTCAGGTGTGTCGATTATAAGAGTGGACGCAGATGGGACGTTCGAACGTGTGAGTGGGACGAGTTTAGGTGGTGGTACATTATGGGGCCTGTTGAGCCTGTTGACTCCTGCGACATCGTTCGATGGTGTGTTCTGTCTTTTTATCTTCAAATTAACGCCCTTTTACTCTGATTGTAGAGATGCTGGACCTATCTGAGAAGGGCGATAATGCATTTGTTGATATGCTTGTCGGCGATATTTATGGTCAAGACTATAGCAAGCTCGGCCTGAAATCGACGATGATTGCCAGTTCGTTCGGAAAGGTCTTCAAGAAGGGCGGAACTCGTGGAAAGTTCAAAGCGGAGGATATCAGCAGAAGCTTGTTGTACGCCATATCAAACAACATTGGACAGATTGCGTGAGTACATAAGTCCATTTTAAGGAAACATTGTTCGATGATGCTGATGGATGATAATACGATGCTAGGTATATGAATGCGGAGAAATACCATCTTGACAGAATATATTTCGGGGGATGTTTCATCAGAGGTTGGTTAACTGCCACTTATCAGCCTGCTAACTGTCAGGCTTTAACGCTCATTTTTAGGACACGCTGCCACCATCACTACACTCTCATATGCTATTCGGTTCTGGAGCAAAGGTACGAAACGCGCACTATTTCTACGGCACGAGGGCTTTTTGGGGTCCATCGGGGCTTGGATTAAGAACATCGATTCGGAGGAAACTGTTTCACCTGCCAGCTTGTAGTTGGCCTACGGATGTATTATAAATACGATATATCGTTAGCAGCCAAGAAAAGCAACCCGATAAAGTCAACCATGGATCTATAATACTATACATGCACAGCTCATTGCTGATGCTGCTACCTCTTTTGATTCCCATGTTCATCTGATATGATTGTATTGCCATAATCTCACGTTTACTATACTGTAGACATCATCTCGACATCATGCATCTACTACTCCAATAAGAATACATCACTATGACCGTCATTGGACGGACCAATAATGCGCTGACATTGCTATACGGATGCCATTCTTGGCTAACAGCGTCAGTTAAGGGGTATATTTGGGATCTGATAAAAGGTCCACGTGTATTATGAGCAAAGTAGGCGTGTGTGTGTGATTTTGGAAGATGTGTTCTGACATGGGATTCGGGAAATGGCAATACCTCGTGTTAAGACAGATACAGGAGGTGGGATTGTTAGGACTCCGAGTTCACATGAATATTTATATGGGTCCCATAGACGGTCTTCCTCTGCCACCTCACAAAAGGCTAGCTTGGTATAGATACTGCAGAGGTCTTGCCAAAGTGAAAAAGGAATCGTCGCAACTACCATTATCCGCTGCGTTGTGACAATGTAAAGAGCAGAATCCTCGGGAAAGTACGCTTAGATGAGATAAAAGCTTAGTGATATGATACGGCAACCAGGGTATGTGTATAAGTACAGGTTGGCTCAGATGATTCCCTGCGCGCCTCCGAGTGGTGTTGCGGTGCCAAATGCCGCAGGCTGTGTTGCCTTAGAAGCTTGACACCGACAGCATTTGGTCAGAACCCGTCTTACCACCGCAATACAGGATGGCACTAATGGTCTTAGACTTGCCTCCATCATCAAGCTACAGCAAACGAGGAAAGGCAAAGGTTGCTTGAGACTTATTCCAGATACAAAATAAATCTGGTTCACAAAAAAGAAAAACACTCGAAAAAGGAAAAACAGCAGCAGGTATTGGATTTGTCAGCATGCATGCAAAGATCGCCGGAAAGGGAGATCAGTCATCCGAGATTGGATATCTTCGATCTGCATCCGGCTTCACGTAAGTGAGATCCCGGTGATCCTGGTCAAAAGTGGCGCCGTCCGGTCACGGCCGGGCGCGTACATGGGTATTCGGCAGACCTGGGTTCTGTCTGTGCAAAGTCAGGACCAGATTGCACAGCTGTGGGAATGCCTGTAATTAAACGAAATGATGTCAGCAGCCATAACAAGTATTCCCACGAATGCTGATATAGTGGTCTTTAAGTTAATTAGCTTTAAATTTCTCGATTCCCTCCATCTGTCTTTCTTTTCCCTTTAGTTTGTCTTTTCCCGTGCTAAAATGCACGACTCCGTCCCTCCCGTCATCACCAACGACGACAATGTCCAGCACCAGTCCTCGACGTCGTCCACAACAGCGAGTCAGAACAAGAAACCAAGACATCGTCACAGTCCAGCTCAGCTCGCTGCCCTCAATGAGCTATTCGACAGGAACGAGCATCCATCATTAGATGACAGATCTTCTCTGGCAGACAAACTCGGGATGTCAGTATCTCTTCATGTCATCTTTTACATCCATCGTAGTCCTGACCATTCTTTCCATATCAATTCCTTGTCTTTGTTCACAGGGAGACCAAAACGGTCAACGCCTGGTTTCAAAATAAACGGGCGTCTACTAAAAAGCGGAATAAAACCAATCCTCATCCTCCACCCTCCTCCCAGGTCCAAAATACACCATCAGAGCAGGATGGCACTTCTTCTACATCCACTAACCTGCCTTCCATATCGACGCTCCTAAACCCCTTATCCGGAACATCTCCTGCATATAGCTCCACTTCGTCCGCTCATTCCCATAATAATACACATTCGCATCCCCCAATATTCAGTACAAAAGAAATGCAGGACTATCCTTTGGACAATGATTTGCACCACTCGGGTATCACCACCATGGGTCCCGAAGAGAGCGGGGCTGCCCTTCAAGGATCCTTTTTCGCCGGAACGCCCGAGACTCTTCCTCAACGCTTCTTCACCGAAAATGATGTTGCCTCTAATGGGAGAAGAATGCGCATGCGTCCAACCAGCGAACAAACTGAGGAACTCAGGAAGGCATATAATACCAATCCGCACCCAAGTAAGGACGACCGTGAAGAGCTGGGAGAAAAATTAGGCATGTAAGTGCTTCTCGCTAATACTATCATCATTATAGTTTCGTGCCATATCTAGACGCATATACTTACACTTTCCTTATTAGGCGCTACCAGAGCATTACGAACTGGTTCCAGAACCAACGCAGTTTGGCCAAGAAGCGTAAAGATGATGATGTCGACTCCTCGTCTTCTTCCGCTCCCACATCTAAGCATGCCCGTACTCATTCATATTACGAAGACGATCAATCTGACCGAAGAGATGATGACTCTTACAGGAGGGAACACGATCCCGATCGAAGGCATCATGCTGTGGAAGAGCATGAAAGGATTTCTAGAACGCATAACCCGTCAGGGCTTTCCTCTGGTCATCCTGTCGCACATCGTTCTTCTATTTCCTCCTTGTTAAACGCGGAAGACCGTCTTTCTCTCCCTCCATCGTTTCCACCCTCCTTTTCTCCCTTTCGTCCCTATCCCCCCTCTCCGCGTCGCAGAGGAAATAGTACAAGGCGCAGCGTTACGCCTTATCACTTGTCACCTTCTGTATTTAGCGCAGGTCGAACTCGTGACCTTGGTCATGGTGTACATGGTCGTGAACACCGCAGTATGTCCCAGACGGACTCGGTGGCTTTCGAGCGTGTCCTCCATCCTGAGGCGGCACTCACACGTCCGCGACGCACTCGCCCAGAACCTTATCAACTGGAAGCGCTCAAGAAACTGTTCATGCGCACATCAAATCCATCGATTGAAGAACGGACTGCTTTAGCGTCCGAGGTTGGCATGGATGTCGGCAAGGTGACAAACTGGTTCAGAAATCTACGGCAGACCGCTAGGAAGCGTGCGAAAAAAGCGGAGGGTGGCCGTACGCGACGCGGAAGAGGCGGAACGTCATCTGCGGGGGCATCTCGGTCTGGAACCCCTTGGGGTGGTATCTCATCCTCAGGGTCCTCATCGGTTGATTACGATTTTGACATTGAGAGGGACTACGAGGATATCGAGCTCGACTTTGAGAAGTATAACGAAGGTGATGAAGATACAGCAATGGACCTGACCTACGACGGGGCCGATGAGGATGATGGACGGCCAGGGTCTGGGAGCGAGGAAGACTATCAGGAAGCGGTTACTCCCGATCCTGGAATGTCCCCATCTCCACCACCGAAGCGCCAGCGTAATGTGGGCATGAACCCTGCAGGGATTCCACGAGAGGTCAACAAACCTGTTGGAATGTCTGGAGTTGTACCTGATGTCGGTGTCGGAATGGCTGTTGGTGTTGGGATGGGTACGACAGCAACGTACTCGGGTGTAAAGCTTGAGGATGCACTTCTCCTTTTAAGCTTCCATCACCACGTCGTGCATTAGCTGCGTAAAAACAGTGTCGTAATTATGAGTTACCAAGTGTGAGCCTCCTTTCCTTTGGTTAGATGTACGCTGACGGTTGTTCTAGGTATTGTGTTGTGTTGTGTAGCATTTAATCCCTTCGTGTTCTCTTCCCATTTCTTGGTGTATCTAGAGCTTTCACTCGTTTGTGCGGCCCCTCGAGTCATCCGTCATAAAAACAAAACAGCATTTTCTTCTCGTGGTTTTGCGACAATTGTGATAGACTTTCACTCTCATATTGTCAATTGTGTCACCTTTCATCGTCTTAATCCAATTTCTTCTTACCAATGCCGTCAGACACGCCATCGGCTGGTATAGCCTTACGATTCTCATAAACATCAACCGCGACTACGTTTTCATCTCGTGTTTTTGAACCTTTATTATATTTCATTATTCGTCTCGTGCGTCTCATGCATTCGTTTATCAATCATGCTATATATTCAATCGGCTTCAGATCTTCTTGCACGTACACTCTTCTCGCTCGCTTACCAACTCACGTTTATGTAGCCCCTGACCTGCGTCTCGTTCGATGTTGTGTTGGATTCGCACTGTCGATCCTTATATTTGATAGTTGTGACTGAAATAGTACGTATAATGCGAATATTTATTTAATTGGCATTTTTCATCGCGTGTTTATTTTCGGTGTGAGCTGTCATTCAGACAAGCAGTGCGGGAGATATGCAACCTGAAAATAGCTTGGTCTGAGTGGGAGAAGGCTGACATATTGCTCGGTTTGTCGGAGCGCCGTAAGTCAGCTGGGAAGTCATAACATGATATCTTGATCTTGTATAAGAAGATGAATCTAGGAATAGGCATCTCGGTAGGTATACTGAAACGATGTTAGCATGTTTTCTTGATCACACTGCAGTTAGCTGATACGGAGATCTAGATATAGCAACAGTGCAATGAGCTCCTATGTTTTGCAACGAGGGATGGGATATCATGACTCAGAGCGGAGATAGAGAAGGGGGGAGGGAGGCTCGCATGGCCACTGTGGAAAGATCCATACAATATAAGTAACGAGTGCTGTCCAGTGGTAGCTATGTTGGTGCCTAGTTACTTTGATTGAGGTTCGGTTCTAAAGTCAGTATATATGCACATGCAAAAAAAGCACAACTCATACAGATCATCAATTGTCTAACTTCAACGTTTCAACGATGGATACGAGCAGGGAAGATTTGTGCTGTCCAATGTTGATTCTAAAAAAGCGTTGGCTGACATGATTTGTCCACGCTCTCTCAGGCTGGTAGTGCAAACCGATAGGGACAAAAATACGCGATAAGACTGATGTAGATAATCATGATATTATGATGAAGGCTAGGGTGGTTTCGAGGATTCGCCTTTGTTTTTCAGCTTTTTGAAGAAGACTGTGCATCTGTTCGACTGTCCGTGAATGATGTTGATGAGTCCTGAGTGAACTCCGAATGTGTTTTACAAGTGCTGAAAATTCTGTGAAATAGACGCACGTCATATCAACCGGGTGCATTTAAATATGTGAACAGTAACGAAAAGCGTTAGTACCTTTAGTTACGAGAAATTACCAATGAATTGTTTATCCGGGGTAGGGTGCCTTTTCTTGGGAAACGGTGGTTTGCCGCACTATGAATTGTGAGGTTATGGCTATGCTGCACGGCTACGATGTGTTCACATGCATACACGGACTGCATTTCCCGTCAGAGAGAGAAACAGGCCAAGAATAAAACCGAAAAGCTGGATAGCCTCGGCAGACTCCGGGGTGAGTACCATGATTGCTAAATATAGTAATCGTGATTGTCGTTGAGTTTAGTCGCTTCGCTACAGAGCAAATAATAATTTCTGGTTTTTGCTCAGCGACCACGACGCTTTCGTCGACGTCTCCCTTCCTCCCTCCACAGGGTCCCCCCTTCATTTCCTTTCCCTCATTTCGTGCATACAGCTCCTTTTATCTCAGCCTTGCTGCTTTCGCATTCTTGTCTGAATTAGCTCACGTAAGGCTGACACGCATATACCTCGCCCACAATGGCATATCGACCCCAAAACGATCCCTACTACCACCAAAACTCTCCTTATACTCCTGGGCAAACCGGCGTTGTCCCAGAATATCCCCCGGAACAACATCATTATGGTGATTATGAAGCTCAATGGGATAGCAAATCAGCGAAGAGCGCTCAAAGCAGCAACTACCACGGTTCCCAGGTACATCTTAACCCTCAATATGAGATGAGCCAGGTCGATATACACGGAAACCACCCTCCAGTTCCAACTATGCAGTACAATGCTTACCAGCCAGACTATCCCCCCATGCAGGCACCAGCGATGTACAGGGAGATGAGCACTGGCTATTCTATGGCAAGGGAGAAGCTGATGAAGCGCAGGTCAGTTCGCCAGGTCGAGCTGCAGCAGGGGAATCTAGTACTCGATGTCCATGTGCCATCTCATATCGTGCCAAAGGGCATGAGTGACGTCGAGGAGATGACCAAGATGCGATATACTGCTGCCACTTGCGACCCAGATGACTTCATGCGAAAAAAGTACTCTCTCAGACCGTACCTCTATGGACGCCACACAGAACTTTTTATCGTGATGACCATGTATAACGAAGATGAAATCCTTTTTGTAAAGACGATGAATGCGTGAGTTTCCTTATCTTTTTCATACCATACCTATATTACGTTACGCATCTCCTGATATTTTTCACAGTGTGATTAAAAACGTTGCTCACCTTTGCGGTCGTAACCGGTCGAAAACCTGGGGCCATGATGGCTGGAAGAAAGTTGTGGTCTGTATAGTCTCGGATGGACGAAACAAGGTCAACAAACGCACGCTTCAAGTGCTCACGCTGGTAAGTTTGATAATTGCTGCGCTCAGGTCAGATAACCATAACTCTGTGAATAGATGGGTTGCTACCAAGAAGGGATTGCAAAAGATTCTGTTGGAGGAAAAGACGTCACCGCCCATATCTTCGAGTATGTGCTGTGCTCGGTTTATCGCATTTAAGAAGAATCTGACAACCTATTTGTAGATATACCACCAATGTTGTAGTCACGGACACGGGTGAAGTTTCCACGGGAGCTTGCCCGATTCAGGTTTTGTTCTGTCTCAAGGAGCAGAACAAGAAGAAGCTTAATAGTCATCGTTGGTTCTTCAACGCATTTGGTCCTTTGATCAAACCCAATGGTGGGTGACCACTCTATGTTCTGTCTATGTCATGAAAGCAGCTGACGCTTTCTTGACTAGTCTGCGTCCTTTTGGACGTTGGGACGAAGCCAACCAGCACTTCCATCTATGAACTGTGGAAATGTTTGTAATGTCACTGTCTCACTATTCGTTAGTTTACATATCTCTGTAGGTTTCGACAAACATTCTAACGTTGGAGGAGCTTGCGGAGAGTATGTAGCTTCATCATAAGGCGCTTTCTTGCTAACTGGCGATTTTTCTTTGTGTTTTATAGGATTTGTGTTGATACAGGCAGAGGGTGTTCCCTGCTCCTGCTTAGTCCTCTGGCGGCTTCGCAAAATTTCGAGGTATATTTGAACTTCGACGACTACTTATACCTCATCTAACACCATTTTACTAGTACAAAATGTCAAACATCCTTGATAAACCCCTAGAGGTAAATTTCCTTAATGCACTATTGTTCTTTTCTTCATTAGCGCCCCATCAGAGTGTTTTCGGCTACATTAGTGTCCTCCCAGGAGCATTCAGTGCCTACAGGTATAAGGCTTTACAGAACGGACCTGATGGAAAAGGCCCGCTTGCGTCATATTTCAAGGGCGAGACTTTGCACGGAGGTGGCGCTGATGGCGCTGGATTATTCGGTCAGTATCACCCCTCGACTCGAGCAGTTCCATCATCCTGATTTTTATTAACCTCGTTCCAGAGAGAAACATGTACTTGGCTGAAGATCGTATATTGTGCTTTGAAATCGTGACGAAGAAGCGCGAGGGATGGATGTACGTTTATATTGAGGGACTCATGTGTTATGTGAAGTTGATCGTTCTTCACCAGTCTTAAGTACGTCAAGAGTGCAAAAGCGTCTACTGATGTTCCCACCACGGTATGCACCACATTTCTAGTCAATTAACATTATGCAAACCACGTTATGGTACAGGTTCCCGAGTTTATCTCCCAACGACGACGATGGCTTAATGGTTCCCTTTTTGCCTCGTTTCACTCTACCATATTTTTCTACCGGATCTGGACTTCTGGCCAAAACCCCATCCGGATGTTTGTCCTTCAGGTAATATCTGATAGAGATCCTGTTCGTTAATACCATCTAACTATTTTTGTGATTTCTGTAATGCAGATTGAATTTATCTATAACGCGGTACAGCTTCTGTTTACTTGGACGTCACTCGCCAATTTCTACCTGGCTTTCTTCTTCGTGAGTTTATAGCCTCTTTTTGCCAATCACAAGCTAAAACCTTCTCTCAGTTGGTCTCCTCTGCAACTCAAAGTAACGGCGCATTCAACTTCCTTAGTCAAAGTGCTGGCTCGGATATTTTCGAGGTTTTCCTCAAGGTTGGTTTGATCATATTAGCACCACCGTGGTATAACTGATCTCCTTCGAACGCAGTTGTATATCGCCTTGATATTCGTCGTTACCGTCTGTTCACTTGGTAATCGGCCGCAAGTGCGTATAGTTCAATAGATTCCATGATCTTCGCTCATCATGGCGCTACGATAGGGGTCTAAATGGATCTATGCCCTTTCAATGGTTCTCTTTGGTTTTTGTAACATCATCACTCTCTGGTGTGCTGGATTCACAGTATATCTCGCCGTGCCGCATACAGTTGCGGGATGGAAAGATTTCCCTAAGTAAGTCCTCTTTTGTTTGAACAGAAGACAAGTGTTGTTCTGACGAGTGCGGTAAAACAGCTTGGTGGCCACCAATCAGGCCTTCCGTGAGATCGTCATCTCCCTGGCAGCCACATATGGCCTGTACTTCTTTTCATCGTTCATGCATTTTGAGCCCTGGCATATGTTTACATCGTTTGTCCAATATATGTTTTTATTGCCGAGCTGTAAGTTTTCTGTCTGTTGTATAAAGGTTGAATGCTGATCATTATTTACCCTAGATGTCAACATCTTGAGTAAGCATTTCTACATTTCCTTGTAGGTTGAAGTCATGGTTAACGAATTGATTTCAGTGATGTACGCGATGTGCAACTTGCACGATGTAACATGGGGCACTAAAGGAGACAATGGCTCTACTAAAGACCTTGGTGGAGCTAAGAAAGTCTCGGGAGAGAACGGCAAAGAGTTCATGGAAGTAGAAATACCTACCGCGAGGGAGGATGTCGACCAAGTCTGGGCAGCGTCGCGCAGTTCTTTGAAGATCAAACCTCCCGAAGAGAAGGAGCACCGTGATGCTGCCACCAAACAAGCTGATCATGACCGTAACAGTCGAACAAATGTGGTGTTGGCGTGGGTTGGAACGAACATGTGCGTTGCCTTCTTATTGTTCGACATTAACCATAACTAGATTTGCGCATAGGGTCCTGATTCTTATCTTCACGTCGACTGCATTCACGAATTGGGTCGATGCACACGTGGAGAAAACGCAGAGTTCGAATTTCAATCCATATCTGAGCTTCTTGTTTATTGCCCTGTGGGTGTCCCGTTCTTTGATGTTATGAAATGTCACTAACCGATGAATGTCATATGTGTAGGGCTGGCCTGTCTGCAATTCGTTTTGTAGGATCAGCTCTGTATCTCATTTTCCGGCTGTTCGGCCATTAGGTTGATAAGCCTCCCCTCCTTTGTTCTTATTTTCTGGGGAGTTGATCTCCGCGGGATCTTTTTTTTTGGAAGAGACATTTAGTTGTAGTTGATGGGACGAGGGGGAAGCGACGAGTAAAACTCAGTGTTCCATAGTGTATTGTATCTTTTTGTGATACCCTTTCGTTCGATTCTTAACCGTGCCATGCTGCCAATGCACAGATTGATTTTGGCGATTTACTTGTGTCCTGTCTTGTTCTGCGATTTCTAATTTTGATGTTCTAGTGTTGTATGTTTTGCCTACCAGTAATAGACAATCTCATTGCTTTTCATTGAGTTGGCGTGGCTGAATAGAGTTGCCTCCGTCGTCATACATGATCGAACCCATTGTGTATGACGTCGACGATATTATCCACCGCAAACCCTTTATATACCACCATGCCCACCCTTATATTAAACCCCTCCTCTGTGCCCTTCAACCTTCACAAGTTTCGGATTCAAATCAGCGAAGACTAAACTTACAATGTGGATTGCACACTTCGCCCCTGGCTTAGCAGCCAAACCACTTGCGCCATCCGTGCCGCTCTCACTTCTCGCCCTTGCAGGGGCAATCCCAGATGCAGCATTCTTTGTCTTATCCTTCCTCCATCTTGAGAGCTTTAGAGTCGACCCAAACCTAATGAAACGCGGCTGCTTCCCCTATGCGACCGACTATCCTATCAGTCATTCGTTAGTAGGTATGGCTGTAATCGGTGAGTTTTACAACATATGGGTAAAAGGGGGCGACGAAAAATGGCACTAAGCTTGACGGAAAATAGGTGCTGCTTTCACTGCTGGATACACCATGATGACGCAGCGCAGAGTATCCATCCAGGATCAGCTCGTACTGATGGCTGTTACACTAAGCCATTTCATTCTCGAGGTGCCTTCCCATCGACCTGGTGAGCTGAAGCCTGTGCTTCTGCAGTAGATCATCCTGTCATTCAACCCACTTTGCATGATAGACATCAAAATAAAACCCACCGATCCAGACTCAGCCAATTTAGGATCAGGAATGTTTGACCATCCTGTGGCACTATTCATCGTCGAATCGTTCCTATTCCTACTCGGGCTTTCGATGTATGCAACTTTCTCACCACTTGCAACCCGAGCAGGTTACAAGAAAGAAGGTCGAATGTATCGTCTGTGGGGAGTAGTTGTGTTTATGTTGGTGCAGCAGGCGCATTTCTGTTTTGGAGCGTATGTCCCACTTCCTTCGTAGCATATTGACGGACAACACTGATGAGATGGCTATGTAGAGCGCCTACCACAAATACGACATGGGTGCATGGCCCAACTTTCTTATCCGAGATTTTGCTGAGTAGCTGGTTGCTTGGCAAGCTTGAGTCCTAAAATGTTATTGAGTTCGAGTCAACAAACAGATCACCTGCACTTACTTTTTTCATTCATAAACTATGTCCCCTATATGATAATCCTAGCCTACAATGACTAAAAAATTACATTCTTCAAGATGATCACGATGATTGTGTGCTTGTATGCTGACTATTTTTTTGAGATGTTTGGCATGCCACAATTGTTGGGTCTGATCCGTGGTATTTCGCGCAGGTTTGAGTTCAAGGTAGTAGAGCGAGTGCGGCTAATCCACTCATAGCACGTTGGTTAATACATCGTGATAAATATGAAACCATTTCAAATAAAACACATGTCAACATGGTTACAATGTCGACTCAGTCAACGTCCTCCTCCAGTACCAGATGGGCAACCAGAGACTGTATTATCTTCTCGTTCCTGATATTTCCCGCTAGCTCTAGGACGTCATCTGTTATGTCCGCTCCCCTTTCAGTCAACAAATTGACTATGCCCTCCTGGCGGCATGCTACTGCCATCCACAAGGGCGTGTGACCTTCCGCATCCTTGGTGTTCAGCTCGACATCCTCTCTAGTTAACAACAATCTTACAATTCCCTCTTCTCGACAAGCGACGGCCAACGACAGTGGTGATTGCGAACTGTAATCATCTGAACCTTGAGGGCTTGCACTTGCATTCACATCGACGTTCGCGCACTTAAGCAGCAGTTTCACCATTGACTCTTGTCTTCTCGCCACCATCATCCACAAAGGAGGTGGACCTACACCGTGTTTGGAGTTGACATCGACATTGGCGTGCTCCAGTAGTAGATTGACCACTGCCTCGCGTTTGTATGCCAATGCCAACGATAACGGCGTTAAGCCATCCTGGTCTGGTGAGTTCACGTCCACATCATCTCGTTCTAATAATAGTTTCACTATTTCCTCCTGCCCACTTTCGACTGCTGCTGACAGTGCGGTGCGACCTATGTTGTCTTTGACGTCCGTCTTTGCATTTGCACTCAACAAGTAGCCAAGAGTCCTTTGCAAACCGAAGAAGGAAGCAAGATGCACCCCAGAAAAGTGCCTCGGGATGTCTGAGTTGTACCAACAACGATACTTCAGATCTACCAGTGGTAACTGGCTGGCACAGGCGACTTTTGAATCATCCTGGAGAAATTTCTGTATCGCAGCTTTGCAATCTTCTTCTACCTGTCCACGTGCATGGTCACCCCAGTACCGAGCCGAGTAGTCGAATAGAACATTGTGCTGCACCATGGATTCTAGATCTTTCTCGCTTTGACACGGGCCTTGGCTGAACGCATCGAACGAGAGATACGTGAGACAGGTGGTTGTTATCTCATTCTGAGCGTTAGGAATCCGAGTTGCTTGCATCCGTTCAAAGTATTGTTGTGTTGTGTAGTCTGTGAATAATCAGGATTGAATATATGTCATGCAACAACTGAGCAACTGACGGACAAGGCGGACAATGCCACTCTCTCTGTCAACCACAACCAATCCAGCACATATGGATGTCAAAATCCGTTCATCTACGAGATCATCGGGATCTAGTTCGTTCGCTGTTTGAGAAACAGCAAGAACATGTTGAAGCTCCTTGAGATATAATGCTCGGCGAGAATATGTTAACCAGGAAAAGGTTCGAGTAGCCATGGTTCTGCAATCCTCGCTTTGTCCCTCTATCCTCTTCATAGTGACATCATAACTGGTGTCCATCTCTTTTGGCAGAGTTTGAAGAGCTCGGCGAATTTTTGCTATACTGGTCTCTATTGCCAGCATATTCATGTGCAATCGAGCCAGTAGGAACCTTCGGAAGGATGTGAGCAGCAAAACGTTACGAATGAAACAAATCTACTTACATGCCTCTGACATTCTCGATTATAGTCTTCACTATCTTCTCCTGCAGTGTTTCATCTTGCTCTACATATATTGCTAGCCAAGGCTCAAGAGGGATTCGGCCCTCAATGTACTTGCGTATATCTTGGTCATTTGCGTAGATTTCTAAGCGTTTCGTGCCTTGGAAGGTCTTCTCGATGGACGCAATATTTCGAGAGGTAACCATCAAATTGACGGTGCTCGACAACGAACTGAGTGCACCCATTAGCCTCGCTCGAGTTCCACTCACTTCAGGACACTCGTCCAGACCATCGACCACGATATAGACCTTGGAGTAAGGTGCAAGTTCTTGCTTTAGTACATCTCGAAGCTCGTCTAGAGTTGGACGAGTTCGTGGAACATTGTGGTCGTCGTAGAGCGACTTAACACTGCTGGAAATTGATGGTTTATCTTGAACCAGCTGCTTCAGAAGACTTGCGACGAGGTTGGGGGCCGTTTGCTCTACTCGCTCATTATAGTTGCAGTAGACGCACAACACGGCAACGTTGGTATCATTTTTGAACTGTTTCCGAAGGTAATCGACTACGATTGATCTATACATATCATGAGCGTATATTCAATATGTTAGGCATAAATTCTTACGAGAGGACAGTTTTCCCAGCACCAGCTGTAAGCAAGTTTCAGTTAATACATTTCACACTAAAAGGACTGATCTCACGAATTCCATAACACCACAATGTTTGTGCTTCCTCTGAAACCCAGTCTTTAAATTCTTGGGACTCAAGTAGCCAATCACCAGTTCCATCTTGCCGACTTTGGAACACGTCGTTTTGCTTTGCTTTGAAGTTCAGTGGTGAAAGCCAGTCCGCAATTTTACGACGCTCTTCATCTACTGAAGTGAGATAAAAGGAAAAGGAACCAAAAATCATTCATACCAGCATCCTCAGCAGCTGTCACGTTGGTGATGCTGCAGTTGTAGAATTGGTCGTGACCGACATCATTATATGTGCCACAAACGAATGCGTCAGACTGCGATGGTTTGAGCCCGTTCTGGAGCTTTTGGTCCGTGGATTGAGGACCATCGTCACCTTGTTTGGTGTCCATTAGTGTATATGCACCGCTCCCTTTATCCTTAGAATGAGTATGATCTACAAATCAGAGGACGGGTGTGAATGTGAGGCGCCAGAGGATTCATGATTCATGATCTTATACCATGATTTCTGGGATTGTTGAGAGTAGTGTCAGTGGTAGCCATACCCTTCTCTACTGGTAATAAGTGTGAAGTCGATTGATCGGACGTTCCAAGAGGCTGATTTTTGCCTTCGGGCAGTCCTATATGCAAGATATATTTAAGACCGGACAAGAAGGACAAGACATGGTGCCACCTTTTGGACCACGTTTTACGTTCTTCTCTCCATCAGCTGCCGCATTGCTCTTCTTGGAACCTGCACCCGCGTCCGTTTCTGCCCTGCAAAGAAAATGTGCGCTAACTGCAGCGTATTTTGAAAGAATGGTTCCCATGAAGTAACACGTGAAGAATTTGAAGGTTGATGCCAGTGATTGTCATCCGTAGGGTTCTTTGGGTCAATATATGCTAACAATCACGAGGTTGCAACGTTTACAAAAGCGTGTATCACGATGGCTGTACAAAGCACATGACAGTGACGTTGCAAAACGTACTCGCTATCCCAGAAGTTGTGTAATACTGAAGGCTCAGTGCTATTCAACGTTCAGCACTCTGACCTTACTATGAAGTTGGAATTCGAAACCGACCTGCCATAAAACATGCATCATGCACCACGACTGTTGGGCTTCGCATTTAGAGCACTGGCTCTATGATGGCGTATATAACCTAGTCAGTGACGAGTCTGAGGGTGAACATTCAAACTAAAGCTTTTGGCGAGGAAAGAAAAGTAAAATGTCTAGCTACTAAATTAGCTGCTAGGTTTCCCGTGGGAAGGTCCGGCTTGGTATAGTGAGTAAACGACAGTAAGTAAACATAATTGAGAAAGTCGCGGAGTTGATAGCAGATCTGAGATTTATCTTTTTTCTCTTATCCATTGCGATGTCGGCACTGATCAACACAGATTTCCCCAGCTTGACTCTGTTCTCCAAGGGAAAAGTACGAGATGTCTACTTGACATCGTCGCCCGATCATCTACTGTTTGCTGCAACAGACAGAATTTCAGTTTTCGATGTTATCTTGCGCAATGTCGGTGCCGATTATCTCTGATATTCTACAAGTTTCACCTTTCTGACTATTATTTCTGCATAAATTTATCTGAATGTCCCCCGGGTCAATCACGTACGTTTCATTGTAACCTGAATCCTCCCCTGCATATATTCCGGGTGTAGTAGGGTGTACCAGATAAGGGGAAGCTGCTCACGAAGATCTCCCTCTTTTGGTTCGACAAGTTGAAGGACATCGTTCCAAATCATGTTGTGACTGCCGATGTCGATTCAATGCCAGAAGAGGTGCGGCAGTACAAAGATCAGCTCGAGGGTCGTGTTATGTTGGTGAAGAAAGCGAAGATTATCCCTATGGAAGCAATTGTCAGGGGGTATCTTACTGGTACGACAATCCCGCGTTCAGTCATATGTCCTCTGTGGAATTTGTGCTGATGCTATCCAATCTCTAGGATCGGCGTGGGCTGAATACAAGAAGCATGGGACGGTACATGGAATACCTCAACCAGCTGGCCTTGTCGAATCGCAAAAGTTTCCTGAACCCTTGCTCACACCATCAACCAAGGCGGAGCAAGGTGCCCATGATGAGAACCTTAGTCCCGAGCAAGGTAAATATTCCCTACTGTCACTCCCTTCTCATTGTAAAAAAAAAAACCACATATTAATACTTTCCATGCCCCTAGGTGCCAAACTGATCGGGGCAGACCTATATGCGCGCGTCTCTGAAATCGCTCTGAAGCTCTATAGCACAGCAGCAGCATACGCTCACACCCGTGGTCTTATTCTCGCGGACACGAAGTTCGAGTTTGGCCTCGTCTCTTCTCCAGGATCTCCAGACGAGTTGATCGTCGTTGACGAGGTCCTCACGCCTGACTCTTCGCGCTATTGGCCACTCGATCAGTATGCACCTGGTGGACCCCAGCCAAGCTTTGACAAGCAGTATGTAAGAGATTATCTGACGGGCGTGGGGTATAGAAAGGGGCTGGAGGCGGGGCCCGAAGGCAAAGCAGGCGAGGGCTGGGAAGTCGAAGAGAGCGTGATCGAGGGGACAAGAAAGAGGTATCAAGAAGCTTATCAGATGTTGACGGGTGAAGTGTAATTTATAAGGATATATAGACAGATAGATAGTGCTGTAGTTTCAACGATAACTGTCTACAACGCACATGCAGTATTTTTCTCGTTAGCACTGACAATGAAGTCAATTCGTTGTCCAAGTTTTCAAATTTCAGGGGCGGGTCGAAATATATTGGTGTACAGAACATTGTCGTCTGATTTGGAGAATCGTAAAATATGTACGATATACCGTTAACACTCGTCCACTGACCTAATAATCCGACCGTGATACTGGCCGCTAGGCTGTGCCAGGCGGATACATCGAGAGGATATATTCCATTTCCAAGGATAACTCGAAACCATATGGACTGAAGGGACAAATAAAACGACATTGATAGAGAACTAAGCGGTATAATTTTTCAGTATTGGAAGCTATTGTAACGAGGTCCGAAACAAACAAAGCGTCCACAGATATCTGATCTGAGTCGTAATAAGTATAAAACAATCATAATAGGCCAATACCACGTTACTCGAATGCGGTTTCAGTGGCTATGGAATAAGTCCAGGATTACTTTGATTTAGACAGGCCACAAGTCCAAGGAATGGCGTCGCAATATCGAAGAGGCTTTGATAACAGGCTCGGGTTCTGCTATGAGCCCCGAGGATACGACATTATCGTCCATGCAATAGGGAGATTTGAAGGAACTACTTGAAGCATCCGTCCTGCTAACATCTTGTGCACCTTTCGAATTATTTGTACAACTCTGACCCTACTCATCGGAAGAGACGAGCAAGCAGGAAGGGCTAGAAGGTATTGGCGGATGTGAAGCAATTTGCTTGGCAGATATGGAAATATCGGACGTGCGGAAGAATCTCAAAGATCCTTTAGACCACAGATTGCGCGGAGAGGAGGGACGAGCAGGTGGTTTGTTACTACAGAAAAGATAGCGAACGGATTCAATTTTAAGATATTCGAGCAGCAGTGCTTCACGAACCTGGCTTCCAAGTCATCTGAGTCCATCGTTGATGAGAGGTACCTAAAGGGTCTTAGAATGGCAAGGAAGATACCACGGTAATACTGTAAGACGTCCGCTTTGAACCCGAAAAGAGCAAGAAATAGTAGGGCGTAGATGATAGGTATACCCAGCGTTCCCACTCGAACAATACAGCGTCCGATATCTTGGGTATCCAATAAGATAAAGAAGCTTGTAAGGGAACAGAAAAGTCGCTATGTATAGCATCCCAGTTGTATGGAGCCATTGGACCCTGAAAAGCATTCACTAATCCATAAATATCTGGCACGGCCAATGCAATTTGAGCACCAGCAAGAGTCATCAAACGCCAGTATGATTTAGATTCGACGTATTCATCCCTCCCAAAGAGCTGTCTCCTAAGGTATTGTTGGCGGGCTAAGTGGTATATGGAGAAACCTGCGGGAGGTGATTAGTATTGAGATGGTAGCGCTTAGTAAGGGCTACATACCAAAATAGACTGCGCAGATCAATGCGAAAATGGGCAGCCAAATGATAACAAGCGGGAAAGTGATCGGCGTCCTTATGGACACGGGCACACAACCCAATTGTTCTACTTACATAAAAGATCTTGCCTGGACGACATAATCTATAGCAGTCACCAAGTCAAAATATGGCTGATATATAAGAATGTGTGTTTGCTAGACTCACATAATGGCAGGAGCAATAAAGGAATACCAATGCCAATAAAAAGTTCAATGGTTAGATCGCGCCTGATCTGAAAACATAATGAGACGAATGAAGTTAAACTGAATAACTTGACACCTTTATTTACCTCGACATGTGACCGCCTGACAATTTTTTGACTTGTGATACGTCGTGCAATGCACAATATAGCGAGCTGTGCACCATATTGGGAAGCAATTTCCACATAAGAAGCTTTGAAGAACATTAGATGGTTACTGGACAGAAAAGCATATGATAATTCACATATATCACACCATCCCGGCGACCAATTGATAATGTTGTTACCCCATACGATGGAATTAATGGAGAAATTGAGCATCCTCAAGCTAACCCAGAAAATGAACAAACAACTGCTAGTCGTTTGGACTGGGATATATTCCAGTTACGCTTGCGGATCTGGTGCAAAAATACATACCTCGAAGATGTAATGGTAGTAGGAGGATGATCAGTACGGTAGCGAGGAGAGCGAACGCAGAGTACACATGATTTGAAGCTTGAGCCAAATATACCATCTTTAGAACAGTATCCAAGATGAACTTGAGTTGTAGCCGTGAGTTCAAGCTGACTGGGATTGTCTTTCGCGGTGAAGACAAGATCTACGATCACCGTTATCTTAAAGTATCAGCTTTTATATATTGACCAGGTCACCGAAAGCGAACAAAGCAAACCATTTAACACTGCAATCCCTGGAAAGGGGGTGAAGCTGTAGTCGAAGGAATAGTATAGCTTGCACATCCTGTGCACATACGAATCGGAAGCCAAGGCATTTCTGAAAAAGATAACAATACCGGGGTGCCCGATTACCGGTCGATGGCAGCTTCCGGTAATGCCCTACCATTGCTCGCCCATACTAACCAGAAATTCATAACTGCAGCAGACCGGAATACTTGATTGTTTCCTATTCAACGCTGACACGTGTGAAGGTGATTGAGGTGGAAACTGTTAATGCAGGGCAGACGATGATGCATCCGAGATACCACTAAGTCATGGTCACGCGGACCTGCACCAACGTCAATCACAATTAATTCAGAGCTCAGCGCTTAGCCTTCACCATACATGTCGGGCGCTACAGGTGGCTGAATTGTACACCTCCAATCGTAAGATACGTAAGAGATATTGTTCACACTCGTGCACTCACCCAATAATCTAATCGTGATACTGTGCCAGGCGATACATCGAGAGGTCATACTATGCTGGAGAGATTCCATTCCCAAAATAACTTGAAACCACAATGTAGTGTGACATTATAGCAAGTCTATACAACCGTGTCTGCATCTATGAATATGCGAGTCCGAGTGCACTACGCGCCTGAGTTGAGAGCCGGCCGGAAGTAAGTTGCGAGATCAGTACAATGATGATGACAGCAAATCTAGATCAACGCACGTAGTCTGTTAAGCGGGAATACATAACCCAGTGGCTTTCGAATGATGTAATGCGCACTTCCCATGCGACAGGGATGTCCAGGATTATGAAAAGTTGAGAATGCAATGGTTGGTTTTGAAAAAGTAGGGCATTGCCGTAGTCGCGTTGTCCAGACTAGAGTTAGAGTAACCAAATAAGCACTTGTCTCGGTATCTTCGAAGGAATCCTGGGGTTCCAGAAACGTCCATATAGCAGATTGAGCGGGACTTGACTTCGAAATGACGCACTTTGTGACCGAATGCGCGATGTCTTTGAATTGTCCTCGGAGCGCTCCGTTCCAACAGCGACTGCGAATATGGCTCAAAGAATACCAACAGCCGACCAGCAGTGGTCGTAGCGATTCGAGAGGGAAGACGAGCTAAAGAGGGAATTATATGACGACAGCAAGGTAACAGAACTTGATAGGAGTTCTCCTAAAAGCAAAGATGTGACCTGTGGGAGTAAATAGCACCTGTTGACAGCATAACGTTACCAGTCTGAGATATCCACTGATCACTGGCAGTCATGTGTAGGGTTTGCAGTCCAGCTGACGCGCCTGCCGTCCCAGTAGCACTAGCACCATGCCAGCTCCAACGTCGTTCTCCAATGGCAATGATTATTCTCCTAAGCTCCTGAACGCGCTGGGCGATGGTGGTGGCCAAGAAACACGATGGACGGTGTTTTTCTGAGTGTAGATAAGAAATGCCGACGGCTTTACGTGTATTTGGTGCGGTGTGAGATGTGATTGGCTCGTTGGAGTGTATTCCTTCACCTGGTTGAACCTGGAATATCCGCTATATCCTCTCTCTAGTGTTTTTCTATTTAACTTAACTTGTATTCTTTCCCTATAAGTTGTCTCGTTCTGCACAATCCGCACTTGTTTCCCGCCCGCCATGACATCCACTCCTTTTGCTTTTGTATCTCTTTTAACATCGGACTCGTATTTGCCAGGGGCACTCGCACTCGCTGCTGCACTCAAGGACGTGCACGCAAACCTACAAGAATCAAAGGACACCCCTGCATATGAAACTGCATGTCTCGTAACCCCAGAAACTCTCGATGTTTCTACTATAAAACTGCTCAGAAGAGCATTCGATGTCGTTATTGGTGTCGAAGTCATCAGCCAGGAAGATGACAAGGGCTTGACTTTACTTGGTGAGTCTTCTCAGTTCATTTTTGTTGGCAGCGAGAGAATGCCTATCTATCTCTTCAATTCTGGGCGCTTTACATTGGCGTGTTTTCTCTTTGCACCGGGAGCTCGGTCCCGCAGCTGTACCTTTTTGGTACATCAACCCCGCAATCTGGGGAATACACTTTACTCATCGTTATACTGCTGGTCATGAGGCTTTGATCCTTCCCGGACTCTGCTTATCAATTCATAAAGATATATGTGCTAACTACATTGTCGTGTTCCACAGGCCGTCCAGATCTCAACACAGTCATCACAAAAATCCATGTTTTTCGTCTCACGCAATATTCCAAAGTCATATTCCTCGATGCAGACATTCTTCCAATTCGCCCTCTTTCTCACCTATTCACATTGCCGCATGAGTTTTCGGCGGTTCCAGATGTCGGATGGCCCGATATATTTAACTCGGGCATGATGGTTCTCTCACCTGGGGATGACCATTATAATAATATACAGGAACTTCTCAAAACCAGAGGAAGCTGGGATGGTGGTGACCAAGGCCTGCTCAATGAATGGAGAGGAGGGGACTGGAATAGACTCAGTTTTACCTATAATACCACTCCAACTGCTGCGTATACGTCAGTAATCCACTTCATAACTTACTATTCTACCTTTGCTGATGATTTTTTGCTCCAGATATGCGCCTGCTTACGAACGTTTCGGGTCAAACATCTCTGCAATCCACTTCATCGGAACCAACAAACCTTGGAATTCCATCGCATACCGTGCCCCTGGGTCTGCCGCTTCCACCAAACTTTCTCAGACTGATAGCGCAACCAATGTAAATACACCACAAGCATACGACTACTCCTCTCTCGTCGACAAGTGGTACTCTGTTTATGACAGACATTATCGCTCGCATACCATTGCACCTGATACCGATTTTGAGGTGCGCAGGTATGTCTCTGCGTGGAACGAGCAAGGCGCCTCTGGTGCTGAGGTCCTCGACACGACTGTCGTACCTGTCGGTGGTGCGCTCGGTCTGGATGACCTCCGCCGCCTTGCCGTACAGGGTATGAGCTCATGGAGCCTTCTTCAAACTGATCGAGCCAGTGGAGAGGGCGAGTACAGGAGCATGCCAATCGATGGGCGCATCGATTTGATGCGCCCAAAAACGGCGGAACAGACGAAGACATTGGATATGGCTATACCTAAAGAACCAGAGCAAAGTCCTCAGGTCCCAGCACAGCCTGACTCTGGACCCTCGACGCCTATTGCCAGCAAGGCGAAGCTTCCAACAGAGTCACCAGTGAGATGGACAACTCTTCCCACCCCTGGGCCTAACGAGCTTCCGCCTGCTCCCCATGTTCGCATGCTCTCGCTGCCGCCAACGCCATTGCATTACGTGCCTGCACCTTATAAGCCCGTTACACCTGAGATTGTTGGTGAGACGCCTGGTGGCACATTGCACAGGGTCGAACGGCCTCGACCAGCGTCACCTCCCTTAGTGTCTTGGAATCCAGCTCTTGAGCCTCCGCCAACGGCTACCCCGTCGACGTCGTTCCCTATGGACAATTATTTCATGAATGCGTGGGACCAGTCTCCTACCAGAGCCAGCGACCGCCCACATCAGTCGTTCATGTCCATGTCCGCATCCTCGTCCTCGCTATCTACTTCTAGCTCTACGAGCACCAACCTGACATCTCCACCTTCTCAGCATTCTTTGTTTCGCCCTCCCCCACAGCCTGAAATCCCTGAGTCGCTCGTGCGCGAGGGGCATTATCGACATGTGACCGGTCCTGGGTCAGACGAAACGGCTGCTTCTCCTAGTCCAGATCGCACCAAGGTGAAGCGCATTTTCCCATGGGAGGGAAGGCCTAGGCAGATTCCTGGTCGGGTGTTCCCTGAGAACGAGTCCCCCCCTCCTGGTGCTGTATTTTTGCGATCTGCACCGCCGCCCGAGGCTCCTACGACCCCAGAGAGGAAGGGAAGGGCGGGGTTAACGATACCTGTTATGCCATCTCCACTGATGGGTTTCCCGCCATCGTTGACATATGCGAATGCATGGGACAATGTTCCTAGTATCCAAAAGTATGCATCGCGTCTTGTTCGTCCTCCGCAAGCTCAGCCTCTTGGGCCAGCTTTTGAGGATACGAGTGATGGAGGGAAGAGAGGGAGTCGTGCGTGGAGCGACAAGGCGGAGGCGAGTAGCCAGGACGGGGATGTTGAGGATGAGGTGGATTCGGATAGTGATAACGAGACGTCAAAGGGACGATCTCGAAGTGCGAGTCTGTCGTCCAGGGCGAAAAGGGTCAAATATCGTTCTACGGGTATACAGACCGTGCCCAAAGTGCGTCGAGATCAGAGCACCCAAGTTGACCCCTTGCCTGTCGTCGCCGTCACTAATGCGGATGCTACAACCAAGCAGCAGCGAGTTCGCACTGCTAGTGTGACGAGGCGTCAGTGGCCGCCTTCTACGGGGTCGAACCTACTTCCACCTATAATGGCAGAAGATGTCGTTTTTGGAGGAGATCCGTCAGAGATGGACTCTCCAGCTGCTTTGACAGGCTCGCCTACCAGGTTGTTATCCCCGCGTGCTGCTAGCTCTCCACCAGCGTCTTCACCTTCCCGAGCTTCTGCACCAACGATTGTTACGACTCCGAGAGCGAAAGCGCTGGCGACGAGCACGCCTTCTCCATCTGATCGGCAGGGGTCGAACGAGGCATCCCCGTTGTCGTCTGCAGGGCCTGTGTCTCCACCTGAGGGTGAGCCGTTCGCATCGCCCTCTAGTGTTGGATCTGGGAGGAAGGCTGGACGGGTATGGGACCCTGCTAGAGGTGTTGAGGTGTTCAAGAGGAGCTCTGAAGAGGTTCTGGCCAAATTTTTGAAGATGGGATCATGGGAGGATTCTGCCACTCGTGCGTAAGGCAATGGTGAAATTTTTTTCAAAAATGTTATTCATAACAGCGGACAAATCACGCGTTTTCGTTTTCATTTCTTCCATTTCTCGATTTTCATTTTCCCCTCGCGTGTACGTTTATATTCTCCACACTTTCATGTCTTGCCCTGTTTGAGCTTGTTCATTGCATGTTCTCGCGATACCCAACCCATGATACTCCATATTTCCATGCATGTTTGTTTGTTCCCTTTACTCTTTACTTCTTTGCCTGTAAAGATGTGTTATACCTCGCGATCAATTTCACACTGCACTTTGATTCAATATTTCAATGTGTAGCATTCCAAGCTTTTGTAGTAACCGCTTGTATGTCTTTTACACTTCAGAGCTGTAGCGCCTATTCCAAGGGTGTGACCTGAAAAGGCAAATGTCGTCACTGACGTCGTTACGTCCTGATTGGTTTATCTCCACTCCGTCCAAAACACTGTGCATGACGTCGATGGTCTATCCAGGCCTCTGTGGGGTAGACTCTCAAGTATAAAGGAGCACTCATTTTCGTACGTTTCTCTACAATTCACATACAACATCCATTATCATTTCATTAACAAACATGTCCAACAAAGTACAACAGGGATCGATATTCAATGTCGACGAGGCTCAGGGTGTCGAGTATGTCTGCATTCTTGTCCCAGTCGTTGGAGTGATGCTGATAATACTTACTGTAGGCGCGTAAAACACGAGACCACAGCTGCGAGCGCGCAGGCAGAAGCACCAAACTCGCGCGTCGCGCACCAAGTCGAAGAGAATGCCGAGCAGGCGAAAGGGGCGGGTGAGAAGGCGGCTCAAGCTGCTCAAGGGATGGGCCCTGAGATGACGGGAGAGGGAGGATCGAAGCTCGATGAGTTCCAGCGTCAAGCTGCACAGACGACGAATGCTGCAGTGGCTGAAGGGCACAATGACGTGCATGTCGCAAAGGCGACCGGTGTGGGGTATCTTGATCAGGCCAAGTCAATAGCCGGGAGCGTCCTGTCGTCGGCACAGGTTAGTCGAATTTTCACTTTAGGGTTGCATGCGGTGGTTAAAATTGTGCTTGTTTGATTGTAGGGTTACTTGCAAGGAGGAGAGCAGAACTCTCAGCCTCAGGGTGGGTCGCAGAATGGGTCTGGCACGGGGTCTGCAAAGGTCGCGACAGCCCAGGGTACCACTGGAGATGTGCTGTCCAAGCTTCAAACGGGTGCTTCCTCTGCGATCGGTACCACACAACAATACCTCTCCTCTGCACAAGCCGCTGCCCAGCCACACATCGACAACGCACGGACCACAGTCGAGCCACGCATATCCGATGCGAAGGCTGCATTACAGCCTCATATGGACAAGGCAAAGGAGACGGCACAAGGTTATTTGGGTTTGGGCACAGGTCCTACGGGCTCGGTGACCCCACCAGGAGCGAATACGGCAGCTGGTACGGGTATCCCGGCTACGAGCACACCGCTAGAAGGGAAAGAAGGGGTTGCACCTCGCCCGACGACAACGACAGTTTCTGGAGACAAGCAGGCTGAGGGGAAGTTGAAGACAAGCGTAGCGTGATGAAGTAACTTTCCTTTGAAGATGGACGCTTTCTTGGGGTGTAAAATATCGTATATTTGCGCTAGTGTATCTTATGGAATCCTGCCAATCTAACCGAAGTTTACTGGAGATGGCCGTGATAATCAGCATTCTGTAAAAGGAGCTAGAAGATCGATATGAAGTTTCTAGTAATATCGGGCTTAGCTTTTTGTAGACTAGTTATGCTTGGAAGACATATTGGACAGACATGTTCGCTGTAAAAGCAGCCTAACTAGAAAACCGATGAAGCTGTGTTCCTGGCCCGATAGTAACCGTGACCTGGATATGTCCGGAGAGATATGATCTTACCGATGCGGTGCTCAGTCTCAGTTTATAGAACCTGATATCTATTTCCTCACACCCCTACCAACAACATCCCCACCAATTCTAAATAATGGTATGGTTTTCCTGTCTGCTGATATTTATGACAGGCAGTTCGCTGATCTAGATCATGATCGCAGGACACGTTTATGAACCTCGCGAAACAGGGATACCAGGCGTACAGCGAGTCCCACTGTGAGTTGTTACCTTTCAATTTGGATCGTAACACCGATGGTACAATCGTACTTACGATCGCGTACGATCTCACACCAGCCGATGTCAACAAAACCGGTGGCCAGGAGTACAACTCACCCCATCACCGTCCCGCCCAGGACGACCGACCGCACTGTGAGTAACATCACTGGCACATCTGCCCATCCGCGTTGCGATGCACCGTAAAGCTCACGCTTGGGCACGGGTTTATGTTTACAGTCGACCACGATGAGGCAGTTCACACTGCCCAGAGACACGCTGAGAGCTCTGGCGATCCCGGAATGTTCGCCGCTGCGATGAACCATGTCAACTCGAACAGGGTGCGTACGATCGCTGATTTTTGATTGCTACGGTGTTTGATTAATTGATTATATGTAACAGGCCCAACACGAGCACCCGGTCGACGAAGATGAAGTACAGAATGCACACAGACAAGCTTACAGGGAGGGAGGGGCGAGCGGTCTCAGCGCCGGGTCTATGGGTGGTGCTGCAGCAATGCAGGTAAGCACACACAAACCTTCCAACTTGGTCTCCGCGATAGGATTCTCACCGTTGCTTTCTTTCTTTATACTCAAATTTAGATCCTGCAGAAATTCACTTCTGGTGGCGGCAGTTCGGGCGGCGGAGGATCCAAGACTGAGCTGATCAGCATGGCTATGGCTGAAGCCAGCAAACTGTTCGATAAATCCGGGGGTGGAAGCGGGGGGAGCAAACAGGACGCGATCAACGGCGCTGCCATGACCGTCATGAAACTCGTCGTCCAGTCCAAGCTAGGCGGAACCACTGGTGGCAGTAACAGCGGTGGAATCGGAAGCTTGATGGGCCTGGTAAGACGAATTTTCTTGCTGATCTTTGAATATTGTATGGCGCGCTCATGAGACATTCAATTGCGCGATTTACTAGGCTTCCAAATTCATGTAAACCATGTTCAAACTGTAAGTGAAGTATATAAAAAGACGACGTACTAAAAAGAAGACACTGTTGTTTTACTTTCTGTTGTAATACCTAGTTACTGTTCTAGCTACTGTTCCTAGTCATACGATTTATTTCTTCTCAGGCATTCAGCGAGCTTTTGGGAATGGGAGAGTAGTAGCGGATTTTCACATGGTAAGTGATTTCATGTCAAAGCACTCGCGCGTAAGAAACGGGTCGTCATCGCAGCTCAAAGCGGCACAGCGCTTTGAGCATAGAACTGGGACCGTGATGGCTAAAGCTGCGAACAATGGTGACAGACAATGGCAACCACGTTTGAAAGACGTGGGTTCTCGCACAATGCGGATTGCGACAAAGTAAAAAGATGGATAGCATCTCCATTATGCTATAGCTGTGAGTGCTAGTGCTACACGATGATGGTTTAATACAGTGAGTACAGAAAGCAAGTACAAGATGACGACAACAGACAGCAATAAAACCCATATGACCATAAGATACGGATGTTAGAAAACTGATATAAAACATGAAAACATTAACGAAGGCAATAAAAACAACCAAGAGGCATGTAGACAGAGATATATTAAGATAAGTTCAAGAACGAATAGAAGAACGAATATGGACTAGAACACATACTGTATTGCAAGTCATGATATGCACGACTAGCGTCCTGCCATCCTTCTAAAATTCCCATAGAATTCTGATGGCAGGAGTAGCACGTCAACCACTTGTCGCTGCTGAGATCCGTACAGCAGTGGTCGTTTGTGACAGTAAGGCCTGGCGTACCCGATCAAAGATGACAGTCACCACGCCTCTTAGTTGGATCGTGGTGTGGAGTGCTTGATATCAAACAATGCGAGCTACATATCACATCACGATTGCGCATGTACGAGGTTCGTAGAAGGTGGGATACCAAAGAAGTTGAAGTCAGATGCTTTCGCGACGTGGGGATCTCCAAAGAAGTTCATGTCGAGCTGTAGGCTTTCAGCCTGCGAAGGCGTACCAACTGGAGAGTCAGCGAAAAGGTCGCTCATAGAGGATGATTGTTGATAGGGAGATAATCCAGGCATCGAGAGAGTCGGAGTGACGATCCTGGGGAGCGAGTTGGATGAAGTGGCGGGTGTTCTAACGCGGGGAGAAGATGACGATGAACTACTCTCTGAGAACAGTCGGGTTTCCGAAGAGCCATATGAGGATGTTCGGGAAGGAGACGTCAACGATAGCGAAGGAATAACGGAGGACTCTGACATAGCCGGAGTGATACCACGATGTGCGATGCTCGTGCCCTTTGGAATGCGTTTTGGCAATGGTGCGATTTTTCGAGCACTGGTAACTTTTCTTGTCGTTGTTTCTGTTCCAGGAACAGGCACAAGCGTCGTGGGTCTCGACTGAGGGCTGGGAGTATTAAAAACATGCAATCGAGAATTGGGCGCAGGGACGGAAATTAGGGAAGGTAAAAGAACCGGTAAGTAAGACTTCGTTGACCGAATGAGTGAAGGAAGGGGGGCTGGTGGTGGCTTGACGGTGATGGACGAGGTAGCTGCTAAGCGCTTGGCAGTAGGTTGACGATGTATATGTAGGTCGGTAGTTCCACCCCCTAGCCGAAGAAGCTCGTGTGCTCTATGCTTCCTAGCTTTTTCGGCGCCACATTTCATATTCATACGAGAAAACATTTCTATAATTTCATCAAAGTCGATTGTTTGTGGCGGACGAAGTAGTTTTTGGGTAGGGCGACGTCTCCACTGGGGTATAGAGAACTGGTAGGGCACACCCTGAGCCGGGAAGGGGTTGTAATCACAGGAAGGAGGGTAAGCAGAAGGAAAAGCATGCGGTGGTGCGCACACATCTAACACATCGCTCAGATAGCGATTTCGAGGACGATTCTGCGTAGTCAAGTCTGAGCTACTCAATTCACAAGGCATAGTGAAAAAAAAATAACATACAGCATCGCGCGCCTCATGCTCCACCTCAGAGTCTGTTGTATCAGAATCTGGAGTTGACATTCTCTCACATTCAGGAATGATTCGTTCCCTCATCCGCTCGCATAATTCATCCAAATAAACACGAGAAACGGGCGATTCTGGCCTTCGCTTTACCTCTAGGCCTTCCTTCTTAGTGCGACTCCGCCTGTTTTGAAACTAATCATGGCTTCAGAGACATTATTCTGGCAAGTTGGAGGATAGGCTTACCCAAACATGCATCTGACGGTATGTCATACCAGATTTCTTGGCAAGAAATGCCTTGTCAGCATGAGAAGGAAATGGATTTTGGCGGAAAAAGAGTTCGAGCATGGGCACATACTCCTGGGTAAGCGAATGGTTTGACAGTTAGTTACCGAACTCGAGATTGAGATGATATAACTAAGTACTTACTTGGTTAAACTTGTGCCTCACTCTAGCATTTCTCGTTGAGGAAAAATCATCCAACTTCTTCGATTCTTTAGTGATATGAGTACTATCAACACCAACACTGCATTTATGAGATGACTTCAAAGATGCGAGAATCATCTTCTTCCAGTCCGATTGTTTCTGGAAGTATGTGGACCGGAATGTGTGAAATATTGTAAAGGACAATTCCTCGGATAGTCCGCTGCTGAGATGGACCTTCATCAGAGTCTGTCGCATACTGGCTTGGGTTTGGAATTGTAACTCGCGAGCCTTCCGAAGAAAGAGATCATCTAGGCGTTGTGATACACCCGCAGGGGGGTTAAAGTAGGAGAGTTCGCATAAGATACTTTGAGGCGTCGGGAGCTCAAGGTTGGTATGTAGGATCGGGGGTTTATCTGTGGATAGTCGAGTGGTGGGAGAGCAGGTAAGAGGATCGGAAGCTGGTGGGGCGGTTGTACGTTTGATTTCTGCGGCCACCCCAATGATGGAACGCAATATCGTTTCGCGCTCGCTGTTGCCAGAATTCTCTGACAATCGAGTAAGGTCGGGCATTCTGTCAGATGATGGTTTCAAGCGTTTTCCTCTCTTGCCTTATACACAGGTTAATAAGGATGGTTGTGTCGCTGCAGATTGAACCCCGATTCAACTTCCGCATTGTCCACAATCCGCATTGTCCATAATCAGTATATATATATATTAGTACTGGCACAATTCGTGCCACTTCCCACAATTCGGTTTCACTGTCTTCGTGTCATCTCACATGGATCTCACTACTCGTCTCCTACAAGTTGAAGATGATTTCTTATCCGCTATCGAGGATGGACCGCAAGCTGTGGAAAAGTTTGATCGAGAATGGAGTAGTCTCTGTGCGGATGTAGAGCAAGCAATACATCTTCGCACGGCTTCTTCAGAAACAATAGAACTCGCAAGCGCACTCAGTGCTCGTATGGCCGTCCTAGTAGAGTCGTTTGTCGACCTTCAAAACGCTTCTGATGAAGCTACAGCGAACTTGACGAAGCAATGGGACCATATATTTCTCGCGTCCGATGATAATAGAAGTCTATCGACTTCTCTCACCGCACATCTTCACATTCAGCATCACGAATCTCTCGCACATAAATCACATTTTCCACATCCCCATGTCGAGCTATGCGATTCGCCCGGTCTTCCTCCCTTTATCGCTCCTGCATATAAATGGCTTTTGAAAAATCTGCACGATCCGTATCCATCAAAAGAAGTAAAACAATCCATTTCGCATAGCTCTGGCACACCGACAGACAACGTCAGTGCATGGTTCACGAACATTCGGCGTCGTATGGGATGGACAGCTTTGTCACGCACATATTTCCACAACTGTCGAGCCGACACTCTTGACGCTGCTTACCGTGTTTTTGTTCAGGAAGACCCCAAACGACAACTTGATCCTCAAATTACACATGCTTTCATGGTAGTCAAAGTCACCGCTGAGGGCCTTTACTCTGCGAAGTTCAAGAGAAGTGCCCTCGCTGGTCAGTTGGACGTTGTTGTAAAAGACATGACGGATGAGGACAGGCTGAGAATGGAGAACGTAAAGTTCCAAGGTGCAGAGGAAGAAAGGAAACGAAAAGAAGTAGAAAAGGGGCGGAGGCGACAGGAGAGGGCCAGACAAAGGGAATTATCTAAAGCAGCACGATCTGCCTCAAAATCGTACCCGTCCCCCATAGGTTCGCCGTATGGATCGCCGGTACCCGCCCTCGAAGACTCACTCGCGGACGAGAGTGAGAACGAAGAAGACCATGTCGCACTTCCCAAGATCTTGGCAGGTAACAAGAGACACGTCTCACCAGCTACACTTACTCCTTCACGTCACGTTGAACATCCTCACAAAAAGGATAGGCATGTTTCTCTGCGCTCAGGATCGCCTCGACTTCACTTACACTCTCTGGTCAGGTTGGATCTTGAAGTACCGGAGATTATGGCAAGGTCGTCTATCCCATCGCTACCGTCGCCTCCTTCGGAAGTAGACACCAACCACGGCGTGTTTGACTACTGGTCACCTGAAGTTGTCGAACTACCAGTTTCTCTCAATGCACCTGCACCAGTTCAATCACATAATCGTAAAAGGCGTCTATCCGATGGTGCTGCCCAGGGCGCTCCGAAGCGTCCACGTGGGCTCGTTGGTCCGCGCTTGTATGCTGTCTCCGACCCCTTGCCCAGGGCAAACGAGTCGGCAGATGATTTCAATGCTTGGCTTATGAGCAACTTCGAGATACCACCCGCTGTGGCTGATGAGGTCCCAGATCCATCCACGCTCTTGGACGTGGATGTAGAGTGCTACAATTGGTCCTCGATGCAAGATTGTTATAAACTGCCGGTAGACGAAACAACAATGCTTGGTGAGTTTAGCAGATGTATATGCTCTGATATTATCTCGTTAATACTCTTCGTTTCAGCCTCTCCTCCCTACTCCACTCAACTATATAACCCCTTCAACGTTGATCCAAATCCCTTCTCCACTACCGATATCAACCCTTTTTCAACTAGCGATAACCTGGATGAACTATATCAAAATATTTTTGGTCCCAATAGTCACCACCCACCACCTTACTCCTCCCAGCCGGTTGATGACGCTACCTCATCCCTAACCTGTGTAACTTCCGATTCTACAACATCAGCCCCACCTTCAATGTCGTTCTCAGACGACCTGTTTTCGGACGGTGGTGTTTGGTCGCATTTACCTTCATATACCGATGCTGTTGGTTCTTTGAATTACTCTTCCACTCATTCGTCCGTTCCCGAGTCTACGGATCCTTTGAATCTGTCATCGATACTTTCCGAAATCGATATATCAATACTCCAGTTACCTACTTCATCACCCCCAAAAACTTCATGCCTGAATGAAGGGGCAGCTCGGCTTGCGGACAAGCAAGCCAAGCTAGAGCAGCTGAGGATGCTGGAGGAAGCCAAGCGAAGATTAGAAGCGGAATTGGCTAGTGACGTGTAAGTTTTATTATGAATTATTCACCGTTGACAATTTTCTTCCCTCCCCACCAAGCATTTAACATAACATTAGCTGTCTTCATCTTGATTACTATACCATGATTCTCCGTATGGCCCGTTTTATATATTGCTATCTATTTTTCTCTCGTCTTGCTATAACTCTCTCGCTACGCATATATACCCGCTTTCCATACTATCATCACGCTCTCAGTTTTCCTACTGTTATCATTACTCAGTTTTGTATGTCATCAGTAATACTTTCTATCAATGTTTGCCATGATTAAAAGCTACACTTGCCTCCATAAGTTTGAAATGAACGAACAACTCTTCAAAAATCGAGATGTCGTACAAAATGAACCCTTCAGGTAAAGGGACGCGCAACACTGGTATAGCAGCTGATTTCATAACGATAGACCTATCCAATGAGTTAGTGTACAGAGCGGAACTACAAATGAGCTTAAAATGTAGTAAATCTAAAATTTAGGGAGACTGGAATATTTGGCTCAGTACACGGCCAGGTAATTTCACCAGCCCCCGCCAGGATTTCCATCATGAGTGCGGAGCTGGGGTTGATTTCCAACTCAATCGGGAGTGAGAGAATCGGGGCTCAGTCCATCTGAACGCTGTTCCCAACCCAGCTTCAAATGACTTTGGACTCCGTACAAACCAATATATCCCACCATATATAGATTTGTAGCTTTCAAATTATTAATTAAATTATGTTTCACAATCCAAAGAACTCTTATGGTATTAAATAGAATTTGATACAGGCCCAAGTCAAAAGTTTGCTGGTCAATGAGCCAACAAAGATTAGAACTAAATTACAACAACCATAGAAAAACAGTAACACTGGCACCCAAAAAACATGGAGTGATCACTCGGACCCCAAAAAAATGAAAAAACAAAACAACTCACTGCAAGTTTATCAGCTCCGAACGTCTCATATCCCAGGGACACAGTGCCACATCATAGCCACGTTCTGGCCAGTGATTGACCCTATCAATGATTAACAACATCAGTGATCCCAACATCACATGTTTGCAGAGCATTTACGCACCCCCCAGTCCGAGTTTTTCAAGATACCCCCTGTGTTGATTTATGTCAGTGTAGGTATAATACCATTAGCAGAGATTAACATACCAAATATCCATCCCATGAGGCTTGCACCTGTGGCAGAAATGAGCATGCATAAGTGTTAGTACTGCCAAAACAAGCACCATGAAATCCACAGACAGTGTCATGCACCAAAGTTGATTGGTAGCATGGACAGGTGTCAATAACGAAGCAAATATTCAACAAGACTCGCCTTTGCGCCACACAGGCACAGTGCCACGTGGAATAGTAATTAATATTGCCTTTTTTGAACTTGTGGCTGATCAGCACCACCTCTATTAGGCAATCCAGTCATGCTCACCTTTGCTTTTCCATTCGGTACTTTCCGCATTTCGGCATTTCGGCAAATTTTCGTGTCACCACTGGCTACACATTGCATTGTGCCCTCGCTTTTGTCGTTTCCTTCACTTCCCTTCCTTTGCCTAGCCCCACCATGGGTCCCTTACTCTCGTTTTTATTCTCACCCGACGGTCGTTTCTGGATCCCCATTGTCAGGCAACAAATACGAAGCTATATAACAAAGCCCAATGTCTGGTCAAGTCCTTCCTTGAAGGCGGTGAATCAGAGTATGAGAATGAAGAGTATCGGTAAGAGCGCAAATCCAAACTAATATTGAACTAGAGAACAATACATCGAGTATATACTTCTCTATATAGTGAACGGCGATGGTCAGACCGAGAAAGGGAACTACTGAGAAAGTGGTCTGACCAGCTAGCTAACCAATAAGGAAAAAGGAAGAAAGTGGTCCGATCTATCGTCTTTACTAATTGTATGAGAAAACGTATTGGTAAGGGATGTACGATTGGCTGTATCAGTAAGCCCATGAGAAGGCGCTGACTCACAACCTTCTTCGCTTATCAATATTCCTCCAAAGTATTCCCAGACATAGCACTGGATCGTGACTATGTCATCGGGATATCTTCTCGAGGGTCGACAACAAGTCTACCTCGTTGTAGGTACGATAGAACGTGAGTGTGAAGAGAGAATAAGAAGAAAAATGATAAAAGTAATAAGACACCTGCTGTAATCTCTAGTCCAAGGGCAAGAGGAGTGACGGGGATCGAGTCTGCTAACCACGACATGACGGGAATGCGATAAGAAAAATCGATTCCTCACACCCATTTTAGTTCACCTCCTCGTCACCTCCAGCCTCCTCCTCCTCATCTTCTTTGCTCCCCCACCATTTCTGATGTCACCACTTCCTATCCGCTTCCGTCGCCGATCCGTCGACTACCATGTGCCACTGCTGATATCAGCAAAGCCCCGGCGGCCGGTTCAAATAGGGCAACAGGTCCATCTTTATGACATTGATCTACCATCA